AAACTCTATACAAAACGTCAAACATCAGAACAAATCATGCGAATCTGACTACTACAAACTGAAAACCGCTCGTTAAAAAACGAACAAAAACTGATGCAAATGATGAAGCCTGTTTCGCAGGCTATTCACAAATATATTTGTACAAGAGAATACAGCTGATGAAGAACTAAGACCGTTTGTCAACTAAATTATAATGTTCTTAATTAATTTCCAAATATGTTTCATTCTAAACAAAAAGCGGTAAGAAAATTAAGCTTGATCACATCGAAAACTGATATTCTTAAAAGGGGGAGGAGGAGTGTAAGTTAAAGCGCCGGAAATTATAAATGGATGCTCTACATAAATCCAAAGCTGATATGTTCTCTCAAGATATTTCTTCGTTTGATACACCATTGAAACATTAAGCTTGATAAAATTTTCGGGTACAGTTGCGTGAATCGATACGAAATCGCGCCTTACTGTCGCTCAGACGAGCTCCCCATCGTTTAGTTTGTATCAATGTTTTCATTTTCTCTCAAACCATTAGGGCTCTTGTAAATGACTAGAGTAAATAATGGACTGGACCATTGGCCCCTTGGACTATATTTCGAGCCATTTTTTGGACCATTCTCTTGAACCTTTTTTTTGGATCAATTTTTGGACCATTTTATCGGGGGGGAGGCAGACCATTAGTGCTTGGGGCAGGGAAGGACCGGAAATTCCGTAATCTTTGTCGTTTGATAAGATCAATGACGTAAAGAAGATAACTAAATTCAGGAGTTCAGCGATGGGATCCTGCTAAATTTCATGATCTACTGTTTACACAAAGGGAAACGTGAAGCAATTGATGGATGATTCGTGATAACCTGTGAGTAGCATTTAGCATTGGCACAAGTCGACTCAAAAGACACACGCATGACTCAACAGTAGAGGATCAAAAACAGGAATTGGTGACTGTTTTCAATAACAATTATAGTCCAGTGTTTAGGTGCCAGTTTCGTATTCGCCTGATAAAAAAATTAAGAAGCGCCGAGGCCCAGCGCAAAAATTTGACATAAAAATAATCAGTCGAAAAACCGCTCACAATAATTTGTATGATCCTGAGAAAACTCCATTAATCAGCAGCATTTACTAACACAACAAACGCCCAAAACTACCTGCGTTCTATTAGTCCGTCCTAGACCCCTCCCTCAGTAACAACAGTCTGCCTCCCACCCCTCCCTAAGCACTTATGGTCTGCTCTCTCTCTCTCTCTCTCTCTCTCGTTCGCAACCGATTCTATTATTATTATTATTATTACTATTGATAACAATAGTAATAATAATAATCATAATAATAACAGTAATAATAAAACATCCTTTCTCAATTCCCTTCCCTCCCCAGGAATACAATGGGACAATTACGGGTGCCACGACACTCATTTAGGGAATTTTTATGAAAATGAGCCTACATTCCGTCTTAAAGCAGTAAAGGGGACCATAAGCAGTCAGGAGAGCAACGCCGAGGATAACGTCGATAAAAAGAATGAATCAATATTTTTAGTTAGAATTTCACAAGTTTACTGTGCGGCGTCACACCTCACTTCAGCATACCGTATATATTTGACAATTTTGAGTTCAAAATGGAAATTAAAATAATTTGCCGTCGCGGTTTCCGTTTGCAGACCTCGCAAATTTTGGTGATTTCACGTAGATGTTTTGCAGAGGACGACAACGAGATGTATACAGTTTTAAAACGCACGTGCTGAACCATTGTTCTGCCCATTATATCTTTCGTTAAGGTCCCTAATAATAATTCTCCTCGTCGCCTTAATTGAAATCGGAGTGAGCTGTTGCATTAATGGGCCAGTAAGCTTATAAATGTTAAACTTTATTACATGTTTCATGTTTAAAAACCAGAGCTGATCCCTTTTGACGGACCATTTCTTGCCTTTGTACATGAATACTGAACATCATCATTACACCACAATGGTAATGGGACCGATTGGAGTCCCATTCGGTCTATAATCGTATGAGTGATTAACAAATTAAAATCGGACGACCCCGAAGTAAATATAGGGCACGGAATAATACCGAGTGACTCGCAAAATATTCGAGCTTATCACATGTTAAACCATAGAATAAGGTGTATATCTGAGTATGGATCCTCAAAGAAGCTTGATGTCTGTAAGATAATAATGCAACACATTTACCAGCAGATATAGTTAGTGAAAAACGTTCCTTTTATGTAAAAACTTAACGTGCCTTTATCTTGAGATATATCATATCTTTGGGTACCATGAGAATCACAGCTCGGTGTTCTAGGGTGGCCACGGTTTCTGGGGCGCGTTCAAACTTGAATCGTTGCAGGATTTTTAGCAAAGCGAGTTTGATCTCCAATAGAGCAAGACGCATTCCTATACATTGGCGTGGACCTGTTCCAAACGGGAGGAAGGAATACGGGTTTCGCTTCTCCTTTGCTTCAGGGGAGAAATTCTCCGGGTTGAACTCCAGGGGACTCTCCCATACCTCCGGGTCCCGATGCAGCACGTACGAGGGAACGTTGACTTCAACTCCCTTGGGGATGCGGATACCTTTGTACTCCGCGTCTTCGTCACAGCGACGGATTAGGTTAAAAGCTGGGGTACAAAGGCGAAGAACCTCAGAGATGACTTGATCCAAGTACCCGAGTTTTTGCACATGATCATAAAGGGGAGTGCTTCCACGGGCTTCTTCAGCTTCGTCGATCTCTTCAATGAGCTTGTTCTGAACCTTCTGATTGGCTGCTAGGAGGTATGCCGCGTTTGTCAAGGTGTTCCCTGTAGTCTCAAAGCCGGCCAACAAGAACGTAATGGATTGAGCCACGATTTCATTATCACTCAACTTGCTGACTCCATCGACTGTGGTCTCATGGGCTTCCAGCATAAGCTGTACCAAGTCTCTAACTCCCGTTGAACCCTGCTGGCTTCGTTGATCGAGCATGCTTTTTGCCAAGGCGACGAAATAATCTGCGTTCTGTAGGATGCTGAAGAAGCGGCTGAGGTAGGTCCAGAATGGAAGCACGGAGAACACTCGAAAGTAGAGGGGTGTTTTAAAGACGTTTCTAGCTTTTTCCACAAATTCTGGGTCTGGTTTCATTTGTACGTCGGTGTCAAAGCCAAATGCTGCTTTCATGATCACTTCTAAAGCGAAAAGACTGAAGAGACGGTTGACATCTACTGACTCACCTAGCGAAAAACAAAAATGGAAATAAGTTACCGGTCACTGATTATCGGTGGGGGGGAGGGAAGAAATAGGGGTTGGGGGATTTATATAATACCCCCTTTATACTATGTTGGCGACGACTAATCTCCCCTCCCCCTTCCCCCTTCCCCTCCCACTGAAAACTATGCTATTTCCCACAAAAACCCTCCAGCCTTTGCCACTGGGGGAGACTAAATGTATGTGATGGACGAGTTGTAACCAATATTACGGGTACGTTCCAACCGATTCCCCTGCCGCGGGGGGGGGGGGGGTCTACTTCCTAGCGATAGGACAGGCACTAGGTTAATTGAGATGTGCCGCTTGATTGAGTCGCATTTTCACCGCTGGATTGACTATAATGGGGTTGAATTTTCACTAGAGTTACTGGTGAGACTGAGTTCGTGCATATTCGAAATTCTGGGTTAAGAATACTCGAGTAAGTAGGGATTTACATGTCTTAGTTTGGGGCCTAGGTTGAATATAACGGCCTTCTTTATTGACATTCAGCCTAAGTATGTTCTTAAAGTTTCGTTTAATCTCAGCCTGAACGTCCTTAAAAAAAAGTTTCTAACTAAAAAAAAGAGTGTACATTAGATGTAAAAGCATGTTCACTGTACTTTTATAAAAAAAGTTGCGTGACATTCGCAAAATTAATTCCCAATTTTTGTCAGAGTGAATCAAAACTGGTGATATTTTGGTAAAACAACACGTCATTGAAATCTTAGTGCTTAATGTCAATCACGAAGCGGAGAAAAAGGCGGCGAAGAACCTACAGGTGGATATTAAGATGCAACAGGCAGTTGCCGTAAGAAACATTACAGAAGCGTGACACGCCGGGTAAATTATTCAGTATCTGTTCGCTTGGACAACTGTTACTGTAATCCGTCTAAACAAAAGATGCTTGAAAAAGACAACTGCGAAATGCAAATTTTTTCACAAAAAGGCGTGACATGCTGGGTAAATTATTCAGTATTTGTTCGCTAGGACAACTGTTATTGTAATCCGTCTAAACAAAAGATGCTTGAAAAAGACAACTGCAAAATGCAGATTTTTTCACAAAAAGGCTTAGTAGGGAATTGCAGCCTGACATATTGAATTGTGTTTTATACCGACGTTAATAAAGCCGACCCTTGATTGAAAGATTATTTCTCTAATTTTATCGTGTATTGTTGCAATTTTAGCTTTTTGATAGCTCTTCTTAGATAAATAAAACCTTGTAGGATGTGCTAGAATTGATTTAAAAACAACAAATGTAACTTTAAATCCGGCGTAACGAGCAAAATGTTTCCGATAAATTTAGCGATGGTAACAAATTTTGGACAGCACACAATTTTATCTTGCGAAAATAAAACATATTTTTTGAATACCAAATATTAAGCCACGAATATTCCTAGTTACGTAATTGATACAAAGAATGAATAAAGTTTAAGGTTTCACGGTTGCTTACCCGTTTCGGAGAACTTTTCCATTTTGGCATGAAGCTTCTCCGAGGCATTTTCTATTATCGGCACGATCTGCTTCAGTTTGTTGGCGGTAAAGGTGGGAGTTAGAGTCGTTCTTATACGCTTCCACGTCTCTCCTTCAGCGATGAACAATCCCGAGTTCAGAGGTGGTCTGGGTTTGATGAAAGCAGGTCGATTTGGGAACTTGTGGAAATCCTTGACCAAAATTTGCTTGACAATTTCGGGATCGGTGACGACAATAATCGGTGAGCGACCAAAGCACGACTTGTATACTCGTCCGTACTTGTAGAAATAGTTAAGGAACATCTTGTGAATGCCGCCATATTTGAAAATATCGAGGAGATTACCGATCCAGGGCCACGGTTTTGGACCCGGGATTGGAGAACCGCCAAGAATCGAGTTGTATCGGAGCAAACCTTGCCAATAGACGAGCACTAAAAAACCAAAGGTTAACGCTAACCATGTGTAAATATCGATGTTATGCACATACTGGAGGACGGAATCCATCATTGGGGGTGTTGCCTTCTGTTGTCCAGACGAAAACGCCACTGTTGGAATAATGCGCAACGATCATGCGTGACAAATTGATTTGTTGCCGGATATGGCACGTTTTGTGTGATCATATCCACGTTGTCAATGTTGCGTCATGCTCCCGGCCGAGTTCTACGTCAGCATTTTCACGTTGTCGCTTCTAAATGGTCGCTGTTCCGTCACGCAAAAAAATTTAACAAATAAATAAAGTCTTGAGCCCATAAGTTTTCGCGTCTTCTGAGAAAAGTCGCCTGTGCAGTATTTACCAATTTAGCACCTTAGATTTTTATCCTGAATGACAATGGTTTTTTCCTTCAATACGTTCCTTGATTTATCTCAGAAATTCGCCACACTTTCGCGTTCAACTGTGTTGTAAAACTTTTATAATAAAGTTTCAGGATTGTTTTCAGAAAAAAACGTCTCAAGTGCCGTTTCTGGTACTTATTTGGTAATTTTTTGGGGGTAGGTTCCTGCATTTAAGGCCTGGTTTTTAACTCGCGTACTCAACAATATGTAGATATGAGAAGCATGAGAATTTGATCCAATAAAATATCTTGCTCATCCTTGGTAAGTTGTACCTGTCGGTGGCAGGGAGGGAGGAAGGGAGTTGAAGGGCTCTTAAGCGTTCTCAAATTAAGTTATTACATAGAGCATAGAGCAAAATCCTGAGCACAATTTTGACATACAGCTGCTTTCCGGGGTGACCCTCACAGCATAATGTTCGAATTCCCAAGCATAATATATATGACCCTATATAGGAGACCAGATAGTTCGTTGGCGAACACACATTTTTCCTTTTGTTTTTAAAAAATTGTGTCGCCTGAACTCTACGTTCACACGGGGTAAAACTGTCAGCAGGGCAGTCGAGAGTACAGTGCCGTGAAACAAAAGGATTAACTTGATAAAAAAAGGGTCCCTCTTAAGACATCAGGGTCCAGTTGTATATAGGGCGGATAACGATATCCAACGGATAAATCGCTATCCGGCAGATAAGTGATAGCAAAACTTATAGCGTTATCCACTGGATAGAGTTTTGTCCAGCGGGTAATGCTTTCCAACCTTCAAACAACCGGGGCCAGGAGTTGAAAAACGAATGAGAAACACCAATAAGAACTTGAAGAAATTCGAGTCCTTCTTATTTTCTAAATGCTAAAATCAATCTCGCCTAAGTTTCCATTATGGGTCAACTGCTCAAGTCACATGAGAATTCAGTAACAGAACCAGAATCGTCCACTAAGCTGTAAGATCTACACGCCGTACTAATTCCGTTCTCTTTATCAACTTGTGGCTTGATCGAATGTTCGCCGGTCTTTTCTTCTTCCGAAATTGAAAATTTCCCTTCGAGCTCGAGTCTTTCATCGCACGTGATCTTCTCCAACCTTTGCCATCTTTTGGGAGGCCACACAATGCGCGTTGCTTTTCCTTGGATTAATCCAACAGCCACCTAACGAAAATTAAAACACAAGTTATCAAAAGAGAAGTCTGAAAAAGGCAAACAAATTAAAAACGAAATAAGGAAAAACACGAACTTCCAAGAATTCCCGTCTCAAAGAGCTCAATAAAATATAACACGGATCAAATTTAAAAAGGCTTGTTGAATGAAAAGCAAAACAAGTTGAGTATAGAAAGACGCGACTCTTATAACGACTTCTGCTGGGGTTTTTAAAGGGAAGAGCCACTTACAAAATCTTTCAAGATTTATAAAAATGCAACGTTCAGCGTTTCAAAACGTTACTATGAAACAATGAAATCCTCACAGTAGCACACTGTAAAAACACAGTGGGCTCCAGGTCATGAAGCAAGTCAATAACATCAAGAAAGCCCCTCTGGATACTTGAAGGATCTGTGTATAGCAAAAATTGTACAAGCAACAAAAACAACTACAGAAAACAGAACTCACCGGTCCAAAAGAATTGCTGTCATGACTATGAGAGTGATTGTCACCCTCCACCCAGCAATGTCCTTTTGGAATTTTCACAATCTTCTTTTTGTAGTTAATGCTTCTACAAAACAGAGAAACAGGAATTATTGTTCAACAATGAACATCCTTACATAATGGCAGGTCACAGCTCATTAAGGTAACTGTTAGTGTACATGTAAGATGGCAAAATTTAAAGATGCCAATCAAATCACAAACCAGATAATTAAGATACCCGGTATCAGTGAAAGCAGGCCCTCAGTATCAAGCCTGCAGTATGCACGATTCTCTACAGCAGGAAGATTTGAGAAAAGCTGGAGAAGTTTGCCAGGGGGTCTGGCACTAATAATTATCAGTGCCAGTCCCCCTATAGACCTCTCACCAGCTCAAGTTTTTCAAGGCCTCATATTTTCCCTGGGGGGGGGGCAAAAAAAATGATCAAGCTAGGATATCAGATATATATCCTGTACAACTTTCTGGAGAACTAATAGACAATATTATTCCATAGGCCCATGTAGGATAGGAGATAATTGATAGCTGACCAGGCCTGTAGGGCTGAGTTGACTATCTATCATCTCATATACAACAAGCACAAGTGGAATAATTGTTTTATTAAAATAAAACCAAAGTAAAGATAAACAAATACATTTTTTAGCTCCATTTTAATTTTGCGCTGATACATACGATTACCATATTTGTGGAGTGTGGTATAATGGCTCATAACGCATGATGGCTAGGCCAATGAAACTCTTGAATTGCATTATCCATTGATCTAGTTTTTTATAGTGATGGTTATCAAGTACATCTGATCCACTATGTCCTAGGGTCTTATCCTTGATTGTAAGCAGTTCCTAGGTGTCAACATTTTTGCAGGAGAGTGAATACAGAAACAGTAGTATCTATTTAAAATCATATCATAACTCACCTTACACGGTCGCCTTCTAGAGCTATAACTCTCTTTATTAAGGCAGCATCAGGATCTGTGGGATCACTATGTTTATATAAAATAATAAGGGAAATTATAGCAATTACAATCATGTTGTAGCTTTATTTTGTAAATAGCCAATTGGAATGCCTCCTGCTAGGTCAATTTTAAACCAACTCACCATATTTCCTTGAATAAGCACCCACACTCCAATAAGCACCCTTCCCTCCCCTGAAATAGCACCTACCCTATTGGCCAACAAGACCCCCCTCAAATAGTGCCCACCCCCCTTCTGACTCCCCCTCACTTCCTTGAATAGTTATTAGGATACAAAGAAAACCTGTACAGGATTTGAACCCATGACCTCTGCGATACTGGTGCAGCACTCTACCAACTGAGCTAACAAGCCAACTGGTCAATGTGTTGGGTCCAAATAAACCAGCCAAGTGATGAATGATGATTTTAGATATATGAAATTCATATATTTGCACTGCGATGAAGAAATGAAATTAAGAGTGTTCTTAGCTGTGATGATCTCTTAATTTCGTTTCTTCACCACAGTGCAAATATAAGAATTTCATATTTCTAAAATCATCACAAAGAAAACCTGTTTGTATTTCCACTTAATATAACCTTAATAGCACCCTCCTGCCATTTTATTCCTCCCCCCATTTGAGCCAAAATTTTTCATAAGAGCCCAGGTGCTTATTCAAGGAAATATGGTACTGACTTCTTTCAAATATTGTGAGCATAATCATTATTCTTTTATCCAAAAGTAAATTAGTCTTCCTGGCCTTGTCAGTAAAAATAATAGTAATTAAAATTTCACCCAAATGTGAGGCTTGCACATAAGAAGCCTGAAATGTTCATACCATACTTTGTTTACACTGAACTGTAGAACTTTTCACTTACGTCAAAGTAACAATGTCTCCTCTGTTAATTCCTTCAAATCGCCGGACAGCCCAGCTGTTGACAAGCACTACATCACTACTTTTACGTGGATTGGGATTTAAGGTTGGCTGGGCAGAAAAAAGTGAATAACTACTAATTAACAAAATTAATGAACTACTGATAATATAGAATATTTATATTCCGTTTATATGGCATATTGCAAGAAACTCTGTACACCAAATCTTAACCCTATAACTCCTTCATGCGTGACCAATGAGTAATTTTTCTCTACAATATCAACACATTTTCAAACAAAAAGTGATAACACAAAAAATTTCAATCTCAGAATACAACAAAAATTCTCAGAGTTTAAATTCTGAGATATGTGCATAAGAAATTAAGGAAATTAAATGTAACGGAAAGTACTCTTGAAACTCACTTGCATAGAGATGCCAGTTACACCTTTGACGCTTCCAACGTAGTCCACGAATGTGATAACCACAGGCACACCGATGACAAAACCACGGGTAAACATTCCAAGAACGTTTATGTATGGTCTCACTCTCTGGTAAACCATAGCGATTTATTCAAATGTGCCGTTACTGAAATCTACCAGTCAGTTTATCATATTTTGAGATTGTGAGCGATAGATCCTCCATGTTGTTTTCCGACTTGCATTCAAGAACGAGAATAGCCTGGGAACAAAACTAGTATCATTCGTACCAGTCCTTTGAAGCTGCGCGTTCAACATGGCGCATGAGGTTTGTGCGGAAAGCGCGTTTATTTGAAGGTCGTTGAATTGAGTTAAGATTGGTCGAGTTTTAAAATGGTTTCATCAGAAGAAAGTATCATTTTGTTTTAAACTTAAATCAACCATGGAGGCGGATGGTGATAAAGCAACTGCGATTGGATGTCCTTCACAGACGGTGAGTTATTCTAGCAACTTGCGTAGCTAAATTTGTAGCAACCTACCATAATTTGGAGGTGATGGTCCGGATGTGCGTGATGATTGGTCTTCTTACGTCCTTCTAACCCCTCGACAGAAACATAATACTGACCTTACCATTTTCATAAGTGGACCCTCAATAATGGTATGGACCTTGCTTATGCTTCTCAGGGGCGTAGATGCTCTGGGGTGTAAATAGGCCTTTTCATAGAAGGGGGATGGAGGTCACACTGTGCCACACCCAGGATACCCATGCGAAAGATATTTTTCGGATGAGTATTGAGTGATTGATACTGTGTAGATTTTCAGGAAGAACCTTTATAATAATTTCTGGAAAGTGTGATGAAGAAAATACAATGATGGTGCCAGATAACTTTTCATTACACAAGCTGCGCCTAAAGAGTGGCTTCAGGTATAGTCTAGTCAATGAGATTACCATAATATTCTTTTATCAGTCCCTGGCGGGTAAAGCTGCTGTATGTCAAGGATGCCCAGGACAGTATCTCTGTAGTCAACAAGGTAGATTGTTTTCAAACGTTGGATTTTTAAAATAACACACACACCATTAACTTGGTTCCATTTTACATTTTACAAATTATACAAAAATATAGGAACACTGTACAGCTAGCTAAGCCTGTTTTTTTTTTTTTATATAATTATTATTCTCTGACATACATCATAATTTCTTTGAAAAGATTGAATTCCCCCACATGAACATATTTCAGATTGAGGAAAGCTCTTTACTTGCTGGTGTCTCCACAGTGAAATATGATAGAGAAATTATAGAGTAAAATCACTGGGGGCAAATTGAAATTAGTCCTATTTTGATTGTTGTAAATCTAATCAAACATCAGTTTTTGGCCATGAAAAAATTGAAGTACAGTATATGCGAAGAAAGGAAAAATTTGGTCACTAGATATGTTTAAAAGCCCTAAAGCTCATTTTTTACGCTGATGATCAACAGGTGTTTTGGACCCAGATCAAGAGATGATTGATTTGCGAATGAATGCAGTCAAACATAAGATTCTTATTTTATCAGGAAAAGGGGGTAATAATGTGTTGTAGTCTTGAATTAATTTCAGATCTTAATGATTTAAATCTAGTATGATTTGATTTTCCTTTGTTCTGGATATGTTACCTTAATTCTTAACAAAGAAAACACAAATCAAGCTGGTTGAATTCACTTATCACTTTAAACTGCAATAAATTGTACACGGTACTGCAATATACTATTTTAAGTCAATCAAATTGAAGTTAGTTTCCTAGTTCATTATATTTGAATCTAGGTTTGACTCCTTCTTCCTTGCACCTGTCTTATCATAAAGGACCTCTTGTTGCAGCGTTTAGATCACCTCTGATGTAGGCACCAGACGGGAGTGTCAAAACATTAGGTCTATTTAATGAGTGTAACTTCTCAGTTACACTCATAAAATCTTTAAACCAGAGTAGCATCAAACCATATCTGAGTTTCACTCCTGTTTCAAATTTTTACTTCTTTTTTATGACTCATTACACCAATTTTAAAATGAAAAAGTACATGTTCATAATTATTGAAGTAAACCATCTTAATTCATTACTAAAGCTGCCTATTTTCTTGCATGGTTAACCCTTTAATTCCCAGAGGTGATCAACATGAAACTTCTTCCGATAATATCCTTACATTATCCCGCAAACAGCTAATGAGGATATTCAAACTTATCAGGTAGAAGTTGTTGTCTTGATCCAACACCAAATTCTCATAACTAATCTACAAGGATATGTGTAACAGCTAGAAGGGAGAATTACTAATTAGAACTTGGGAGTGAAAGGGTTAAGTAATGGGAAAAGGTTGCAGCTGAAGGCTGAAGGAGTTGGAAGGGCTGAAAATTCCTTACAACTTACCAGCCTGGATATCTTTCTCAAAATGTCCAAAATCCAAGCAGCATGATCATTAAATCAGGAAATATTGGTGGATACTTAGCGTAATATTTTGTTACTAGCTTCCAACCAACAGGGTCACATATTCTAAGCCCATTGGAATTCTACAGCACAATTAGGAATCAAAATAAAGTTACAAACCATACAATTAATTAGTAAAGGTTTTTCTTTAAATCTGGATTTTTGTAGGAGTTGGTAAATCAAGTGTGGCTTCTAATCTTAGCATGGCTCTTGCTAACATGGGCCAAAAGGTAACTTTATAAGACATGAAGTGCTACATCTAGTAAGGGTAGAGCCAGTGTACACCGAAAATATTTTTTAATTGTGTTACTGTGTACAAGGACAGAAGTATTATAAATGTCAAAACCACTCAACCTTTAACCCTTAAGAGTGACTAGCATCTAATTTCCCCTTACAGTGGCCAAATAAATTCTTAGGGGAATTACAATGAACACATTGCTGGTCAAAGTGGAATTCAGGTGAACCCTTTACACCCTAACGTCAATATGCATATTCTCCATACTGTTATCTATACATTCCCTAAGGTGCTGATAAGGAGAATTTGGTGTAACAATCAAGTTCTTCTTTGGTTGGTGATCATTTCTTTTTTTTCTTGTGATCTCGATGTGTGATTCAGGAGTGATATTGTAAGGAGATCAATATTAGATTCTAGTCATTCTTATCGGTTAGAGGGTTAAAGTGATTTCAGACTAGGTTGATTTGTATTTCTTTGATTTTAAAACAATCAAAATCATAATTTTTTATTAATGAAATGAAATACAAATTGTAAGGTAGTTACAAATATGTTTGACTTGAATTCACTTTATTTAAACTATATTTGGTAAATTGGGACTAATTTTAACTTTGGTTTAGGTGGGGTTAGTGGACTTGGACATTTGTGGTCCAAGTGTACCAAAGCTAATGGCAGTTGAAGGACAACAAGTCATTAACTCACCATATGGATGGACTCCTTTGAAGTAAGAAGGAATACATACTTATAACAGAGTTTGAGGTTGCTGTTGTTTTTTTTTTTTTTCACACAAAGCATGCTTGTTGTAAATTCAAGCAAATAAAACATGGTTCTGTAGTTTACGGTACTAACCAAGAAAACATGGTTATACAGTAGAACACACCAGTGGCGGATTTAAGGGAGGGGCTCAGTTAAAAAAAAATAATAAATAAGAATTGCAGAAGGAAGAAAAGCTGGCAGGGCAAGTGACAAAAAACCAAGGCCCCCTCCCACTCAGCTCAAGGTCTGGATCTGCTGCTGCACACTACAACAAAATGCAACACAAAACAACTCAAAGAAAAGACAGGACAATACAACAGGGAAGAGTAAATATAATACTGTAAATTGCAATACAGTTGACATTATTGGCTCCTCCCCTCTCTGCAGATGCCTTTTTGATTGTTCCAAAGTTCCTGAAGTAGGAGTCAGTACAGTCATCAGTGGCATCTGAGATAATAACTTAAGTTTATATTAGGAACAGCTTCTGTATGAATTATAGGATGTGTAAGCTGAGTGTCTTTTTTCCACCTTCAGATCGCCTCATTTTGGTGTAAAAGTTATGTCAGTAGGTTCTTTACTGCAAAAGACAGACAATGCGTAAGTTACTGGAAATGTGCATGTATGTATAGTCTAGTATTAGTTGTAAATAGCTGTGAATTGAATGCGTTAGAGCAGAAATGTAACTGTGTCAGCATTGATGATGTACATCTTCTTAGGCAAAGAACTTAGTATATACTTAGTTTCCTTAACCCTTATCCTCTTATAATGGCTTTTGCCTACAGTTGGGTAAAAATATTTAACTCTTTACCAAAGGAGATCAGAAACACAAAAAGCCTTAGCCTTTCTAGAAAGAAAATTTTTTATAAATATTTCAATTCATAGATCATAAGATGCTATTTTATTATTGAAATGTACGCTGTTTTTTAATCTATATTTTAATCTGTAAAAAGTTCATTTTTCTTTTTTCTTTGTCACATTCCAGCAACATTCTTTTAAGCATTGACGAATTTTTTTTCAATGAACTTTAGGATAATATGGCGCGGACCGCGGAAAACAGGTATGGTTCTTGTTGGTCTGGGCTCCCGCTTGTAAGGCTTTCAATAACCTACAAAAAAAGGCCTTTCTTTTCTTTCTTTATATATATTTGTTACGTTTTTAAATGTTTTAGGTCTAATCAAGCAGTTTATGAAGGACACATTTTGGGGTCGCCTCGACTTTCTTATATTTGGTAAGTTACGGTATGCAGTTTTTAGGTCTTTTTTTGTTGGAAATTAACTAGTCTGAATATTGAGGGGCTGCGGGAAAAGATAGTACCAACGATTTAATTGTAAATAGAATATGAAAGATGGTAATTTTGAGCTCGGTATCGTAAATAAATGGAGAAGGATGTTTTTCGTCTTGTCTCGAGCGAGAAACAAAGAAAAAGTTCCATGAGAAATCAAACCTCAGACCTTCACATTCCTCGCGCTGATGCTCTACCTCTGAGCCATAGAGATTCTATGGTGAGCAAGGCCCATTACAAAGTTCATATAATTGGAAGACAAAATTGGACCCTATCAGGTATTTGATTGTTTCTCAATACGAACTTTCAAAACCAGACAAAAACTCTCAATTGCTGTTAAGGATATGACGTCTTTGAAGACCCTTGGGCTGACAACCGGGCGAGAGGAAACTATAGTACAATTGCTTTGGTTTTACTTAACTTTGCTCTGTGATTGGCCATTCTCTCGACCAATCAAATGCAAACCTAAAAACAATCGCGTCTTGGTCAATCGCATTTTCCCGCGCTTCAGGCAGTTTGTTTATTTTCACTTCGAGTTTTCATCAGCTCACCCGTAAGATATCGAGTTGAACACTCGAAGAGAAATTCTCTTTCTACGCGCGCCATGTATTATTCTCTATTTAACAGACACACCACCCGGTACATCAGATGAGCATCTGACTGTTGTCAAAGCACTGAAAAACGTCAATCCTGATGGAGCTGTCGTGGTTACGACGCCTCAAGAGGTTGCGTTGGCAACGATTCGCAAGGAGCTGAATTTTTGCCGAAAGATGGATTTGACAGTATTAGGTATCGTGGAAAATATGAGTGGCTTTGTTTGCCCGTACTGTCAGGTATGTTAAGTATTTAAGCTATATAACAAACTGCTCGCGCTTGCTCCTTGTGTTGTCAACACAACCCTTGAGATAGTTGCCAGCAATCAACCTTTACAAGGTGCTAATTATATTTATATCTTTTGTTTAGTTTGAGTTACGAAGCAGTTATGGTTTATGTTTTTTCATTGGCTTAAGAATAAACTCACTCTGTTAAAATTGCTTTATTGTGTTGATAAACGTTAGGAATGTTCAAACCTGTTTTCTTCTGGAGGCGCTGAAAGACTCGCTAGTGAAAATGGTCTTCGTCTCCTTGCAAAAATCCCGTTAGATCAGGTATTATATTAAAAAAACTAATTGTGGTTATTTTTTATGATAGTGACGTTCTGTTGTTGCTGTTAGTGATGATGATGATGGTAATAATGATACTGTAGTCATTGGTGTTGTTTATGTTGTTTGTTTTGTTGACTTGATGCATGCCAACGATGGCGATAACCATGATGCTGAAGCTTCTACTGATACTGACCTCTATTAGGCAGCCAGCTATGTGGAATGCAAAAACCCAAAAGTCATTTTCTCTCAAACTCTGTAAAAATAGAACTTCTTTTAGAGCAAGTTTCAATTGGGTGTCAAAAGTAATTCGGAATGGCTTTAGTTTTGCTTTTCCTCGCCGCGTGACTGGTCCAGATAACTCGCGCCACTTTTTTCAACCAATCAGATTCAAAACTAAAACCAATCGAGAGATAGTCACTCGCGTTTTCCCGCGCTTTGGATAATTTGCTTGTTTTGAATTTTAGATCTCATTGGCTCCTTGTGACGTTTTCCTTTCTCTGATTGGTTGTCAATTAGTCTTGGTTTTACGACGCTCAGTCGTAATGCGCTCTTAGTGGCACAAAATTGACTTATGTGTGAACCGAACATGTCTGCCTCTTGGGGAGAGAGAGGCCTGGGTTTGGAAAGCTATTTCGCATACGCTTAAGGAAACTATGAAGATTTATTTGTTTTCAGACCCATACTCTCTCGTAAACGGGAGCTTTTAACGTTTCACTGTGTTTTTGTAGCTTGTCAGAAACCACCATGTCGATAAATTATTTGCATGACACGCAAGTTTTTCTTACATTCGAAATACTTTTTTAAAATTTTTTTACTCTCCTCTTCATAGAACCTGTGCGTTTGTTGTGAACAAGGTTCGAACATTTTCGAGTCATTTCCAGAATCACCCGCGGGAACTGCGCTACAGTCTCTCGCAGCAAAGTTAATCAGAAAGATGAAACCGGAATGACGTCATCTTGACCTACATTTCGTCCTCTCTGGTGATTGCTGGTCGTTTACTGTCGCACAAGTTTATCTCAACAAAATTGTTTTTAAATCCAGTAATCTGAAATGCTCTGAGACTAAGTGTTGATATTATAGAGGTATGAGTGGCAATAAAACATGGGATATAAGATTGCAGCAAAAAAGTAGCAAAAAAATCAAAATGGGGAACGCGAGTTTAGTCTCGTCACGCAATGGATAGAACGTGGCGTGACAAAACAACGAATTCCGGGTACCAAAATTTGTGAACAGCTAGTGTAAAGCGAATGTTAATATTTAATTAAAGTTTCATTTTTATGGGGATCTAAAAGATTATAGCAATATTTAGACATGAATAATACTAAAAATTATGGTTGAATAAGCAGTTTATTTATATTTTTAACTTATTTGAAAAGCCTTGTATAATGATGCGTTTGAAGATATTGTTTTATAAATTATGTATAGCCAATTGTAAGCCAGTTATCACTCAAATATTTTACAGGATTTTATGGCTAGTACTTTCCGGACTATTTGTCAAGTAGTGCATAATTTAGGAAAATGATTGAAAACTTATTTCAAGTCTAGTGATTTTTTTTTTAATACTAAATGTGCCACCGTAGTCGGACCGTACGGTGTAGAAGCGTAGTGAGGCCATTTTTGACAAGAAATTTCTAGAAATTTGAAAATAAAGTAATAAAAGTAGTAAAGTGAGATCTTTATATGTGATTATGTCTTTCATATCGCAGCGTAAGACTCAAGCTAACAATCGTGAGTTGCTCTGGTTAAGGATGTTTAAATTTTTTATCTCTTTACGTTGCTAAGGGTTGTTTTACCCGTAAGGATGTTCATAGAAGGTCCACGTTCCTACAAGGCAGATGTTATGCTGGCTATTACCTGTATCTATTGTTAGAATCAGAGGCGATTTTTTATTTATTTCTCAGTTTCAAACGCGTAGTTTGAATTGATTTAAGGAGAGTTTAGCAAACCCCAGGCGTCCTTTAAATTTGAATATTGCGTGACCGAAGCACTTTCCAAACATCCAATATGGCGACTGCATCAACAACAACGATTCGTGATCTGGGTAACTTACAGCAACTTCCAAAGGAAGAGAAAACCTTCTTAACAAAGGGCCTTAAAAACAGGAGTTTGTTTCCAGCTCTGCCAGAGCCAGATGAAGATGACTGGCTGTCGTCGCACTCTGAAATGAAACAGTCGCATGATTCTTGGTGGCAAAGATTTCAATCTGTCATTTCGCCCGTCAGAGAGAAGAAGAAAAGAATATATCTTGTGCCTCTGGGAGAAAAATGGGCAACCTCTGAAGTAGAACTGGATAAAATTGGCACTAAAGAAAGCTTTTTATCGCTTCTACAACGATTTGCAAGTGTATTTTTCACCGGTTTTCACGTTGTTGTCCTTCCGTCTGTTTCCATAGCGGAACTGAAATGCAAGACACGATGGCATGGTGGACATAGACAGCTATTAATTCCAGATATCTATAAATACCTCCAAAGTAAATGGCCATCTGACGCTTTCTGCGTTGTGGGAATCACAATGATGGACTTGTACCCAAGGGAGAGCTGGAATTATGTGTTCGGACAGGCCTTACCTTCAGCCGGTGTCGGAGTGTTCAGTTTTGCAAGATACGATCCACTCTTTCACGAAAAAGATAGCACGAAAGCCTTGTCATCTAACACGAGTACCCTTGTGCTGTGGAGAAGTTGTAAGGTATATTAGGTCTTTAGTCCCTAAAAGTTACTAACATCTAATTTCTCCTTCCAAAATCAGCCCTAAATCAAATATTAAGGTCACGAGAATAAAAGAAATGATCACCACCTAAAGAAACAATTGGATGTTAGAGTGTAAAGTGATCGGAGATGATTTCCTCCTTAACCCTTTAACTCCCATGAGTGACCAAGATACAATTTCTCCTTACAATATCAACACAATATTAATCAGGTAAGTGATGAGAATAAAGAAAAGTATCAATGTGGGGATAATTAGCTGATCCAACACTAAATTCTCTGAACTAACATTCTAAGAATTGTATGGTTGACAGTAAGGAGAATTACAAATTTCATGTGGGAGTTAAAGGGTTAATCTATTTTTTTTTAATGTCAGAATAGGAGAATTAAGACATTAAATGATGTAATGATGGGGGGGTGGGTGGAGGGAAGGGCAGGGGACAAGAACCAGAAGGGTGTCTGGTGGGATGTTGGCAAGGAGGGTTGTATGAAGGGTTTTTATGATACTGGGTCTCCAAAGCAAAACATTTCACCCTAGTTTTTAATTTACACAAACATGTTTAGTTGACAGCACATGAACTGTCAGCCATAGGTAGTTGCTTTTGGAGATAGGAGGTGCATTGTCTAACTTCACTACTTCACTATACCGGACAGAAGTCAAATTTGCTTTCAACTGGAAGTTGCTAACTGAAATTTGGTAGGATGGGATGTGAAATTAAACAATACTAATTTAGTTTTTCACTCCCAAGATACCTCAGTATTATTAGTAATTCTCCTTACTGTCTACCATACAATTCTTATTATGTCAGTTTGGAGAATTTGGAATTGGATTAACTAATAATTCCCTAATTGATATTGAAGAAATGTAAAATGGTTTCCGTGTTTACATAGCCTGATGTAAACACGCAGGAGGTTGGGAGAACACAAGATAAGCGCAGGAAACCACAACGCAAAGCGGAGTGGTTTCCAGCTTATCAAGTGTTCTCCCAACCTCCCAAGTGTTTACATCAGGCTATGTAAACACAGAAACCATTTTACATTTCTTTTATAAAATAACTAATGAAAGAGGAACAAAAACCGTGTTTACATACGCTCATGTAAAATGGTTTTATGGCCAATTAGAGTGCGTGTACTATTTGAATTATTTTGTAATTTTCTTTATTCTCGTCACTTTTCTGTCTGATATTGTGAGGACAAAGTCTTTTTAGCTCGTTCACAGGAGTTAAAGGGCAATAAAGCAGGAATAGAATAAATATTTTTATAGGGCAGCAGTATCTCATAGGGCTAAGGGTAATTGATGCCTTTGTCTTGTTTTTATAGGTCATGGCTCATGAGATATGTCATTTGTTTGCCCTAAAACACTGTGTGTTCTTTTCATGTGCTATGAATGGAAGCAACCATCTTCAGGAGTCTAACAACCGTCCAATGTTTTCATGTCCTATCTGTCTTCACAAATTGAAATCCTGGTTTGGATTCAATATGAAAGAGAGGTATCAAGTACTGCTGGAGTTTTGTAGCTCTGTTGAAGATGAAAACTTTCAAGGAGCAACCATTTGGTTACAAAAAGCAATTAAAGAACTTTCATGAACTTTTCAGCGTATTACCATCAAAACACATAGTAATACAAGCAAACTTGCCCCTGCCCCAAGTTACCAGATTTGAAAACCCCCCCCCCAAAAAAAGGGTTAATGATAATTATAGCTAGGTGTCGTAAAAGTATTGCAAAGTTCTGCTCAGTGACCTTGTCACGAAAGTAAAACGAACTATTGACCTCCTCAACTGTTGCAGCCATTGTCTCCGCGTCCACGGAAACAACGTGCGTGACAGCCGATCACGTGAGACCTAACAATTTTCCCATTTATCGCGCAATATTTTCATTTCATTGCGTGATAAAATTTGAAAAGTGGATAGCGTGTCCTCTGTGGGCCACCGCATAGATATGTCGTTAGTTACCATCACTCATTAACTTTTATAAAATAATTCAAATAGTACGCGCGCTCTGATTGGCCATAAAACCATTTTACATGAGCGTATGTAAACACGGTTTTCGTTCCTCTTTCATTAGTTATTTTATAAAAGAAATGTAAAATGGTTTCCATGGCTTCGCGTCGTGGTTTCCTACGCTTATCTCGTGTTCTCCCAACCTCCCGCGTGTTTACACCAGGCTATGTAACACGGAAACCATTTTACATTTCTTCAATCACTCACTTATTAGCGTACGTGTAGCCGTCCCCCGTCCCCCCCCCCCGCACGCCCCGTTTCACCTTGTTGGGAAGGGTACGGCTACACGTAGGCTGCTCACTCGTCCACCTGTGAGTACAGGAGTGGCTTCGTTGCCATGTTGAACCTGGGAACTATTATCAGTTTTTTCACTGGAACTTAGTCCATCCTCATTCAATGTCGACTGGAAATCGATTTCGTCGAACGGTTATCATCTTTCCTGTCTAAGTCATGGATAGTGAGGTCATTTCAGAGGAAGGCTCGGTTCAAAGCTCAAAGGGTTTAAAATTGTTTACCAAATCTTGGAAACTGAAAGACTCGAATCCACGGTGAGTTGTCACAATGGACATAATTCTTATCGATCTCATCCTGTTTTGTAAGGAGCAACAAGTTTTCGCTATTTTAATTTTTATTTTTTTGGGGTGGTGACGGATTTATGGCGGCTAAGATCGGTCTTGTGAGGCTTTTATGTCAGGGTGCCATGGAAGGTAAAGCGAATTTTCTGTTTTGACTGAACTTACTCTAATACTAGACGCATATTTGCGTTCGTGCCTGTCTGGCAAATCGTGACAAACTTGAATAAAATTTATTTCCAATATTCATCATTTGTATTAGATCATTTACAGTGCCGATCCCCTGTGTGTTATTGTAAATTAAAGATCTAAAACTCATAGCAACACATTGTTGTCCTGCATTCTGTCCGAAAACTACTCGTTACCTTGACTATATGGAGCTGCTATGGTTTTGTTAGGGTCAACACATATTGGAGGACCAGGATTTTTTTTAGTTGCTACAATTTGCTACATGAGCCTCACTCTTACTAGAACACATTAGTTTGTTACAAGAAAAAAATGTTAAATATCGACTGGCACGATATTTCATCTTTCTTGTACTTTGATGAATTCTTTCACAACAGTTAAACTTAAACGTTCTTTTTATTTAACAGTTTTTTAGCATTTATATAACAGTACCATGTAGCCGACAAAACTATACATGAAAGAATAATTGCATAGACAAATTCTCTAATCTGCCTGCTCTTAAGTTTGTTCCTTAGACTTTTCAAACTTTGTATTGGTATTCTGCTTGGTTCATGATCACGTCTACATACACGATGAGATTTGCATTTAATCTTTTCTCGATTAACATTGGATAGCTCAGTTGATATAGCATATTTCTCGATGAAAGGTTTACTCCGCAGGCTGCCCAAGCTCCAGCTGTGAGATGATCATCTTCCAAACTAAGAGTCATGGCGAAATTATGAGAGTTTGCATGGGAAAATTTACGACTGCTTTTTGGAATACAAAAATACAGTCAAATTCTCTATGAAAATATCTCGTCTTGCTTCCACAGTGCATTGCTTTTTATCTGACCACTTACTATGTTGAAAGAACCCATTTTAGCAAGTTATCCATTTCTAGGTGTACTTTGTAGTAAACCTAGAAATGTTTAACTCACTAAAATGGGTTCTTTTCAACTGTATTTTTGTACTCCTAAAAGCAGTCATAAATTTTCCCATACAAACTCTTATAATTTTGCCATGACTCTTATTTTATAAGATGATCATCTCACAGCTGGAGCTTGGGCCACCTGTGTTCACTCAAAAATGTTCACTCATAGAAAGGTTTCTAATAAGGTTCACAGACTGACCCATTCTGAAAACAGTCGACATCTTTTAGTGTGGTCTACCACAAATGCTCTGTGCGTTTTGAACATATTATACACAGTATCTGTGCTGATTTTTCATTGCAAAGATCTCTCTTTTTCTATCATTGCATCATGCCATGTGCTCATTAGTCAAAACATCACCATGCGTCAGGGTCAAAATGTCACACGTGTGTTAAGAACTTGACTGCGATTTGCAACTGAGGTTTCCTTTGGAAAGCCCAAGGAACAAGAGGAATGGGTGTGTCTTCAAGGGTCAATGAAGGTACACCCATTGTAAAGGGATTGGATAATACAGGCTATCTATCCATCCATGAACAAGGCCAACCATTAAATTTTTTTTTTTTGCATCAGGGTGCCTTTGGTAACTGAATTGCTGGAAAGTTTGAGTAAGGATATGAGTTGGATGGTATTGCATTCAGCTCTTCATTGGCATAGCTCCAGAAAATATCTAAACCAGCCACAAGATTGATTGTTGTGATGATTTTTTTTTTGCTTTTGTTAGTGCATTGATATTTGTGAGCCATGGAGTTGGTGAGCATTGTTCCAGATATGAAGAATTTGGAAGTGTTTTAGCCAGACTAGGCTTCCTTGTTGTTTCCCACGATCACGGTAAATTTTTCATATATTTGCAAAGAATGAATTGCCCCTCTTGTTTATATGTTCTTGGGAGGGGGGGGGGGAAGGGAAGGTTTGCTTTGGTCATTTTTTGCTGGGTATGTCCCACTGGCCTCTCAGAACCCCTACCCCACTATAGTCTATTCTTTGGCCAATTAAGGACCCTGTCTAAGACCCTTTTGCTAATACAGTAATAACTTTTTAACTGCAAATCTTCCCATTTTTACATCCCTGCCTACCAAAATTCTCTTACCTACAAAATCCAGAAAAATGTGCAACCCCATTCTAGAAACTCTATGCAAGCGCATTATAGTCAATCCAGTCTTGAAAATGCCACCTTTTCCAGCAAAACATACCTATTAGCCAATTACTAGGAAGTATCCTCTCCCACAGGGTCAGTCGTAAGAAATTCAACAATTACTTTAGTGTCAGCATGAATGGCAAAATATGAGATTTAATTAATTTTTATTATAATAGAGATGAGATTGTTTTGTATGCCCATCACTTGGCTACATTGCTATGGACAGGAGAGAGATTTACTTGACTCATTCCTACTGTGCAGAGTAGTTCAGCATGAAAGTTTTGTTTTATTTGTAGTGGGTCATGGAAGGAGTGAAGGTGAACCAGTGCAGATCACATCCTTTGATATTTATGCTGCTGATGTGTTGAAGCACATGGATGAGAAGCTTGTAAACCATGGTGGTCTGCCAATATTTCTGTTTGGTCATTCAATGGCAAGTTTTCATCCACCACTGTTTAATTGAAAGTCTAGTTTAGAGGTGATTAGGTGGAGGAGGAAGGAGATGGGGAATTTTTTAGTTATAGAAGAAGTCTTCTCTAAAAACATCATTTTTTCTGGCCATGAAAAAAAATATATTGGTGTATACCACCCCATGTGAATAGTGCTTTTATTGCATGCTGATTGGCTGGTTGGGAAGTGAATAGCAAGTAATATTCACCTGCAAGCAACCAATGAGGCAAAATTGTGCATCAAGAGTTTGATTTCCAACCATTTTTTGGTACACTGAAAGAAATAAACTCATCTTTTGTTATCTGTGTGGTATATACTAAAACAATTATTCACCTCAGTGTTGGTAAAAGTGGTGGATATTTACCTTGCTGCTTCAGGGCTCGGTAAATATCCACTACTATCCACCTCCACTTTGATGAATAATTGTTTACTATGAAGTTGTAAAGCTGACCTTGTTTTGAGACTCCAAGCATTATTGATTCTGGTCAAAATTTGTCCTTCAGTATCAAATATATTTTGCAATGTGAGACTGTTTATTCAAATTATATTTTGCATGGTTTATTCTCACACAGGTTCATCAAAGTGTCATGGCTTTGATTCTTAATTTGAAACTGTCCTGATTAGAGATACCATTCATTTTGTTATTAGTGGAGATTGTTACTAAATTAATTCAGAATTGATTTTTTTTTCTTAACCTCTTTGTGCAGGGAGGAACAGTTGCAATCCTTTGTGCCATGGAAAGGCCTCACTTCTTCACTGGAGTTGTACTCAGTGCTCCAGCCATTATGGCCAATCCTGAAACTGCCTCACGTGGAATGGTAAATCAAGGAAGGCATCATATATAAGAGCTTATTGATATGACGTTATTTCATTTCCAGTTCCAGTCAGCCACTTATTCATTTGTCATACCACATGAATGGTGGCCTAACCGTCAGTCATAGCCTTTCTTCCCCCCCCCCCTTCCTTAGGAGTTGTAATGAGTACTTCTGAACTGTCAGGGAAGCATGACAAAATGTTGGGGAGAGGGGAGGGTAGCCAGTACTGGATCAATATATCAATATCCCATCCAGGGAGGGACTGAAATACTCCTAGTGGCTTCATGCTATAGAAATTGGGATAAGTTTAAACTGAAAAGACTGCTAATGGGATTGAGTACAGATTGTGTAATTAAGGTAACATTTTACAGCATTCCCATGTAATGGACGCCTTTAGGTAAACCTTAACTCTAACAACATGATTTCTTGATTTTACAGATATTTTTAGGTAGAATAGTGTCACGCATTGTACCTTCATTTCAAGTGATTGGATCTGAAAACTCCTCCCTTCTCAGTCGAGACCCTGAACAGGTATTGATCTTTGTAAACTATTTTAAGGAAGTACCTTTAGCCAAAAAAAAGACAAAAAAACCCTCTTTGAGTGATGCTAAAACACCTTTTTTGGCAGCAATATGATGTTTTTGTTCCTGAAGAGAGAACTGCAAAAAATTTGGTCCAAGCTGAAATTTTTTGTTGTCTCGAACCACAGAAATTTGTTTCTGCTTTTAAAATTGCAAAATATCGCCTTTTGTTGAATGGAACTTCCGCAGAGTTATCATGCAACTCCGTAAGAGTTTGATTTGCTTGTGAATGGATGAAATCTAATTTTCTTTTATAACCTACTCAAAATACGACTGCATGGTTTAAGATTAACACTGCTTGTTTTTCTCTAACATTTTTGTGTTTGTTTTTTTTTTCTGTTTTAAGGTTGCCATCTTGACTAATGATCCTTTAGCATGGAAAGGAGGCTTGAAGGCCAGGTGGGCGATGGCCATACATGATGCCATGGAACACATCAAAGAAAACCTGACCAAGATTGAACGGCCGTTTTTAGTGCTTCACGGTGATGCCGACCAGCTAACGATGGTTGACGGTTCCGTGATGCTAGAAGAGAAGGCCGCAAGTCAAGATAAAACCATAAAGGTGACTTTTCTTGGCTGCTTAACTTACATTGTAATATTGTGAAAATCGGCGCAGTTTGCGTCGATTAACTCGAAGCTTCAACATTCCCCCCCCCCGGATATTTGAACTTTTTGAAGATTGGTTTGGATAAATTTTCCCCAGCCCCCCCCCCGGAGAAACTGCGTCCAAATGCCCCACCCAAAATAATAATTGACCGATTCTTTGTGTGCTCAACGAATGTTGGAGAAGTTAGCAAAGTCAGTAAGTTTTTGGTGTTGCTAAGGAGTTTTTTCGCTTGTAAATATCATTTTAGGATGTGAAATTTGTCTTTCTGAGCTATTCACTCATAAAAGCAGACTCTTAAACGAACCCATGTTAGCTATTGCTGTGGATAAAGAAAAATAAAGCTTTTAATTAATGTTTACATCAAAATATCAAGAAATTCAGGTAGTAACCTTTGACATTTAGTTAGCAACTTTTTGGATATTTGGCAATTTTATAACGACAGTTTGGCATTCCAGTGGGTAACTTTCCAGTATTTTTCGAGCACAATCAGAAAAGACCCACCCCTCTCCAACCCACTCCCCACTCCCCACACCTCACATCCCACACCCCACTCCCCGCTCCCTGCTCCCACGCTCGCCTTATGAAAGGGACGGTTTCTCTTGTTATAAGCAAAACCAACTCCAAGACGGGGAAATTTTTCTTCTGCTTTTCTTTCTATTTTTACGTGCAGTTACCAGTCAGCTAATGCTATTATTTGGAGGTTTTTTATCAGTATTGTTCAATTTTTTTTTCCGTCAGATTTATCCAGGCTTTTACCACAAACTTCTAAACGAGCCCAAAGAAGATGCGACTTTGGTGATGAATGATATAATTTCGTGGATAAACCAGAGACTTCCATCTTGAAATACTGACTAAATTCTTTCACTCCTCTTGGATATCATTAAAAGAGATTATTTTAGGTACCTCTGGATCATTTATCAATCAACCGTAGTGGCATACAGACCTCTGTGTTCAAAACAGCTTGAGCTGCAGCAGGTCCAAAGCGAGTCAACAGCAGGCGGATTTCTTATAAGCTCTGACAAGTTTCTACCTCACAATGGATGAATTTGCTGAGATTTGCATCTCCTTTCTCCAATCGAAACTGTCTTCATTTGTGGCAGTAACTGAATCTCGAAATGATTCGCTCCGCTATTGCGTATTATTACCACGCCGTAATTTGCATTTGAGCTGAAACCAAGGAGCGGAGCCAACCCATTTATAGCGTTCCTTCGTGTTTAAGAGGTTTCCCAGTTTCCATGCCTGCTGTGTCGTGTGGGTGTTTCAAGAGAAGTGATTAATATGCAACCTCTCTCCATAAAATAAATTTATTATTCGAAAGGTAACGAGAATGCTCTAACCTATCAGGTTGAAGTTTTTATCTTGATCTAACACCAAATTGTCGTTTGGGAGGTCTTGGCTGATGGAGGGGTAGAATTCTTCGATGTCAAAGCGAATTAAACTGTGGTGTTGTTTGTTCTTAATGGGCTTTAAACCACTCGATCACAGATCAAATCTCTTTTTTTTTTCCTATCTCACTATATACATACATACATACATACGTACATACATACATACATATATATATATACATAAGTCAAAGAATTAAAGAGGACGCATCTATTCTCTGTGACTCTGAGTTTCGCGCCTAAGCGCTCGTCAGACAGAACTTTTTTTCAGAAAGGTTTTTTCTTCCGTTATCATTTTTACTTTCAATGTAGCAGGTTTTTTTTAGCCTTTGGAAAGTATAGAACAATAAAATAAAACGAAATAAATGTAAAAATGAGAGTGGTATCTTTTTTTTTTAATCAGAATGAAAAGTTGGGAGAAAATACTACAGACCGAGTTGTGGAAAGTGTTAAACTTACAATATCTCAGTACTGGGCATGAGATCAGTCCTCTAAATTTAAGCAATGAATATGTGCGATTTCAAATTGCATGTTATGACTTGGCAATTTAAATTTGTGACTAACTTTGGACTGATCGCATCAGCCAAAAAATAATTGCAAAAGCTGCGGAAATGTCAACCCCTTATTGCCTCCAGGGCCACTTTTAGCTAAGAATAAACTCGTGAACAGCAGGTTGTTAGTAAGACCATCTCCACTTTATTTCAATGATGCGAGGGATTTTATCGTAATAGTTAGGTCAGCGGTAAAAAGGGATTATGCTTAATTAAAGACCTCACGAACATGATTGGGATACACTCGTACTTTGGTTCTAAACTTAGATGCAAACTCATCCAAATTTCTTCTGCGACCTTTGAGAAATGAAATAGAGCTGTTGCTATTTTGTTAATTCAAACAGTTGCGCAGTTTTGTTATGTTTGGCTGGCAATAAATTTACTTGACCAGCCTCGCGGGTTACCGGTCACCTCGCCACCAAGCAGACTCGCCACCAGCGAACTCGCCACCAAGGAACGATCTCGCCACCAACGTACTCGCCACCAAGCGAAGTCTTCTCGCCACCAACCACCAATAAAGAAATAAACTAGAATAAAGTAGTCGAGGAGAGTAGGATGTTCGAACGAGCACAATTCAAATCGGCCGATTTCGTCGGTTTCGAACGTGCTTTCGACAACATACGTTTATAAAGTTTGAGTACAGACAAGCGAACAAACTTATCGGTTTCGAACGTGCTTTCGACAACATACGTTTATAAAGTTTGAGTACAGACTTTTCAGCCGAACATCCTACTGTCCTCGACTAATCTCTTTATTGGTGGTTGGTGGCGAGAAGACTTCGCTTGGTGGCGAGTACGTTGATGGCGAGATCGTTCCTTGGTGGCGAGTTCGCTGGTGGCGAGTCTGCTTGGTGGCGAGGTGACTGGATACCGCCTCGCGTGGAATCGTCTTAAGTTACGTTCGATAATTATGTGCATATGTTAAGATATCACGTGTGGCAACATCTCCATCAAATCATATTAACGAGACATGAGCACGTGAACAGAAGACAGATTAAACTGATATAAGACATGTAACTCTGTAAATCACTTCAGCTATTTCTCTCTTGTGCCAAGCAACCCTTTTACTCGCAATAAGTCAGTTATAATTCTCCTTACTTTCAGCCATACAATTCTTATGATATTTTTTGGAGAATCTGGTATTCGATTAACTAATTATCCCCTAATTGATATTTTTATTTATTCTCATCTCTTGTCCGCTTGATGTTGTATTGATATTGTAAGGAGAAATTCTGTCTTGGTCACTCGCGGGAGTTAAAGAATTAATAAAGAATGTGGAAGGGCAGGTTTTTCCTTAGATTGTCATGTTCAAGTAAAATCTACATCGCGGACCTGGCCTGCATTCAATTTTTAACATTTTCTGTTAAAAACGAAAAAAATGTCTCCCAAATTTTAACATTTTAACTTTCCACTTGAATCAACCTCGACAATTAAGAATGTATTTCTTTAACAATTAACAATTCTTAAATTCCCCTTTTCTCTACTTGTACAAATTCCTATCCAGAAATTTCTCTTTTTGCGCCTTACGATTACTCCCTCCAAGATATGTTTTCGAGTTATCTAGTCACGCAGAATTTGTCACGCCATCTCTTTAACATTGTGTGACGAAGAAACACGAATCAGTCGGTTCGTATTTCCGCGCGAACGAGATCACCAATCGCTACCTTGGGCGTACTGTGTTCCCATTGGTCGAGAGACAATGGACAAAGGTATAAATACTTCGGTAGAACGTTCATTTTATCTGATCTTGTCGAAGTGTTATGATGAACGAAGTTTTAGGAAGTTTTTTAGCTTTTACCGTTTTCTGTACAGAACTAAGGATAAGCTTAGGCACACAGAATCGCTGTAGTAGAGTTTCTAGTGGCAAATATCGGCACTTCTCGGAGAATGAACGAATTAAATTAAGAGAAAAAGCTAAAGAGATGTTTTACTTTGGGTATGACAATTACATGAATTTTGCTTTTCCTAAAGACGAACTCGATCCGATTCATTGCACAGGAAGAGGACCGGATCATGACAATCCGTGAGTGTTTTCTCGTTAATTGTTACTACCACGCCAGTTGTGTTTACTAAGGATGTATGACGTTTACCACTGATCTTACCTGAAATTCAAATTATCCCCTTTAATCAAGTTGTACGAAATATGTCTTTAAATGGACCCATGTATATGAACATGGTTTCTTTGTAAGAGGAGTTCCTTACAAGGTAATCAACGAAGAAACTCTTTTTATTGAAGGATCGAAGGTCACAGATAAGTTGTATTCGCAATTTTGTCTTTGGTATCTCAGAAGTGGTTGATCAATCATTCAGTGGTTTTCGTTACAGCTGTGGCCATATTCATAAACGGAATACAAAAACCCTGAGACATTTGCACTGAATACAATGAAATTTCATCATATGCTACGTATTAGCTTTATTACTGAAGCGCTTTGTGTTATGTTGCTTTGATGCTTTGTTATTAATCGGGAAACAAAAGTTATTGTGCCTATTGTGTAATATTTTACGTGAGCAATTCCTTCCTACCAGCAAAATGTTGAATTTCATTATAATAATGTTATTTTTTTCTCCTTGTTCAGGTCAAATATTAACATCAATGATGTTTTAGGAGATTATTCACTGGGATTGTTAGAATCTCTTGGCACATTAGCAGTAAGTAATGACAATGAAACTGGATTTGTGCCAGAATGTTGTCACACAAATATATTCTTACTAAGTTCTACACTTGTAAGTTGTAAAATTAGCAACTAGGAATGGTAATAGGACTGAGTAGAGTATAATTTTGGGAGTAGTCAGGCAAGGGATTTCAAATGGACAAAGTCAGTAGCAGGAAGCTGATTTGAAGTTGCGAGTATGATTACTCCGAATTGATAGGCACAAAGTCTGATTACCATTTAATTGTGTCAATAACAAAATGCGAGAACTCAGGAATGAAAAATTTTATGTTGGAGCACATGTGCATCATATTGATATATGTTTGTTTTCAATGTGGAACTCTTCACCTGCTCACCTAAGTTTACTTTGTTTTGATAGGCTAGCACTGAATTCATGGTTGAGTTTTATTGGCTGATGGCTGAAAGGGGTTAATTTTAATTGGCTGCTTAGCCTGTGTAATTACTAGTCTTTGTAGTTGAACAGGTGATATATGACAATTTGGAGTCATTTTTTCATAATAACTTTTCTCGCAGATAATGGGCAACAGCAGTGAATTCAAGAGAGCTGTACAGCTTGTGATTGATTCTGTAACATTTGAGAAGAATAATACAGTCCAAGTTTTTGAAGCCACAATAAGGTAATTTCAGGAGTAATGATAAACCAACCCTTTCACTCCCAAGATCTAATTAGTAATTCTCCTTACTATCTGCCATACAATTCTTATGATGTTAGTTCAGAGAGTTTGTCATTGGATCAACTAATAATCCCATAATTTATATTCTTCTCTATTCTCATCACCTGCCAGCTTGATATTGTATTGATATTGTAAGGAGAAATTTTGTCTTGGTCACTTGTGGGAGTGAAAGGGTTAGGCAATTTGAATAACCCTTTCACTCCCAATTTCTAAATGTTAAATTCTGAACATTGTACGCACTTTTGCCATGCATTTGTTAGGATTTAGGAAAAAGACAAAAAAGTGTCTTGATGATCACTTCTATATACTTAATCTACATATTGTATCAAGTAAAGTAATTTTAGCTGCAATCTTAGCTGCAGTCCTAGAAATTGCAGAAAAGGAGCCTGAAAAAAAATTAGGCCTCAAACCCTTGCCTTCCAAGGCACTTAACCTTTTGACTCCCATGAGTGACCAAGACAGAATTTCTCCTTACAATATCAATACAATATCAACAAGATAGGTAACAAGAATAAAGAAAAATATCAATTTGGGGATAATTAGTTGATCCAATACTACATTCTCTGAACTAACATTTTAAGAATTGTATGGTAAGGAGAATAACAAATTTGATCAGGGAGTTAAAGGGTTAACTACCAACTGAGCTACGAAGCCACATGTAGAGAGCATGAAACATTTTTAGAAAGTTCTTCTTTCTGTGGAGGAATATGGTCACATTAGTTTTAAATGTAAAAAATCTGGACTTGCGGATGACAAACATGTAAAGCAGCGCTCCTCTGAGTGAGCTGAAATACCTATATCTCTGTGGTAATTCTTGCAAAGGGATCAATATTTTGTATTTCTTTGGTTTATTTTTTACATTTTTTTTCTATAGAGTTCTGGGATCATTGTTGTCTGCACACCTGATTATAAAAGATCCTCTTCAACCTTTTGGTGATATGGTGCCGTTAGACTATGATAATGAATTATTACTTCTAGCTCATGACATAGCAAATAGGCTGATGGCTGCATTTGAAACGGCCACAAAAATTCCATATCCTAGGGTAAGTAGATGTGAATACCACTCAAACCTAATTACACCCTAACATCAGTATGCATATTCTCTATACCCTCCTCTATACATTTCCCAAGGTGCTGATAAGGAGAATTTGTTTAACAATCAAGAGCTTCTCTAGTTGGTGATCATATTCTTTATTCCCACAACCTTAATGTGCTATTCAGGGGCTTTTTTGGGAGGAGAAATTAGATGCTAGTCACTCTTGGAGTCAAAGACTTGTTAACTTGAATTTAGGGAACGTTTGATACAATTCATTCTGTTTGCTCCAATTAGCTGTTGTCAGTAATAAACTCACTTTTGGTTTAATTAATATATAATACTTAATCAAAAACTACTCAGATAAAAGCTCATTAGAATACATTGAAGGCTTTAACCCTTTAACTCCCAGAAGTGATTAAAATGTTACTTCTCCAATATAAAATCCATACATTATTCAGCAAACAGGTAATGAGAATATTCAAATTTATCAGATTGAAGTTGTTATCTTGATCGAACACCAAATTCTTGTAACTAACTTAGAAGGAAATAAATAGCAGCCAGATAGGAGAATTGACAATTAGATCTTTGGACTTAAAATGCTAAAAAGAAGTCAGATCCATTACATTTGTTATAAACCCAAAGGTGAGAATGCCCTGATATAACATTGGTTATGTTTCCTTTTTTTTTTGTACAGGTAAATTTAGTTGATGGTCTGCCGTCAATTTTATATAATGAAACTTGTACAGCAGGAGCTGGTACTATTATATTAGAGTTTGGAATTCTCAGCAGGCTACTGGGTGATCCAGTTTTTGAAAATTTTGCACGCAAAGCAGTGGAGGCTCTCTGGAAGCGCAGGTCGTTAGAGACTGGGCTGCTTGGTGAGTTTACCCTTTACACCCTAACATCAGTATGCATATTCTCCATACTGTTCCCCATATGTTTCCTTAGGTGCTGACAAGGAGAATTTGTTGAAAAATCAAGAGCTTCCTTAGTTGGTGATCATTTCCTTTATTCTTGTGACACCAATGTGTGATTCAGGGGTGATATTGTAAGGAGAAATTAGATGCTGATCACTCAGGGGTCAAAGGGATAATTCATGTTAACCATTTAACTCCCAAGATATGATTTTAAATTCTCCTCTTCAGCTGCTGCACATTTACTTGTGAATAAGCTATGAGAATTTGGTGTTAGATCAAGACTACCAACTTCTACAGATAAGTTTGAGTATTCTCATCACCTGTTTGCTGGATAATGTCCAGATATTATAAGGAGAAGTTATTTGTGAATCAATCCTGGGAGTTAATAGAGGGCTTATTAACCTCTTCACTCCTAGGAGTGATAAAAAATGAATTGAACAGTTTGTAAACAATTTTAATCCACTCAACTTCGCCTCATGGTTTATAAACTTTTCATGTGTTCTCTGAACATCCCGTGTGGATTATAATGCCAGTAAACTGATGAAAAGAGCATCTTATTACTAAAATATGATAGGTGAGGTTTCAAACTTCTTTTTCATGTGTGATTGCTCATAGGAAATGCTATTAATGTGGTGACTGGAGAATGGACAGGAAAAATGAGTGGATTAGGTGCTGGCTTAGATTCTTTTTATGAATATCTTTTAAAGGTAAGAACCCAACTCAAAATGATGATATTCTCAGCAAATTAGATTGGAACTGGCTATCAGCTAGTGGGGGTTTAGGTATGCATGCTCTAAGGATATTTGTCCTGTGAATATGTCAAAAGGCAAGAAGCTTCAAGTCATGTGAAAAATTGATTGCACAAAAATTTGTTTCCTTGTTTATAGACACCTAATAATTATTTTGAGCATCTTGAAACTTGACCTGAACATTTCATAATTCAACTCAAACCCCCATCTTTGATGTTTTGAGAATTGAGGATCACAAATCGAGTTTTAAGGATTGAATTTGTAAGGGACTCTCAACTTACTTTTTGGCAGTATTGTCTACAGGGAAAAAAACTTTGGTTTATCTGCAAGGAAAAAGGGGAAAGACATGTGAATTTATGAATGCATAGTAGGGAACTGTGTACTGAAAAGATGGGGTCTTTGAAACAGAAATATGACCTTTGAATAACATAAATCAATTAACATCCTGATATTGAACTGAATAGGCAGCATGTATTTATGTTAAAATATTAGCACTTAACTTGGAATCCCATTCATTTTGCCCTTAATGAGTGTGGATAAACTTAACTTATTTTACCAGGTTGGAGACAGCAATAGAGTGTGACTAATTTAGGGAGTGAGAAGGGGGGGAGGGGGGGGGGGTCAGCCAATGAAAAAATGGTCACCACACAGTAGAGGGTCAGGAAGCTTTTAAGCATGGGCTTTCTCCATTAGCACTACCCCTCCCCCTCTGAATAATGAATGATCGTTGCTCAGTTAAATGTCGATACCTCTAACAGAAGAACTCTTCTGAGTTTAAGTTCGAGTTTGAGTTTGAGTTTGAGCTTGAGCTTCACCCTCCCACCAGACAATTCAAGTTTACCTTCATTTTCGAAATATTTTAGCTCTGGATGGGAGAGTATAATTTTTTTTCTTAATTAACAAAGTGTATTTTCTGCTTACTGCACAAGCAAGCCAGATTCCAAGGAATTTTGAAACTTTTTATATCTCCTGATAGTCACCCATCTTAATTTTTTTTTTATCTTGGAGTGTTTTTGGAACCCTTGCTGCCTTGTTTTTCATCTGTGTATAGAACTTATATCTAAATTTTATTCCTGAATCATTTTTTTACAGGGTTATATTATGTTTGGGGAGACAGAGGATCTAAAAAGATTCAATGATATCTACAAAGCCATAAACAGATATCTTCGAAAAGGGTAAGGTAGTGTCTATGAAACAGAGAAAATTTCCTACAGCAGAAGAGAAAAGCTAACTTATACCTACAGCTGTATGCTGAAATTGAGGGTCTACAGTGAGGTCTTTTTTCAGAATCTGGAACTCGGTTCTTTCAGAATCCGCAATGCGTGTTGTTAACATTTAAGGGTTAAGGTGAGCTAGATTCGAGATTTTGAATTAAAACTGGCGAGACGATGGATTTGGAAACTCGACATGGCGGAAATCGTGAAATATCGCTTCAAAGAACCGCGAGATCTGGGAAAGGCCGGTTGCGTACAGAATTTTTAACTAGGAAAATCAAGGTGCCATCTTCAGAAATCGGAAATGCCTTTCTTTTGAAAGTCCTACGGATGCTCATTTCTTACCTAACGGTTGTGAAGCATCAGCCTTAAAAATTTTAACGAGCATGTCCTTGAGTATTGTATCCAGCTTGTATGGAATGACAGGAGGGATTAAATTCACATTCATTTGGAGTAGACTGAGACATCTATTTTTCCCATGTTGGTTATTGCACAGGTAGCCCAAGCTCCCAGTGAGCTTCCGTAAATGTGTAATTTTTTTTTACTTTGCGTAATGGGTGAAGAGCAAGGATATGTATGAGAATAAACGGTTGCACTCTTAACCTGAAAAATCTCAGCTAAGTTTGATTAATAGCCCATCGCACAAGGTAAACATATTTGTATATTTACGGGGATTCATTGGGCGAGCGTGGGTTACCTGTAAGGAAGTAAATTTATACACGTAAACACCTAAAAATCTCCGATTGTTACTTGTACTCCTGCAAATGAGGCTGATAGGCTCGTTCGAATGTGCACGTGTTAAAAAAAAAATGACCAAAATTTAAGTGAAAAACTTTAACTTCCTAAGATGTAATACCTATGACATTAACAATACATCACTATATAAAAATCTATTATTTAAAAAGAGCTAAAAATTTGACATGAACATTTAGAAAAGTCACACACTCTGAAAGCAAAGAATAAAATAGATCTGTGAAAAATAATAATGATAATGATGTGATTATTCTAAAGAGTATTGAGCAAGAATTTTTACTCTGTTTTATTTTTCCTACAGTCGACCTAAATGCAACGAAGGTAATGGTTCGACACCCTTGTATGTGAATGTGCATATGAACTCCGGCCAAACAGCTAACCTGTGGGTAGATGCTCTGTCAGCCTCGTTTGCAGGAGTACAGGTAACAATTGGAGATCTTCACTCGAGTAGTACTTATTATCCGGTGGTGGGTTGGTAACCAATTATACGACTCACGAGGTTATTCTAGAGTGCAGCTTTGCGGGATTACCGCAATTCGAAAAAAAAAACTCTTAAAACGAATGGTTTTTAGGGAACAATCTTAGGGTGTTGTTTAGGGGGAATGGAGGGGGATCAGTCGTTGCGAGCAGAGTTTAAAAGGGGGACTACAGAGAATTTACTGCCAATGTGGGGGGAGGGGAGGGTGTCATTACAATACAACAGAACCTTATGTTGGAGCTTGGATACATTTACGCGCGAGCAGAATATGAGTTAAGGACAATTATTTGTTGGTCACGTTGTCGTGTGTTGGTTAGTAAGAAAGAAGAAAAATGTATTGAATGATTATAAAACTTGTTTTACTTTCGTCGGCTCAGGTGCTTAAAGGGGACATTAGGGAAGCCATTTGTACGCATGCTCTGTATTATGCGATCTGGAAAAAGTACGAGGCTATGCCGGAGAGATTCAACTGGCAAACTAAACAGTCAGAGGTTCACTTCTCTCCATTACGACCGGAGCTGATTGAATCAACTTACCTTTTACATCAGGTGAGATGCTTGATAAATAGGAGATCTGTCAGACGTAGTGGCCTCGTGGTTAGGGCGTTGGACTTCCGCTGGAGAAGTCTGGGTCCGAGCTCTGGCCGATTTGGGCAAATTACTTTACTTTCGCCGTGTTTCTTTCCACCCAGGAATGTATTGCATACCTGATCAATTTGTCTATTTGTCACAGGCCACCCATCACCCGTTCTACCTCCACGTTGGCAGAGAAATCATGAGGGACATAGAAAAACACAGCAAAGCAAGGTTCGTGTGTGTGATGTTGTTGGTGTTTGTGTGTTCGTTTGTTTGGTTTCGTCATGATCACCTGAGTGTGGATCAGTTTTCGGCTGAAATTGGTAAGTTTTGAGGGACGAAAGTGTGGTGCTGAAAAGATATTTTAAACTCCTGTTGAGGGAGAATTTGAAGGAGCGGTATTCCTGAAATATTGCAGCAATAATTAACAAATAGACATCGAAGTGGAGGAGAATAGAGGTGGATATTTCACCGCATTGTTTTAGTATATACCACAGAGTTACTTTTGATAATTGGTGTATTTCTTTCAATATCCCGAACAATGGTCGAAAATTTAACTCTTCACGCCATTTTGTCCCATCGGCCACTTGGAGGTGAATAGTAACCAGCCAGTCAGCGCGCGCGAAAAGCTCTATTCGTGTGGTACATGCGGACAAACTTTTACTCTTTTTATGCCGCTAAGTTATGATTAATTTTGACTGCCTTTTGATGCACTTTGCCATTTTCAATTGAAGTTCTGTTTGGTTTCAGGTGTGGTTACGCTACCTTACATGATGTGAATGACAAAACTCAAGAAGATAGGATGGAGAGCTTCTTCTTGAGTGAAACGTGCAAATATCTTTATCTCGTAAGTACTGAAGTATTTGTAACCGATTATCACTTGCGAGTGTACAAGAAATGAAAATGTAGAATTGAAATGATAATCTTGAAGCTCACCAAGAACTCTTTCTTTCACTGGATCAATCAAAAGTAGCGTAGCAGCGTAACGAGTCAAGCCACTTTGCCTTAGTGTCAAATGTAATTCAGGAGTAGATTGGCTTTGCTTTGCCTCGTGCTGTGGTTGGTCTTCAATCCTTGCACCACCTTCACAACCAATCGGATGCAAGCAAAGTCGCCCGCGTTTCCCGCGCTTTATCGAGTTTACTTGTAGGTAATTTAGTGTTAACAACTGGGTTGAAAACGTAAATTAGCCACCGTAAAGGGTAAAAAAGCTGACGTTTCGAGCGTTAGCCCTTCGTCAGAGCGATTGACGAAGGGCTAACGCTCGAAACGTCAGCTTTTTTACCCTTTACGGTGGCTAATTTACGTCAGAGCGATTGACGAAGGGCTAACGCTCGAAACGTCAGCTTTTTTACCTTTTACGGTGGCTAATTTACGTTTTCAACCCAGTTGTTAACACTAAATTACCTGCTTTATTCTCCCACCGACGCAGCACCACAGTTTCTTTAGAAACTTACCCCTTTACTAGTTTACTTGTACTCACTTCGTGTTCTTACTTGTGCTCTGATTGGCCGCAGTGATAACTTTGGTCACGGTTTCATAGCACGTGACCCAAAGCCCCCAAGCGACTGATTGTTTCTTTTTTTTCACAGCTATTCGATGAAAACAACCATCTCAACCAGGACGCTTCAAACTACATTTTTAGCACAGAAGGACATGTCTTTAGAATCGACTCTCGGTTTAGGAAAAGGCCATGGGATGAAGAGTCGAAAATGTTTGCACAGAGGACAACGAAAAGAACTTTCCACACCCAGTCCTCAGGGGGTTATAATGACAGTATTGGGGTAGGTGCCCTTGAGTAGGCCTTGAGATTTTGTTGTTTAGTTTGTTGTTTGGTATTCTTTGTGTCAACTATACAAAGTTCCAAAACGTTTATATGTCTGTTTGTTTTTTTTTACTTATTTTGCTCGCTTTCGTTCATTTGTTCGTTTTTCTCTGTGTCCTTTTGTCCGTGCATTGGATCTGTAACTCGTTTTTTATCTCGCTTCTTGGTTCGGTCAGTGGGAATTTTGTTTGTTTGTTCCTTCAATACACAATTCCCTCGGTTGTTCGTTTGTTCAGTCGGTCGGTCGGTCAGTCGGTTGCTCGGTAGGTCGGTCGGGCGGTCGGTCGCTGATTCGGTCTGTCGTTTTGTTAGTCGGTCGGGCGGTCGGTTCGTCGGTCTCTCGGTGGGTCAGTTTGCCGTTCGCTCGGGTGGTCGTTAAATTGGTCTTGCTTTTAGGAGTTCGTTTCTTTGTTCGGTGATCTTCCAAGTGTTTGTTCGTTTCTTCGTTCCTCTTCATTTCCCCTTTGAGTTCATTCCTTTGTTTTTTGTTGTTTTGTTCTGTCTTTGTTTGTTTGGCTGACTTTCTTTTTTTTTATCGCTGAATGTTTGGTTGCCTCTTGGAACCAATCAATCAGCGAAACGCAGCGAGCGAACCATGGAGCGTACACGCGAAGCCTTCTTGTACGTGTTTTGTTGTTCGTTCGTCCTGTCTGTTCTGTTCTGTTCTTATCAATAATACTTTCATCGGTCACTATCTATTTATTTCTCAGTGCGTCAGCTTTTGTAGTGACCTGAATAGTCCTCTACCAATGGACATTCGATACTGGAAAGAAGTAGAAGCAGCAGTTGGTGTATGATAGCTGTGCCAATTACGCTGGGAATAAACAACAAACAGCTAATCGCGGCACAAGTTCCTTCACATTGTGACTGCTACATGGTACAACTGGAAAATCATTCAACTTCCCGGAATCTCTTTCACACTACTACTAAATGATGTTTTAATTCAGCTCAAACTGACGATTAAAACTACAATACGTTTGAGTCAAAGGGTTTTCTGAGAACTTGCAATTTGGGGATTTCTTCTCAAGCAACTATGGACCATTGCGTTTTCTGGCTTGAGGCTTAGCGCATATTTTATGGACTAATCCAGCACCTGGTTGCTGCGTCAAAGAGATGATCACTTGTCTCCATGTACACTAGATGTCTTAAAAGGGAATTTTTTTTTATCGCTACTACAGACTAATGTACCCAGAAAGTGGTCGATCAAGTGAGACATCATATCAATGAAACTATGTCGAAGTGCTTTGAAAGATTTTCTGAAGTGAAAGCTTCAACGGAAGTATTCTCTCAAGAGTGGAAAAGTCAAGTGGGGGGAGTTAGGAAAATGGAGGCTTAATTTCCACGTTTCATTTTTTTAATTGAAAAATGTCGAAGATTTGTGAAAAAATGGTTCGCGGCTGGAATAACGCGACGTTTCTTCCCGGACAAGAGAATGATCGGATGCCTTGGGAAATTTTTAAGCTTGCTCGTTGCGCGTTGTGCTCAAAGTCCCTTTCGAAAAGTTCAAGTCGTTATCAGTCCAGCTCTCTATCATAGGACTCCCAACCGCACGTCCCATTTGTGGAGGGAACTTTTAAGAATGCTATCAGTCTACATTAGATGTAAGTTTGGCAAAAGTCGACCACAGAGCCACGCTGAATTCAATTCATAGAAAAAAAGGAATAAACTGATGGTGAACGATAAAACGGATTTACAGATTGTAAGGAAAAAATAGCTAAGGAAAAAAAAGACAAATTAAAACTTTTCTTGGTTGGTTTTATAAGGGAAATGGCAAATTTTGTAAGAAAAACAAGTGAACAAAATGGAAGTATATACCTAGAGATTGAAAATGTGTGTTTTTCAGTTCCGTTTATATGACAGTAACTTGATGTTTACAGCTGATAGCTATACGTATTAATGTCAGTATCTGTAAAAATGCGCACCTACCCCTCCCCTAACCCAAAAACAGTCAACTGATAGCAAATTAGGGTTTATGTTGGCTTAGGGGAGGGATAGGTGTACAGTTGTCCATTGAGTAGTCCCGCAAGTGCTATACAGCTAATAAATCGTCAATAAACTTTGCGGCATCTCCAATTTTAAACGGAAGTATCTAATGAATGAGTTGCTAGTAATCAGATCCTTGTGTTTACGATCGCCATGGGGCAAACATTGCAACTCGTTAGACAGAAATGTATGACGAAAGGTGGTTTCAACGTCCTAAAAAACGTTTCAGAGGGGAGATTATCGCTTTTTTCGCCACTGTTTTGGTAGAAATGGATTCGGGTAATGTTGATACAAGGAAAGCGTAAGATTTTGTTTGAACAAGCATGAAATGTCTAGCAAAATCTACCGATTAACTTTTCTCCCTGCGTAGGGGTTTATTGTGAAATTGACATCACGCAATGGTCTTGAAATTTATAAATATTGGCTATATATTAGCTAAATATTATCAGTTTTCTACTTCGAGCTTTTTTCTCGCCTGGGCAATACAAAAGAGCGCTACAACAGCTTCCTCGAGGCAGCAGGAAATTGATATGATGTGCTTGCGCATTGAATATTATCGTGACACATAAAAAGGGATGAAACACCTACATTGCTTCGTTTTGATCAATGAGAACGAACCAGCGCTGATAATCTGCTCAAACTGAACCCTTTCTTCTGCTAAGATAAGTAGGTGCAAATGCGTCGCTTAAGGAGCGATACACAGTTAAATATATGAGGATATATAAATGAATATAGGTGAGTTATTTCCCTGCAATTTACCGCTAATTTTGTAGTAGGTCGAGAACAATGTGTGATGACGATTTCACTGTAGACCTCACGCAAGGAGAGAAGCTTATCAGTATATTTTATAACATATTTCGTGGTAATTCTTACAAAAACTTACACTTCACTCGTATCAGTGTTATCTCAATTCGTTTATGATTTCTCTCAAAATCTTTTTTTCTGGACGTCGAAACAACCTTTCGTCATACAGTCCCTTCTCGCAACTTGCAATGTTCACCACGTGGTGATCCCAGTAATCTTTGCGCAAACGCAAGGATCCGATTACTGGCAACTCATTCATTGGTTGAAATTCACTCAGAAGAGAGGCCTTATCCCAATCTTCAATCCTATAGTCCGTAAACACACGTGTAGAAATCTTTCGACTGTAATCAGGAAGGAAGGGTGAGGCGTTCAAAAGTTTTGGTGGGCGAGTGCTCGGGTTTAATAGCAGCAGAAGGCTGGGGAGAGAAAGAAATTTGTACCAAGGGGGCGGTCTTCGGTCAATAATAAGGAGAGGGGTAGGGGAGTGAAGATTACGACCACGAGCTTATAACTTTAGCTCGCACTGATAAGATGCCTGCATTGCAGGCTAAAGTTTGATTATCAAACTAGAATGAGAGAGATGATAAAATGGTCTCAAACTGTTTACGTAGCAACGACGGTAACTAAAATGCTGTTACCTAGTAACCTCAACTAAATACATCTTAAGTTGGAGGATGAGAATAGGAAGCCTTGAATAGGCGACAAGAATTTCATTATGCAATGGCAACCGCGTGAGAATGTTGCTACAACAAACTGTGCTGCTAGGTGCTTTTAAAGTCTGTTTATTGAAATATGTCCAACAATTTAAGACTTGGTGCTTGAGGAGGACAACAGAGGTTAACCAAAAACAAAAACCAATTTAATAGTTTGCCAGATTGAGAATATCTCACCTGGTTTTATTATGGGTAGCGTACCAAGCGGTCCGCTTTCTCCATCTCGACCAGCCCTCTCTCATGACAATGTCTGCCGACTACAGAATGGCTATGAACAGCAGGCCCGAGAGATGTTGTCGAGGACTCCATTGATTCTTCCTTTAAAAAGACGACGAGCACGTTCCGTGGGATTAACAGAAGAAAACGGTACGTTTTGGGTTTACTGGCGACCATACCATCAGAATAGACGGCATTAAGAGCAGGAGTAGCTGGCTAATTGTGTGGGCCAACGAAGATGATGACACAATCTGACTGATGAAGCTTATATTTAATAAACCCCTAGGGTATATTGACTGTTCTGTTCGTGTGCAGATTGAGTTGTAACGGTTTTTAGTGTCTGAATTTTCTTTCAAGTTGTGGTAATATTTTCTGTTTCAAAAAAATAGCCTACTAAGGAACAATTTGACAAGAAGACAATAAATGATGTCTCATCTGTTTGAATCACATTAACTACGAGAAACATCAGGGGCCTTAAGCATGCAAAGTGGCAACGCCGAGAAGACGTTTATTACAAAATAAGCAGTTAAAACTGCATTTGGCGACTGATATAGCACAGTTGTTATAGCACTGAAAAGAACCGGAGGTTGTATCATAATGCTATTAGGTAACTTTACAGAGGAGTTGTCTCGCATGCAAGACAGAAAACCCGCTGCATCCAACATGCTTATGAGGCCCTGGTCCATAAGAGAAAGATGATTCAAGAATATAGTGAATACTTGACACTGAACCAATAATTAAATGGTTACAAATAATCATATTAATAATAACAATAATAATGATGATGGCAACTTAAAGAGGCTGGCTCAAGAACCTCGCTGTTCCTCTGTCGGTCAATCTCTAGGCTCCAATAATGATTAAACTGGCCTTCTTTTAATTTTGATTTGCCTGTTAATTTTGAATCATTTTCTAATTTCATTGCAGTCCATATTTGTGAGACTTTTGTCTCATACAACAAGGCATTCCGCGTTGCGAATATTCTGCTATTCCTCCATTCCATCGAATGGCGCCGCCCTGTTGAACTCAACATATCGTATTTCGGACCTTGCTCGCTTTGCAAATTTAGCAGCTTTTTTGAGCATTTGTCGCTGATTGAAATGGTAAAATAATATTTTTTCGAATAAGTAAAATTTTTCTTCATCTACGATGTGCAGATCAAACCTATTTGGATATTTCTGTAGGGAAAAAGTCTTTTTTTTTTTCAATTACGTGCCGGAGACACCACTGTGAAATTATTTTGGGGTGTTTATCATCTATTGTAGTGTCACGGTTAGAACTGAGAAAAAAATATATCTTCGGATCTACAGGGAATAATTCGCTGATTCAATCTCATGAATGAATTTTGATGATGCGCCGATCATTCCTAGACATTTCTGCAAGGTGAAGCTCACGCACTGTTCTGAAATGATTGTGAGATGTTTCTGTAGTACGCTACAAGACAAACAATAAGTAGCACCGAAAAATAGTGTGATCACCTGCTAATATTCCGTGCGACATTCGAAGCGATTCGAATCGCCACGCCTTTACTTCAACTTAACGCATACGGGTTGCGTTGAGTTCCAAACCATGGAAACTTAAGTAACTTTTCCATAGTGGATTCCGTTCTCGGACCACATAAATATTGGTGAATTGCAGAGGAAGGTTAAGAAAGGTATGAAGATTCAAAACGAATGAGCTACGCTTTTGATCCTCTAATTACACATTTTGTTTGCCAAGTACGTCCTCATTGCCGTCGCCGCCGCCCAGCTCCCTAATCTTCTCTTAACTAAACAAAACATTATGGGTTAAACTGGTTGTTATTTTACGTAAATGAAACGAAATCTTCTCTTGATCCAAGGTAATTATGATGTTAACTTTTTATACTTTAGATTTTGTTCGTGAGCGTGTTGAAATCGATCGACGTTAAAAATATCCCTTTTTGATGAAATCAGACTGTCTTTTAACATTTTTTTTTTATGGTTTGCTACGATCTTAAAACAAATGCATGCTCGGATACAAAGGGGGTAAGTTTTTAAAGAAACCGTGGTGCTGTGTCAGTGGAGGTATAACAAGATATGTAAATTCGTCACCGTAAATAGTTTCATAAGCTGACGTTTCGAGCGTTAGCCCTGCGTCTGTTGTACGTAACCCCTTCACTCTGACCTGAAAGGGTTGACGCTCGAAACGTTAACTTTTACAAGCGTCCTGTGGTCCACATTATCAACTCAGTAGATAGAATCAAATTATCTTTAAATTAGAGTACGATTGCATGACCAGAAAGAAAACTATTCAATGAAGATTTAATTGACTTTGCCCGCTAAGGTGAATACTTATATAATAAACAATGAACTACGGAATAGCTTCGAAAAACAACTTACTGTTTGCGAATTTTCGTGACTTTCATAATTTTCCAAAAAAATAAAGCATGAGTAAATGATGGACTAACGGTTGAGTTTTTTCTGAGTTTTATGTAATCGAGATTCATTTTGGACACTCATTGATAAACATCTGGTGCATTGCTTACCTTTCGCATGGCAATAGAAAACTCCCCACTTCGCAGAAACAAGCAATTATCACTTTCCTGTTTGCTTAATTTGCTTCCATGACAATACTATCAACAGAAAACTGTTTGCCACTTTGGTGACGTATGAACCACACCAGAGTTCCTAAACACTAAACAACCCATGTAAACGAGTAATTTCCCATGGCAACAACAGAAAGTGTTGCTAAAACAATCTGTGACAAAGATTTTAAAACAACAAGCTGTGACAATCTGTGACAAACATCTTTAAAAAAACAAGCTGACTGGTTCAACCGCTTAGAGAGTGTAATCTGGGGCCGGAGGAAGACGCCACAAGCATATATCCGAAATTAAATTCCAGTGGCAGTATTTAGCGGTATTTGAATGGGGAGTTCACCAAGTAGGCCGCTAGCATCAGCATTTCCAGCTCCAAGTACCGATGAACTGTACCCCAAAGACATGTACGAACAGCAAGCAAGAAATACGTTGGCAAGGATCCGGTTGATTCCCCCTTTAGAGCGACGGCGAGCACGTTCTGTTGGTTTGTCGGAAGAAAATGGTACCTTTTGGGTTTACTGGCGACCAGGATGGGAAAAGGAAAGGAAGAGAAAGAATTTTAATCTCCACGATGAGCTTTCTACCCGTGTTATGCAAGAATAGGGTTGAATTCATTATTGGAAAATGTTACTTTATGTCATAGAGGAAAACACTATTTGCTCATTTGTGCAGGGGTAATGTAAATGATGTTACACTTTTATCAATGCTCATATTTTATGTTTTTTAATTTTAACCTTTGGCAAGCAACGAATAGTCTGTGGACAATTTTTGCCCTAAGCGAATGTTTTTGCGTGCTCTTAAGATATATTTTACATGAATCATACATTTTTGTTAGAAACGCCACTGATTCTATTGATATATTGTTGTCATGCTTCCGCGACGCATCATTCAGATTTGGTTAAAGAGCAAGTTGTTCTGGTAACTCATTGCTTTTCATTCCTTTTCATTGGAATATTAAGAAAAAAATTATAAGCATCTGTGTTCGAAAGAAATTTTCCTTGCTTACGTAACCGTGATAAGGTGTTACGGGTTACGCCCAAAACGTCTTCGAAAAAAGGTTGTTACGTAACAAAACGAATAGTCTCAAATTCCTGAACAGAACTTATGATTTCAAAGTCCTTTCCTTTAAATAAGACAGATTAGATAAAACAGAGCATTTAAGTAAACTGACAAATGTGTTTCTGGCCAAACTTGCGCTTAAATAAAGCCGGACAGTTTTCACAACCGAAATACACCGCTCCCCTCCCCACGGCGATAAGTTATGACCCACCCGTCCCTCATCACTCTTCAGTAAACATAGAAATCGCGCAAAAGAAAGCAAATACACCGTGTAGTTTTAATAATACCAAAAATCAGGCTAAAGGGCTAAAATATTGGGTTTTTTTTTCATGGAATTCTGGAGTAGTTCTTCTAACAATTTCCTCTAAAATTACCTATGTTTGTTTCCATGGCTCACGGTCTAAGATAAACAACAACAAGAGCAGATTATCATCTCTTGACAACGACCGTTCATAAAGTGATCCGATGTGAATTTGCTCAGGGAAATTTCATGGGTGGAGGTCCCATTCTGCTTAGTACTCTTCTCTTAAACCAAAGATAAACTACCAAGCTGCCAAGGCACAGACCCAAAACAATGCATCCAATCGCTACCCCAGTCACCCCTCCTGAGGAGAGTCCTTTTTGCTTCTCCGTTGTTGGCTCCTGAGGGCAAATTACCGATGAGCTGAACGCGTTTTTAGTCGGATAACGACTTTCAAACGAGTTGAAGTTGAGGTTAAACTCTATTTCAACGCTATCGGTGGAGTTGAATTCTGCCTCCCCTTCTATCTCTAGTCTGACAGGCACCTGAAGACAAAGGATGAGACTAAGTGAACATACGTACTTAGTTTTGACATACAGTATGTACGTATACCAGTCCTGCTGGACTCTGTATAAAGCAATGAAAATTCATAGTGACAATATGAAGATGGCCTCAAGCGCAAGAAACTTATAGGGACCAGGTCCCGATAGGTTTTTCACAGCTTTTCATCGGTTGAGTTCAGGGGTTATGCCATTCAGAGAACAGAAAACAACAATAGAGAACTTGAATGAACTAATCAGAGTGTAGGAAGTGCATTTAAGATGGCGATGTAATTTGTCACGTAATCTTATGAACTAGCGCGTGACACGCCTCTTTCGAAAAAATGTGGGTGTCGTATGTTTGTCCATTCCCCCACCAGAAGATAGAAACGCATTGTGTCTCTCGGGATAAAAAATAACAGGATTCTATAATAAGTATTCTTACCAATAGTGATTCTTCACCTTCCTTCTCTGTAAAGAACCATCTCCATATTGTATACGCTTGAGCATCTCCGGGCCAGTTAATTCGTATCTGTCGCCACACGTCACACTTGATACCACGCGCCACACCCCTCCCCTGGTAAACTGGCTTTGCATCTGGATCCTTAAACAGCGCCATTATACCAAACGGTGTGTCGAATATTGCGTTGTCCTCTTCAAATTTCAACTTTGGTGTTGTAGAATCTAATTTTTGCTCGTTGCATTTACCTTAAGTGAAGAGCAATTCGAAATTTCACTTCAATGGGTTTTCACTGCCCAGCTACTTATCATTGTGGATTATAGTAAATACCGCCCTTCAAATTGAATAAAAAATTGGGCATAAAACGGCAAACACTGGGGAGAAAATAGACCAGCAAGCCGAGCACGACTGCTCTGATATTCATTAACATAGACCTGATAAGCACCTAAGCATTTTAGCAGATTTCATTAGCTTGTTAAAAGTAAAACGCCATTGCATTGCTTTTGCCTCATTATTCTCTCGGATTGGTCTAGGAAGTCACCCCACCATCTCATCCAATCAGAATCAAAATTGCAACTTTGGTCGCGACTGAGTCATTTCCGTTTTCCCGCCCTAAACTCCTGTTACTTTCTTTTGAGAGTTCATTGGCTCTCGCTGATGTTTATCATTCTTCTAATTGGCCGCTGTTGTAATTACCCTGGTCTTTGGTTTCACGACACCTTGCAGGAGCGAGAGAGAGTGAAGACAATTCTTAGGAAGAGCGGAAACATAAACTCATAATGGGACTTTCCTCAGAGGAGGAAACGAGTGATTACCTTGACAACAATGATGATCAATGATGAAAATAACCGAAAGAGTAGCTTAGCAAATTATCAGCTCTCGCTTAACAACCTTTTACCTGTCTCTTTGTTGTAAAAGGTACTTTTCATTGTCGTTCCATCCCGGATATCGATTCCCGCCCCAGTCTTCGTCGTTTGATTCGGGTCACCATCTGAGTCTTTTCTATAGAGATGTTTATCGAGGTCGTAGTATTCCTTTGGGTATGGACGAAAAACAAGTATCGTCATCACTGCGCATGTATTATACACCACAATTACCCTTGTCGTAAAGTAGATAGAGGTTATTCACCGAGACGAAGTCGAGGGAAACATTAGGACTCGAGGGAAAACAAAACAAACTAATTTCGCGAGGGACCATATATTAGGGACCGGTCATTATTTATCGCCTGGGGGGGGTCGGAGTATTTAGGGGGGGATCACATGGTTTTTTGAAGACCTTTAGGGGGATCAGCCGTAATTGACAAGCATAATGGGGGGATCAGACCAAAAAAAAAAAAAAGAATTTTAGGTCGCGCCAGGACCCCAGGGTGATTGCATTTGTAAATACTTTGGTAGGATTTGCCGCTGGGACTCTAAACCCCCAACCATATATTCAAGACCACGTTCAGTTGTATTTTGTATTATATAAACTCTATTCTAGCCCAGACACAAAACCCAAACCCTTTTACAGACCCTCCATTTTGTAAAAAAGAATCACTATCGTAGTCTAACATACACGTTTTTATTCAGGCACGATCTAAATTAGAAAGGTAATCAAGATTTTGAGAATGGAATACTTACAATTGCTCAAAATTGTTTCATAACGTTTCAGTTTGTTTTATAGAGAATCGTAATCTAAAATCATAAACTTTCATTATTTTAATACGCGGCCGAATGAAAACAACAAATAAAAAAGTGTTTATTTTGGTGAGGCTGTATCTTGTTCCGCTTCCGTGTCAGAATCTTCGGCAGCCCTCTCCACTGGCTCTTGCACAGTCTCCTCGTCAGATTCATCTGAATCCTCGCCCGAACTTGACCCTTTTTCAGCACCATTACTGCTATTCTCTTCGTTCATTCTGGCCACTACCACTTTCAAATTGCGTGCCAGCTCTGTTTCAAACACGCCTCTTTCCAAAAGCCATAGCAGAGGATCCAGGTGGAGACGCTTGACAAATCTCGCAGCGAATCCTGCATTAATACTTGAGACACATTTATAAGTATTCTTTTCGAGTGAATCGAAAACCTCTTTAGCTACCTCTTTTGAGGTAAGTTTTTCTAGGAGAATTACTGCTCGCTGATGCAACCTTTTCTCCTTGATTTTTTTCACTTTTCTCTTGTTTTCTTTTTTTCTTCGGGATTGGCCGTTGTTCCCCATGGGAGATGGGAACTTTCTCTTCAAGCTCATGAGGGTGGTCGTGAGCGCATTGGAGGCTTTCTGCAGCTCTTGGTGTATGGCCTTCACTCGCTCTTGAGCTTCCTGGAAATATTTGAGCTCATCACTTGCAAACGACCTTAAGGTATGCTCTTCTGTATAAAGGTTCTTTCGTCTGTTGTCGATAAATGAGAGCAAATCGGATGCTGAATTAAAGGCCTCATTGACAGTGGTCAAGGAGGACTCACACTTCGCGACATCACCACTGCCCTTACATCCATCCACGCCTGACATGAACTTCGTGATGTTTTGGCACACTCCCCAATTCTCGTTTCTAAGCAAGTTGTTTTCTTTATCGTAAAGGGCTTTTATCTTTGTGTTTAACTGCCAACGCATTTGCTGTTGCTCGAGGAGATACTGTTTGAAACCGGCTTGTTTACTCACGAATGGAGATTCATAAATCTGCGGTACAACACTATTGTAGAATTTCAGCCTTTCTGTGTGTGGGTTGGGAAGAAGATATTTTTCCCACGGCTTCTTTTCTGGTGCTGAGTCGTTCCTCAGGACTTGTAGTTGCTCGGAGCTTCCAAATGACAAAATCGCCTGCTTGCGCTTCTTGGGAGCACTGGCGGACGTAACACCTACCGATCACATAATAAATGTTTGTTAAGGATTGCGTTACAAATTATGCACCATGTTGCCTTACGTTTTTTGTTCATGGCTGGTTTGAAGCACAAGCCAATTATTTTATAGAGGCCTTGCCTAATTCTGTTTAAAGAGGAAGTCGATTCCATGGAAAAAGATGCGAGAAAGGACAGGATTTTAAGGGTAACCAGTTCATGTAAACATGGTCTTGAAGTTCTCGGAGATCTCTGCCTTCCACCTGTAAAGCCACGATGGGCTGACCTTACAGATGCTGGTCCGGGCGTGGGAGTTTCCAACTACGAAGTTAGATTTCGAGACGCCGAGTTAGCAAGGGTTCACAATTCCGATTATAGAGTGCGATGTCATCGTTCGAGGGGCGACAGCGGGCAAGGTGAAGCCGAAAGGACAAACTCGGCAATTTCTGATGCTCTTGTGGATGGCACAACTCTAGAGTGGGAAAAAATATAGGAGATTTGAGGATCTTTCAGAAGAGGAAATCAAACAACTGTCTCTCCAGTCATACGAAGAGTACGAAAAGAAACGGATGGAGAAAAATGCCTGGTATGTCTGTAGTCAGGTAGCCGAGAGAATTGATGATGCCCCTGTCCTTAAAGATTACATCAAGAGCAAAGTAAGCGAGTCCCCTGATGAATTATTCTTTTTCAATTCTGTTTACCTCGACAACTATCGGGGTGCATCAGAACGAAACAAAGAGCAAGCGCCCGGTGCAGCATACTTCCGAAAGATCGAATCGTTTATGGAAGACCACTATATTCGTGGAGAACTTTTTATGGAATTCTGTCGTGATGCCTGTAAAGAGTCAAGAGAAGAAAGTTCCAATCTCTGTTCCTGGTGTTCTAACAATAGATGGGTCGGTCCAGAAACGGAAAGAATTCCGCAACCTGTACCAGATTCAAACAATCCTGGACATTTCATGGATATCTATCAGACGGAATCGACGGGCAGGACACCAGATGATTACCTTCCAAGAAAATGTATTAAAGATCTGTACGAGGAACATTCTGACAGTATCAGAAACGATCAGGATACCATGAAGAGCTTCTGCTCAAAATATAATGTGGAAGAGAAGCACGTCATTGCATATGTTAATCATTTGAAGGATATTGAGATCCGAAAGGACATCAGAACAAGAGCAGCTCAGGAGCGAAGAAGGCAAGAGGCCGAACGAACGTACAAGGACTTTCAATGGGATAACCTCATCGAGGGTGGCAAAGTTGAAAAGTTGCGGGTAAGAGAACTAGACCTGTATCTCAACAAGCATGGTTTGACGACTGTGGGTCGGAAACTTGACAAAGTGAAGGCCATTCGATGTCACTATTACCGACAGAATAAAGAGACTGTGATAACAGAAGAACTGTCAGTGATGAAGATGACGTGGAATCCGAGGATGAAGAATCCGAAAGTGGAGAGGCAGAGAGCGACGATGACTATGTTTTCGTGGATTTGGATGAACAGCTTGAGATTGGCACTTCCTCGACAATTCAGTTCGTATCTGACGAGCAAATATTTACCGTTGTGGTTCAAGGTCCATGAGACGTAAGTACCACTATTAAAATATCACTTGCATATTCAAAAAGTTATTTGGCGGTGGCTGGGAGAAAAGGGGGGATCATGAAACTTTCCACTACCGATAAGGGGGATCTCTAAAAACTAGATACTCTACGGGGGGATCAGGTAAATGCTCCGATGTGACAACAAAAATACTCCGACCCCCCCCAGGCGATAAATAATGACCGGTCCCTTAAGTGCTTTGTTATATATTTAGACTTTCCCTTAAACAATCTTATGGTAAAAACGAAAAAACAAAGACGGCACAACTTCTTATTCACATTCAAGCAGACGTTAGCCCGTCCTGAAGATCACGCCATTTATAACTTAGTCATGCACTGATCACGTGCTGTTGTACTCGGCGCGAGAGCAACAACTGCGCAATTGCATTCCAGTCGGGGTATATTTGAATTTGATCAGGGGCACATGACCAAGAATCAACCAATCACAGTGCTCGTTTTGATGAGTGAAAGTCTAGGTATGTAACAAAATCGTTTGTCTCACGTGATCACTGCGGATGTGGTTCGCGACGTTACGACTGTATACTGCTAGTCTTCTTCAGGCGATGAGGTCGATTGAGTACGCGTCACCTCAATCGGCAGTCGAAACGTCGCAAACCACATCCGAAGTGACCACATCGTGAGACAAACGATTATCTTTCTCTTTCGAAATAATAACTCTTGTAACTACCTGCACACTCCAAACTCGAGTGGATTCTGAGGTCACCCGCTCCAAATTGACATCAAATCTACTTGGAAGTTTTGGTAAAGGAGGTGGACGGACGGCTCCTCGGCACCAGATTTCTCTTTGCGCTTGAAACTCAGGTTCGTCAAAGAAAAAGTCAATAAAACTGTATGAGTGAATAATTCCTCCCGAAAGGTTCACGGCGCTCTGAGGCCGCGCTTCTACGAGGACTGGAACGGAGGCGTTACCAGACGTGTGTGACCAGCCTTTAACAGAGAACCTGAAAGAAATCAAGAAGCACATTTTAACAGGGGCCTTTATTCAGTTCTTTAACTCATCCTTGTCTTTGCCTCAACGTGCCATCTGAGGTTCACTCAAACAGTTTTTATTACAGTTGAGCTGGAATTTGGGAAAGACGAAGCTGAGCCGCCATAGATTCAATAAAAATTAGAATTACGGCCCTCAGGAATAGCAGTCTTTCGGATTTCCAGGTATAATTAGGGGAAGGATTACGTTGGTCCTTAACCCTTCGACCAACACAAAATTTCTCTTCACAATATCAATACAGTATTAAGCACACAAGTGATGAGAATAAAGAAAAATATCAATTAGGGGATTATGAGTTGATTCAATACCCAATTCTCCAAACTAACATCACAAGAACTGCACAACAGACAGTAGGGAGAGTTACTAATGAAATCTTGGAAGTTAAGGGGTTAATTCCGCATCTTCATATTTTTTCGACAACTGCCATTTTCGCAGTCTAATGAGACTAGGTTACTTAGTTAAGCAGATATGACGTCAAAAGTAAATCATGTAAATGAAAACGAGGTAAGGACAGCTATATTTTAAATTTGTTACGAGGTTAGGACGATCTAATGTGAACCTCAAATTTTCGGACTTTGCAGTCTGTTGATAACATTTTTAATTTTCAGTCAGATTACTTGTTAAAATACGCGAAGAAACTGCTTTGAAAAGGATTCATAAAAGCAAATTTTGGCTGATAAAGAAAACGAAGATGGCTGCTTAAGACTGTAACAAGGGTAACGAAACGGAGAAACTAAGGGTGATGGACCCATCTCTCACTTCTTATATGGAGGCCGGGTGAGTTGGGGGGGGTGACAAATAATTTGCTCTCCTTAAAGCAATGACAACAATAACATAAAAAAAACAAACTGACCAATAGTCCATAGCAGTCTCATTCTTGCAAATTCTCCACCCCTGGACTGGAATATTCCGCACGATTTTTCGCCCGAGGTATCTGGCATTTTGTGTTTTATTTTTGTACAAGAGGTCTAATACGACAGTCGCGCTGCAAGCGTCTGCAATCAACTTCAAGGAACTTTCGTTTTGAGGAAAACGGCATCTGTATCGATCATATCTCTCCTGTGTCCTACAAAAAGCCCAGATAACCACAACAAAATGCTAATACTAATTAATAACGATAATGAGGGTGATGATTATGATAATAATAATAATGACGATAATCAGGATAATGTTGTGAAAGATAATATTACTCAATTAACGGCTCAGACATACTGGGAGAAAGAGCACCCTGGGTGTTCCCAATAGGAGCTGAACTTACGACCTCCCGATGAGTAAGTTAGACGCTCTACCACTGAGCTGTAAGAGGCTTGTGGCAGGCTAGGTCGTTTAACTAGGTCCATGGTGACAAACTTCCTGCATACTGTAGGATAGGAGTGTCGATATGTTATGTTTCTGTGCAATGATTATGTAAATAAAAATGGTAAGTGTAAAGCCTGGTGATTTGAAAGAAAAAGATGATATTATTCAGTGCATGACACAGGCATACTCGGATAATGATGGGAATTATGACGATGGCGACAGTGACAGTGATAACTATTACTATAACGATAACGATAACGCTAACGAAAACGACAACGATAACTATAACGATAACGATGATGATAACAATATATATCTATAACTATAACGATAACGATGACAATAACGACATATATCTATAACTATAACAATAACAATAACGATGACGATAACGATAACGGTAATGTTACTGATAATGATGAAAAAGAAAAAGAAAAAATGACAAAAATAAAAAGAGAGCCTCTGCAAGAGATTATGCTTTTTTTGTTAATTTTTTTTCACGTCCATCGATAGCTAGCCTGCCCAGCTGGAACTTTTTATGGGGGCTCTCAAAACCACCTGCTACGTAGACTTAACGTTGAGAGGACATTAATCTCTCCCTCGAAAGCCGTGGTAGCTAACATGCATCGAAGTCGCTGAGGTAACAAATCAAAGAGTAAACTGAAAGAAACAGACTTGAGTTTGAATACATGATAAATTATCAGATTTCAATCTCTTGTAATGATGTGTTCAATGGATTGTGACACGATCATATCTCCGTCACGCCCAGTTGCCCAAAAAATTGCGAAACAAAGGAAATTGTTTCACTAAAATCATGAGTTTCTGGCAAAATTTTCCAAAAAAACATTCAAATATTCAAAATATAAAAAAATATTAATTTCAGATCTATACCAGGCGATTTAATCCACAAAATTTTCATTTAAGTAAATTACTGTGGAAGGTAGAAGTATCTGAGTATTGCCTCAAAGACCTCAAGGATACCTTAAAGTCATCTCCACTGATGATGAATTCGGACATGTCCTCCTACGATGTAATTGATGAACTTACCATGCGAAACTCTTGCACGCATTTATGTATAAATTCAATTTTTCTTCTTCGTCTTCTAAGATGGGTAGATATAAATTTGCGATTTCATTCTCGCTTTTGTCGTAATACGTTTCCCAGTCGTACTCCTCCGCCAACAATGTAAAAGCCCCTCTCTCTTTTGTTGCATCGTATCGCTCGTTTACAAAGTACGTGGCATTCCGGTGACTTAAAGTAATCTCCATGCGAGTATGAAATTCTGTCGGGGTGACATTTCGAGGGAACGGTTCGTAATCCGCTTCCTGCGAGTTGCTGGAGCATTCGAGGGAGCTTACAAACTCGAGAAAGAAAAACAGACAACAGATCAGAAAAAATGTGACCGAGGACATCTTAATTAACATCGGACAAAAGCGATTGAAGAAGAGATAGAAGTCTTGGCCGGCGTAGATAGTGTTACCGCTCAACTCCGAAAATAGAATGGTTTGAAATTTAAGACTCGTCACGCATACACGTCATAGGAATCGAATAAATTCTTCATAACAATGCCTCGCCTTTCTTCCACAGAGCATCGCTTGTTGTCTGACCACTTACTTTGTAAAAAAAGGCCACAAGCGATGCTCTGTGAAAGTAAGGTGAGGTCTTTCTATTGAGGATTTGACTTTGATTTTTCATTTCAAGTAGCGGTCGTAAATATTGCTATAATGACACGACGCCTATCACGCAAGATAATCGTCTCACAGCTGGAGCTTGGGCTGTGTGTGCACGCGTGGTTTTGCAAGATACCTTTGGCAAGCTCGCCTGCAATGTATACTGCAACTAATACTTTGCCATTTATTTGAAAAAATGACGCTGTAATAAATAAAAATAATTGAGTGAGCATCCTTTTGATTAATATAAGCTAACTAAAGCTCGGAGGCAGGATGTAGAGAATAAGTTGTGTTTTCATTGATTTTACTTCCGGAATTCTTCCAAATAGCGTTGTTCTCACATGCATGACAAAAAGTTCCGTACATTAGCCATAGCCTTAACAATAAACCTTTTAACTCTCATGAGTGACTAAGAAAGAATTTCTCGCACAGTTTCAGTAAAAATTTAAGCAGACAAGTGATGATAATAAAGAAAAATATCACTTGGGGAAGTATTAGTTGATTCAATACCAAATTCTCCAAAGTAACATCATAAAAATTGTACGGCAGACAGTGAGGAGAATTACTGAAAAGATCTTATAAGATAACCTGCGAATGAAGTGAGCGTGATCTAAATAAGTGACAGTTTCAAGTTCTCAGAAATATGAATAACGTAGCTGAAGCGTTGCAATGATAGTGAAGCAATATGCCTTGAAGGAACGTTGACATTTTCCGGTCGTTAAATATTTTTTCAGGAAACCACAAATTTAAAAGAGCTATTCGAGAACCTATCGAGACATGAATAAATGACAAATTGAACCAACCATAAAATTAATTTCTTAAGGGGAGTGGAAAGTTATGTTGCACGTATGGAAACAGTAAAAAGCATGTTACTACAATATATTTTAATTTCTAAATCGCCAAAGACTATCTGTTGGTAGCGCATAGATATGCCTACTGGCAAAACTAAATTAGCAATATACTGCATGTACTTTCCATCGCTTTACCGGGGTAATAACCCACTTTGATGTTGAGAGGATACGGTAAAATTTTGTTAATAAATCACGAGTCGGAGTGCGGTCGACTAAACTTTAATTTTCAATGGGTTTACCGGTGCAATGAATGATAGGTTTTTGACCAATCAAGACGCTGGTATTATCTCCGTTATTTTATAAAGAACGGATAAACTTCCATCTATTACACTTCCGCCGAAAATGTGAGCTATAAATTATCTTATACGAGATACAGTCCAAAATTGCTTTGCCGGATGTTTGTGGAAATAATTAGCATATTAAAGGCAGTCGATAGATCTTAGTCTCCGGGAAAGACGCCCAGATCTTACGGAGAGCTTTAGTTGCTGTTTGCAATCGAAAATATACCTTGTATGATATTTTTTACATAAAAAAGCAAATCAAAATCGCACGAAACCGTGGGGAAAAGTTATCGGTAAGTGGAATTAAAATTAATTCACAGTCGAATATTAAAAGCTGGTCGTATCTAGGCTCTATGCCAAGGTTTAAGTTTCCATTAGTTTAAAAAGATCTGCATTGTTGCAGAAATTCACTCATGAAATGAAGATCTACGAGCTTTTCATACTTTATTACTCTATGATGTAAAACGTAATTAAGTGAAAACATATTTCCACGAGTACATGGCCTGCAAAGCTGGCTATTTTGTAGGAGTTTTGAGCGGCGAAACTACGGAAGGAACAATAACAAGCTCGAGGAAGCTGTTTTCGTGATTTTGCGGCCTTTAATTTCATCGAGCGCCCGAAAATCCACTAGAGCTGCGACCTCCGGAAGCTTACACGTTTACTCTCTACTACGAGTGTGAAATGATTTTTTGCTTTCCCTTCTTCTCTTCCGCGCCAGTTGATTTTAGCAGTCAATTAGATGCTTGTCACTCTTCGGGGTTAAAGCATCGCATGGCTTACTAAGACAATCTGCTTTTAGGAGTAATGCAAAGGAACTGTGTGTATAAAGTTCAATTTTTAGGCGGCATGGAGAGTATTCCTTTTTTACTGCTTACCAACCTTGCGTTAGCCAGAGAACATATTCTGATCAAAATCAAATCATAACAATTTTCCTGCAGAAATTTTAAAGCATTATTATCTGATTTTATTTGCAGCCATTGGTGGAATTGGGAAGCTAACATGATGAATCTTCCGTTTAGTTTGGTTGCTGTGTCCTTGTTTACATCTGGCTATGTGGCCATCTTTTCAGTAGCACTGACCGCAAACATTTTCATTATTTTCCTTGTTCTTAAAAAACCTGTAATGAGAACAACCATCACCTACTTCTTCGCTAACATGGCTGCCGCTAATCTTCTTGTAGCTGTCTTCATTATACCGCAGGCTCTGCGGTATCTCTTCGCCGTAGACGCTTGGTTTCCAGGAATGCTCGGTCAAGTTTCTTGCAGACTTTTACATTATACGGACGCCATCTCCACTACAGCTTCCATTCTGAGCCTGATAGCCATCTCGCTGGACCAGGTGAATGTTATCTTGTTTCCCATAAGGAGAGCTGCGATGATAAGATATACCAAATTTATTTCGCTAGTTATTTGGCTCCTGTCTATGATTTTCACCTCTCCTTATCTTGCCATGTTCGGTGTCAAGACCGTATCTGGTCAGCAGTATCGATGCGTTTACTTGGTCCTCAACCATGTCGTTATGGAACTTCATGTTTCATTAATCTTTGTTTTCTTATACGGGTTTCCTCTCGTTTTTATGGCAACTTTGTACGCTCTTATGGGACGAAAACTGTGGTTTCGAACCATTCCAGGAAATATTCATAGTATCCATCGACAAGCTGCTGAGAAAACCAAACGCCGCACCATCCGCTTGCTAATCGTACTCATAACAATATATGCATTATGCTGGCTTCCTGCTCACGTGCTTGGCATGTGCACGGTCTTCAAACCAAATGTGACAAGAAACCTGGCTTCCCATTGGTCCTTACTTATTGCATTTATTGCGCATGCGAACTGCGCTTTCAATCCTTGCATTCAAATTGTTTTAGACAGGAGATTCAGAGCAGAGTTCTTCAAATTACGGAATTTTGGGAGAAATATAAAGCAGTGGTGCATTTGTAAGAAAGGAAAAGTTGAGAATAACAGGGAAGCTAAAACGGACGTGCTAAGATTCAAAACTTTGGAGAGTGTTATAGAGAGAATAGCAAAAGGTCGAGGAAGACTGTACGATTTGAGCCCTACCAAAAACGATACACAGCTCCGTCCATCCTCTCCCGTACAGTTATCTTACTACAGCGAGGTAGTGGAAACAGAAAACTAAGCTCGATGAATTAAAACTGAAGCAGCGATGCTAAACAGAGGCATTTTGGATGATAAACGCGATCCATACTGATTAACGTAGGAGCCCATTAGCCAGATAATGGGTTCGTAGTACTGCCAAAGTATATTCAATCGCTTTTGATCAAACTGATAAGATGATTTCTTGTTTTGTTGCATTAAATGTATTTGGTTATCGTATTACAATGGAAAGAAACAGCAAAAATCTAACATTGCTTAAAGGCAGTCTAGTGTTAGAACTAAGGGAACTTCTGTCAGAGAGGGTGAAATTCGTTAAAACACGAACGTAACTTTCTTGCCTTTTTTGTGCACAAAGAATGCAACTAAATAATAAAAAGGAGTCGGGTTCTGTCAGCCGGATAACCAGGAAGAGGTGAACAAGTCAAGCTGGCTAAGTCTCCGTTGCTAGTGCTTTAGTGTGTGCTGAAGCGACGAGCAGCTAAGCCGCGAGAGGATTGGGACAGAGGATAAACATATCTACACTCGCGTCTCTGCCGGTCATGACTTGCACGCACAACTGCGTCAGATGTACAGGGCATAGCAGGTTTCGCTCGGGACAGACCTCATGAGTTTGTAGTGCATTTTGCGTCCTTCTTGTACAAGACTTCACACATGATCAGCACGCGCTCTATAAAAAAATAGGAAAAGAAAGTGTTTTTTTAATATTATGTATGGCCTGAGCTTATGGTGAGCTAGATCATCATTTTGCCTCGATCAGTTAGGGTGATTCATTCTTTTCTTTTGGTTTTGAGTAAGAAAAGAACTTTTTATATATGTAAAGCAGATATTGACCAATTCTTAGAGCAGAATATATGAACAATAACCAGAAACGCCAGCGGTAGCAAATATTATTGTGATGACATTGTAAATAATTAAATGTATGTAAACAAGATAATACTACTCCAAAAATTAGCGAGGGGCTGACGTTAAACCCCTCAACTCACCGAGGTGATTAACATATAACTTCTCCCCATAATATCCATACATTGTTCAGCAAACGGCTAATGAGAATGCTCTAACTCACCAGGTAGTAGTTAAATTGATCTAACACCAAAATTTCATAACTTATACAAGGTAATGTGAAGCAACCAGGAGGGAGAATTAAAGAGCTTACCTGGCTCCGCGCTTCGGGAACTGCGATGCAGCTTAGTCCGGCTATGGGCTAAGGACTTTCATAAAATATCAAAGTTTCACATTTCTGGCTCTCCTGTTATAATTAAGCTTCTCTTTCTTTGTTCTATTCTTCTATATTTACTTTCTCGTCTTACTTCTTTGTTCCTTTTCGCTTGTTTCTGTTAGTATTAATCAATCCTTCGTTGTTGTTGTTGTTTTGTCGTGGGAGGGGTAGAGGGTAAAGTTTTTTAAAATCACATGACAGTAAACCCTTGTAGACCCGACCGTTTGAACTGCTCATGCGCTGTAGTTGTCAACTCACGTACACTCCAGTCGGCGAATGAACAACATGAAATCAGGGAAATGGCGATGGCAGTATTCACCTCGCGGCCTAATTCTCATCCTTTTGAGGAAAGGAGAGTTCCTTTAACGGAGCCGGTAAAGATAGGACGTTCAGTAGCGAAGAGTAGACCAGCCACAAACAATTGTATCTTCGACTGCAAGGTCTTGTCGCGGAACCATGCTATCCTATGGTATGAAGACGGGAAGGTCAGTGAAATAAATGGATTATCATAACTGTGATGTTTACATCGAGACATTATATCTGTTGTCTGCAAAGCTCTTTCAGCTAACTAGAAAGTAATTTGAATCTTTTAAATTGCACAATACGATTTAATCTTGAAATCCTGAGTAGTGATGTAAGTGGTTGTTCAATTTAAAGAGTAACGTTTTCAACCAATTCAATGACATTGGTGTTTTGCCGCTGAGAGATGATACTAAAACTTCTTTGTCGAGAGAAAGATTCTTCCTTTAAAAGTAACATATAAAAGTTAATCTCAAGGGTCCTTGTTACATTTATTATTGCGTGAATTTTTCCGGAAACACAACTTGTGATTATTTTCGACTTGTCACATGCTACTTACACGTTAGCTGTATTGATCTTTGATCGAGCACCTTTTTTGTGTGGTTTTCTTTTTCTTATTGGCAAACCACCTTCGATTTAAAAGCACAAGTGGAGATAATCGTCTAAACGCTTCGTCAGATAAACTATCCCTTCCAAAAGATTATGTGTTTTGGAATTTAATTAATTTAAAGGTTATATGTTGAGAATTTGTTTCTTTTGTAATGCAGTCTTATTTGAAATTCAAAAATTTATTTGATCGTAGTATGTTCTGTGGCATGCTTTAATCGTGTGATTTCAGTTTCATTGCCGAACTGCAAACGAAATTGTTCTTCTCTGCTAAAAAGTTTGCCTTATTTGGTTCATGTCCTCCTACTCTTTCCTGTCTAAGTTGGAGGTGTCAACAAACTTGTCTGAACCGCAGCGGAAATGCTTTCATTCAATTTGAGTAAATACCATTTTGTTTGTTCAAAAAATTGCTAATTTTCAAATGTATATGCAGGCTGAAACACATCATTTTGTTTGGCAAACATTTTAATGAAAGTTACCCAGGGTATGTTCTCGCAAGCAACTAAAACTTTCAAATGAAAAAAAGTTATTCTGATATAAGAATTTCATTGTTTACATTTCTTTACAGTTTCAACCAGTTGGAGGTACACTCTAAATGTAAATTTTCACAACTGCTCATCAGATAAACTGCATAGTAGAGGGGAAGAACAGTCTAAGTTAATTGTGTTTCCTGTTTCCTTTGATTTATTGCACATGAATAGAATGAACTTGACCTGTAATGAAATGTAGCAATGCAAAAGTGCTGTGCCTCATTTACAGCTGATCAGGCATATCATGATATCAGTCAAAATTATCAAAACATTTGTTTAAAAAGCATGAAGTGGCCATTGATACCTGTATGTTGCAAACCAGCTTATCCTTGTATTTAATTCAGTATTCATAATATTAATTGGTTGTCTAAACGCCAAGAGAATGTTGTATTGATTTAATATAGTCAGTAAATACAGTAAAGAGATGATGTTATGTGGTTACTTAAATGACAACAGCAAGGTACAGTCATACCAGCAAGTTCTAATTTTTCAAGGAAAAATTGTCCAATGTATGGTGGAGTCCAAAATAATATCCCAGTGAAGAAAGTCTGGGAAAAATGATAGAGTAGAATTTCCATCAGAATTTTTTGTCACAAAAAAAAGTACCCTTGGCAAGTTTCCTTGTGTAGTCACTTATACTAACAAATTGTTCTCAGCAAGTTTTGCTTGAGCAGGTTTCTATATTGATAATTTGACATGTGTGATTTTAAGCAAGAGGTCTTTTGGAAAAAAACTGTGGTAAATATATTTTGGCATAAGGACTGCTTAAGAATACTTGACAAGAGAAAAACAAAGAAAATAATTTGGTAGAGTGAATTCTGCTCTCATTAACTATATTTACAATGTTACATGTTGATACATTCATTATAGGCATCTTTAATATGTGTTCATTATAACTCTGCATCCTTCTCACAGCTTCTGTCAGTGGTTTTTTTCTAAAAAGGACTGACACAACCAGATGATATGTTTTGAATCTCCAAGCAACTCTGCCCATTATTACATTATTCTGTAGATACATTTGTCTTTCTGAATACGTGAACTAATTGAAAGTCACTCAACACAATGATTACCCATCTGAGACAGAAATTTAAATCCTGTTGTGAATAACTTATATGTGTACTTATTGCAGATTTTATTATCATTGAGTAAATTTTATGAATCTCAGACTATGTTATTTATTGATATTAGCTGATATTTGAAATATAATATAAATGATTTTGTTGTTTCAGTTCTTCTTGCAAGACACAAAAAGTAGCAATGGAACTTTTGTGAACAATGTGCGGCTTAGCAAAGGGTCAGAGGAGAGTGAGCCGAAGGAGTTAAAGTCTGGGGATATTGTTCAGTTTGGAGTGGATGTAGTGGAAAACTCTAAAAAAGGTGAGAGATTTTGCTTAACTTTGTAAGATTCCATGTTTTATTTTTAAGAGTGGCAGTGCTGTGCAGAAGGAGACTTAGAGTCGGTTATTAAGATGAAGCCTAACCAAAACCATGGTCTCAGTTACACAATCAGTGGGTCTCAGGCTTTCTATCTAAAAAGATTGATTTAATTAAATAAATGTCCTTTCACTGTAAGATTTCTGCTGTCTTTACACTGTTCACAAACATAAATGTTCAGATAAAAGGTCTAGCTGAATTGAGGATTGATTGGGATGCAGTTTTGTTAAACAATGGCTAAGCTTTTTTCTAAATAATCAGACCCTAGTGTTCCAAAACCTGGATTGAAGGGTTTAAGGTTTAGGCTCATAGTCATGTGTTATTAGACAAGATATCTAACTATGATAGCCCTTCTCTCCATCCAGGAGTATAAAGAGGTGATAAAACTGACAAAATGTTCATATTTGGACTTAATGTCTTTTTTATTTATTGGTTTTCAGTAACTCATGGCTGTATTGTGGCTACTGTGACCCTGTTTCTACCTGATGGAAAAGAAGCAACCAAGTAAGTCATGGTTGTCAGGCTGTGGTTATTATAAGCTCAGTAAGGGCTACACATTAATCAATTCAGACTTTGACATCCATCCCCACCCTCCACGCAAGTCCAGGCATTTGAACTTTCACTGATAAAAATGCATCAGATACTACTGCTTTCTTTGGCATTTTCTGCCATTTTAGTGTTGAAGATAGTTAAAAACACAACAAAATGTATCATTTTAAAATCACGTATAGCAGTAGACAGTTGAAAGCAAAACAGAAGTACTAGTTAGGAAAAAACACTTAACTTCATTTATTAATGAAAATGAATACACATCAGAATGGTGGGGGTTTGAGAGACATTGCACTCATTGATAACTTGATTATGATTTAACTTATTGCAGGAGTGGTGTTCCCAGAAGCTTGTTTGCATTGGTATGTTGATGAAGGGCAGTTTTCCTTTAATCCTTTACTCTTAAGATAAACTATTAAATAATTTTCTTTTGCCACTAGTCAAGATGTAGGGTGATAGCAGTGATAGTATTGATAGCATTATCCAACCTTTGAATAACTAGGCACCAGTAGTTTAAAGAGCAGATAGCTTTATCCAATGGATGAATGGTCATCCAGTGGATAAGTAGTAATAAAAGATACTGATTATTAAATATTGATTAGAATTAATAATATTAAATATTATAATAACGTTGTTTCCGCTCTCACAACAGAATGAAAATGGCATCCAAGCACAAGAAATGTGGCAGTTATCCCAGTATTTACAGGTAAATGTAAAGCAGTATATCATGTTCAATCAGTGTGTCCTTATTATTTGCCATTCTTGGGTTGATAAGTGAAATTTTCATGCAAAAAAAAAAGTCACTTGTCTTGTAGTTATTTTAATGATAAAATTCAATTTCTCATTACCTCTTTTTTTTGTTTGACAGGATGCGCTCTACAGAGAACAAATGCTGGAAAACAAACTGGCAAATCTTCAGAGACTTATATCAGACTCAAAAGGAGCAGTGGAGGACAACACCCAGGTAGTTGCTTATGGCATTGGTGTGTGTTTCCTTAGGATATCTTGATGGCTATGCCTCACATGTATACTGTACTCTGAATTTTGAAGTTGCATGGACATGCATCTTTGATTTTTTCCTTTTCAGTCATTTGCTCAAGAGGACAAATTGCTGTCAAGATTAGAGATTTTGGAAAACCAGCTGGAAACTTTAACAAAGGTAAAGCATGGAGCACCATGTGTTCACAACAAACATTTGACGTATGAACATTAATGGTCAAAGTGAGGATTTTTCAAGCTTGTCGAGTATGTGGACACGGGAAAATTAAGATGGCATTTATCTTTTCCAGAATTTAAATGAAGATGACATAAAAAAAGAACTGCTTGTTCTCCAAGAGGAAAGACACAACTATGAGATGAGAGCAAAGGTGGGTGTTTTGTGTCAGATTTTGATTTTTATCCTAAGATGTTGTGGCCTTAGGGTTAGAGCACTGGACTCCAATTTGAGGGTTCAGGTTCCAGACCTGGCCAGGATATCTCTTCCAGGAGGGGGGAGAGAAGTGATACTCCCAGTCACTTCATGCTATGGAAACTGGGATTGGTTCCAGCTGTATGACTGTGCAACTGGACATACCAATTAGTATAGACTTAACCTTTTTTTTTTTTTTTTTTCCTGAACCCCTATGATTTTAGTATACATGTAAACCTTATCGTTGGCAAGTATATGTATCTACAGTTTATGGCATTCCTTGCATGAATATGGAAGTTAAGGTGATTTCTTTGTGTTTTTCTTTGCTTGTAGATATGGTGCTTCTGATAACTTACTTTAGATATTGTGCTTTGTCTCTCCTAGGAGTCACTCAAAAAAGTGTTGCAAGAAAAATTAGAAGCTATTCAAAAATTAACTGAAATAGAGGTAACTGATGGTTTAAGTGCATTTTATTGTGTAGAGCCAATGGAAAAATGGTTGTAAGTAAACATGTGAAAAAGCTTTTTATGCAAGTTGTACCCTTTTGTTCTTTAATTTCTAGAAATCATGTAACAACGCTGAGGATGAATGTCTTCATTTCAAGTCCTTGTATGAAAGATCACAGCAAGAACTTAAAGATTTGGCTGAAAAACACAAGCAGGTAAGGGAATGGTGTCACCCCTGTTATGTTTTTCATTGGTGTCAGTTAACTTTATGTAGTTCATATTATGTTATAAAGCTCAGTTCCTTACTGTGCTGGTAAATCTCACTGATGTTATTCTTACCCTTGTGTAAACTTCTCTGTGACTTACATTGTAATATCTTCTTAACTTGCCAGAGATTACAAGAAATGCAGAGTCTTCAGGATCAAGTTGAAGAAGCTGAAAAGAGACATTCCGCAGTTGAAGAGCAGGTGAATTAATAGTGAAAATGTTTTGTTAATTTGAATGCAGTTAACCGTGCATTGTGTTCAAACTCAAAACAACGAAATCAAGGCATCTGAAATGCTCGAAAGTTACCAATAAAGTCTAAGCCTACAAAATGATGCCTGGTTTAATCATGATGACATTGGTTCATTGATGTATGCACATACATAAAGAGACCAAATTTTTACCAACCAAGAATTTTTTACTTATGTTTTTTTATAAAATAATTCAAATAGTAGATCTTAGATCTTACCTTGAATTGTTTCTTACCACAAAAACCATTTTACATGAGGTGTAGCAGTTTGATATAAATTTTGTTTTTAGGAAAGGTTTAAAAAAGCTTCCTCTTTCATTAGTTATCATTCATTAGTTCTCTATACATTTTATATTATTGTATTGGGAGAATTTGTCTAACAATCAAGAGCTTCTGGAGGGTTTATGATAATTTCTTTTATTGTCATGACCTTAATGTTTGATTTAAGGATGGTTGTTGGGAGAAATTATATGCTTTATCTCTCTCAGGGGTATATTAGGGTGAATGTCTTTTTTTTCCCTTTTGTTTTAAACTTTGAATTATGTTTTATTTGTAGGCTCTTCAAGAGAAAACTGAATTTGAAATGAGACTAAAAGAAGCAGAGCTTCGTGAAGCTTCATTAGCTGCACAGGTTCGTTGATATGAAGAAAAGAAGACAGGCTTTGGAAATGTTAAGCATGACTTCTTCAGCAAACAGGAAACAAAAAAAATCCAGTCTCTCACCATCTGCTCACAGCCATTTTCATACTTAGTTAAGATATCTGCATAATTTGTCAACAAGACACTTTTTGCAATTTTGTTCAGGGTTGCTGAAAGATAAGTGGAATGTTTAGTCAAGTCAGAGTTCTCCCCTGTAATTTATCATCGGCATAAGCATCATGTTTAAACTCACATTTGTGAGCATTTTTATGACGTTGGTCTGTTGCTGTTTTCTGTAACAGTTCATTGGCAAATCCTCAGACTTTGTTGGTAGAGATCTTCTAACTTTAGCAGAACAGCAAACACCAATCTTAAATGCTCTCTCAGTGATTGATTCGCTGACCCATTAGAGTGAAAACTTTGTGTGCTTCTTGATTAAAAGTAAAATTTATTCACTACTTTCTATTTACAGAAAGAATCTTTACAAGCAGAATGTGATTTTAAGAAAGAACAAGTTGAAGCAATGAAAGGTAAAATAGTTTATGACCTCTATCTAAACCAAGGTCTATAATTTCTCTACTGATAAAAAGATTGCATGTTCTGTATGACAAATGTTGTACTCCTTGGCTCACCAATATGATCAATGTACCTGCAATCACTATGATTGATGGCTTCAACCAGGTTGATTTTAAGACTTTGAAAATAAATATTCCTCTTCAGAGAATTTGGATCAATGCTAGTATCTGAGCAAATGTGCACCTACCCACCCCTCCCATCACCTAATAACAAGTCAGGATTAATGTTAGGTTAGGGGAGGGGTGGATGTACAATTGTTCAGATACTGACACTAATCCATTTTGCAGTGTTTCTGAACTTCTCAGCCCCAGTTCAACTCCTCCAACTTCAACTTTGTAGACTAGGCAGTCCTGACTATGCACAATAACAAGTTTAACAAGTCAGTGGTTCTAAGAGGAATTTGACTTCAGTTTCTTCACCGATAAACAGAATTTCAAACAGAATTTGTTCAAACTTAGCAAGGTATTTCCCCTTTGCCAGCAAAAGTTGGTCAGCCTAACCAATAAATCTGCCTGCCAATTCATTTGCACACACTTATACTTTGACTCTGAAAACAAGAGATAAAAGTACAATAAGAGCCCTTAGAAGATGTTTTTACTCTGCCTTAAATTTGGTTTTGTTGATTGTCATTCTAACCATGTTTTTGGCATGATTTTTAGTTCACATTGATAAAACTAAAGATGAACATCGCCAGCCTGGTGCTGAGTACAAATCACCAGTGATCCAGCTACAAGGTATAATTTTATTTCAATTGCATGACATTGTGACAACAAAATTTATTCTACAGGTGTAGGTAAACTGGTGGCAGTTATTACCAGTACCACTTTGGTGAACTCCTTTACAGTAACATTGATCTCACTTGGTACAAAATTAATTACATGTAGATGTAGATTGTGGTGTAATTTCCATATCTGCATTATCTGTTCCATCACTCTGACCACATGTTAAGGCAGACATCAGTCTGTGGTTCATGAACTGTTGGCTGAATGCCAGTTTGTTAACTTTTATAAACATTTGAGAGGACTGGGAGAATTTTAACATTCCTCGATGGGTTTCAAGTTGAGCTATCAGCACGAAAGCTCTTGTTCTCAACAAGAGCTTGAAATGGAAAATATGCATTTTTTCTGGTTTGTTTATTTTACAGGTAGGTTGAAAATTTATTAGCTCCATGATATATTTGCTTTTCCTGTGAATTGGTTTTAATAGTGTTAATTCTTTAAAAGATGGTGAAGAACTTTCAGATACATGCACTGTTTCTTCCTTTGGGAACTTTCTATTTCTACCTTTTGATCAATTATAATCTATGAATTTGAGTTAGAGATGGTTAAAATTTTTCTTGATGACTTTTCTGAGTTTTTTGTTAGGAAGCTCGTTGTTAAGGTTGTTCATATATTCTGTTTCTGTCTTCTTCATTATGCACTATGGCTTATTAGCTGTTTAATAAGGAAATGAATATCTTAAGTTTGCATTTTTCATCTGAGAAATTAACAATTTGATCTGCAGATTTTATTTATTTCTTTACTTGGATGCTAAAGTACGATGTTTTAAAACTTTTTTTCCCAATATTTGAAACTAAATCTTGCTAAGAACAGTTTGACATTGATTATGCAGAATTCTAGACGAATTTTTGTGAAATTGCAGCCAAACTTTTTGCTGGTATCTCAGTATTCCAATACACATATTTTAATATGTGCTAACAAAACAGGTACCAGCAGGTACTTATTAGTTGTCATTGTGATACTGTCAACTTTTTTCCAAATAAACCCTTTGAAATTAGGGGATAACTAATCCCTTAATCACCCAAGGATAAAGTGCAATAATATTTATATTTTGATTCAATACTTACGATAATCAACATTGATAATCAATGTTTTATCTACTCTAGTAAAATTTATATTCATGAATAAGAAGGACTTATGCAAGGAAACATAGAATTTTGTTATATAACTGATATACTAAATTTTTATGAGAAAAATCTGATTTGCTCAAAAACCTAGTTTTATCTTGCTGGTAAAATTACAAGGAGATGTGCAAAACATTTTAAAAGCAATGGATTATAGTTAATGTTGGTTTTAGGTAAAGACATAAAAATTCATTTTGTAGGGATGTAGGGTCAAAACAAGAAAAATTGTCTCTAAACCATTGGCCTGCATCTCACAATTTGCAAAATTTTCCTCAAGACTAATTTATTTGTTCGCTGGTTTATTGGGTTGGAGTGAAGTAAAGAAAAATGTAAAGTAGACTGTTTGTGTTCTCAGTCAAGTTTGCTCTGAACTAAAACAAAAAAAACTGTGAACACTTTGACATGATTCTAACAGGTCGAGTGTGTGCTTATTAATAAAAGTTAAGTTCAAGATGTGTGCAAACCTCAAAACCAGGGACTAATCACCACTTGTTTTCTGTTCAGTTTTTAGCAGCTGATCTGCCTTTTCATTGAATTACAACACTCCATCAGTGTTTATGGTGTCTGTTGTTTTTATTAGTTTCGTAGCATAAAAACTCTCCGTGAAGAGAATGAGTTTGATGATTGAAAAGATTTGATTTGCTTTCTGAACATTGCTTTGACAGTATTTCTTGTATGTTCCTTATTTGTTGGTATTTGTAGATGAAACTGTCATTGAGACTGTTGATGTAAATGGAACAAGAGAACTGGAATCAGTACCAGAAAGTTTGGATGGTGGTGAGTTGTACAGTTCATACATGTCTTGACATTTATAGCAATTGTTGGCCCAGGAACTTGTCCTTAATAGTCTGAGTGAAATTTTAAATTGCAAGCTAAATGGAATAGACAAATATGTTGTGGAAAGAGTGTTCTTTAACCCTGAAACTCTATTAGTGACCGAGAGAAAGTTTCTCCTTACATTATCAATACAATACCAAGCAGACAGGTGAGGAGAACAACCAAAAAAATCAATTAGGGGATTATTAGCTGATTGTTTACCAAATTCTTGGAACTAACATCATAAGAACTGTTTGAGACACTGTAAGGAGCTTATAAATGAGATCTTGGAAGTGAAATGGTTAAGGTTCTAGCTCTTTTAATCATAAACCTCTGCGGCGTACTTAACTCTCCATTTTCTGCCCTTGTGACAATTCTTGATGGAGGCAGCAGTTGTTTTTCAGATCCCTTTCCTTCTCAGGTTGTTACATAAACCTTCTGAAGAACATACCCAAGTACTTTACATGATTAGACTTTAACCTATTTTCTCTCTGTATCGCATTTGGCCCAGCAAAATAATGTAGTTTAAAATTGTTAATTTTTTTTTTTGATTCTATTTCTTTACAGAAGATGCAATAGAACTGGAAAACATGGAGGACAGTGATCAATCAAACACGGATGATGTTAAAATCCTACAAGGTAAGTTATGATGTAGAGTCCTCGAGATACTAAATGTAGAGTGTAGTTTCACCATTCTTTTGTCTGTTAAACCTTGAAACATATACACGTCGTTTTTTTCCCTCACAGTTCAAGTTGAAAATCTCCAAAATGAAGTTAGTGAAAAAGAAAGGGTTCTGAATTCTCTTCTAGGTAATTTTGAATTAGAATTGTAATTCAGAGATATGACAAGGTATCATTTTTACTCGTGGAAACGCGCAGGGGGATTCGATATGTAAATTGTCTCTCACTTCATCCAGGATTACAACTGGGTACTGGCGAATTTTCAGGACTCAGATGAGATGCTGTGGGGGGCGGGGTGGTGGTAACCTAGGGGTGAAATGGCATTCCATCCAGTGGGGATTAGTAACACTCCTCGTCGTTTCACGCTGGGATAAGCCCTGGCTGGATGGGCTACTTGGCTTTTTGCGAGTATACACTTTTTTATGGTGGTAGGTCTGGATTTCTTTGTGGGAAACAAGTGTAAATATTGTGCCCATTTCTTGTCAACAGAGCAAATAGAAGAAACAAAGTCGTTACACAAAGAAAGCCAGAGTGAGGTGGCGTTCTTGAGAGGTATGCAGCCAAATTAAAACTGATTGTTTTAACCGTAACAAAACTGAATAAAGATGATAACACTGTTGAAATATTTCAGTTTAACGGAGAGAAAAACAAGTCACTCGTGTTATCGTAGGCTGTTTGTGTCAGGTCATTCTTGTGATTGGCGTTGATCTTAAATGGCTTGCTGTGGCTTAGCCCTTGACTCTCGAGATCTGATTATTAATTTTCCCTTATGGTTGTCACACATTTCTCTATATGTTGGAGGAGAGAATTTTAAGTTTTATCACTCAAGAAAAAATCATGAGCCGTCTGCTTGGAAATGTAAGAAAATCGTAAGAAATTTTTGAAAGAAGTTTAGTACTCTGGGCTAGTTATTGGTAAATGGTTCATGTGTTGCCTCGTAGTTATTTTTTATTAAATCCTTTTTATTCCCTTTTTTCGTAGGCGAGTTAGAAAAGTCACAACTAACTGCGAAGGAAGACAGTGAAAAAATTCGCTCACTTGAAGGTACGATGTGGCTAAAATCGTTTTTACCGTCTGTGATTTCTACGTGTACGTGTACAGTCATGGCCTCTTATCTAACTGAAGTGTCTGGCTATATCAAATGTGTAAACCATCTGGAAACAACAACCTCTAACATCTCTAGCCTGCAGTGCACGCGTCCTATTAGTGCGAACTAACGTTGTAAACTCGCGATCGTTTATCCGACCGGCCCTGTTTGATTTGGAGTTAGAGTGGACGGTGGGGGTAGGGGGTGGGGGAAGGGCGAAGAGAAGTAACCTTCACTTCCCCAACACTACCCCTCTACTTATTTTGACCGACAACCGCCCTCTTGGTACAAATTTCTTTCTCTCCCCGGCCTAGACAATCAATATATCGTGTTTCTTTCTTCTATTACAGAACAAGTGGTGGAGCACCATCTTCAGGACATTGATAATCTGTCCATTCCAAGTGACATCGGTGATGATGAAGGAGACCATTTTGATGCCTCTCAGCCTGTCGCTAGTAAGTGGTATTTATTTTTCCATTTTCCTATCCCCTTTTACAATGTTGTCACAGAGGATTTCGTAAATTTCATCCAAACGGAAATTTCTGCCATCTCGAAGCACAAAAATTGTGTCAGCTAAACAGCGCTCCCTTAAAGTATTCGGTGTACGCAGTAATTCAATTCTTTTTTCTGTGAACAGATCATGATGACCATGAAATAGATGAGATAGATAACAGAAACTTGTCTGATGAGATGGATCTTGTCAAAAGACTTTATGGTAAGAAAAGAAGCTTATGCTATTCTCTGTATTGGTTTCAAATAGCTTGACTTGCAGTGTATTGTACCTTCATGTTGATACGGTTAAGGCACTTTGTTCACCAGTTTTTTCTCTCTCTTGGTCCCTGCTGAAGTCTCGTATCAGCTAAAAATTACATGGAACAACGATGAATCAAATCAAGAACACACACAATGTATAACCTACAGCTCATAGCTGTGAGAAACAAGTCGCAACTCGTAGGTTGTTGTTGCAGATTATTTGAGAGTTCCTTGCGCGTGTTCTAAAAGGAAGTACAGAGCATGTTCAAGGAAAACCTGATTAGCTGCGCCTTGCACTAAGAGACTGCGAGCTGGCCTTTAATATGAGTGCTACAGGACGCGCTTTTCTCCGCCCGTGAGAAGATTTGAGAAGAGTCGGGGAGAGGTTCGCCGTGGCTCCGGCACTAATTACCAGTGCTAGACCTCTTGCACTGGCAGGCAACACTTATCATTTCTGCATTACTATTTGCAAATTCGTAAGTAGTTTTATTATTTTGTCAGATCGCATCTGTGAGGTGAAAACCATGGCTGAAGAGAGGCACTTGATGATGATTAGGTGGTCTGGTGAGTAGTGGACATTCATTGAGATGGTGCAAAAAATATTCTCAATCTCATGTCGCATGTTCGTCCAAGGATTGGTTGCAACTTTTATTGTTTAGCATTGCCCGTGACTGTGTAAGGCTTTAAAAAAAAACCAGTCAAGCACTACATAGTCCTGACCTTTACGCCAGTTTCAGTTGAGTGTTGAAAGTAATCTCGGATTGCATCGGTTTTGCTTTACTTCGCTCTGTGATTGGTTTAGAAAACTCGCGCCGCTCTCTCGACCAATCAGATACAAAACTAAAGCCAATTACGACTTGGTCGCTCGCGTTTTCCCGCGCTTCAGGCAGTTTGCTTGCTTTTTTGTCCTGATTGGCTCTTTAGGATATTTTTCTTTCTTCTGATTGGCCATTGTGATTACTATGATTTTGGGCACTCAGTGGAGGAAAGCGCTCTAATGTACACAAAACTACAATGTCATTAGTATTGCTGTATGTGGCTACGTTTTTCCGTGTAAATGCGCTCTAAAAATTACAAATTCTTATAAAAAGTCTCATTTTCTTGTTTTAATTTGTTTCTCAGCTGATAATGATGACGATGACGAAGATGAAATAGTTGCTAATGATGTCACTGCTGAAAAGTCGCATCGAGAGGAAACCTCTGGTCGTAAGTGATGGATTTATTGTTATCGATCTTATAAACGATTTAGAGCGCGTTTCTTTCGTCGTAATGTGAGATGCAAGACAGGCTTTATGTGATTTGGCATGTGACGTACGATAGCGTAATGTGAAACATCTTAGTTTGTTCTGTTACGAGATGCTGATGGCATAACTGACCCAGTTTTCAGAACTCTTTTTAATCATGAAATCTGAGCGGTCTGTAAGGTCGACTGTGGAAGCCTCTTAAGAAAATTTAATACACTTTCTATGCCTTTTGTCTGTGCCTTATCTTTTGTTGTAAGTTGTTATTTACATTAACATGATTCTTTCTGCAGATCAACCACGGAACGCAAGGCAATTGTTGCAAGACAGTTTACACAATGTACAAGACATAAAAGGTAAACAATATTGCATTGTTAGCATGTTTCTTCACAGATATTATGTCGCTGGTAATATATAGTTTCGTGCACTCCTATTGGTCTGGGATTACAACATACATTGCTATTAATACAAATGATTTACGTTTTAATATTATTTTTATTACAAATATTTGACCATTTCCTGTCGTGCGTTAGTAAGCATTAATGTAAGCAACACTATTTGGGTTTAAAATCGTTGTATTTTCGTCGTTTTTTGTAAGAAGCAGTACAAAATTTGGTTCCGTTGAGGGGAAACTTTTCACAATTCGAATACGTAGTGTTTTAGTTGAAAAAAGTAAATTATAAAATTAATAGAATTGGCTTTTATACTTCCGGTACCAAAGAGTTAAAGCCACAACGGAGTTTGACAAATTTTCGCGTGCCCATTAGTCCATCTTAAAATTTCTCGATTTGACTTGAAGTTTGTTGTAATTTTCAGGAGAATTCATTGAAATTGGAAGAATCATTGATAATGAACACGAAGAGTCGCAGCATGTGCAAGGTTTGTAAACTCTTACAGTTTATTACATCAGAAGGAAATAATCGTCAACCGTGACAAGCAGGTCCAATATTTCGTATCTATGACGTTTTTAACTCTTTTAGTTTCATGTGTTGCTTTTTAAAAGCGGCAATTCCTTTTCGGATTTGCTGTTGCAAACATGTGGACAGAATTATTACTGAGTAAGAGATGCAAAATTCAGCTGCATTTTGTCTAGAAAGTTTTCTGTTACAATTGGCGTACATTACCACTTCTCATGGAAACATTTTTCGCTATATTCAGAGGTGGTAGATAAAGGATGCCTTCGTATTGCCGTCGGCAGCAGTAGGAATGACATGCTAATCGAAATGCGGTTTAAGTTATGAGCTTTTTATTTCGTGCGTCAAATATAGTCACTGTATCTCTTCCATTTGGCAATTTGCCTCCCGTTGTGTGTAAAAAGGCACCTGACAATTTTTATTCTACACATGAGCTAATTAATAATGGTTGTTAAAAAACTCTCGAAGGAGAATTCGCTCTTGAGATAGTCGCTCAGATATATTTGTTTTGTTTGCAGGGCAACTGAATGATACCCAACAAGAACTGAAGGAAAATAACGAACTTGTGGTCGAGTTGCAAGGTGGTTTTCTATTCTTACCAGATTCTTTCTTGTTCTTACTGTGTTTCTAACAATACCTCGGCAGAGATTTTGTTAAAAGGAGGTGTGGATGGTCACGTATATTCGTGAATTTGTAAAAGTTGCTTTCTATTTGAACAGAGATTACTAGTATTTGTGTCATGTTCGGTCACTGACCTAACTTCCGAGGTCGAGACTTACAGAATAAATGTAATTAGCACAAGGAGGAGAGGAGACCTTTAGGTAGGAACAAGCAACTGCAGGAAGCGCGGGAAAACGCGGGTGACCGGGGAGTTTTAGATTTACTTGTGATTGGTTGCGAAAGTGGTGCGTGTTTTCTGAACCAATCACATCGATTTTCCTAATGTATCAACGTGTTCTTAACACTGCTGACACTCACAACAGTAACTAATTCATATTTACCACCTCATATTTATTTTGCTGAATGTTTCATAGTTGATTTTATTTATTTAATGAATCTTTTGTTTTAACTTTTTTTTCCTATTTTATTTTGTCCGTTTTTATTTTTATTCGGCGTTTTCATCTTATTTCAGAGGAGCTGAAAAATGCGCAGGCTTATACAAAAGACTTCAAACAGCAAATTTTAGACCTGAGAGGTACTTTGCCGTCTCACCGTTACGTTGCTTTGCTTTCTTTCACTCGTTTGACTTCTAGTATTCACATCATTGAAGTTCTCTCATTTATTGTGCTCTCTTTACCTTTCCCTTCCCGTCATTTTGTTTAATGTGCGCTTTGATTGTTATTGGTCTCGAAGTTATTGTGTATTAAAAACAAGATATATTTATTTTAGAGTAGAATATGGCGTCCTCTCAGTATAGCGGTTTTTCGGGTGCTCGATCGAAATCAAAACTCCCCCAAACCACATGCAGCTACACAGGCCAAGTGAAATACCATCCTTGTCTTAAACGAAACAAGGGAAAGTAAAATCTACGATGTATTTTGATTTTTTTTCCCTAAAAAATTAAAGTTTGTTTGCTTTTGATTTTACAGACAAATTACTTGAAGAACAAGAATGCACTCGGAAAAAAGAAGAATTTGTTGCGCAACTAAAACGTAAGTTAATTGACCTGTAACTACCAAGATTCAATTTGTAATTCTCCCTTCTGGCTGCGTTGTGTCCTCTTGTTAATGAGTTAAGAGAAGGTACTTGTTAATCAAAACTAGGGATTTAACAGAATTCTGTATATTAATTTTATCCCTCGTTGAATCGATCTTAATGTACAGGAGAACTAAATGAACTGTTACGAGAAAAAGATCTCCTTGCGTTGGAGAAAAAATGCGAACATCACGCTACTGAAACCGCCATCAACAATGCGCGGGAGATGCAGAAACAGGCAGCAAAGAGTGCGAAGGATGCTAGCAAGAACAAAGGTCAGTAATTTCTATTGTCTTGAAGAAATGGGACGTCATTAATGGTCTAGGAAGACTAAAATGGTTTCTTTAAATCTGGATTTATTTCAGTGAGGTGTTTAGATATCAGGTTTTTCTTTGCTCCACACAAGGAGTTGTTGTGCCAAGTGATTGAAAATTTTTATGTGGTCGAAAATGTAACAAAATGAAAGAATATTACAGTTTGATTTCAATCAACCTTTTTTTATTGTGGTTGCTGTTACAGTGGAGCTGAGTGCAGTCACAGACGATAATCGCATCCTGAAACAAAGAATACAAATCTTGGAGAGCGAGCTGAAAAAGTGAGTCGCAAACTTTTGAGTTTCTCCACCAGGATACCCAAACTCAAGGACGAAGTCGCTCCTTTTTTCTCAATTTCAATCTGTTTCTAGTCGACCTCATCCCATAGGATTGTTAGGTCTCTTTCACTGTCGTTTTTTACGACTGCGGAAAAGATCCTTCAATCTAGCGGAGTAATTCTTCGGAATAGAAACTATCAATAGCTAATTCACTCATCTGATCGTTTTTTTTCTTTCCATGAACTTAGATACCGTAGGGAAAACAACCGCTTGACCTCTGATCAATCTCGTCTTCAAGCGACGTACCGTGAGATCGAAAACCAGAGCAAATTTTTGAGCGAAAAAATTATGCGTCAACAGGTTTGTGAAGCCCTTGACAATTTTATCGAAGGGTGCTTGTGCTTCCTAATGCGTTTAGGTGGCCTTGTTTTTGGTTAGCGGTATAAGTAGTGTGCTGTTTGTCATTTCAGACTACGCTGCAAGGCAAGATTGAAAGGGAAATAACGGAGAAAAAACTCACTGAAGATCAGGTATTTAAATTTGTTATTGACTAAATGGTGCTTTTCAAGATCGGGAATTACGCTTTTATCGCGTTATAATAAATCTCATTGGATTAATTTCTCTTCGATGACTTTCCAACAATCTTATGAACCAAATCTAATCCAGACTTTGAAATTTTGCGCGAAGAAATTGGCGTGTAACCGGCCAAATTTATCCCTTTGCGCATGACCGAAGTTAGACTGCTGTTATGGAAGACTTCGAGTCAAACAGGTATTCAGCGAAGGAAAGCGTAAAACTGGCGTGTAGCGCGTAAAAAATATGTCACGTGTGTGTTCAATCATATTCATATTCCTCTGATGTGGTTTAGGCCAGTGCCCTCGAGGAGCGACTTCTTGAAACGGAAGTGAAGCTTCAGAAAACGCAAGAGGACGCTCAGAGGGATATCCAAAAGTTAAATGACGCTAATTCACATCTGGTGAGTTTTGCTCTACCTGTAACCCCTTCACAAAAGTACAACTAGAGCTAATCTAATTGTTTAGTTTCATTTGCGTTTTACTTCTTGGGAGTCTGCCAGTGCGGCGTAACTTTAATTTCAGCCCCTTTGTCAGTACAAGGTCAATTTAAGCCAAATTTCCCCTCGGAAGCTTACCTTTATGACGAAGTTTCCTAACTTTATATGCACATCGGGTATGCTAGGTTTGAAGCTCAGAAATTAGGCTGCCAACCAAATGAGGCGGCTCAAAGATGGCGTGCGATATTGAAGGATTATAAGTGCTTTAGCTCAGGAGTGTTATTGTACTTTGCGAGCGATCGCCGGCTCAAACCAGCCAGTGGTCGCCCCTTTTTCATCTGGCGCCTAGCGACAACCCAGGGTAGGTAAACTCATGGGAGTAGCGTAAGGTTTGATCGCATTCAGTTCCGGAATCACATTCTTATAAAGTGTCTTCTGGATTTTTTTTTGTTTTCAGTGGACGTACATCAAGGCTGGTTTGGTGGCATTTATCGCGTTCATTTTGGCATACGCTCTTGGTCTTATTGAACTACATCCAGGTGGAACAACTCGTGTTCTCTGGAGTTAACGAATGTTTCCTCTAGTTAGCGTATACTTTGTATTATTACAACCAAGACGTTTCATTCTTTTGAAAAAGGAACTTTTGGAGTTCTTTCGGACGTATCTAGTGCGTTACTTTATATACAGCCTTTGCGTGACAGGGAATCGTGCTGTGACAAGGAAGGGGCGTAGCGTGACGCGCCTGATTTTGTTGGGGGGGATTGCATAATCTTTCGTAAAAGAAAGAAAATTGGATTATTTGGATTATTTGTTTGAAAAAAAAAATGCCTCCCATAATTATTACTTATTAATGTTAAAATTGGGCAATCCGTTCGTCGCTCCATTTTATTTGGTATTGTTCTTGTACGAGTTGGAAACGTTTTATACTGCATGAAACAAAGTTTTGTTTTCCAATCAGGGTGTGCTGCCCTTTCTCTGTCTTTGTCCATCAATGATTACTTTTCTGTTTTCTCGCGGCAATGTTTACTTTCAGAAAATTCTATGTACCCTTAGTCAAGAAAATCATTGAAACTATTTCCATCGAGATAAAAGTCGGTCTAGAGGAGTTTAAATCGAAATGTGTACTTTTGAGTGGGGAACGAGGAGGGGGGGGGGCCTTTTGCAAGAGAACTAATCAGCTCACTTCGTCAAACTCAGATGCCTTTAAAATCGTTCTTCTTGTTAACACCCGTCGAATGGTATTTTGTCTCGCTTAGGTAACCTTGTGTTTTTCGGGTCAATAAACAAATTTTATATTAATTTGGCTTTCCTTGGCAAGTTTTATCAAATTCGCTACTTGGCAGATGGCGGGAAAGTAACCCAATGGTATTAGTATTGCTCTATATCAATTCCTCACCAACCAGGTTTGGAAACATTCATTTTAAACGTTTATATTTTATTTCATCATTTCTTTGTTTTTTCTCACTTAAATACCCTCATTTAGTCAAAATAGATGATGGGTTTTCCGTTTCAAACGTATTCTAGATAGTTTGTCATTTAAACTCTTTCGACATCTTCATTAGTGTCGCCGTTTTGCAGCCATCTTTCTAGCAGTCTCGTTATCCCAAACGTTGCATATACGGTTATCGATTTCTACGTATCACTAGGATGATCGATTTCGAAATAAAACTGCAGGTTCGGACAAATATTAAACGAACTTTGTCTTTTTCCTTGTGCTCTTTTGGTTGGTTTGTTTTGGATCTTAAGGTCCACGCACCGCCAGGATAGTTGCTAATCAATCGCGCAAGGGATCAAGCGGGGAGGAGGGAATACTCGTAGTCTAGCTAACAATGGGAATAACCAGAAGCTAACGAGCACTCTTCCGGAGACGAGAGTGTTGGATCATACAAAGGACTCTGGTAAACTCCAACTTGGCCGACCAGAGTAACGCGAAGGGTAGCTTCGGTTTGGTGTACCAAATGCTGGTGTGAAACTTGTGTATAAATCTCTTTGTGGCAATCGATCAAACCCTGCCTCTAGAAAACCGTTGTGATTGCATGTACACACAGGCGAAGTGTCTACAGTCACAAAGCTGTAACTATAGGGGTGGTCGGTTGAATATGACAGGGGCTTATCTTCTAGTAAAATCCCTTCATCAAGGTAGTCGAACTGATAATGCTGCCTCGCGCATGGCATTTTCTTCTTTCTCCTTCGGCGCGTGCGTGGTGTTGCGTTGGCGCTGACCGCAGTCGACTCCACGCTTCCAATTGTTGAAGTATCCAAGTCTAAACCACCATTTTGCTTGCTTAACGGCAGAGTCCCTCCATTTCTTACCCCACCCCTGTTAGGATACTTGTTGGCTTTTACGTTCTCTTGGATGATCTGCTCATCAACGACACTGTATACAGTGGAGAGAGGAAACAACATTACTACGTAATAATTGGGACGACTTGGCTCCTAGTCATGGTACCCTTCTTCCCTTAAGTCAAGTACCCCCCCCCCCCCTCTTGAGGGGGTCCCAGGAAGATTCGTATCTCGAGTGGAGAAGTATTCCCCCAAACTGTTATACTCGTGGGTGGAAAGAGGCTCTGGGAAGCGACCAGGGCTAGAACCTAGACCTCTCGGTTCGGATTCCAGCGCGCGAACCGTACTTGTACCATGTCGGCAAACTCCTTGATATTCTCAACAAAATCGGCATTCCATGAACACTTCGACGACATGAGAAAAAATTTAACGATTTAAGCACGAACGTAAACAAACTAGAGAGTAAAAGGAGCGTTACCTTCGGAGATGATTGTCATAGACGAGGAAGACAATAGCCAAAAGCCATAGCAGCAAAAACAGAAGTGGAAATAGAATCAGGCACACTGCTTCTGCGCTTGAGATCTGAATGAGATCACACAGTTGGTTACGTGATTAAAACAGTAAAATCAATATCTTCAAGTAAATAACGATTTCCAGCAATGGCCCCTCTTCGAGACTCCCACAAAGGTCTGGCGCTCGAAACGAAATTCTTTTTAAGTAATTCCCACAGCAATTGATTAAACTTTTTCAGAAAGTGAAGAGGTTTTACAGATTATTGCTGTGTTTACTACCTCTGAATCGGATGGTGCCCCTGAAAGCACAATTACTCCTACAAGGGAGAGGATTGGGGAGAGGGTGGCTGTGAAACCCTACCTTGAGTATGCGCGCTACGTCCTCCGTATTTTTAGGATCATAGTAGCAAGAAAATGTATTGTTAACCTGAAAAACAGAAACAATTTTAGTGTTACTTTTCAAGGACTGGTCAAGATTTCAAGGAAGAGCAAAAAAATTGGAAAAAGAGGTAAAGGTTAAGGGTGAACAGTTAGCTTCTCTGCTCGAGGCTATATTCGAAATATCTTTTGGAAAGCTTTCTTCGACTATTGTCAACTTTTTTTCACATGAAAATTGGAGGGTTGTCCAATACACCCAAACTGAAATTTGATGCCATCATCATTGGTGATGGTCGTTTTATGATCAGGTAGAGATTAGCGCGAGCATTTCTTCTTTACTGAATCGATCGAATCAAGTTAATGCCAGTTCAAACAATATCAAACCCTTTAACCATATCTCACCGTTCCGTACAGCTCCATGTATGTTGGCACACAGTCGTCCATGGTTAAATCAGAGTTCCAAGCACATGAGCTGTACCTTCCGAACAGGTCACTGTTACCAAACGTAAAAGAACACTGTAAAGGAAAAGAACGGAGCATCAAGTTCAATTATCATCCAAGGAAGGGGACAAAAGTGTCAAAATATCCAAGATTGCTGCTCTGGTTTTCAGGCGATCGTTATTGGCGCTTCGGCACGAGTGATTCTTCGAAATTATGAGACCATGAGCAACGGACTGATATTTAGTACTGGACCCCTGCAGGCCCTGCAGCGCTAATAATGAGGGCTCTAGTTTTGCCTCACTACGCTCTATCATTGGTTAAACAAAAATTGTAACACTTTCTCGACCAATCAGATGACATCTTCTGCTTCTGGTCCTTTACTAGCTGTACTACGGTAAGATGGAAGTATTTACTGAGAGCGCTTCGATGGCTCCATGTAAAATCTACCCCCTCCCTCCCCCCTTAGCTTGACATGGAATAAGCAGTCAACAGGCTTGACTTTGTGAAATAGGAAGGAAAGAAACCACGAAGGGATCTGGGAGAGGTCTGGAGAGGAATAACGTCCAGAGAACTCCTTACCAGGCGACACTCTCTTCGCTTACTGTGTTGTTTCGTGGGCGCATTTTTGTCCCCTATGCCCAGAATGGAAGCTTTCAACAGGTAGATTTCAGACCATTTCTCTTATCAATTATGGAAATCTGAAAACTCTACACCTTCAATTAGAGTATCAAGGGAATTTTTGCACTCAAAGTTCTTTAAGAAAACGCAAGTTCTACAACCTTTTCGCAGTAAACTAAAGCTTGCTCGTTTTCCATGAGAATCGCTTCAAACTTTGCTGTTTGGCCAACATCGTACATCACCTGAAAAGATTCGCGGCACATCATAAGTAATCTGAATTATTTTAAGAAGCATTTCTCTCAGGAGCCTAACAAAGAAGCTCAAGAAAAGCCCAACAAATTCCGTGAAAATTAATTTTTTTCGATGGAATTTTATCACCTTGCCTCGATTTCAAGTGATGGATCTAGTTCGCCTTCGCCGTTGATCAAAGACAACGGGCAGCGCCTACACCTTTAACTAGAGTATCAGGGGAATTTTTAAAGAGTAATAAAAAATAGCACTCGTTCACCAGCTTGTCACGCAAATTACGTAACGCTAAATTTTTACATCGATTTTCTCAAATTCCCCTCTTCTGTGTTCCGCTGGTAAGAGTAATGCAGCCCCTTGAATGGTTTTCAATAAAAACATTCATAAACACTATCCTATCTTGCGATATACCAAATACTTACGAAAATTTTGACGCAGGGGCCGAATTTCTCTGTTCGGTGACTACAGGAACCCTCTTGAAAAAACTCTACATGAGTTACCACGCAATCGGTAGAAACTAATCCTCTGCCTGATTGAGAGTCGAAACAGAGATGTGTTAAAACCTTAGGAATAAAATTAAAGTAACATTTCTGACTCGATCACCAAGAATGGGTCGCCAAGGAGTAAAGGGTCTCTAGGGAGCGAAAAAAACGACAAGGGGGTGGAGAGGCACACAGTGGACCCCCAGAACGGGTTCTCTACGATTATCATATTGTTTTGGGACAGGAGGGAGGCTCAGTGTAGATTGAAATTCACTAAGTAGGCGTCAATTTGACGGCTTTTGCAATACACCGACACAAATGCTGAATACCTACGCAAAGGAGCAAGTACTTGAAAATGTTCCTAAGTTGTTAGACTAGACTATCATGATATTAAACTAGTAGAGATAGTATTGTTCAGCTGAATAATTTTGTTGTTTATTCTGTCAGATAGCAGAATAATGCGGTTTCAAAGCTTTAATATCGGCCAAGTGCCGGAAAAGCTTACACAATCGAGGTCTTTTTATTCCCAAGGCTGTAGAAGACTCGGACGACAGAGGAATTGTCGTCCACATCGTAGAGGTGACAAGCACATGACAAACGCATGAGGAAACTTCAAGGGATCACGGCATAAAACTACCGTAACAAACGACATTGTACAAGTACAGACTAATGTCGAAGCGGTAAACAGAACTGAAAGAATTCTGAGATCATTATAGCGTACAACAAGTACAGTCTAGCGGAACAAACGCACTGAAATCGGGAATAGCATGGAAACCTCTCAAATTGATGTCCTCAAAAGATTTCGCTTTCCAAACACATAATATTCTATTCATTTATTGCAAGAACTGCTTGGATCAGTGCCTGCAAACTATACTATTTTTTCCTGCAACAGATGTGAACCGTGAACACAAAAGCCGATCTCTATGTAACATTCGTAGAGGTTAATGAGCGACGATTTAGCAATAACTCAAGTGCACGTGTGAAGTAACGCAAAAACTACCAAAAAAAGTCTAGTTGTTTAAGAAACCACTTCACTAATCCTGTAGCAAACAAAAGTGAGGACCCTTCGGTAGATTTACATTTACACGGCTTTCATTATAGCTTGCTTACCTACCTTGCAAATTACAATAATGTTTACGATTCTGAAATCGACAAGCTGTCAGACGACAAACAGTTCCGCAGGCTGAACTCAAAACTTGAGACAAACTAAAAACTTTACCTTGAACATAGGGCCGCACAACGTAGATTCCGATGAGTATGAGTAAGATAAAGACGATAACCACACAAGGAAGGCAGAAACAAAGCGGACATCGAAGTTTGTCGGCAATATTTTCGCGCATAAGTTCATGTTTACTCGCTCGGGAACGTCGTTCAGTTCGAATATCTGCTTTCTCCCATTTCGATAAACGCGGTTGAGGCTTTGGCGCTTCATCTGGCCGCACAAAACTCGCCATAAACGCGTTTAATTATCCCTGGACGCGCAGTCTTTGCTTTTCTCTGTCTTTTCCACTCCGATCGACGGTAATGAGGGGGTAAATTTGCTATTCATTTATGAGTGTGCTATCATTCCCGAAGAGCGAGACGTTTACAAGCCACTCAAGACTACAATGGACTCAACACAAACATTTGATTGGTGAACGCTATAATGATTAATCATGCGTGTCACAAATGCAGATTAGTTGCTTTAGTGTTGTCACATTTATCACCACGAGCTCTAATTTGAACAAAAAAAACGTTTTTACTGAAATAAATGACAATTACATAATGCAAAATCTCTTTCTTTTTAATTGTTGGCCTTCCTGTATCGATAGATTCGCGACAGAAAATCCAGTGAGAAGAAAAAAAGCGAAATTGATCAACTGGGCGCACGAACTTGCGCCTCACTTTGTCTCCGCCTCTATCCGAGAGCGAGGAAAAGACTGAACAAAAGTAATAAAAAGCAAACCAACAAAAAAGACAGAAAATAAGATGATAACGAAAAATGGGAAATTATCATAATTTGAAGGATTTCTAGAAGTAGATAAGGCGAACAATGGAAGAAAAGAAGAAAATCTGAACGAAAACGTACCGAGAAGAAAATGGTATGAAAGATATAGAAATATGTGTTTTACTAAAATAACCGTGTGGTTTACTTTCTGTAGATATTGATGACGTCATTTCCCGTTTCCGCTGAGTGAAAAATTCCGTACCCAGATTCTACCTTGTAACTGAAATGCTCGGCCTTAGAAGGTCTGGGTACAAGATTAGGGCAGTCAAACGGCAAGGAAACATTAACAGGAATAAGCGTGAAAAATGATGTGAAAGGACTAAGAAGTTTACTGCAGATAAAAAATTTGAACAAATTGTGGTTTCTCAAAGGCTTGCGGTGCACCACTTTAATCTCATCATTATTTATATTACAGCAGTAATTTGACCCTGATTTCATATGTAATGTCCAAAATCAACTTGAATTTGAACTGCTAAGAAATTGACGTAATTTTTTGAGTGTAGGCAGAATATTGAAAGTCACTCGCTCTCTAATAGCGCTCTTCATTAAAATTACTGTCGTTAATCTCGTACCCAGATCCTACCTGTTTAACTGTGGCTGAAATGCTTGGTCAGGGTGCAAGACTTCAATGTCGTATAATATCACTACAAGAGGTCATATGGGTTCCCTTATGATCCATTGATCACTACATGAAGCTGTGATAATGTAAAAGATTAAAATAAAGGGATCGGTCATTATCTGTTGCTTGCTCCTCGGTCATTTTGCGTACAGTATAAAGAAAGATGTTTTTCGTCTTGTCATGTCTTGTGCCCATGAGGAATGAGAACTCAGATTTTTTCTTTGTCCCACGCTCGTGACAAGGCGTATAACATCTTTCTCCTCTTTCTTTACCAAGTTCGAAACTGACCATCTGTCTTATTCTATACCTACAATATGTTCTTTAAAATTTCACATTGCTGTTCTTATCTTTATTTTGTGAGATCTTTGCTAGCAATGTTAATCTTCCAACACTCTCAATAAAGAACCAAAAAAAATAAAATAAACGCAGCGATTGGGGCAAATCCCCATATAGGCTTGGCCAGACTTACGAACAGAAACAAGCGAAGTTGTGGAAATTTTGATAACTTTTTAGGCAAGGTAAGTAAAATAATTGGGGGCCACGGTTTTAGCTGAACTAAACCTGTTCCCCTTTCCCCATTCACCATTCTCCATTCCCCATTCCCCATTCCTTATTTCCTATTCCTAATTTTAGCACTCCCTTATATTTTACGATAGCGGTAAAAATATTCTCTATGGACTATGTTACAAGTTTGCTTTGTATTAAAACAAAATCAAGTTATTCAAGTAACTAGACGTTAAAAGTTAAAATGGTGAACTTTTGACGATCTGTAAAAACGGAATGGAGAACGATCTTGTCTCTTAAAATGCCTCCGTTTTGTGCGAGATACTTCATTGACAACGGGATAAAAATGTCATCTGTACAGCGCAATAGATCATTATATGTAAGCAAACCAAATATTTTATAATAGCGTATAAAATTACGACGGCTTGTTTCCCTTCAGTTTAAAACTGTCCTCGTCTGATTCTATGTAGCCAATATTTGTCAGAACTTCAAGTTGTTAGTTATAAAATATGATTGTGAACTTACGCTAAATAAAACACAGCACCATAAATAATACTTCTGGCAATTTGTTCTTCAGGAATTTTTCCAAGATAAGAAAAGCTAGCGAACATATTTTTGCCAGTGATTATAACGTCTGTTCAGAGCGGGTGGTTAACAAAATTAACCAATCACATCCGAGCTGGCGAACGTTGTTTGAAAACGACGCTTGTTTTTCTAATTATTGACATGCAATATGAAAAATTCTGGAGTTTTCCTACCGTTCACACTTTCATGAATTCCTGGAGTGGGGTTTAGTGGTTTTACAAATTATATAGCTGTCATTTACCAAAATAGGCCTGCTTTGTTTACCTTTTAAACGCACGTTTTTCGCATTTCATCATTGGCAAGTTTTTCTGCACTCAGCAATGTTGGGCGTTCGAGGAACTCGGATGCAACGAAGCGTAAACACGAATTAAGTTACTAAAGGTAGGTACAAACCTTCTATGAGACTTTCAACCCTCAATTCTCCTCAGAGAGACTTTATCTTCCAGAATTTACCCATGCATTTTGCAGCTGCATAGCTCCTCTTGCTATTTATGATAGCGGAGAGACGTTTTAAACTGAATTCTACCAATCGAAGGTTTAGTTTCAGGTGAAGTAATAGGAACTTTCGTTGCATAATAACCTGCTATCCGAGCGTTATGTTAGCGTCGGTTAGTGTTGTTGTTTTTTTTTTCTTTTCCGTGGAATGCGAACTCCATCGTATTAGCAAATTCAGCCGGTTTAGTTTTGAAGGCGTCGCGGAAGAGCAGATAGTTAATTTACCGAGGAACTCTCCTATATGGCAGCTCGATTCAAGTTCAACGTTGAATTTCGGGTTTAATTTAAAGCTTGGTATAGGTGGGGCGTCCGCTTTAAACAGCCATTGGAAACTCGAAGATGAAAGCGCGATGAAAGTCTTCACAATCCCCCCTTTTTTATGTCGCTCTCCTTCAATACTGACCTACCCATGCTGTTCTTTTCCACACGAGTCTTTTGAGGGAAAAATACTGTTGTCAGATTATTGCATTACACTACTATCAACTGAATCTTATCGAGTTTCTTATTGTTGAACAATCAAACATTTTTTTTTATAGTATATTGTGTGTAGAGCAGGTAACAAACTGATTCTACAATCTAGTATTATCAACTGAGTTGATAACGCAAATTGGCCGTCGCGATGAGTTTCAAAGCTGTCTCAATGGTCTGTAAATCAAATTGTTACCTCCCCTTTTATTGTATAGAAAAAACTATGGAATATATCCAATTTCTGAGTTTGGAACATCTGGAAAGGGAAAACTATAGAAGCTATTTTTCATTCCAGGCTCAATTAATGCCAATGATTTGTTTCCAAAATATGCATACCACTCTCCAGTGTAGTAATCTGTTATTTCGACTCGAAACATTGTTATTTAACTCCCACGCTTTCTAAATCAAGATATGACCGAATGAACGGAGAGATATGTAATAAAAAAACTGTTTAATTTATTTTCCTTACCCAAACTCATACAATCAGCCAGTGAGTCGGCTGATGTTTATAGGAAAAGGTGTAATCATTAATTAAGTCACAGGAGTCGCGAGCTTGGATATACTCCTGAATCATTTAAACCGCAATTAGTTTACATGCGAGTGTTGCATAGATGACATCATCTATAATACGCCGAATGTATTGAAACGGAAAAGCACAAAAAAAGAGATTGCGTCCGACACTGGGACGAATGAATGAATTGTTTACGGACAACGATCACAGCCGACAGAAACCCTTAACTGCATCTTTGAGCATACTCAGTAGACCATGATTATTCCGCCAAAAGAGCAAGGGAATTATAACGTTGGCGTTTTCGAAAGCTCCTTTTCAAAATGTTTTCCGTTCACACTTTTAAAAAACCCAAAGCTAGCGTTTTCAAATTCAAACATTTGGATGAGCGTTTTCAGAGTTTTGTGTCTAGACTTACTTGAATGATACGCCTCTTCGAGAAAACCTGGTTGCGATTTTGGCCATGTTCACAGAAATTTCATGATCGGATTGGTAATGAGAGGCAGCAATCGTTGGTAGTGAACCATGACATCTGGTACACAGAAAGCAGAAATTTTTCCTCTCGTATCCATCTGCACTGTCCCTGAAAAGACGTTCACTACTTTTCGAATGCTAACTTGAACCTTTTCTTATTTTTTTACAGCATGGCCTCTTATACTTTCGAGAATGATGCAGTCCTCGACCGGAATCAGAACATTACACGACAACCAGCCAAAATTAGCCGAGTAAATGTCTCCGATGACGAAGGAGACCAAGAAATATCGCCGGGATTCCGTGGTCGATCCCAGAGCTTAAAATACCTCAATGAACGAGAAGAGACTGAGACCATATCTAGGTCAAAAAGCCTCAGGGATGTAGACACGGGAGATTTTGACAACGTCAAGGCTCGGGTGTCTTATGTTGATAGCTGGAACCCAGTGAATCCTGTAGGGCGGGGTAGGATAGCAAAAAAGATTCAAAGCTGGGAGAATTTGGACGCCGACGGAGACAACATGTCGAGAGACACAGAAAACGGATATGACAGAAAGAGCTACAATAGCTCAAATTCTTCACGAAAGCAGAGTTACGAGGGCTACGCGAGATATGGGTCGGCTGCCTCCGGTGGATGGAGGGATGAAAGATACGAGCAGTATGAGGGATACAGCCAGGAAACTTCTGCTTCGTATCTGTACAGCGACAGAGACCTAGACGATCAGGTAGGGGAATCAGATAACAGCAGATGTGCGCTAAGTTTGAAAGGAAAATTCCGCGTTTGTTTGGCTTGCCGATCGGTAAATATCGGAATTATCAAACGAATAAAAGGTATGATAATTCTTCACATTTGACCTGATAGTCTAAAAGGGTTTCATGATAATTGGAAGAGAGAGTGCCGAATTACTGTAAAAGTGATACGTTTTTGATTGACGCAAAAACTGGATAGACATTAACGGACACGGAAATTCAACTGAGTTTGAATTATTGAAAGGAAAGAAGAAAATGAATGAATCTGTAATGATTTAGAACATCAATGATCACCAATAGGCCAAGTAATCATTTAATTCCCGATCGTCGGTCAAACTCAGAGAGTTTCCCTTACACCGAATTGCGTGTCGTTACATTCTTTGGATCTCTCTAAAGACAGGTTTTCAAGTTCTATTTAGGTATTGACATTAGACTTTGGAAGCTAAACTTATTCATTGCGTAGCAACACATGTAAGCAATGGGATTAGCCTCTTTCACACAATTTTTTGTCGTTTATCCCGAAAAATTCACACTAAGAACTCTCTGAGGACAGAATTGTACAGTCAAGTTATCGTCCAGTGGCTAAACTTGCCCGTTCATTTATGAATACTGCAGTTGTCATGGGTGTAAACGGGTTAAATTGATACCGAGACATTCATGCTGATTTTTCAGTCACTTTGTTTGACTTATCTTCCCAACCTGTCCTTGAACCTTTGTAATGCTAAACAGAAATTTGACGAACAAACAGTGAAACTTTTCTAAAACAAATTTAACAACAAAATTTGTTTGGGCAACAAATGCTTGTGACGATTGAGCGGTGTAGCCCAAAGCAAAAGATTTTAAATTTTAAATTTAAATTCCATGCATTTTTCGCATCATTTGGGAGACAAATTCTTTGCAGAAGGAGACAAAATTAAAGGAAAAATGTTTGAAGATCCTCTTCTGGATCCCTTCTAAACACGCTGTTGTAAAAGGGATTTTGATATAACACTTGCTTGGTCTGAAGTAGACCTCGTCGGACGGTAAACTCTTTAGAAGCCGTTGTTTGATCTTGTCACGCAACAAAACTGTAACCTAAAAAAAACGCACTGTAAAGCCAGAACCCCGTTTTATGAGCAACCGTGAGGAATGAGATCTAAAGCTGTACTTTGGACATCCTAGCGCAAAATTTAATGGCCTTTCGCAGGTTGTCACGTTTTGTCACGCAACGCTCAGCCAAAGTGCCATAGCGATATGATAGTATATCACTTGTTTTCAAAGCTATTTTTAAGGAGGCGCAATAGTGCCAGTTCCACTGTAAAGTTCCCGATGACGCCAAGGAAAGTTGTGACGATTAATTTCGTCGTAGCCACGTTCTAGCGCATTCCTAGCGATTGCAAAAGCTATCAGCCCCTCCATGTTTGATGTCGTTTACGTAGTTCCTTCCTGCGTCGCAATTTTAATTAAACTCAGGGGCCTAATTATGGAAGAGAGCGATGTCTACCTAAGTGCTTTTCTCACGGGAAAGCGTTTATCAGAGGGAAAGTGGAACTAGCTATTTCAAGCGACATATAATTACTTTCCATGGTATTTGTGCCCTTTAGAAGCCATGCAGCACTCCTTACGTGAGCATAGTCTATCATATCAGTCAACGAAGTAAAACTTCGCTTTGCCTTTTATTCGATCATCAGTTGACTCTTCCATATGTCATAGGAGCTGGTCATGATAATTTTTTTCCCAAGGACACTTTCTGATTGAACCAGATGTCAAGAAATTTAATCCAGATTTTTCGTTGGATTTTTTTTGACGTCTAAGATTATTTCCCATGCACAATATAATTGCATACTCTCACGCCAAGAAAGTGATCCTTACGAAACGCTCAACTTCTTTGTTAAATGATTCAATTATTAAGAGGGTATTCTTCTATCAATCGAGGATTAACAATAAAACAAACCATCAGAGCAAATATAAAAACGCCCTATTTTGGTGATATTGGCTACTTCAGGAGCAAAGAACGCCATCTGCGGTTTGTCGCTCACCCTCTGTTTTGCTCTCACAACTGGCTGGGAGCCTGAAAAAGTTTAATAAATGCAACGAATATTGTTATTCTTACGGATGGTGCGTTCCTCAAAGCAAACATCATCCTAAAAACTCACGCATTATACAATGAGACTAGAACTTTCTGACAAAAAATTTACTCTTATTTCTGAAAAGATTTCATAAATCACGAAGTCATAAAAAAAATAGTTCATGAAAACACAAACAGTTTTCACTGGTATTTCAACGCTCAGCAGGTGTTTCCGCGACTAACGTACCGAATTTCAGTTAAGGGGTTATAAATATTTTCTCATTCTGTATTCACTGCCATGTACACGAGGAAGAATGTTAATCTATAAAAAAAACAAATACAACACCAACTGTATGGATTTTGTGTATCAGCGTGTGCGTTGAAACTTATTAAATTCGTGCAAGGGATGATTTTTTAATTAGATACTGAATTGATGGTATATTGGCGAATACCCTTGCCGATCCGAATCACGTAACATGAAAATAATTATCCCCTTGACTTTACTGAAAACTCTTCCTTCGAAGTCTCAAAAAAAGCTTAATATTCAGGTTCAAAAAAGATTTTGAGCCTGATCGCTTCAGTGTCGAGGTCTAATATTTTAACCTTGCCTAGGAGTTCAAAGAATCACGTTCCCAGTTTCCCTCTTTGTGACAAAATGAAAGACCTTAGAAACAAGATGGCGTCTATGACATCATTATTGGCGATCTCGCACCGGCGATTTTTAAATCTTTACTGAGATCGCCGTTGTAAAATGATCTCTTTATACCATTCATTGATTAATTCAACTGTGATCAACATGCTGTGCTAGAATTCGAAAATTTACGCGAAGGTCAAGTTCACCTTCATGCAGAATTCCTAGGATAAATAGCCGGGGAAGGGGCTATCCCCTCACTGAGCGTAAACGCGACCCTTTTGTTTTGCTGGATGGGGTGAACTGTTTCGAGTTAAAGGTTCTGCAAATGTCTGTCGAGGTGCTTGTCATTGAAAATTTGGGGCAAAAAATGTACTGTATATTCCCACAAGTTCTCTTTTACCCTTCCTTTTTTTTTACGCGGCAGATGAAGAATTTTATTTGCTCATGCACGATTCTTAATTCATACGGAAGAGAAAATTTTGTCAGACTTGGTTATGATCTACAGAGCAAGGGTGCTTTGGCGACCAAACGCGGTCCTTAAGCGACTCCTAAGTACTACCCCCTAAAGTAGGTGACCGCCACCTTGAATACTCAAAGTAGAGGGAGACTAGGGAGAGAAAGAAATGTCTTCAAAGAGGGAAGAAGGGGATAAGATTAGGCCTCCAAGTTCTAACTGAGTCTCCCCTCGTTCACCCTCAGACGCAGCAATGACAACGTTACACCTGACTACCCGCTCTGTTATTATAATCTGTGTGAAAACAGACTCTTTGAGACTATGCTACAAGTTTGAAGAGAATACAGCATCGCACGTTAGAATATCAATTTATAGGAGAGAATATTAATATCTGTAGAGGTACAGGAACTCGACATTACAGGGAGAGATTGACACCTGTATCGCGTCTAGTTTTCCCAACACAAATCGTCGAAACCTTTGGCAAGGCTTGCAAAATTTAATTCAATTTAAAGATCAGCGCGTTTTCCATTTCCGGCCGATATAAACATTAGAGTGAATTAATAGTAACGAAAATAGACACAAGTCAGAGACCAATTTGATTCGTGGCTTGAATAAATTGTAATTCAAACATCCCTTCTCCATTTCGATAAATAAAGCAGTAGACAGAATAAATTATCAAAGCTTGAATAACGTTTTGATTCGGAACTAAATTCTCAGAACTTATGTCAAAGGAAGTGTACGGCAAACAGAAAGGAGAATGTCTATTTTCATCTTACAAACTCAAGAGGTTAATGAAAAATCGGTCAGGTAGAATTTTAACAAGTTTGTATTCAGGTTAATGATCTATCAGGCCCACGAAATGATTTCTCGTTTATTTCCGACAAAGCAGTTACTTTGGACCTCAGAAAAGGCGTCTAACATGTCAGGTAACTTTGCTTTTGAAAGAAGTTTGAAATATAAAGCTTCTAATGATCTCTAACTTAGGAGAACTGTTCGACCGTAGTGAACGTAGTATTACTCGGCCGGTGTTTGTTATGTTAATGTAAACATGTCCTTCAAACCAAATTTCAGTCGCATTCACGCTGACGAGCTTTCCTCAAATAAAGCTCCTGGCAAGGTAATATTGTTTGCTGTATGAATTCGCTGAGATGAGCTGAAGACGACAATTGAATTCAAATACAAACTTGCAAAATTAGAATTTAATTCAACCGTTTATAATTTCCTGCCCTCCGCGAGTGCCTGTCTTAAACATCAGGAAATTTAGTGTGTTTATTCAAATTCCAGTTTGTGCTTGATAAGTCTATCACCAAATTTTTTAGGAAAGTCGGGTTTTCAAGGAAAATTTTCTCTTATCCTCCATTTAAACACAGCCGGGGAAATCTAACCGAAGAGAAACTTGTCAAACTTGTGGGTTAAATTTAAACCCAAAGTGATCTAGCACTCAAACGCTGGCTCGAGGATCAGTTGATTCAAACGTTCTCTGACAAAGTTGATCTTCTCTGGGTCTCTTCAGCGATGTTTTCATTTTTAATAGAAAAAATATTCCCTGCTCTAAATTCTACACTGGCTGCATTTGGCGCAATTTCCTGGCAATCCAAAGAGAGTCATTTGAATTTAGTAGAGTAATCTTATTTCCTGACAGTTGTGTGCCTCTATCAATCCGTAATTTTTGCAACTAATTATCGTTTGAAACCTGGCTCAATATTTTCTGAGTGATCATTTGTCCAAGTAGCACTCGTATATTCCTGTTGGAACTTTCTAGACAAACGATGTTCATTTGAGTTTTCAGTTTCTATTGCAATTTATTAGGTCTTCTTTGTGCTCCTTGTGTGTCACGCTTTAATAATTACCTCGCGAGTTGCGTGACACTCCTAGGTTACAATGTGCGAGACCAATAACACTCCCCTTCCATCTCTACCCCACCCCATTTCTATTCCTAATCATTCGACTTTTGTTTTTCTCTTATTTAGTAGTTTTCAAAAGCAGAGATAGGATCGTACGCGTCCTCACGATTCTTGAAATGGGCCCCAAAAAGCAAAAAAAAAAAAAAAAGCAATTGGTCTCGGAGTATAACGCATGTTCTGTAAATGGTTTGAAACAAGGAATAAACAATATCGTGCTTGTCCTGAAAATGCGTAATAATTTTAGTTTATATAATGATAATGATGTTAGGATTTCTACAGAGGCATATTCATGAGTTCATGGCGCCTTACACGTTCGGAAGCTTCATTTGATCGGAATCTAGGTTAGAAAAATTGAAATCAATCAGTTATCAAGACAAAAATTTGTATATTAAAAAAAATTGGTTGTTGTTGACTAACGTTTAGATGACATAATCAGCAAAAAGAAAGTAATCACGCGAGTATAGTAAGAAACTGTTTGTCAGTTGAGTACATCAATGCTGTAAGGTCTTGTAAGTCTGTATCGTGGAAGTGATGGGTTAGTTTTGCGGCAATTTCATTGACTGCGTGACTCAATTGTGAATGTCGGACGAAAATAAGCTTTTGTTCGTATAATGGGTTCCGCTTTAATTTGATTATCGAAACGTCAGTCATTCTATAAGCGACATAAGCCTATATTATGGCTGCCTCTAACCCTTCGTATGATCGGTTATGAGCTATTTCACTGTTCTGATGTATTACAAAAAATTACAAAAGGTTTATTCATTAAAGTGATGTGGAAAGTCTGTGGCCGTCGCATGGTCGGGTGTTTTAAGGTGTTTTCGGGCGGTCTGCATCCCACAATATTAAACTGGAATTGATAGAGAACATATTTATCAATATATTCAAGAGATGATTTACGAATTTTCTAGATCTTACCGGCATGGGCCTGCACCATTTAGAAGCATCTGGGTATGAAATTATTATGATATTAAACACAACTCCATGTCAAATTAATTTTTGATTCAAGTCTTGTTACCTGTTTTTCACCTGAGGGAATTTTTGCACAATTAAAAAAAAAGAGAGAGGTTTGACACCAGAAAAATTAAAATTCACTGAATTTCCCTGAAAATGTCACCGTATTAATTTTATCTTGTGTGATATCAAATCCCGGAGCGGTTTATAAAATATTCGTGGTATTTTTTATTATTATTCGCCTCTTTCCGCAAAATGATTTCAACCTCCGTAAAAGAACAAATTATGATCGGTTGTTGAGACATGTTCTCGAAAATTCGTTTCGTTGTTTTAACGGATTGGGAAAAACGCCCCTACCGAAACTACGAAGGAGGGGCCGATCATTTCCATATTTTGAATTTTTCATCACGTTCTTTCTTTTCAAGGTCACAAAGGTCAAGTTGCTTTGCTATGGTGTGGAAAGATGTGGTCGCATTTCGCAAACCTTGTATGATCTGCGTTGGCGAGGTGGTAGTTTAGTTTTGGATAAGCGATAATGAGATGACGAAGATAAACTATGTTGCAAAACGCACTCGAAACGCGATTTCCGTTGTTATGAGGCTGCGTCATTGTAGATGGTTCGTGAAAAATTTACTCTAAATTTTTCAAGGATGTTATTAGCAATCCGTTTCAATCTCGTCCATTCCTGGCCATCCTGGCACCTTTTTCGTTCATCAGTTACTCTAACATTTTTTTCAGTATTATCAAACTAAAGTGTTGTCTCATTTAATAACGAAGGCACTTTCGCACAACTCAAAAAATGACCCTCAATCGACTTTATAATTAATTTGTCTACGATGTTAAGTACCTAAAAGGCTAAAAATTATCGTCAATTTAAGAAAAAATGTCCAAAATTATAGAAATTCTTCGAATTCGTTAAAAAAGAATTTCCTTAGCAAACCTAACAAAAACAATTCAAAAAAAATTACCAGTTGCAGGGATTAAAATCCGGAAAAAGGTTATTCCTGTGTCCTTAAACACTCTATAAAAATAACAGTCTTCCTGAAAATTTTTTAAGCATCACGTAAAATTGTACTTAATAGAAAAGAACGTTGAGTGTAAAGTGATTTTTAAAGTTAATAAGCTTTTATCGTTCCTTTGGGATCGTTCAACCAAAATATGTACATCTGATTGATAAATATTATGTTAATCACATGAAGTAAGCTTTCTCCCAAAATTGTGACGCACTAACATAGGTACCTGGCTCTTCCTGATAGTTGAAATTTTAGCAATAGTATATGATGAAACATGATACGTAAGAGCTTCCCTCAGCTGAAATGGTCGCGTGACCCATTGAACTCTCGTTAAGAACAAAAGGCATTCATGTCACGCAATACTTCTGCAGATCTGTTTCTTTTTCAAGTCACGAGTTAAAAGCAATTACTAATGTGTTCCTAATTTTAGTTTCCGATGATATTTTAAATTACGTGCTCTTCTAAATTACTGAAAAATCGACGCCGTTTCCGTGCAAAACCAAACTCTCCACCAGTAAGATTGAAAAGATGGAAATAATTCATTCAGTTGGAAGCCACAAGGGGTCTTCACTTTACATCTTTAGAATCTGTCCTTTGAGCCAGCGTATATTTTGGTCGCAATCTCTTAATTTTTTTTCTCCATGAAATAATACTTCATATTTGTAAACTCTATATGCTTTGATTTCAAAATGAATAAAACATTTGTCGATTAATCAATGTTTTGAAACAGCAGTGTCTTTCAGTCACGATTTCTCCTATGATGATTGAGTGTGATGGCGTTGCGGTAACAGAGATAAACAAATTTGACGTTTGTTGACAAGATTGTTTTTGTTACAACAGAGTGAAAATTACACGAGAAAACGAAGTGAGAAGGATTACAAATGTTGCCAAGCGATACCAGAAAGTTGGTAAGACACAACATTTCTCATCGAGCGTTGCGTGACAAATATCCCAGACTCAAATCTGCCCTCTTGAGAAGCAACTTTTGTTTACCAGGCGATCAAATTGCGGCAGTCTTATTGTTCGTGACAACTAACACGCCTTTCCTCTATGTTGGATTTTTATTGGCTTTCAGTGCATTTTTTCTTGATAAGGATGTCCTATAGGAGAGCGAGATCCCAAAATATTCGGCATTCAGTTTAACGGAGCGGTTCCTGTGTCAAAGGGGTGCATTGGCACAAAATAGTGTGAGAACTATTCGGGCTGAACAGATTGGTGCGTGTCGAGCGCAAGAAGATTAACATCCCTCTCTAAACCTCTAGGGATCAAATCAACAAAAATGGACGTAAGAATCACACACTTGACGCCCTATTATGTATCTCTGTCCATCAGCTTTATGTATGAAGTATAAACATGAATAATTCAAAAACTATTTGATTGGTCGCGGCCTGAATACAGAAGACAGGTTGGACGATCTATATATTCCCGTCGATTGGCGGGCTCGGGGCGTCTTTTCTTGAAGCTTCCAACTACAAAGCGACTAAGGTAGCTTGTAGTTGTCTCTCATAAGTTGACACTTTTATTATCCTTGTAGATCGACACCAAAATGCCCGATACAGATCCCACGGCCTCGGATGCCGAGTGGAAAAAGATTCAACAAAACACGTTCACAAGATGGTGCAACGAACATCTGAAGTGTGTTAACAAATACATTTACAATCTGGAAACAGACTTAGCCGACGGGTTAAAGCTTATAGCCTTACTGCAGGTCCTCTCGCACAAGAAAATCGCTAAATACAACAAGAAGCCATCGTTTAGACCTCAAAAAATGGAGAACATTTCCATAGCACTCAAGTTTATCGAGAGCGAGAACATTCGACTTGTAAATATCGGTGAGTACAACTACCTCCCTATTCAATCTTTTTTTGCATAAATGCAGCTAAACGTGTTCGGTAATTATTCCTTATAAATGAATGCAGAATTCCATTCTGCAAAATCTTTACGACCACCACTAGTGTTACATTCTCTCGTATGAGTATTTGTCTTGCTATTTGTGGCATAGGACCTTTTAAACTCCGCTATAGACAAACAACCTTAACATAGTCAATATTTTTGAGCTGGTTTTTGATCGGGTCGATGGAATCTTTAAAACAGAACAGTCAGATAACGCTTTTGTGAGTGCCATAAATATGGGTTGACTCGGCGTTACAACCACACTACCATATTTAGTCATTTCTGCCTACTTCAGACATTACAAGAAATAATGCAGACTGTTCAAATTTGCTGTTGTCTAACAGAGCGGTCGTTTTTGGCCGTTTCGTCTGTTTGTTCGACTGCGACCGCGAGGAAAGCACGCCGAATGATTTATCGCCGAAGACAATTAGTATTATTTTGGTTAAAGCTGGAAAAATTTACCAAAGCTTTCGTTCGTGTGTGCCATGAAGCCAGGGCGTTCACCAGATCTTAGCACGCAAATTTTTCAAAGGACGTAATTGTACTTGCAACTATCTTCAGGCTGACTTAAATTTCTGATGTGTATCTGCGGTTTTTTTGTCAGATTTCTGAATGCTTGCTTGTCTTTCAAATAAATGCCGAATTCTTTTGAACTCTTGAGGTCGCGATCAACTATTCGATCGTGTGTTCCATTCGACTAGCTTGTCGATTTCCTTTGAAATCTTCTCATAGAGCGCAAATTTAATTATAAAATCACACTATCACAACCAAGAAAACTTGCACAATTGGAAGTGCTGGTCTGCCAGTCGTAGCAATCTTACAAAAAAATTTCACTGTTTATTTAATGTCTGGTTTCGTAAGTTTAAAGAGTGTCAGTTTTCTTGTTTCAAAACCTACGAGTAATCGTTTACTATTCAGCTCAACTCATGTAAACAAGAAGTGAGAGTTGACCAACAATTAATCTCTCGAAACTTCTGGATTAAAGTTTATCGTTTAAAACGGTGATTTAGCGTACAATTTACGACATCGATCACAAATAAGGTAGAAATGAGTTGTTTGATGCACTGCAAATTATGAAACTCCAGCGAATACTAGTAATATCTGCAGACATCTTGGGGGTTCGGCCGCACTCATCCATGTTAGATTTAAAATTCAAATACAAAATTAACTCATGCATGAAACCTAGCGTTTCGCAAGTGTATGAATGCATTTCCTCCCCGCCTTTTTTACTCTGGGCTTAAAATAAAACCAAGTAATGGAGTCGACTGCCAGATTTTTATTCACTGGATTTATCCGGTAAATGGACAATTAAACCTCAAACATGACTATGCAATTATTTACAAACACAATGTAACTACTGGAGTCTTCTTTGACAGAAGTTTAATGAATGATCTTTCAAGATATCTTTAAACACAATAAAAGTGCAATTACCTTTGTTAATAATCTGTTTGGAATTTCAAATGGAATCTCGGACTTGTTTCATTTATTTCGATCTGAAATACCACAAAAGTTTGGTCTCAATAACTTGAATAAACTTGCTGTGATCAGCTGAACATCAGCATTGTTTGTTGGCTAAACATATGTTTCAAAAGTCAATTAGAGAAGTATCATGTTGCATGCTTTCAAAATATTTCTCTAGCTTTTTGAAAGTTGAATAACCCCTTTTACATTTTGAGAGTGATTAACTTAAAACTTCTCTTTACTGACTGAATGCACTCTCAAGCAAGGAGGTTATGAGAATAGGTAAAATTAAAAAAAAAAGGTATATTTTCGGGATAGAACTTAAATTTCCCAAGGACAACCAAGGGCAGTTGTGCATTTGTCCATTAGAAAAAAATAAGCTTTCATAACTTGGGAATTAAAGGGTTGCATGATGAGAAACACACCCCTTTAAAGCCACAGCTTTTGTTTATGCTTGTCAGTACTGTATATTACTTCAGAAAGTTTTGGTAACAATATCATAAAATGTGAATTTCCTTATGGAATACATTGCTTAAGTATTGACATTTCATGCAAGAGACAACTGAACTTTCAAGAGTGTGGACCCTTTGAGTGTCCATTAGTATCTATTGAAACTGAAAAAGAGAAAAATTTGCTAAAACCACAAAGTTGCCTGAGGTGGAAATTTTTATAGATAAGCAAACAAACAAAAGGCAAAGACTTCTCTATCTAATCCTAAAAACTTGAAGCCAAATTTTGAAAGAGAAAAACTGAAAACTGCAGTGGATATCTAAATTGAAAAGCTGAGATTTGTGAAAAACATGATATATGAAGCCCTCCTCCTTCTTGAAGCTTGTCTTCTTGAAGTTTGTGAACAATATCAATGAATATTACGAAACAAATTGTTTGATATCCTTAAATTGATAAATCAATATTCTAACAATTGACTTTGATGCTTCTAGGACACAATACGTGTAAAATTGGATGTGCTTCCTTTTTCCAAAAACTTCTAGAAGATACTTGAATTCAAATTAGGAGGAAGTTTGTGTGAAATTATGAATATCTCATTAGAGAAAAAAGGAAAACCAAGACAAAAATAGCCTCATAATTTTTTTAGGTGTCTGGTTTGACTGGTTACCCATAAAATAGTGTTTACCACAATAAGAAAACTGCTGATCTTGCATTACTTTTGGGAGTTTGAAGTCTAAACTAGTTCCAATGATGTTATTGTGTTCTCATGTTTTTATTTTCTGTTTGCCATCATAGAATACTGTCAGTAATAAATATAGTCTGCAACATTTTTCAAATGTTATATCATTTCATATCTCTGAGATATGCACTGTCAAAAATAATTTTCTGGTATCTATCTATCTTACCCACTGTAAAACTAAGAGACAGCTTTACAACACAGACATTCCTGCAATGTTGTAAAGAGAAAGGGAATTTTTTCCTTTTTGTGTGGGTGAGGTTTTTCATAGTTTGTATGGTAATACTGTTGCATAATTTAATATCTTTATGAGAAAATTGTATCAATTTCTAATCTTCATTCTTAGTAATTGGTTTAAAAACATCTTGGATCACAGCCTTAATGTTAATCTTCTTAAAGTGTTTCATTCATTTACTCCTTTTGATTATTTTTATTGTAATTCTGTTTGTTTGTTTTGGCTCTAATATTTTTGTTATCTTGCCTTCTACAATTTCAAAATTGCTAGAGGTAAGTAATTTTTTCTTCCTCAATACTGAGAAAAGATTTAAATTCAAAATTTCAACCAAGCTTAATTGAGAGGTGCTAATAATATCAATTTCTAACTACTGCAGTCCTTAATAACTTGTTACATAAAAACCTTGGTGTTAATAGTGGGGATTTTTTTCTTGAATTCCCTGCATAATTAATTTTTTCACACATCTAAGTAATTAACACTTGTTTTCCACTCTTTGAAGAGAACTTTGATCGTCTAATTACCCAAAGTGAGCTCTTGATACTTTTCATATGTGACCTCATCGCATGTTGTTTATCCCTTGACAACTGAAAGAAGAAGTCACGTTTTGGTTTTGTTTCCTTTTTAATAGAATTCAACTTTAAGAATTAAATGATGTTGGTGTTGTGTACCAATGTTTCTTGATTACATATTTCAAGAAATTAGTTTTCTTTTAAATTACAAAACTAAGCACTCACTTTCAATTGACTTTGGTATTATGTTATTTGTTGAACTCTGCTAACCTACGTTAATTTAAGACTTAAAGCATAAGTTTCCTTTGTGAATGGAGCATGTTTAGTTTTCTGATGGCATTAAACAGATACAATGCCATTTAAAGAATTGAACCATGAAATTAATAATTGGTATTTTGTTTACTTATTAATCTTAAACCAGGACATTCTTCTCTGTGAAGAAAATTCTAAAAACCCACAGGTTCCCTGGCGGGGAATCCATGGTCTTTGGAGCTTGTTGTACAGTTAAAAAACAATCTTGTTTTGTCATTTGAAAGATAAAAGCTAAGCATCAGTGGGTAGGCAACCTTAGTATTGTTACACTTAACCAAACTCTGCATGAAAAACAGTATTACTCAAATTAATTTCAATAGCTTTGGGAACTAATAAAGCTATCTATTTTTACACTAATTTCAAATTAAAGCTCCATGGTTATATTTCATCAAGAAAATTGGTTCACTTGACTCCACTTAAGATTAAGAACATATTTTTCATTCCATTTTCACATGTGCTAAACTATTCAGCTCTAAGGTGTCTGTTCAATCAAACCGTAGTGATGGCTGTAAGGAGGACTATTTCAGGATGAATTCTTGTTAAATGTACCACAAATAATGCACTATTGAGCAGGACAAGTCTTATTAACACCTTTTTTTGAGGCCTAAATATGTGTAGTGACCTTGATTCAGGAATCAAATTATGCAAGTGCCAACAAAATTCAGACGTGATGGTATTCAGGAATGTAGGACTTGAAATAGAAGACCATATCATGTTTTCTGTAATTAATGTCTAAACATAAATAAAAGTTCGAATTGAAGATTATTATTATTATACTTTGATTTTTGAGGCATAGCTGAATGAATAAGATATATTCCCAATTAAAATTGTTTTGAAGGTTATTTCACCAATTGGTCGTACTGAGACAGTTTAAAAATGATGTTAATAAAATCACTGTTTTTATGCTCTTAAAATATAATTTCTTTTAGTACAACATTATCAATAAGTCGTGAATATCAAAGTGATCTTAATCAACACTACTTTAGCAGTAGTGAAAATAAGGCCTGAAAGAAAAAAATTCAGGCCTGTACAGGATATGAACCCATGACCTCTGCGATACCGGTGCAGCGCTCTACCAACTGAGCGAACAAGCCAACTGGGTGCTGGTCATTATGTGGGTTCCAAATAAACCTGTGAAGTGGTGAATAAATGACTTTGAATATATCAAAGTCATACATTTGAACTGCAGATAAACGAATTGTTTCTGTCTTATGAATTCTCCTTGCTAGACCTTGTTAGTTTTTTGTAGTATCAGTAGATAAATTTTAATTACTAAGAAAGGTTCATAGAAACTAATAATAGTGCTTGGAGTAATAGCAGCTATCATTCCAAAATATTTAATTTTTTTGTCCTTTTCCATGACAGATGCCAGTGATATCTTTAAAGGAAATATCAAATTGATTCTGGGTCTTGTATGGACATTAATTCTCAAGTATCAAATCAGCATGCCATATCTTGATGATGATGATGATGTGGGTGAAAAAATGACCCCAAAACAAGCACTTCTTGCATGGGTCAAAAGCAAGATGCCCGAGTCTGTTCCTATGGACAATTTCAACAAGGACTGGAATGATGGCCGAGCTGTTGCTTGTCTAGTGGATGCTGTAGCTCCTGGCCTTTTCCCAGAATGCGAGGATTTGGATCCAGCAGATCGACTTGAAAATGCAAAAGCTGCAATGCAGGCAGCAGAGGACTGGCTTGGTGTACCACAGGTGAGGAATATGAGAGGGGATGTGGACAGACTTCTTTGTCTGTAACCCTTTAACTCCCAAGAGTGACTGGCATCTAATTTCTCCTCACCATATCACCCCTGAATCAAACATTAAGGTCAGGAGAATAAAGAAGCTGATCACTGACTAAAGAAGATCTTGATTGTTGGACAAATTCCCCATGTTGGTATCTAAGGAAATGTTAAGAGAACTGTGTGGAGAATATACATTCTGATGTTAGGGTGTAAAGGGTTAATTGGTGATATCCTTATTCTTGGTAATTTAGTGTTATCAACTGAGTTGGTAATGTAAATTGGCCACTGTAAAGAGTTTCAAGCTGACATTTTGTGTTCAATGAAAGGCTTATGCTTGAAATGTCAGCTTTGAAACTCTTTACAGTGGCCAATTTGCATTATCAACTCAGTTGCTAATACTAAATTACCCTGTTATACTCTCTAATAAAGTCCTGGTGCTTGATTCTGCATCTTAAATGTACTATTTCCTTGCAAATATACAGGTTATTACACCAGAAGAAATTACCAACCCAAAGGTGGATGAGTTGAGTGTTATGACATATGTCTCATACTTTCCTGAGGCAAAACTCAAACCTGGTGCTCCTCTGCGCACCAGAACACATCCCTCAGCAAAGTGTTTTGCCAAAGGTCCTGGTGTGGAGCCTAAAGGCCTTGTCGTAAAGAAACCAGCCAATTTCACGGTGTTCACACAAGGTGCAGGAGTAGGAAAGTTGGCCGTGTCAGTTTGGGGACCAGGCAAGGTTGAAGAGGAAGTTATTGTACAGGATAATGGAGACCATACCTACTCATGTCAGTACTTCCCACAGAAACAAGGTATCATTGTTAGTTCCATAATATCAATGCATGATGCTTTTGTTAGAGATCCATTATTAATTATTCCCTGTGGGGGCAAGGATTTCAGGGGGGGATCACATGACTTTCATAGAGAAGGGAGAGGAGATTGGTCATCACTCATCACCAACAGAGTATAAAGGAGGGACTAGAGAAAATTGACACCTGTCATCCAATTAACTCCCCATTAAGAGGGGGGAATAAAAAAAATATCACAAGGCCTTATGGGGGGATGGCAGGGCATGGCAGGTTGCTTTAAAATTACTTATAGTTTCCCATGGCTTAAAAAATTTGGTCCTAATCATGGACATACTCTGAATTTTTTTTGCCCTATCAGGAAAATATGATGTGCATGTCAAATGGAATGGCCGGCATATTCCCAAGAGTCCATTCCGAGTGGAAGTTGGTCAAGACCTTGATGCCAGCCAAGCTTATGCTTCTGGTCCAGGATTGCAACCTGAAGGAATTCAAGCCGGCAAGTACACAGACTTCACAGTATACACAAAAGGAGCAGGTGAAGGACAGGTGTCTGTCAAAGTGATTGACCCCCGTGGTGGAGAAGATGTTGACATTATTATTGAACCACAAGAAGATGGCCAGTTCTTTGTAGAATACCAACCAGTTAATGCTGGAAAACACACCATTAAAGTCATGTTTGGAGGACAGCCCATTAGCAAGAGCCCTTTCAAGGTCATGGTCAGTCCGCCAAGAGTTGAACCAATCCCATCCAAGGTTCGAGTGTTTGGCGTAGGTAAGCTTCTCCAAATGTTTTCAGGTTTAAGCCCTCATACAAGTTAAACTACCCTTATATAAGAAAAGTGTTTCAAATATCAGCTTCACATTCATCAATATGTGAAGCACTAAGGAAGTTTGGAGAGCAGTTAAGAAGCTCTTGGCTACACCTCAAGCAACTCTAATCCATCTTCTGTATTCTCCAAACTTGCTGGATGCTTTACATCTTGATAAATGAATACTGAGTTGTAAATATAAATTATTGATTGGTAAAAATTGGTTAATTATTATTATTGTTGTCAATGAATGGAAATAAGCTATGTGGGAATTGTAGGATATTAGTCAACCAGTTGTGAGAATGTAATAGTATTTCATTATGTTGTGACACCAATTTAAAATGACAGTGTGAATTAGTTAGGTTACAAAGTGTACATTCTTTACTCTTTCAAATAGGTGTAGAACCATCTGGCTTGAAGGCTGGACAAAGAGCACCCTTCACAGTTGATGCTAAAGCAGCTGGTGATGGGGAACTTGATGTGTTTGTGGAGGGTCCCCTCGGAGAAGAAAAAGTGGATGTCAAGAATAATGGAGATGGTACATACTCTTGCTGTTACTATCCTGGCAAATTCGGAAAGTATGTTGTCAGTGTCACCTGGAGTTCAGTTCAGGTTCCAAACAGTCCTTTCAATGTTAAAGTGGCTCCTGCTGTTGATGCCAGCAGAATCAAAGCATATGGCCCTGGTCTGGAGAAAGGTATGTTTCATTTTCTCTGTCACTAAATGTCATTGTAAAATAAATTTAAATATTCTTATGTTGTGATAGTGGATGCTGTGGCATGATGTCTGTTATGCTGGAAAAGTAAACTGTGTTTGTTCATCTATCAGGCTGTTCTGTGGTTTCTGTGCTCAAAACTTTCATTGTTTCAATTTTTTCTTCTGAAGGAGACATTATTGTTACATAGATAAGATCAATAGTTCACACATTAGATCAGTTCTTACTTATTATCCATTGGAAAATGACACATAGATGTCTTCACCATTGGCCACGTTTTTCTTCTTTATCATGTAAAACAAGTAGATTCAACATAGCTTCATGTCTTGTAGTAATGGATCACAAAAGATGTCAGTACAGTTAGAACATCAGTGACACACTTGGCTGCGCCTTGTGTGCCACTTTTTTGTTATAACCACATTTGGACCTCATCTGCGATCTATTACAGAATAGACAGATGGCAACATGGAATCTATTTGTTCAACTGTTGACATGCTTTGAAATCTTTTTGACTCCTTCTCAAAATATTAACCTGTAGTAATGGTCTAGACTGGATTTTACTCTTAGAGGATTAACACCAGATAGATAGGATGATTAACTCAGACCCTGACTTTTTTTAGTAGTAAAATAAGTAATAAAGAAAAAAAAAACATGAGGGGCAAAATATTTACGCTGCACTTATATTCTGATTTGTCTGGTCAATAAATAATCCTAACTTTTGGTTTTTGTGAGGGTAGGAGAACCAGATTACTTGGCAAAAATCCTTATACCCTTTTACTCCCGTGAGTGACCCAGACAGAATTTCTTCCTACAATATCACTACAATATCAAGCAGACATTGATGTAATGAAACTAAAGAAAAGTATTAATTAGGGTATTTCAAGTTGATCCAAAGTCAAATTCTCCAAACTAACATCATAAGAACTCTATGGCAGATGGTAAGGAGAATTAACAATAACCTTTACACCTCAACATCAGTATGTATATTCTCTATACTGTTTTCCATACATTTCCTGAGGTGCTGACAAAGAGAATTTGTTTAACAATCAAGGGCTTCTTTAGTGGTGATCTTTTCTTTTTTCTTGTGACTTTAATGTTTGATTTTGGAGTGATGTTATGAAGAGAATTTAAATGCTATTCACTCTTAGAGGTTAAAGGGTTAAGTGCTTGATCCCTATGAGTAGCTTTGAGTTATGTTAACCCTTTTAAAACTTTCTCACAGGTACTGCAGGAAAACCATGTGAGTTCACTGTAGAAACAAAAGGAGCTGGAATCGACAGCCTGGGATTTGCTATTGAGGGTCCTTCACAAGCTGAAATCCACTGTCAAGAGAAATCCCCTGGCATCTGTGATGTGAAATACTACCCAACTACACCTGGGAAGTATGCCATACATGTTACATGTGGAGATGAAGACATTCCCAAGAGTCCGTTCATGGTACCAATATCACCTGCAGGAGATGCTAAGAAAGTTTATGCTGAAGGACCTGGACTGCAACCTGAGGGTGTTGTTTCAGGTACGGACACATAGCTTTCAGTAGCAAGTGTCTCACTAGGGCAAGTTAACATTACAAGCCCTTGATTGTTTATTCCACCAGCTATGTTTGATTTAGAGTTAGAGTGGATGGTGGGGGAAAGGGGCAAGGAAGGGCCCCAACCCTCCCTCTACTTCCTTTTGACTGTCCGTCACCCCCTATGTAAAATTTTTTTCTTCCCCCAGCTATCCTCTGCTGTAAAAATCAAAGATGGTAGCAATAATTTCCATCAAGAAAATATTGAGCACTGCCTTGCTGAAATTACACCTGTTTTGCAGGCCAAGCTTTCAGTTTCGTGTTGGACTCCACATTGCAAAGTCCACGTGAAAGCTTTGACCAAGGCCACTGTGTTGTGCTCTTAGGCAAGACAATATTCACTAGAAATTTGATTTTTATAAGGAAACCTGACAAATTTTGGGGGTTTTACACATGTTCCATTGTTTATGATACTTAAAGATAACCTCCCGTTAGACAACCAGATTTTAAGAACGATTGGCAAAAAACTAAAACCATGTGGTGTAAGAAACTACATCTAACCGTCTAAGAACGTGTAGGGATGTCTAAGGTATTAGGTCAATCGTTGTCGCCTCGGTGCGAGAGTTTTTCACCTACCTCAATCACAGAAGGAAAGATGATTCAATTGCTTCCGAGAGGCCACATCTCAATCGTAGTGAGCTATGGCTGAAGCAAAAAAAGCTTTGTGACTTGAATTCCTAATATGATTTTATGAAGCATTAGTGTGTCGGAGCCGTAAAAAAATGAGGAGATTTGGGGCCAATTTTCGAAAATGTTTCGATCTTACCTGATTTACTACGATGATCTCACGAGCCTTTTCCGAAAATTGTGCACCACTGTCTTTACTTGCCGAGTTCAAATATTCCACTGGAATGATTTAAGAGGACTCGAAGAAAAATTTAGGAATTATCCTTACTGAGGTTTGTTTGTTTGCGCAGGTGTGGGAGCTGAATTCACAATTTTCACGAAAGATGCCGGGGATGGTGACGTCGATGTGAGAGTAATTGACGGTAACGGTAAGAAAGTTCCCGCAGACATCACTGACAACAAAGATGGCACCTATTCAGTAGTCTACTACCCTACAACTGTTGGTGCATACACCGTCAACATCACTTTTAATTCCGAAAGTATTCCCAAGAGTCCCTTCCGGGTAAACGTTTGCCAGACCAACTCCAAAGTCTGCCGTGCCTATGGACCAGGTCTGGAGAAGGGCTTTGTCAATCAGAACAATGAATTTAAGATTGAGACGAAAGGAGCTGGTGAAGGTGGCCTGGGTCTGACTATCGAAGGACCTTCAGAGGCACAGATTGAATGTAAAGATAATGGCGATGGATCATGTGACGTTACCTACCTGCCCCCAGACCCCGGCGACTATGTCATTAACATCTTGTTCGCGGACGAGCACATTCCTGGCAGCCCTTTTAAAGCAAGAATTTCATATCCGTTTGACCCTACCAAGGTTAAAGTTGAAGGACCAGGAATTGAGCCCGGGGTACGTGCGGGTGAGCCAGCGGATATTGATATCGACACACGCTTGGCAGGAGACGCAGAACTTACAGTTGAAGCCGTAGATGAGTTGAACAGTCCAGTTCAGTGTGACATTGATGAAGAGGAGTACGGCATTTATGCTGTAACGTACTATCCGAAAAAGAAAGGTATGGTGCCCTTTCCAGCGAATCTGCGTTTGCACAAGATGAACTGATCTCGCGTTTTCCCGCGTCTCACAGCCGTCTCATCATTGTTCTTATTTTGATTTATCAGGCAACCACAAGGTTAGCGTCAAATACGGCGGAAAACATGCGCCTGGAAGTCCATTCAAGGTTGCTATCTCGCCCAAGTCTGACGCTTCCAAAGTGAAAGTGAGTGGGCCTGGGGTCGAGAAAACCGGTGTTCAACCTGGCAAACCCACGTGGTTTACTATCAACGCCTCTGAGGCTGGCAAAGGAGATGTTCAAGTAAAAGTGGAGCCTGTCGGTAAGTCTCTCTCTGTGTTAAGTTTGAGGACGAATCACAGCAGGGCGTAGGCGAGGAGGGTCCAAGGGGAGCAATTTGCCCCGATTTTGTCTCGATTATTTTATAAATAAAAAATGATATGATATTATATCAAATGCCTGTAAGACCCTTGCAAAGAATTTTATTTGCTGGTAAACTTTGCCTGAATCTCAAGTTTGCTTCTCACCACTCTCTGAAGTCCGATCTTCGTTCCTGTACCCTTGGAAGAAGAGGGGGAGGTCATTTGCTCATCAGCGACTGCAGCTTTATTCGTAAAACTTCTCGGTTAAGAATAATAAGTAGGACGGAGTTGAAGACACTTTCATTTCTCTAATAGGACGTGGGCGTCCTGTGGAAGTAAAGGTGACTGAAGATGGAAAAGAAACATTCACCTGCGAGTATGTGGCCCCTGTGGAAGGAGCATATCAGGTTGATGTGAAATTTGATGGTGTTGCTGTACCTGGAAGCCCCTTCCCTGTAGATGTTGCGAAGCCTGGCGATGCAGGAAAGTGCAAGGCACAAGGCGATGGATTGGAAACGGCAATCATCGATCAATTAGCCGAGTTTGACGTGGACTGTACATCTGCCGGTGAGTTTATTCATACAGGCACTGTTAGCGTGCAAAGTTCCCATCGAAGTTCTTTCTGGATATGACATGGCCGTCTTAGTCTCTCGAAAAGTTCACGATTTTATATCATAAACGAGATGTAAAGGAGTAGTATGTGGGTGTTCTACCTTGAAATTACGATAAAGTCTTGAAAAAACGAAGGAATTGAGGGGAAGACAACTGTTGTCTTGGAAAGAAAAAGCAATGTTTCTTTTAGAATCATTAACGCTGTCAATGTGGGGCGGCGGTGGGGTTAACTTCCACAGATGCATGTATGGACGTAGCGCTCTTCACTTTAAACTTGTCTGTGTTTTGGAAGTGATGTGACTATTGGAGTAGGGTGGGGTGAGGTTTGGGTGGCACATGGCAAAATCTGTTCTCAATTATGTCTCCTGTGTGAAAACCTAGGAATTTTCTGGCTGTACTCCTGGTTAATTCTTGCCATTTTGTGTCTGTTTATCATCAGGAGAGGGACAGCTAATGGCCGCAGTGGACAATCCATCTGGAGCGCACACAGACACCTTGGTAACAGATAATGAAGATGGCACATATTCTGTTTCATACACACCTTTTGAGGAAGGAATTCACACACTGAGCGTGAAGTTTGGTGATGATCACATCCCTGGCAGCCCTTTTAAGGTAAGATGGCGAAGACTTTGTTAACAGTCTTTCTTAGAGTGAAGTCTGCGCTTCAGGCCAACCCCAGGGCCGCGGTTCTTTTAAAGATCCACTGCAAAGCTTGCAATTCGGAATTTTCTCTTTTCTTCAAATCAGGTTGATGTTCTTCCACCGACGGACCCAAGCAAGTGCAAAGCTTATGGACCCGGCTTGGAGAAGGCAAACGTGGGCCGCCCCGCTGAGTTTACTGTAGAGACCAAAGGTGCCGGAGCTGGAGGCCTCAGCTTGGCCATTGAGGGACCCTCTGAGGCAAAACTGACTTGCAATGATCATGGTGATGGAACATGCTCTGTGAAGTACACCCCCACAGAGCCCGGCGATTATGAGATCCACATTAAGTTCGCTGATGAGCACATCCCTGGAAGTCCCTTTAACGCTAAGGTTTGTATGATTTAAGGGTTAACAACTCTATTTGAAAATTACCCCTTAATTATTCTGTTCAGGTTAATTACCACACGGAAACAATGCATCGCAGTCTATCGATTTACACGCTGCTAGAAGGACCTATGGGAACATTATTTCTAGTCCCGAGGGTGTCCCTTCATTAGATGTTCCCCGTAGAATCATCGTTTCGGAACAAGGTCGTTACAAAGCAAGAATTATACCTTTCCATGAAGTGAACATATACCAACACAATAACGATGTGGCCAATTTTTCTTAAACTGAGTCAATTCTTTTAACTTTACAGGTCACCCGCCCAGTTGATGCAAGCAAAGTGAAGTGTTACGGACCCGGAGTGGATCGTGTCAATCCATTGTTCTCCAAGGCGCCCCAGGAATTCACCATAGACACTACCGAGGCAGGGGATGCTGACCTGGAGGTGACTGTGGAGACACCTGATAGAAAGACGCTGAAGCCCGAGCCTGTGTCTGAGAAAGGAGATGGAGTCTATACAGTGGCTTATACACCCGAGGATGAAGGTGAGATTCAGTTGTACCGTGATGTTCTGTAAACAACTACAACGATGACGTTGACTACAAGTTGCCCCACCCCTCCCTCCTCCTTCCTTTAGACCTTTAGACTTTAACTTGCTCACCCCCCTTAATAAAATTTATTTCTCCTCCCAGCGTTCCGCAGCTGTAAAAATTAGAGATGGCAGCTATAATTTTCACTAGGAAAGTACTGAGTACTCGCGTGCCAGAATTGCGCCTGTTCTGCAGGTTTCTTTTCTTTTGGCCTCGTGAGCTATTCAGTGAATACATTTTTATATACCTGCGGGCAGTATGGTTCTTTCCCTGATGTGTATTGCCAGTTCCAGGCCCTTAGTCGGTGGAGGCAAATGAAAGAGCGAGCGGACAACCAAAGGCGGTTGGGCTGGTTGGGCTGGTTGGGCTGGTTGGGTTTACTTTCCGCACTACATTGAAAATTGCTCTAAGGTTTGAATAGTCACCAAGTGGCTACCATCAAAATTATTTTCTTGTGGTCAGGTCGTTACACTGTCAATGTCAAGTACGGAGACAAACATGTCCCTAACAGTCCATTCCGTGTTCGTGCCGGTCCTCCGTTTGATGCCAGCAAAGTGAAGGTATCTGGACCCGGAGTGGATGAGTCGCCCCTCACGGATGAACCTGTTCAGTTCCTTTGTGATTGCACTGAGGCTGGAATAGCTCCTTTAACAGGTATGAGATTTTTGTGAGACTTTATCCCCATACACCCTAACGTCAGTATGCATATTCTCAATACTGTTCCCTATACATTTTCTAAGGTGCTGACAAGGAGAATTTTTTGATCAAGAGCTTTCTTGTTGGTGATCATTTCCTTTACTGTTGTTACAACGCTTGACCTATTTTCCTTTCAAAGGCCCACAGAGAGAAAAAAACCACCATTTTTAGTGAAAGGGTGGTTCAAATTATTTCATCCATATCGCACTGACTCTATTGCTTCCAAAATATCCAATAGCTTTTTTTTACCAATGACTCTCCTTTTGATCGTATTTCAGCTTCTGTAGCGCCGCCTACCGGCCCTGATCTGGAAGTGGATGTCAAAGACAACGGAGACGGAACATATTCTGTCGAGTATGTACCTGAGCGACCAGGCCGCCACAGTGTGGATGTCAAGTATGGAGGAAGGAGAGTACCAAAGAGTCCATTTAGAGTCCAGGTTAAGCCGAGTGGAGACGCATCGAAGGTAGAGATTGATGGATTGGGACCTGATGATACTTTCTTGGTGGGCAAAGAGAATGACTTTACTGTGGATTGCACAAAAGCTGGGAAAGGTCAGTCATTTGGAATAAAGCTTTTCAAGAAACACTTTTTTTTCACTCGTCAAACGTTGTGCGCTGCACCACTTGGTTGTGAAGGGCGTAGTTTTCCGCATCCTAGGTCTATTTGTTACGAAGGCCGATTGGCACTAACCCAGGGTCAAATTTTGATCCAGGTTTTTTTATTCCTTTTTCCAAAGCCTTTTCGGGTAATTTTCTGTATTCTTTTAAGAGCATTCAATCTTCAAATTTACAAAAAGTAATTGTATTGAATTCCCTTCAAACTTTTTAGTTCTGAAGTCATGTTTCACGCTAACTCCGGGTTATCTTAACCCAGCTTTGATCATTCCGGCACAAAAATATATTATTAGCTTAGAGACTGGACCCGAAGCACTCTAATTAACTTACGCTTAGCACAACTCCAAGTTTTCTTGAAATTGAGAATGACTCCTTCATCATGTAGGCGTTCCCAAGTGTTCCATCAGAGGACCTAGAAGAAAGGATATTCCTGTAAAAATGCTCGATAATGGTGATGGTACATTCGACTGTCTCTTCGTGCCAGAAGACGAGGGTCGTCATGATGTGGAGGTCCTTTATGGCGGTGCCCCTGTGCCCGGCAGCCCCTTCTCAGTGAAAGCTAAAAAACCTGTGGATGTTGACAAGATTAAATGCCAGCCTAAGTTAGATAAAGAGCCAATTGTGGACGAGGAAATTGTTTACGCGGTCGATACGCGACCAACCGAGTCAGCACCCGGTGAAGGGCTGTTAAACGGCTCCTTACTTACACCTTCTGGTGAGAAAGAACCCGTCCGAATCAAAGATAACAACGATGGCACCTTCGATGTGTCCTGTGTGCCCAAGGAGCCTGGACCTCATGAACTGTCCGTGGATTATGACGGGGTACCTCTGGCCGGCAGCCCGTTTAAGTTTGACGCTGTCGAAGGAGGAGCGGACAAAGTGAAAGCTTACGGAAAAGGTAAATGTCTTTGGTGATATGATTATCACCGGAAGTCCTTAATCTCACACGCTTCAGGTGGAGATGCTATAGGGGTCGAAGCAAGAACAGAGGCGGGAGGGGAGGGGGTGTTAAAGGGCCTTTTCTACGGTTGCCAAAAGTGCGAATGGCTTCCGTATAGGCCAAAAGTAGGACTAAAGGGTTAGTCTCGATAAGAGCCTTCTTATACCAAGACGATGATGAATTATATAAATGAAAAAGTTGCATGGGAATTTTTCAATTGAAATCGTAAGCGGATAAGGAGCAGCGTATTTATTATAATTACGTGTTATGCTCACTTGCAGGATTGGAGCGTGGTATTGCTGGGGAGCCTTGTGACTTTACCATTGTGACGAAAGACGCTGGCCCAGGTGGTCTCTCATTGGCTGTTCACGGCCCCAGTAAAGCGGAGATCACGTGCTCAGACAATGGAGATGGCACATGCTCAGTTCAGTATGTCCCCGAGGAACCTGGTAAGTTTTGGCCAAGTGCAGTTTCTCGCTCTTTTTCCCCATGTAGGAAATTGGAAAAGGAAGGAGGATTAAAACATCTTTGAGCAATTGATTTAATTTTTTTACATAGAATATATATATGAAGAATCATTATTGACCTCTGAATGGTTGATGATTACCTGATCTGCTGGGGTAGACTAGAATGCATACAGTTACGGAAAGTATTTTTTCATTCAGCCTGAATAAGGATTCAGGCAATTAGTGCCAAACTGTGTATGCGAGGCACGGTTTCAGGCGCGGAAATGTTTTTGTTCCCTTACTTTCTGCAATTGCTTGACTTTCAAATTACCTGTGAGAATCACTCGTCACTGATTTCGTTTTTAATGACGTTATATTGGACGTACAGAGGGGATGGCACAACGGTTGAGCGCTCGCCTCCCACTGCTGTATCCCAGGTTCGATTCTTGGGATAAAGGTGTCGTGTGTGGGTCGAGGTTGATTTTCGTCCTTGCTCAGAGGGTTTTTCTCCAGGTCCTTTGGTTTTCCTCCTTACACAAAAACCAACATTCCAATTTCCAATTCGTGATAGTAGTGGACTAGAAAAGCCATCTCGTGGAATGTCCACTGCTAATTCCCATTATTGTTCCCATTATGACCAATTTCGCGGTTTCTTTTTCTGATATTTCGTTTTTTCTTTCTCTCATTTTAGGTGACTATGACATCAGCTGTAAATTCGCCGATCAAGACATTCCTGGCAGTCCTTTCACGGCACATATCTATTCCAACTACGACGACCTCGATGCAGCCGCTCTCCGTCCTACAGTCGGCAAACCATGTGACGTAGAATTGAACATCCCGGATTCATTCCGGCCAGAGGACATCGAATCGGGCGTACTTGCCGCTGAACTCGAGAGACCAAACGGCCGCAAAGAGCCTTTGGAGCCACTTCGTGTCAACCCTGATGGAACGTTAGCAGTCACATTTATCCCATACGAACCCGGAGAGCATTTGATCCACGTGTACAAAAACAAGCGCGAAGTTCAGAACAGTCCATTCTCAGTTATGGTGCAGGCGCAACGTGTTGGCGACATATACCCTGTCGGGCACACTTGTGATCTAGACTTTAAAGTACCCGAAGATATCAACGACCTTGTGGGAACTTTGAAACGCCCCAGTGGCAAAGTGGAAGAGTCCTTGAAGCTGCGACCTGGTCCAAAGCCTGGAACTATCAGTGTGTCTTTCGTGCCAAGAGAAGTAGGAGAACACTATCTGTCCATCAGACGGAAAAAGGATAACAGCCCTGTCGCTGGCAGTCCGTTCTCTATTCTGGTGGAGTCAGAAGAGCCTGTAGAGGGGGTGGGCTGTCCCGTGGATTATTGCCTTAAATTGGATGATGTCAATCTCCCAGAAGACATCGAAAAGAACAGATTAAAGGGAACATTGAAGAGGCCATCGAGTGATAGAGAAGAACCAATAGAGTTAAAACTCAACTCAGACAACACACTTAGCTGCTCGTTTGTGCCGCGCGAGACTGGGCTTCATTATATCAACATTAAAAAGTACGGGAGACATGTCGAGGGTAGTCCGTTCGTTGTCAAGGTGACCGCACCAGAAGGCGTCTCTAGTGTTGGTAAGCCCTACGGAAAAGGTCTCGAGAGTCCTGATATCGACCTGCCGAAAGATTATCCCCGGCTGAGCGCTGCTCTAAAGAGACCTTCCAGTCCTAGAGAAGAAGAACTCAAGCTTGTTCTCAATGGAGACAACACCTTGGGAGTGGCATTTACTCCTAGAGAAGAAGGTGAGCACTTAATCCACCTCAGAAAGGATAACAAGGACGTGCAGAACAGTCCTTACAGTGTGATGGTTGGAGCCAAGGAAGAGAAGGTGGAAGAAGTCCACCCCATGGGACGAACGTGTGATGTAAACCTGGATATTCAAGGTGTCAAGCTGCCAGAAGATCTGGAGAAAGATTTGCTAAGAGGATTTCTTAAACGACCAAACAGCACGAAAGAGGAGCCGCTTAAGCTCGAAATCACAAGCGACAATTCGCTGGGCGTGTCCTTCGTGCCTCAAGAACCTGGTGAACACCAGATCAGTGTAAGGAAGAAGACACCAGATAGAAACTGGCGCGACGTACCAGGAAGTCCTTTCTCCATCATGGTCGAAGCTGCTGAGGCCGTCAAAGCTGTTGGCACACCTTGCGATTGTCTTCTGGACATTCCAAATCTACGTGTCCCAGAAGATCTCGCCAGACTTAACGCAACGCTAAAGAGACCAACGAGCCGTAAAGAGGAACCCCTCAAGCTCAGAGTCACTTCAGATAACAGCCCTTTCGTTTCGTTCGTTCCACGTGAGCCGGGTGAACATCTGATCAGCATTAAAAAATACGGCTCTCACGTAAAGAACAGCCCCTTCAGTGTCATGGTGGTCGCCCCCGAAACTGGAAACGCTATTGGCAGGCCGTGCGGTGTTGGGCTCGAGATTCCAGGACTGAAACTTCCTGATGATTACACCGACGGTCTTTTGAGCGCGAGTCTCAAGCGGCCTTCTGGGAAGCCTGAAGAACCTCTTCCTTTAGCTCTCAACTCGGATAACACTCTTAGCGTTTCCTTCACGCCGCAGGAGACTGGGGAACATTTCGTGACGGTTAAGAAGTCTGGTAACCATGTGAATGGTAGTCCGTTTTCGGTGATGGTCAGCGGTCCAGGACCAGCGGATCCAAGCAAAGTCGTCTGTATGGGTCCTGGTAAGAAATGTTCTTTTTATTTCAGAACAGTAAATGATTGATTAAGGATATGACACCGACTTAAATTGGTGATTATCTCGATTGGCTAATGCTAAGAAAATGTTTGAATCCTGGCTGATCGTTGATTAAATCCTTCCCCTCGACTCTGCTATTTAGCAGTGTATGCTTTTGGGACAAGCTCATCGAAGACCTACGTAAAACGATTGAGAACGAATTTTGCCAATTTGCCCTTTATTCGCTATTCGTTTCAGCCCCCTCGAATTGGAAGAATATTTCGCGCTTTCCGTCATGTTTAAGACAATGTCTTCGTCGCAACGTGACGTAACCAGGAAAACTTAATATTTCAATTTTATATTTCACGTAGGCCTACATGATGGTGTGGCCGGTAAGCCAAGCAATTTTACCATAAATACCCGCGATGCTGGTTATGGAGGACTCGGTTTATCAATTGAGGGACCCTCTAAGGCGCAGATCACGTGTTTGGATAACGAAGATGGAACGTGTACAGTGGAATACTTACCTGTTGAACCCGGCAAGTACACCATCAATGTGAAGTTTGCCGACGAAGATGTTCCTGGAAGTCCCTTCACTTCAAATGTCAGACCCTCAGGCGATGAAATCCAACCAGTTGAAGAGAACCTGGTAAGCAAATGAGAATTGACTTCGAATTTCATATTTCAGACGAAATTTTGGCAGTATTGTAGGTTTGGTGAATTAGCTGAGACTGCTCCATAGAACAATTTTCCATTGAGTGGAGAGTTTTACTGTGCTCTGTGATTTGTATGAAAAACTTTCGCAGCGTTCTTCCTTAGTAGAGGAAGTGATTAGTTCAGAAAACTCGCGTCACTATCTGAACCAATCAGATTCGAAACAAATCGCGAGTTAGTCACGTTTTCCCGCGCTTTATAGGAGATTCAATGGAATGTAAACATTACTGGTGGCTGCGAAGTTAATTTGCAAAGGACTCTCGCGCTCAATAGACTGCTTCGAGGGGAAGATTAAAAAAAAAAAAAGGATAAAAAAAACACCGAAAACGAAAAGTCTGTTTCAAATCGCACCACAAAAGTCTATTCTAGTGGTCTTTATCGCACGTTCTCTCTTTGGAGAGTTCGATGTAGCAAGGGTTATGCAGTTCATTTCGTGGCTCTCGAGTTTTGACCATCATCTGCTTCGTTATTTTACAGGTGAGCTCAGCTGTATCTGACCAGTTCTCTGAACCAACCCAGCGAGTGTCCGAAGTGTTTGAAGATCTTGTGACGTTCGGTTCCACTCCAGCACAGCCTCATGACTTTGTCTTTGATCTGAAGGGTTACAAGATAGACGATCTTGAAACGATGGTTATTAGCCCTGATGGAACGGAGCTCGATTCCGAGATAATTGAAACGTCACCGAAGACATACACAATCCGCTTTGTGCCTAAAGAGAGCGGAGAACATACCATCTATGTCCGATTCAAGAGTGGAAGAAAGAAGGATATACCCGGAAGTCCTTTCAAGGTCTTTGTGGAGGCACCTGTGTGGGGTGGGGCTGCAAAATGTGTGGCTGCAGGACCCGGGCTCGAACGAGGTGTGGTTAACCATCCGGGAGAGTTTACAGTGTGGACACGTGATGCTGGTCCAGGAGGCCTTGCGATCGCAGTTGAAGGTCCTGCTAAGTCAGAGATTAAATGCACAGACAATGGTGATGGGTCTTGCAATATTTCCTACCTGCCAACTACTCCAGGCGAGTACACAATCCACATCCGGTTTGCTGATGAGGATATCCCTGGAAGTCCATTCAAGACTAATGTATCACCGGAAGTAGAAGATCGCTTTAGAGATCTCAATGTTACCGATCTTGCCGAGAGTGGATTGAAAGTAAACCAGCCTGCTTCGTTCTCCGTGCAGACTAATGCTTCTGTTGGCGACGTGAAGGCGTCTGTCGTGGCACCCTCAGGGGATGAGAAAGAAGCTCAAGTGTCTAACCTCGGTGGTGGAAACTTCGCCATTCGTTTCACCCCAAGAGAATTTGGCGACCATCTTGTGAATGTCCGTTTTGATGGATCTCACATTCCTGGCAGCCCCTTTAAGATCAGAGTAGGCGGTGCAGAAGGACACCCAGAAAAAGTCAAGGCTTATGGTGAAGGTTTAAGCAAGGGTAGGGTCGGTGAAGCAGCCGAATTTACCGTCAACGCTCTGGAGGCCGGCTCGGGTGCTCTTGCCCTTTCTGTGGACGGCCCCGCTAAGGTGAAGATGAACTGCAGTGAAAATGCTGATGGTACCTACCAAGTAACGTACAACCCAGTCATAGCAGGCGAGTACACGATTAGAATCAAATTCGCCGGCCAAGATATCCCTGGTAGCCCTTATAATGTAACGATTAGTCCCTCCGATGGCAGATACGTCAGCGACGGAGACGCCTCCAAGTGCACTTCTCGAGGAACTGGCCTGCATAGTGCTGTTCTCGGGCAGCCCAACTCGTTTACAGTTAACGCCAGCAATGCAGGACGAGGATCCCTGATGGTGGGGGTTGAAGGCCCTGCCATACCAGCGAAAGAAATCAATGTCAAACACACAGGAAGCAACGTATACGCGGTCAACTACGCCCTGGAGGAGCCTGGTGCCTACATCCTGAAGGTCCTCTGGGCTGACAAGCATATCCCCGGAAGTCCCTTCCAAGTAACTGTTTGAACGCACGAGACTCGCGTGTAAGCGTATCAAATGTCAGGACCTATAGCTAGTCTTGTATTTAAGGAGCTAAAAATTCAAGAAGAAACTATTTTCGTGGACTGGAAGGTTGCACCTCGATAGTTTTAATCGTCTTTCGCAAGAACAACAATGCTAGTTTTCTATATATTAAAATTTTTTCAGAACTTCCTTTTCTATCAATTGTTGAAAATATAAAATTAATAGACGGAATAGTTGAAGGTCGAAGTTGTAGCTGTCTTAATCTGAAATCCAATCACAGTGTAGCAAACGTGGGTAAAATAGGTAGCAGAAATTAAGGAGCACTGCAAATCGTGGTTACCATGGTTATTGTAATGACTAAGGGTAACAGGCAGGCTTAGAGCCTTTGTGTCTCTGTATTCAGTTGTTTGTGAGTTTTTTAAAGTGAGAACTGTTTATGACTAAGGGATATTTTCTAACAACTAATAATAAATTGCTTAAACAAGTCTTTGTTTGAGTGTATTGTATTGAATGCACAGGCCTCTGAGTTAAAGTGCCAGTGAATGTCTCTGGTTAATTCTCAGATGTGATTTTTTTTTTTTTAGAAATGTTGAAAAAATATATACCTGCAAGCTATATCTTTCTTGGGGCAAGTCGTTTAGTTGGTCGTCAGAACAGAGATGCTGTATGACGCGATATTTTGGTTTTACCGAATGAGTAAGGGGTTTCGAAATAGACATTTCGCAATTTAACTCATTGTAAGAGGCCTCACTTCGTTCTGACGAAGGACTGACGCTCGTAACGTCAGCTTTAGGAATTTTTTAAGGTTGTCAATTTACATTATCAACTCAGTTGATGAAACGAAATTATCTCATCCATTTATTTCCGACTTCATTAACAAAACAGTTCCTTGAACATCGTTCTCCTTTTCTGTTAGTTAAACTGAACACCATGTAGTATAGAGGACCTTGGAAGGAACTACTGTTTTTAAGGTTGATATGTTAAGTGACTGTTTATTTAATGACCTTATCGGGTTCTCGGTGTCTTCCTGTCAAAGGATCGAAACTGACTAATCACAACTTACAAACGCTTCGTGAGTCTTGAAACCGATGAAATCACAGCAAAACTCATCAATCAGTTTTTACGAACCTGATCAGATATTTCAACAGGCAAATAACTCTTTCCCCTCCTATACCTCTCATCTAGGTGATTACACAACTCAAATGTAAATGTGCTATTCATGCTAGAATAGGCTAAATTTAAGATGCTAGAATCAACAGATTAAAAATTCTAACGATTCGAGGCATCCTCTGTACGCGAGACCTCCGTATTGTATGAAAATTTTGAAACTCGAAGTTGGATACGTTTATACAGTAACTGTTTCCAGTATGCGTAAAAGAGCATCGGTTGTAGAACATCTTGCCATTTACCGAATGATATGATCTTTAATTAAGTTAAAAAAAGCGATACAAAGGAAAAAACGCTTTTGGTCGTTGTAGGGTTAATTAAATTTTCTACTTTCCTCTTACGGCAGTCATTCGAGGGCTTCGTCTATTTCCAATTCAAATTTCTTACCACTAAAATATAAAGTGTAACAGAAACGTGTGATAGGTTCAAATGTTTTACTATTTTGTGTGAATTTCCAAGGACTGTGGAGGTCACAGAACTGTACCGTGCTCGTTACATTTCATCGCATTATTTCTGAACAATAGCCACACACATGCCGCTGATGGAGTGCTGGGTTTACGCGAGGGCGGCTTCGAATTGAAGAAATACGGCGTCCTGATTTAGTAGGTTTTTGACCCAATTTATCTTAGAATTTGTTTGATAATTCGGTTCCCCCTTTCGATATATTTCATTTTAAATTAGTAAAGAGAATTTGGTACTCTATCAGGATTGAACTCTCTAATGAACTGCTGATAATGATGATCTTGGTTTGTTTTGGATACCTCTTCTGTAAGATGTGTTGAACTGGGACGTTTATTGACGTCTACATACTCTGTGGTATACACTATAGAGCTATAGAACTACAGTGCAATAATGGTTGAAGGAGAACAGTTTTGTTGGTTGTCTTCCCCTTATGGGAGAGAAGGTACGAAAGTGGCAATGCTGAGAAACTGAAACTACGTTCTTTTAATCAGCGGTTGCCCTCCGTTAGCTACATTGCTCATATATGATTAGTGTAATGTACCGCGTCAAATGAGCAAGCCATCATACCAATATTAGTCAGAGCAGTTCCTTGTTTACCTTTTCTCACCAAACGTGTTTTTCACAAGTTCGCTGCGAGTGTAATAATTTTTTTTTAACAGAACGTGTGCACCATGATTGCTTCATCATCCGACGAAGACGATGTTGATGAGGCTGGCGATGTTGACGAACATGCACAAGAACTTCTCAGTATTTACCAAAGAAGCGAGCAGACATACTCTACGACTACGGCTCCTTCGCCCAGCGTAAGTCCTTCTCTGCACACGCCGAGCCCTACACTCTCCGTTGTATCAGATGCCACATTACAGGAGCAACAAGAAGACGATGAAAGAAGAGAGAGACTGCAGTTGTATATTTTCGTTCTGCGCTGCATCGCTTATCCCTTCAACGCCCGACAGCCAACAGATTTGGCACGAAGACATGCACGGGTTAGCAAACAAGACCTTGTGAAAATAAAACAACGATTTGAAGATTTCCTCAAAGGTGACACAAAAATTGCTTCTGATGAGGCGTTTTATAACGCAGTAAGAGCCTACTTCGATATATTTATTTGCAGCGAGAGAGTGCAAAAGATGGTAATCAGTGGCGGGTGTTCGTCGAATGATTTTCGTGAGGTTTTCAAGGCCATGATCGAGAAACGCGTGCGAAGTCTTCCTGAAATAGACGGTATTAGCAAAGAAACTGTGCTAAGCTCTTGGATGGCGAAAAACGATGCCATTTTTCGTGGAGAAGATGATCCAAAAAAGGGCCCAAGAATTGCGGCCTCGGCAGCATCTGAACTGATTTTGTCAAAAGAGCAACTCTATGAAATGTTTCAAACCATTTTGGGCGTCAAAAAATACGAACACCAAATATTGTTCAATGCCTGTCAGGTAATCTTAAGTTCTGGATAATTAATGGTTTACTAGTTTCATAATTGGACGTCTTTTTTTTATTGTTAGTTTTTGTCATAATTTATCTGTCTATTGATTTTACGAGTGGATTTGCTTATGTACTTCGAGTGTAGTAATTTTAAGGACGCGAACAAACAGGATTAATAACTCAGACATCCACATATTTTCTATAACGACATCTGCCGTTTTTTATGGTAATTTATGGACTCACTGATAAATTCTGTCTTATCAGTAAAGCGTTTCGAAACTGCTTTGATGTGAAATTATCATTACTGATTCGATTCAATTAACACAACTAAAATTTTGGTCAGCTGAAATGTTTGCCTCAGAGTATAAAATAGATTTGAGACGGACAAAATTAAAATTTTAATATTGTGAAGAGTCAAAAATAACATTTATATTTCAGACGCATGATTTTTGCATAAATTTGCAGCATCACTATTAAGACAATTCGCCTAATGAGGAAGTGTTAAAGACAATCGCCTAATGAGAAAGTTTTATTGACAGAATAGAAAACTTTTTGATACGAAATTACTTGAGATAAATCTACTTTTCAATTTTTTATATGTTTTTCTTTTTCAAATCACATAAGGTCAATGTTGATGTAAGCAGATCTTGACATACCCAGTGAAATTTGTAAATTAAAAACTTAAAACATGAATCTTGTGAACAAGTTCTAGCTGATATTAACTGATCACGTTCAGATGAAAATTAAACTTGTACTATACTCCTTGCACAAGTATAAGCCATTCTTATTTTTTGCCAGCCATTTGAGTAAGCTGTAGATGGAAATAAGTTGAAGAAATTTATCATTCCATTATTCTAAGTTTTTTTATTAATTTGTTTTTAAATCATATAATTATGAATTTTTCAGCTTGACAGTGCTGATGAACAAGCTGCATGTATTCGTCGAGAACTGCATGGAAGATGTAAAGCAATTATAAACCAGAGGAAGGTATATTTTTTCCCCTTTTTTTATCATATTTTATGTATCTATTTTTTGTTTCAATGTTATCTGAACTTCAGTTTTTATTTGCCTTAATTTGGTTTTATCTTCCTCTTTGTCTACAAGTCATTACACAACCAAAGTCCTCCCTACATTAAAGATCTTTTGTCCCTGAAACCAGCTACTAACTCTGCTCTTCGCTCATCTGCTCAATCTCACTTGGGGACAGGGCCTATACTCATGCTGCACCTGTTTTATGGAACTCATTGCCATTAACTATAAGAACAAGTAGTAGCTGCACCATTTTTAAAAAGCAACTTAAAACATTTCTATTTAGGAAAGCTTTCAGTTTGTTTCAATAGTTCTAATGTTTATTGCCTTTGAATATTTTAATTTTAATTAGTATAGAACATTAACTTATGTAAAGTGCTTCTGAATATTGTTTATAGTTTTAGTGCTCTATAAATCCCTTATCATTATCATTATCATTATCATTATTATCAATTTAGTTGACTAATAAATGTAAATGTGCACCTGGAAATTGTTTCAAAAGCTGACGTTTTGAGCAATAGCCCTTAGATAGAGCTTAAAAACATCAGCTTTTAAAAAACCTTGGCCAATTTACCTTATCAACTCAAGTTATCTTACACCCTCTAATAAGCCCTCTCTCTACTAAATCCTCTCTCTCATAAGCCCTCTCTCTAATAAACCCTCCCTCTGACAAGCCCTCCCTCTGATAAACCTTCTCTCTGATAGGTCCTCTCTCTAATAAGCCCTCTCTCTGATAAGTCCTCCTATGAAGTGAGCCCTCCTCTAAGAGACCCTCTATCTCTAAAGGGCTCCCTCTCTAATAAACCCTCCCAAAATACTTTTGTCTCATAGCATCTCTCTGTAAAATGTGTAACAGGTGTCAGATCCCATTAACCTGACAGTTATTTTATTGGCAGCGTCTGCCAGGCTTTGTACACAAAGACATGGAGACTCTGTTTGTTGAGGAACAACAGGCTGCTATCAGTCAACTGATGGGAAACTTGGAGAGTCAACCAGTGACAAAAGGTTTATCAGACTCCAAGATTTCCATGCCATTTACCAGAATCAAAGGGTGAGTAGCACCTTGGCCTTGATGGTCTCATTCTTCTCCCCTATTTTTCAATGAAAAAAAGTGGGTATTTATTTGTTGATTTTATCACCAGACCCCAGCACACAATCTCCATGGTTGAAGTTGCTGTTGATGATGTGGATTCAGTGCTATCAAAGTCTGATGTCATGTTGAATTTCACTATTGAGGTAAAAAGTGAATGTGATGTTGACAGATTACAGAGCGCTGAATTAGTGTACATATGTAGCTATGTCCTATTATCTTTTGGACAGAGAGCAGGGAGATCTTGCTGCATTATACCAATGTAAAGGTGATTTCAATAAAGGCTCTAGATGGCTCCTTGTGTTTTGCTATAGGTGATGGTTCCTTTCTGCAAGCCATTAAAGAGACTTTTACTTTATATCCAGCAATAAAATGGCTTGCATGCTAACGAGAGGGAAACTATAAAAATTTATTATTGTGATGTAGATGTGGTGAGAGAGAAGAAATATAAAATTTTTGGAAATAAATTGTAGGCTCGGCATTTCAAAATTTTCCTTGAATGAGTCAAATGAATACTGTTTCTGGATATCAAAAGGCTTTGACACAAATGAAATTCCCCTAAAATTTCATTCTTGGGCACCAATTTTAATTTGTCCTTTTGTAAAGATTTTTCACTCGCTTGCTGTTAAATTGTTAAGGTAAGGTCTAAACATCCCACAGCTTTTTATCCTTAATGTATAAATCTGCTTGATGTTTAACTCTCCCAGAAGTAAGCATTTACAGTATTTATCAGCCACTTTTGTCTTGAAGCCATCTGATGATTATTGTTGTTTTATTTCCAGGTGATTGTGATAGAGGCCAAAGGACTGAAGTCTCTTTCACCAGTGAAAATTGTTTACTGTACTATGGAGGTAAAACACAGAGCATTTCTGGTCAATTTTATTACTTTACAGAGATGTTAACCCTTTACACCATAACATGAATATGCATATTCTTCACACTGTTCTTTATACATTTCCTAAGGTGCTGACAGGGAGAATTTGTTTGCCAATCAAGAGGTTCCTTCTCTGAAGACCATTTCCTTTATTCTCATGACCTTAATGTGTGATTCAGTTCCACCTTTTTACACAGAATACATGTCAATCTATATGCAATTTATATAATAAGTTCAGTTATGCACGCATTCTGATTGGTTCTCACTTATGATCTATTGGAGGACAGACGTATAGATGACATCATCATTAAAACTTTTTTCCCCCATATTTTAATTCTTTATTATATAAAACAAATAGATTCCAAATTGCCGTGCATCTGTTCAGTAACAGATCACAGAGGACGTCAAAATGTGGTAAGAACACCAGTGGCACACGAGGCGCAGCGCAGCAGTTAAATGGATACACATTGCAATAATATGGAATGACATTGAGTAATCTTTCTATTTTACACCAAGGTGGAAGGTGGAGAGAAATTTCAAACTGAATACGTGGAAGCAAGCAAACCTTTGTAAGTACAACAAGACAATTTGGTTTTATCAACTGAGTTCATAATGTAAATATGCTGCCATTGTGAGTTTCTTAGCTGATGTTTCAAGCATTAGCACTTTATCTGAGAGCTCATGGAGGAAGGTGTAGGTACAAATTGAGTGAATGAGTATATTTTAACCATTTCAATCCTAGGAGTGACTAGCATCTAATTTCTTGTCACAATACCACCCCTTCCTGACGTACCCTGCTTATTTGAGGGTTTCTCTTAATCAACCATTACTTCATGTTATCAGATTGTATGTGGGTACAATTTATTCCATTTGCCCCGTAGTCTAACAAAATATCTTGAGGTTTCATTTGAAGTTCATCAATTTCACAATAATTTATCTCATAAGGGGAATCCCCCTAAGCACTTTCAGAATAGTTTATTCTCAAGGGAATCCCCCTTGAGCACTTTTGCAATATTTTATCTCACGAGGGGAATCTCCCCACTATTTTGGTCTCATCAGTAATTGATCTCTAATAACTATGAAAGCTTGTGTTTTTGATATAGCTGGGACTCTCAAGGTGATTTCACCACTTGTCACCCTCGACCTGTCGTAAAAGTCAAACTTTATGCTGAGAATACAGGAGTTCTGGCACTTGATGATAAAGAGCTGGGAAAGGTACGCAGTATAATTTGCTTGGGAGCTTTAATTTTTTTTTTTTTTTTTTTTACAGTTTCCGTCCCAGTCAATATTCTGTACTTGTAATCAAATGTGTCCAGAGGCCTGTTTTACTCTCTCAGATGAGCCAAGCCATTATTAGGTTAATATGTGAAAAGCTTTGTGTATACTGCTGGGATCCATTCTGCAATAGTTTGAAGAGAGTAGTAAAGAGTTAGAAAGTATAGAAAATTTTAAAAATTGTGCGCACTTTGTGCCCAGTGTCGTGGCCATGATATGACTCAACCTTTTATCATTTTTTCCCCTTAGGTTATTATAAAACCAATCCCTGGTGGATCAGAGCAGCCTGAACTGTATGATGTGGTGACACCCAAAGGATGGGCTGGTGACAAAATCAAATTGAAAATTGCTGTTAAGATGGATAAACCTGTGAACTTGAAAAAATGCGGGTTTGTAGCGGAATGTTATAGCCTTGTTCTAGCATGTGAATGGGCCATCATCATCAGCGCTGCAGGACGCGCGTTTCTGTGCTCGCTGAAAGATTTGGTATGAGTCGGTGAAAGGTTTACCGGGGTCGTGGAAACTCAGTGCCAGACCCCTTGCAGACCTCTCGCCGGCTCACTGGCGGCGCTCAAGGCCCCATACTCTCCCGGGAAAAGAGTCGGACGTTTCGTCCTGACGAAGGGCTAACGCTCGAAACGTCAGCTTTGAAACCGTGGCCAATTTACGTTATCAACTTAGTTGATAAAACCAAATTACCCTGTTATACTCTCTCATGGACGTAGCACCACAGTTTCTTTAAAAACTTACCCTCTTCCTTCATTTGTCGTTTATGGGAATGTTTCTAAAACTGCCCAATGTACTGGATATGAACTGATAATGCAAATTATTTTTTTGGTTCATTCAGGATGATATATGTTCAAGGAAAGACTGTGTGGAAAAAGTGGAAAAAGCGCTTTTTTGTACTAGTACAGGTAAGGTATCTTGTTTATTGTCTTTGAACGTAAACCTGATCACCTGGTAAACTGAAGGAGTGTGTGGAATAGAGCCATATTCTCCAGAGTTTAACAGGGTAATTTAGTATTATCAACTGAGTTGATAACGTAAATTGGCCAACGTAAAGGGTTTCAAAGCTGACGTTTCGAGCGTTAGCCCTTCGTCAATCGCACTGTCAATTCAGTTTCAGCAATCAATTCAGTTGATAATACTAAATTACCCTGTTATACTCTTCCACCGGCGCAGCACCACAGTTTCTTTAGAAACTTAACCCCTTTAATCGCCTGAGTTTAGCAGGTCACTCAAAAAAATACCACTGACCAAACTCTTTGGCACGTAGCTGCAAGGTCTGGACATTTCAACACAAATGCAGTGATGCTAATGTGAGCTAAAATGTCTAGTTAATTTCTTGTGCTCGCTGGGTCTCAAGGCCGACTTTTGTTTTATCTTAGAAATAGTCTTGCCAATCCTATATGGGTTTTGTCACCGAACACATAAACGTTAGGCGATTAAGTTTTTTACCTTTTATAGGTGAGTCATTACACCTTTGCCATGTGCAGTTACCGTGAGAAGTCAGCTGAACCAACAGAGATGATGCACTTAGAGGGGTACACTGTGGATTACTGTGAAGCAGTCAGTGGTGGGTTACTCGGATAACATGTCCGATTGATTTCAATTGGTATCTCTGTTCTCAACTCTTTAGTAGTGCAAATTAATAATTAAGTATTGTACAAACATATCTCTTTTGTAGGTGAAGAGCACAAAGGTGGAAAGTTCTTCTTCAAAGCCGTAAAGGAAGGTGATCAAGTCTTGTTTGCGACTGATGAGGAACTGGAGAGACAGATCTGGGTTAATAAACTTTACACTGCTACTGGCCAATCCCACAAGCCCGTCGCTCCGAATTTATCAGCCATCAGTGTCCAGCCACATGTTAGCAACACCTTGACAAGACTGCAAGGAGGTAAGATGTTGAGCAGGCTATTGCGGGTATATATTTTCAGTAATGTCGGAGTTCCCTGTTAATCTTTACACCCTAGCGTCTGTATACGTATTTTCCATACTGTTCTCTTTGCATTTCCTAAGATGCTGACCAGGAGAATTTGTTTAACAATCAATAGTTTCTTAAGTTGGTGATCATTTCCTTTATTCTCGTGACCTTAACGTCGGTGTTTTTGTAGCTCCAGTTTACAAAATGTTTCTTTTTCACACCCAAGCTCCAACCACTTTAAAGAGCGTTTCCTAAAACGTTCTTTCGGCAATGGACGCAATTTATTCCAGATTGGTGTGGACTGAAACCGTTACGGTAGCATTTTAGCTTCTTTTGTGATGTAGACTACAAATTACTTTTTTGGTTTGGTATTTGTTGTCTTTGTTCATGTGTGTTTCTTTATTTGACTCATTAGATCATGACCGTGCTAGAAAACATGGCCTTGAGGACTTGATCCAAGCTGATCCTAGCTTTTTTAATCACCATGTTCTGTTTGAGAAGCTTCAGCTTCTCACTCTAACACACAGACTGAACGACTCCTATTCTTGTCTGGTATGGAACCTTCAAGATTTCTTTTGTAATTCTCCTTTCTAGCTTCACTACTTCAGGTTGCTCGTGAGAAATCGGTATCCTGCATTATAAGCCGTCGAATATTTTTGCTCGACCACGATTGGTTTAAGGGCGTCATGTGATCCGATATGCCCTAACTAAAACGGGGGACTTCGGCTACAGGTACAGGTGTTTTGTTAAGTTTGTTGAGCCACAATGCTGTGTCATTTCTTTTAGGGTTGGTTTTCCCCTGGTCAGATATTTGTGCTGGATGAGTATTGCGCTCGATATGGAGTACGTGGCTGCCACAGACAACTGTGTTACCTCAGTGACATGTTGGACAGAGCAGAGGCTGGTGTAATGATCGATCCCACCTTACTACACTACAGCTTTGCATTTTGCGCATCACATGTGCATGGGAACAGGTCTGTGTCTTTTTGAGAGATGTGTTCACTCATAACTCAGTATGCGGCCCTATCTCACTTGTGAGTTCTCAGAGATAAAAATATTTTTTCCGCATTTTCGATCCAAGCGGTATAAAGACGCTTGTCAGATATAAACCAGCTTCACTTCTGGCCTGACTCGGTTCTATTCTTTTATATCAGGCCGGATGGCTTAGGAACCATCACAGTGGATGAAAAAACCCGGTTTGAGGATATTAAGATACGCCTCTGGAATCTTCTTGCCTATCAAATCACTCGTTTCAGGTATGAATTAGATACGATAAGCAAGCTCAATGACCATGGCAGGATTGCTCCACATCTTTTCTTGTCCTTTGTGCCCTCGTTGCTCATAAGTGGTTTTTTTTTTTCGCAGATATTCTTTTCCTTTTGGGAGACCAGAAGGGGCGCTTAAGGCAACGCTGTCCTTATTTGAAAGGGTAACTTGAATTTTAAAATTTGTTCTTTGATTGATTAACACCCTCTGTGCGATTTCTCCGCCATCTTTGCGGTTCGTGTGCAACTATTTTTTTGTCGCTGAAATTTATTACGTCACAGCTAAGTGGCCAGGTCGCTAAACATTAATCAAAATAGCGGCTTCTGTGCTTGGAAGAATGTTGGAAGAAATTCGATGCTGGTCTTTTTTAGGGGTTAAAGAGTTAAGTGATGAATCTTGTTATCGTCGTTAGGTTATGATGAAGGATATTTCCACACCTGTTCCACCAGAGGAATTTAGAAAGGAAATCAGAAGCTGCCTTCATCAAGCCGCTCTTGTTAATTATACCCGGGTCTCGGCTTATGCAAAGATTGAAGGTAGGTCTTGACTTTTTTTCAGGAATTTGTTAATCGTTTGATCTCCTTGGATGATCTACCGCCGCCTGCAAAACCTCTCACTGCCGTCCGTTGAGCCCGCGATCAACCTCACGTGTTTAAGTTTCGCCCTTACAGCACAGCCACCTCTTATAGCATCGGCAGCCACTCATGGAAAACATCATTGAAACCTTCTGGTATATATTTAACGCGTAAAGTTAAAATAAGGCATGAATGAAGAACTTTACACAAACTTTTTATAGTGCCTCTCTCTACTCAGCGGTGTAACGGCCAACAACAACATATAAGGGATAGCTTACCAGCTGTCCTTCCTTTTCGGCGAAGCCCGTCGCGCAAGTCATAAGGACTTTTCGAGCGCCTCACTCCAAGAGCTTCCTGCGGCGCGCTAACATCAATTTTTTTTTTCACTGTTTGTTATTCGCGCGAAGGAGTTCGGCGCAGAAGAGGAACTGCTCGTAGTCTATGTAAGGAAAACCTGAGAAAATGCTTGGATGGGGAGGAAAGGGGTTTGACGTGGGTGGACTGGTTCCCGTCTGGGGGTGGGGAGGGGTGGCAATGTTCTTCGTCCTTCGACGTAACAGTAACAGGATAACTCCACGCTCCACTCGCCTTGTATACAGAACAATAACAAAATGGATCCCAACGTTTACCTTCTAGAGTCATCCGGAAATCACGTGTCACCTGAGACTAAACTGAATGACATCATGCATCTGGCGGAACTGTGTATTGATTTACTCCATCAGAATGAAGAACATCATGCTGAGGTATGGAGGTATATGGGCGTTAACCGAATGGCATCTTGTTCCTCAAATTTTTATTTATTTTTCTTGTTTTCATTTTTACCAACTCAGTGGAGTCAGAATACTCGTTCCAAGCTCCTTACTTAATCATTATGCGGCTAATGTACGCAGAGCATTCGATTTTCTTTTCCTTCAACTTGTTTCATTTTTCTTTATGTCCAGGCGTTGGCTTGGGTTTCCGACCTGATGGTAGAACATCAGGAAATCTTCTGGTCTCTGTTCACTGTTGATATGGATGCTGCTCTGGCTGCACAGCTTCCCGACACATGGGAGAGTTTTCAGCTGTTTCAACTGTTAAATGAATATCTCTGTAATGATAGTAAGTAACAGTCAACGTTTAAAACCTGGGCCCAGTTGTTCGATGGCCGGTTACTGCTAACCCTAGGCTAAACTTTAATCCGGGTTTCTTTCTTCCTTTGTACAAAAACCTTCTCGGGAAAGTTTTCTCTTTTCTTTTAAAACATCCAATAATCAAATTCTACACCTTTTTTTCGTTAAAGCCTTCAGATCTGATATCAGATTTCACACTAATCCTGGGTTATCTTAACCCAGCTTTGAACAACCCGGCCCTGAACAGCAAGAACACTACGGATGAGAAAAGAAACCCCTAACTTTTTGATTCCTTGGAGTGACTAGCATCTAATTTCTCCTTAAAATATCCACCCTGAATCACAACTTAAGCACACCGGAATAAAGGAAATTATCACCAACTGAAAAAGGGCTTGATTGTTATACAAATTCTCCTTGTCAGCACTTAAGGAAATCTATAGAGAGAAGTATGGAAAACAGGCATACTGATGTTAGAGTGTAAATGGTGCAAAGATTCCAAGACATGTATCACTGTGAAGGAATGGGCGCGCGAAAACTCGCTTTCTTTAAACGGAAAAAACACAATAGCGGTCAACTGGATTTGACGAATCTTTTGCAAGGGAGGGGCGCTTCTTGAAAATTTTGGTTGATAAAAAGGGTTACTTATTCAAGAGGAGGTGCTGATGGAAGGATTCGCAGTATGCGTGTCTTATTTTGCTATGTTCTCTCCTGTTTAGCCAACCTCAATCGTGGGAAATTCCACCGTCATTTACGAGATATGTTCGCTCCTCTTGTTATTCGATATATTGATCTGATGGAGTCGTCCATTGCACAGTCACTGCACAAGGGGTTTCAAAAAGAGAACTGGACTCCCCTCAGGTTAGAGCCGTGATAGTTTTAGACCTGTGCGAAATTTTTTGTGAACAGTAATCTTATTTATTCTGTATCCCTTTTTGTAGAGAGGGGTGCCGTGCTTCGGAGGACCTGTTCTGGAAGTTGACTGTACTGCAACAGTTCATTGCGGAACTAAACTGGCCCGATGAGGTGTTAGCGTCTCATCTTATGAAGAGACTTAAGTTGATGGCTTCAGATATGGTTCAGTCCTGTGTGAAAAGGTAATTTTATCGTATAATTGTTCAATATATGTTTATCGTTCGTTATTTATGAAAACCAATCCTTGAAGGAAAAAAAACGCTTTGTGCAATTGGTTGGAGAAGGAATTCTTATCATCTTTTAGATCCTATTTTGTTTTGCATGTAAACGTCATATGTGAGACGGGTTATTTATTTTGATCAAAATCCTGTTTTGAACATGATCAATATTTTACAAAATCTTAACATCCAAAACCTTTCCTAACCTTTATACTCTCGTTGCTCTCAGAACGAAGGCCGCGTTTGACAAATGGCTGAAACAAACCAGTTTCAGTCTGGAACTACTCGTACCCAGGACCGTCTGTGTCATGCTCAACGTCGTCATACAGGCTAAGAAACAGGTAAATCCTGTTTAGAGTCCCGTTCCTAAAGATTCAGGTCGCGCAAAACGTTTTTATGCGCGTTACAAGATGAGACCCATTGCATGTCAGTGTTAGTCTAAGGACTTCGTACAAACTCATGGTCAGCGATAACGTTTTGGTGTCCCAGAGTGCTCTAATTCCCTTTGTTTAGTGGACGTTTTGTTATTTCTTATGTCAAGTCGTGAGTGTTGTTTTGGCTATTTTTCCCAAATGAATTATGTTTTGAAGAGACCCTTCAATGATAGGTGACAGGAGGTTTCACTTGGGCGTAAATTAGAGAAGTCTTTGATTGAGAATTAAAAGTAAAGTTAGATTGCTTTGCTTTTATCCCGTGATTGGACCAGAGAATCCTTGCCACCCTAGTTATTGTGACCAACAGGGGTTTGGTTCTAGGACACTCAGTCGAAATGCGTCCAAAGCGAACTGTTAATTCAGTTTTTAAGATAATTATACCACTCTCGTGAACTGGTTAGGAAAATTGAAATTGTGCCAGAGGACAATTAAGGGTTCAATAAAATGTTTAGAAATCTTGTGCGTTAAGATATTATCTGTGTTAATATTTACAGTCCAGATTCCTTTGTGCAAGGGAAGAGTCCGAGAGTTGCGAGGTAAATAAATGAATATATATATCAGTTCTATTTTAGCGTCGAAAATGGCGAGTTTTACTCTAGTGTTGTTTTAGAACGCTTTGTGATTGATAAGAAATCTACTGTGTGAGACAAAACTTAGATTCATTCAGTTCTTGGTTACTCGCACTTTTCCTTTCTTGAGCCCACTTTTGTTTCCTTGAGTTTCCATCAGCTCCGTGTTGTGATTACTTTGGTCGTGGGTTTACAGACAATACCTAAAAAAGTGGTATTTCTTTATTGTATTGAACAGATTTTCTTTCTCGTTTTATTTTACAGTATCGGTATCACTCAGATGTCAACATCTTTCTAAAGGATGTTATCCAAGAGATGTTTTCATCGTTTATTTCCAAGGTTTGCAAGACGTTATAAGATTCCTTTTTTTTTAATTTATTCTCATGTTTTGTTACACAGGAAACTGTTGTAATCTTGTCTTTGCTCCTTCTATTTTAATTTAAATCCGTGTTCATTTATCTTTTAGCTGAACACTGTGTTGGAATCGTTGTTGTCAAAGGTGGCACGTTATGACCAGGGATCCATACTTGCTCCGATGTTCTCCCTGAGGGTATATTCATTTTTATTTCACCGCGGAGACTTGGTATCTTTCTGGCCTATTAGTGTTAATGCGTTAAACACCTGATCGCCGAAGTCGGAGTTCTCGAGAAAGACACGTTACTTTTACTTCGCCCTTCTTCGCGCGAGAGTACAGAGAAATTTTCAGATGACTGTCAAAAGTAATCCGATCAGCTTTGCTTTAGTTTCGCTTTGCGTCGCTTGTTTTTTAATTCAGAAAACCTGCGTCACTTTTTCAACCGATTAGATTCAAAACTAAAATCAATTGCGCCTTTGTCCCTCGCGTTTTCCCGCGCTTCAAGAAGTCTGATTGTTTTTCTTTCAAGTTCTCATCTGTCGGTAAACCCTGAAAACCCCAAAGAGTGACCAGCATCTATATCACTCTTGAATCACACATTGAGGCCCTGAGAATGAAGGAACTGATTAACCCTTTAACCCCCAAGATCTCATTAGTAATTCTCCTTACTGTCTGTCATACAATTCTCATGATGTAAATTTGGAGAATTTGGTATTGGATCAATTAATAATCCTTTATTTGATGTTTTACTTTATTCTCATCACTTCTATGCTTGATATTGTATTGATATTGTAAGGAGAAATTCTGTCTTGGTCACTCTTGGTAGGTAAAGGGTTAAGAAGAACTTGAACACATCCGATTTTGAGGCTGGTTTATTTTCAGTACATTGACTTCTCTATGAATTCCTAATTATTTTCATTTGAATCACATCCAATAAACCACAGACTTATATAGGTATTTATATTCCTAGACACTTAATGAATCTAAACTTATATATAGATATTTCAATTAACATAGTATTGTTTATTTAACTATTGTAAAAAAATTATAAATTATTATTAAGCAGGTCCACATCAGCTACGGCTGCCTGACTCTCAACCTGCATTAACAAATAAATTATGTTAATTTATGTTATGTTATGATTGTTAAGCAAATTCTCGTTGCCGTATGTTGTTGTTCGTATAGAGAACAGTGTGAAGAATATGCATACTGATGTTAGGATGTAAAGGGTGAAAAAGTCAATCCTTCAACCACGCTACTTCCGTAATTTGCCCAAAAATGCCCGAGTCTACATTTGCTTTTTACAGAACCAAATGGTTTTCGTCTTAAAAATTTGCTTTCCTCACTTACGTTTCCATTATATGGAATATATACTGTTTTTCATTGTACCACGTTTTTAATGTGTGTGATTCTGTTTTCAGAATCCTGGTACAGAACTTGAAGAATCCTACTTGAATTTCGTCAAACTTAATTTAGAAAGTTTCAGAGATTACTTGAACGACGAGAAAATGAAAAAGCAGTTAATAAAGGTCAGTTAAAAGTTTAGCATATAATTTATACAATTTTAAGGCAGAGATATACAGTAATATGCGTCTCCACCCTCGTTGTCCAGGATTACGCACACTCTAAGTTTACCTCCTTAAGAATTTTCAGCGTTTGCTTTGATGCTTTCAGGACTGGTACACGTCCATAATAACGAAGATATTTGACTGGCTATCGGACAGAATGAACATGGCGTTACACCAGTACCAGGTCCAGACTCTTCACGCACTTGCGGCGGTAAGTAATGTCACGCAACTCATCCCGCATAATTTATGTCACGTAACGTTATGCATATCTCCCTGTTCTTTCTTTTCGAGTGATTTTCTTTACAGAACTTTTTGGAAAGAGATTGTTTAGTGTGAGCGTGGTGGTTACAAACAATCCTTTTTAATCGATTATAGTTTCCAACTATTCAATTTTCATTTTTCAATCTATTTAATCATTTGATCACCTGCTTTTTTTGTACTGTAGCAGTTAGCTATTTTGAATTTTCTAAGCAAGCTTGCAAAAATTTCCAGGAGCTCCCGCAGTTTGTCAACGAGGACTTATCGTCAAGCCGAGCCATTTATTCCCGCACTTACAAAACCATGTTTTCTCGGATCCGAATGGAGGACGCCATGTTAAAGGGTCAAAGCATCTACGGCGCAGAGGATCAGTCTTACCCCGGAGAGGATGGGGAAGATGACGGCAAGGAGACTGAGTCGAGTGACGAAGAAGCACTCATTAGATTGGAGACTGGAAACTAGTGTTTTGTTGGAAATGTTGAGAAACGCTTTGTAATCAGATAACTAATAGTTTATTAAGATAATTTACGCTTAAGTATTGGCGTAAACTATAATAAATTAAAATATGTTATTACTATTATTATTATTATTATTATTATTAAGCAACATAAAAATTTTCTGTATGTTTTATGAGTTCAAAAATTTGTCAGATGAAAGTATTGGTAAATAGATGAATGAGATGAGGTGCCAGGAAGACTGTGGTGCTGCGTTGGTGAAGGATTTTATTGGGCAATTCGGTTTTATCAACTGAGTCGATAATGTAAATTGGCTGCCGTACAGAGTTTCTAAAGCGGACGTTTCGAGCGTGAGTCTTTCGTCAAATCGGGCTTAGGGTTAACACTTAAAAGAACTCTTTACGGTGGCCAAGGAACATCATCATCTCAGTTAGTAAAACCAAATTATAGTAGTAAATAGAGTTATTTCAGAAATCCCTTAACTATTGTCTCTTCAGCATTTCAAGTAGCAAGGTGTCTAGAAGTAAGAGGTATTATTTAGCCTCAAATAAGTAAGTTATTTGTTCTTAATCTTGGCCAAGCTTTAGGAGTTACTATCTTCGAGAATTGTTCTTTCCGCGGTGAAGATAGTAAAGTAAATATACTGTAGTCTTGATAGCCTAAGAGGAAACTGTTCACAGGAAAAGGAAAAAAAGGATATTCAATAATGAATTACACGCCTATATCTTGTTTTGAAGGAAAGAATTAATTCACCCGTTTGTCGTGACGAAAGGCCGGAAAAACATTGAGTATGTCTGGGCTTGGGAACCGCGCCTCGAGTACCACTTTGTTGTTCACACCTTATTATGACGTCATCTGTGATACATAACTGAACAGAAGCACGACAACATGGAATCTGCATGTTAATTAGATGGCTATTAGCTTAACCAATCAGATTGCAGCATTTACGATACACCACTTGTAGATTTCTAATAACGCGTGATATATCATGGGAGAGAGAGAGGGAGATAGAGGGGGAGAGAGAGAGAAAACTTCCAATTTATCTGAAGTAAACGCACACAGTGGTTTATTGTCCCAAAGCTGCATTTGTTTAGCGCACACTGTAGTCTCCTTCGAAGCCATTGTTTTGTCTCGTCACGCAACGCTCTCTCTCCCGCGTTGGAGAGAGACCGTTGCGTGACGGGAGCGAACAACGGCTGCGAAGGAGGATACCAGCGCTTCTTCGCCCGAACGAACGTATGAGACCTTCAGGAACACGAGCCAACGAGGGGTGCGCACGGGGTCTGGTACTACTAATTAGTGCCAGATTCCCCGCAAACCTCACGCCGACTTGTTTTACAATGCATACGCGATCTCGGACCCCTCAGGGGTGGGCTGAAATTCACCACGCGCCTATAACCTTAAAATAGACACACGCTACTAATTCTAATTTTAAATTTGGCTGTTTCACCATACAAAGCAATGAAGCGTTCAGAGTCAGAGTCAAGGTAAGCTTATTTATTTGTTAATGTGCTGATGTGTTCATGTGATTCTCATCAATTTTCCGATTCATATTTCAACGCCTTTGTAACTAGAACTGCTTTTATAGAGACCATTATTATATTTATTAATATTCTAACACAACATGAATTGCCATAGAAGGACGTTGTTCTTAGAAAATTCCCTCTTTTCTCAAAAAATTTTCTTCGTATCCCTCGGAGAAAACATTTCTGACGCATTAACATCAGTACTTCTGTCGTGTTGAGTCAAATTCGTTTCATTCATATCTATCCATCAGCTGGATAACAATCAAACCGCTTGTGTGAACTTAGTTAAATATACATGCCCAATTTGTGCCCAAAAACGTCATGAGAAGTTTACAAATGTTAATTTCATGTACACATTGCCTTTCACGCGCGGGGTCAGTTGTCTTCGGCAAAACAAGTTTTCAGATTCAGAAAGATAGTATACATTGTTAGTGTTCCCAATGTAAACAATGGGTGAAATAAGACCATTTGAAATTGAAAATCATATCAAATCTCCGTATGTCCCGGTTCGTCTAATATTGTTTCCTTAGCCGTCCTAAGAAGCTTAAGATTTTTCAGAGTAAGTTGTAACGTAGAGTATATACAAATCGCACAGTATTGCTAAATTTCAAATTAATTCAAGGCGGAGAAATCTAGTCTGTTTGAAAATTCAACCTTGTGCGCTTAATTTGTGGAGAAGATGATGAGCGATTGATTTTCAGGTTCCTACACGGGTTTTTTTTTGTTCCTATTCTGTACAGATCGAACTTAATCTTTATACTTGGTAATCGTTTTTCCCTCTTCGGTTCATCAAATTTTTTTTCATTCATTTGACTTCTGTTTTACAAACGTTTTTACGTCTTTCTTGCAATAGCTATTCGCATTTATCTTTGTTTTCGAGAGAAAGTCTTATTTCAGTTTCGTAATTTTGGTTTCATTAGTCATGCGACCAGAATATCAAACACGACAAGCTTCTTGTGAAAAATGGTAAAAAATAAATTAAGAAACAATTTTTCCCGCTTTACAAAACTAGATGTTTTGCACTAGATATTCAAAGCCAGACCATTTAAACCTCGAAAAAATCTTAGATTTTGGCATAGATTTGTTTGATTTAAACTGATCATAGTCTGAAAAATAAAATGATGAACTCAATTTTAGGCCTTTAACTTCTATAATCTTACTTAGTCTCCTTTGCAAATGTTTCAAATATGACAGTAAATATTTTTAGAGAATGAAGTGTTGCGTCAATTTGACACCGTCCAGCTGATAAGTTTCTTTATTCTCCAAAACTGTTAGCTGAAGAATATATTGATATTGTAAGGAGAAATTGCACGTTAAACAATTCTTAAGTGTCAGAGTCTGGGAGTGAAAGAGTAAAAGCAGATACGCAATACATGAACGAGAAATTCAAATTTTTTAATCTGAAATTTAAAAAAAAAAAAAAAAGAACATGAAGATGCCATGATTTTTATTTAAATTACGGGGAGGTAAGAAAGCGACGTAGTCTTGTTTCACGTTTTTTAAACGATTTTTTGTGTCGGCAATAAAGCTTTTAATTTTTGTTCACTCTTGTCAGATTGTCATTCATCTCCGTTTTGCATGGAAAGCGTTATTTCAGTTTCTAAATCTCGGCTTCCTCAGTCATTCGATCAGAATACGAAACAGGATACACTTCCTTGTTCAAATATGGCGCAACAAAAATCAAATCCAAGAACAGCGATTGTTGATGTGGAAAGAAAAGCGCTACAATGTTGTTCAAAGCACGCAATGGGCGAAACAGAAAGTCATATTGATACATCTAAGACCAAGAGATGATCAACTGCAGTTAATAGTTTCTAATCTTAGACCGATCAAACTTAGCACTTTGTTCTCACACGAGTTGCTTACATTTATCTTTGTTTCTCGCCACTTCCGGTCTCATCACCCAAACAAAGCGTGTTTATTTTTAAAAAGGATAGTTACCAGCTAAAAAACTAAATTTAATAATAGTTATTCTTTTCCCGCTTTGAAAAAAATTTGTTTCTAGTTAAAATTTAGCAAATTCAGTGATGAAAGAGTTGTAATTCCATACAATCTGATAATATTTGTGGAGACCTTCCAAATTCGAATCAAGTTTTGATTTGATTGCAAAATATTTAAGGTCTGCATCATCTTAGCCTTTTGAAGTTATTATTATCAGCAATTCTTTCTTCTAGCTCCCTCACATTACCTTGCTAGTGGGAAGGGAGAATTCAATGTTGTATGCGGAAAAAAACCCGGCTGATGAATATTCTCGTCGCTTTTTCACTGAGTAATATGTTGTTATTGGAAAGAGAAGCAACATGTTCGTCACTTCTGTAACTTGAAGGTTTTAAAAATCGGGCAAAGAGAAATTAAAACCACCAAACTCTTATCAATGATATGTGAGCTGCAATATTCATTGAGATATCTTATTTGTAATGCAAGTTCCATCCTTATTAGGTTTACAATGATTACTTTTAACCGATAATTTTCCTTTCACAAGAATGCAAACGTAACACGATTGGTAAGTTAACCGCTGTTCTACTGGTGATAATTTTTTGAAAGCTGTATCCAACTCTGCTCTACGATTATTGTGATTTGAACCCAGATGATACACTTGTGACTGGTGTGAATAAAAGAATGAAAAAGGAACGTTGCGCTCAGACATTTGTGAGAAGGAAGACAACCACAAATTCCCTAAAAACACTTTATAAACTTATGAAAGTTTTACTTTTCTTAATATTTTTTACAGTTGATTCTTTCTGACGACAACAGACAGAAGAGAGCCGTTATGAGTGAGGCTGCAGAAATCCTAAAATCAGTCCAGATAGGTCTAAATGTCGTCATATTTCTTCTGAACACTGATCGTGGCCTACAAGCGACTGAGTTATGTAATGAATGTGTGATTCTACTTCAAAACCTTGGCTCTGGTAGTCACCTTGATATCTCCGATGTACTATTCAATGCATACTACGCCATCTCTGGTTACAAAGATGCGGAAAGACATACCGTCAAACTTCTTGAAATGTTCCGCTATGCTGGGGGACTAATCGGAGAAATAGGAAACAAATGTAATGCACAAAGCCGGTTTGTAGAGGCGAAGCAATACTTTAAAGGCGCACTCACCATCATGAAAACGATTGATGACAAAAGAAAAGAAGAAATGGCTTATGGAAGCCTTGGAATTGTCTGTGCTAGCCTCAGAGAATATCAGAAAGCTAACGAATATCAAGAGAAAGCACTTACCATAGCGATAGAAATTGGCGACAGAGAAGGAGAAGGAATAGCATACGGGAACATCGGAAATATGTTTCAATCCCTTGGCGAATATCAGAAGGCTAAAGAATATCACGAGAAAGCACTTGCCATCGCGATAGAAATTGGCAACATAAAGGGAGAAGAAATAGCATACGGGAACCTCGGAATTGTGTTTCTTTCCCCGGGCGAATATCAGAAGGCTGAAGAATATTTCGAGAAAGCACTTGCCATTGCGATAGAAATTGGCGACAGAAAAGGAGAAGAAACATCATACGGGAACCTCGGAAATGTGTTTCTTTCCCTTGGCGAATATCAGAAGGCTAAAGAATATAAAGAGAAAGCACTTCCCATCGCGATAGAAATTGGCGACAGAAAAGAAGAAGGAACAGCATACGGGAACCTCGGAAGTGTGTTTTATTTCCTTAGCGAATATCAGAAGGCTAAAGAATATTACGAGAAAGCACTTGCCATCGCGATAGAAATTGGCGACAGAAAAGGAGAAGAATAGCTTACGGGAACCTCGGAAGTGTGTTTCATTCCCTGGACGAATATCAGAAGGCTAAAGAATATTACGAGAAAGCACTTGCCATCGCGATAGAAATTGGCGACAGAAAAGAAGAAGGAAAAAGCTGCAGGAACCTCGGAACTGTGTTTTGTTCCCTTAGCGAATATGAGAACGCTAAAGAGTATCACGAGAAAGCACTTGCCATCGCGATAGAAATTGGTGACAGAGAAGGAGAAGGAATAGCATACGCGAACCTCGGAAGTGTGTTTCATTCCCTGGGCGAATATCAGAAGGCTAAAGAATATCAAGAGGAAGCACTTGCCATCGCGATAGAAATTGGTGACAGAAAAGGAGAAGGAACAGCATACGGGAACTTCGGAAATGTGTTTCATTCCCTTGGCGATTATCAGAAGGCTAAAGAATATCAAGAGAAAGCACTTGCCATCATGATAGAAATTGGCGACAGAAAAGAAGAAGGAACAGCATACGGGAACCTCGGAAGTGTGTTTCATTCCCTTGGCGATTATCAGAAGGCTAAAGAATATTGCGAGAAAGCACTTGCCATTGCGATAGAAATTGGCGACAGAAAAGGAGAAGGAAAAAGCTGCGGGAACCTCGGAAGTGTGTTTCTTTCCCTTGGCGAATATCAGAAGGCTAAAGAATATCACGAGAAAGCACTTGCCATCGCGATAGAAATTGGCGACAGAAAAGAAGAAGGAAGAAGCTGCGGGAACCTCGGGACTGTGTTTCGTTCCCTTGGCGAATATGAGAACGCTAAAGAATATCACGAGAAAGCACTTGCCATCGCGATAGAAATTGGTGACAGAGAAGGAGAAGGAATAGCATACGCGAACCTCGGAAGTGTGTTTCATTCCCTGGGCGAATATCAGAAGGCTAAAGAATATCAAGAGGAAGCACTTGCCATCGCGATAGAAATTGGTGACAGAAAAGGAGAAGGAACAGCATACGGGAACGTCGGAAATGTGTTTCATTCCCTTGGCGAATATCAGAAGGCTAAAGAATATCAAGAGAAAGCACTTGCCATCATGATAGAAATTGGCGACAGAAAAGAAGAAGGAACAGCATACGGGAACCTCGGAAGTGTGTTTCATTCCCTTGGCGATTATCAGAAGGCTAAAGAATATTGCGAGAAAGCACTTGCCATCGCGATAGAAATTGGCAACAGAAAAAAAGAAGGAATGATATACAACAACCTCGGAGCTGTGTTTCTTTCCCTTGGCGAATATCAGAAGGCTAAAGAATATTGCGAGAAAGCACTTGCCATCATGATAGAAATTGCCGACAGAGAAGAAGGAATAATATACAACAACATCGGAAGTGTGTTTTATTCCCTTGGCGAATATCAGAAGGCTAAAGAATATCACGAGAAAGCACTTGCCATCGCGATAGAAATTGGCAACAGAAAAGGAGAAGGAACAGCATACGCGAACCTCGGAAGTGTGTTTCATTCCCTGGGCGAATATCAGAAGGCTAAAGTATATCAAGAGAAAGCACTTGCCATCAGGATAGAAATTGGCGACAGAAAAGGAGAAGGAACAGCATACGGGAACCTCGGAAGTGTGTTTCGTTGCCTTGGCGGAAATCAGAAGGCTAAAGAATATTTCGAGAAAGCACTTGCCATCAGGATAGAAATTGGCGAAAGGGAAGAAGAAGGAACAGCATACGGGAACCTCGGAAGTGTGTTTATTTCCTTTGGCGATTATCATAAGGCTAAAGAATATCACGAGAAAGCACTTGCCATCGCGATAGAAATTGGCAACAGAAAAAAAGAAGGAATGATATACAACAACCTCGGAGCTGTGTTTCTTTCCCTTGGCGAATATCAGAAGGCTAAAGAATATTGCGAGAAAGCACTTGCCATCATGATAGAAATTGGCGACAGAGAAGAAGGAATAACATACAACAACCTCGGAAGTGTGTTTTATTCCCTTGGCGAATATCAGAAGGCTAAAGAATATCAAGAGAAAGCACTTGCCATCGCGATAGAAATTGGCAACAGAAAAGGAGAAGGAACAGCATACGAGAAACTCGAAAATGTGTTTCTTTCCCCGGGCGAATATCAGAAGGCTAAAGAATATCACGAGAAAGCACTTGCCACCGTGATAGAAATTGGCAACAGAAAAGGAGAAGGAACAGCATACGAGAACCTCGGAAGTGCGTTTCTTTCCCTTGGCGAATATCAGAAGGCTAAAGAATATTACGAGAAAGCACTTCCCATCGCGATAGAAATTGGTGACAGAAAAGGAGAAGGAACAGCTTACAGGAACCTCGGAAGTGTGTTTCATTCCCTGGACGAATATCAGAAGGCTAAAGAATATTACGAGAAAGCACTTGCCATCGCGATAGAAATTGGTGACAGAAAAGGAGAAGGATTAGCATACACGAACCTCGGAAGTGTGTTTCATTCCCTGGGCGAATATCAGAAGGCTAAAGAATATCAAGAGGAAGCACTTGCCATCGCGATAGAAATTGGTGACAGAAATGGAGAAGGAACAGCATACGGGAACCTCGGAAATGTGTTTCATTCCCTTGGCGATTATCAGAAGGCTAAAGAATATCAAGAGAAAGCACTTGCCATCATGATAGAAATTGGCGACAGAAAAGAAGAAGGAACAGCATACGGGAACCTCGGAATTGTGTTTCATTCCCTTGGCGATTATCAGAAGGCTAAAGAATATTGCGAGAAAGTACTTGCCATTGCGATAGAAATTGGCGACAGAAAAGGAGAAGGAGAAAGCTGCGGGAACCTCGGAAGTGTGTTTCTTTCCCTTGGCGAATATCAGAAGGCTAAAGAATATCACGAGAAAGCACTTGCCATCGCGATAGAAATTGGCGACAGAAAAGAAGAAGGAACAACATACGGGAACCTCGGAAGTGTGTTTCATTCCCTTGGCGATTATCAGAAGGCTAAAGAATATCACGAGAAAGCACTTGCCATCATGATAGAAATTGGCGAAAGGGAAGAAGAAGGAACAGCATACGGGAACCTCGGAAGTGTGTTTCGTTCCCTGGGCGATTATCAGAAGGCTAAAGAATATCACGAGAAAGCACTTGCCATCATGATAGAAATTGGCGAAAGGGAAGAAGAAGGAACAGCATACGGGAACCTCGGAAATGTGTTTCATTCCCTTGGCGATTATCAGAAGGCTAAAGAATATCACGAGAAAGCACTTGCCATCATGATAAAAATTGGCAACAGAAAAAAAGAAGGAAAAATATACAACAACCTCGGAAATGTGTTTTATTCCCTTGGCGAATATCAGAAGGCTAAAGAATATCACGAGAAAGCACTTGCCATCACGATAGAAATTGGCGACAGAGAAGAAGAAGGAACAGCATACAGGAACCTCGGAAGTGTGTTTCTTTCCCTTGGCGGATATCAGAAGGCTAAAGAATATAAAGAGAAAGCACTTACCATCGCGATAGAAATTGGCGACAGAAAAGGAGAAGGAACAGCATACGGGAACCTCGGAAGTGTGTTTCATTCCCTGGGCGAATATCAGAAGGCTAAAGAATATAAAGAGAAAGCACTTGCCATTGCGATAGAAATTGGCGACAGAAAAGGAGAAGGAAGAGCATACGGGAACCTCGGAAATGTGTTTTATTCCCTTAGCGAATATCAGAAGGCTAAAGAATATTACGAGAAAGCACTTGCCATCGTGATAGAAATTGGCGACAGAAAAGGAGAAGGAACAGTATACGGGAACCTCGGAAATGTGTTTCGTTCCCTGGGCGAATATCAGAAGGCTAAAGAATATTAAGAGAAAGCACTTGCCATCGCGATAGAAATTGGCGACAGAAAAGGAGAAGGAACAATATACGGGAACCTCGGAATAGTGTTTTGTTGGCTGAACGAATATCAGAGGGCTAAAGAATATTACGAGAAAGCACTTGCCATCGCGATAGAAATTGGCGACGGTGTAAAAGAAGGAAGAAGCTACTTGAACTTCGGAAAGTTGATTGAATCCTTTGGCGAAGATCAGAAGGCTAAAGAGTATGGAGAGAAAGGGCTTGCCATCGCAATAAAATTTGGCGACAGAAAAGGAGAATGTCTCGCACGCCTCCTTCTTGGAACAATTTACCAAAAACGTCATCAAAATCGGGCAGCTAAAGAACATTTGGACAAAGCAGTCGGCATCAGTATAACACTTGGTGACAGAATACTAGAGGCCTGTGCCACTGTAGGTTTGGCAGTTGTCTCTGCTTCTGTGAATGACAGTCAGAAGGCAAAAGAGCAATGTGAGAAGGTGCTTACAATCACCAGAGAATGTGACGATAGAGATTTAGAAGCTATTGTTTACCTAAACCTTGGACTTGTATTCCGATTGTTTGGTGAATATGGCAAGGCAGCAGATTATGTAGAGAAAGCTTGTTCCATAGGCAGCCATATTGGAGACAAATTAATTGAGTTTCACAGCCTTTGTAGTATTACTTTGTTAAAGTTGTTACAGTCAGAGGATGCGGAGGCAATTGAATATCTTTTTCAATGCATTGGAAAATATGAACAAATTCGAACTCTTCTGAAAGGAAACAGTGAACTTCAAATGTCTTTGTTGGAGAAATACGGTACTTTTCCCCACCAGTTATTAACTGATATCCATTGCAATGCCGGAAAATTTCGAGATGCTCTCTATGTTGAGGAGCTGGGACGAGCAAGAATCCTCACAGAATTCATGGCAGACAAGTATTTCGCTGAAAGTCACATCTCAGCTGATCCACGATCATGGTTCGGCATTGAAAACGTCGTGAAAAGAGAAAGTAACTGTGTTTTTTTGTACATTTCGTATAGAGATCGGCAAGTTCTTCTCTGGGTATTGAAAACAAATGGAGACATTTTCTTTCGAATCACAGACGAAATGAAAGTAGACAATCTTATTGCTGAGCAAGTTTGCGAAGTAGAAGGAATCTTCAAAAAGAGCGCCGCCTGCTTTGGTGTTTTACCGGAAGCGAACTGCGAAGACCGATCGCTGGATGACAACGTGACGACATCTCTTCATGAAGAGAGCCAAGCAAATTTTCGAGGTGACGAAACCAAAGATACCGGAAGAAGTCATCATTTGTGCTACGAATGGATCATCGCACCTGTGGCAGATTTACTAACAGAGCCCGAAATCATCATTGTACCGGATCGTTTTTCGTACCGAGTCCCATTTGCTGCCTTGCGTGATGGACCAGCCGGAAAGTATTTATCGGAGAAGTACAGAATACGCATCGTCCCTTCACTGACAACTCTCCGGCTAATTCAAGAATGTCCAGCAGACTATCACAGTCAAACTGATGCACTGGTTGCGGGTGATCCTACGGTTGGCAAAGTGCATTACAATGGACGTCTCACTGATATTACACCATTGTTCTGTGCAAATAAGGAAGCAGAGATAGTTGGTCAACTGCTGGGCGTTCAGCCTTTGTTAGGAAGTCGCGCAACAAAGCACGCGGTTCTTCAAGCAATACCCTCAGTGAGTCTGATACATCTTGCCGCACATGGAGATGCCAAAAGAGGAGAGATTGCTCTCTCTCCTGAACGTACTACTGACAGTATTCCACAAGAGGAAGACTACCTCCTAACAATGTCCGACATTGAAGGAGTTCAAGTGCGAGCTAAACTGGTGGTACTCAGCTGTTGTCACAGTGGGCGTGGACTGATTAAAAAGGAAGGAGTTATTGGAATCGCGCGAGCATTCTTAGCATCCGGTGCACGTTCAGTGTTGGTAGCATCGTGGGCTGTAGAAGACAAAGCAACAGCGAACCTCATGAAACATTTCTATAAACACCTTGTTCGTGGAGAAAGTGCCAGTGAATCTCTTCACCAGGCTGTACAATGGTTGAGAAGCAATGGTTTCCCCAAACCTTTCCAATGGGCTCCGTTTGTGCTGATGGGGGATAACGTGACATTTGATATTATGAAAAAAGGGTAAGTTTGATTATAATGAGCAATTTTCTACGACAAACCGAATAGCACGCTTAACTTGTTCAGTTCACCCAATTGTCGTAATTTTGTCTGTTTGTTTTTGTCTTTGTCTTTCATCCATAAAATGCCAAGAAAAAGCAGTTGATTTTATCTAATGCAGAGCCAGAAGATTTTGACGAATCGCTCTCTAAAATTGGCCTTGAATTGGAGTTTCTTTTGTATGTAATAATTACTAAAGTCGATACGATGCTAGACGCTATGACGATGAAGGTAACTTTAGAAGCTAAGAAAGTTTACTTTATCCGTAAAAAATCAACAAAAATAACACTAAATTGACAATCTTGAAGTCACTTTCGTATCATTCATAGTATGTTCGACAAGTTTGGATAATCATAGCCAATGTCATTGAAGAAAAAAGTAATTTCTTTTATTGGAAGTCTGTTCCGTTTACTTTAAAGTTGAAATAGAGACAAATGTAAAATGTTTTTTTTTAGGAAAGAAGAACTCGAGGAAGACAGCAACTGATCCTACACAAAGATTCTTCTTCCTGTACATTGTCTTTCAATGGACACTGGTATCACTTGCGAAGACATTTTTTTACATTTTCTTTCTAAGTCAAGAAATAAATTTTGCGTGCTTTTATAAGCAAGGCTTAATCGAAAGCCGGCGACGTTGAAACCTGAAATTCAGCCGTTTGATCTATTAAGTATACTAGCAATAGGGAAATACAATAAATTGGGATGGGAAAACTGAACGCAGGAAATTAGTTTAATATTTAGAAATGTGACAAATTTGGCAAAGTTTCGTCAAGACTCAGAATTAATCCTTGATTTAAATCATAACGATCCTGTTTTCAATTCTCCAGTTGCATGCACGCGTGATCATTAAAGAGTGATTAAGACTGTTCACTGGTGCAGAAGATGATAACATAACAAACTAAGAGAAAAGGGAACAAAGAGTGCCGAGATACTGAACACACGTTGATGTTACAAACGGTAAAACCGTAACCATGCAAGAATAATTTTTTTAGCTGGGTGAGTTGAGGTGGGACACTGTGTAACTGATGTTTTCATTTTTGTAAAAGAAAAAGAGCCTAAACCTTAAAAAGAACGAAAATATCGTATTACTTTACTTCTGTAAGAGAGAGAAAAAAAACCTTCCAATTTGTCTGAAATAAACTCGCACATAGGTATTTCGTGGTCTATTGTCTATGTGGTCTGAATAACTATAAACAAAAATAAACTTACTTTACCTTTACGCAGAAAATGGAGCAACGCCTTTGGTGGGAGCATGGCAACAAGAATAAGTTAGTTGAATAAAAAGTGCCCGTTGGTGCCGCGGGAATTAACAGCGCCGATTTGAAAGATAAATTTTTTCTAGAGTTTAGTGTTCAGCCATTGTCAAATTTTCCATTGTGATTCATAATGGACAAACGCTCGAAAAGTCAGCCTAGAAACTCTTTCCGGTGGCCAATTTACATTTTCAACTCAGGTGATGAAACCAAATTATCTTTTAGTTTCTTAACTTAGTTTATTAGTCAGCCGTTATCTTTTTTTCGATTATAATCTATCATATGAGGACGTTAGTTTAGCCCTTTAGGCAAATAGGGGTTATTGAAAAACATGTTTTACAAATTCAATCGTAAAACAGAATGTTTCGTTCTAAGGGCGTTCGTTTCTGACCGCCCCTTGCGCAAGTGGTTAGTAAGTCGTGTTGTTTGAAGAGTGATTCGTTATGGGGCGTGAGCTCAGCTCCATAACCCTTTAACTCCCAAGATTTCATTCGTAATTCTCCTTACTGTCTGCCAAATAATTCTCATTATGTTAGTTTGGAGAACTTGGTATCGGATCAATTAGTAATCCTATAATTGATATTTTTCTTTATTCTCATCACTTTCTGCATGATATTGTATAGATATAGTAACGAGAAAGTCTGTCTTCGTCACTCACGGGAGTTAAAGGTTTAAGCTAGTTTAGCCAGTGGTTATTTTTATCGTTTATTTTAATTGACTTCAGTGCTTCCAAGTTGCGACTGCTTTGGTCACCATGGCGAAAGAAAAAAACCCTTGCAACACCAAACAACAAATACATTTATGGCATGTTCTTTCGTTTGACTCCAAAGAGTAACTATCATCTAATTTCTCTCCTCGCAATATCAGCCCCGAATCACACATGTAGGTCAGGATAGTAAAGGAAATGATCACCAACTAGTTCTTACTCGGTGTAAAAGACACAGATGACGTAACAGACAGACGAAATAACGAGGAAAAACTTCCGATGCCAAAGAACAAACTCTCCTGTTTCTCTTTAAAGACAGTTTTCTATCTCTAAATTTAATCTTGGAGATTACTTTGGTAAAATATGCCATCTGAAAAACTACAAACTACATTCTTTGATTTCTTCCTTCTTTCCTCACAATTATTGACTTAAATAGTATGGAAGTCAGCTTGATTCATTCGAAGCTTAAAGAGTAGTCGTCCATCAAAAACTATTGTACTCACTCGTGGTTATCAGTTTGGAAACCATTTCTTTGCTTCGTAATCTTCACTAAACAGAGGGGTAGTAACATTAGCCATCAAGTCCTCATCATTATTAATTGGTATATACCCCATTATTTGCATTACATTTTTACAATAATGTTCAATTACGTCAATATCATGGGGATGTACCTTCCATCGCCAACGATCCGCTGTTGCTGAAGCATCATCCATCATGAAAAAGTCCGGGGAACCCTCTATCAACATATCTTCTCGTTTTTTGGACGGATGGGTCGATTTGTTCAGCCATATTTTCACATGATCGAGCACAGGCAACCCAGCAAAGTCGTACAAGCGTGACATCACTTTAAGTGGGTTCACTGCAAAATCTTCGTAACGCTGAACCAATATACGCCTGCGCCAGCTGAGAGGAAGGTTCTTCAGGAAAACTAGATTATCTTCGGTTTGTTTGCAATTCTGATAGCTAAACAGACGAAGTCCATCTTTACTTAACAGGCTGCCTCTGTCACTGGAAAAACCTACACTACGAGAAGACGGAATAACTGCACGAGGATCTTTTATAAGAAAAATAATTTGGCAGTTGGATTTCGATTTTCGACATGCTTCCAAAATATTCTTAATATCGTTTCCTGCGATGCGACTCATGAGAATTTTTGCAACGGTGACAGCATACTTATTACGACAAGTGGTTCCGAGAGATTTATTCGTAAGAGGAAGACAAAGTTTTAAGTCCCATTTCGGGTCGGTCATTTCGTGCGGGCACAGGGGTGGCGAACCAATCGCACAACTTGCTCGGGAATGGCTTGGTTCTCGGTAGAAATGATCAAAATCTTCCAAAACAGCTTGACTGAAATTACACCGCAAAATGTTCGATAAAATGTTTATCATTAGGCTTGCATAGCGATCTTTGTTAGAGCCATTTTGTTTAGATATTCTCTCTACGGTTTGTAACGGCTCGTGTAGGTAAAAGACAGATGGATGATGATTGAAAATCTCTCCAGTTATTGTAGAACCAGATCTTCCATGAGCTATGACCAAAATGCTTCTTCTTCGTCCCTTTGAATCGAGGCGTTCGTTATGGAAATCCGCCCGCTCTTGGATATCCGCACTTTCCTGGAAATCGTGCCTTTTGCGGGGATATGGGTTGGGACCTGAGCGCATTTCTTTGTACAAACGTGCAGCGAGAAATATGGTGGAAATAATGGCAATAATGACTGCTAAAACTCGTAAAGGGATGCGTGGTCTGCACGAGCGCAGTGCCATCTTTAAAGAATCTTACGCGTCGTGAAAAAAAAAAGACTTGTAAGAAATATGAGTCTCACCGAAATCTTAAAAGGTCCAATTGCCTCGCAATGCTTGGAGAAACTCCATGACCCCATTTGAAAAATTCAAAGTGTCTCTATATTCTCTGTTTAATGTGTCTTGATTTGAGTCTAGACGGTTTTTCTTGTGTCAATAATCAATATGGCATTTAAAACCTAATGGACACTTTAACCAATCAAGTCCTAACTTCTTTGCCGCGCCGCAGTTTTGTTTTATTATTGTTATCATTTTTCTTTATCTCTGTAGCAGTCTGTGCCAGCTCATCTTGGAGGTTTTAATAGAAGTGTACATTTTCTACAGTTGGTTAAAGTAATCTTGGAAACGAAGGTCGATTCAAGGCTAATCGGAACAAGGTTGTCTTTACAAACACGTTTCCCTTTATGAAACACGGAAGTGAATGTCTCGCTCGTAGAGGGGTTAATTCAATTTACATGAAAAACCTTATTAATTTTATAAGAAATGAAAATTTTAAATGGTTTTAAAAAAATAATTTAATCATGAGATATTCCTATTTTTCCTTAGAATTATTGGATATTCCTTTTGTAAAATTTGCTTCCGTCGTAGTGGCCATACTCTTGTAAAGAAATACAAGGTCTTTTACCGTCTATATTTGACATCTTTGTTGTAAAATGTGGACACCAGCTCTCTCAGGACACGAAGTTAATTCTGTTTCTGAGCAGAAGGAAATGGTTTCGTTTAGAGAACGTAAAAAAAAAAAACATGGAAAAATACGAGTTTTATAAGAAGATGAACGGTAATGATGTTAATGGAATCATTAATGACAATCGTCTATTATTTCTCAGTCAGGATGTGATCCAATCAAATCTGGAATAATTTGAGGAAGATCTTTAAAAAAAATGTAGCCTCTTCCAGGCAAACGAAAAAGCAGGCAAATTACAAAAGGCGGTGGCGGTTGTCAAAGATACAGAGAGCGTGGCACCGGCTTTGAAGACCTTGGTACGGAAACCTACAAAAAGACACGGCTCATAACTGTTTCCGTGGAAACGATCCGTAATTAAGGCAAAAATCCCGACAAAGTAAGGACAAATCAGAACGCTAGGATTTACCTCAAGACTACCTTACCATATGATATTACCAATAACTAAATGCTTGAAAAACACGCAAAGAAACTTACAAAAACGAAATAATATATGACGATAAAAATGGCACTTATTTTTTTATTATTTTTCGTCTGACATTCACTGTTCCCAGGGCACAGGTACACCAACATAACCTGGGATAGCTCGACAGGGAGGCGAACACCTGCCGTTGGACTTAGTGGACTTCTCACCTTGATACGGTTTTCTTCAGCGCGGGGTTTAATCAAAATCTTCCCTCGCCCCAACTGTTGAGATTTAGCATTGGTTGCATCCATATACTTGGCGTTTAATGTGTCGTGAGGACAAATTTGTAAGTCTGCAAATTCATAGCAGGGGGAAAGAAATATTGTCATCTGAAAGGTATAGCAAACATTTTAAGAAAGAGCTGAAAAACAGGACCTTTCTGATTATTTTTTGAGAACTGAGTTATTAAATTTTGAGATTGGTTTTTTTCAAAAATACCTTTTTGGAAATAATTTGGCGGTTTTCTGAGAAAAATGAAGATATCACGTTTCCACACTCGATCAGCGTGCCCCCATCGTGGTACTTGCCAGATGACAGCAAGAACACAAGGTGACTGGAAATCATAACTTAGGGGGAGGGGCTGAAAAAAAATTTGGAGATGACGACCCAATCAAAGAGGCTGGAAAGAATTAAAGAAAATTCGATATTCTTGTAAAGAAGTTCATATGATTAGGCTTATGGGTCTCCAAAATAAAGAGTGAAGCCGAAAATTGTGACAATAACACATGTAAAAGTTGCATTCATCAACCCTACCCATGAGAGTATGAATCATGGAGCGGTTACTTATCACGTGGAAAAAATGTACAAGGTCGAGGCACGTTTAAATATACATTCACTTGAAGTGAAAGAACCTTCGGTGTGGAACGGAATTTTTTCCTTCTCTGCAACGTCATCAGCCTAAATCTTTTATCAAAATGGAAGAAGCCTATCACTGTCCTGATCAAAAAAAGCTCCAGGCCTTGAGAGACATGGCCAACCTGCTTCGAATTCACAGCATCGAATCCACCAACACTGCTGGATCGGGGTGAGTTTGCTATTTCCAACCCTTGGGTGTTCGCCTGGAACGAAAGAGTTGGCTTTGTCGTGTATGTCGTTGGTAACATCGCATAATTTTTCCTTGTAGGCATCCAACTTCTTGCTGTTCTATCGCAGAAATTATGTCTGTTCTTTTCTTCCATACAATGCGCTATAAAGGTGAGTGTGATACTCATTTGGCGATAAAGTTGAACTGTCGTGCTTGTCTCCACAACTTACATGAGTTGCATATAATTTTCTCTGAGGGCTTTTCTCGATATTGCTGTATTGTTATGCGCTCGAAAAACTTGCTGTAAATGTGCTTCATTCGCTCAGCCTTGGTCAAAAACTGCATATTAGGTATACTGTAAGATTTAAACAAATAAGCCTTTGCGTTTGCTATTATATACAGATTGGTGTTGCAATTTGGCGTTGGGCCAATTTCACAACTACAAATCTGTCATAAATTTCGTTTACACTAAAAAGTCAACAAATCGAATATTTACCAGATCTTAGCTGTTATTTTGTTAAGAGCGATAACTCTTTACGATCACTCAGAAAGTGTTTCTTTGCAAGCAAAAAGGTCTTTTATTTTTTTAAGCCAATGAATTATTGCTTCTAGTGGAAAATTTGTATAAAATCCTACCTCTCTATCCCGAACGTATTAGTTAATGTAACCTCAGATGAAAGTGCTCTATTAAGATAGTTAAATACTCTGTTACCATCAGCAGTGTAATAAGCTTTGAATTTCTATCAAATACCACAAGGCATATCTTGTAGTTATGACAACTTTTTAAAACTTACTCAAAATTGAAACAATTTTGTTGAAATGATTCATTGCTTAGAAAAAAAAAACCAAGAAAATCAATCAAAATAAAGAATTACCTTGAAAACGAAGTTTATTCAATTTAGATTTGAACTGAGTGTTGCCTGTTTGGAGAAAAATTTGAATCGACTGGTAGCAATTTTTTTTCCTTATGGGGGTTAATTTTTGTCTCATGATCACTAAACTCTTTTGTAAAGCTCTCTTCACATAATTTAAATATGTGGAATGCAAAATATTAGCCAGTTTTTATGACTGACACAAAACAGCTGAGGGATTAAAGTATATTTACAGCTTCTTGAAGAAGAGGGTCCAAATACTTGGGATCCAAAATTTCATGAAGAAGTCACATCTCATGGTAAAATCCTTTGTTTGCTGTAGATTTGACACCTGATAAACCTGATTGGCAAACAATCTGGTTCTCAGTTTAAAAAGCTGGTTACAATTTAACATTGCAACTGGTTTTTGACAGTTTTAAGTTTAACATAATAGTTATTTTTGAACAAGGGAACATTGCAGTATGGAAAGCATTCATCCCATAGAAGCAATTTCTTGTGTGGCTAAATAACGATGGTTCATTGACCATTAGTTAAGAGGTCCTTTTGTCTTTCTCCTAAGAATTATTTTTCCTTGTTTTTTGTGCCATGAAAAAACCCCTTGATTTGCATTTTGTTGTAAAATTTTAAACATTCTTGCTCTTAAAGAGTAGTTTGACTGCCACATAAGTTTTACAGTTACCATTTTAGTCATTTAGGAGTTATTTTTTAGAAAAAGAAAAAGACAAATGCTTGAATATATATTCATAGTGCAAACAAGAGAGAGGGCCAATATTAGGTATTAGGTATGTTGTCCTGAATCATGCAACCTTTGGGATTATTTGTCAGAAAGAAAAAACTCTCTACGAGCCAAATACATAGGAGAGGTAGATTGTAAAGATATTCCTCAAAGTGTTCTTTGGGACATTAATATTTTAGACAGAGTCACTGGAATAACATGTCAAGGATAAGGAAAAATAAGTTGTTTGCTAATTTACATTATGTGTGATGAATGATGCTCATTTTAAACAACTTAGTTTTTAATGCTTGACCATCTCACTCAAATGAAATACAAATCAGCAATATGAAACCTTATACTGATAATATTCTTTGCCAATGGCTCTTACTGAATGATATAGTAAGGCTTTAACCCTTCAACTCCCAGTAATGATGAACATATTACTTCTCCCTAAAATATCCATACATTACCCAGTAAACAGGCACTGAGAATAGTCAGACTTATCAGGTAGAAGTTGTTTTCTTGATCTAGCATCAAATTCTTATAACTGATCTACTAGAAAATGTTAAGCAGTGAGAGGGGAGAATTAACAACCAGATCTTGAGATTTAAAGGAGTTAAAACAGTTCATCTCAAAAAAGAATAACCATAAAATGTTATTATGTATGAAATGTACTGTCTTTTTGTATGCTGAGGTTGAAATTGATCATTTTCTGGTTACTAATGTCAATCAATGAATCAATCTTTTTTGACAGTTGCCGATCCTCGAGATCCAGCAAGTGACAGATTGATCTTATCCAAGGTGTGTTTGTGTAACTGTTTTTTCTTTTTTTTTTTTTTTTTTTTTTGTGGGTGATGGTTGTATTTACTTGAAAGTGCAAATTGGTCAGAATGGAACAAAGAAGGTTCAATCTGTTTGTAGCAAGCCATTTCCACATACCTTACAATTTGGTTTTGCCCGGTGCATTATCAATGTAATCTTCCAGAGCTGTTGTTAGGAAATGTGATGGACATATGATCTGAAATAAGTAGGAGGCTGAATTAAGTGATACTTATGTAATAAGCATGGCGTGTTGCTTTACAACACACCCTTGGAGGAGTTTAGAGAATGTGCTCCCCCTAAACTTTGAATTTAAAACTCTCTTAGTTATGATTTATAGGTCAAAAATACTGTCTTATTTTCTATCTTTGATCCAATTTACAAAGTAGGTTATGCAAACTTGTCTGGCATCTGAAGGGTTTCTGCTGCCTAGAATGTACCAGCTTCTTATGACAACTCGAAATCTTGACATGGAATTTGTCTAGACATTTGTCTTCTACTCATTAAACAAACTTTTTCTTACTGACAAGACATGAATGAATTAACACTGCAAATGGCAATTGCCAAAGTCAAATAGCCCTTCAAGAAGCCGAAACATTCACTTTTATCACTAAAATATGTTGATCATATTCTGACACAAAAGTTTTATTTCTGAAGACATAGTATAACAAATTTTTACAGTGCTATCGGGTTTCTGAGATATTATTAACTACAGAAACATATTACTCAGAGACAAAAATAAACAAAGATTGGAACAAAAATGATTCTAACCCAAAAGGGCAGGTGCGAATGGTGCTGCCCTTTAGCTATGATACAATAAAACACAAGAAATCCAAATTACAACAAGTTTGTGTGGCATCAGCTGTACCTATGGCTTACGGCACAAGCAATTTCTAACTAGTGTCCACATGCAGGGCCAGTCAATGTCAAAGAACATTCTCAGGTGGTCAAAAAGTGTTTTTTAATGAAAAGCTGGAGGGAGAACGGACTCAAAAAAGTAGAAGAAGGAGCAACAGAACTAAAGTAATTCCAAAGCTTCACAATGTAATAATGAAACTTTGGAATTACTCTTGTTCTTTTGCTCCTTCTTCCAGTTTTTTGAGTCTGCTCTCCTTTGTTTTAACAATGACATGGATTTCATTTCAGGGTCATGCAGCTCCCATTCTCTATGCAGTGTGGGCTGAAGCTGGTTTGTTTCCAGTATCAGATCTGGCCAAGCTTCGAACAATTGACTCTGATTTGGAAGGTCATCCCACCCCTGTGAGTAACAAACTCTTGTTATCATATCTGTAATAATTTCAATGTTCCAAGTGTTTTAACCCTTTAAACCCCAAGAGTGACTAGCATCTAAATTTTCCTTAAAGTATCACCCTCAAATCACACATTAAGGTCATGAGACTAAAGGAAATGATCACCAACTAATGAAGCTCTTGATTAGTAAACAAATTCTCCTTGTCAGCTCCTTAGGAAATGTATAGAGAACAGTATGGAGAATATGCATACTGATGTTAGGGTGTAAAGTGTTTATATGAAACTCATTCACATAGTTGAGATACATTTTCCCAGATTATTAACTGAGTTAGAGGTTGTCATGGTGATGTAACACCAAATTCTCTCAACTAATTTACAAAGAAATGTATAACAGAAAGATGGGAGGATTTAACTAATCAGAACTTGTGATTTGAATGGTTACTACACTTCCATTTATCTAAATTAAGTGTTTTTCCTCATTCTGTAGCGGCTTAATTTTGTGGACTTTGCCACTGGTTCATTGGGTCAAGGATTGAGTTGTGCTGCTGGAATGGCTTACATGGGAAAGTACTTTGACAAATCAAGGTGATCATTGATCTGTGAAAAATTGATTTGATAAACACTGAGTAAGGAAGTCAAGTGTTGGTTAGGATGGTTCAGCTCCTAATGGCTAGTGGGCTAGACTCCAGCTTGAGAGGTCTGGGTTTGAGACTTTGCAGAGTCATTGTGTTGTGATTTTGGATGAAATACTTGCCTCTCTCCACTCAGGAATATAAATGGGTGACGGCAAATTGTCAGGGAAGCCTGATGAAATGCTGAAGGGAGGGGTAACCTTGTACTGGACTATCTAGGGGGGAGTAGTGATACTTGTAGTCACATCATGCCAAGGGAACCGGAATAAGCTCCACTTTGGTGAGTCACTCAGCTCTAGAACTTGCCCTTTGACCATTGCTTTAATCTTCATCTCTTGTATTTACAGTTTCCGCGTGTACTGTGTGATTGGTGATGCCGAGTCAGCAGAAGGTTCTGTCTGGGAAGCCTTGAACTTTGCAAGTTACTACAAACTTGGTAACTTATGTGCAATTTTTGATATCAACCGTCTTGGCCAGAGTGACCCCACAATGCTCCAGCATGACTTTGAAACTTACAAGAAAAGGACTGAAGCTTTTGGGTAAGGAACTTTTTTAGTGTTTGTTACAGTGAAACTCAGTTAGGGTTATTGACTTTTTTTAAAAGCGTCCAGAAATAAAGCTTTCTTGGGTGATGTTACTATTTGACCCTCAACACTTGAAGAGGACAAGCAGATATGAACTCTTTCTCAACCGAGAGGGCTTATTTTCAATGAATGTTTTTCCACATGAAAGAATGATAATCACACTTGCTACTATAAAAGGGGACTCTACAGTTAAATTGTTGCGATCCACATTCATTTGGAAGCAATTACATCTTTAATATTTGCAGAACAAATTTTATAAAGAACACAATGTAATCCCAAGATTTAAAAAAAAACCCATGACCTGTGTTAAAAAATAGCTGTCTGTAAGTTGTGATAACAAAAAAGGGGGTTTGTATCATGTGGATGGAAAGTTGTAATTGTGAACGATTCATTCCTGTGTGAGTTTGCAACTTGATATGCTTTGCATCTATATGAATGAGGTTTTCCTTATTCTTCAACCTTCTTGCATCCATCTTTTGAAAGTAATTATGCATTAGCTACCAGTTTCCATTCACTGCGATGCCGACTTCACACCAAAACCAGAGGTTGTTACATATATTCAGGATACTGTTAAATGGAGTTTTTATTCTAGAATCAAATTATTGTTTTGGGCCCAGTTCTTCAAAGACTGGTTAAGCCTTTAACCTCCAGATCAAATTTGTAATTCTTCTTATACCATACAATTCTTTTAATGTTAGTTCAGAGAATTCAGTATCGGATCAACTAATTATTCCCAAATTGAAATTTTTCTTTATTCTCATCACTTATCTGGTTGATGTGGTGTTGAAATTTGAAAGGAGAAATTCTGTCTTGGTCACTCATGGGAGTTAAGAGTTAAGTTATCTAACAGAGAAATCTCGATCCACCAGATAGGTGTTAACCAAACAAACTGAGCTATTTCCTTGACAGGGATTCACCTCATGACTAGTTCTATCTGCCCTTTGCACATCGTTGGCTCGATGTTGCAGTCTGAGTGAATTTGCACCAGTGTGACTGATTCTAGATTGAAATGTTACTAGTTGTATCACATAACATAACACAGCCACATGGGGGATGGTGGTGAATTTACAGTGTTTCAAAGTCCTCAGTTAGTAAATTATATCACTTTGAACTCTCTTGCAAATGAACAGAATTTTCATAAATATTTCTCAAAGGTGGAACACCATTGTAATAGATGGTCATGATGTAGAAGCTGTCTGCCGTGCATTTCATGAAGCAAGCGTTAGCCAAGACCGCCCCACTGCTATTTTGGCAAAGACCTACAAGGGAAAAGGTGTCCCAGGTATGTCGAAAAAGTTTATGAATTTACATGTCATAATTTATTTGCTGCTTTTTGTTAAGGAATGGCAATGCTCCAAGCCACTTTTACAGAAACAGCCTTAAGCTTTTACCTTTTTCCTTTTCTTGGAACCATGGAAGCATATTGGTTAGTATGCCAAGCTACTTAACTCACTGTCCTGCCAACTTTGGGGGGGGTGGGGGATGGGGGGGTAATATATATCCTTGTACCCTCCCCTCTTGCTTCCAACACTTTTCTCCACCATATCATGATCTTTGGTGTAAGGCCATTGGTTGTATTCCCCTCCCCCCGGACAAAAAACCCTGGCTGGGTTTTGAACTGTCTCTTGCAGGGGATTTTCAATAACTTCCTCATTAATCAGCTGCCAATGGTGTAACAGGCAGCTGTGTCTGGAAGGTGAAACCCAAATAGTTGGCAGTAGGGGTCTCATCAGCAGAGGTTAACAAGCAGTAAACTGGTTTTATGAAGTCCTTGTCCTGTGTAATCCTACTCCTTTTTCTCTTATGCAGGGGTTGAGGATTTGGAGAATTTCCACGGCAAAGCCCTTGGTGATAAAGGTAAAGCAGCAGTAGAGCTACTCAAGAAATCAATGAGCAACAGTGGCCCTCATGACCTTCGACCTCAGCCTGTGACTGATACTGTACCAGCGGTTGAACTTGATGCAAAACTATCCGAGCCACCCAACTATAAGATAGGACAAAAGGTACTGAGTTACTCACCTTCTGTCCAATCATTTTTTCGAGGTCCGAAGTTTGGCTTTTTTTGCGGGTTAAAATTGAGTGAATAGTATGATCCATTTTTCACATGACACCAGCAGACACCCTTACAGAATAGCTGTCACATGCTTAAAATTACATGTGGTCCGAGGAAATATTTCTTAGGGTCTAGAAATTTCTTTTGCAATTTGAGATACTGAAATTTTAAAAATGGGAAAGCTAGGGAAAATTGAAACTTGTCCATTTTTTCTGCCATCATTGTTTTGTTTGGCGCATGCTCGACGTTTGATTGGCGAAGTACTCGCGCAGGGGTGTCTCCCCACGAAGGAGTATAAATGGGCGTGGGTAGTGGATGAAACATGGGTTGGATCATGTTTATGTCATGAATATTGGATGGCATCTGGTCTTATAGGCCTCTTTGCTTGAGCATCGACTTGTTTTACATTCGACTTAATTTTGAAATGCTTCTTGTTTCCATTCTGTTAGGTTGCTGTTCGTCGAGCCTACGCCAATGCCCTGGTGAAAATTGGCCGCACTTGTGAGCGCGTGCTAGCCTTGGATGGAGACACTAAGAACTCCACTTACTCTCTGAACTACAGGAAGGAATTCCCTGATCGGCACGTGGAGTGCTTTGTGGCTGAGCAGAACATGATTGGCGTTGCCATGGGATTAGCTGCACGTGATCGTGCAATCACTTTCTCCAGCACTTTTTCCGCCTTTTTTACCCGCACGTTTGACCATTTGCGCATGGCATCTGTTTCCCAGACCTCTGCCAACTTCTGTGGATCTCACTGTGGTGTTTCTATTGGTGAGTTGAAGTGCGCTATTTCTACCCCCAAAAGAGACAAGCAACCAATTTCTCCACACGCTAACTTTCCAAGGTCAAAAAGTAAGGTCTTGAGAATAAAGGAAATGATCAGCAACCGGAAGAAGCTCTTAATTGTTAAGAAGTATTTTACAACTCCTCTTGTGCCTAGAAGTGAAGAAACGCACGAGCAGTTCATGCGATTTCTCATTCATAATGAATTTTTAAAAGACTGACTTTACGAGCTTTTGCTCATTCCTGGAGTAGAGATAGAAGAGCGTAAGACATGGACTGACCCGCTTATATTCGTCTCGCAACTTTTTCCGCAAGTGGCTGCTGATGATATAATTGGCGACCGAGCCCAGAGAAAGGGGCTCAAAGCGAAAATTGCGCATGAGAGCCTGCTCCCAGGCTAAACAGGCAGCGGTAAGCCACCGGTACGGGCTTTGAAGGAAACCGTCGCGCTTATAGAAGTGTTAAAACTGGATTACTGAGTTTTTGCCTTGCCTATCTGATCAGGTGTGGATGGTCCCTCCCAGATGGCCTTGGAGGATATTGGCATGTTCCGTTCTATACCCAACTGTGTGGTGTTCTACCCAAGTGATGCTGTCTCGTGTGAACGCGCGGTTGAGCTGGCAGCTAATTACAAGGATATGACCTTCATCCGAGCCACACGAGGCGACACTCCTGTGATTTACGAGAATGAAGAACCATTCGCGGTTGGCAAAGCTAAAGTAAGTTAGATCAACCTTGTCATGTGACCAAGAGATATCCCGTGTAACTTGCCGGGGAGCCACTTAGTCACACACATTCCGAAAATTACTGGTCAGTGCAAATCCTTTTATTCCGATAAATGACCATCAGATTGGCTCAGGGCGTGAACTGTGTTTCAATTACCAATGGATCAATGCCAGTATTTGGGCAATTGCCCAGCTACCCCTCCCCTAATACTGATATTGATCCCTAGATTGGATGTTGCTGTACATCTGTTCAGTGATAGATTACAAATGACATCAAAATGTGGTGAGAACAAAGAAGTGGCACACGAGGTGCAGTCGAATGTGTCACTGCAGGGCGTGAAATTGCGCCTAATACAGGCGCCAATGCGACTAAATTTTTCACTTTGGCGACCAAATCCTGAAAGTTAGTCGCCAAATTGGCGACTAGAACGTTTCATCATAACCTTACCTAGAGATATAGTGAATTAAAAAGATTTGCAATGATAAATCCGCGGCAAACTTCCTCGTTAAGTTTGTTTCCAAAACGAAGCACATATATCTCGATCGATAACTAGACGCCATCTTGGATTTAGATGAGCCTGAACGTTTTTTATCATCCATCCTAGTGTCCACTTTGTAGCACGTAAATTTTGACTAACTTAATTTTGAAGGGTCTATCTAGAACGCTGTAAGCATAAAGAAAGATTTTGTTTGTCTTTGAAAGTGGCGACCAACTTTTTTTGAATTGGCTACTACTTTGAAGAATTTAGGAGCCAAGTGGCTATCAGAAAAAAAAGTTAATTTCACGCCCTGCACTGATGTTCCTACCACATTTTGACGTCTTGTGTTGATCTTTTACTGTACAGACGCACGGCAACATGAAATCTTTTTGTTTTTTTTTATGATAAAAAAGCGAAATGTTTTTAAGGGCGACGCCATCTATGCGTCTATCACTCAATAGATCATGGGTAAGAACCAATGAAAATGTGTTAACAATTCAGCTCGTCGTAAAGTCATAACTGTTTTTTGACGTAGATCGTCCGCGAGGATGCTCGTGACTCGGTACTTGTTATTGGAGCTGGTGTAACCATGATCGAAGCATTGAAAGCAGCCGATGAACTGAAGAAAGAAGACATTTATATCCGAGTGATGGATCCGTTCACTTTGAAACCTGTTGACAAAGCCGGTATCATTGTACACGCAAAGGCTGTTGGGGGAAAAATATTGACAGTGGAGGACCACTACATTGAAGGTAACTTTGTCCCTACTGCAACAGAATCTGTACAAATTGTCACGTTCTGAAAATATTTCCGTCGTATTTACACCAGGGAGGTCGGGAGTACTATGCAATCTTCTTGAAAATTTTAATTTTCATGCCAAATGAAATTCATTTTGCTAAGAAAATTTTTGCGCACGGCCTCACTTTGAGAGTGAGGCCGTTAAGGCTTCACACTAGTTTCACAAGGAATTTCTTGTAAGTCTCGACACAATGCACTCACCCCAGTTTTCCTCGTTTGTCCAAAGGCGCACAAGAATAATTGACTAGGAGACTCATTGCTCTGAACTTGTACGGCTCTGGAAGTAATTTAGAGATTTCCTCTTTTTAAGAGATGGTTGATTGTGTCCTTACATCTCTGGGATAAAAACATTGAATATTCTCTTTTTTCTTTCCCCAGGTGGTATTGGTGAGACTGTGGCTGCTGCTGTGGCGGAAGAGACTGGTATTACTGTGCGCATGTTGGCCGTGCCCCGCATTCCACGCAGTGGGCCTGGGGAAGCCTTGTTGGATCTGTACGGTATCAGCGCGAAGAGCATCGTCAAGTCTGTCAAAGGCTTGTAAATGGTTTGGAGACATACGTGATCATGTTGACTTCGCGCTACATCTAAATTGAGCTGGCATTTATGGCAACCGATAGGAATACATTTTTTAAATTTTTTTTCTCCAATCAATCTCTGAACAATTATCCAATAGCGATTGTTTCGATAGGGATTTTTTTTTAGTTTAATTTCTGGTCGACCAAGTTCATTTAGTTCCATTACAAACCGATGAAATGGCTTGAATATAGGACCATTTTCAAATTGAGTTGTAATCCATCAAACTGGGAAGGTAAACATATATTTTTGTGGTAGCCTGGTTAGAAAAGTAATAAATTCATTGATCAGTATTCCAGGTGTCTGAGTTTGGAAATATCGTGCCAAAATTCACAGCTAAACATGTTGCCATGAAATTACCTCTCTCTAGGAAAATTCGCCTCACTGACGTTCTCAAATTCATTAATAATTCATGCTGAGAAAACAAAGGAAATTACAACCGTGAAGGAGGTTTGGATATGTGATCTTAATTATCATAAAATTTGATTTTCTCCAAGAATTATGAATGGTTTGAGGAGCTATATCAAACATTGGAGAGGGTGTTTCATCCGCTGCGCCTCGATTTTTCAACCACTTCTCTGTGTTTAGATATCGGATGAAACACTTCCTCGTGTTTGATGTAATATATCAGAGGCTTTCATGAGCGCCTCGTTGCACTGGAGAAGTTTGATATCTTTGAGAGGGAGCAAATGCACTGAGTCAACTCGTATTCTGGTATCTATATCCGTTCACAGAGAAAAGGGAATGATCCAGGAGGCTATATATCACCCAATACACTCGAAAAAATTTGTTTAATTCGTTTGTATCTTTTCTATTTACACTCTTCCCAACAGCAGGCTCAGATTTATTTACAACAGTACGTATAAAACACTCGACCTCAGAAACTTTTTGGTCTTTCCACGTCGTAACTGATTTGTTCTGTTCTTTTCTTATTATTTCTTCTTTTTCTTTCCACCCTTTTTCCCTCCCTTCTTTCCTTTTTTATCCCCTTCGTCGTCTCCTGCAGCAGCCTTCGCTCGTTTCTTTCCCAGCGGTGTCTTCCCGTACCATGTCTAGGAGGAAATTTCCGAGTAAATAAACTGCGTTTTGATTGTCTCCATTCTGAATACCCTTTCCCGCACCAGGCTTTATTATTAAATTAAATCAATTTTACTAAGAGCCTGTCAACAAGAGGGTACTCCCGTCTTGATACGAAAGCTTGTGCGCAAAGGGGGGAGGGGGGCACTGGATACGAAAAGCTTATGCGCAAAGGGGAGGTGGGGGTACTAGATACGAAAAGCTTGTGCGCAAAGTGGGGGAGGGGGGTACTGGATACGAAAAGCTTGTGCGCAAAGGGGGGAGGGGGGGTCCTGGATACGAAAAGCTTGTGCGCAAAGGGGAAGGGGGAAGGGGGGGGGGTACTGGATACGAAAAGCTTGTGCGCAAAGGGGGAGGAGGGGGGTTCTGGATACGACAAGCTTGTGCGCAAACCTTACCTTGAAGGCTTCCTCCTCTTCTTTATAAATCGGGTCAATTCGAGCCAAAGGCGCCACAAACTCCACAGCTGACAAGGGTCTTTTTGAAAGCTACATTACCGAAAAAAAAAAAACGTTAATGATTCGGACCATAGAAATGCACAGTGTATATGTTTCTGTTAAAGCGAATATAGTTAACGCCTTCGCAGGCACTATTTGGTCTCGTCACGCAACGCCCTCTCTTCCGTTGGCGGGGAAAAGGGTGGGGGCGTTGCGTGACAAGACCAAACAGTGGCTGAATAGGAGACTAAAATTACAGGGCATAACGCAAAATCACACACACGATCTCACACACCTGTTGAATGCGTCTTTCCGTCAGAATTTGTTGAATTGCTTGTACCATGTGACCTGGAGTGTAGCCGTCGGTAATCTTGGCCAGCGAACTTACATCTATCGCTTCAGTCACGCGTCCACCACATCGTGAGATCAGCATTTTCCAGAGCACTAAGAATAAAAAAATAAATAAATAAACAGCAAGTGCAAACTGTCAATTTTCGTTCATTTTTCATGTTATTTTGCTATTTAATATAGTTACGTTTCGTGTTTGATTAGCAATAAAAAATGACAAACTATGGTGGTTTTCATTCTTATATTGGAACATGATTTAGAAAGAAGTATGTTATACTTACAGAACCTCGAAGCATAGTCAGGTCTTGGTATCAGCAAAATCTTTTGGTATAATCCACAAAATGGTTTGATTTCGCCGTCTTTTAACAGTTAAGAAACACAACATCAAGACAGATGAATTAACGATGTTAAATCCTCAATTTTATGACAGGCTTTGGCCTATACGTCTAAAACAACTAAGTGAAAAGGATACCAAAGGGCATTCGCGAGGTTCCAACAATCAGCACTCGATCCTCTCCTTTGAGGGTTTTCAAAATCTTAGGCAGGTCCTTTTTAAGTCTCTTGGGGTCACTCTAAAAGAGAGAACGCGAACGAATATGGTTAAGACGAGGTCGTCAATGTTTGGCGTCCCCCCTCTTCCCCTGACTACTTTGCGTTTTTATCTCTGCGCAGCTCTCACATTGACTAGCGAGGAGGAGGGTCTCTGAACCTTATAAAGGTCCTCAATCCATCTCACGAGAAAGCGTGATATATATCACGATAACACGTAGAGGATATCACGCTCAACCTTCGCGTTTTATCTTTGCGCACCTTTCACGTTGACTAGCGATGAGGGTCTCTGAACTTTACGAAGATTCTCAATTCATCTGACGAGAAAGCGTGATGAATGTCGCCAGAATACGACAAGCAAAGGCTATAGTGGGATATTGCTCGAATGGCTTCGTTACCTTGTCAGTCTTGGGAACCTTCTTAACAAATGTTCTCTCGGCATCTCCAACGTACACGACTGAGGGTTGAAGCTGCCGGGCAACCTGATACAGAACAAAGCGGAAAGAAACAAATTGTTAAGAGAGGGGCGCCCTCTTACTATAGGTTCGAATATCAGCCGCCGTACGGTAAATAGCCCGTGTGTCTCCTCTTCTCTCTTTTTCTCTCTCCTGGAAGGGGGGCCAAAACCCCCCTCCCCTCTCCCGGTCCCTCTCTTGGAGGGAGGGGACAGACCCCAAAGAGCAGAGGAAACTAAGTCATTTTCTGAAGCCTATTCGAAGATTTTTTGCGATCTCCAACAAAGCTGACAAAAAAAGAGGCATCTGAAAACTTCAAAACGAACGAAATAAATAAAAAATATGAGGAAGTTTAGAGCATGATTGATGACAGCGTCATGTGTCTTTGAAAGGATGGCATTTGCTACCTTAAACACCATGTGAAGCATCATGGCCAATCCAGCCTTTCCTGGGTATTTTCCCGCGATATTCGCAGCGGTTAAGTCGAACATATTGGCCCCAGTCTCCGTACAGATACAATGCACCAACATTTTCTTCCCAACTCCACGCGGGCCCGCAATCAGAACTGACTTAACTAAAGGGGCTTTTTCATGCACAGCTTGAGATCCTGCAAATTTAAAAAAAAAAAAGATCAATTGTTACAATGTATATCTTCCCGACCTTTTTCGCCTCGAATTTAAGATAAGAATTTTGCAATTAGAACAGAAATTATCAGTAGCTGCTACATAGAAAGACTTCGAAAGTTACAGAGACAAACAAATTTTTATTGAAATACAGAACAATAAGAGTCTAAAGTCAGTTAAAGTTAATTCACGTCTGCTCATTTTAAAACCATTCACTTCATGGGCAAAATTGTGTTTGTTTGTATGTTCAAACTACTCACTACGTTCCTAAATAATACTTAAGTTGAGTTGCCCAGTCACCTACCTAAGGGAAGTATGGCAAACTCGGTAATGACTCGTCTTACATCAGACAATGAAGGCATGGGCTCAATGTTAGCCTGACGGAGAGTTGTTCCAAGGTAACTAGAAGAGGAAATTTAACAGTCTTGATTCCAGTTCATAAATGGTATTGTGCGTCAATACCTAGACATGCTTGCATGGTAACTAATTTTAGCGGAGTTGTTTTCACTTCAGTGTCGAAAGTTATTCAAGATCAGCTTTTCTCTACTGCGCTCTGAAATAGGTATTTGCTCTCACATTCACCTATGTTCTTTGACCGATGAGTTTCCTTTGCTTTTAGTTTAACGACGCTCATTTGAAATACACTCTTGGGTGATTTAAGCGGGACTCTATCTTGCATTGCCAAGCGCCTATTATGCGTAAATAAGCGAAAACGAACGGACGGCGCGTAAAATGGCTTGACAAAGTCCAACCACTGTTTTTTCCAGAGTATACCCACCTGTATTCTCCAGCAAAGTCCCTGAGATTAATCTTGGGAGGTCTTACTAAAATTCCTTCGTGGACCAATTCTTCATAAAGGGACTCTATTGTTCTTTATACATATAAAATAAAAGGATAACTTTTAAAAAATGCCAAAGTAAATACGGTTTGGAAGATAGATATGTCATCAAAGCTGGGTCGGGAGGGTTATGGAGGAAAGGTTGGGGAAAAAAGGAGTCACAACAGGCAGTCACGAAGGATTGCGTGACATAAGCAGAATAAAGACTTCAAAGTCACAGTTCTTCAAAGGAATAGTCACAGATAGAGAGATTGTGTGACAGTGGAGTAATAGAGGAATGATATGTCGAGAGTCACGAGGAGGGGAGGGATTTTCAGGAATTACATGGGCAGCAAATATTGAATGATTGCAAGATTACAACTCCTTAAGGTAAACCAGCGACTTGATTGAGGTAAAAGCCAATTTTTTTTAACCTTTCCTTGACCAAAAACCTAAACTTCAATAAGGGGCATATAGAAAGTATAAAATAATCAAGAAAGTGTACGAGAATTTAAAAAGAAACACACCTGTCAGCGGTCAAATCTTTCTCTTTCTTCTTTTTCTTTCCTTTCTTTCCACTTTTCTTTCCACTCTTCTTTTTTTTCTGGAGAAATACGAAGTAAACAACGTCAATATATCATCAGCTTTGGTTGAAAAATGCTCAAATAATTCTCAACACAGACGCATAACCAAAAATAAAAATAAATCAGTGACTACTCACCTTTTTGCCACTTTTCTTGCCACTTTTCTTGCCTTTCTTTCCCTTCTTGCCCCCTTTATCTCTATCAACAGCCTGTACATATCAAACAAACAGAACTGCTATCACAAGCCTATTCCTTTTTTACATCTTGACGTTCTTTTCTTTGCAAAAATAATTAGCTAATATTTATTTCTTTTCACAACAATAACCATATCCTTGAAGTTAAGTGTCTCTCTTAAGTACAAACCATTTTCAAGTTTTTCAGCTCTTGCCGCATTAGCTCATCGACCTGCTTTCGGATTTCCTCATCGACTTCAATCCTAAAAAAAGTTGGTAAAGAAAGCAATTGATTTCTGCTGTAGTCTGTGGCTACCTCAACAACATGATTAAAAAACAATGTCAGATCACTATAATTTCCATGAGGTATGGTGTAGGTTCAGAGCCACCTTAATTTTCGACGGCTGTGAACATACTTCACAGATGCTTTTAAATTTGGCAAAAAATGAATCTCAACATGCCTGCATTGGATTTGTTTGGAACTGATAAATTAACCTTCAACTCCCAAGATCTGATTGTTAATTCTCCCCACTAGCAGTTACACATTTCCTTGTAAATAAGTTATGAGAATTTGGTGATAGTCGGGACAACTTTTACCTTTAGGTCACTTTATTCTCATTACTTGTTTGCTGGATAGTATATGGATATTTTAGGGAGAATTTTTACTTTAATTACCTCTGGGAGTTAAAGGGTTAAGAAGATGAGTGATGCTACTTTCAAAGTACCGCTGAAACAAATTTTTATGGTTGTCATGATCAGAGGTACTATGAATTGTTAAAAAAATAGTTTTAAAACCCTCCTATCTAAGTTAAAAAAGTGTAAAATGGCAAGCATATAGTGCAATTCCAGTAAGTTTCTACAAAACTCAATATTGAAATCCACCCTGAACTGAAGGGATTTCATTTCCTTTTACCTTTTAGCCTCCTTGATTAACTCTGCATCATGTTTCTGCTCAAAGTTGGTGGCCTCATCTCTGAACTGCCACACATCTAAACCAGAAAATTACCAGTCTGTCATGCGAGGCAATTTAATTTGATAGGGAAAATTATTGCCACCATAAAGAGTTTTTAAAGCTGATGTCTCAAGCGTTAGCCCTTCACTAAAGCCAATAGAGGAATTGTAGGTTGCATGCGGTTTATGGAGATGTAACTGTTACACAGTGGCCAGTGAGTCTCCTATACTAATGAGTAATTGGTTGTTGTAAATGTTGTAGTGAGGATGATCATGGCAAGAATGACACTCCTACACAAACACCTAAAAAAAATCAAAATTGTAGCACTCACCTTTGTAAGTAGCAGCTGCTTCATTCACTGTTGGAACAAAGTTTGAAACCTGCATTTTTATACCCTCTTCTTCTTCCTTTGAAACAATAATAAGCAAAAGCCATATTAACCTTTGAATACCCAAAAGTGATTAACATGTAACTTCTCCCAATAATATCTAAACATTATCCAGCACACAGGTCATGAGAATACTCAAACTTATCAGGTAGAAGTTGTTACCTTGATCTAACACCAAGTTTTCATAACTTACTTACAAGGAAATGTGTAGAAGCTAGAGGGGAGAATTAACAATCAGATCTTGGGAGTTACAAGGTTAATCCAATGGAGCTTACTGAATGTCAGTATTTGAGATATTCCCACAAGATAGGGAAGTTTCCTGAACATAGTTTATTCCCAAATATTTATAATTACAATGACTACATAGTACATAAATTTAATACCTAAAATTAGTTTTCAAAATACTGTCAGTGACAGTTTATCTCACCTCATCTCCTCCCTTTCCTTTTCCTTTGCCTTTCTTTCCTTTTTTGTCTTTTTTATCCTTTTTCTCTTTCTTCTCTTTCTTTCCCTTCTTTCCTTTTTTCTTCTTTCCCCCATCCTCATCCTGTGAGATACATTTTTACAAACATTACAATTCTATTTTGAGGTAAAAAGCTTTCAATTGTCATTTTCAAGAGCAATTGGAGGGCTCAGAGCAAGAACGATCCCTTGATACTTGTGGTGTTTCCAGCTGCTGTAATTTACAGTCACTTATAAAATTGTCAAAGCTCATGCCATGCCACGACTTTGCTAGTATATATTTCCACTTTGAAACTCAAACTGAAGCTAATGCAATTTAAAAATGCAAAATATAGTAGTTTCATAATTACAGTGAAGTATGCTTATCTCAAACTCCTACTGACACTGAAACTTGAATTGCTGGTAAACATTTAACAAGTGAAGCATTTCCTAAAAACAGAGTGTTAAAAACCCTTCTTGGGTTTTCCTGGTAGGGAAAATTACTTTTCGGAATTTCACATGTTTTCTAGCCTCTGCTAGACTATCTGTTCATGCCACAAAATTCTACACTACAGGAAAAGCACTTAAATAAAGTGTGCTGTCTTTACCTTCTGTCCCTCCTCCTTCTCCATCTGGAAAAAAAAGAATGTTACATAATTTAGCAAAGTGAAGCTAAGGCCTTGATTGTGGCACATCCTGAAGTCTATAAAAACATCCTGTTCTGTGATCCAAGGGTGATATCACTGGTAAATGAAACACAGCCACTAGCAACATCATTCCTTACACTTGACTCCTTAAAGGAAACCAGATGCAGCAATTACCTCCAAAGGATCTTTCTCCTTGAATATGGCAGCAGATCCTCCTTCATCATCATCAGGGTAATCAGGAAACTTGCCTGTCTTGTCCCTGAAAAAAAAATCAAGCAATGAGATAAAATGAACTATTCAAAACAAACTGCACTAGTTTTCATCCAATGATTCATTTCACTCTCAGATCATATCACACAAAAATGTACTAAAAACAGCACAATGCAGACTGTTAACAGAATCCTAACCCAAGAATAAGTATTTTTCAAGAATGATCTCAAAACAGAAAAGATAAGCTTTCACAATTTAAGGTGGAGAAATGCATGCTGTAATGAAAATGGCAAAAATTTGTCAGATTATTGAATCCGCCAAGCTGATTTTGCCTTGAAAAATTTGACTAAAAATTTGTCAAAATCATCAATCTGGTGAAACTGATTTTGCTTCGACAAATTTGACTAAGATTCAACAAAATCATCAAATTCATGAACATTCACTTGGTTTGATAAGATTTTGTAAAATCTGCCATTTTCATTATCTTGTGCTTTTCTGGACATTAAAGTGAAGGTGGAGAACCTGGAGGTTAACAATAATCTCTTATGTCCATAGCCCCCTTTTTAGCAATGCTAAGGTAACTGTAAGTTGAGACAGGGTTACCAAACAAAAGTTCAAACCAGTGCACAGCTGTTCAAAGAGTGAATAATACTTATATCCAGCAGAGGAGAGACTCTGCCTTGGTCACTCATGGGAGTTAAAAGGGTAAGTTTGTTGGGAGACCAACCTGCATTCAATAAACCATTGCCTAATCTGATCTTGCATGTTTTCTTTCATATCTGGTCCCTCAATCTCGCGAATCTTCTCCTTAATGGAAACAAGTGCCTAGGAAAGAAATCATTTGCGAAAATAGCTATTAAAAATTGTATTTCTCCTCAATCAAGTTGTGCATGCATTTAAAGATGGATGGTCTAATACTGACAGAAATCACCAAAATGTAGCTGCACTCTGTACTGTGGGGTGCATGGCACATTCTTCTTCAATTATGAAGCCACAGTGACAAAGAGTCGAAGTCAAGAAATTCAAGTTTTATTTAAAGAAAGTTATAAAATCAACATGATGATGTATTTAAATCTTTGCCATTTTGTGATAATGCAACCTTACTTGTTGATATTCCCTCTCATGTTCTTCTTGAACAACTCTTCTGTGATCCTGAACATAGCAAACAAATAATCACCATAAAGTTTTCAAACAAGTTTTAAAGTTTTAAGAAGTTTGGGTAAATAAGGTATCATCATATGACCTTTTGGGCTGGACAGGAATAAATTTGTGTCTTGATCATGATGCACAGACCTTGCTGTCCAAGGTCCATACACCATGACCTCAAACCAAATATTTTCCCGTCCAACCCTCCCACTTAGTTGATAAGTACAAAGCATAACATGCACATCACTTTCAAATCTTAGTTTTTTAATAAATTTAAGTATAAGGTGATGTTTAGCCAGAGAATTCTCTGATCTCCACAACCTATAAAGAACACCATGTGTTTTACATGTTTATTATAGAAGCAAGTTTAGAAAAATTGGTGGATACTACAATGTATTTGAAATGCTTTCGGCTCAACCAGGGCCAACCATCAATTAAAAATAAATTTAAGCAAATTGGAGCTTACAGTATTCACATTGTTGTACTTCACATCTTATTGTTCAGTCACCACTTCTTATCATTAAATTACCTCTGTCTTCTTAGCTGAATACATGGGTGTGTCTTTCCAATCCTTTGGCTCGGGAGGAGAAGCCTGAAGAAGGATCAAATTATAAACAACTGTCAGAATACTTGTCAGAGGTAAAGACATTTAAGACGAAGAAGTTCCAATTTCATGGTTGAATAGTCTATCAACTGAGTCAATGAGATAATAAATTTAAAGTATTGTTCATTTTTCTAATTATTTACATGAAGACTAAGTCATTACAAAGACATGACCTGGCAGTAAGATGTGCCAAAACTTTGGTGCTTACCATTCCCACAAATATCAATTCTTCTTCTCTCATTTTTTTGGTCTTTCTTCTTTGTGAGTAACCTTTCCAAACCTGGATATTATGAGAGTTACATTAAAGATATTATTAAGCAGATCTAGAGTCTTCTGCAGGAAAGCCATCAAGGTTTTACAAAACAGACCATAGCAATAATTATGGGATCATCTCAAAATCACAAAATCACAATTACAGCACCACGATCTAACAGACTGTTATATCCCTTTGATCCCTTAGAGTGAATAACACCTTATTTCTCCTAACAGTATCAACCCTGGATCAAACATTAAGGTTATGAGAATAAAGGAAATGATCATCAACTAAAGAAACTCTTGATCGTTGAACAAATTCTTATTGTCAACAGCCTTGGAAAGGTACGGCGAACAGAAAAGAGAATAAACACACTGGGCTGATTATTTGCAGAAAGCTTAGCTGTTGTTTAACAAAACCGAGTTCTAAACTATCTGCAATTTCATTGAACCTTTTATCTGAACATTTATTTTTGTGAACAGTGTCTATAGGGCTGAAGGCTAACAGTGGATGGAAATTTATTTCTCAAATCAACCCTATTATAGAGATACCCTGTGGCCCACTGCATGCATAAAACCGTGATTTAGGTTAGACCTCATGTAAATAACCAACCCACTGATGTTAAGATGTAAAGAGAAAATTCAAGCAGCTGAATGTTCTGTCAGGAATAATCATTAGTTTACAGCAAATGATAACTTCTCACTGAATTGTGTTGACCCTTTAACTCCCAAAAGTGATTAACATGTAACTTCTCCCTTTGTAAAAGCGTAAAACTACATTAAATTAAATGCAATTAACTTTCAACTCTTCAGTTAATAACCTTTTGAATTTTTGTAGCTGCAATGTCAGGATCCATAGTTGGTGCTCCTCGTAGTTGTGCCTGACATTCTCTCTCTTCTTGTTGTCTAAATCAGAATGTAACTCAGCAATTAAATTTTATTAATCAGATGAGTTGACATCTGAGAGGTGGCTTTTCTCATCTTGTGTTTCCATGTCAAATCAAAATTTGGAGTGTTGATTTTTGAGGAAGGTTAAGAACAGCAGAAGTCAGTGAAAAACCCTTGGGAGTAAGGACAAGAAACAACAACAAACTTTATCAACCTGCTTGCAGTGTGATGCTAGGATTGGGAATTGAACCTTGACCAGTGGAAAGCAATCTTACAGAGGAGGATTTGGTGGTGACCAATGTTACACAGTGCAGATACATGATTTTATAGACTAATTAAGTACACTGACATTTCTCAAATTTTTGTTTTATTTAATTTTGCTTTGTTTTAAGGAAACAAAAATATAACAATATTTAAAAATTTTGTTTGAGAATGTTTCACTGAATGAGGAAATGGTCAAGTTCCAATAAAAACTGTGTCTAACCTGATTTCTCTCATGAACTTTGCTCTCAGTCTTCCTTGCCGAGCCCTCTCATGCACCTGGAAGAAGGTTTTAGGTTCATTGTTTGCTTATTCTTGTAAAATAAAAGCAACACAAGTGTTTTTATGTTGATAATATAAACTTGATCTGTTGTCTCACGACAAAGTTACTAGATGTAGATCACGACGTTTGGACTGCTTACTGCAAGTCTTCTTCAGGCGATGGTGTCGACTGGTTCCAGCACAGCATTATGTATCATGGTGGTCTGCTGTGATTGGTGCATTTGTTATATTTCAGTAAAAATTTATTATAAGCAAAGACAAAGTTAACACAACAAAAGAACTGTTTAATAACAAACCTGGATTAGCCTGATGGCATCATCAAGAGTCATCTGTATTTCTTCCTTTTGCTGTGGAAAAAAAAAAGGATAAAATACAATTTAGGGAGAATTTTAAATATCACAATGACTATTAATGAATATATGATTTCACAGAAGCTAATTTATTTTGTTTGAAATTGAGCCTGTAACCCTTTCACTCCCAGAAGTAATCAACCAGTAACTTCTCCCTATAATATCTGTACATTATCCCCACACAGGTAATGAGAATACTCAAAATGATCAAGTAGAAGTTGTTAATAATACTGATCTAACACCAAATTCTCATAACTAATTTACAAGGTAATGCTTAGCAGCTGGGGGAGAGAATTAAAAATCAGACGTTGAGTGTTAATGGGTTCAATTACTTGCATTAACTTACTTGCATGTAATTATCAATTGATTACTGGTATTTTGAGTTAAACTAGTGTCTACTATATATTTATTAGAGAAAATTTCAAAACATACAAATGAAAAAAATCAAAATAAACAGACTGAACTTACTGGTGTAGTTTCCTGAGGACCCATTTTTGCCAAGATGCTGCCCAGCATTTTTTCTCTTTCTTGCAGAACTTTGGAATTCTCATATGTAAAGTATTTTGGAATGGGGATTTCTATATCATCCTTGAAAGTAAAGAAGGAAAAATTGTGGGAATTTTAATAATGGGGAGTCTTAAGGACTGCAAATAGAAGATGTAGTGGCCTGATGGTCGGTGTACTGGAATCTGAGTCTATAGAGGTCTGGGTTCAAGACCAAGTTGCATCAATGTGTTGTGTTTTCATGCAAAACAATTTATTCCCATTCTGTTTTCTTCACTCAAGACCTGGTTGTTCAATGCTGGGTTAAGATAACCCAGGGATAGTATGAAATCTTATTTCAGATCTGAAAGCTTTAAAAGAAAATTCAGTTTGATTCTTTTTGTCTAAAATTTGATTATTGGATGCTCTAAAAAGAATAGAGAAAATTATCTAAAAAAGGCTCTTGAACAGAGAAATAAATAAAATTGGATTTCAATTAACCTTGGGTTAGTGCTATTGGGCCTTCGAACAGCTGCCCTGGATTATAAATGGGTACCAGGAAATTGTCAGGGAAGCTTGATGAAATATTAGGGGGAGGGGGACCTTACAATGAATTAGCATCCCATCTAGGGATGGGGGTGGTAATACTCCTAGCTACCTCATATTATGGAAACTGTCATATTGGCTGGATGGGCTACTTGGCTTGAGTACAGTCTTCACCTCAGGGAGTGCAAAACTAACTTTAATATCAACAGTATTTTCAATTTGTTATTGTGATCACAAAAATGGTTGAGTGCTTGTCAGGCCTGCATGGCCATTGGCTCAATGTAAAATTTAGCTTTACCATTAAAATTCCAACATATACTTTGTTCTGGTTTACAACTTAAATCATTTTAAGACTGTGATACTGTCAGTAATGATCAGCTGCAGCCAATACTTACAGGTGTAAGTTTCAGATCTGACAGCACATCATCAAAGTAGTGATACTCTGAGAATTCAAGCAGTACCATTTCATTCTTTAACTCAAGAATCCTGCAGTAAAATAAACGTTTGAATGAAAATCATTATTATTATTATTATCGAAAGTCTGGGGCTGGGAACTGAGTTCTCCAATCATTCTGAATTTGCACAAAGTGCAGTTACCACTTTTTACTTGTAATGAAAAAGAAAAAGAACTGTCAGACGATTAAAAGCATATAAAGTGCTGTGGTTCGCCTTTTCTTGTTTTTTCCTCAAACAAGTTTGTCTACAAATATTACCAAGATCATTTTAAACAAACAAAAATACCAAGGATACTGGTACAAAATAACACTAAACCTGACATCTCCAGATGGTGAATGTCTAGTAAGGTATTGCAAGACTGAATAACTCTTTCTGTTACCTTCCCATGATACCATCAAGCAAATGACGCAACACCCGTCTCTTTTGGGGATGAACCACCTGATAGGAGAAAATATACAAAAGCATGTTATAAATCTATACCACATTGATATCTTGAAGCTGAGGAAGAGTTCCCTCCCCCCCTTCCCTCCCTTCTCTCTCCCTCATTTCAAAAATAGTCAATCAAATATAAATTTCACAATTGTAGGTCAGCATAGTGTGCATACATTTGTGAGTGCAAATCACCTGATCATAGCATTCTTCAATCCTTCTGAATATTTGAATATATTTGATATACATCACAGCAAACATCTGAAATGCTGCAATACGGTCCTGTTGAATGAATTCCAAAAGAAAAAATTAATGATGACATTCAGGGCAGGAGGAGTAAACCATATTAGTTTCTTGTGTTTTGCTTTGCAATGCACCATAAGAAATGTACAACATTTTACAACCCCAGTGTTTATGTGCTCTCTAAATATTTTGTTTTACCACGTTTTTGTTGTCGTCACCCTTGTGGTTTGCATAAGACTATTGAAAATATTACTTACTAAAGTACACAACACCTACAATTGACCTCGAAAAAATAGTTTGACTTGTGATACAGTAAAAATATATCAGATAAATATGAAAATCTTGGTACCTTTTCTGGTTTGGCCGGTTCTGATGGAAGTTCAACCTCCAGCAGATCAAGAATCCCTCCCTGGGATTCAACCCACTGTTTTCCATAATAACTGAACAAGAACAAAAAAGATAGAGACAATCATTTAATTGCTTCATCTAAATCAATAAAATGAGCACAAGAATCAAACGCAATTTTATTTTTAATTGACCTTAGTGCATACATGAATATTCTGACCAGAAAAATTGAAAATAAATGAGGTTTTCTTCTTAAAAACACTCAGGTGTTCTCCCCAAGTTGCAACTCTCAGATCAAGAAGTTGTCCGCCAATTTGCGAGAGTAACTCTTCACAAAAAAGTAAAAAACAATACGGACAGCTTTCATTCACTTTACTATGATCTATTTCGTATCTTTGATGGATCGTAAACTTTGTTTTGAGAACTTCTGCATGGATCTAGCTATAAACAACTCCTGTAAAACTCGTAACAAACGTACTTTGCAATTTGCGACCTTACAAGTTTGTTTGTGATACAAAATCCAAAGATAACTCCTGAATGTGGCCCAAACTTTAAAAAAAATTATCTAAGGACTCTACCTGTGTGACATGGTTGGAACTTTTCTTTACGTATGTGGAGATCTTCGCTGTAATCAAAAGAAGAAAACGAACTTCAGGCTTCAATCGCCATATTTTATTACGCGCAAATTACCATGGAAACCATAGTATGCATCTTGCGCATAATTTATTATGGGAGATAACGCTGACAGATACTTTTGCGATTCGCTTAAGCATAGAACAAACTATTCGATAATTGATTTATTCCTTTCATAATTGGGATTACATTGATTGTAACTAAGGTGTGTGGAAGGGGCTGTAATAATGTTCACCCAAGACGGCACTCCAACATCGGGAGACCTTGAACAGTTCGCTAAGGAATTTAAACAACGAAGAATCAAACTTCGTTTCTCGCAGACTGAGGTGGGCTTAGCGCTTGGATATCTTTACGGCAACGTGTTTAGCCAGACTACAATCTGCCGTTTCGAGGCCTTACAGCTGAGTTTTAAAAACATGTGTAAGCTTAAGCCTCTGTTGATGAGGTGGCTCGAAGAAGCAGATACTGACAGGCCTTTTGGAAGCGAGAGCGAGAAGTTGGAAGCTAAGCGAAAACGAAAGAAGAGAACAGCGATTGAGGTTTCCGTTAAAAGTGTCTTGGAGAACGAGTTTTGCGCAAACCCAAAACCATCTGCTAGTGAAATAGGCATTCTGGCCACAAATCTCGGCATCGATAAAGAGGTTATTCGAGTGTGGTTCTGCAACAGACGACAGAAAGAAAAAAGGTTAACTTTGAAAGAAACCAAAGAACACGGAAAACCATGTAGTGGTGAACAATTTGAGGAGGAAGCACCGCATGATCTTGATGATATGACATCTTTAGCATAATTGCTGGTGTTTAAATTGCACATCTGTGGTGCATTTTTGTCTGTTACTAAGTTTTAACAGAAGTACCAGCGTATTTCAAATATTGTTGCCCTTCTTTGTTCGTTTTTACACCTACTCTATCTAGCTTTCACTTTAAACATGATTTAATATGTTTAAATAAATAAATAAATAAATAAATATTTTAATAACACTACATTATGTCACCGTGTGAATAGAAGAGGATCTCAGTTATATTTCTACGGAAAATCAAGAATGTTATGTGCGAGAAATTTTAAACTGGATGACCGTTCTTCCTTTTGATGATAAGTATATTTAATCAAGATCAAGGTATCTTTTTAATTTCAGTTCCATACATAGACGAAAGAGAGACAGCTTAGGACGGAATTTCAACATATAAGTAAACGAAAAGGGACGAAAATATTATTTTTGTTGGAGTAAAATAACTACTAGTTAGCACAGTCAAAAGTCATTTCTGCTCAGGAAGTTCAAACGTATCGTCGACACCCTGGTGACACCAACTGGTGACACCCAAGAATGGTTTCGAATCAGACCACGTGCAAAAAAAAGACTGCCACAGACAGTCATTACGCTAACTTTTTTTGTCTGACATCTCGGTAATTGCCACTCAGGAAAAAAAAAAGATTAAATATTGTTCGGAAAAAAAGCAATGGGCTGATCAGAAGAAAATTTTGCAATTTTTAGTTCGAGAGCAATGCGGCGGTAGCAGAGGAATCTTCGCTACTGTAATCTGAGTTTAGCTATCCCGATGTTCTTATCTTATCTAATGTGTCACGTAACACTCACCTTGTTCCTCGCCGTTGACAATCAGACAGCATGGTGGAATCAGAGAACGCAAGCGTCGCCACCGATGCAAATGACACTTTGGAGAAAGACGTAGAGTATCTTTTGGACCGAACTAACTTAAAAAAACATAGAGAAGCTTTTATCCGCTGTGGAGCCGTGAGAGTGAAGGATTTTCTTGACTTAGGAGACGACAAGCTAGCGGAGATAGGTCTTAACCAAATGGAAGTTCAAAATCTTAGAGGAAATCTTCATGAAATCCAAGCAGAATTGAAGGGAGGAAACAGCAATTGCAATGGTAATTAGGTTTTCTCTCTAGTAAACGAATGTGATATTTAGATTTTGGCAAGGTATAGTCAACTTCATTAAATACACAACTCGATAAGCAGTCTTTTCGTTTTGCAGTCCGCCATTTTGAGAACGGATCGAAAATGGCGCCAATTACATTGTTTATCTTTTTCTTAAGGGAATCGAATGTCATTGATTTCCGCACCATGCGATGCTTGAAATATTTGTCTGTAAATTCAAAGCAGACGACAAACGATTTTCCGAAGTAAAACTTATTTTTTATAGAATCACGCAAATCGTAGACCACGCTTTTTGCCTTTAAAACCATTGAAACATGTTACTTTAAGAGGGTTTTCGTTTCTGCGTTGTAATTCTAGTTTCTTCAATGAAATGTCGGTTGTCTGTTGCTTCAAAAGGAACACAGAAATCGTTCGATTAGTTTTAAAAATAGTCAGTGTGGTATGGGGTGGCTGAAATATTATGAATCTAGCTGCGATGGGTTAAAGAGCTCACAGAATGTTTCCAGCTCTATTATCTGCTGCTTCAGTCAATCAACACTTACACTCGACATCGCTTGATGGCAAAACATTAACATTAAAGAAATAGTAGCATTATTTAAACTTATTAATCTTTCCATGCACACATAAAAATAAATTTCATTACAATTACCACCTTGGCGAAGTGACTGGCAGACAGCCAAAACGCTAATTGAGGTTTAACTAAGATTTACAAAACATCAGATGGCCGGAAGTTTGTTATTTTTGATAAATTAGAGGAATCGAAGAAAGGCAGCCATTTCTGAAATAATGTGTCAATGAAAGAGTGAGTACTAAGTAATCTTGAAGAGCCCTCCAGATCCTAAATCTAACCCTTAGAGCACTCCATAGGTAACAAAACCTTGACTCTGTAACAGAAGTGTAGTTTCTAGTTGTTCATTATATCATTACAGTACTATTTGTGTAATCCTTCATTGCATACTGGGGACCATGTGCTTTAAAGAGATATGTCATTTTGTATCTTTTGTGTACCCTGCACATTGTCATTAAAAGCCAAGTTTATAGGCAATATGGTATAAAATGTTACAAACTAAGTTTTTGTTCTCTGAGCCCAAAAACAAAATCAAGCTTTAGATACATGGCATTTAAAGGTGATCAGGATTGCTTGGCACTTTCATAATTGACTTACTATACTTTGGATTGGAGTGTTAGATCCATGAGACAGTAAATTTATTGCAACTTTCAACTCTTATTTCAGAAAGATCAGTGGATAACACAGAGTTTAGTTTGCAAGATGAAGATGCTCCAACATCAGTTGATTTAGAAGAGTTTGCAAGGGAATTTAAACAGCGACGAATCAAGCTGCATTTCACTCAAGCTGATGTTGGCCTTGCTTTGGGGAAAATGTATGGCAGCATGTTTAGCCAGACTCACATCTGTCGCTTTGAGGCTCTGCAATTGAGTTTTAAGAACATGTGTAAACTCAAGCCGTTGCTGATGAGGTGGTTGGAAGAGGCTGATAATGACAGAAGTTCTGGAAGCAATTGCAATCCTCTGGAAACTCAGGGAAGAAAGCGAAAGAAGAGGACATCCATTGATGTCACTGTCAAAAGTGTGCTGGAAAAACACTTTTCTTCCAATCCCAAACCATCTTCACAAGAAGTCGAAGGGCTTGCAGAAAACCTTGGAATCGATAAGGAAGTTGTGCGAGTGTGGTTCTGCAACAGAAGGCAGAAAGAAAAGCGCTTAAGTGCAGCAGCCACAGGAGAAGATGAAGGCCAACAAGTTGAATCACAGTGACTCACTTTCATCTCAAAGTGTATTGTTATCCCTCAGCCACCTTTAACATATCATCAATAGTTATATCATACATCATAGAACTGCACAAAAACTTCTCATAGTTTTTTTTTTTCAGCTGTATGTTTGCTTGTTTCCTTTAGTCCACTAAATGAACGATGACTTGTTCTGAAAAGTAAGTTTGTATTCTGATTTTCACCAAGTTGAAATTTCTTGTTTATATTATAATTTAGATAAACCACCGTATCCTAATTGTACTTTTGTCAACATTGATATATTAAATAAAATTTCATACTCAAAAAAGATTTGCAGGAGGTAACACAAGCATTTTACTTCAAATCAGGGAACCCATGCTAGGTCCTGAATTACAAGGGATCAACAGGAAAGGTCCTAAAGATAGGGAACCCAAAGTTAGGGCACCCTTAAATAAATCAGGGAAGCTGAACAAGGAACACAGCCAGGTAACCCATACAGTTGGGGATAAATCAGGATATGTCCATGTCCTTCCAATGCACCAAAACATCCCCCCTGGCAACCCATGGGGGTTGCGCTTTGTACCTGGGGAGTAGGAAATTTGACAAATGGCCTTCCTAGGGAGTGGGGAATTTGAACCTTGTGTGAGTGGGGTTAAAAATATGAACCAGAAGTGTCGCAAGTCTTTCCAGGAGAAAACACATGTTTAATATTTTGACATGGTCAAGTTTAAAGGCAAAGTCTGGGGTGGTGGTGGTGGTGGGGGCTGTGGGGGAGGAGAGGGGTTCAAATTGATTGCCATATAAGTTTCCAGGAAAGGAGATTTACAGCTGTACTGATATGTTGCTTGGTAAAACTCTTGGACTTGTTTGAAACTTTTAGGAAGTGTTAAGCCCAATATAGATTGTTACAGGCAAGTCTTTCTTTAACCCCGTTTATGACGTTGTTTGCAATGTCAAGATGTCACTCATGAGACTGCATGGCTAGATTACAATGACTGCTGCTGTCTTAACATTGGTGAGATGGACCAAGTTAGCTGTGGATGAATGTCTTGAGTTATCAACAGGGACAAAACTAGGAGTGTTCTGGAGTGCCATGATCATCATCTCTCATTCCCCTTTTTTGAAATAGTCATTTTCAATGCAAATAGAATAAGAAAGATGGTCAATTTTTAGCTCGGCTAAGAAATAGAGAAATATTTTTTTCGACTTGTCACAAGTTTGGGACAAAGAAAACATTTCTAAGTCCCTATGAGGAATCGAAACTAAGATCTTCGGATTCCGCGCCCTAATGCTCTAGAACTGAGCCTCCTATGACGAGCAAGGCCATTACGGAGGTCAGAGGTTAGATTCATCATGGGACGGGGCAGCAGCTACAACAACCACCACCGATCTGGGGAGTGGGCCCGAATTTGTGCGTCACTGGCTTCGCCCACTTTCGTTTAAAATTTTGATCAAATTCCTTTCCCTCGTTGTGCGCACTCGCCACCGTCGTGAAGGTGCATCGGCGAAGGAAGTTACCGCGCACATGTAAAGATACGTTTTCAAAATAATGAGTCAAGGGGGAACTGGACAATGAACTATGTAGCCGCTTTTTGCCTTGCGCAAAACTGTCTTTCTTTGAATTGTCGACTTCATAAAACTACTCCCTCGGAGCAGTAAGAAGGAAACAGAAAAATGATCGAAATTGTCTCTGCAAATACCGTGAAGAGAAAAAAGCTTTGAGTAAACGTTTGAGCCATGACAGAGAATCTAATACTTTCGTTATTTTCCCCCCAGCTGGATCCCGCTCAAGGTGTCCTTACCCTTACAGTAACCTCGAACCAGATCCTACTGTTTAACTGTAACTGCTTGGCCGTGGAAGGTCTGGGTACAAGACTACCCCACCCCATCCAATCGCCCTCTCCAACCGACTCCTTACAAAGTACATATATGTCCATCTTAGGGATTTTACGGAATACTCGCTCTAACACAAACTAGATGGAGGGAAACGAATGCCTGTTAACCCTTTGACCCGTAAGAGTGACCAGCATCAAATTTCTCCTTACAATATCGCCGCTGAATCAAGCATTAAGATTATGAGAATAAAGGATATGATCACCAACTAAAGTGGAGCTCTTGATAGTTGAATTGAGCCGGCTAGGATTAATTTGCTAGTGATTGAGTGATTGAAAAGAGGTGCTGAGTTGAAACTTCAGTTCTTGAGGTAAAATAAGTTATTTTCTCGTAACTTGGTAGGCCTGTGGCAGCTACATATTCCTCTCTGAACAATATGTGTTTCTTCTGTACTGCTGCTAATTCCATCCCATCAACACTTGAACACCAAGATTTATTTTGTGCTCTTCCCTTTTAAAAACTTTGCCACAAAAATAAAAGAATTTGTTATTATATTAGGATGATATCCTCAGACCCACGAATATGTTAATTCTTATCACCTGTTTGCAAGATAATAAAGAAACTGTGGTGCTGCGTCGGTAAGAGGTAATCCAAGATAATTTGGGAGTTTTTATAATGTAAATTGGCCACCGTGTGTTAACTCTTCGTCAGAGCAAAGTTAGTCGATAATTCTTGTATCATAAAATTAAACTTGTTTTGAGTCCAAGTCCATTGATTCTTGTTGTTTTATATAGTATTTCCTTCATCTCGCCTGATCAGCGGCTATTTTATGAAAAAATTAGCAGATTCTTTAAACGGTATGATGCCTACATGTTTCCGCGTTTAATATCGCTGATAATCTTTTGTTTTCAGTGGTCAAACTGTTTTACTTTCTAACAGTACTTTTGTTCGAGAACCACATCCTTCAGATATAATTATAAATCGCTCCAGTTTCATCCTAAGATATTATTAATCTGTTCAAAACTGGAAAAAATTACGCTCAGAGCAATATCTTAGGTCACGTAGAGTGAAGGAGAATATTGGTTTCCTTATCAAGTTTTGATTAAAAACAGTTTTGCAATTGATGTTTTGTTATACATTTCCTACGAGGCTTTTTAATTTGGACACCTTCTTCTTTTACAGATGAATTTAAATGTTTTTGGAAACCGACAGTAGGTATTTTAGTGGCATCAGCCATTTTACTTGCCTCACGTATTATCGTGTTTCAAAATAAATTGAAAACATACTTAATAAAAAAATATAAAATTTTACCACAGGGCAATAATTGACATCATATCTCTCAATTAAGGATCACCAACAAAGAGAGTTATTTCAATGTACTTTTTGTAAGGGTCTTATGTGTGTGTGCGTGGTTTTTTTTTTGTTTTGTTTTGTTTTGGTTTTTTTTTTACGTAATTGATACGTGATGTAAGACCAATTCCATCGTTAAAATAATAATAAAATATCGGCGACAGTTGAACGTAGAAATCTATCAAAATAGCGTGAAAATTCTAATTTAAATTTCCTCTTTTGTCATCGTTCCTTATTAGGCAGAATTTATTGAAAAAAAAAATTTAAAAATATTGAAGATACGTGAGACTTTTTCTCTGTTGAAACGAAATTTCTCAACGCAATTTAGTTTTGCATATTGAAGTTAAATGACAGTTTAATGAGATTATCTTCCTATCTAAGTTAGGAGACTTGGTGCCCTCGGAACTAAATTAGACTTTCGATATTACAGGAGTACTTGACAACTGGAGCGATTTGCAATAACAGTTCAACGCGAAAAAAAAAGTGTTTTGGCAACAACGTCGATAAAACTCGGATGTGATAGAGCCTTTTAACTCCAAAGTTATAAAAACTTGATATTTCTCTCCCGCATTTGAATAACAAAGGAAACTCAGTCAAGCAATTTCATTGGCTGCGCAAATCGCACGAGGCGGATGTCGATTACTTCATGATATGAACTGCTGTCTTTTGAGGGTTAAAAAAGAAAGCTTGATTTTCACGAATAAAGCAAACAATCAATCTATTTTTTAAAACAGCCATTTAGAGTTTGATGACATCAGACGCGTCTGTTGAGTAAGATAACGTTCCAAGCCGACTAAGGAAATCGACATTATAAAAGACATTTTTCAGATATAAGCTCAGATCTCGAAGAGAGCGAGAGGAATAGAACTGCGTATATGAAAAATTTGAAACAAGTTCCAAGCAAATCTAAGCCACAGAAATGTCTTTTAATGACACAGGCTACACAGTTTTTAGTAACTCCAGTTCTGTTTCCTCGAATCGCCTGGAAAACCGGCCACCGTTGGGCCTCGATACCTCAGAAGTGAAAGGTCTTGCAGGTGTTAACGCGGTGGCAAGCATTATTGGTACCGTGGGCAATCTTTTGGTTTGTTTTGTAGTGAAGAAATTTCGCTTTCTAGGAAGGCCGAAAGCAGAGCTGTTCATCGCCAGTTTAGCCGTGGCAGATCTATTGGTTTGCGTGTTTGCTCAGCCAATGTATGTTTTGTTCCTCTATGGCCTGTTACCCACCCAGCTAAACATGATTAGAACAGCAGTGACCTGGATTTCAACGTTGGTCTCCGTCAGCCATTTATTTTCGATTTCAATCGAGCGTTTTCTCTCGCTGTTCTTCCTTCACCGACATAGGTTCTTCATCACAGATCACACTATCTGGAAGTCAATTGTTTTTACATGGCTCGTTGCCATAAGCTTTGGTGCACCAGCCTCCATTTTGAGAAAAGCACGTCACATAGCACAGTACTTTGTAATTGCTATCTTGCTAATCATGCCTGTTCTATACGCCGGAATATTTTACATTGTGCGACTTCAGCAGCAACGAATTAGGAAACAAATACCAGCGCAAAAACTTTCAAATTCTCAAAAAAGCTTCGCAAAAGAGCGAAAGATTCTCTACATGATAGCCGTGGTCGTTGGCGCTTTTTACGTGTGTATTACACCGCTTATCGTTCTTCCGTTTTTCTTCAGCGTAGGCGCATCGCCTGCTGTTCTCAAGCACGCCAGACGCGCCTTTCCTTGGGTCAACACCATGGCGTTTTGTAATAGCTCTTTAAACCCATATGTCTATTACTGGAGAAGTTGGCGATTTAGGTTGGTTATAGAAAAGATGCTACGAAGAATGTTTGAAAAGAGATGAACGCACCACTGAAAATCGACAGAATCAGAAAGGATGAACTTTGAAACGTTATGAATTAATACATTTTTTCATTTTCAGAAACTCGCATCGAAAAAAGATGTTAACGAAAAATTTATGTAGAATCGCGAGCTATCTCAAGTACTGTAATAATAATAATAAAAAAGCTCATGAAGTGGCATGTGGTAGTCTGCCGAAACCTTTGATTGTTAATCAGAGGTGCGGCAGTTTTTGATAGCTACAGACGGAGATAAAATCTCGCGGATTTATGTTGTTAAAAATGACATTTAACTTCCGGAAGTCATTTACAACTTGAGAGATTAGTTGTTATGTACGTCATTTGAATACAGAGTACTGTGATAGCAATACTGGCGTAATCAAGACGAAAGAGCAAACTTGTCAGTAGAAAGATTAAAAGCGAATGGAATTGTTTTTAATACCTGTAATGTTAGCGGTGTTAGATATAACCTCTAAAGAACATGCATAAAAGTTTTGTTTGTATTACAATCTTACCCTTTGAAGTTGTCCAAAAATTTGCGTTCGTTTATCATGCAACTTAGGTAAATAATTCTCTATGTATGAACATCGTATCCGGCCGAGGTGACATGTTGGTGAAGACAGATCGCAGCGGCAAATTTTGCATATTGAAAAGAAATCCAGCGATAGCTCAAAAAAGAAAATTAACAAAGGATTGATCACATGAATTGTTTGAATTGTTCACATGAAAGGTAACAGGGACGTTGGGGGTCAATTCTTGGTAGTAACATGCTGCGTGGTCCTATATGCATGGCTAAGAGTGCAGGCAAACCTTTTCCATAGTCATCAGGGGCCGGCTTCTCTGAAAGCCCCTACAACCTAACAGGCCCAATGTAATTTGTCTAGATAAAATAATACGGAAATACGATGCCTCAAACACCTTTCCATCCTGTTTATCTCCCTGACATCTTTATTGTTTGAATTTCAAATCTGTTAAAATCTCGATCTCATTTTCTTCATTAGTCTTTTTATTCTAACGTTTTCTTGCTTTTTCTTTGCTTTTTTTTTTTTCGCTTTTCTGCCTACGGAGGTGCCGCAATAAATCGCATTTCAGGGAATACCAGGCTGATTTTTCATTACAAATATTATTTTTTTTTCGAATAAGTAAAGGGAATCATCCTGGTAGACACTCCTAAAGTTTCGATGGCACTGTAAAGAGAAATTTAACCCTAAGACCGGGCTGATGTCTTGCGACGAGTCTTTCACACGAAGATTAACACTAGAACACGCGTGTTGATTAAAAATCTGTCACCATGAAAAAAGAAGAGAGAGACTGGGACCAAATTGTATCTGCTTCAGAATCACCAATCATAACTCGACAAAATCCCACCGTGGTTTACATTTTCCGGGTTTTCAGCTAATTTTTAATAATGGGGAAGGTTTTTTCCCTTGCATGGCCAATATGTGAGATGAGATCACACACCCAGCAATGTTCAGAAATGCGTTGGCGACTGGAAGATCAATTTTCCGAGTGACACTTTCGCTCGTTAAGAAAAGTCGGCGTGGGGGGCTGGGCTGAGTTAGGACTAGAGGGAATTGTCTTGGGACACTCTTAAGACTTGGAAACTGCCACGACTCTTGATTTCCCGATACACGACGACCAAAAGTAAAGGGAACAACGAAAAAAGTAGATAAAAAAGAAAGTGGCTGACCGGAGAACCGGAAAAAAGCATTGGAATAGGACTGCAAGGCATGGGAAATTCTGCATGTATTTTCAATACTATTCAATGAGGAAACTTGATAAAAAAATTTAATTTTAATCCAGTTGTTAAGTTAACATCAAAACCCTTGCGAAGTCGGTAGCACATAAATTTCTTTAACAATTGAATATAAACTTGCGGCTTTTCTTTCTCTTTTTATGCACTTTCTACACTTCCCTTGACAAACCGACCCGCCCACCCTCCTCTGGCTTCCACATTCTAACCAGTTTTAGTTGCATTTAACAAACTAAGAGGCATCTTTTTCATTTGTCGCAGAAATGAAACGTGCTTTTAAACATACTTAGAAGGAAAAATTTCTATTTCATCTACAAATTCTCATAAAAGGGAAACCATAAGAACCACAACAAATCGTTTCAAAACTTGCCTACGTTTGACATGAGGGTCGGCTGGCCGATTGTCGTTCTTTTCCGCACCAACCACTTACCGTTTTCCATCATTCTTGATGGGAAAAAGATTGTCAGACCAAAATAATTATAAACATTGAAATGCTTACCGATGGCAAGATAAATCTACAGAATATCAATTAAATGTTTAATATTCTCTTCTCTGATCATGGAAAGGAAAACTGTGTGTAAAAATTCAAATTGGAAAAAACGTAAACAAAGCGTGGAGCGATGAGAAAATGCCTGCTGTTAATAAGAAGTATTGCATATTTCATGGAATTTTCATCCAATTCGTATTTTAAAGGAGTTTCAATGCTTTTCTCCACCTGCCGATGGTGTGATGGGCAGCTGTGCCCTGTAAAGGGGGCCTTAACCTCTTAACTCCCAGATCAAATTTGTAATTCTCCATACCGCCAACCATACAATGTTAGATCAGAGAATTAAGTAATGGACCAACTAATTATCCCCAAATCGATATTTTTCTTTATTCTCACAACTTATCTGGTTGATATTGTATTGATATTGTACGGAGAAATTTTGTCTTGGTCACTCATGGGAGTTAAAGGGTTAAGGCGAAACCCAAACACGAGAGCCTTCTTCCAGGCTAAACAGACGGCAGTAGGAGGTCGAAGAGGTGGAAGTAAACCCCCAGTAACCTGCACCTGTAAAAACCCCTGATTTCACCTTAGAATAAATGCAACATTAGAGGGATACGAGTTATTATAACTTGAAAGCCTTTCTTCTTACAACCAATACAGGCGGTAGGCTGGCAGGAAAACATCGTCACTAAAGACGGTTTTTTTTCTCAGTCGAGCATGATATAAGATTAGCGAACTGTGCAGTGATTGTTAATTCAAGGGGGTGGCTGCTGCTGCTGCTGCGGCTGCTGCTGTTGTTGCTGCTTGTCCCACCACCAACCTCTTCCTTTCCCACCAGATTCAACAATTTCTGATTGCGCATTAAATGGAGGCATTTCTCCACCCATTCCTGCGCTCACTCCTCTTCCCCTTCCTAAGCTTGCAGGGATGTCGCCAGGTTTGGCCAGGATAATTGGGGGAACCTGACCACCTGGTGCTTTGTCGAGACCTGGTCCTACTGGTAGACCTGTCATCTCTGGTGAGTGTGAACTGTATGGTTGCCCGTTAAACTGCATCTGTGGGGACTGAGGCATGCCAGGTATTTGTCCAGGAAGATTATGTGGATGCAATGCTCCGTGCATGGGAAGTCCTGTCGCCAATCCATCCGTACTGAGCGCCTCTAGGTCATTTCCGCCGTCACCACGTCCACGATTCACGATGGGAATGTCGTTTCCACCATCCCCTCCCTCTCGAACCTGACTAATATTTGTCACCTTCTTCGGTTTTGTTGGTTGTTCCACATATCCAATGCTTCTGTCGTATTCTTTATCAACTTCCGCCGCCCAAGTCACATTTCGGGTACCAGCACCTCCGCCACGTTTACCACGGGCAATCCAAAGACTGCCACGCCCACGTCTGCCAAGTTTGCCCATCTCCACACTGGATGGACCTCCAACCACGATCCGATCCTTGTCATTGTACCCACGCCCTGCTTTGTTACCTGACCAGCGAGCAATAGGAACACCGGCCACTTCTAGCTGGCCTCCCAATCCAGATACGGGCTGCCTACTGTTAGGGCCACGTCCACGCCTCAAGTTTGTGCCCATCGCTTGCATGTGGTGTGGGATATTGGCTCCAGCTGGAAAAAAGTTTGGCACCGGGACACTTTGAAGTGCAGGCGGTACGGGGCCAAAGGCAAAAGGCACTGGTGTGGGGAGCAAGCCATCACCGCGATGACCTGGAAAATGTGGTAACAATCCAGCAGATGGCAGACCAGGGTTGAGACTAAAGTCTTGAGGTAAACCTTCCGTGATGCACCATCTCATTCTCTGAAGCTTTTCTACTCGTCCACTCTGAAAAGAAAATAACGATGGTTCATTTGTTCCAGACAATTTTTTTTTCTGGGATTTCTGAGCTAAGCAAGTTAGGTCCAGAGACAAGTAGCCGGATGAAAAAACGGCGATCGCCGGCTTCAATTGTGACCGGAAATCGCTCTGTAAAGCAAAACGAGCACTTCTGAGAATATCCACCTTAAGTCGATCAATATGCAACGATATCGTGCAATTGAAAAGACCTAAATGTAAGCTCAACTAAGCAGAGTATTAGTGACACAACCTCGAGTGAAATAAAAGAAAACGAAACGTTGTTTTGATCACTTGTTCATCGAGAATTACTGCCGTTTCGTGTGTCCACCACATTAAACACTGAAAGCTTAAAAGCCCTGCATTCAAAGCGTTGCGAACGACTGGGAACGAAATGTCCTTAATACGGACTTCTTTTTGAGGCGCCATTTTTGAGAAGACATATGGCCAATGCATCTCCCACGTATGCATAAACTTTCGCAATACTAAAGAGAAGGAAACATAAATATCTCCATTTAAAAGATACGCACAATTTTGTTTCAATAACTTCAATTGGAGAGAAAATCTGGACTAGACTATTCAGCATCAAAACCAAACCATTTCTATCTTAAGCTAAAATAGTTGCCATTTTGTTTTACCTTTCCATCACACAGCTCAAGAAGCGAGGCATTTTCTGTCACCATTAGATATTTGCTGTGGAAAAGTTTTCCATCAAAGTAATTCCATGGACAAACAAGTTCCCATGGGATAGGCACAGCACAAGCATCATTGGCGAAAATGGCAGCTTGAACACCGCGCATAAAAATGGAGGCAAGCTGCACTGCACGTGCATCTACGCGCTGGAGCTTGATTTCTCTTAAGTTCGAAGCATTGCACTCTGTTGTTAAATGAGGAGACAGAGATTGGGCGAGGAAAGCATCAAGCTCCCGTGCTGACAACACCAAACGGCCATGTGACATGAGATACCTGGTACACGAAAAGAGGACACACGTAAACATCAGTATAGAATATCACTTGAAGAAAAATGCAGTTGAACCCCTCGGTAACTCGAATTCCCAACTAACTCGAAGCAAAACTGATTTCCCTTGGATTTGCTTCATATATTTACTGTAATTTTAACCCCTATAACTCAAAACCCCGCTAACTCGAAATCCCGCCGACTCGAAACCCCGCTAACTCGAAACCCCGCTAGCTCGAAATTCCGCTAATTCGAAATCCCGCCGACTCGAAAGCCCGCTAACTCGAAAGCCCGCTAACTCGAAAGCCCGCTAACTCTAAACCTCGCTGACTCGAAACCCCGCTGGTTCGAAATTCCGCTAAATCGAAAGCCCGCTGACTCGAAACCCCGCTAACTCGATATCCCGCTAACTCAAAACCCCGCTAACTCGAAATTCCGGTGACTCGAAAGCCCGCTGACTCGAAATCCCGCTGACTCGAAATCCCGCTGACTCGAAAGCCCGCTGACTCGAAATCCCGCCAACTCAAAACCCCGCTAACTCGAAATTCCGTTTACTCGAAAGCCCGCTAGCTCGAAATACCGCTAACTCGAAACCCCGCTAACTCGAAATCCCGCTAACTCGAAGCGATTTTTTCTTCCCTTTTGGTACTTTTCTTTGTAATTTTACCCTCGATAACTCGAAGTCGATTTTTCACTTTTTGCAGACTAATGAGGCATAACATTTTGCACCAGAAGATTACACTCAATCTCATTTATATGTTATGACAAATTGACCTTTGTCGATATCACACGTTTGTATGTCCGTAACGGTTCTTGCCGGCGAAGAGAAATAGTGGCGCGTAATCTAGAACCGATCAAGTGTTAATTTCCTATGGTAATGACATAGATAATTTTTTTAACAACCAAGAACACCTTGAGTTCCTGATCATTTTCTTTATTCTCATGACCTTAATGTTTACGTCAGGGGGATGGAATGTCGGAAGATATTAGCTGCTTATCACTCTAAGGGATTAAAGTACTTTAAAACGATCAAAAGGCACGTGAAATTACCTTAAAACACAGCACAGGATCACTAATCTCTTGGGTACAATTACAGTCTGGGTCATACTAGGCGTGTCACTCATCAAACATGACAAGAAAGCCTTGAGCCTGTTGTTGTCTGCCGCTGCTCCCTTGCTGAACCAGAGTCTTTCAACAGGTGGCACATCCCAGTCAAGTGCTAGTGGCTCCACGATATCAGGATCATCTAACCTCCTGTAACCATAGACACACCATTCCTTGACTGCTAAGGAGCTCATATCAACTCCACCATCCTTCTTCTTGGAGGCTAAGTCAAAAAGGATTCCATAAACCCTCTGACGCACTTTACGGAAAAGCAGAGCTGAGGGGATTCTTTCTGGCGACTGCTCCTCTTCAATAGTTGTGTCAACTGTGATTTCTGCTTTTGTAAGAACATGGTACACTGTTTCTGCCATTCTCCCATTTTGAAGAAGCTGTAACGTGACATCTAGTACACGTTGCGATATACCTGGGACAGCTCCTGTAACTGTGGGCTCTTATATGAAAAAACATGAAAATAACAAGGTCAGACCATCACCAAGTGTCTGTGAAATCAGTGGAGTCAATCACCAACCTTGGTGATTAAAATTTTGCTAAATATCGAACATTACTCATCCCAACTTCAGTTGATAGTCGTAAATGACCGATTATAAATGAATCATAAGGACAAATTGATCCCCATAGGTTTAGTTCAAGGTTGATCAAGATACTTGCAGCAATGCTCCAAGTTGCGATTGTTTTGGTTACCATGGCATGTGAAAAATAGATTTGGTCACTGAAATTTTGGTGAAAGTTGCCAACAGATTTGAAAAAAAAAAAATTTTTAAAAATCCATCAATGTTTGGTTGAATTAACAAACATATGACTGCCATTAATGCAGCATGAAGTGTCCTCCAATGACTTTTTTTTATTTGGCAACCAAATTTTTTCTATGGTGATCATTTTCCAGCTAAAAGTTGCCAAAAGGTGACTTTTTTGCAAAGGGAACTTGGAGCCCTGGGTACGATATGACAAGAAATAATCACAAGCCAACATCCATAATAAAATGAAGGTGAGTGCTACATCTGATGACACAAAGTTGTAAAATCTTAATCACTCATAACACCATCCCAACAAAAACGAGACAAATAAAATTTATTTCGTCAAAAAATTGTGATGAGCCACTTTGTTGCATCACAGACAACTGTAAACTTACCTTTTTCTTTTTCTTTCATGTTTTCAGCAGAGGATGAATGATCAGCAGCTCCTTTACCAGTTTTGCACACCATTGGTGATGTTTCTGATGAGGATGGTGGGGTGGGGAGCACTGATGATGGCGATACTGGGGGATGGGTGAGTAAGGAGCCTTCTTGATGAGGTGAAAGAGGTGGTATAGTAACTTGCAAGTCTTGGGGGTCCCCTGGGGGCGATAATGGCAATGAATGCATGACAGATGCTTCTGGGGAGTCTTGAACTTGAAGTGCAGATAAACTCTGCTGTAGATCTGTGATATTTGGAATTTGCTTTGTGCTGTCATTACTTTGTGGTAGCTACAAAAACAACAAACAAAAGTAAGCAGTGTAAAATGATTGACTTTCCAAGAAGTTTACTCCAGAAATTCTGTCAGATCTTAGTCTTTAAAATCCAGCCTATACTTTATAAACCTATCCTAAAAGACCCAGTTCAAATGTTGAACTTCACCTGAGACAGACTAAATTGCAAGTTTTGTCCACCCTAACTTGTAATGTTCTAACACAGAACACACTCCTCAAACCAAACCAACAAATCTTTCGAATAGCAGGATTTCAAAAAAAGCAATTTGTACTTTGTTCATAAAGTTCAATTCATGAAAAGTTTGACATTTGTTCCACATTTAATCTGAAACAGATGGACAGAATGTTTAAGTCAATCCAAATTCAGCAGGATGAACTCTATTGATTCAAATCTACCATGAACTTAATTCTCTCAGCTTAGTTCAACTCATGTGAAGATCGACATTAAAACTACATCAAAGAAGCACTAGAACTCAACTTACAACAACTACTGTGTCTTTTTGTGGTGGAGTAACAGGTTTTGGAACAAACTGGTGCTGTTGCCAGTGTTGCCACATCTTTTGATACTGATGTTCATTTTGTTTTCGGCCTGTACGAAAAAGGAAAAAAAAAAAAAAAAAAAGGTTAAATATAAAGTAACCCTTTCACTCCCAAGATCTCGTTAGTAATAATCATTGTAGTCTGGCATGCCATTCTTATGTTTTTAGAGCTGAGAATTTGGTATTAGATCAACTATCCTTTAACTGAAATTTTCTCATATTCTCATCACTTGTGTGCTTGATATTGTATTGATGTCTTGGTCACTCATGAGATTTTTAAGGTTAGACTAGTCTGAGCTCCTTAAGAAAAAAAAAACTTAAAACCAAGACCCTTCTGAATTGTATCATGCATCTCAATACAAGCTGAAAGTATTTTATTTTTAATCAGGTATCTGAAAAAAAAAAAATTGAGAATCCACAATATTTTTTTAACACAACCCTGTGTCTTAACTACATGGCCAGTGGTCAATTATGAGACCAAATGTAAACTAACATTTCCTCAAAAATGAAGAGAAGAACATTGCGAGCTTAGAAAAATACTTGGATTACATGTGAAATGCATCCTGTAAATACCTGGGCCAATATCAGAAGACTGCACCACAGTTTCCACACTTTGGGAGCTTGAATAATGTTCTACAGCTTTCTTGAGTTTTTCAGCGATTTCTGCCAGGTCAACGTTCTCTGATCGGAAGACTTGACGCGCAATCCATGGCAGGTTTGACACATCTGCTAGATTCCTTACAAAATTAATAACACTTGAGATAATGATGTCATTTGCTGGGAAGATGGGCTGATGCTTTTCCTTCACCTGAAAATTGTGACAGATTTGTATTTAAAAAAAGTCAGTTATCAAGACAAAAATAATACTCTAGAAATATCTAATCAAACATTTGATGTGTGATCACTGATAAACAGTAATCAATAAATGATGAGTATCATTGTTCCCTTCACCCTCTACACCCTAACATTGGTATCCATATTCTCCACACTGTTCTCTGTATACTTCCTGGTAACAACAACGAGAATTTGTTTGACATCAGTCACTCTTAGGGGCTAAATGGTTGATATTGGTTTTGTTTCATGAACTCTTAACATCAGATTTATAATTACCCATTCTGGCAGTTATGAGCAATTCCTAGTCAGAATTTTGTATGGTTATAACTCATTGCCTGATAAACATGCTGATGACCAGGCAATGACTTCATTGTGACAAAAAATTTGATAACCCTAAATCATGATTACTAAATATCCAAACAAATGCCCTCTACTGTTCCAAATAATATTTTCATGATATTTGATTTTTTAAGGTCAAAGATTTTGCCATTTAGTGATTGTTTTCATGCTTCTCATATCCTTTTCATTGGATTTAAAATGGGTAATGTGGAAGAAACTGTGTGATAGACACTCTTGAGAGTTCAACGAAATGATTCTTGGCTGCAAGAGTATTTCATTTTAAACCAAATAATTACAATAGATAACACATAAAATATGAAATTGACTGATTTGTCAGAAAAAGGGTCAACTTGAGCTTCCTCCGCAAGAATAAGAGAAATTGAAAAATAACTACAAAAGTTTATATTTTGAATATTTTGCTAAGCCTCTACCAATTAATTACATTCAATAAATCATTCATGAAATTAAAAATTAAAAAAAAACTAACCTGTACTTTTGCTAAGGGATGATCCGGACCTAAAAGATTCCAGTAGAATGAACCAAGGTTGTCTTCTGGAATAAAAGGCGTACCTAGCAAACTAGCGAACAATCCTAGACGATCGTGGTGCAGTTTCAGTTCGTTCAGGACTGCTTCCCGGTTGAATCGCATCGTAGTAATGTCTTTCTTGGAAAATTTTATGTGATCGGCGGAAAAATAATTCGGAACGTCAAAGAGAAGAAAATCTGCATGATGGCCGATCACACCCGCGAAATCCTCCCCTTGGCAATAAGTCGCCATCTCTTTGTGGAGATCGTCCATAGACGTACACACTGAGACACCACAGCTGAGGAATGCAAGTCGAAGGCACGTGTCCACAACGGGTGGTGGAAAATATAGTCTTTTTCCAGGATAACAACTAAATTTCATGACATGATTAAGGATTTGCCTTGTTAACTGTCTTTTTTCGTTTTGATTTTTGATCCATTGATGTAACTTTGATGATTCGCCTTCGCCGTCAAAGTAAATTACAATTTCGATATTCTGTTGGCGAAATGATCTTGTGAAGTTTTCTACATTTCGCAACATTTCATTCCACTGTCCTCCACAAACCCAATCTATAGTTGGCCCATAAAGATGTTTTAAACAGCTCCTTGCGTCGACGAGCAGAACCGGAGCCTTGTCCGTGTTGTTCACTTTTTTCCCATAAAGAACAGCTTTCAGATCGACCTGCTGGCAAGCTGTGGGGCAGTTTGCTTCCACATACTCCTGTAATCCCTGGATTCCCATCTTAACTCAATGTTTCTAAAGAAAATTTCCACTCCATTCAACCTCTACGTGGATTAAGCATGAGGTTATTCTGTACCATGTATCCAACACGTGTTCTCGACCGCCATATTACACTACACTTGCAAAGCAGCGCGGGAAGTGCAAGCATTGAGCGAACTGCCCGGGTATATTCATGGGATTCATTTTCGAGCCCAGTACTCCTGCAACTATTTGTTTCTATGGAAACACAAAGCGCCTGAATAAGAAATATTTCTCAAACAATCAGCTTCCAAAAGCACGCACTACCTCGGTCGCTTAATTTTCCGATCTATTAGTGAAGTTAAGATGCCACGCGATCCTTACCCTTTCCCAAGACTTCAGAATGACAGCGATTTTTGTGGACAGCAAGGAAAACAGGTAAACTTTGCACAAATTTTCAAATCACGGTAGTCTAATCTCGAGAGATTCCTGTCTGTAAAAGTTCCCAAATGTTTACATACATGTTGCTGTTACTAGGATCAACTAAGTATGTGAAATCGCCTCGCCAACAGTGAACAAAAGAAAAGGGACAGATACTGTAGGAATGTTCCTTCTTCATTTTTATCCAAAAACTCACGGAATGTATTATAAAAGGATAATAGCCTTTGAAAATATCCAGCGAACAAAGCTGTGAATTCGCATGGCGACTATTCGAAGTTTTAATTGACCAGCCAAGCGATTTTCAGCTTCCGCAGACACCGATTTCATCTTTAAAAGTATTACTTAAAGTTCTTCGTAAACAGCAATGACAAACAATATGTGTTTACAGCGTATATAGATATCCAAGCTTAAGATAAATCTAAGTCTTACTTTAAAAAAAATGAGATTAAAAAAAATAAGTTCACGATATTCATGAAAGAAAAAGAACCTTTGAATAGGACAAGAGGCCAATATTCAGATTTTCAACCACTATTTTTTTATTTGGTCTTTAAGGTTAAAGAGAAGGGAACGTTGATGCAGGAAGGCCAAGAAGGAACACCGTGGGACAGACTCAACAAAACAGCAACGCTGGCGAGTTCCAGGAGAGAAGTCTTTCATTATGATCCACAGGTGCAACTTTTGTTTATTTTTACACTAACAGTTTTGCATGAATATCTTACTTCATAAGGTAATTTAAGCCTCATTAATAAACATTCGCAAGCCATTTATATGTAATTTACTTCATCAAGTTCTCTTTTCTGTCATATATCAAAAAAGGAAACTTAATGAAGTGAATTACCTTTGAATTGAAAGCTTGATTACTTCCCTCAAGAAGCATAAAGTGCCCTTGTCGAGTCCTAGATACCAGTAAACTTCGTGTTTTGCTGAGTAACAGCCCTGTCCTTAAGCAATCGGCTGTGTCTAAATGCTGGCTGAGTCATAGATTTACAAAGGATTTCCACTTAGAGGTTCTTTCAAACTTCTGAGGTGTATCGAATGTTTGTTTAGAAATGCGGTTACCAGGCATTTAGACACTTTTTTATGTACTCAAAAATGCATCTAGCTACCAAGAGACTAAGAGGAATGTTTCTGCTCCTCTAAAATTCACTAGAGAAACTTGCTATCATGACTACTGCTAAATCTCAGCTCTAAAGCTTTTGATCTCATTTGCCTTTCATTGCAGGCACCAAATGACAGCTTGGATTTTGTCATCAAATCAACATATGACCATCACCAAGAGTTCCTTCATTCCAAAGCTGAGACTTTGGTACAACCAGAAACAGCTAATTTACCACATGGGTAAGGCATTTTTGTTTTGTTGAATAAAAAGTAACTTCTCTCCTGTAATATGCACTCATTACATTGAGAGTACACAAACTTATCAGGTAAAAGTTATTATTTTGATCCAACACCAAATTCTCATAATTAATTTACAAGGAAATGTGCAGCAACTACAGTGGAGAATTGACATTCAGATCTTAGGTGTTCAAGGGAGAAACACCGTGTAAGAGCTGTGTCACATGGCCTGATTCTTTCGTGTACCAATGTTGTCCTGTTGGACTCAATATTTCCATACCTCTTTGAAATTACTTTGAAGGATTTTCACTTGAAAGTCAAGGATATTTTTGGCAGTCAATGTTTGAACTATCAGAAATACAGATGTATATATTTTTATTTTCATTACTTAGTTGTTTGGTAAATAGCAACTTCATAATTTTTCAGAAAATCATAAAAAAAGGGAAAAATTAGAAATATATCTTAAGAGAATTAGATGTTTGTGGAGATGAGGGCAGTCCTGTTTCTTGAACTGTAGTGGGCAAAATAGCTGTAACATTAGCCTGTAACATCTGTTGAATTTTACACTAAGATGTTTTTACATCATATTGGCATAGGCGTGTCCTTAAGAATAGACCTCCTCCAGAAGCACCAGAAATTGACCTCTATAAGCTTCCACTGATGAAAAGCACTAGCGTACAGCGGCAGAGTATACACAGTATAAATGGTGCTATTGGTGAGTCTGGGAAATTGTCTTTTAAAAACTTTTTCATAAGAATTGGAGCAGCTTCAGTACATCCACGGTTTTTGTGTGTAAAAAAATTTAGCTGAAATTTTTCCCCAAGTGTCATCTACAACCTGTGTCAATATATCTGTCCCTGTTTGGTTTGATAAACCAAATATTCAGGAGCTCCTTTAAACTTGTGGTTACTAATATAGTATCTATTCTACAATTTGTCAATCAAAGAATCAGTTTCATGACTGAGGTTTGTGGTTTTTCGGACAAAAGAATTTAGATCTTAAAAATTTTGGAGCATAATTTGTTTTTGCTTTAAATAAATGGTTGTGAATATCACAAGCTGAAACTCCAACTTCTGTCCTATCATATCACCATCCAAAAACTCCATATTTCTCTACTACATGTGGCAGGCCTGAAGTGATAAAGTATAGCAACATAATTCAAATTCTTTGTTGCCTTCTATAGAGAGTCACCACAGTGCAGCAACAAATGGCGGGTACTCTAGAAAACATGATGGAGGATTTTATACTTGTTAATATTCTTTTCTCCCTTTAACTAACATGAAAAGCTACATCAAGAAAAAATCATTGTACAAACATTGTGTGTAATTGCAATTAGTAATCTTTTAATAAGTTAACATAAATTTAGTGTCTTTTCTCTGCATATCTTATGGTTTATTTTACATTATTGTTTTGTGGCCTCTGTAAAATGACACTTTTCACTGGATGTGTACTTATTTCATAAACCAAGATACAACTCACAATGTTCACAGATGGCCTCTTTTAGTTTAAATCTATGTAAGATGCAAAGTTATTCTTATAACAATCCTTTCTTGTCTTATTTCCACAAAAAAATTGTGTGATACTACAGAAAATTCTTTCATTAATGTCACCTTTTAATTAATAGACTTGAACTGTAAATTTTAACTTTCAAATATAATTGCTGATTTCTTATGGTAACAAATGCTAAAAAAATATTTTGAGGGAAAAAGTTGCCCCAATAATAATTTTGTTATTTTAATAAAGAGAATTAAGATGGATACTGCACCAGTAAAACATTTTTTCTCTGGAGTCATCCTATAATGTAGGCTTGATTTCTGCCACTCTCTTGTGTCTGGTCTTTGCTCCTCCCCGAGAAAAGACTGGGGTGGAGGGAAAGGGAGGTGCATGGGCCCATATTCCTGAACAACAGCTTGTAAGCAAGCCTACCTCTAATGCAACCAAATAATAAGTTATAGGAAAATTTTTATCTTTTTTTTAACTTTTTCACTTGACAAGTCAATTTTGAAATTCTTAGACAGTGAAGAGTAACAAACAAAACATAAATCTTGTCTTGATATCAAATATCCCATGGCCTGGTAGGCATGTTCTCAATATTTCCACTTTGTGCTGCTGCAATTTCCATCTGTTCTATTCTGATGGAGTTATACACACAGATAGGACAGGCTGTTGGCAAGAAACCGTCTTGCCTGGAGTAATACTTCAACAGTAGTTTTGTGGTATGCTTCAAAGGCATCACCAATTCTGACATTCGTTGCTGAAATTCTGGCAAAATAAACTCCTGGAAATACACTCTTGGAAAATGATGGTTACATGTAAACAAAACAACATCAGCCTGCAGTTGTGGCTCAGTGATCAACTCTCCCTCTCCTCTCCACCCTCTTTGTTGAGAAACTGCCGCAGATGCTATGGTAGCTGCAGCAGTCATGGATAAGGCAATATATGGGTGTTTGTCCAGATCTTTTTTGATATTGTCTAAGATCTCTTGCCAGAGATGTTTCTGTGCTGCATGGAAATCTTTCAGTCGAATGCCTGCATCTAGCTGTGCAAATGGCTGGGCAAATGTTTCATCTTTTGAGGTCGGAGAATCCTCTGTACTGCTGTACCTTGCAAGAATAGATTTCAAATCTGAAGCATACTCCTCACCCAAATCATCCTCTTGTAGCTGATGAACCACATGAGTAACAACTTTGTTGAAAAATTCAACAGTAAAATTTTGTGGCAATGTTTTGCTTGTATCATTGATTTCTGCAGAACCTGATCCTTGAGCATCCTTGTTTGGTGTGGAAAGGAAATGATCTCTGAAAAGTCACAATAATACTATTTAGATGGTAAATTTTGGAAACCTTAAGTTTAAAGCTGAAAAATTGATAAAGCCTTACTTTTCTGAATTTTTTTTTTTAAGTTAGAATACAAAGATTAAAATTGGATGAATTTTATGTTGGAATCTAACCTTAGGTCATGCCACCTATAGATTTTATTGTGACAGATGAATGGAAAATATCACAGATTTATAAATTAGTTCATGCAGCATTTTATATGAACTTTATTTTGCAACTGGAAAGTTTTTTAAATTTATTACAGCCTATTTATTTGGAAAATAAATCTTAACTAAAACTGTAGGCCTTTATAGGATACAACAACCAAAATTACCTGATTAACACTAAACTGAGAGCATAGCCAAGGATATCTAAATTCTTCAATAAAAATCCTTCCAAGCTCTCAAATGGGAGATTATTGTGAGTCCAAAACTGCAAAACCTATAAAACATGATCAACAGATTCAATGCAGATTAAAAAAAACAATAGCAATAATTAATAATACTATATATAATAAATGACACATAACAAACAACAAACACAACTAACACCTTAATTGTGTTAAACCCTTTAAAGCTTCCAGAGATAGTCATCACTGACATCACTTTTCCTCCACAAAACAGATAAATAACTATCCAGTGGATAAGTATTATCAAAACATACTGCGCTATCCAACAGATGGACATTTATCTAGTGGCTGGCATTATCCACCCTTCCCACAATTGGGGCCTATTGTACAAGAAAATTGATGCCAGCTACAGAGTTAAAGGATTAATGAGGCACCTCTTGTAACAGCCATACAGTCTGTTGTGTCGACTGTTCTTCATTCATTTGAGCTTCTGCGAATTTTCTGAGAGTAAATGCAAAATGTGGGAATTAATTTCTTTTCAACAGCATAACTTTACATCAATGAAATCGCTTTTATCATATTACTGATCATTACCTGATAACATGATGCATGATGTCAAAAGCTGACGAAAGGAGTTTGTCTCTTATTCCATCACAAGATGCAGAGGTGTAACAATCATTAAGAAATCTTAAACTGTAGCCAAGGACCTAATAACAAAGGGAAACTCAACTTTACTTGAAGGTACACTATACAAAAATTGTTACCTATCCACCAGGAGTTTTTTTTTCTCCAAGTTTTTTAAATATAGCAAACTTTTATCATTCTAAAGTTTCATTCTTGACTATTACAAAATCAAGATAATTTGGTTGATAATTTATTAACTAAGTTTCAAAGCTGACATTTCAAGCACAAGCCCTTCCTCCTTCACTCTGATGAAGGGCTACTGCTCAAAATGTCAGCTTTAAGCCTCTTTTGAAACTACTTCCCCACCAACACAGTACCACAGTTTCTTTAGAAACTTAACCCTTTATTAATGAGTAAACCAGTTTTCCACAAGACATAAGGACTTAAAATATCAAGAAATAATTTCTTCAAGGTTTGTAATTATTTTTTGTCAGTACAACATACCTGTGGCCAGTCACCTACAGTTTCATAAATAACTGCAGCTGCAAGATAATCCCTAATATCCAAACAGTGCCTGAAGAAGAAAGAACACAATAAAGATGCCACTCAAAAATGCATTAAAAGATGTCATAGTAGATATTAGGTAACTTACATATAAGAGCATTACCTAACAATTAATTAGAATATGTGAAATGATACCAAGCTTAACTTTTTTGTTACTCTTCTTTTAACATTTCCTTTGGTACTATAAATTAAGGAATATATATTTAACAAATCAAAGCTTCTTAGCTTCCTCTTTTTGGATTATCTTGATTTAATGAATGTTTCAGCAGTAATATTACTGCTAGGAGATATTAAACATTGGTCACTCAGGATTTACAAGCACACTGTTCACTTTACTTTTGATGCAGTTGAACACAATTTAACAGAGCGAACAGCAAAGAGCATCAGTGTTCTCTCACTAGTAGTTATTGGTTTTTGCAAATTCCATATGCTCATCATTTGAGTGTTTTGTTTGTGCTTTGAGCATGAATGTTCAGTGTTGTTTGGAATGGCAGCTCATCATCTAGACAGTTTATTCAGAGTGATGGGTGCCTACTTCCCTTTCCTGTGTGGGGGCTCATGGCTGGGTTGCCAGGATTTGCCAGCCATGGGAGCACTCTCCATCAAGGAGATAGCAACCAATAGTGGAAGCTCCTGAATGTCTCAGGCACCCAACCTCTACTTAGCAATGCAGTTGTTAATTAGTAATTTATCATTGTGTACCTGATCAATGGCTGTGCAGGATACTGATCACTCAACTGACGCAAGGTGATGGAAAGAGCTTCTCTGCCATAAGGCACTGATTTATTGCCTGAAACCAAATCCCAAAAACATCCATGTAACAAAGAATGAAAGATCAAAAGGGTAAAGTTAAAAAAAAAAATAATGAATGCATTGTATCATGAGGATGATGAAGCTGAAAATCAACCAAGTCAATTCACAAAATATAATTTTTTTCATTTTATTTATCAATTACAGATGCTGATCATAACACAAAAAGTCCTCATACCGATTGATGAGAGATCTGGTAAATCCCACACAATATCCACATCAGTGTTTAAATCAGATCTCAGAGAATGCTGAAACAATTTCTAACTGTTAGTAATGACAACAAACTTGAAATACATCACAATTTGGTTTTTCTCAACTGTGTTGATCATGATAAAGTAAACAGGCAACCACAGAGAGTTGATGTTTCAGGCATAAGCCCTAAATCAGAGCAAATGACAAAGGGCTAGTGCTCTAATGATGCAAATTTACATTTATTTATCAACTTAGTTGATAAATCAGTTCTAAAGTCTCTTGTAATACCTCCACCAACACAGCACCACAGTTTCTTCAGCAACTTACCCTCTTTAACTATTTGTGATACCAGTGCACCACCAAAAAAAGTATATCTTTTGTTTGACCACGGCTGAGTGGACAATGTATGGACTAAAACATTCGCCATACAAATAAGCTTATTAATATGTTTTTTTTGAAGATATGTTGAAATCAAAATGAAAACAGCAGCATGGTTAGTTATCCAATGAAAGTTGATAAATCTTACCTCACTTGAGATGGAGGCCTTTCTGTTCATTGGAGGGAGACTGGTTAACTGACAAGGCACAGAAACTTCCTTCTTGCCAACACCATTGGTACCAAAATCTAATCCCAGCTAACAGTAAAATAAATCAAACTGTGAGATTAAAAGAAAGCATGCAAAATCTAATTACAGGAAGTATGTGCCAAAAATCACCTGATAGGCAGATGTTTAACTTTAAAAATTTTCCACTATTGTAATAATTTAAATTTTCACATGATGCTTGAAAATGTTGGAAACCTGCAATCACGACAAGGTATTCATTCTCTCTCATTTTCCGTAATAACCCTTTGATCCCTAAGAGTGACTAACATCTAATTTCTCCTAACAATATCACCCCTAAATCAAACACCAAGGTCATGAGAACAGGGAAATGATCAAAAATTAAAGAAGTTTTTGATTGTTAAACACATTCTCCTTGCCAGCACCTTACAAACTGTATAGAAAATAGTATAGAGAATGTGCTCACTGATGTAGAGGTGTACAGGATTGAGCTATAAAATTTTAAAGTACACCTGAAAACAATCATTGATAAGTCATATGTTCACTCACAACCTAACAATTATGTTACTTGGTATTATCAGTCCTGAGTTGATCACATAAATTTGCCACTGTAAAGAGTGTCAAAGCTGACCTTTTCAGCATTACCCCTTCATGAGAGCGATGAGCACTAAGCTATTATAGTTATGATGCTCTGACGAAGGGTAAACACTCAAAATGTGAGCTTTGAAACTCTTTACAATGGCCAATTTACATTATCAACTTGGGTCATAATTACCAAAGCAGCGAAACACTTTCTTAAGAAACGTGCCCCTTTTATTCACTAATAGTTATGTGTTTGATTCACTAATAATTATGTGTTTGATTCACTAATAATTATGTGTTTGATTCACTAATAATTATGTGTTTGATTCACTAATAATTATGTGTTTGATTCACTAATAATTATGTGTTTGATTCACTTACCTGCCCTGAGTCAGCTCGTCCCCACACCCACACATATCCAGCTGTATCCATAGCAACAGAAAACTCTGCACCAACACTTATAGTTGTAATACTCTTGCTTGATAGTTTGTGAAGTAGTCTGGGGGTCATCTGATAAAAATTTTATACAACAAAAATTTAGTGACAACTTGGAAAAGCTGCATTAAACCTTGACAGATTCATTGGTTCTTAAATTAAAGCTTGCTGAAACTTACAGTAATAATTAGTTGATGAGAGTTTTAACTATCATGCACATTTGAACAAGCACTTTTTTACACATCATCAACATCATCCTCTATCATCAAATATCATACAGTTTGGACACATTCAAGTTTGACACAGGAGTTGATGATAGTTTTTGCCATTTGACTGAGCTGTTGAAAATGCGTGATCATAGGTTTTTTTTTGGTAGCAGTTTTTCCAAAAAGTGAAGTAATGATACTCTCTCAGAAGTTACACATGTCCCCCACGTTCCGTTTAAGATACCATTTAACACTTCAGTCATACAACTGCAGATCTTAGAGGAAGGAAAAAAAAAACAGTGGAATTAAATATTTTGCCATTTATTCATAAATAAGATCCATGTACGAAAGGATTTGTTTTGATATTAATTGTTACAAAATGCTTTGGGTAAAAAATTTCAGATTAAGCTAATAACAAACCTGTGGTTCCATTTTTCCACCAAGCCCCAGTTGTCCATAATCATCATATCCCCAGCTGTAAAGTTGACCAGACTCCATAACTACCATGTAATGCCAATTGCCGCAACACACCTGACAAAACAGTTTTTAAAATTTTGTAGTACTCTCAAACTCTGAGGACCATTAAAACAAGCCTGAAACATAACCAGAAGAAGCAAGAAGCTACTGTCCACAATCAGACACAAATGTCCATTTTGGAAAAAGCTAAAATTGGGTACTAGTGTAAAAAATTGAACACAGGTGTCTAAAAAAATTCACCCATGTCCAAAACTGGACACTATTGTCAAAAATTGGACACTAGTGTCTAAAATAAGACAACAGTGTCCAAAATAGGACACTAATATCTTTAAATCAGGCATAAGTATTCAAAAATTGGACACTAGTGTCTTTAATTGGGCACTAGTGTCCACACTCAAACACTTTAATTTGTTCTTTGCTGGAGCACAGTGTGGTGACAATAAAGTGTCATACAACAGAACAAAACATGTTTACCCTGGCTAGGTCTCCAACAACATGTACCCTTTGATCTTAAGCCCTGTATTGTTTTAAACATGAGGCTACCACATTCTCTGGCCAAAGGTGTATGGTCCAGTACATCAACATATGATATAGCCTAATTATTAAGTACGGCAATATAATGACTACTCTTAAAATTCCTTTAGCCTTTCCTTAAAGGTTTGGTATGAGTACATATTCTGCAAATCATTCTAAGAACTTTTAGAGTTGATGGAAACTTACATCTTTGATTCGTGATGAAAAAGTACAGTCCAATCTCACAGGCAGTAATCTGTGTGATGTTGCATTGGAAGGAAGTGACGCCTGTGCTGAGCGTTTTGATCGATACTCCTGTCTCTGAAATACATAATGAAATGATTCTCTCTGAAACTCTGTATTCACTGTAGTCTAAACATTGGTGTCAAGTCAAAAAAACCACGATTTTTATTATCAAGCCAATGACAACAGTTGCAAAAATTTAATTCTGCTCACCATACAATATCTGAAAAAGTGTGGACTTCTTCCCCAGTTGAAAATTTTCTGGTCTTCTGTGATAGCCAGCTGAAAACAAAAAAATTAATTATCACCCACAGTAAATCTAAAACCAAAATTATTATTACTTTTTGTACCACAATTATCCTTTTTTCTGGCATGAGAAATTTAGAAAGAAATCTTTTCCTGTAACAAATTTGGTGCAAATACTAAAAAAAAAAACCTAAGAATAGTTGGAGATAATTGTGAAGAACAACTCTCTGAAAACCCTCTCAGCTGGCTGTGGGCCGACTGTCAGCTGACTGATGGCCAATAGTCCGTGGACTGTTGCCTGACTGTGGCCCAACAGACAACCAACTGTCTGCCAAAAGTTTACACTCACTGTTGGCCAACAGATGGCCAACAGTTGGGCGGTACACTGTAAGTGATCTGTCGGCCAATAGATTTTATCAGGGAGCCTTTCTTCACAATTACCAATTTGGCAATGTTACTTACAGTTTCAAAGGATCCACAACAAATCAAGTATACTTTCTCATGCTTCAATGTTTCCACAAGCACAGGAAGTGTCTGCTTACTGTTGGTTCCCAGCCCTAACTGACCATACAATCCTATGTCAAACAATCACCACAAGATGCATAAATTACCTAGGCAAGTGTTTTTATAAAATCAGAGATAACTAACCTAAATATCATTGAGGAATAAAGGCAAGTTAGTCAATTTTGAAGAGCGAGACAATGATACATGGATTTGTATTTTATACTCAGTCTAAACTATAAATTAAACTTGATTTAAAAAAATATCAGCAGATCACAGGGAGGGTATCTATAAATCTGCCTAAAATTCAGCATAAGGTTTTGTTCAATTGCCATTCAATTGTTGGTCTCCAAAGTTTAATTTTTTGAACAATACTTTACTGCTGATGCTTTCCCAAAATGAACAAAACACAAACCAATTTGAAACAAAAATACATATAGGGGATTTTATGTTTAATGCTTGACTGGGAAATACAAACCTCCTCCAAATGTGAGGACTTGTCCCTAAAAAAAGAAATGGTTTTAAATGAGGTTGGAAAACATTGCCATGCTTTCATTTACCGTAATAATTCAAATGTATGGCTTTTACTTGATGTGGGTCCTATTAAGTTCTTTCATGGCTGCAGAGTCTCTTGTCTCGTAACCCAGGTTAGTAATACTCATGTCAAAATACAATGTTTTGGTCAGGGCACAAAACTCACTGGGTGGGAGACATAATAAACTAATAGTTTGTATGCGAGGCTCTAGATCACCAGGTCCATGTTTTAACTCTTGTTACATCATTATCATGTTTGCATGTTCCTGGGGAAGACTCTTTTCTCTTACAGTGCCTTTTCTCAGTAAAATGGATACCAACAAACTCTAAGAGAAAACCTAACACAATGCTAAAAAGAGGGGGGGGGGAGGAAAGGGGTAGCCTTCTGTGTACTGGCATCCTGTCCCAAGGGGAACACCAGTATTCTAATCACTTGGATTAGTTCTGGCTTTGAATATTGCTCTGCCACTGCATTTCATCATTCAAAAAGAAGCTTTACTTATTCAGGTGCAGAATTTATAATAAAAAACCAAAACCAACCTGAGCTGTAAGTACTGCACTGTGTGAATATCCAGCAGCTAGTGCAGTCACTTGATATTCATCAAGTGTTTGCACATGTGTTGGCAGGAGAGCATCTTCAATGCTACCCACTCCTAACTGTCCATGGACACCCCATCCCCATGACCACACCCGGTGATCTGCTGACAGAGCCATAGAGTGATAGTGTCCACACATAACTGCTATACATTTCTTGTCCGACAGCTCAGTAATGTAAACAGGCCTTGTCTGTTGCTGCATGTCTCCTTGGCCAAGCTTTACAACAAAATAACACACCATCATTAAAACTATTTTTGCGAAAACATGAAATTATTTCCAAATAATGCATTATCTGATACAAAAATTGTCACTAAAAAGAGCTTGTTACCATCAAATGAAACCAGATAGCTTACACCATGGGAAATTTTTGTAGGAATTTCATATACTAGTTAAAAACTACAAATTAAACAGTCAAGCACTTCACAAGTGACAGTCAGGTAGCTAGGGCTCTGCATTTTTAAAACTAAAACGGCAATCTTACAAGGATGCTGATAACTATATTCCCACTGCTGTGTTTCCTACCTGTCCATACTCTGATGATCCCCAAGAATACACCTAGGTGAGGAGAAATAATAAAATTAATGCCAAACATATACTTCTTCCCAGCTGCCCTCACATCAATAGATTAAAATGTATTGAGGAAATAATCAAATTAATCCATTACACATATTTCGTGCAAGCTACCCTCTCATCAACATATTAATATGTATTTCCTCTTACTAAGGATATGAATCATGGTTAATGGTTCCTGCCTAAGATGAGGGCAGTCCTTCTTTAAGTCTGCTGAGAGGGTTCAGCCTGTATTAATGTATTATTCACATCAAAATTTCAACTCTCTTGCTGAGATGAATGAGCAAAACTTCTGATCTTGATCTTCTTGAGAGCAAGCAACAGGTTCATAACTTTGGCTAGCTCTTACCCCATCACTGCAGAGAGCCAATGTGTGTTCCATTCCACAAGCTACTGACAACACATTAATCCTAAAGCAAAGAAGATAATTACACTCTGCTTAAAAGAGGAGGAAGACACTGAACCAATCAGTCAATGGCATTCAATTTGCAACCAACATTACATCAGTAAATTAAAAGAACATCATGAGAAAGATAAAAAATCATTCCTGAAGCATTTCAAAAACATTTGAAAAACCAAATCTCACTTCAATAAAACCAACCTGTGCATGTGGAGAATTTCAACCCGAAAAGGAACAGATTTTCCTTCTTCCTCAATTAAATCTCCATGGCCCAATCTGCAGCAAGAAATTTGGAAGAAAACATTTATTTGGTTATACTCCACAAAATCTAATCAGCACATAAAACCAGAAATGGTAAATTCTTGAGCATAGATAAATACAGTGGGTGGGTGAATCAACCCTGTTTAGCTAGCAAACACTAACCAGAGGAAGACTGAAGGCACATCCCTACTTACTTGTGCCACACCTTTAGAAACTTGGTACCATTTAATAAATACCAGTAGTAACCCACTGACTACCCCATTATTGGGAATACCGACTTGAAGCTGTCCTGTTCCCCATACAAAGTGGGAGTACTATATATCATGTGGTTTCTTCTCTGAATTAACAACTAACAGTAACCTTGTTAACAGAAAAATATTTGTCAATGTTGATGCTGTAAGCAGGTGCACAGTGATGATTTAACATTTGGCAGACTTTCATTGTCATAAATATAACTGCATTTAATTCTGTAGAGATGTTTTTTTGGCAGCACATGTACCTTCCTTTTGGCGATCTTCCCCAGGTATAAACATCCCCTGATGAGCTAACAACAGCTGAGTGTTGTTGACCACAAGACAACCTGACAGGCCTGCACAGGAACTCCACTGTTCCTTCCTATTATGAACAGGAACAATCATTACTTAGTTTGTAGGGAATAGGAAGAGTGCTACAGAATGTGGTTCACTAAATACCACGATTTAATTAAGAACTCAAACACTTGACATTACCCTCTTCCTTCCATGACTATTTTCAGAAGCTTGGTCACCACCAGAAATACACTTTAATGCCGCAACTCTGGACGAGGACAATAAAAAGTATCAATGACTCACAATAGGGTAATTTTTAAGTAGTATTATCAACTGAGATAGCATTAATTGGCTGCCATAAAGAGTTTCAAAGCTGACATTTCAAGCATTGGCCCTTCATCAAATTGAATCATCTGCTCTAAGGAAGGGGTTATGCTCGGAATGTCAGCTTTGAAACTCTTTACCATGTCCAATTCACGCTATCAACTCAGTTGATAATAGTAGATTACCTTGTTATACTCTCCCACCAATGCAGCACCACAATTTCTTTTAATTAGAAACTTACCCTAATTTATTCAATGACTCACAATGGCCCAATATGATTTGCAGCTATTATTCATGTACTGACAAGAACCTTAACCCTCATTTCAAAGATGCCAACATTAAAAAATAATTTAGTTTTAAAAAACTGGGCTTACATTGCCTGAAAAAAAAGTCATATTTGACCTTTAACATAGGGATGGCAAAAGCACAAGCATTTAAGAGAAGGAGCTGGGGGAGAACAGATCTGGGGGCATGGTCCTAGTGGTTAAAAGATGACTCTTAACCAATCGAAAATGAAAAACGCCTGCCCATCTTTCTCAAAGAAATGGAGATAAAAACTGAAACATGGACCAGAGTAGATGAATCATTTTTGCTGGTAGCCTTCTACTTTTGACATCACCCTAAATTTAAAAAAATTATTGAAATAAAAAGGAATACACACCTTGCATCAGCATCCAACTTGTCATCTCTGAGATGATTTAAAACCAAAAGACAACATAAAAACAGCTCAATCAGATCCTGCAGGGAAGGTTGCTTAGTATCCTCCTGTATATATCACAAAGGAAAAATTCAACATTTATTTAGAAGTTTGCAGAAGGTAAGATCAATGGATCTTTTGAATCTTTGTCATCTTGTTCCAGTTTAGTTCATAAATATTCCATAAAAATTTATCATAACAGCTTATCCCCCCCCCCACCACCTCTACATCACACTCATTCCTTAATCCATAATAAATCCCTACATCTTTTGCAACAATCAATGAAAAAAGTTCCTTCCTTTGGAGATTTCAATGATCTTCTGTTGAATGTGTATGGGTAATTTAAATAATTAAAATGATTTATTGTATTAAAAAAAACTAACTGTGACAGACCTGTCCAAAGCTGACTGTACTTTCAACAGAAAGTACTGAGCTGATTGAGCTTCCAGATATAGTCCTGAAACAAAATGAATGTCAAATATCAGCCTATTTATGTGAACTCTAATCAATAACTATCACTGACAATGGTTGCTTTTATCACTATCACAATCATAATAATTATTGTTTATTACTCAATTGTCGTAATTTGGATTATTGCAGTGATCATCAACATCTTGAACCACTTACACCCTCCAGCTGTATTTCTCAATTGCTATCATGGTAGTGTGCATTACAATTGATGCATGACATAGTGTTCAACTTATTGATTGTATAAATAAACAAACTTTAAGTAAAATGTAGCTTGACATAGTTTGATGCTACTGACTGGTTTGCAGATTTAATGAATGTAACCAAAGAAGTTACAATTCATAGACCCAACGTTTCAACACTCCTGTCTAGTGCCTTCATCAGGGGTGATCTAAACGCTGCAACAAGAGGTCTTTTATTCAACTTTCATGGATGTTAGTCACAATATGTACAGTAGTCATAAATTATTTATCTGTTAAAGTTCCTTGAAAACAACTTCAAACTCTTCTATTTATTGGTTTTACTTCAAGATAAACAAAAACTGTTGTTATCACTTTTTGACACAGTTACTATCCAAATGCATGACTAATCTAAGTCTTTCTTCACCCTTTAACTCCCAAGATCTGATTGTTAATTCTCTCCTCTAGCTGCTACATATTTCTCTATAACTTAGTTATGAGAATTTGGTGTTAGATCAAGAAAAAAACTCGTACCTGATAAGTTTGAGAATTCTCACTATCTCTTTTTTGGATATGGAATGGATATTATTGGGAGAAATTACATGATAATCACTCCTGGGAGTTAAAGGGTTAACAATAACAAATTCTTACCTCTGCTTTGGAGGGCTCATTTTACTAGCCAAGGATCTAAATGAGGGACGAGATGGGTCCAGAACTCGAGCGACATGCACCAAGCTTTCTTCATTCAGCGACGTCAGATGAGATAGAATGAATTTCATATGACTTAAAATAGTTTCAGGCTATACAAAGGAACATATTAAGAAAAATCAGTTCAATAAAAATAATTAAGCAAAATGATTACCCTCCACTTAAAAACCTTCCACATTATGTTTATGATACAACAGTACTGACCACTAAAATAAAAATACCTAGGCAGATTACATGTAGGAAATGATTTTGCCTCATAGTACCTTTGACAACAGAAATGATACTGCATCCTTAGGGTCCATGCAATGTATGAAAGCACCTATTATACATACAGAGTAATTATAAGTTGGAGGTGAATATCAAATAAAGTTAATAACAAATGAATGCATCATTGTTCTTTGTTGGGCTAGCATCTGAAGCTTAAAATAATAAACCTCATAAGTCACAAATTAAAAGCATTTTCAGTAAAATTTTCAAGCATCTTCCAAAGTAAGCATTTTTTTCTTTACTTAAAAAAGTTCTGAACAGGCACAACTCAATAAAACACTTAATGCAAGACCATCCTATCAAATTGAATGCAAATTGATCAAACTTTCTATTCAAGTACCGCAATAAAATCTTTCTCACCATTGGCACTTCTGCTGATGATATCAGTGAACCCTCTAGATGCTAACTTGCCCTGAAGTTCACATGAGAGATGAAACTGTCCTTTCTGTGCAAGCATGTCTAGAGTTTTAGCCATGAGCCCTCTTGCCTGTGAATAAAATATAACTGCCTGAGTCTCAATTCAGTCTTTCCACTAAGATTATTAACAGTGCATTTTGCAACATCATGCAATACAGTCAAAACCCCTGACAAACTGTTCAAATTATTTAAAGTCAGTCTGAAGTTACTTTCCATGATCTCATTTCGTAGGCTTCACAAGCCTCAAGTTTCTAAATAGGATTTGAAGTAAGTGCAGTGTTCTACAGAAGCTACCACAGCTTGCATTTTCATTGGTTACTCGGTTTTGAAGCACTGCCTACTTTAATCCAGCAAAGCAGTGCAATACCCATGATCTTGAGCTAAAAATAATTGTTAACCTTTGCCAACTAGAGTATTTTTATAGCTGAGTGCAGAGAACACTATCTGCCTAGACTGAAGTAACTGGCTGTGACAAATGAAGAAACAAAGAGAGACACAGGCTAGTTGAAGAGAAACATTTGGATAAGTAATTAACCTTCTGACCCCTGAGGGTGACCAGCATCTAATTTCTCCCAACAGTATAACCCCTGTATCACACAGTAAGGTCATGAGAATGAAGGAAATGATCACTAACTTAAAATTTTCTTGATTGATAAACAAATTCTCCTTGTCAGCACCTAAGGAATTGTATAGAAACAGTATGGAGAATATGCATACTGATGTTAGGGTGTGAAGGGTTAAGTGGCCATAAATCCCAAATTAATAGATGGGCGGGGTGGGAATTGGATGTTAAAAGCATTTGCAAGTGCGAATTTTTTATTAGTTTCCCTACACCTCTCTCACTAACCTTAGCTACATCAAACATGAAGTTCTTGAGACCATATGCTGATAGCTGTTCCAAGGCAGTGAGCTCATCATAGTCAAAATTATCATTCAGGAATTGGCTGAAGGAGACATAATGATATTAAAAAAAAGTACACTGGCAATTTATTGATTAAAATGATTGTGGCCATACCTGAATGCTTCAGAGAGTATCTGTTGCTGAACTGCATTTCCACTATGATACAAAACCTGTCAATGAAAGGTAATGTTATAGTTTGAAGTCTGCTATTTCATTAATAAATGAGGCTCACCACAGCTGATACTTAAAAACTCCAGGGTCTAAACTTAACAAGGATGTTCTAAAATACATCAATTGGCAAGAACCTGTTGTATGAAGCAGAAGAGTGTAAGATTGGATAGCTGTTTCCTCTCTGCAATGTGAACATCACTGTGGTTACTGAGTGCCTTGAAAAAGCAAAGCAAAGATTACATTTTAATTTTGATGATATTTCATCAAACATTTAACATCTAACATTTTCTATTGCTGTGTTCCCTTGAATGAAAATTAAAACATCTTTTTTTTAACACAAATTCATTTCTACACTTCCAGTGTTATGTATCTAGAGAAAAAATGACATTTACTTAATTGATGGACAAAATACTTGCGATGAAATACCTCAAATCAACTTTTAATTAATTAACACTTCATCATTTCTACCCATAAATCAAAATACAAATTAAAGCATTTTTACCTGTCTGAGATAAGCGAGGATATCTGCAACCCTGCCATGTTTTGCAAATTGAGCAACACGTCTCTCAAATGAGCACTGAACAGACAAGAAAAACTTTCATGTTACAATTTGAATTTTTGCTTATTCATAATATAGAGCAGTGAAGAATAATTATATTATTGTCCTTCTGGGTAGAGTAGGTAACCACCCCATTAGAGATCAGTCACACCCCCTCTCCCCCCTTACCTTGGATAAATGGTACAGTTCTAATGCATGTTCAAAGTTCTCTTTTTTCAATGCCTCATCACCAGCCATCTGAAAGAAAGATATTAAATAATTGCCTGCATTATTAGACTGTTAATGAATTTCCAGTGGACATTTTCCACAACAATCAATCAAAACACTTTGCCAATGGCATTAAGGGATAGGTGTTGTAAAGGTTGTGAAAGGAGGGTATCAATCTCTTTTGGCACTGATCTTAATTAATACCCACAGTATCAACAAGTGGTTTTCATCCCATCACCATATTTACACCAAAAGCGTAGCTCCATTTCCTGCATATAAACATACACATGCAACCCACAATTCCTCCATTCACTCTGACGAAGGGCTAACGCTTGAAATGTCAGCTTTAAAACTCTTTATGGTGGCCAATTTACATTATCAATTCAGTTGATAATACCAAATTACCCTAACAACCTACTTAGCAGAGAGGAGATCATAATTAGCACAACTGAACCAAAGTAAAATACAGCAAAAGTACGCAACAATGCTCTTGTAAACCTCATAAGGGCTTCCCATGTCCCACAAGAGAGACCACATTGACACTGACTGTGACTGCACTAACTTGGTAACAGTAACCCACCCTAGCTACATGATGATAACGTTTAAAATCAATCTGTAAATAGTTCCAAAGCACTATTACAGGAACATATAGTGATGCACACACCTCATACAACTTATTCACATCAAGGCCTGTGGTGATGGCAAGCACATCGGCAGCTGATGTGTCAGCACTGTTGACAGCTAGCTCTAGAAACAATTTCTCTGGTGACATCTTTGGCCTGCATTTAAAAACACCAGATGTCGTGACCAGGGTCACGCCATCCACAGTGTGTGACATCCTACAAGAACTGCTTGTTGCATGTGAATGATCAAGATCATCCACGACAATAACACTCTCCACCAGCTCTGGGTGTTGAAACATGGCAACCATTTTTTCACCAGGTGGTAACACAAAGGTCTGGATGATACTCGACTCTGTCTTCTGCGAAGGAATTTTGAAAATTACAGTCTCTTGGATTACTTAAGTTTCCTTTGACTCCTCAGAGTGACTAGCATCTAATTTCTCCTTACAATATCACCCCTGAACACACATTAAGGTTGGGAGAATAAAGGAAATGATTATGGACTAAAGAAGCTCTTGATTGTAAAACAAATTCTCCTTGTCAGTACAGTATGGAGAATGTGTGTATTGATGCTGAGGTGTAAAAGGGTTATAATTAAGTTGCAAAAATACAACCAGATATTTCTAACTAAAAACCCACAATGTTGAACAACAAACTGTTCTTGCTGCTTTTCAGAAACACCTTTCAACAAACTTAGTAATTATTGATGCGAAAGTTTGGAACAATAGTGTAAAATGATCAAAACTTGAATTCCAATGCAGAAATAAGTCTCCCTGAGTGATTTATACTGAATCCAACAGTATTTCAATGATTCTATGTAAATCATATTTTAAGTTGTCAAGGGACGAGAGTTAAGCTTTAATTACATACTGACATCCAAGCACTGAATGACTTAAAAGATTGATTATATCAAAACATACAAGTTCAGGCAATAGTTATTTGTACAATATAATTTTAAATCATGTCATTCTCAAAATGTATGATACTTGAATTAAATGTAATCAAATAACCAATATTACACAGAGCTGATCAAGCATGGATCTATCAAATGTCTGACATTGCTGTACCTGATGAGTTTTTGGTACTGATAGAGAGGTTTCTGCAAGCTGACTGGACTGGATGCTCAACAAAGTCTACAAACAAACCTAACAATAAATTTCATATAACAAATAGTCTGTAGAGTTACTGGTTGAATGGAAAACATACCACTGAAATAGAGGCCATTTACTGATTAGTTTACATGGTCAGAGTTTCCCTTCTTTAAGCACTACAAGTGGACTGAAGAAATTTTCAAACCAGTAGAACAGTCCTATAACCTAGGGAAATTTAAAGAAGCCCAAGCCATGTTAGGCAGTACTAAGAGGTAAGAAATAATAATAAGAAGAAATTTTCACCAATTTCCATTTAAAGAGGAACATATTCTACTAGTTTTGGACACTAGTTGCTGACTTCAGACAGTAGTGTCCAATTTCGGATACTAGTGTCTGATTTTAAACACAGTTGCTGATTTCAGACACTTATGTCCAATTTTAGACAGTGACATCAGATTATAGACACTTAAGTGTTCAATTTAAGACACTAGTTTCTGATTTAACCCTTTAACTCCCAGGATCTGATTGGTAATTCTCCCCTCTTGCTGTTACACTTTTCCTTATGAGTTAGTTAGGAGAATTTGGTATTAGATATAGGTAAAAAATTCTAAATTTGAGTATTCTCATCACCTGTTTGTTGGATAATAGATGGATATTATAAGTAGAAGTTACATGTTCATCACTTCTGGGAGTTAAAGGGTTAGGACACTACAATCCAAATTTGTACACTACAGGGTAGTGTCCAATTTTTAGACAATGGTGTCTAAAATGCAATTTCAGACACTAGTATCCAATTTTAGACCCAAGGGTCTAAATGAAATTTCAGACACTTGCATCTGATTATAGATGCTAGTGTCCTATCTTTGACACCAGTGTCTAAAGTGCAATTTTATGATCAAATAACTGAGATTATATATGCATTCACTCTTTCAGCAAGCCGATAAGCCAGTTGAAATGAATGCAATATCATTCAATATGCAATTAATTACCTCTTCTGACTGTTCTTGGTGAGTAATGGTAAATATAACCCTGTCAGTTAATAAAACATTGGATGTTCCTGGAGGAAGTTGATACACAAACATTGGTAGGTTCTCTACATCAATATCATACACCTGTGTAAAAACAAAAATCATCATGTATTCATTACAACTGGTAATTATTCATCAACATCTGCATGAGTCTTCTGATTTTCACAACCAGAACTAATCCCAGTTTCTGCAGACTGATCAAGATGACTAATCATTTCCACCTTGCCTAGAATAGGAAGCTAATTTACAGCCACTTGCTTCCCCTTAAATTGCTGGAGCAGGATTCCCAAAGTGTTCAACCTTTTGACTCCTAAGGGGGTAAGTTTCTAAAGAACTGTGGTACTGTGTTGGTGATGGAGCATAACAGCCTAGGATAATTTGGTTTTATTAACTGACCTGATAAATTAATGTAAATTGGTCACTGTAAAGAGTTTATAACCTGATGCTTCAAGCATTAGCCTTTAATCAGAGTGAATATAATGTTAATTGGCCACTGTAAAGAGGAGCATTTACCTCCAGAATGTCATTCTTTATGTTCTGGGCACCAATAAACACTTGATTTCTAGCATACTGCACTGAGAACTGAATAATACCAGTAGAGGTCTGTGAAATCAAAAAGTAAAACTTTTTTGTTCTTAACTCTAAAACTATGATATTATGAATTTAAAATGATGAGGAAAAGTTCAGAATCCTGTCAAAGCCTAAAGAATTTTCCTGAAACCAATGTGGCTTCGTAACCCAGTCGGCAGAAGTGCCCAACCACTTTTAGTATCTGAGAAGCTCATTAGCAGATGTCATAGCAAAGGGAGCATATTCTCCTCAGTTATTTTGAGTGCTCCCAGTCCAGTACTCCCAGTCCAGTGCTCTACAACATGAGCTCACAGATTCACCCTCAAAAAACTACAATAGGAATATCATTATTAATAATCATTTAAATACTACTTACAGTGGTTGGCATAGGTTTTATCTTATCCTGCAGATCACCTGTTCCACTGAACACACTCTCAATGGGTATGGTCAACCTGTTGAGTGTCTCATACCCCATAGCTGTGGCAACAGATGAAGGGCTCTTTAACTGTTCTAAGCCTGTTTTCTGCATGGACTTGTACTCAAGCTGCATCTGGACTGTGCCACCAGACATGGTGTTGATCTGAAAGCATGAATATGTTGTTATAGAGCTGGAATTTTTTTCCCCAACAGCACATCCTCTCATGGGGTCAGAAACTCATATGCATCACAACATTAAATAATTTTATTGCAGACAGTAAGGAGAATTAAATAAGATCTTGGGGTAAAAGGTTTTTTTTATAACAGCAGACTACTTTGATCATTATATTAAGATAGCTACCTACCACTTCAGACCACAAAACTACTCAAACTTACATTTGGAATTGATTTGTTACTATTTCTCTCAGTTACATATAGTACATGGGCTGTGGTGGTCAAATTAGAGGGCCACAATTCATTGTACACCCTGCCAAATTCAAACGTTTGTTTGAATTGAAATCTTCCCCCTCTAGATAATCAACTCTTCAACTCCCAGAAGTGATTAACAAATAACTTTCCCCTATAGTTAATTAAGATTATCCAACAAGTCATGAGAATATTAAAACTTATCAGATAGATCAAAGTTGTTATCTTGATCTGACACCAAATTCTCATAACTTATTTACAAGGAAATGTGTAGCAGCTAGAGGGGAGAATTAACAATCAGATCTTGGGAATTAAAGGGTTAAAACCAGAGAAATACTAATTAAAATATGTTATGATAACCCCATTTTCTTGGTACATACTGAGTTATCAAACCTTAATTTTTCAGCTAGGATTTATATTTAAATTGGAGAAGAAAAAAACTTGCTCCAAAACTTATAGTAGGGATCTCAAACTTGGTTAGTAAGAGGTATGTTCCATATTGATGTGTTCTTTACCAGTAGTGAAGTTGTTTCATGTTGTTTATCTTGCATCAACTCAAAGGACTTGATACCCTCCTTAAATTCAACTGCAGCTAACATCACTTTTGACCTGAGATTCACAAACAGTATTTCACCAAGCTAGAAAAAAAATAATAGGACTGGTCATTAGCTACCTGAAAAGCAGATGTCTCTGTTAGAAAGCTAACTAAGGTAAGCATAATGAAATAAGAACAGTGTGCTAAGCTTCCAAGTTTGACTTCTGTCAAAGTAGGAAAAAAAAAGGGGGCCAAAATGACATTAGGAAAGGTAAAACAGGGTTTGTACCCTTTTTCAAAAAAAATTTCAAGGACCTTTCCAAGACTTTACCAAGACTCAGGCTGATTTTTCCTGGATGCCAAATTTCACTTTTAACTCTTTCATTCCCAGGATTTCAAAATCAATGCTCATTACCATCTACAAAAATTACGTTTCTTATGACGTAAATTCTGAAAACTTTTATCGTTGCTTGACTTAATTACGCACATTTCCTGGATTTTCAAGGGCCTGTAGTTTTTTCCCCAGGACTATTCAGTCCTGGAAAATGTCAAAATAAAATTCCAGGTTCTCCAGGGCCTGTACAAACCTGGTAAAAGGTACGTGCCTGTTAAGGCAAACAAACCTCAGTTCCTATAACAGCAATGTGCAAATCATCTACTGTCTGCCACCAAACTAGATCAGATGGAGACCCTACATAAAAACATAGTAATTAAGTATTATCAAGTATTGCTAACACTGCTGATAATGTAGATTGGCCACTGTATGGAGTTTCAAAGCTGATGTTTCGAGCCCTTTGCCATTCACCCTGACAAAAGGCTAAAGCTCGAAAAACGTCAGCTTTGAAACTCCATACAGTGGCCATTTTATGTTATCAACACAGTTGATAATACTAAATTACCCTGTTATACTCTCCCACCAATGCAGCACCACAGTTACCCCACTTTATGTTAAAAAACAAAGACAGAATAAGACAACAAGCTATGATTTGCTGACCAACAGCATAAAAAGGCCATGTTTGCAAAAACACAAACAAAAAAAAACCATTATCAAGTCTTCTGAGCTCAAAGATGGCTTGTGTCCTTCCTTATTCAGTGCTTTCCTCATTCAAGAAAACCCACAAAAAATGCTAAGAGTTACCTGAAATTGTGTAGGAGACATAGGGGGGAACTGGTGAGGTTTCTAGATTCCAGATTTCTATATTCCCTTTAAATAATAGTTTCCGTTACTTTACAAAACCCAGCTGAGAATATGCATTAAAAAGTTTGATAAAGTGTCTGACCTGATGCATGAACTCTTTTACCAGTATTTTAATAGGTCAAATTTGTAATTCTCCCTACTGTCAACCATACAATTCTTATAATGTTAGTTCAGAGAATTTAGCTCTGGATCAACTACTTATCCCCAAGTTGATATTTTTCTTTATTCTCATTACCTAGCTGGTTGATATTGTATCGACATTGTAAGGAGAAATTCTGTCTTGGTCACTCATGGGAGTTAAAGGGTTAACAGTGCATTTCATTTACCCAAACAACTGAGTAATAATTGTTAGAGAATATATTTTTGATCATTTCTTATTGAAATCCCTGTACCTCGTCTGTCACTTTTGTAAATGAGTGTTATATCATCTGTTGGCCAATACTGACAAGACATCTCAGAATTACTCTATAACAGTAAAGGAAGAAAAAATCAATACAACTCTAACAAATTTGACTTTATGAAAAAAAATCCCCGTAAAACAGTTAAAACTTAATTGCGAGTTAACCAGTAAATGACCAGAAAAAAATATTTTCTGAATTCCTTTACACTATAACATCAATATTTACATTCTCTATACTCCTCTCCCTTCATTTCATTTGGTACTGACAAGGAGAATTTTTCAACAATCAAAGCTTCTTGCTACAACCATACATCTTCTGTGAAAAGGAGTCTGAACACCTGACTCATACACTGTTTATCTTACCTGTGTGATTCCAGCTACTGGTATAATATACAGGGAGCCATCTACACATGCACAGACCAACCATGAACCTGATGGGTCAAGGGTTATTATTCTGATGGCTTTAGCAGGGTTCTGTTGAGATTTAATCAGGAACACAGTTGTATAAATTTTAAATCAGTGTTAATTAACAAACTATAATTCATATTGTGATTTACAGTGTAAAGCACTTGTAAGAAGATCAAACAACAACAATATTCAAGTACCCTAACTCCTTGGCATTGTACAAATCCGTGTCCAAAACACTATGTTTAATTATCATTTGATTGATTAACAATACTTCAAAATACTTATCAATACCATGCACACCTAAGCCTTCCTTTTTTAATAGCATCGTCATATTATTTTGTGAAATGAAAATTTTTGTTTGCAGCAGTTTCTTTAGCAGCATTAGACCATTTCATAAATTTTGGAGTTTTCTGTTAAAACTGTAAGACTAGCATGTATCATTATGAAAAAATGAAATGTAGCTCAAGTTTGAAGAAACGAATATAGAAGCAATCCTCGAAGTTATGAACACTACTTATTAAATGACTAGTAGTTATTTAATTATTATTAAAAAATAATTAAGGCTCATACAGGATTTGAACCCATGACCTCTGCAATAACGGTTTAGTTTGTTACAAAAAAAAAAAAAAATACAAAAACAAAAAAAATCAAAATAAATCTTTACCTGGTACCAAGAAACTTGCTTTACAACTGAAGCAGCACCTTTCTCCTCAGCACGCAGTAATAAAGATCCTACACATAAAAATTTAAAAAACAAATACAAGGTTTTTCAAGCAGCACAATAAAACACTTGGTGTAAGTTCTGGGAGATTTATATTCTCTTAACCCTTTTCCTATGAAGCATGACTAGCATCTAATTTCTCCTTACAATATCACCCCAGAATCACTCATTTAAGTCACGAGAATAAAAGAAATGATCAACAATTGATGAAAAAGAGCTCTTGATTGTTTTAACAAATTCTCCTTGTCAACACCTTAACAAATGTATCAAGAACAGTATGGAGAATATGCATACTGATGTTAGGGTGTTAAGGGTTAAACTTACCATTACTACAGAGTAACACCATCAAATTGCGTTTGTCATCTTCATGAAAAGCAGCTTGTTGAATGGAGGGCAATCGTTTGATGTCATCTACAAGTAATGGGAGACATAATGGAGTCAGTTGGTTTGCATATTAAAGACGAGTGAGATATCATTTACTCCTTTATCTCCCAAGATCTGATTGTTAATTCTCCCCTCTAACTGCTACAGATTTCCAGGTAAATTAGTTATGAGAATGTGGTGTTAAATCAAGATAACAACTTCTACCACATAACTCGTACCCTTCTTGACTCAAACCTTCCACAAACCATCATCGATTAACTTCCCTTGGAAACTCTATCATGGATTTATTGTTAATAACTTTGGTAACACAAAACTTTGATGACCTAAACTATCCACCGACTCAAACCAAAATCAATTTTACATTATGATGGTTTCCAACATCATTTATTGTCAATAATTTTTTTAACGATGGTACCTCCAACCCTTGATAACTTTCTATAAAAAACAGCTGTTTCATATCGTGCAGAAGACAAGGACGTTTACCTTTGGAGAGCTGCTGAGAAACACGTGGACGAACCCTCAGCAAACAAACTAACTCGAACAGTTCAAATGCCATCTGAGAGAGCTCGCGGTTACAACTGGATGAGGAATTCTGCATCCGTAGGTCTGGAGTTTCTGCTGATAATCAGCTGATTTCCACGAGTTTTGAACAGGAACGGATCATACTGAATAGTGGAGAAGTCCTCGCTTTAAAGAAGTCTTACATGATGATACCTTACAAAGTGATAGGCCTGATCAGTGGAAAACATGTTATCATATTATCAACGTCCTCAGCCGCCATCTTGAAATAGGAACGAGGAAGACTGGAATCTATTGAAGCATGGGGTCAAATTTCGCTTTCGAGTCACTCTCACTCAGTACTTTAACGGCTAACACCTCATAATGATAATTAGCGTCATACGGCAAGAGTGGTAGAGTGCGCTTGAAAAAGATCAAGGAGCAGTCGTTGCTAATCGTCTGAGGGGTCAGAGGATTTTTTTTGGGGGGGTGGGTGGTCACATGCATGGTTTTTCAAAGGGAACAGAAGGAGGTCAGTCGTCGCTAGCAGGGTTTAAAGAGGGACCTGCATCCCCTTCCACCTCCCCTCCCCTCCCCTCTTCTCTCCGTAGGGAGCATCTTCCATAATGCCACTTTTTTTGGACAATTGGGATTCATTTGTCCTTCCCCCGCAACGCCGATGGTGCTCCTCAATCAATGTTTAAAGGGTAACTCGTGCGAATAACGAAAAATGCGTCTGTAAGTTCACAAAATTCATTTAAAATTGAAAACCAACAAAAGTGTGAGATGTGACCGGGATGTGATTCTTTGGCATCTCAGAAAAGAAAAAATATTTTTTTGGATCGTGTTGTTGTTGTTTGTTTGTTTGTTTCGATGTTGTTATTGCTGTTGTTGACGGTTATTAAAACAGTAGCAGAACTTTTGTTACAATTCCTCCATCACAAATGTTTTCAAGAGGCTATGTGCTCACATGACGTCAGTGAACCCTTAAACCTCGAGAGCGATTTTCACTCTGGGAGGTTCAGCTAGATCTGGAAATGTCATACTAGTTTCCTCCAAACCCATTATCTGTAGTCAATCAACGACGACCCATAACACTTTCTCTTTCCTAATTGAACGGTTTGGCTTTGTTTGACCCCGATTATGTTCAGAAGGAAGCTGTGACTCTGACGTAAATGCTCTCCGTTCACACAAAGAAAATGTAAATGTAACGCAAGCTATTACTTATTCATAAGACATCCACAAAATTTTGCATATTTTTGGCCGCCAACATGGCCTATCAAACAGGTCAGCATGCTAAGAATTTATCGAACTGAGCGTGGCTTAAAAGTCCTAAAGCGTGAGAAAATGAGCAAAATTCATTTACTTTCATTTGAGTGGCCTCTGACAGCAGAAAGGAAACCTGGTCGATAGCTAAGACCGTAAGTATTGATTTATATTGATTGTACACTCGATGATGAAGTTAATTTACTGGCAGATTTTTCATATATTGTCCATCACTGGTGTAGAACTTTGAAATCATCCCTCCTCAAGTCAGGGTTTCTACGAATACACATCCAGGGATAAACCTGTAGACTCTATTTATTTATACTCTATTTATTTACAGTTTCAATTGCTTTCTCGAAAGAAATAATTCCTGTTTTGAAGGTTAACACCCGTGTCCAGTTGTCAACAGCTTTAATTTCCTCCAATGCTGGACATTAGGGACTTTGAATACGCAATAATTCTGTTTCTCTGCAAGCCAAGTTTTTACAGTACAACCAACAATTTAAGATAGTCTACAATTTGCATTTCAGGCCATCTATTAACAGCTATAACGAAGACCTGAAAGATCTGAGTTTTCAATTCGAGCCTCAATTGAGGTTTACTCCGATTCTGTCAATAGCAACTCGTTACCTCGATGATATTTATTGCGGAACCACCGAAAATTCGTGCTTTGCGCAATCTGATAACCTGTAAACAATTGTGCTTTATTGTGTTACACGGAGATCGGGTTTAAAAGATAGCTGGCTATCTTGACATACGCATACACCAGCGAGTTGTTATAACTACTGCGAAAGCAAACAGAGCCACAGATTAAAAAATTATATTTATATATTTTCGTAGATCCAACAAATGAACGCTCTAATCCAAAGTAAATGAAGTCTCACATTTCGCTAGTATTCTCAGACTTCCTGTTCTTTGTTGAAGAGTGTAAGTCACATGGTTCAATAGTTGCTACGCAACCAAGTACTCAAAATGAGAACCTGTGACAAGTAAACAAATCGGAAATTATTTTCATATCCGAAACAATCGGAAATAGGGCTGCTATTTAATGGGAGACTGGCCGCTGTTAAACACCTTAAAAGCCTTTCAAATTCATACTTCTCCAAAGGTCAACAAAACAATGGAAGATTTGCGCAAAGAAGCATGACAGATCAATTTCACGCCATATGCATGCACGTATTCAGTCTCGTCCTTATTAAGCCCCTTGGAACACATTGAGCGCTGGTGAAGGAGAAGTGTCTGAAAAAGCCTCATGAAACATGATGAAGAAAAAGCAGACTTAATTATATTTTTTGTGCGCGGAACCTTTCTGAGGGCGTTGGGTAAACAACTGGTTTTGGTCGCGGTTTTTATAATGAAACTGATATGTTTATCAAACGAGAAGGGACTCCGATATTTCCCACAAATCATGCTCTTTTTTCGTAACCTTTGGGTAAGGTGTCTCGATTACCTTCCGCCGTTCGGGAAAAGAGCTTGCGCTCACCGCCTCTCCCTTCCCTCGAAGTCACAACACTTCCTTCTCAGAAGGATTGAGGAACGGTCTCAAGAAAACGGTGGAAAGCGGGCCTAGAGCTAAAAAAAAAATACGTGATTACTACGTTGTCTTTCATTGTCACGAAAGAAGGTGTACGCTGATTTCTCGACCACTAACAGCCAATTATTTTATCTCATAGGTAGAGGTCCTAATTTAGAGGGGTCATGGGCAACTGCGCTCAAAAGGCGCTTGGAACAAGGTCCCTCCTGAGGGAGGACCAAGATGAGGCATGGAAGGCCCAAACACGAGGAAAACTTGAAAACAAACTTTACACGTTTGTGGACCTCAAAGGCCTAGGGGGCAGCACCGAATTTGTAAAAGTCTGGAAGGAAAGCGGCAAGTTAGGGTTTGTGAAAAAGCTTCAGGATGAAAAAATTCTATTACCTTACTTATATGAACAAGGAGAAGGAAAAGTACTTACTGCTGAAGAACTCAAGGAATGGCGGAACTCAGAGGTATAGTTATGAAACAGCTCGCGATTCTTCATAAATTGTGACCGTTCACGTTTTTGTCTCCTAATTAAACAATGAAGAGTTAGACGACTGGCTGGGGTCTCTGTCTTTCACTGTCTGCAAAGCACGCTGCTATATTCCATCTTTCAAAGTATCTTACCCAAGATTGCTGTGGCCAGTCTGTGGTACTCTACATCCTGTTAGCTTCTGGCCTGTATCGCTCTTATTTTGAATGATGTATCTGTTGACTATGCTTTTCCTGGCGTTTCTTTTCGGTTCTTTTGTTTCTTCGTTCTTGCGCTCTATCCTTTTTAAGGTGAAGGTTGCTAATATCAGACTTTCACTAACATTGATCTCAACTATGTTTACTACTTCTCAGCCCGAAAGACACAGGACAACCGAAAGTCGCGATGATTCACTTCACGCACCTCGTAAAGCTTGCTGGTCTCTGGCACACCGTGGGACACTGGGGGAAACAGCGCTGCACCTGTGCTTCCTTACGAACAATAAGACTATGACAGAGATGGCGCGTGCTCTGTTGGAATTGTATCCTGCAATGGCACTGGACCAATACGAAGGCCATGAATACCGTGGTAAGGAAAGAAGTTATATTCGATCATTTTTCTCTCAGCTCAGGGGCTATTCTGTAATAAGGAGCCTTTTTAAGAGACTCTAAACAGAACAGAGAATTTAAATGAAACTTGAAATTTATGGCGTAAAAGTACGCTAAAGAAACTCGGCGAAAGTTCCAAGCAGTACATTGAAAAAGTTCTTGGTAGGACACTTAACCCAACCAACTTACATAAAGCGTGCGATCAGGATTATGACATATTCAAACCCTGGCTTTTAATTACATACTTTTTCAAGGTATCTAGAGGCTTACTTGGTTCGCCCCATCGAGAAAGGAACGTTATCTGCCATAAGGACCTAGTTTAAAATTTGGGGGCGCGCTGGAAAAGTTGAAGGCGAACTTGTTTTATTTCAGGGGGCGAACTCGCGAAGGTGGTAACGGGTGGAATTACTATGGGACAAAATGTCCATAAACCCTTTGCCATCAGCCCAGCTTTCCATTGCCAGTTTTTTTTTTCACCAGAGTTTTCATAGGAAAATTAAGAGGAAGGAGGCATTGATAAAAATATTTTGCTTTCTTATTTTAGGTGAAACGTCTGTTCACATCGCGATAGTAAATGGAGATCTGGAGTCACTAAAGCTTCTGATTGAGAAATGCAGTGCTGATGTTCACGCGCGCGCACGAGGGAGATTTTTCATGCCAGAAGATTGCAAGGATAAAATGAAAACAGAGACAGACTATGATGGTGAGTGAAAAGAACTCCCCACCCTCCCCTCGAGGAAGAAAGTTCCCCTTAATAAAGCTATAGACGTACAGACCGTCTCAAACGGTCAGGTTTTTGGGGCCACATTTATTTGAAAATGGTATGAACAATTTGGCGAGCAAATAACAGCGGAAGTCTTGAAGATTTATAGCTTTTCTATTAATTTTTTGATCGTCTCAGTTGCACAGAAGACTGGTATGGGCTTCTATAACGCAGGTGTATCAATCGTTCTAAAAAGTGCGCTTAAGAGTGGCTAGTTACGGTCTCTTACGAAACTTGCTGTCAACGCCTCCCTTTTGACGTCTCAAACGTTCAAAAATGTTTTCAACCGACAGGTTATGCTTATTACGGCGAGTACCCAGCAGCCTTTGCCGCATGTTTCGAGAGAGAGGACATGTACGATTACCTTATAAGGAATGGCGCAGATCCCAACAAGCAAGACACCTTTGGAAACACAGTGCTACACTTGTGCGTCATACACAACAAAATAGTAAGTTAGTTTATAATTTAGTTTTTTCACCGTTAGGATCTGGTTCCTCAATGGGTGGTTAACGCTATTTGCAGCTGGATAATTCTGTATCCGGCGGATAGCGTGGCACTTTTTGTTAACACTTATCCGCTGGATAGCGATTTACTGGTTATAAATATAGTTAGCGTTATCCGCCTTTGAGCGACTGGACCCGGGGGCAGACGTTCTTCATATTTCTACACGGAACAAATGTTACCAAAGAAGAAAATTTTGTTATTTTATTGATTAAATCAATCTCAGAATTTCAGCTGGTTTGTTCTAACTACGCTATGAATGAAAATCTCGTAGCACAGTCTATATGTCTATAGTTGTAACATTCAAGACGGACAGATAAAAAGTTTTAAAATTTAAACAATGAATGATCAGAAAATGAAACAAAACCGCTGTTTTTTAATCCGCCATTCTATTTCTCAAGTTAGATGTGTAAGGTTAGATTAAGTTTTTATCGGTGAGGCTTCGGACGCGTTTAGTCACCGATTATACCAAATGGTACCAAGTGATATAGTAAACTTACATTTCTTTTATAGGACATGTTTCTTCACGCTACGCGAAGGAAGCACGTGATCCCCGGCAATACGTTCATAAAAAATGGCCAAGGACTTTCCCCCCTGACACTTGCTGCTAAATTGGGACGAAAGGAAATATTTTATATAATTCTCGAGCATCAAAGCATAGTAAGTTATCCTGGCTTTACAACTGGTGAAATTTAGTCCTTTACACCCCAAAATCAATGTGCAGATTCTCTAGTCTGTTCTCTATAAATTTCCAAAGGTGCTGACCAGGAGAATTGTTTAACAGTCAAGAGTTTCTTTAGTTGGTGATCATTTCTTTTATTCTCGTAACCCTTATGTTTGACTCAGGGGTGAAGAGATTGGATGGTAGTTATTCTTAGGCGTTAGGGGGCTAAACTTTAAGAATTCTACGCTAAATTTTTACTAACAACTGGACTAAGTTAGTGTCACAGGATTATCATTATAATAGTTTGCAGCTTTTAATCGATCTTAACTCTCGTATGAATTAATTTATGAAAGGAATACTGGACGTATGGACGCATGACATGTTCGGGATATCCGCTGGAGGGTTTGGATTCCATTGACAAGAATGGTAAATCTGGTAAGTCAGATAAAACTTGTGTAGAGGGGGTAAGTTTCTAAAGAAAATGTGTTGCTGCGTCGGTGGAAGAGTATAACAGGGTAATTTAGTATTGTCAACTGAGTTGATAACGTAAATTGGCCACCGTAAAGAGTTTAAAAGCTGACGTTTCGAGCGATAGCCCTTCGTCAGAGCGAATGACGAAGGTGTAACGCTCGCAAGGGACTGAGTCGTGTTTGGTTTCAGTTTTGAATCTGGTTGGTTAAGAAAGTGGTACGGGTTTCCTAGTTCCTGGACCAATCACAAAACGCAGTGAAGCAAACTAGAAGCGAAGCAGGATTACTGAACACTTTCAATCGAAAATTGATGAAACGATATCAGGGCTTACTTACATTGTGTTCTCTCCATCATGATTCGGCTTTTATTCCCGTCTTGCCTTCAAATTTAACCTAATCCTCGAGCTCTGTCGCCTCGGCCGAGCCTGACAGGAAAATGGTGCGTCACATGGGGAGACGCACCGTTTTCCTCTCTCCCCTCTTCTTAATAGCATTAGCACAGACAGAATGAGTTTGGCATGTTCTGTTTTATTCGATGTGTCTTTTTTTAGGTGATGACTCAGCATTAATTATTACACTAAATGGGAAGAAGGACGATCATTTGGACATGCTGAACAGCGGTATCATGTATCGCCTTTTGGAAGAAAAATGGAAAGCTTTTGCGAAGGTAGGAATGCTGAATTCAATCGAGGGGACCTTTGCTTATGCAGACAAAAAATTTCGTTAATATTACACGGGCTTGTTGAATTGGGAAATGATGTGGGAGAAGAGAGAACTTGAACACAGAGTAACACAACAGCCCCTTCAACTGTCTTTAGCAAATAATGAACTCTGGTGATTTCCATTTTCATCGCAGGGCAAGTTCTACAGGCGACTGTTATTCGCGGTGCTTTACCTTGTGGTTTTCAGTTTGGCCATTTATCTTCGTCCACGACATCTTGATCCCAAGAGAGTAGAGACTGGTACTGATAGAGTAAGTTTCCTCATGGGAATTGGCAAAACGTACTGTTGTGAAATGGAATCCATAATTTTTTTTTCTTTTTCGCCTTCTTTTCCCAGCTTCCTCTGTTTAAAAACGGAGAGCCTTGAAAACAGACTAGTAAATATTGATACAGATTTTCCGGTTAATTAAGCACTTTTTATCCTCGCATTCGAATTCTTAGTTTCGCGTTGTTGCTGAAGGCTTCACAGTTCTTGGTGCGTTTATCTACTTGGTGCTGGAAATCAAGGATGTGTTGATAACTCAAGGAGTTCAAGCACAGATGAAAACTTTGGTATGAAAATACTAATGATAGTCCCGCTGATCTAATTGAAAATATTATTCATCTATAAATTATTAATCCATGTATGATAGAGTGGTTTTCAATTGAGTGTCAGAACACCCAAAACAAAGTCGTCCCAGAGACCAATCAGAAGAGAGGTTCACTCTATAATTAGCCAATGAGAGCTCAAAGTGAAAACAGGCAAACTGCTGGAAGGGCGGGAAAACGCACATGACTAAATCGCGATCGTTTTTAGTTTTGCAACTGATTGGTTGAGAAGATGGCGCGAATTTTATGGACAAATCACAGAGTAAATTTGAAAAACAGCAAAGCAATTCCAGATTTCTTTCGACACTCAGTTGAAAATTTTCTCTAAATGACTAATGGATTGGTACGAGGCTTTGTACCAAAAGTTCTCAAGGTACCCCATGATATGAAATTTAATAGAAACGCGCATTTTAGGATACAAAAGGAAAGAGTCTTCGACATCCTTACGAAAACTAGCGCTTTTTTTCTCATCGTTCGCTTTAGCCAGACTATAATGATTCATATTCCATAGTGGCTGATCCAATCAGAACAAACTAGACGTATGATCCACCGATCCGCCAATCATTTCCCTTAAAAATTGCATAACATTTAAAGTGCAAAAGACACCGTAGTGGACCAACATTCTTCATTCACTGTCGCGAAATGGCTATCTTCATAACCAAATAAGACTGATATATTAAAAACTTGATGAAGAAATTCTTTGCAACAGAGGTTCCTTATTTAATGTCATGCAAACATCTTCTGCAGCGTGACGCACCAGGCAAAGCGATCTTTTTAGTATCCTGTGTTCTCGTTATCCTTGCGTTACCATGCCGTTACCTCGGAGAACACCAGGCCGAGACTACTATGTTAATTCTTGCTGCTCCTATGGCCTGGTGCTACCTGCTGTTTTTCTGCAGGTGAGTCACAATTAGCTTTGCATGATGGGTAAAAACTACTAAGTACACAATTTAGAGCAATTTCCAATTGGATGTTGAAAGAGATTTGAGATTGCATTGGTTTTGCTTTACCTCGTTCTGTGATTGGGTCAGAAAACTAACGCCACTCTCTCCACCAATCAGATGCAACACTAAAACCAATGACGACTTGGTCGCCCGCGTTTTCCCGCCATTTAGCGGACAAAGCTTGCCTGTTTTTACTATGTGTTCTTATTGGCTCTTAAATATATTTTTCTTTTTTCTGATTGGCCGTTGTTTTTACTTTGGATTTGGTTTTACGACAATCAGTCGAAAAGCGCTCTATTTGTGATGGAGAAGAATTCCGTTGGGGAGGGGGTGTGCACCCATCTCTCACTAAAGACTTTTAAGGTTAGGAGGGCACCGTCTGTTGATGGTTCATAACTTAAAGTGAATGCAACATTTATGGTAATGTTCCAGAAAACACTCTTGTCTGTCACTTAATTTGCAGGGGGTTTGGAGCAATCGGTCCTTTTGTAGACATGATATACAGGATGTGCGCTGGAGATATGACCAGGTTCTTCATCATTTATATTATCTACGTGGTGGGGCTTGCACAAGGTAAAACAACTTCGTCAGCGATATACGACGCGTAGTCACATAGAAGATGACTATGGTCATGGCTTCTATGAAAAAGCGTCAAAAATGGAAAAATATGCTTTGCCTTCAAATTGCGCTTCAAGAGAATGATAATTTGCGAACATTTTTCGATACATCGACAGCAATAAACTAATTTTTGTTTCTGTGTGGTATATACCAAAAGTGTCGGTGAAAGTGGTGGTAATTTATCTCTATAAATGTTTAAAACCAGTATCAGTTAAGAAGGAGTACATTTCGTAATGAAGACCGTATTAGGGTAACTCTCAACGATACATGTCTTCATTTCATTGTAATTAAAACTGGTGACTAGTTTTTTTAAGACCCTCTTATATTTTTTTCGAAGCCTTCTCACACGTGATGAAAGGGGTGAACGGATTCACGAACGAAGGATTTACCATCATGACGCTAATGCGCATGACATTTGGCGAGTTTGACGTAAGTTGCAATGCGTCGTTACCTAATAAATATTATTCATTTTCATAACTACGTATAGAGTAAACCAGCCCCTTTCACCACTGGAAAAATGCAACACATTAACGGTGAAATCCTAACAGAATGCAGAAAGCTCGTAACATGAATCCAATTTAATGGCTTAAATCGAAGTTAGCACAAGTTTCCATATCTCAGTGGTCGAACATTCGACGTTTTGATTGGGTCATACGTTCTCCTCTCAGCGAAACTCATAATTTATCCTTTCAAAGTACTCCATAGTCACTCTCCGAAAAACATCTCTCTTTTGCCGATCGAAATTGTTCGGTTTTGTCATGTCCTGATAATATTTTTTTGTTCCGGTAGTATTTTTACGAAGCAATTAGTGATTTCACAAAATGTTGTTTTGCGGAAGTGCATTTTTGTTCCCCCATACATCCAGTGTTCCTTAGCTTTTACTGATGTCGCAGAAAATTTCAAAATGGTAGTTATGTGTCCATAATTGCTGACTTCTGATCTTTTGTCTCTCCCCAGTTCTTCACGTTCGAGAAGTCCCGGCATCCTACACTGGCCAAGCTTTTATTTTTCTACTTCATGTTGTTCGTCACGGTTTTACTCATGAACATGTTGATCGCCATGATGGCAAACACGTATCAGAATGTAAGTAAAGAACCGTCTGACGGAACACACGAGTCTGACAAATCCTTGAGGAGTTTGCATTTTGAGCCTTGATTGATTGGAGAGATGGCAAGTTCTGAAAGTTAACTTACCCTCGTAGTGCCTCTGTCTTCACCCAGGAGTGTAAGTGGGTAGTGGCAATTTGTCACGGAAACCTGAGAAAATGCTAAGGGAAAGCCTGCAAAAAATGCTGGTAAGAAACCAGCCAAAATGACGGGATGACGTGATAAAATACCGAGGGAACCCTTAACAAAATACTGTGGGGAAACCTGACAAAATGTCGCAGGAAATCCTGACAAAATGCTTTAGGGAAACCTGACTTAATGCTGTGGGATAACGTGAAAAAATCCCGGGGGGGCACCAACAAAATGCTGTGGGAAAACCTGACAAATCATTAAGGGGAAGCCTAACAAAATTCAGGGGGATAACCTATGATGGACTACGATACTATCCAGGGGGAATTCCAATACCCCTCATCAGTACATACCATGGAAACAGCGATAAGCTTGGGAAGTTATTAGGCTCAACTTTGTTTCTGGTTTTTGTTGTTATTGTTGTAACCATTTTGTTTCTTGTTTTGCTCTTTAAATTTGTTTACTTTTGGTGTGGTAGATCTCAGACCGTTCGGCCAAAGAATGGAGAAGGCAGGTGAGATTTAAGATCTTTCAACTGATAATTAGTTTGTATGTACAAAAGGTAAATCCTCTTCAATCGACCACGCCAAAACCAATGCATTTGCTTCTGATTTGCGGAGAAGGTGACATAAGTCTATTTATAAAGTCAATTGCAAAGTCTTGTGACCTAAACTCATTGTGATTCCTAATTACTTAAAACATTCCACCGAATCCGAGTTAAAATCCGGGTGCGATTGTTTTTTCACCCAAGCGATAGTATGTATATTCTCCATACTGTTCTCTATACATTTCTTAAGGTGCTGACAAGGAGAATTTGTTTAACAATCAAGAATTTCTTTAGTTGGTGATCATTTCCCTCATTCTTGTGACCCTAATGTGTAATTTAGGGGTGATATTGTGAGGAGAAATTAGATGCTGGTCACTGCAAGGGGTTAAAGTATTAAGAGAAGCAAAGTAGTACCTAAAGGGTATGTTATCAAAGTTCGAGGATAAAAAAGGATCCCTAAATTACAATACAACCCAACCCAATACACAAAATTATTTTATTACTACTGCGTGTCTGACGGGTTCGGGAAATAACTTCTGGGCGCGCGAAAGGGCTTTTGATGAATGACGCACTGCAAAAGAAAAACGGATCAAATTGGAAGTCTTCGTCTAATTGTTAGCACGTCATATAAACTTAAGAAAACTTTCGTTTTCCTACACTGAAGTTAAGACGAATTAACGACAGATAACGAGAGATTGTGGCGCAAAAACAGCTTGAAATGTTTGTGAACTGAGAAGTAGAGTACAGCCCCCTAGGATGAACAGTCGCAGTGTGCATATATATTGAACATACCGATGAGAGATCTGTGGTTTTGTTTTTAGTGGGCACAGATTATCATGGTATTAGAACGTTCAGTGAGCCCATTGGAGCTGAAAAGGCTACAGGATGACTACTCTGTTAACATGGCATCGGAAGGAAGCGAAGAAAGGCGAAGGGGATTAATGGTGATCAAAAAGAGCAGCTTGCCAAGTAAAGCTGACAAACGGAAAACCGCCATCTTGAATTGGCAGGTAAGTCTTGATCTGAAAAAAAAAATTCTGATAATAAATTTTCCTGACAGAATGCTTTCAATATGTATTTCCCGGTTTGAAAGTATGCAGGGCGTTTCCTTCGAGCATTCTACTACGATATCGGAAGGTGTTTGGTTCTGTTCCTTTGGGAGAGACTCAGATGTTTCCTTGTATCACTTTTGACAAATGTTTATCATCTTTCTCTCTCTTTAATAAGTTTACATGAAGTGCCCCCTCTAAATATACTGGCGAGTAAGTACATAGTACATAGTACCATAGTACATAGTACCATCTTCCCCATAAGAACATTTCCAGAACAAGTTTTGAAAGAAGTAATTAGCTCCGTTCCAATTCCTTCGGTACGAAATATTTCGTAAGGCTTAAAATCATTCTGAAGCGAACCGCTCAAAGAGTAGGAAAGAAATACCACCGCTCCTTAAAATAAATAGCAGTTAATTCAGCATAACCGTAAAAACGACGTCAAAACCTATCTTACTAAGCACATAAACCTGTTATCAATTTAAAGTTGGTATAAAAATACTTATACGTTACGCCTATAAACGTACGGTGTTGTTAGTCAAGTCTAAGTGATTTTGAGTAGAACTCTCTTTTAAATGAAACAGAATTTAGTTTTACTTACTGGTTGAGTACATCTAAGTGTATCTAGAACACTTCTGGCAAAGGCGGTTAGTCTAACAAATGATTTAACCATACTAAAGCGCAGCTCTTTATTTCTTTAAAATTAATACAATCAAATTCTAAAAATTTAACGTTAGGCTGTACTCAACGAGCTGAGGTCTGAGCAGGCCGACTCTGAAGGAGGCAGGTAACATAATTCTAAAAACAACCTGCATATCCTTTCACCTGCAACTTAAACTTCACGCACGCGCACTTACCTGCAGAACAGTCCGCTACTGCTTAAGCGAGTAATAAAGGGTTGGACGTGTGGGGTTGTCCCACATGGATAGCCATGACATGTTCAATAGAGGTGTCTTTTGATCTTCTTAGGACTGTTCTGCAGTCAGCACTCAATTCCAGAGTAAACGTTAAAGCTATAATTAAAGTGTTTGAATAATTAATTTGCAAAGAGAGTGGAAAAGAACAAGACAGCGGTCGCTTGAAGAGAGGCGGGGGCTCGGACAGAGACAGCTTGCACTTTAAAACGGCGACCGCCGTTTGCCTAAGCCTCTCTTTTGCTGTTCCCAGCTTGAGAGCTTGCAACAGGCTAAAAAAACAAACAAAGAAACAAGTAAAAAAACTAAAAGCCAAGTTAAAAAATTGAAGTAAATTTGACATGTTTAAAACTAAAAAATTAGCTTGGTTCAGTCTAAACGAATCACAGAGCTAAGTAGAGCAGTCCCGTTGCAATCCCAGGGTTCTTTTCGACATCAATGAACAAAATGGCCCAGCCGACCATGGCTTTAAGGAGACGAAGAATCAAGGAATTAGTTCATTGAAGGAGCCACGAAATGACACACAAAGTTGCCGTTATCTGAGAGGGAACTAAAATCAGTTGTTTCGTGTGATAGAGAAAATTGCAAACAAACAACGAAAAATTAATAAGGAAAAAGCCCATTGGTTAAAATAATAAACTTTAAAGCAACAACAAGATGGGAAAGGATGGAAAAGATTTTCTTAGATTACATAGACTTGATAGAAGCCACTGATCATGACGTACAAGGTTATGTACAAGATTAAAACTGTGACGTAAATAACCACTAGAAAGTACCTTAGCCTATGATTGAAATAACATGATAATTTGCATACCATTTTTTCGTATCATTTCCAAATGATTTATTTCCAAATCTTTTTCTCCCAGATTCTTGGAATTGACTCTGTGAAAAACAAACTTCAAGAACAGGCGAAAAAACGGAATCTCACACCAGTATCGACGTGAGCCTCACGTGAACATCACGTGATCAAATCAGCACGCGGACACTATGACGTGGACGTACGGATGCGAGGTCGCTCGATGAAAGATGGGATAGATGGAAATGTGCATTTGTTATAATACCTCGAGAAGACTTTCTCAAAACAAAAATCGCTGAAATAAGGCGAGATTTATTGAGGGAGATATCTCATAAGAATGGATTGAGGATGTAAAAGAGCAAAAAGAACATTTTCAAATTTGGGGAAAAGCATAAAATGAAGTGTAATTTTTTATTCTACACGGGGGCAATTGAAATGTCCTTTTTGCCTCGATACTTATAGTTAGCACTCAATATAAACTTCTTTCAGGGAAATAGTTATATTTAAATGATGTATGATAACATTTGTGAAGGATACACAGTACTCCACAATTTTACAATTAAAATGTTGCAGCAATTTGATATCGAGTTATTTCAAAAAAATTGAATGACTCGCCATTAATGTACTTCTTAGGAAATTTACAGTAATATGATCAATATTTTTTTGTGTTTTATCTCATTCATGTCTTGTATTTTTGTGTGACACTCATATTTTACCGTAGGATAAACTAATTGATATATTGTTAGCGACTTTATCTCATCATTCGAATCTAACGCGAACGTAGCTCTTGCTTTCGAGAGGTGTTGTGATGGAAAATCTCCACTTGAACTCCAGAAAACGGGGTTAGATTCTGGAGAAACTGTGTTGCTGAGTAGCTCTGGGGTATAACATGATGATTTGGTTTTATTAACTGAGTTGGTGATGTAAATTGGCCGTCGTTTTGAGCGTTAGCCTTTCATTTGCTCTTACGTTCTGTAGAAAAGCGCTCTATCGTTATCGTGATTAAACTTCAAAAGACCGGACAGTATAAACTACGGGTCTTTGTACCCTTTATTTTCATCTTCTGAGTCTCTTGGATCTACAAAGACAGAATCATCATCTGGACGAGCTGTGTTACATTCATTTGACGATTCTCTTCTTTGGCTAGCTTCATTGACACTTTTTAGCTCCCCAATGACATTACGCATGCGGTCTGGTGTAGGATTTGGCCCCTCGAGGACGTGATACATTGGCTCCTCTTTCGTGCTGTCAAACTCGACACTCCTGCTGGTAGTAACAGCCTTAAGTTCTTCGATAACGCCTCGCATTTGCAGAGGAACCAAGTTGGATTCTTTTGGGTACGTGTCGTTGCAGGCAGGTCCCTTTCCAGCGGTGTTCCCTGGGCTCTCTAAGAGATAGTACAATGGCTCATTTGTAGACTGATCGAAAGGAGTTGAATCGCCTTCTTGGTGGTTATTAGGGGAGAAGGGGGATGTGTGAGGTCTAAGTGGAATTGCTGATTTGATCACATTTCGCAGCGAATCGAGAGGGTCTCTTTTGGACTGGAAAGTAACTGGAAAACGTTGATCAGTTTCTGAACGACTTGTGTTAGACTTTCTCGAGTTTTTGGGGTCGATGTCATCGGATTTTCTTTGATCCGTTTTGCATACCTTGTCCTGTGGAAAAGAAAAAAAAGAAGATGGAAAAACACTCAGGAATCAAGTTTTAAGAAGCGATGACACTTTTCAATAACTAGATGGCATGAAAAGTCCTTGGTATCACTGAGAATTTTATGCCATAAGATTCTCGGTGAGTAATTTTAAAATACTGAGTAGTTTATCGGTAACTAATTGTTCCCTGGTATCTTCTCGTACATGTTGCTAAAAGCCATGATAAGATTGCTGCAGCAGAGTACCTTTTTCTTTCCTACCTTGGCTAAGCTTTGGTATTTATGTGTCTGGCTCCGAGCAAGACCTTCGTAGCCTGTTTGGTCTACAAAAACAGCATTCCTCTCATCACATCCTTCTTCGTTCTCAAGACTTCGATAGTCCTCACTCGCTCCAGGTTCCCTTGTGTTTTCGACAAGAGGCTGGTACGAGTCTTGAGTTGCGTTTAATGCGTCACTTGGCTCAAGGTCCAAAACCTGCACACCTCGCTGGTAGATGGGATTACCTACAGAGATAGATATGGTTGCGATTGGTGCAATTTTCCATCGAATATCTTTAGAAAAGCAAAACCAAAGCAATCATCACAGCCAATCCGCACAAATGCAAATATCCGGCTGATGACATAAAGTGTATGGGCATTGTGATCCCTTCACGTCACCGTCTCGCCAAACCTAAACCCTGGATAGTTCTCGTGATTAAGTCGCGCTTAGTCATACTAATTTAGCAGCATTTTTTTCTGATCGGTTGAACAGTTTGCGCGAGTTCTTAGAGGCGATCAGAATTAAAGGGCAGTCAAAATAAACCTAAAACAGCTCTGGACCATTTTCGACATTTAATCAAAAATATTTCAAAATTACCCACCGTCAGCGACATAAAAATAATTACAACAACAAATACCTCTAAACCAATACATACCCACGGTGTTTTCTTCTTCTTCTTTCGTGCGCCTATAGAGAATGCATTACATACAGATTTTAAATGACAAAGTCGCACATATAGCTAGTTTAATTTCATCCTAGTTTGTATTTTATTTGTACACATGAAACAACATCGTTCCTTATTTGAACAGCCTATTAGACGAGAGGCTGTAAAACAACTGAATATGTTCGACATATTGTCTTAGATTTGTCCGATTTCATACTGTTTAATTATTTCCGATCAGTCATGATCAGAGATCACACACTTGCGAATGCCAAAAGGGAGGGAAGAATCGCACTTCACGATGTCTTAAATGCGAGATCCCGCTTGAAATCTAGCGAGCGTTAACTAACTGACTCGTCGAGTATCTCGCGCCTTTAACGGGTAACCATTGTTTTATGCAGAACCGCTAAGCAAATTGGGAACGTTAACCCTGACCATAACCAACTACTGTCAACAAGTTAATATTTATATCTAAAGAGATGTACTAACGCGACACTAAACGGGTAATCAGAAGCAAAAAGAGAGACATCCTCATCAGATCTTACCCGCGTTTTCTCTTCAGACAAAGATATATTACCGCACACACCAAGACTTCCAGCAGCAAAAATGTCACTACCACACAATATGTCAGAGGGCGATATGTTTCTGCTGTTTTTCGGTTTTCAGGATTTGTTGGTGAGATGCTCGGGAAGTTTTCGTTTTCGTAGCATGCGCGAATATCTGAAAAGGAAGTAACAACATGATTGTTGAGACGATTGGATTTTTAAGCTTCATTAGAGTGCAAGAAAACTGAAGATAATTAACAAGAAGCTAGAGTTGCTCTCGGCTACGCCTCGAGCAGCTCTTACGCATCTTTCGTGCTCTCCAAACTTCCCGCGTGCTTCATATCTCGATGAACGCACAGCTAACGTATGAGCCAATTGTTTTATAACGTTTTCAACCCGATGGAAATTTTTTTCTCGAGGGATTTGTTTGCTGAAGTCATGAGTGTGCACAATAGGAATATGAAGCACGCTCAAGCAATTGAATTGGTTTAGACAAATTTACTAGCTATGTTATAAAAATGAATGAATCAACTTTTACCGTAGCGTTGCCTGTAGTCTTCCCATCCCAAGCACATGAAGGCTGTCAACGAAACTTTCCCTATGCTAAACACGAAGATGCCATCAATCTCATCCTGTGTACAAATGAAGAAAGAAGAGAAAATTCATCTTAGCTCGAAAGCAAAAAGTTGACTTAATTCGTAAATTGCTCCATGATTTTCTAACAATTTCTCTCGTACACAACTAGGTCGCATCGACATGTAAGATAAACTTTTAAGATCCACCCCAACATCAGTATGCATATTCTCCATACTGTTCTCTATACAATAATTTGGGGTTAAAATTGTGAGGAGATATTAGATACTGGTCGCTCTTAGAGGGTAAAGGATCCAGCTGCTATACAATTCCTTGTAAATCAGCCAGCAGAAGAATTTTCTATTACATCGCGATATCGCCTTCCAACGGAAAATTTTGTCTTTTGTGCAGTCTTTCCGTCTAATGTGCAGATCGCGTCACCACAATCTCGATTTGAACACCACGTTTATCAAATGAGTAAGGAATTTTCCCAAGGGAACTTTGTATCAGTATTCTGTAAGTTTTTTTACCTTAAGTTGGACTCCAAATCTACTCGAGTTTCCATATGTTAAGTTAATCTTTTGCCACAGAGTCTTGTTACAGTACTTTGGGACAGTGTCGTTGATCAGTTTCGCGGCATTTTCAATGTTTTGCAGAGTGGAAACTTTGCACAGTGTTTGATTGTATATTATTAAAAAGCCTACATAACCTGAAGGTTAAAACAGAAAAAAAGCTAGATCAGATAAATTTCGTTTTTGAGATGTAGTAATAAAATACACCAAACACGAAGAAATTTGCATCGTCTGAAGGGGTAGAGAGCTCGAGGTTTCACTTTCAAACATTCATTTCTGTAAGTCACCCATAAAGCAAATGAACAGATTACTAAAATTTGGCTTCGTTTTGTGTCAACAATGAAACGAATATAAACAAGGCTGGGATCGATTGTCACGGACTGCTAAACCTGAAGTCAATGAGATTTTTGTGCTAAGTTATTCAAGATACACTGAACGTGACGCATCTCGTCAACGCGCTATATAATGGTAAGTATAATGAGATGATTGAATGTACCTCACAAATTCTAATTAAACATTTCCGTTATCGGCTGCTAATCTTTAATTACGGATTCTTTCTGCTCCGCAAGGGCACATTGCTCATCAGATGGAATCGAGAAATCAATTACAAATTTTAAAATATAGAACTTACTTTTTCCCAGTTTGAAATTAAGAACCTCAAACGTGACTGTAGAATCATTCATGAAACAGTGGATGTTGCCACAACTGGTATCCTCTGCAGCAGGACATAAAAGCTTCTTACATCTTCTGTCCGTATCAGTTCCAACTGCACTCACATCGCAAACTAACATTGTAGCCATGGAACTTAAAACTATAATGACTAGGGCTTTAAGTTGTACAAACATAATGTTTTGTACGTTTGAGAACCGGAAGGTGCTGTGAAATGCCCCCTTCCACCGACCCGAAGTTTGCTCAACGAAGACGAAATCGAAATATTTTAAGAAGTTCCTGTTAATGCTGGTATCATGGCTATAACTTTCGATTACCGTTAGAAACTAAAATTCCAACTGAAACATAATTTATTTCCTTTGTCTAAAGAAATCTAAAGAGGACAGTATGGAAAATATTAATATTAACTGAAGATATAATGTTAAATATTAATGTTAACTTGAGAGGCGCGAAATGTTAATATTCGGATCAGGTTTGAGCTGAAATCGGGAACTAAGGAAAATTGCAGGAAGCGGACTGCACACTCCATCAGAAAAGTCTCTTGAAGTATTCTCCCGTTTTCCAGATTACAGAAGTGTGGGAGAACCTTAGCGATTCTGACTCAAAGCATTTAAGGGGGATTGGAAGACCCTGGAACGGATGTTGTCGCAGACAACTTTCATCCGTCAATAAAGAATACTGTTAGAAATAATAGAGAAAAAAAAGAGAGTTTATTCCTTTCGGTAGTATTAATTATAAATTGGTTTCAACATTGCTGATTACCGAAGAGCACACGCGCATGTCAGTTGTTAACCTATTCCCGCCGATTCTTGCCGGTCCTCGCCGATATCCGCCTTATTGTAGCGACCTTTGTCCTGATTTCGTCTCCAAAAGGTCTTGTTATATTCTTGGTCCTTCTAACAACTTCTCCTTACCTCGTGCTCGAACTGATAGGTACAAAAAACCGTTTCTATTTTCAACTAAACAATGGTGCAACGAAATAAATATAAAAATGCTAAACCGTCCGAAGAATACAATATCATCAGAGCAAATTATTTAACCGAGAAAAAACTTCAGAAATTTCATCTGTAAGCGAAGCAAAACAATAAAATAAAATGGGAAGTGTTTTTTTTTAATAACTTAACTCAAACTAGCGCCTAAATTTGGGGGCGGAACAGAATCATGCTGTGATGAATTTTTACAATGAACGAAAATAAAAGAAGCAAATCTAGCCAGAGCTGAAACTTACAAAATGCTTCTACAGATTTGTTATCTATTTAAAAAAAAAACACGGGTTAAGAGATATTTGTTTCAGAAAACTTAAATCTTAATTAATCACAATCAAATATTTCTCGATACGCCGCGTGAGCTTGGCTATAACTGAAGCTACTGATCAAAAAATCTACGTACATAACAGGATAGATTTCTGATCTTCGTTAACTGATTACGTTTACCATAAAATGTACTGAGCGGAGGATACTGAACTAGTGTATTGGACCTCGCAATTATTTGTTACGTGCCTAAATTCATACAGTCAGATAAGTACGAAACATAATATAAGAAGAGGTTACACATAAAGATGATGTTGACAACTTTAACATGCAATACTACCAAATAAGAAGCTTCGTGGCTGTTCTAACGTGCTTTTATCTTAAGGTATATCAAATCTTTTGGTGCCATTAGAATTACCGCCCGGTGCTCCAGCGTAGCCACGGTTTCTGGAGCGCACTCAAATTTGAATCGTTGCAAGATCTTCAACAGGGCGACTTTAATCTCCAATAGGGCAAAACGCATCCCGAGGCAATGACGTGGGCCAGTTCCGAATGGAATGAAGGAATACGGGTTCCGTTTTTCTTTTGCTTCAGGGGAGAAATTCTCAGGGTTAAACTGCAGTGGATTCTTCCACACCTCTGGGTCCCGGTGCAGCACGTATGACGGGATGTTGACTTCAACTCCCTTTGGAAACCGGATGCCTTTGTAGACCACTTCTTCTTCACAGCCACGAACAAGATTAAAGGCTGGAGAACAGAGGCGTAGGACCTCGGAGATGACTTGATCCAAGTACCCGAGTTTTTGGACATGGTCATAAAGAGAAGAGTTGTTACGGGCCATCTCTACTTCTGCTTTGTCGATCTCCTCAATGAGCTTATCCTGAACCGCTGGATTGGTAGCAAGGAGGTAAGCTGTGCTTGTCAAAGTGCTACCGGTTGTCTCAAAGCCGGCCACCAAGAAAGTGATAGACTGGGCCATGATTTCATCGTCGTTCAACTTGCTGACTCCATCGACGATGTTCTCCTGTGCTTCCATCATAAGCTCCACTAAGTCTTTCTTTGCAGTAGGACCTTTCTTGGCCCTCTTTTGAAGCATTTCTTTTGCTATGGAAATAAAATATTCAACATTTTGGAGGATGCTGAAGTAACGGCTGAAGTAGGTCCAGAAGGGAAACAAAGAGAACACTCTTATAACCACTGGTGTTTTAAAGACGTTGTTGGCTTTTTCGACAAATTCTGGATCTGGATTCATTTGAACGTCGCTGTCAAATCCAAAGGCTGCTTTCATGATCACCTCTAAGGCAAAGAGACTAAACAGACGGTTGACATCCACTGATTCACCTATGGAAGATTTGTAAAAGACAATGAAATTAACGATCAGTGCAACATCAATTAAAGCTGAAGAGGAAGCTGTAACCTGCAAATAATGCGGTCCGCACTCTTTCCGAACCCCGCTCACTGAAATATCACTCACTCACCGGCTGATCTCAAACGCAAATTTTTAACACGTTACACGGAACAGCATTAAGGCACCTTTGTTGAGTTAATTACGCCGGTCAATTCTTAGCGCAATACAAAAATACTGGAAACAATGTAACTGGTTTTCGAACGGCTTTCACAACCTTGCAACTTGTTGCCGGAAAGGAATGTCAAATTTCGAAAAAAATCAGACAGTGCATTTTTAACGCAGAGATGTTGCGTTGAAATCGGCTCATCGTTAAGTACCGACTTGAGTCAGCCTAAAAGTTGCGTGACCTCGCTTTTAAAAGACACTTATAACTTCGGGCAGGTTCAGACGTGTAATGATAATGAGGCTGAACGCATCATTGGTTATACAGGTTTGGACGTGTTATTCAAATGAGGCTGACATGAGTATATCATTGCATTTCCTACAAGTTCAGGCCTGTCCTTACCGTGAATAAACAAATCAACTGCCCACACAAAAATAAGTACCAAGATTCCGAAGCCGAGAAGAAACTCTTATTTCGAAAGCAAAATAATGGTGTGAGCAAAACGAGAACAATAAACCGTCCCTTTCGTGTGAGTTGGTAACCCCTCGTCAGGGCAAATTCTATTTCGATCCATCCAAACAAAAGAGGCCATTGAAAGCAACCTGACTAACAGACGTCGTGATCAAACAGGCTGAAAGATTGTATCAGAGAAATAAATTTTCTCAGCGTCTCAAGCATTCGCTCTCAAGAAAATTTCTGATCGAGAAAACAAAATTGCTAACTTAAAAAATCTTCATGAAGGAAAGTTGATCTACGACAGTTGGATACTAGTTTCTTTTAAGGCTTGGCGGCATTCCCGTTATTACGTAACTCTATGAATACACCCAAAATGTCAGACTTACCGGTTTCGGCAAACTTTTCCATTTTGGCCATAAGCTTTTGCGAGGCATCGTCTATAATCGGCACAATCTCTTTCAGTTTGCTCGCTGTAAACGTTGGAGCCACTGTAGTGCGAATGCGCTTCCATTTGCTGTTCTCCGCTTGGAACAGTCCTGAATCCAATGGAGGATTCGGTTTGATGAAGGTAGGTCGATTTGGGAACTTATAAAAGTCCTTGACCAAAATTTGCTTGACAATTTCAGGATCGCTTACAACAATAACTGGTGTGCGACCAAAACACATCGTATGTACTCGTCCGTACTTGCGGAAATAGTTTAAGAACATCTTATGTATACCTCCATATTTAAAGATATCGAGGAGGTTGCCTATCCATGGCCATACTTTTGGGCCCCGCAAAGGAGAGCCACCAAGAATCGAATTATAACGACTGAGACCTTGCCAGTAGATGAACGTCAGAACGCTTAAGATTACCGCCAACCAGGTGTAACTGTTAGAGCCTTCAACGGCAGCCATGATTAAGGGTGTTCTCTCTCTCTCTCTCTTCGTCAAAGCAAAATGTATCGGTACCACGTGTGAACCTCTAATTTCAGAGGGTTTTGACAATTGCTTTGAACACTGTAGGCATTGCTTTGAGTCCTTGTTTCTATTGTTCTTTTGTTCACATCGCCAATCATGACAACCAATAATATGAAGTCAGCCGCAATTAGGCGCGTGACAATATGATAACGTTACAGCTGTTCCACGGCTCAGTGGGCGAACACTTGGACTCTTCCACCCATTTGCCTTTACAGTGACCTCCCCCAGTAGAAAGTTTTTTTGTAGATCGTTACGTACCCTTCCTTATTGCGAGAATAATCCTTTACCTTCTTTGTTTTATTGCTCGATGAAAAGGGCTGCCAATGAACTTGTGTCACTCTCTGCCCTCCGTGTCGGATCCGGTTTATTTGATCCATACAATATTATGACTATCTCACATCTTCGCGCCAAATCCTCTGGACCTTTGATCAAGTAAAACTTTGTTGACGATTTTAATTCGTAGCCGCGAATAATTCTCTTGACATTTTCAAAGTCATAGATATATCTGTAATATTTGGAGAAGATAAAATCGAAAGTCACCACCTTTTTTTTTAACGGCGAGTTAGTTACGACGGAGGTCATCGTATCGAGACATGAAAGAAACTCAATATTTAGCATTACAACTTCCGGAACGTTCCTATCGTTACAAACTTTCGTAACGCAACACCAATGCGCGTGACCTTCTTTTGGTCGATGTTAACTTTACGCGACTGTTGTTCGAAATGTGTTCTTTGGCGAGACGCGTAACTCTTACAATGCCTGTCTTCACCCAAAAAAACATAAACATGTAAAGATTAACCATCAGAGAAAGCAGACACAAAGCTCGAAAAAAGGAGCTACGGCGTGGCTACCCAGCTCGTTTACAATTGAAACGTTTTGTTTCCTTGTAGCCCAAGATTTGCGTCAGTAAAATGCTACACTCACCGAAAATAGCATGAAACTGCATTTTGCTGAAGATTTATTTGTAGAACCTTCTATTGTCAGAATGATCGTTACACATGACTCCTAAAAATAATATACAACACGGCACCAGTTTTTTCTCGGCTACATTCGATCAACAAGCGTTCTCATAGGTCTTTTTCAATTTGTGAAACCGTCTATGTGGGGGTAGTGGTAAGGAGGGTATGAATACCTAAGGCTTCTCCCTCTCCATCCCAAGGTGGTGACTAGTTACAAGACACGTTTGGTTGCACCTCACTGTACTCAATTAACCAGTTTCTTGTATCAACTGAAACCAATGAATATTCAAAAATTGTTAGAGCGAGATACTATACAAAGCACAAATTGACTGTATTCTCCTAAAAAGCCTGACATATCTAAAGAAATAAATTAAAATATACCGCGAAAAAATTCTGACCAGCAAAGCTCTAAAGTGTTTCGCATTACCAGAAAAACACCATTGTTTTTAAAGTCAAATAATCGTCAAGAAGCCATCTTTAAACGAGAGAAACAGATGGATATAGTTTTTTCTCCTGCGTCTTTTCGGATTCTTCCAGCACGTAGTAAAAAGGTGATTGATTCTCTGTTTCATCGATGGCTTCTCCGAATGCGCTGTCGCTGTCGCCACAGTCAGAGTCCACGACAAACTCTAAACCGCTGAGTCTGCCTTCAGACGAGTCGTCATGTATGTCTTCATGAGGAGTATCAGACTCGAGGAGCATGTTTTCATTTTTTTCAATGATATCGAGTTCACCTCCTTGATCTTCAACATAAGAGTCACCTTTATGAAGTGAATCTGTACCGTGAACTTTTTGGTCCTCCCCGTCATAAAATTGTAACGACGATAACGACAACATTGATGAAGAACATGCAGTTATCTCGGTCGCATTGGCCATTTCTTTCCTCTGTAGCGACGGAGACGGAAGTGATGGACACGTAACTGTCAAATCCGCTGTTTTTGTCTCGTCGCGAGAACATTTCTCCTCAGGCTCTTTCTGTATCTTTTCCCGCACGGTTGCATAATCACATGGCGCATTTGAAGGCGCTGCAGAAGACTTACTGTCATTTGATGACGGGAATGATATTCTTCTTGTCATCATAAAGTCTTCTTGATGCGAAGTTGCATCTCGAGCACTGACTAAATTCTGGTATATGGAGTAGGAATACCGTCTTGGCCCTGGATTATTCTTGACGCTACGCAAACTTTCGTATAAGTTGTAGCCAGGTTGATAGACAGTTGCATAAGGAGACACAACAGTGACTGAGGGGGGTCTTGAGGGGCTAAGGGTTGACACTTGCACCAAAACGAGGCCCCTATCGTGACCCCGTTCATACGTGGGATTTGCTGCAAAGGACATAAAGATAGATTACAATGACTTGGCTATAGACAGCGTTGACGTGAGAGACTTTAGAGCCTTAAAACACATTTTGAAATCAGTGAGTGATTTTACTTTAAACAATATACTGATTCACTTTATCTTTGATTTGTTTTGATTGTGGCAAGGTAACAATTATGTGATCATCAAAAGACAAAATAAAAGTCTTAATACTTATGTTGGATCGCATCGTGATCAATTTTTTCCCAACCGGTTGTAACGCAAAGCTCTTAATTTTTTGGCCTTAAAATTACTCATACGAATAATTATCTTTTAGGTCCACTTTAAATTGTCTAATGAGTAACAATGTTAAGAACTTAAAATTCAAAATACGTTTTATACATACCTACGCTTTTTCTTGATCTATGCCATTTCCTTCTGAAACCGAAATAAAAATGGAACAAAAATGAGGGAGGAGACCCTGAGGAAAACTGAACAGATACCTATAACAATTAACGCTCGTGTTTAACAGTCAAAACAAAAATTTAAATAAATTTAATTTCTGCAGTAAACCCACCAACAACAACGCAGTTGCTCTAAAAATTGTCCTCCCTAAATCTGAAAGTCGATATCAAATTTGTTTTCTATTTTGATAATCAACGAAGCTTTCACAAGTTCAACTATGGGGGAGGGGAGGGGGCTTTGTTGCCAATGGAGCAAGCGACCTAATTGCGTGATAGCCTCGAAGCTAGCGGAGGTCATTGGATTATAAATGACGTTCTAACAGAAATGCACTAATAGCATTTAGGAGTGAGTTAACTTACCGGTGATTCGATCTGCCGTAGAGTACAAATCCAGTCAGACACAGAAGAACTACGAGAAGGCTGGTGACCCCAGCGCATAACAAGATCATATACCGCAGATTCGGTGAATCATTGACCGAGTTCATCTCAGCTTCCGCCGTGACGAGGTCTGTAACTGAAGACTGACTTACATAACTTTGCTGTGTTGTTGCTAATTGAATTATCGTAATAGTTAAGTTTCTCGTGATTTCTTTCGACGGAGTTAAGTTTGTTTGATGTGGTTGCAGCGACCCTATCGGGAAAAAATATAAAGCATTTAGAGCACTCAACTTAGAACGTTTTGCGTTTTCCTGAGGGAAAGCCCCGACAGCAAATTTGAATGTTTCAGTTTGATAGTTAACAAAGCTATCGTTGGTTCAGCCATGGAGGGTTGTTCTCAATGAAGAGTGTGAATAAACAATTACACACACAACACTTCATTATTTACATCGCTCTGTCATTAAATCTGTACTTACATATGCGCGAACCGCCGACTTTGAAGAGTACGCAGGAGCTGACTTGTTCAGGAGGAGGAAACCCTCTCAATCTAACATCCACGCTCGACGTGGCAAGGCAAGTGGCTTGAAATGACAGAATGAGCCCGCTGTATCTTGAGACATTAGAGATCAGCTGTGAAAATAAATGAAAAAGAACCAAATCAATAATAGGATGCAATGTGGGTTACATTAATTTTTGCTAAATTAGTAAAAAGAGACATTGGTATTCTTTTTTGGTCTTCAACCAAATTTAGCGATATCAATCGTATCGCTATTGACTAATCAATCGTACTGCAGACAAGTCGATGTTAATTTATGCACCTACTCACGATGGTTCTTTCTTATCTTGGTTTTTACTGTATTAATTATTGGGGGAGTACTTGTGATAGGAAGGGTTTTCTGTCCGACAGAGCACCTTAAATTGTTCGTTTTTAACCTGCTTGAAAATAACTGCTGCAAATGTGTGACCTTTTGTAGGCAACAGGGATAGCACACTCAATGCCAATGTTACCCGTTCTGATCTCAACGATATCTGGGTTCTAAATTAATTACCTACCATATCAAAAATGTTTTCCAAAGATAACGTATTGTCCTCAATACTTGCTAAATCTCCTCTTGGATTCAATCTCCACAGTTCCCTCCATCGTCCGGCCTTACTGTACGACAGGATCCTGGGGTGAACTTTACAGCTGGAGAGCTCTTGAGTGGGTTCCTTTGTACATAATGAATAGCTTCCGGCGTTAGAGATGTTGGTAGATAACGTTGAGATGAACGACTCGTGGCAGTTGGGAGGATGATGACCATTTTCAACGCCCAGATGAAACTTGCAAACTACAAAGGGAAATGAAACATGTGTCATCTCATCTCCCCCTGAATAGCCCGTGTTCCAGGCATTCACTCAGTGAAACGAAGCGCGATATTTGTGGAGAGGTGAAAAAGACGAGAGAGATCTGGGTCGAGTAACCCGACCCAAACCTCTCGTTAAAACCCCAGACTAAACAAAGCAATTTATGGACACCACACGGGGTTTGGAGGACTTCCGCTTTCGTCTTAAAGTTGTTTGCAGAGAAGAACGAATCACCGACAAAAGAATCCTATTATCATGGGACTTAACCAACGCTGTATTGAAACACAACATGTCTTTCGTTGATGATGAAATAAATAAACATGAAGATAAAATATTGGTTAGAAAACTATGTTTCATTGCTTTTCATCGAGCCAGCAGCAAGATGCACAAAATAAATAAATAAATAATAATGATAATGGTAACTCATTTCGGGAATTCCTTAGGCAGAGGGGACGATGAAAGAAGGCCGCCGATTAACGCGACATCAAGGATCTGAACTTTAAGGTCGTTCACTGTTTTCCTTTCATTCCTGGAAGCTTCGAAACCGCCGAGATTTAACCTTCTTTTTCGGTTGTTGTTTCAGATACATTTGGTTTAAAATTTCGTGGATAACATTAAAATTATATTTTTTAAGGCAGGATATAAACTATGTCCTATTCTGTGATAAGGTAAACTCGCTTTAAGCAGGTAAATATAGTCGTGACATTGTTACACATTGGCCGGAAATGGCGTCATCGAATAAGAGATAGATTTGTGGTTTCGCTGCGTCTATATTGTATTCATGTATGTAGGTATGGCGAAGAATCCTCTAGAATCGTAGAGAAAAGATGTAATGCTACTAAATTAAAACTTAATTAAGGCTGCATTGGCCAAGTAATGGAAAATTCGTGCAGAAGAGGTTCGTAATACTGCCTACCTGACTTCGACCCTCTGTGAAAATGCCGCGTGACATTCCTGTTGTTCACGCATTTTCCCTTCTGCCGTAGAAATGTTGGTTTTGAAGAAATACAACGGCAATGAACTTTCTCTTTAAAATCCAAACATGATATGGTATTTTGAACGCTGATCGCACCACGTTTGACACAAAATTCCTCTACTGTCTTTGACTCCGCACAGAGGCCTTTCCCATCATCGCTCAAGACTTCAAATTCGTCCACGCCGCTTGAAAGTAGATTCACTTGAATTCTTTGCGCTTCGGCTGGATTGTCCGCAGAAAACGAGTGAATAAAGATGAAAAGAAGATAGCTTAAATTCATGGCAGCTATACACGGGATAAAGACACAAAGTAGGCTTTAACGATGACGCCGAAAACACAATGATCGTTGATGGAAAACCGCAAGGGAATCGAGTTTCCCACAGGGGGAAGTGCCCACAGGTGTACGTGTGTGGACAGGGGTGTGTCGGCGGAATCTCTAAATCCCTTTGGTTAAACCACGACAGCGTTCTCTAGATTAGATTTTGCTTTACACACAATGTCCTCACAACTTTCTGAGAAGCAGACATTTATCAAATATAGTGAGATTTCTATAGTCTTTGACGAACGACAGACGGTCACCCATTTTAACAGCGGGGTTTCACGTAGCGATATGACTCAAACGCTTTCCGAACGTGACCTTTGGCAGAAATGAGTAATAAGATTCGATTATCGTGCCAGTTTTAGGGTGTGCGTAGGCGTAGGGAGGATTTTTGCAGGCTTCGCAGACGGATTTGATGAGATTAATAAATTTACCAAGTTTTTCCAGCAGGATTATGTTGTAAGCTTACCAAACCGTGAGTATCACGAGTGTTTCGTCACCTTCCCCTCCCCACATAGTCTACTGTTAGTTTGTCACCTGAGACATTGTGCCAGTTACGCCAGCATTTTGGCTCACCGAGAAACAATGAAAAAAAGGGAACGAGCAAAAGGCGAAGTTAAAAGAAACCCCGGAAATCTTTTCCCGCACAGTCATCTTTCTTCCATCCCGGGAAAATGTCTTCTTCAGGCTCCCTCCCTCCTAGTACCAAAGTTGACTCACCACAGGCAGACCATACTATGCGTCCGTGGTCAATAATCAGCCTTGTCAATAATTTTTGACATGATACGACCAAATTTATGAGGGTTACGATTAAAGCTTTGGAAATTGCATATCTAAATTACATCTCGGTCTGAATATCTCAATAAAGTTAAGTGAAATGTTATTCGAGCGGACGCATTTGTAGTATTTTTTTTCGCCTTCATGGGTCGTTTGAAATACCACAAATGCGTCGATCAACATTTCGTTTAACGTTATTGAGATATTCAGACCAAGATGGCAGGCCTGTTTGCTCTGTGGCTTACATTTATAAAAGCAAACACGATGAATGTCTATCGTGAATCACATTAGGAAAGGATTACCTGCCAGCAACCCTAAGATTATTTCCTTTATGCACAAGAGTATTTTCATTGAGGGGAAAACAAGATTAGGCATATTTGCTCATTATTTGTAACCAACCGAGAGACACCTAAGAACGAGGTTGAGATGTGAAAATCTCGCGCATGGGGAAGATTTGCAACCCGCTTTTAGGCGAGAAATCCCACCGTTGACGTCGCCGCGCGGAACTTTGGAAGTGATACCCACGATTCGCGCCCCACACTCTCAGAGTTCCGCGCGGCGCGCCAACAAATTTATTTTGCTGAAACAGTCTTTTTGCTTTGCACGACGGAGGACAATTGTTTTTTGACAGAGTTTAATTCCGACTTTTGCATTAATGGTGATTCATCACAAACCGTCATTAAAAGCCTGTAAAAAAAGTGAACACTTAGTAACTAAGCTGGCAATCTTAGCGTTCTTAGTGCATAAGATCGGTCAGCTCGTCAAATGAAATGTTAAAATAACTGTAATGTTGACATAGCAATTTTAAATTTTGACATGTTATTTGAAGATGACGCTGGAAACCGCAAGTTAGGCGATAGATGCGTCGGTGAGCAAGTTGCATTTAAAGATTTTAAATTTGCAAAATACGCAGTAACTGGAGCCATTCGGTAACAAATGTGCGTTTCCAATAGCTCTTATTTTAAATTCATATTTATAATAAAAAGTGATCTCTAGTTAGAATTTTCCTCTAAAAGTCCTTGCCTAAGGCCTGTAAAAGGCGGTTACATGTGTTTTTAACAGCTTGTAGCCTGAAAGCCGAAGTTTTTGTTTAAACAAGCGAGCCCTAGTTTTTAATCTAAATCGTTCTTCTAGGTTTTATCTTACACGAATTGTTCACTTAGCTCCGACCAAACGAACATCCGACAACATCATTTATATTGTTTTTGGACGTGTAATGATATCATTGTCAAGCGATATGACAAGCAATCATATAGAACTTGCTAAAGCTTTTAATTTGTTTCTCGACGCAAAAAAAAATCTCACATGGTGTTTCTGTATAACCTGAAAGTGCATAAAAATGAAATAACAAAATTGGAAAATTAAATTACAATGTTAAAAAGAAATGCTAGATGAATGCGTTACGATGATTCTTTTTTAAAGAAAGACTAAAACGTTATGTGGAAGTCATGCAAAGAGATCACGTGATATATCACAATGAAGAAATACATGTAGGCCACACAAACATCATCTAAGACTTGAATTTCATTACCAGCTTTCATCTATCGCGTGGGGGAGGGGAGAAGGTGAACGATTTCGAGGATCACATAGTTTTCAGGGGAACGTACGAAGGGGGGAAAAGTTGTCGCTGACAGAATATACCACAGGGGTACTGAAGAACATTGACTGCCAATGAGGCGGGATCATTGCAATTCTACAAAGCCTTTTGGAAGGATCAGGTAGATTTTGTTATGACACGACCAAAATTCTCCGACCCCCGACCCCCCCTCCCACGAGATAAATAATGACTAGTCCTAAAGCATGTTTCAACGCGTGCACTAGAGCCTTTTTTGTTTTCGTCGTCTTTTCACAATGCTTTAGAAGTGTCTTTAGCGTTTTCTTGGATCCTACTTGTAGTTAAGACTAATTCGTGCATTTCCGTGTATTCAGCTGTTGGATTTGTGGATGAAACCATCATCTACGACCAATTAACAGTTGTCGCATTTACATGCGAGATAAAATTTCATATGGTAAACAGGAGATTTCCTACCTAAGTTGTCATCGAAACCTTTCGAAATAGTTAGCGGAAAACCATCAATGAACTCTCACCCTACATTAGACCTAAAAGTAAAAACATGGACAAAAGCTACATACTTCTACGCCACTTAGTTAGTTGCTATGTGGGAGTTTGAAGCTTGCGCAGCTATCAGGCATCTTAAGCTGTCAAGGCGGCAACACCGAAGGAGACATCGACCAAAACATGACTTCATATCTTTAATTAGAATTCTGCGAATGTCTGGATGTGTTTACCGTCTTTTAACGGCGTCACACTTCAACTTCAGCAAACTGTATGTGAGCAGGGTTGAAGTTCACTGAAATGGAAACTTGCCATCGTGGCTTCCACTTTCAGAACTCACAACTTTTGACGATTTCACGCCTTCCTCTGTTTTGCAATGGAAGGCAAAGAAATGTACAAAGTTTCAAAACGCTCGCGCTGCGCTATCGTTCCGCCCAGTACATCTTTTGTTTTGCCACGTCCTCGTTGCCGTCGTGTCATAGGCACTTAAAAGTCCCTTCAAATACCGAAAGACGCCCAGGTTGAATACCTTTTTTCTTGTTATTTATAACACATGTGCGCTTAACATGAAAAAGAGGAGAGAGCGCATTCTGATGTTACCTGAAACACATAAAGAGCTTTGTTAACGCCGGCTATATCATCACACATGCTTTGTAGGCATCGCCTAAGATTTCAGAGTATCCCAGCCACGAGACACGTAAGGACATCAAAATCAAATGGATTCTTGGCATCGTTCAAGATTTCTTAAAATAGTATATCATATCCCAACCCACAAGGCACTTGAGTAGATCAGAAGAAAAATATTTTGACAAAATACTTCGATGTACTGCAAGCAACAGAGCCCTGATGCACGTGTCTCCTTTTAAAATTAATTTAATGATGTTTGCAATTGAAATTATATCCTTCACATCTCCTACCAACGAAAAAGGAAAAGTGTTTGTGAGCCACTTACTATTCAATAACAGGTCTTTCGTCCCAATTTTCTGTATAAATTATGTCATACAAATGCTTTTTCTTTTACTAATGAATTCTCTTTTAAAATTGAAAATTACAGAAGAAAAACAAGCTCAGGCGCTTTAATCATTTTTCAAGGTTAAAAATGTTGCTTCTGATGCTAATTTGGATTTTACCGATAAAGTGACGCGATTCCTGAATTAATCACGCATCCAGTCAGTTTAAATGTATTCATTATGGACGATGTTTGCCCTCTGTGAAATTAAGTTTTGTTGGTGCAATCCGAAATCACGCATTTAAAGGCATCAGTTGGAAACCAATATCGGTGCCGTAAAACGAAGGTTTTGTCAAATTTTGGAGCCATCGAGTCTTTTACACCGTGGCAAGATAAAGATAACACATCCTCTTTCGACTTAAGCACGGATCCAGAAAAACCCGATATTGATCTATGATTGACCGGATCTAATCGTGATAGATGCCCTTTAAGTCAAGATGACACCTGCACCTGCGGTAGCCATACATAGTAGACATTAACAAGACATGATTGATTTAAATTTTTTTGGGGTCGTTTTATCTTTCAAATTCCAAAAGCTTCTTTCCCTCTGGCAATTTGAGAATGAAAGAATAATAATTTTTTAAAAAATTAGTATGCTCAGTAGCACGACATTCGTTTTGTTGGATTGTTACCATTTGATCGTGAAAGGAATTCAAAGGGTCGACGCCTCTTCAACACAGTGACATATCTGGGAGGGGAATAATTTAACGTGATTACTTCACGAAACGACGAGAAGCCATTAAGTTCATTCTCGGCCAATGAAAGAGTATTACTCCTTATTAGGAATGCAGCAAATTAAATGTACCACAAACATTGTCGATTACTTATCAGTCGTCAAACATACGATTTTGAACAGAATGTTTTTATAGACTCACACTTCAAGTATTAATGTTCGTCCGCTCGACACTTGACGGAATAATCATCCACGATCGGATGTCAATACCTCCATAATTTCGTATTTCATATTCATAATCTATTTTCCTTACGCTGACATTGCTGCAAGGAAGAAGAAAAAGGAAAAATAACCAAAACAAAAACGGCTGGACCGAAATGTCGCTGGCTTGAATCCGATTTCCGTAGTGCAATACGATTGCATATATTCACCTGCGTTGCATTGCGTTGCGTGGTCGGTGACGTTGTCGTGAGCGGATGGAAGCACAGTGAAATGGTACCTCTCGGAAGCATTGCGCGTCGCATTCAGCCATGACTGAAAACAGTAGTGATGGTTTTGTTCGCCCTTTGTGGCTCACTGATCCACCGATGGAAGGCCAAGAAGCGTTTTTCGAAGGCGTTCCAATGGTCGAACTTGAAGTAAAAACGATGACGGCGCCTGAACAGAATCGTCCAAGCGTTAGATCGTTATCACATAAAGTTAACGAGCCGAAAGAAACAAATGGCTTTATGGTTAACCATGAAAGTAAATTGGAAGAATCGTTGTTAAGGGCAGTTCAAGAGGAAAACCTCGAGGTTGTCGAGGTTCTTATCGATCACTATCTGCAGTTGTTTAATTTAGAAGAATTATACGATAATTCCGTGTCCTCTGAAGCGACGCAAACCAGAAAAACGCCGGTTAATTTTCTGCCGCTTGTGGTCGCCGCGCACTTAGGGAACTATAATGTTTTGAAATTGTTTATTTCTAAAGGTTTTAATTTGGAAAAACCTCACGATATACACTGCGAGTGTGACCGCTGCCAAGAAGACTATTTCAGGCAGTCACAAAAAAGACTGGACATTTATAGAGCTATGGCGAATCCAATGTGGATCTCTTTAACAGGAACAGATCCATTTCTGACCGCTTTCAAACTCAGTAAGGATTTAAAATCATCCGCCAAGCAAGAAGATGAATTTGAAAAAGATTATCTGGCTCTGTCGCTTCAATGTGGCCAATTTGCTTTGGGACTTTTGGACGAATGTAAAACCTCTAAGGAACAGACCACCGTTTTAAATTTCCCCGGAAGCGAGGCCTCGAAAGGAGAGTTCTGCGAGGAATCGTTGGGTTTAGTACATAGCGCTATTGCATACGGTCAAAAAGAGGTAGGTACTACAGTATTGATGTAATCGAATTACCTCTAATCGAGAATGAGTATTTACGAAACAGGTACTTTATGGAGAAGACTGACGAAGCTATGTATTTATTTCAATAAATCTTAATGTTTGCCAAGTCTGTTTTTATCTTGGCGATATTAAACCGGTTACTCGGAGGTGGGCATATGTCATCGCATTACCAAACGGCAACAAATTATATTTTCAGTACCAGAGCAGGTTTTGCAAGTTTTTTGTTTTGTTTTGGATTTTTGATGCTGAATCCAACTTTGGTTTATAATACAGAAAGAGAAAAAAATCGTAAACGTCTCCGCTCTTGACAAGCGAGGCAATTTTCTAAAGAGTAAATTTGCATACAGCAATTGTTAGTTCTGTTCTTGGCAAAATTTAAAGGAATCATGACAAATTGAACGCAAAAAGATCTCTTTCTTAATGTGTTTAATATCTTTGCGAACACCTTATACTTGACACATCGAAAGGAAACCTTTCGAATAACGCCGGATTTCCATTAACCGCCATTGTACAAAGCCAAGGGAACTGAAAAAAACATGTTTAATTTTACTTCTTTTGGAAATGTTTTGTGCATTCAGCTTGGAACAGCAGGAAAGCAAAAGTTATTAAACAAAGTAAAGTCACCTAAAGACGATTCCCGTTACATTTTCTTGGCAAGAAGATTCGATTGAAACTTGTTGAAATTGCTAAGACAGAATTTACTGTCAAAATAAATAGAGAAGGAAAATAGACGCAAATACTGACTCGCCGAAAGAAAACGTCTTAAAATACGAAATTAAGACTATTTGTACAGTGCAAGTTAAGTGTTAACCTAAATTAGTATTTAGTAAATGCTTTACGGTATACGCATAAAAAATTTTACGAAATTCAAATTTAAGTTAGCCGCTAAGCGCAACTTAGAACAAAGTTCACTGAAGCAGGAATTCGCCAAGACAAGTTAGAACAAGAAGCTATTGATACAGAATCTTTGATTTCTCGCTGCATATTCTTGTTTGAAATTATGTTCGCTTACGGCCTGTTAAATAAAACTAGCGATGCGGTATATTATCAATCAAAAGGCAAGAAGCAGGTGTCCACTATTGTAAGATTCGACTAAATTGATTCTACGCACCAGATAGAATGAAAAGACTCAAGATATGAATAATTGTAATTTTTTCTTGTCTGTATTAACGCCAAAAAACATATTCTTTTTCAAAGGGAAATGAGAATTACTCACTTGTGGCTTAGTAAATCCCTTTTTAGCGAGCCGAACTTGCTAATTACCGCTGAATCTTAGCAACGCTGCGAGGAATATTTGTTGCAACGGAAGCGGAGGAACCGCAACAGCAGCAGGGGTAAATTTCGAAACGGGTGAATCATAATTATGGAAACCATTAATATTTATGTGCTCTTTGGTAAACATGTTTCAAATGTTGCTTCTATGCTTGAAAGGAATATAAGTGTGTTTTACTAATATCAGATTATGGTTTTCATTGCGTTTTTAGATAATCCCAAGATCGTTTCCATCAAAATCTTGAATTAAACTTGTTATATATATATATATATATATATATATACATTTAAAAAGGGCAATATCTATTTTGATAAATTTATTTTGATCTGAGATTACTAAGAATTTAGCGTTAATTCATCAAATGTGCTGAAATTGTAAAAATAACACATAACTAATCCTTTTTTTATCTTTAACCCTGGCAGAGTGCTTGGACTGATATGTCAATCCTGTGCTGGTTGTATTTTTCATTTTCGGACTTATTACCATCGAAATAGATTCCCGTGAAGCTGTCAAAATTACACAAACCCCACATTAAATTGTTCGTTTCTACGAGAAATTTGAGTTTTATAACGGAACCTCTTTATGAATGAGAGTAGCATTTGCAATTTTCTAACCAATTCATCCGAAAAGCCTTTTTTTATTTGCTCTTAAGAACAATGTTTACTCTGTCCACTGTTTGCTTTTCAAAATAAAAATTTACAATATCCTTGATCGATTTGTCATAGAGGAGATGAAATGATTCCGCTTTTTTCTTTCTCTCTTGATTTACTTTGGAATTTCTAGTTTTCTCGAGTATTTTCTGCATTTGCAAACACAAACAAAATAAACTCGCCATCAACGTCGCTGTTACTTTAGGCAAATCACCCTCATGCACATAGACATCTGCCCACTTCCAATGAAAGCATGTATACGGTTACAGAGAGTGGTGCTCTTCAAATGGAGCCTAATCTTTACGATATTGCCTCAGGGCAAAAAGTGGAAACATTCCGTCAATTTTTAGTCACAATCTTGCATTTTATGCATGATCAGGGATGACTTGTATATCTCGCGATGTAAAGTAGCTAATCAGCTTTTTTACCATAAACGTGATAAATTTTACAGGAAGTTTTATTTCCATGAATCAATTTCGCTTCTGTTGCACGTTGATATTATAAGAAAGAGGTTTTGAAATTATGTGATCTCTTCTTTCAATATGGCCGGTAAAGTTCGCCACTCGAACACCACAATCTGTTTTATCAGTAACTTCGACCAAACTTCAAACAAAACCTTAATTTATAAGCTAGTTCTTAAATTATACTCTTCTCCTGCCAAGTCGCTCATTTGTATTCGTGATATCCAGCTGATCGTACCGGTAACCACTTATTTTCCTGAGATAACATCGCCAACGCGCCCGGTGTTTTGTCCAATTCCGTTTGATAAGAATACGTTTAACCTCCGCTTGGAAAAAAAAAATGACAAATAAGAAAGCCTTTGCGTTTGTAGTTCGTTGTTTTTTTAATTTTCATTTAAGATTAGCTAAAGTAAAGTATTTCGGGTTTATGTTTCTGTGCCGTCGGGCCCTCTTTAGAGGGGATAAGACTGGTTTATCTGCTTCAAAGGTCAGAGTTTTTTATGCTGAAAAGAAGGGACGGTACGTGAGTTAGTGCTCTCTATCACGAAGCTTACAGTTAATTAACCGAGGTGGGAGGCATGAACGCACCGCTAATCAGAACCAAGTTGTCTTATGCGACTGACAGACAACCACCCAAGCCACTTTTTGATAAAGTTCATACAGAATGGCAAATCAACAGTATGCCCTCTACTCTCCTTCTCTGCTATTGTTTCCTTTTACAGATTTCTTACAATAGAAATTTCTTATTTTCTTTCGCTTATTTTGCGAGACAGCTGTGGTTTTGTTACTACGTTTTCTCTTTAAAAGTTGCGCAGGAAATTGACGCGCGGACGGCCAAAATTGATTCCCTCCCTCGCACATGCGCGACGTTTGACCGCTGTGTTTGTGACGTGTCACTAAAATATGTTCTTCACAAGGCTCAGGGCAAGAAGGGCCAGCCCTTCCCTACTGAATAATGGCAGAAATCTCAATCTCCTTGATTTACACTTAATGTTATTTTTCAGTTCGTAGCACATCCATTCTGTCAGCATCTTGTCATGAGCTGCGTCTTCAGAGGTGTTCCGTGGCGGACTCAGAGCATCGCTTTTAGAATACTTTACGTTCTATTCCAAGTGCTGATCTATCCAATGATGGCTTTTATGTATTTCTTCTTTCCCTTCTTACGAATAAGCCGTAAAATCAAAAGACCCTTTATTAAGTTCGTCAACCACACCACTTCTTTTGTCATATTTCTCTCTCTTCTTGCGGCATCTTCTCACGAACAATTTAATATACGCTTCGGTAAAGTACCATCACTACTGGAGTGGATCATCCTCATGTGGATTCTCGGAATAGCTTGGGGAGAGTGTAAACAAGTGTGGCACGATGGCGTCTTAAGATACCTGTCCAGTGGATGGAACTGGATGGACATCGGAATGATTGTTTTAATTCTCGGAGCCTACATAGGATGGTTTGTGCGAGCGATTATCGGTCGTTACACCATCTTGGACGACACAGCAGACCACTTCCTATTGAGTGGAGCCGACGGCTTATACGCTCTTGGTGTGATTGCTAGCTTTTTTCGCTTGGTATACCTGTGTCAAATCAGCCGGTATCTCGGACTTCTTCAACTTAGCCTTAGTCGCATGGTGCGAGTGATATTTCAGTTTGCATTCATCAGTGTAGTAATGTTGATATCGTTTTCTGTCAGCATGACTATGTTGTACTCGTCTTCATTTGAAGCGTACGGCCAGGAGAGGCCTGAAAGAAATACCACAGATGTCATACAAAGTCTGATAAGCAAAGGATATCACAGGTAAGCGAATCGCTTCGGTTTGATGGCGCCGAGTGTGTTACTGATACCCTTCTGTGATGATATATCTGAACCACTCAAGATATCATGGAATCTAGTTATATATATATGTAAGAAAGAAGCAAAAGTTTTTAAATTTTTTTTATATAATTGCATAATGGGTGAAGGGGAGGGAAGGAGGCTTTTACGTGAACACAGCTGATTTCAGGCGACGAAAATATGTTGATAAAGAGTGTGCCACAAATGGTGAACAAATTCTTGAACCGTGCAATATCATCAACTTCTATTGAGAGTAACACGATGGTATAACGTCACGCTATATGACTAGGAAGAAAGGGCTCATAGGTGAGCGAGGGGGAAGGGGGGACTTAAAACTCTGAAAAAGGGCTAATACTCAAAACGTCAGCTTTGAAATCTTTACGGCGGCCAATTTACGTTATCAACTCTGCTGATAGAACCAAATTACCCTGTTATACTCTCTCACCGACGCGTGCGCAGCACCACAGTTTCTTTCGAAGCTCACCTCTTTATTCGTGCAATATGTATATTGTTTACCTTTCAGTCTGATGACAACTATGGTGACAATGATGTGGGCGAGTCTAGATATGGTAACACTTGATAGTCTTCAGGTGTTCAAAGATCAAAGTTTGATTCAGATTTGGAGCGCCATTTTATTCACGCTCTATCACGCAGCATCGCTCATTGTTCTTTTAAACATGTTGATTGCAATGATGAGCAACTCATATCAACGAGTGGAGGTATTTAAACCGTTGTTGGTAGAATGCATAGAATAAGAACGTGTTCTCCCCGGAGAGTCTCGATGTGGTGATGGCTTTTACGGCTAACGGTTAAAATTTTGCCCATTTTACTGCTAACAATTAATTTCTTTCTATTACGGTTTACAGAAATATTTTACAAAATTTCAATCATTTCGAAAAGTTAGTTATTCATAATCAATATTCTAAAACACAGTCACTTGCTCGCTTTTGACATAGAGTAATTTCATATTTTCCTTCATTGGCCACAAGAAAAGACACATGACAGTCTAAGATTTTGACACTTTTAAAATTGCATAATGTGTACAGAAAATGTATTTATGGTGACTTTTTTTCTATTGCACGGTTAAAATTTGTCAATTTTTTACACCTAACGGCTAACTTTTTCTGCCGATTTACGGCTAACAGTAAAACTCATTGAGACTCTCTTCATTGATTTGCTCAAAAGACAGTAAAGATTTCAAGGGATCTGGGGAAAGTCATATTAACATTCGTTGACCTGGTTTTTTTTCAACCAATCGATCAAAATTTGTATAAAAATTTATATCTTTACAGCAAATTTCTTATCAAATGTCATCAATCTGAGTAAACATGAAAACGTCACTTGCAAACAAATGCTTTATGATCTTGGAAAAAAGACTGTCTCTAAAATAAACTTCCTCAATGGCTGACGGAAATAGCTGTCTTCCAGAGGAAATTTTTAATATGTTAGTAAATAATAGAAGTGGGCACTCATTTTTCACCTGCTCATTTAACTGACAAATTTTCAGATCCCTTGTTATTCAGTTAACAAACACCTTTCTTGCGCATATCAACTCGCCATTGATTGCAGCTAATTAGTCTCAAACCCAGACTTCTCTCGCTTTTTTTGTTTTCCTCTATTTCTCTTAGGACAACATTGAGACAGAATATAAGTTTGCTCGCGCCCAACTATGGGCTGATTACATCGGAGACGGAGTTGCTACTCTCCCTCCCCCTCTTAATCTCATTCCTTCTCCGAAGAGTATTGTGCGTTGGGCTTGTAAACTAACAAACAGATGCTTTGGAGTTCCCAAGAGATTGCCTTGTTGCACCAACGTAAGTATTAATTTTATTTCATTCACAGACTGAGACATTGGCCTTCGGAATTAATTTATATTTTTGTACACAAAGCACGCTTTTTTTTCGTTCTATATTCATCTGTAAATACTCTGACTGAGGCACTAGCTATCCCTAAACGTTTACTTAACGGCAGCTTAGATATAAGTTTAGGCTCAACTCAAGATGTTTTTCACTAAAATTTGCCCATTACAACACTCTTTTAATTGACAGTTGAAAAAAAACGAAACCAAAGTAAGTAGTACAGCTGATCATAACAAAGAATAACATTATCATTTGCCTATGAAACTCTTCGTAAAAAATGGCAAACCACCAAAAGCTCGGGAAAATGCGGCTGACCGAGCCACGATTGGTGCCCGTTTTGCGTCTGATTGGTTGAGAGGATGGCGCAAAGTTTTTCTGGACGAATCACAGGGCGAAATGAAGCAAAAACAAAAGTCTTGAGTCTTGACTACGATAACATATTCTTCAGAACTCCCACGTCAATTTGCATCTCAGTGAAACATTGTGGTTATCTAATCATTTGGTTATTATTTGTTTATTAATCATTAACGTTTTCTTGCACATACAGGAACAATTTCGTGTTTACCATGAAAGCAACATGGATATTGAACAGAAGAAACAAAACTATCAGGTGCCCACGGCTTTAAAATGAATTATATATATTATGACCGTATGCAGTTTTTTTACCGAAAAAGCTCCCTTACGTTTTATTTAGTGCTCGCAAATACGACACTTATCTTGAGAGAATACGATAAGGTGAGAGCCTCGAATTCGATTGTAGAGTGGAATTATGCTTGAAAGTAATCATGGGAAGGAAAACAAGAGTAACGGAAACGGAGGGAACTTTAAGTCTCATCAACATGGATAAATAGAAGTGGAAACGGCATATCAGCATAGCCCTTTTGAAACAGCAAATTCTGAGAACCAACTGCATAAATGGTAACATTAGGTTGTCAGCATGGAGATTCGGGTTATTTACTGAAAGTGCATTAGCCCTTCAACGCCTGAGAGTGACTGGCATTTAATATCTCCTTACAATATCACCCCTGAATCTAACACGAGAATAAAGGTAATGATTATTAACTAAAAGGAGCCCTTGATTGTCTGACTAATTCTCCCTGTCGACACTTTAGGAAATGTCTAGAGAAAGGTGTAGAGAATATATATACTGATGTTAGGGTGTGAAGGATTAAAGCATTTATTTTGGTCGCATCAAAGAACAAAAGGTGGCGAAAAATATCGTAGCCTAGCTGATTTCCAATATGCTTTCATTTTCAAGAATGTTGTCCGAGAGCTTATCAGACGTTACTGGGCCCGGCGAAGACGTCAGAAAACCACTACAGAGAATGCCATTCCCGATCACCTGGCTGCCATGGCAACAGTTAGGGACCAGGTTTCCGACATGTTGAGCGAAATAAGGAATATCCTAAAAACAAATAAACAAAGGAAAGATCGAGATCGACATCAGTTGTCAGACGAGGGTCATTTACAGGTAAATAACAATGAGCTGTCAGAAGTTACATAGTGCAATGTGTGTACGTAACTGGTTGATGTAGACTGTAAGTCAATTTATTGATTTCATATCTCTCAAATGGACGGTATCGGATGGCGGACGTGGAAGAATGTTGTCTTGGCATGTTCATAATATTTCTCAATCGTTTGAATCGCGTACTCGTGAGGAATATTGTCAGTACTAGAAGATGAAATTCGTAAAGGGCATGTAACGTTCTGTTCATTATATTTATGCTACACAACTGAATCAGGAAAATTGTAAAACACATTTTAAAAGCACCGAATGCAGACATCGCCTGCACGTAAATTCAACTCGAAGAAATGCTGGGTCTTTTGAGATAAAGAATAACACCAGTCCTCATGACAAAAAAGGTTCATACTTGGGAAATTAGCTGGCAAAATACAACAAAGAAAGGCTTTAGTTAATTATAATTGCTCTTCTTTGCAGACGGGAGAGTCCTCCGCGGCCAATGGAAATCATAATCACGTACAGCTTTAATCATGATCACTGATAAAGAGACATTTGGTTATATTTCTAAAATACATCCAGCTACTGAAAATTACAACTTACAGTGAAATTCTTTGATGAACGAAATGGTGAACTGAAATATTGAATGAAATATTACATGAAGTTGGTGCGTGAAGGCAACGAGAAATTCTGTGGGAGGCAAAATATCTGTTCATTCCTTGTGTGGAATTATTCTCTGGCGCGCTATCGCAAAGTGTTTCTCTCTCTCTAGCGTGTGTGAGCATGCCTTAATCATTAGCGCTTCAGCACCAGCATTTCTTCAAAAATATGAGGTCTTGAGCAACGCGGAAGGTCTGTAAGGGATCTAGCACTGATGGCAGATTCTTAGGCAACCTTTTCCCAACTCCTACGATCCGTCTCAGAACTTCCCGCGAGTGGACAAACGCGCGTCTTGCAATTCTATTTAAGAAGGCCTGGTGGCGAGCTCGTTTTTTCTCCGTTTGAAATTTCACGCAACGGGACGGGAAAGGTTGCCTGACATCCCGGGGAGATTCGTGTAATGAGATCCTGATTGTGCTTACCATCTTTTATTTTCAAGTTTCTTCAGCTAATCTAATATTAAAAACTGGAGAAATGACAAAGTATCGATAATAATACCGATTAAGTAAAAATTAAGGATATTGCAAAAAGCTTGCCCGATAGTTTTAAATTGAAGATCTGCATTAAGCCAGGAATTCAGCTGACAAATAGTAATTTCTCCAAAGCGCAGTTCAATTTTGTAGTTGTTCGTAGTTTGGAAGTAAGGTCAATGTTATAGCATATTTTTGTAGGTAATGTAGCGTTTTGAAACTTTGCATTGTAAAGTAGAAATTGTTTGAAAATAGGTTAGTTAACCTTGTTACTGTGTAACTTTTTGATAAGAAAGATGTCCACGCTGACATTTTTTCTTTTGTACATGAATACACTCATTCTCATAGCAAAATAATAATTATATTTGTCTTTTATTGACGCACATAAGTTAAACTGGTGTGAATGCTTCAATAGTGAACAAATGCGCCCGCAACGGCAGTTAAATGAAGGCCAGAGATAACCGCTGGACACTAAAGCGTGACATCTTAAAGGCTTTTCGTTGGCGTTACGTCTCGAAGCTGAAGTCTCTGACCTTCAAATGTTACTTTGTCCCCTGCATTGACATGGCGACCTCGTTTTAAGTGCTTAATACAAGCAGCAGAGGAAAAAGCTTCTGGTATTTACTGCACATAGGGCGACGTACAAAAAGCGTTTCAAACGAAGATCACAAATGTAAATCAAAAATCCCCTTTTAAAGTTTGTACAATGTTGGGAGATTGAAAGTAAGTCTTAAAAGCTTTAAACTTGTAAATTAAACGGAATGAAAAGAGCCAAGATATGGCCTAAAGTGCTTACAAATTTACCCCAAATCAAAAGAGGGTTTACTATATTATATATGGGCAAAAATATTAGCAAATATTATGCAAATGTAAATGTTTAAAAGAACCCGGCATGTTAAAATTAACATAGTTATTTTGATTTTAATGATGACAGGGTGATATGCGAAAAGTGATATACGGAAAGTGCTCGCAAACCTTATTAACAATAAGATTTAGTTCCATAAATCCTTTATCCTATCAGTTGTAACTTGGACACCTCATATGAAATTTTATATCAGTTCACAACACTGATTTGAGATAACATTTCATATGACAAGCCAAGTTAGACTTATTCTTATTCTTTCGTTGAAGAAATTATTTCGTTTGATTATGTTTTCTATTTTCAATGTATAGTTATTTTTTAAAATTTTCATATTTTCAATGGATACCACGAATGTTCTTGATAAAAAAAAATTAAATTTTTATCTGTGTCAAAGGTATTTGTGGTAACCATCGGTTCTTTAATAAAACTTTTTTTTAATTAGGTTTTGGTGCTGGATGTGCTGAGTAATTTCCAGTCACATTAGTTATTATTGGATGTTGATCATGTTGAACAGATACAGGATATACTGGGGGCTGATATGGAGCTTTGTTGACCTGAGTGTAGACATCAGTCGGACGTATGAAGTTTTGGGAGTAAGGCGAGGGGAAAAGAGGACATGCTGTAAACGTTGAAGAGACGCTTGTTGCTCTTTGCTCCTCAATGGTAGATGAGCTGATATGTGATGGATTCGGGATGAGATGATGCCTTGGGGAAATGACCAAAGACTTGCCTTTATGTGGTAAAGGTTTTCCCAAAATGTGTGGATGTGTCAATTTACGGTTTGATCCTAGAGTCGGAATGCTTGTTGAGCAGGGCGATAACAAGATAGGGCGAGACTCACTTCCATCTCCAGCGTCTAGAGGTGCAATGAAGCCGGTCTCCTGAACTGGAAAAGTTTCGGGACAAATTACTGACAGAGCAACATAACCTGGTCCATTTTGCCCCACGATGTTTTGCGGTGAACTGGATGGCGATAATTTCGGAATCGGAGGTTGCTTTGAGTAGAGGACTGGCCGTGGGATCTTGTGTGATCCATAGTCCTCTTCAACACACGGAGATAAATTGAGATGGGATGATTTTGGATTCAGCAAGATGATTGCGGGGTTAGAACTATGTAATGTTCCCCAGAAATTGCAGTAAGATATGACATGGGGAGACGCCATTCGTTGTACAGTATTTGTTGCGGGAGATTCTGGTGTGTGTTCTCCTTGTGAATCAGGTTTTATCTCGTTTTCTGCTCGAGAAGAAACTTTCCTTGCACGGAACACCCTTTTACAGCGTCTTGTTACTCCGGGGAGGTAATTATACGGAAGTTTGTCAAACTTGTAAGTCGTCTTTTGCCCCCTAACCTGGAAAAAAACAGTTATCGACGTTCATGCTAATGTAAAATGAGCAAAGTGCAATGTGCCGATGTGCAAAGGCATCTAAGCATACAGAGCTTTGAATAAAGAAGGGTATGTTTCTGAAGAGACCATGGTGCCGCGTCGGTCAGGTATTACAGGAGAATTTGATTTTTTCAACTGAGTTGAGAATGCAAATTGGCCACCATAAAATGCTTCTAAGGCTGATATTTCGAGCGCTAGCCATTCGTCAGAGCAAGTGATAAGTGAATTAATAATGATCATGATAAAGTGGCTTTTAGCACTGGCACATCCACGGAATGACTCCTCGTCTATTGTTTTCCAGTTTCGAAGTAGGATTTTGATACTAATATGTCTTTATTCGTTCAAAATACATTTCCTATGTTACAAGTTAAAAATCTAAAGCATAAAAAGTATGAAAGGTGCAGAAAAATCCCCTTTTCTAATGCTAAATTATATTTAAAGACTAATCTATTTACATAGGTTTTCAAAGAGCGGACCGTATTGATCTTGGGTCTTTCAGAGGAATTCCTTCTAAGGTAATAATGGGTAGATTTCAATCTAGGTAGATAGGGCAAGAGAGGATGGTTTATAGTGTTAGATACTTTCTTGAAAATGTTACGGCCTTGTATTTCCAGAAGGTTGTTAACAGAACTGACGTTTAAAACAGCGATCGAGGAAGCCTTGTACAGTGGAGGGCACCATAAACAGCTAAGCCGTAAAGAAAATTTGGCAAAACCAGAGTTTTGAATAGATGATTAATTTCGGATTAATTGTAACTTTCTTTGCGCAAAGTTCTTAAGATATGTAGGCATTTGGCATTCCCATTTTTCATTCTTACCTTCGTAATAATTCCATCAGTGTAATACTGTCTCAAAGCTCGACTAAGTTTGTCATAGGTCATGCCTTGTCTACCATTTTCGAAGCCCCATAATTTTGCCACAGCTTCTGTCTTGATAATTCTGAATTCTCCCTTCTCCTGTCTCGTCCACATTATCAATGACTGACATCTTTTGTCTGCAAGGAGTTCTAATAGAAACTCCCAAAGATGCATCCTGTTCTTAAAATGCTTTCTTCGTGTTTGCTTTGGATACTGATCTGTGCACGTGGCAAAGACAACAATAGATGAGACTTAAACTAGAAAAGATTGGAACGGATATTCATAAAAGTTCAAAGGCGCCATAACTGCTGAAATAACATGAAAAGCTGACGAAAAGGTTTTAATTTTTTTATGGATTCTTCTTGATATTAATTGTCTTCCAAATACAATCCATCTTTAAGGGTCTCAAAGAAACAAAATGGTTTCCCGTTCGGCTATGATTACCAACGGGGAAATTATTCGGGTAAACGTTGTAGCTGTTTGTGGAACCTTAAATAATTACTCTCAGAATGCTATGTTATCGGAAAGTAGAAAAAGAACTTTAGCCATTAGAAGAAGCATTCAGAAGTTCTGCGTATCCGCAAGAACGCGAGTCAGGAGTTTTGACGTTGAGAATTGAAGACAGGAACTTTTGGAGCTGTTTTTTTTATAATTGCTATTTTCAAATATGGATCTGCAAATTGCTGTTTGATATTGAATGATGTCTAACTCGTGAGTTGGTCAGTATTTGAGGTATATATCAAAAAAAATTCACCCCAGCAGAGAAAGAAGTGGATATCTTTCTCCAGTTCGATGATTAAGTTTCGTGTGTTTTCAATCTTGCTTTTTTCAATTCAAGATCTTTCTTCCTAACTCAGTGATATTACCATTTACTAATTACTGCTATATTTGGGAATGAAGCTTATGGTAAATTTTACCTTGTCTCCAAATAATTACAATTCTACGTAATAGTGTAATTAAGGATATTGAACAAGTCCAGTTGTGATGCTCACACAAAATTAAAACCAAATTTGTAGAAATTCCACCTCCTTAATTTTCATAGCTCTACTAAGCCAATTCATGTTCTCTCTGAAGAATATTCGATAATATTTTCGTTATCTATGGCTACAACAACAAGGCGTGCAAAATCCTTTCGTCCAGCACTTTGTAAAACAAGTAATCGGTAATTTTGCATTTCCCAACAGGTCCAAACTTTTTCAGTAATCTTACTCCAGTTACTAATAACTCGCCTTTTGTTGATAATTAGAAAATTCACCGTCAACAATTATTGACTCAATGATAAACTGATTTTCATATAAATACGTTTCTCGAGATAGTTGAAGTCTAAATCATTCATCCAGCATTTTGGGAAGAAAACTTATACTAAAAAAGACTAATCTAGTTTTATTAGATCTAGTTTTATTAGGTACCTTGGCCATGTATTTACCATAGAACTGAGTTACTTTATAAATCAGAGTTATACATATGATATGCGTGGAGGTAAGTGAAAAACATTTTCACAGCAGTGCCCTTGACGTCGAAATAATTATCACAGCTGAATGAAGTGGAATAATTGCAAATACATTTCAATTTAAATTATACGCCGAGGATAACTTGATGTTTTTTTGCAAAACACCCGCAGATGATTTGAAACGGAAAATACATAGAAATCTATCTCAGGAATTTGATCCAACTTAAGTGTGGGATCTTAAGAGTTTAAACTGCGAAACAACTACTCTGTTTATGAACATGCTTACGTACCTTTTCCATTAGGGATGGAGAAAGCTTTCTTTTCAGCGTCCATCTTTGTTTAGAGTAGAGGGAAGATGAAATGGCTTAATGCCCTCTGAACCGGATCTTAAATAGGGTAAAATTCGCTTTCGATTGCAGACCAAATTTAGGTCAAGGAAGTACAATGTATTATGATATTTGGGAGCCCTAAGTTCAAGAACCTCCACGGGAAGTTGAACCTGCGATATAATTAGACACGATCATATTACTGAACAATCAGTCGAGTTTCGATGCACTTGGTTAGGCTTACGCCCCTATTAGAGTAGCATAAAAATTTTGCGGTCTGAAGATTCAGGGATGTATTTTTATCGTTCAAGATGAGACAAATTTCTGCCGGGAACAAACGATTGCGGTTTTTTTGTTCAACCTTACGGTACACTATAATATCAGAGACTTTAGACTAATTCTGTCAGATTATAATATTACTATATTTGGATGCAGACTATCTGTCCCAGCTAAGACATCTATCGCTATAGTGGCTCAAGTATTAAAATTGGATTTTTTTTATTCTAGACTGAGGATAGTAAATTTTTTAGCGTTTCATTTTGCCGGATGTTATCTTCGTTTTGTTCTGCTTTGTTTCGTTTCTCTTTGTTGTTGTTGTTGAAGTGGGAACTTATTTGTGCTGATCGAAGAAAATCTGTAACTTCCTTGTTACACAGCCGGGTATTTGTAAAATAGGTTTGGGACTTGGTAGAAAAAATGGTGCAGTTAGTTTATTACACCAGGTGATACACTTGGTAATCATGTTATGATCAGATTATCAGTGGTAAGACTTCAGACATTTTTAATCCTGCAATCAAGTTCAATCGACCAGATGAAGTCTTCATGAAAAACACAGGAAGTTTAAGTAACGGATGAGAAGTTTCCAAAGTAAGCTCCCACTTCCACTTTACATCAGAGCTGAATGAACATCCAACAGTGTTTGTTCCTCGAACTTTCCTTTTTTTTTGCAATAACCAGATCATTTAAAGAAACACTTATCACAGGTGCACAGAATAAACTTCTGATTATATGCAAGAGCCTGAAAAATTGATTCTATAACTCTCTGCCATTCTGTGATCTTAAGTGTTCCTCTTTGCTTTAAAAATAGAACAGAGCATAAAGTCCTTGAAAGCAGACATCAGATTAAATTGTATTTAACCTCCTTTGAGCTTGTATTTCCGTTAATAATGTGTCTTTCATTGTTATAAACTGTATAAAGTACAGGTGCCAAATAGACGTTTGTCAATGAGCCAAACGGATGAGCTCCTCCCAGAGCAGATAAGTTGAATTGGGTCTATAGTTCCAGTTTAATCAACCGTACAATTGCTACACGACTCGATCTCATTGATTGAGTTGAAATCGTATCTTCGTCACAAAACCGTTCACAGTATTTACTTTGGGTTTTACGCTGGCAATAAAATAGATGAGGGATAAAAAACGATTGTGAATAGCCCATAATTCGCTTAAATTGAAATGAAAATACTTCATTTTTGTGTGAAAATGATATTCTTTCTGTCTACTTGCGCTAAATTGCCCAGAAAACTTGCAAGATTCAATAGCCAAAAGCGTTTTTACGCAAAAAACATTTGACAGAAGGTGGACCACCGATTATTGATGACTTATGGAGATGCATCAATGCGCAAGACCGGAAGTGATTGCCACGTGTAAAATTCTTGACAGAAAAAAAGTACAACCAAATCAAAGTTCTATTCTTGTCGAGAACAAGATTTTTTTGCCAGCGCAGAAAAATATGAACTAGTTCTGAGTTTTCCCTCCATATAATCAAAGCCGATGAGCTAACCGTCCCTAACTCAACCCAGGAAACTTACAAGATATTTAAGGAACAACTTCAGCGAGGTTAGTTTGTTTTTACTCAGAGCGAGCTTTCGGTTGAGACTGTTCTTTCCCATTCAAATCCTTACAGTTTGCCCATTGTGCGATGTACACATTTTTACATGCACTAAATTCACGGAGGGTCATAGTACGAGCTTGGGCTACCTGTGGCATAATTAGAGTCTTAAAACCCAGAGAGAGGAGAAGTAGCTTTTGACTTCCTTTCCAGTAAAAAATTCCTCGTACAATTGTGCCATCGAGTCTCGCGACTTGGTATCGTTTATTCACCGTGAGCACAAGCTGTTCCCGCGAGACTTCCTGATTGCCGTTTGTGTATCGCCACTACGTGATAATTACTTGTGAGTGTTTGTATATTTGATTTGTTGTATTGTGAACATGTTTATGTTTTCATATCGTCCCAAAATGTTACGTAATTTATAAAGGGGAGTTTGTTTTGATTTTTGTATTAATTTAAGCCTGTATATCAATGTTTACATTCACTTTTTAGAAGCAGCTTCGTCGATGCACCGTTAAGTAAATATCTTTCTTTCTTGTGAATTTTTTTCTACAAGTTTTCGTTCTCTTGTATATATTTAAGAAACGTGTCTAAAATCAGACATTAGTGTCTAACAACGGACACCAGTGTCCACATCATAAAATCGAACACTAATGTTCAAATTTAAAAATCAGACCAATTATAATTTCGAACGCTACTTTCCGCATTATAAAATTGGAAATTAGTGTCCAAGTTATAAAATCAAACAGAAGTGTCCAAACTAGAAAATCGTGCACTAATGTCCAAATTATAAAATCAAATTATAGAGTCGGACAGTAGTGTCTGAAATGGGACACGAGGGTTTAAAATCCAAATTGTCAAATCAGACAGTAGTGTCTAGAATCGGAAACTGGTGTCGAAATTGAGACAGCGGTGTCATAAGATAGCCATTAGTATCCAAAATCAGACACTAGTGGTCAAAGCCCGACACTAGTGTTTCAACTCAAACGCTTGTGCCTTAAACCGACTCTAGTGTCTTAAACCAACACTGATGTCAGAAATCGATTACTGATGTCTGAATTTAAACATAAGTGTTTAAAATGGGACTCCCGTGGTTAAAATTGGACACTTATGTCTAAAATCGGACTCCGGTGTCTAAAATCATACACTAATGTTTAAAATATGACACAAGCGCACATGCCATGGATTTGCGAGTTACATACATACTCAAACATGCTCATTTTCTCCTCCTTTTCCCCCTTCTTTAGCCTGCTATACAGTTGTTCGTTTATGTTCAAAGTAGTGTCTGATTTTTACGGACGTACACTTACATCACGACCAAGTATTATCGCCTTGATAAGCTACCAAATTTTCTAAGCTATGGTGCTGCGCCGCGCGCACGATGTGAGCCTCGGCATGATTCAATAAATCTTATACCATAGCCTATTTTTTCTTTTAGTTGTCACTTGCGGATCAATATCAGTATCTGGGCAACTGCCCACCTACCCCTCCCCTAACCCAACATTAACCCTAACTTGTTATCAATTGACTCTTGTTGAGTTAGGGAGGGGCAGGTGGGCAGTTACCGAGATACTGATATTGATCCTCACTTGCAAACCCACCATGTTACTGTTCTCCATCCTTAAAAAGCTTACTTTTCCTCTAATCAGTCAACCCTTCAATGCAGATGTTGTCTGAAAGGACAGATCAGAGTGTCTTAGGAGAAGTGTCTGCGCTAAAGAAGTCATGATGGTGACGTCACTCTGTGTCATTTTTCAATGCAGTCTAAATAATATTTGAGAAGAAATAATAATGACAATGATAATAATAATTCTTTTATATACATATAGCGCTATTTCTATTGCTATTCAATAGCGCTTTACAATGACTGAAATAAACATAAAGTGCTTGATAATCTCGACCGGTAGGAGGCAGACCAGTCCAGCACCCTAACCGCTAGGCCACGCCGCCTCCCTGGTCTTGTGTTTGGGGAACACACAAACTATCAACGGGGAGTAGCTGTCTGGATATATTTTGGGAATATTTTGTGCTAACACTGGAGAGAGATAAACGTCAGTCTCTCCCATGGTTTGACTCACCCTCAAAACCAAGATAAGATATTTTATTCATCATGGCTAGAAAAAAAGTTCTTTATTGTATTCAGGAGTTACTGTTTTCGAGACCTTTTTCATATTTCGACAGCTAAACCATTAACATCTTTTTATGAGTCACTATATGAATTTAAAAAAATTGGAAGTGGGGAAATAGACGCAACTTCTTTGGATGTGTCAGTTGATATCTAAAAATTGAAATGATTCACCCGTACATCTAGAGTTCGTTATTACCTCTATTCAGATCCTATCCTTCAAAAAATGTTCTGTCGATTAATCTAATTAGATATTCTCCTTTTGCAATATAACAGCAAAAAAATAAAATTGGTTGTGTTATGTAAATTTTTACTTCTTTGATACTAAGATGGCATGTAGAAAAGTCTATTTCTAACGAATTCTGAAAGATAATATTATATGAACCAAAGGTCTGAGTACCATAATTGCCTACTTTTTACAATCTAGTCGAAAGCACATTATAGTGATAAGATGTTGACTGTCAACACTTAAAAATATTTTACATTTTCTACTTTTTACAAAATCTCTCGATCCCCAAACTCATATTGGCTCCCCTCCCTCCCCCACTCCTTCAGTGAAAACTAGTTCTGAACTGACCTACTTCTAAAGATTGGTTAGGGGGGGTTGGGAATCTCAAAAGAAGGCACATTTGATCAGCGAAATTTATAAAAGAAACCCCAAAATGTCACCAGAGTGTTTTAAGGAAATTTTCAAATATATTACTATCCTTAAGGTAACAGGAAGTAATTGAGAACACTCTGATCAAAAGGGATGTCGATCCCCCTATTATATTTGTTTGATGATCTTTCCTCTGTTTGAAGGGTTCAGCTGTATTTTTCCAGACACGAAAAGAACACAAGGTAAAACTTGATCCCTGATCTCGTTGCACCTACTAAATCAATCGCTAAATTATGCGCTTTTCTTATTTTATTATATAATTAACACTAATTTAAAAGACCTGGACCTTCGAAAATTATACAACTTAGAGTAGTATGAATTAATCAATGTTGTAAAATTTTACAACTGCAAGGAATGATTCAATAAATGTTGTAAAAAAAAACAGTATTACTCAGTCTTTTTAAAAGAGCACCGTAACCCACGTGTCTTCTCAAATTTTGCTTTACATCTGTTCTATCCAAAATTTATGAAAGACTGCGTGACACTTATATGGTTATCCGTACGGTTTATAACAAACTGCACTACTATGACGAGCTAAACCCGACTAAAAGTTTTATGCCATCGCTTGGCCATCGGCCGGGATCACCTTTTGTGGTAGAGCTGTTGGATGACCACATTTCATGATAACAGGCACTGAAATGTGCCTTATTCCATGACTCGCCTCACTGAAGTAACATTCGTTTCGTGCAGAAACAGATGGCACGTGAAGATCATGCTTACTTCTGATTGGCTCTTGTGGGTCTTTGAGGTCTGGGATATTTGGGGTGCTCAGGTAGTTTGGATAAGAAATTACTTGGAACACTTCTCGTGTGGAAGAAGCCTTCTCGTGCTTCTCTGTAGTTTTTGATTGGTCCTCCTTCTCCAGAATCCCACTGTCGTAAAGATTTTTGATTGGCTTATAATTGTAGGGGAGGTCTACAAATTTGTAGACTAACCGCTGACCACTGACCTATCATTTAAACGAAGCAAAATTTGTAAATGTAAGATGCATTTTAGTATCGGCTCTCTTTGAGTTGGCTTAAAATTGTTTTTTTTAACACGTTATTTGATGAATCGATACGACCACACACTTTTTTGGTTTGTTTATTTGAAAATGGTAATAAATAAATGCCAACTTTTAACGAGTTACGACTTTTCCTTAACATTATGGTCACCATAACTTGTTTACATCCCCTTTAGAAGCACATTTAATGGGAGTTGTCTGTGTCTGTATCCAAAAAACGAGTTCAGTGTGTTTTGTGACTAAATTCTTTACGATTGTTGCAGAGCCCCCTAAATAGTTGGTGCAAATCCCCCCTCAAGAAATAGAAACATCTTGAGCCTACAAAGACAAGGAAAATGAAACAAAATGGTGAGCATGAATCCCGCTGGAATCTAAAATTCCCCTCTCTTTTTCCTTTACCAACGAAAACTGAATTAATTTCTAATTTTTTATTTACTTTGTCAACAAGGATTATTAAAAAAAAATTCCACCTGCCTTTCTGATGATATTTTTTTGATAATAATATCTAAGGGCCCGGCTTAGTTTGTCATAATTCATTCCTGGTCGTTGTTTCAGTTCCCCCCAGCGCTTCGCAACTTCTTCCTGATTGCGAAGTTTGAACTCTCCTTTTTCACGTTTTGTCCACGTTATCAGCGAAGAGTATCTTTCATCCGCCAAAAGCTCCAATAAAAATTCCCACAAATGGACTGCACTTCGGGATGTTCCGCGTTTCTTGGGGAGAGAATCTGAAACTGTAATGTAAAAAAAAAAAAAAGCGGAAATGTTTATATGATTTATTCCTACACGAGGAAAACAAAAGAGAGAACTTTAATTCCTCCTAACAACGTCTTTTACGAAGTTAATGACGCACATCCCGCCCACACATACAGTGTTTTCACCTCGATATACCTGAAAACATTGTTTTCAATTAATCCGGATTGACATTGAAAACAATGGAAAAGTTTGAATGAATGAACGGATAAATCCTCTTTAAATCGGTCTCGTATGAATTGTAGCACTCTAGTAAGTTTAAATATCAGCGAACTTACATCGGGAAAAGTTTTAAAACTAGTTTTCCTTTGAAATTCGCAATTTATTCATAGTTTCTTCAATTTCATAATTTTTTACCAAGCGATTGGGTTAATTTTGTCTCCTTTCCTTTCATTAATTCAACAGAATTAAAGCACAATATGTCTTATGATAAATGCCAAGTGATGCCTTCAAACTGAAACTTAGAAAATCTGACATTTAAACTCGATAGATGTTCCTTGAAAGCAAGCACCTAGAAAAATTTTAAGGTTTTTTTTTTAAATAATGCGAAAGACTTCTTACCAAAACACCTTCAGACATTTATGACCTTAAAATTAAAATTGACTTTCTCCTTACAGATTTCAGATTATAGATTGCCAGGGATCCTTTCATGGGAAACAAAAGAAACACACGCGTTTAAAGTAAAGTAAAAAAGAATCATGTTTTCGATTCTTTGTTGGGCGAAACTTCAACAATCTGAAATGTTAAAACAATCAACTGTTTTTGTTTTAAGTAAATTTTTAAAAAAATCATGTTTTCGATTTTTCGTTGGGAAAAACTTCAACAATCTGAAATGTTAAAACAACCAATTGATTTTGTTTTTGTAAATAGTTAAGATTAGACTAAGCATATTCTCGACGCTAAAAAGAGCCCGCATTTGACATTTCAAGGAATTTGAAAATCCTATTTTTTTGAAATTAAGGAGCAAAACGTAGGCTAAATTGACGAAGTTTTTTCCTTTCTTTACCTGAGTAAGTTTGCTTTAGTGAGTCCGTCATAGTAAATTCGAATTCCACACAAAGTGATTTTTGTCAAGTTGACCTGCACTCGTTTTGAAAGAACTAAGTCGGATAGGAAACTCTTATGTATCAACGGATAGTGAGCCCGCTTTAAATTATGTTGAGGGGAGACAAATGAGTGCAAATGACCGGTAGGTGGTCAGAGAGGAAGTTAAACCAAAATACTAAAAGCTTGCGCGAGTTTCCTACGCACTCAGCTGCCATTCGGCAAAACAGAGGGCGAATGACGTTCGTTTGGGGCTTTAGGTGGCTTCCTGACGAACACGATGGAGGTTTTTTTCTTATTTTCAAACCCGGAATATTTTTGTTAAAAAAAAATGCACCGTTTGTGAAATTCTATTGATAGCGGCCTGAGTTATGCTTGTTTATTAAAGAATCTCAGTATGCTATCGTTTGCGTGTTTCGAAGGATTTTTCCTTTTTCGCAAAATCTTAACGTTAAAAATTTTCTTCGTTTAGTAGGGATTATTTTTCATCTCAATATGATTTTGATTTTTTTTTGTTAACAAGTCTACGCCTTTGGAGTATTTTATCCGAGGAAAAGAGTGAAGTGTTTGGTGATCAATTAATTTTAATGCGTCACTTCCATCGTGTTTCCTTCGTGAACTGTAATTTGTATTTCCTCTTTTGAAACTCAAATTAAGTCTATGTGTGCCGCATAAAGCTGACTAAAAGCATGATAACAAAATTAATTTACAGCGTGTACTTGTTGTTCGCATTTGCACATTTCACTAACTTGTGGGTACTGGATTTAAGCGCTGACCAAAAATGAACGCACATGCGCTCTTTTAGATTCCCCCGCCACACAAGCATACATACGCACACCCAGTTCGCCCACTGAGATATAATCTTATTTAGCCCGTAATTAAACAAAGAATGGAACAAAGGAAAGCGGAGAAAAACCAAGGGTGAATGGGAATAGCTCTTCCTTGTTTCCAGGCCACGATTGAATCACACTTGGTGCAAACAAAAAAAATTTTAACGAAAAAATTGCTCGAAAAAGTATTTAAAAGGCATCATTATTGAACATGTTTTTAGCAGAATACAGTAACCTGTCAGCATCTTGCAGATCAGTCATTCGTAACAACGTCAGTTTCGACAAGAAGTTGATCTACTCGACGGTGGAAAATAATGATATTTTTCTAAACTAGGTTGAAACGCTGATAATAGCTTCTGCAAAACTAAAGCATTAAATTTGTTAACCCTTTAACTTAACCCTTCTTCTTACTGTCTGATCAGGGAATTACCACAAATATCTTGCTTCCTACATGCATCGTTATTAGGCCTCCTTCACTCAAGTCGAAGGTACGAGTTAGAGTCCATTATTCTCTTGCCTTCTCGAGAGAAGACGTTCGTTCATTTTTTCTGTGGCATAATCTGAGACAAGAGATTATGATCTATTTCTGAGAATATTTGAATAAATTGTAGCATGATGCGTCAAAATCATGAAACCAGTGCTAACGCAACAGTAAGCAACAGAGGGGCTCAATCCACTGGAATTATATTTTCTATTTCCCCAATCCCGCTCATTTAATTCTAATTGCCCTCTCTTCTACGTGTGCCTTGAAAGGCAAAAAAAAAAAAAAAAAAAACATACCACCGGAGTCAGCCATCTTTAATAACGACAGAGCCGCTGCGTGATTTTCAGTAGTCGAATAAGTTTGCTGCTCAAATGGGAGAGGAAGCTTGACTGCAAGACTGTAGGACAGTGTCATAAATGTTTTTTTGTCTCTGCAATAAAAAAAAAAAAAACTTTAAAACTGTCATTCATATTTCATTGTTCGATAAATGACACAGTCTTGTCACATCAAGGTACATCTTGCATCTTTCATCTTATCGTCTGATTTACAATTATTTGGATGGAAAATGTTATGGTTTATAGAGGTTTCGCCCCATTGCAGTAAAACAAGTTGCCCCCATCTTTGACAGTTCGCCCGTAAAATTGTTACGGCAGAATCGATCATAATTAAATGTTGCTCGAAACATAGTGTGGTAGGGGAAAACTTGAAATGGAGCAAAACGTCTGTGAACTAATGCGGGTATCAGCGGCCATCCCGAGGGGTCGACCCCCGGGCACCCAGGGGCATTTGTCACAGCTGCCGTGACAAATATATGCTAAAGCCCCTCGGGTAGGGCAAAAAATTGGGACAAATACCCCCACCCCTGGAGCAACCTGGGCAACATATAGTCGGTGTTGCCTGTTCCTCGATGCAAAAGTACGAGTGATCATGGTTTACTGAAGCCACATCAGCACTAAAATCCACACAAGTCTCTATGGAGTCCTCAAATTCGAGCTTTCTGGGGCAAACTTTCTTGGCTTGCGGTTGTTCATCACACTGTCTCTTCCTATCGGCAAGACGCTTCGAATGCGAACTAACCGTATGAAATTGAAATCTCGATGTCGCTTTCCTTAAAATGCAATGAACAGATTCTTGGATCGCCGAGTGTCTTGAATTTTTATCCGCTCGCTTACAGAAAACCTCCCACTTCTTACGCTTATTGCGCCTTGTAGGAAAGCAAAAATAACAGCAGATTACGTGCAAATCCCGTGGGTATGGCCCCGGGGTATTTTGCCAAAAACGCAAAAGCGCTCTAATGCCCCGCGTGCGGGGCATGCCTTTGCTACAAATCCCCTGCTAAGCCCGTGGGTTGCCCTTGGGTTGCCCGGGGGTCGACCCCTCGGGATGGCCGCTGATACCCGCATAACGTTAGAGATAAAATAGAATAAAGTAATATTGCTGAGGAAAAAATGGAGACAAAACCTTCTTGTTTCAAACTTACAGGCTATTCTTATTAACAAAGCTGATGTTCCAAAATAAACAGTGATCTATAGAAAATCCTTGGTATGCTCTCATGTTGTAATAAGACGCTATAACATAGCCCCCTCCATCCCCCTCCTTGTTGAAGAAAATTCGCTGACGGCCGCACCCCTATGAGTTATCTTAATTCGTATCAGTTTAAATATACCATTGGCTCACCAATTTATCTACCCATATATCCCTGTTTCATTGCCTTAAAAAAGAGGCAATATGTTTTGGAGGCGTCGAGTTAAGCTGAAGAACACACACTTATAAGGCCTTGCCAATAAGTATTATGTACAGTGGTTACCAGGCTCAAAACGGTTGACTTAAATATAGAGGAACTGGACGAATGTCACGAAATCAAAATGGGAGGCCAACCAAATCTTTCAATGAGGACTGATATTCGACTCTGACACGTCTTTGAGGAAAAAAAAACTGGTCTGTCTAACAAAAAACGTCTGAGAGCCGTTTCACTGTCTGTGTCGGGGAAAAAAAAAGCATTTCGCGTCCTAGAGCTCCGAGACTATGCCGAGACAGTAATTCAACGAAGACAGCTCGTCGTTTGGCGATGAGAAAATGGGCACGCTGGTACGGCATGACATGCAAAGGCAAAATAGTTAGACGGATAAGGCTTGCTAATAACCTTTACGTCACTTAGCCAAAGAGTTTTTGACGGCGATGAAACTAGTAAGTCGTTTTTAACTTGTCTCAATATAAGGTAAACGTGTGTTGGTGATGCTAAGAGTTGCGTTGAATCACCACACATCTATATAATTGAGGTAAATCAGTGCTTATGTATCCTGTGATAGAGCTCGAATCAAGCTAAAATGGTTGAATGCGAAATATTGTTCCTGGTGAGGAATTAGAATATTAGCTTCCTAAATTGCTTCACTCTGATATCTTTCACCTGTTTCTTGATAATAACAACCTGTACACTCTCGAAACCATTTACCCATGACGATTTCCTTAAGGTTCAGTCAGTGTTTATCATATTAAAAGCCAAAAAACCAAGAAGAAATAACAGGCTCTTTCACTTTTAAGCATACTATTGAGCAAAACATCATTTCACCTTAAAATAATATGATTTAGGTCAAGAACTTGAAACCTGATTGCTTCCAGTGCAAATCATTCACCAACTTCGTCCGTCACTGTTTTGATCGGCGCAAATTTCTTTTGAAGCACAGTGTTCTATTTAGCTGTAAACATTCAGCTGCGAACCAGCTAGGTAAAATGTTTTACCCTTTCCTACCTTGAGACCCTATTATCTTCTACAGAATATCAGTGGTTCCCCGCAGACCAAGAGAACGAAACTCAGTAAACGAACGAGATATCACTGATTTGATAGCGAAACATTGCGATCCGGAAACATAAATTCTGCTTATATGGTATTTAAGGGTGTATATCTGGTCTATATTTCCCGTCTACTCTGAATCGAGGTATTACTCGAAAGTGAAAGCCCCAGTAATTCATGGATACAGTTTTTTGAGCTTGGAATTTAACAAGAGGCGTGTATATCGTCGTAAAAATTTTACGAGCGAAGACATTAAAACGAGGAAGCTTTCAACATTCTGTTACCTGTTCTTAAAAAATATAACTGTCTAAGCCTAAAATCGGTGAGATTCATTGGTTGATATTTCGTTTAGTTCGCATAGAAAATATCTTCTGCTCAACATCGCTCAAATCTCCACAACTATCTCCTAACATATATTGCTAAATATTTCGGAGACATTAAAGAACTGGTCACGATTCTAAGTCGTTGGAGTGAACGTGACCTTATATACTTCCGCCGATTCTTTTGTTTACAAACGAAAATAAATCTTAATTCGCAAAATATACGGAAGCCTTCTCTGCGAAACCTAAAGTCCCCCAGTATTTAAATGATTTATTCCACCACGTCCGGTGACAGTGTTACAAGCTACAAGCTTGAAACGTGCTGACAGTGTTTTACAGAGTTTTCGATTGTTTTGTATAGAACCATAGGTTGGGAATTTGCCATATGCTTTATAACTTAATTTTCAATTTAACATTCCGAAAAGGATTAGAATTAACGAACACAGCTAGGTCATAACGTATCTTTTTAATAAAAGGTTTAATTTCTTTAACCGAGTTTAAGTTTTGAGTCAGAGTGAAATTTATAAATTTATGTATATGCCATATTTCAAGTAAAGGTTTAATATCATTATACTGAAGTATTTCAAGCCTTTTTAGATTAAAATATACGTTCAACAGACAAATTAAAGGTAGTAGTAGTATTTGAGGAAAGCCACGAATGGGCTACAGAAGCCCTGAGGTTAGTTACCCTGGAACCTTCTGCATTAAAACAAACAATTCTCCAAATAAAGCAGGTTTATATAGCGACTAATATCATCAAAAAATGATGTAGAAGCACTTCCTACGTCAAAAAAAAGCAATAGGTTACAAGAAAGAAAGGAAATTATCAAGAAGATAAACTGAGCTGCCTTGTGATAAAAGGCAGTTCAATAACATTAACAGTTTTGTGCCTGAAACAAAAGAGTTATTGTGCACCTGGACACCAATGACAAACATGAGCAATTACAAGCAGAAGATGAAATTTGAAGGTTGAAACATCGCATGAAATTAAGAGAGAACTGAAAGATTCTAACAGGCCATGAAAATCAAACTCTGATTAAAAGAAAACTTGGAATAGTGTGGCAATTTGTACCACCCCATGAAAACAAAGGAAAGACAAGGTAGACTGAGTCATACCATGCTTTACCAAGTCAACCCAGGCCATGACCAAGCCATGCCATGGGATGGAAACTTTGCTACAAAAAAAGGATGAGAAAATATCACCCTAAGACAAGTTGAAAAACCTTGTCGTGGGTAACATGACTGGAAATTGTCTGTCACTGAACTGACACAACATATAAGATGTGCCATGCTGAAAAAAGTTGAATAAATAAAATTATATTTTGTACACTATACTATTCTTCTTTATCGTCCAGAACTGCTGATCATTAATTGCATTTGCTCATAAAAAAGAACCCTACATAGGTATTTTAAATGACCTAGAGAAAGAATTCTTCATTGTGCCTGAGAAACCTAAGTACCAAGAAGCTATGAGAGGTAAACAAAGACTGGACACTAGTGAATTGGATCCCCCGAAGTTGAAACAGAAGAAGCCACGAAAACTGAAGTGCCACGAAGTTACAAAGATGAAAACAAGGGTAAACCATTTAGAGCAGAGACCATCAGAGAGAGAGGGAAAGACAGAGACAGACAGACAAAGAGGAAGAGACAGAGAGAGAGAAAAAGAGAACAGAAAAAGAAATAATCAGAAATTAGCATCGATTGTAAATCAGCTCCGATAATATACAGACACATTCCCCCGCAATAACTCAGGCCAGGAAATGACAGTGTTTTTTCATGTAACTTCATACCAAATTTATAGATAATGGAGTCCACTACTTCTCTTGCCAGTTTTTTGAGTATCATTCCTTTGTAAGTATCCGCAGGGATTTTTACTAGTTGAGTCCACGAAACTACTAAGCTCTTTTCGTGTGATATTTTAATTTCATCATGAACAGTTTCACCCTCAATAAGCTCAGCCATTGGTGTTAAAAGTAACGTCAGAAACTGACCCAATGACGAATTGCGTTGTTTCAGGTTTTAAACCTGCGTGAATTGGGAATGTTAACAAAAAAAACTTAATTCATGTTTACAGTATTGCATAGATAAAACAACCATCCTTTCTCACAGCATAAATTAACTAGGGGAAGTGGTAAGCCCCTATTGACTTCACTCTACGTCACCAAGACAACAAGCGCTCCAACTCACATGGCATTGATCAAACATGGCGAACTTCCGTTCGTGACAAGAACAGATGTGTTTAACCTTTGATTTCACAAACAATTTGTACGTGCCAAATTCCTCTAAGGCCGTGAACATGGTGAACGGAGAGAAATGTGTTTAGCATTTTTGGCTCTCTCATAAAAGTGCAATTTTTTGAAAATAAGAAAAAAAAACATCCTTGTAGTCTATTCCTTTATAAACACATGGTTGAGTTCCTTGCAGAATCCGATCAAAGATCAGCGAGTCAGATTCTGTCCGTCGTTGTCTAGTCGCTGTGCTGAACGGTAAGAAAATACTAGGTATTATTTCTTCAAACTGATATCTTTGTCAAAGTCGTAGTTTCAAACCTTAATTAAGTTTCAGCAGATAAAAGAAGGTGCTTTTAGCCTATACTTCAACAACAAAGTCTTCTTCCTCACAAATAATATCACTCACAAACTTGATGATTTAAGTGAGAACGTTTCTCGTTACACAACACTGAGTAAAAAGATAAACGAGACGTCGCGACGTCAAGAAGTCTAATGTTGCGTCTTCTTGATGTTCAAGTTTTAAAGGAAGAGCCTTACGATCAAGACCAAGACCGATGTTTCTCTGGCAGTAAAGTAACTCCAAGATTTACCGAAAAATTTCTCACTTCCCTGATTCATGCCGACGAGGGCTTATTAGACATTTTCAATAAATTTAAGATCTTCGAAATACAGGAACTAAAAAAAAACCGAGCAAAAACTTTCCCGATGAAATTTGCTATGGCGGAAGGATATGAACTAGGATGCATATGTTATTTTGGGGCAACTTGAGTTGTATTGATTATTAAGATCACAAAAGTGTTTCCTTCTTCCTTATTATTGTTCAGCAATATCGTGTTTAATAGATGACTCACCAAAGAGACAGTCTTATTTTTATTCAAAGGAACTTTCAGAAAAGTGACTTTTGCAAACAACTGTAAATTCGCAAAGGTATTCATCCACATCTATTTTGAAAAACTTTATATCATGTCTTTTATATATGGCATTTCGTTTTTTTTTCTAGCATACGTGACATACCACAGCATTTTTGCAACCTTGCTGGAAAGATGAAGTTACAATTCAGACAAAGGATCAAAGTGTGTTGTTATCGATAAAAGCAAACAATATTCTGTTGGCCGCGAACAGTCACCGCGCTGAACTAAGAAATGGCCGTAAATCTTCAACATCATAGCAATCTAAATATTCCGTAAGAAGCAATTCACTTAGCGTGTTTCTTCGCTTTCGTCTTTGATCCTTAAACTTCAGTGTGTGGCTTATCATATAGCCTATAGCTTGAGCTTCAAACCTCATTAGATTATTTACGAATCAAGTCTTCGAAGAAAGTGCCTCTATGAGTCACGAAATTTTTACCTAACGTTTGACGAGAGAGGCTTTGACAGAAAAATAAATCCGACAGCACCAATACAATGTTCAGCCATAATATTAAGTAAAACGGATCCAGTAAATATCTCAAAGCGAGTAATTAAAATCGGTTAGTCGAGGATTCAATTATCGACTTATTTCCTAAAAGAAACAACGTCTTCAAATTTATAGCCAGCTTAAAGAGGAAGCAGAAAGAGGTTGTGCTTATTTTAGGGTAACTTACCAGCAAAATTGCTCCAAAACCCAGGTTTCAATATAGTTCACTGCGATATTTTCCTCCGAAGCGTGATCTTAAATAAACGAACACCATTTACTACAAAACATGATAACAAAAAAAGGATGCAATATATTCCAAAACTGGAGTCAACTTTCTGAAGAAGGAAGTAGGAAATTAATGAGATTTCGCTTACCAGGATTAGCAACCTCGGAAAGCACTCAACCGGGAGATTGTGTAGAACGTGTAAACTGGAACAGGACGGGAAGAGAAGTGACTGTTTTTGGTTTATTTCTAGCTTTTGTTGTTGTTGAAGGAAACAACTTCCTTTTTTGCTCTTAGTCAAGATCAGTTTCGATTTCGGAGTGACCTCATATAAGCATCGCGTTATTAAAACGACACGTATTCGTTTGAGAAGATAGAGTAACAAACAACAATTATCCAGCATTTCTTCCTGTGAGGCCCTTTTTAAAAAGGACAAAACGTTCATTTTTTTTGACAGAAGATTTGATTTCCACCAAAAGGATTTGGAGCCACTCAGACATGATATTAATTTCCGAGTTCATACTACTGAGTAATAGTAACGATATCAAATTCCGGATTTCCAAAAATTTATTTTAAGAATCGACGTTTCGTAACTTACCGTCATGCTTACATGAGTAAAAACCTGTCTTTTTGTTTTCCACAGTATCTAAGCAGTTTGCATAGTTGTGTTAGATTTACAACACAAAACTACAGCTGTATTAAAGAAAAATGTTACGAAAACAATCGAAATGGCGGGTCACGCGCGATTAACGCGCGGGTCTGCGCGTAGAAGACTGCATTATTTAGTTCCCTGCCGACGACGATTTTTGCGCGGGGTAAGTTTTATTGTGTTACTATTTTGGTTGTTTTTGATGGACGATTTTTTGAATAAAAATACGTAGCTTGCTCGGCCTTTATCTAAGGAATAAGCGAATTCAACTTACTGGCGTCACTACACGTGCTGCTATTGCAATAAAGTGACAGAATTTAGTTACTTTGATTTAAAATTCGGCTTTTATTTTGCCTTGTGATTTAATAAGGGACGAATTAATCTGTGTTAAGGAATGGCAGTATCATCGGCTGAAAAGAACAATGTGGTTGCCTTGCTTAAAGGACGAGAATTACCTCCGGTGTCAGATTTGCCACTCCATCTCAAATGTTCCTAAAACTCCCGAACTTGCAGACAATGGTGACTGAATTTCCTAAATTAAAAATTACAATTTTGGAGGCTCGAAAAATAATTTAAATGTAAAAATGTGTCAAGATATTCGAGAAAATCTAACCCTTTTTTTTCTTCAATCAAGTTCTATTATTCTGCTTCATCTTTCCTTCAATATTCATCAGTTCCACAAAATAATATCCATTTTTGAACCTTTTATCCGAAGTAATATGACATGAAGTCTTCTTGACGCGCTTTATCTTCCCGGGAAACGTGAATTTATTCCTGATTCGTGATCTCTTAGTTTGTTTTCTGTGAACGCGAAAGATCAGTTTTGGGTATTATCCGTGACGCGAAAAATACAATATACCTTCACAACACTGAATCATCTTAAAACATGGAGTTGACTTGGACGGAATATCCACGCTATTCGATCTGTTATATGCGATCAAAACTTACCAAGCAAACATTATAGAGTATGATATGTAATGGATCCAAGCGATACAATTTCCGGTTCTTTTTTGTTACTCGACTTGAAAGAAAGGATCGTGTTTTTAATCACTTTATTTCACTGTAATGAGTTGTCTAGCTGCTTACTTTTCAAGGGTATAATAAAATAATCGTTACAAATCTTGTTTAAACCAAGGGGATGATATTATCTTCTAAAATTTAGCCGAAAGTTTTAAGTTTAGTGTCGCACAATCCTATGTATCCTTCTTCATCATTTTTATTCCCTTTAAGTACAGTGTTGCCTCTTTGTTGTTTGTCTGCCTCAGCACATTTAGATTCAAAGGTTTTTTACCCGTTGAGAATAATTGTTAATAACCAAAAAGAAAACAAAGCAAGATGTTGTGTTTTAACGCTTCGTTGGAACTTAATACGAATAATATTTCCAAACAATGATGTGATATTGAACAGTAATATCGAGTCCCTCAGAAGTTTTGGTCGACGAGTTTCGTTCAGAACTTCAGCGTTTCAGTAACATTTTTCTACCTTCAACTGGCATTTCAAATTCTCAGCGTTTATAAAACACGAAAAAGGTGAATCGATATAATAAATTTTAGTGTGGCGATGGGTCCACGACCTTGTAATTAACTGACGTTAATCACTTCAACATAGACTTTCAGTCTGTGCCCCCTTTAATTCGCTTATTAGTTCAGGGAAACGGAACTCACTGTGCGATGCATGCAAATTACAAATTTTTCTTAAAAGCACTGAATTGGCATCTACGATTCCAAAACCATCGATGAGTCGACCGCTTGAAAGCAAAACCATTTCCATTTAGAAAAGACAGGAATATTCTTTGCGTTCTACGTTTGGTGTTCTTCAACACTGGTCCAATCTCTTTTCATCATTTCCGAAACGTCTCAAAAACTGACTAAGAAATAGAGTCCTGAGCTCACAGCTTCATAGATACGCATGATACTCAAAATAACATTCTATGGTGTTCACGGCCATGGGTGACGTAACTAAGTAATTGCCATGACTGACCATGCTTAATTTTCTTGGAGGGGTTCAGCTGTGTATTTGATTCAAAGCAGAATTTTGACAGCTTGCGGTCAAATCCACATTATATCATTCCTATACTACAGAAGGTCCTCTGTCGTCATATCAATCGCTCATTAGCTCTCTGTTGAAACTTGTATTGGTTCATCTAAAACTTTAGGTGATAAATTCCTCATACTACAAGTTTCCCGACAAAATTCAAGGAATAAGTTCTTGTTCCGCGGGATACGAACGATCTTGATAAATTTGCCTCTACTTGGGGTATACGTTCTAGGCCCCTTTGTCTAGATCTTATTATCCATCGTTAAGCTGCTTAATTAAGGGGGGCAGTCTTGTAGAGTTCACTTCTAAAACCGGATTTCCCAGTGTAGTTATTCGATTCCATTAAAACAGCGTGACAAAGCATGGAAGGAAGTCTTGATAAGTGTAAAAAATAAATACGCTTTGTCTGAATCAGGGGTCATTTAGTTCGAATTGTCACGACAACTCTCTCTGACCCCTTCCCGGTCGGTGGAATATCATTTCTGAGAAATCAGTAATATATCGTTAACTGTGACAAACAGCAAATTACAAGTAATCATAAATCAAAGCAAAATGCGTAAAGGCAATGAAGCGCAACCGGTTCTTGGAGAAACTTACGTCTTAACAAAAGGTATTGGCGGAGTAGAGGCGGACGTGCGTGAAGGAAAGTACAGGAAAATGTAAAGTCTCTATCAATAAAAACATCATAACAGGAACTCAAAAGAGCTGTGTAATGGTGGTTACAAAAATGATTGTGTAATAACGGTATTCTGTTGCTTAATTTTTAAAAATGATTTAAGATTTGTCAGATTCTTATATTCTCCTTCTTCCCAGTCACCATCAAATGTTAAGCTGGCGACCGCGAATGCTCTTATGAAACGCATGGCTTATGTGACACAAGTGTTTTGCAGACATTACTTTGAGAAATCTGAAAGTTGTTGGTTAAATCCGAGCCTTTAGTCGTTAGGAATGAGTTCATTATTCAAGCTTTTACCACGTCAGTAGCCCAAGAGTTAAGGAATCTTTCCTAAATTAAATAAACTTCTTTGACTGCTCCAAAGCAATGCGGGGCATTAGATATTTATAACAAGTATTGAATGTTTCAAAGTGGAAACCGTAAAGAAGCTGAAATTCATACCATTGTCGCGTACGAACTGACATGGTGCGCAATTTACTTAGATTCGAAACTCGAAAAAGATAAGACACCATGTTTCGCTTTAAACACAGCGAGGCAGGTGCGAAATAATTTGCTAATGACAAAATATCTAGCAAGCGTGTTGATGTTGCATTACGTGACAAAAGTGAATTTATATTCTTTAGCGATGCTTCCTTTCGTGTTTTTGCAACAAGTCATTTGCGTAGCTACAAGTTCTCTTAAATCCATGAATAGTTAAGAATCACTTACCGTTTAGTCACCAAATAGCAGAGGTTTCATGTAGAAGCGAAACTGTCGAACTGTCTGACTATCCTAGTCGGTACTTCCGCCTTGGATCGTGTCACGTGATTAATACGAAGCCGAGTGCCGGAAGTTTACGTTAGTTGTCGGAGTTATTAAAATTTTTACTCGGCCACGACCACATCAGATGTTTTAAATATCAACAAAATTAGCACCATTTTCCGCTCCGCTTGTGAAGAATAATTTTGTGGTTTGCAAAAAATGGTTCTCTTTGTATTTCCGCGTTTGATGAAACGAAGCACGTACGCTGCTGTTGACTATAGTTTGCCGGTCTTCGATTGGCCAGTATTTAGGAAACATGGACTAAGCGACACGCTGAAGCCGAGAGAGATTATGTTATGATTATTCATTTCAGGCGCTGAAGAACTCGTTTTTTACTCTCCGATAGTCAATTTACGGAGATGACTGAACTGAAATATTTTAATAGTTTTGGTTTCTAAAACCGCGTCGAATTTGTAAGCAAACAAAAATAGATGACTTCAATCAATATTTTCTATCTGAAATTTGCACACAATAACAATGGGGTCCGTTTGAAACAGAACAGATTCGACATCTCTCCAAATATTTTAGAAAATGCTTCAGAAAACAAACCAATTTCTATGCATTATAGTTGTTAAATTGATGAGATAGGCATTGAAAAATTTATATTAATACTGTATGAAGTAACGCAATACCGTTTTATTGATATTTCGCGATGCAATCGACGATCTAAATGCTCCAAGTATAGAAGTAAATTTTAAAGAAATTAGAACTTATCTAAAATCTAAGTTATATTATCTCGTCAACCTATACAATTTTTTTGTTGCACATTATTAATTTGCAAGATTCCTAGAATTAAAATAAATGGAATTGCCGGGAAATCAGAAAGGAGAATTGATATTTCGAAATATAGATCTTTTTCTTCATCAAGTTCAAGAGCTAAATGAATTACAAATTTAAGTTTACTCACCTTAAACACTCACAACAAACGGTGGAAAACGTACAAGCGTATCACCATTTCCATACGTAATTTACTTGTCAGAATGTAGACACGTGGGTCCGTTGTTTGACACGTGAATTAAGTACCTCTGTCGAGGTCATTGTGTCTGTTAAACGAATACGCTGGAAATGACTCCTTATATAATAACAAAATTGTCACACAATACAACCTTCCGCGTTCGGTTATTTCTAGGAACGAGATTTATCCCTTCCTCTTTTCTTGAAACCCAAAAATGGATCATCGTGAATTATTGTTTTTACTCAGATTAAGCGGAAGCCGAAGCTGGTAAATAATTTATTCTTTCATATCATTCTACTTCCTTTCTAGGTCTTGAACGTTCCGACATGTTAATTCGCATAACTTGTTTTGCTTTTTATAACAGGAAACAGAAGACTGTTTCGCTAGTTTCGTACTCTCCGGTTGTTATTGTAGAGGCTAAATTATTGACTTCCATGAAGCTACACAGGTCTCGCTTGGGCGAAAGAAACTAGAACGTGATAAAACGAGATTCTTGGAATGAAAGGAACAATGACCCGACATGTTGCTGTCTGCAAAACAACGTGACATGGCCTTAATTTCCGTGTTTTTCAAAACGGGAACCTTGACGACAAAATTTCATGCTTCATTTCGACTCATAACACTTCTTAAAACACATCTCTTTAGACAGGCATTTTCATGATTGCTTTTATAGTTCGTTTTCATACTTTTTTTTAGTTAGTCAAATTGTATATTCTTAGCCTTTAATAATTCGTTTTCATATTTTATTTTGCTTAGTCATATTGTATAGCGCATTAGATCATATCCGCATGTATTTTGCGCTATATAAGTAATAAATTATTAATTATTATTACAACTAAACCTTCACAAGTTCTGAAGGGCAGACTTTTGAGCTCAATAAATAAAATGAACTTAGGCAAATGACAACCATTTTTAATTCGCTGTTTTCCTTAAGAGAGTCGCTGTCGCGATTGATGAAGCCCTCAAATCCTCACGTACAACGGACGTCATTAATAACCCATTAATTTGAAACGAGGGAAAGATTGTTCATTTCGTTTTTGTCGTTACATCATAGGAAATTACATAACTTCACTTTTGATTACCCGTTCGCGAAATTGATTTGGGTCGAGACGTTAATGTGGATTGTATAAATTATGTTTTGACGCTGAGGTAAAACCGTTGTGAGCAGTCGGCCATGAAGAGAGTTTCGCTGACTGATTATCATCCTGCAGGTGATGGTTCTTACTATCAATAACTCCCATGAGTGACCAAGACAGAATTTCTCCTTATATCACGATTTCCCCCTGTATCAATATCGATAAACTCTTCACATCCACTCCGGTGAATAATTGTTAATTGCTAATGAGATCTTGGGAATTAAATAGAAATTTGATTTGTGGTTATCTTTCATGACGGTGTCCAAAAATGATTTATTTCTTAAGTTGTTGAAGAGAAAACCGCTATGTCACTGTAAGTATATACCAAATGCTTTTCGGCGAGTGAGTTTTCTATGATTGAAAGGGTTTCAGTTTCCTTTAAGCAAGTTTATAAGCGTGTATTACTTGAAAAAATGCAGGACAATTTCTTTGTGATATGAAGAACAAAAGCTAGACTAACTTTTTAATGAATAAAAAAAGTAAATAACTAAATGATTTGAAATAAACTGATATTATGTATTTCACCTGTATTCAAATGTCGGAAGTATTTAGTAAGTGTTTGTATTAGGCCATTTCTAATAATAGACCGAACAGACTGAAAAATACATCTTACAGTTACTGCTTTAGGGTATCAGGCTGGAAAACAGAAAGATTTCAATTTATTCACAACAACTATTGCTGTAAAACAAGGCGAATATTACAGCTAATTAACTAAACATAATCTATCGTTGTGTTTAAGTAGAGCGTTTTTCGACTGAGTGACGTTTAACCACAGCCAAAGTAATTACAACAGCCAATTAGGAAAAGGTGAATGACACAAGGAGCCAATGAGAGCTCGAAGTAAAAGAAGTAAACAACTTGAAGCGCGGGAAAACGCGGCGACCAAGTCATAATTAGTTTTAGTTTTGAATTTGATTGGTTGAGAAAGTGGCGCGAGTTTTTTTTTTTAAACCAATTAGTGAATCAAACCAACACAATCACAGATTAGTTTCGACAGTAACCTTGAAAATTGCTCTTGACGCTCTAGTGCACCTTTCTAATAATCAAATTATTGAAAAAATCTTATAATAGTCATGTAAAGCTCACCAATTTTGACAATATATTTTGAAAGTAAAGATAGCGCGCAATTATTGAGAGGTATATAGTATGTAACGCCATCGAGATTAATGTTAATCACAGTTAATGAAAAATTCCTTGCTAAAATGGTTTCAGCAACATGAAATGACTGGTACACGACTTTAAAATAAAAGTGATATGAACCACTGAACACATTTCGAATAGTTATTTCCTGAGTCCTCGTTAAGATTTTTCCGCATTACGCTGGGAGAAATGGAGATACAAAGTGATAGCGGACTTTCAAATCATGAAAATACAATGACTATTTGGTGAAATCGTCGAATTAACAGGCATCTTAGAGGTGTCAAAACAACATTCCAACTAGTATTCGAATTTCCATTTCTTTCTATTGGCAAAGAAATTTTCGAGGCAACACCAATCAGTATGAATTATCGAGGGAAACTCCACTTCCAACACTGGAAAGCAGGTGAAAAATATGAAAAATATAATATTCTCTCACTGTAACGTAATGAACTTGATAATGTTTTGTGCACGGAAATTGTGCCTTAAAAGCAGCCTCCAAAACTCTTAAAACCAAAGTCAATTTTTATTCATGAGACAAAACAAACCACAAGAGATAAGAAACGAAAAGTTGACAACTCACGGTTTTTAATGATCAGATGGGAATTCAACTGCAGACAAAAAAATCGAAGGAAAGTTCTAAACTGACAGTATGCATTTAGCAAATGTCTTTCGCTTGTATAGAGTGATTTGATTTCATCGAGTCCGACGATGCTCTAGCATATTCTTTGGCATACCACATAAACATTATTGAGGCTTTGTTAATTAAGCTTTTCGCTCATTGGTCGAAATAACTTGTTTTTAAATCAGATAGTTCTTTACAACCCCCTCTGAATAAATTACGAGGAAAGGCTGAGAGAGAACGACAACAGGTGTACATTAAACATCAATCACAGTTTACGAAAATTCATTTAAAATGTTTCAAGACCGGGTGTGAAATTCTGGGTTTCGCAACGTCTTGTTTATAGCTTACAACGGAAATTTCATTAGTTTTGTCGCTTAAGATAAAGTCTCGCCAGACAACGGAAGCTTCAGAACAACGTACAGACAATCACTGCATTGGTTCAAGATCACACCACTTGAATTTTTCGCTGCAGTGAATCTGGTTACATAATTTTATTTATTCTTCACAAATACGTCTTCAACTGCCAAAAAAAACTCTTTTCTGGGCCGAGTTTGAAGAAATTTAAGGAATTCTTTCACCATTTAGAGGATTTTTGCATTAAGATTAGTGCTACAAGTTTACTCGTGCTCCGACTAGGAACGCTACAGACATGAGAGTAGGTTTGGATTCGTCCTCCGAAGAGGATGAACCTCTATTTAATATGGAGGATGTGGAACAAAGAGCGTTTGAAAAAGACAGGGATCTGCCCCTGTGGAAGCGATTTCTGATCACGTTGAAAAAACTGGGAGAAGACAGGAACAGTTTGAAGTCCACACTTTGTTATTGTGGTGTGTTCATGGTATTTGGAATGTCAGATGAAATTCTGGGTCCTACTCTTCTCGAGCTCAAATGTTTAACTGGAAAGTCTATCACCCTCATGAGCGTGCTGTTTTTTGTTCACGATTTGTGTAATGTTTTTGGATCAACATCCGGAGGATATTTAGTCGATCGGTAAGTACTGTTAAAATTAGAACGGTTATGTAAGTTTTCGTTTGTTACTGTTAGCTGTATCATTTCAGGAAACAAAATTCTTGAAATCCAAAATTAGGAGTGCCCTTTCGGCGCGTTCTAAGAGGTTGATGCACATCACACGATTTTAAAATCGTAATATTTTCGAAAATGGCAAAACCTCGGCCTAGACAATCTAAGCAAGCTGAGAACTATTCTATTGTCGATTTTAGTAAGTAGTCTTGCAAGAAATTAACAGCTAAATTCGCATCAAAACGTGAAAGGTCCTTAAATAAATTTAAAATCTAGTGTTGACTGACTGATTGGGGAATGGTGCATTCATGTCTTCTCATACTCAGAGAATAAGATCTTCTCTTGTTTCACATAGATGATTGGTAATCATGCATATGTGGTTATGGCTCAAGTCGGTGGTTTTAAAATATATATCAGTATTTCTTGATAACGCCATGATTTCTATAGTATGTGGCCCGAAATTCAAATTTACAAGTCTTAGATATGGCCAACGTATTTTTCCCGTTAAAGTTACTTCATAGCAAAGAAAATAATTTGTTTAGTAACTAGATTTTACGGCGTGGAAAATCACAGTAGGAGATTATGAAAATGAAAACTGATCACATAGTCATAAACTACAAAACAAAACAAAAAAACAATTTTTTTTACTCTTTTCTTCATGATGCGAATACTCTTTTTAAAATACTGGGACAAAATATTTAAGCCAATTTCCCGAGATTCGAAAGTTGTGGCTAAGACTTCTGTTTGTCTCATAAACGCGAATTAAACTTTTTAATAATTTACCATAATGATTTTCAGAATATTTCCTTTGTGTGATAAAATATCAAAGTTACTGAAAAACCTTATTCAAAAGTGTACCAGCGTTATACTTCAATCTTGATATGAGTTAATTAAAAAAGTATTTCACTCGGCTGTTGTTACTTTCAAGGATGTAGCACGATAAATTTACACGGCTTTCTGCGCTGAACAAAACCTCAAAAAGAATTCCTTAGAATTTCAAAATAGAAGAATGCCAAAACATGATCTCTGATTAGTTTCACGCCGGAAAAGCTCTAGCCCGTGATTAAAAATTTACGATTTCTGGAGCAATTTCTAATAAAAAAAACAAAGGCCACAGTGATAAGGAAAAGGCTTTTTCTCTTCTAGACCGCGGCCGCAAACAAACCACAAGACATTTCGAACTCTATTATTACCGAAATCGCTGAACCTTCCACGAAATCACTATAATCTTTACAATGGCTAGTAAACTCAAAACTAAGAAGCCTTTCCAGGTTCAAGACCACATTGCCTGAAAAACAAGAATCAAATAGAAAGCAATAATAAACCTTCATACGAGGAGATAAATCTCATATTTACTTGAGGAATTTAAAAGACAAACAATATTCCTTATTCACGTCTTAGTGCTTGCTTATTTTCAAGTGTTTATCCTTATTCTCAAGTCTGCCCTTATTAACGCTTTTAAGAACAAACATAAAATTATTTCAGAAAAGCTAATTACAGATATTGTTCATCAATGTACTTGTCACCAGATAAAAAATCATTTCGGTTTTAAGACGGTGACAGTTTTGCATTTTCAACTGTTTCAATTTAAAATTCATGGCTATCATAAAGGAACTTCATCCTGCGACGCATAAATGCCAGATTGTAAATGCAGATGCAGATGCAGATGAAATTAGTTTTTCTTTCTTTGATTCTTTTGTAAAAAAAACAGCGACGCAAATTATCCTTTTTTTGTTTTAGATAAATGCCAGATTTGTAAATGCAGATGCAGATGCAGAAACTGAAATTAACAAAAATAAAGTTTTTCTTTAAACTTTGATTCTTTTGTAAAAAAAAACAAAAAAGACTAAATGGGTCGTATTCCTAAAGAAAAAATACAAAACCGAATTTTCAATCGTAAATTATCCTTTTTTTTTTTAGTTTGGTTGCACTAAAAATACAACCTCTTACTGGCCTTTTTGATTACTTTATATGACTGTTCCAGGTCAAGTCGCTAGCTATATTAAGGCCCAGGAGCTTTACGCTACTAACTACCTCCAACTCTTTGCCTTCAATTACTATGGGATCAAAGAACCCGGGCCTTTTAGAAAATGAGATCAAACTCGGAGGGCACAGATCCCCACTCCGATCAAACACTTAGTACGTTTTCTAATCAGAATTTCATGCTCCAGATTGTTCTTATAGTAGCGCCATTTCCATCAGTGTTAATTGACCAATTATGTAACATGCTAATTAAGGCCATAGTCGTGGAAGAGTTTGGTATTGCCCCGTATTGGCTGTCGTCAATGATACGCTGGTTTGACGTAGTCGTCCACAATAAACCCTTCTGCGACCTTAGAAATGCATGGAGTAAGCGAGATAGGTCTTAGGTCCTTTTTCAGTTCCTTTACTGATTTTTTTGGGCAGGGGTGTCACGTCAGCCAACTTCCACATTTTTGGTAAATGCTGCTCGGAAGGAGGCATTAAGGATTTCTGTCACTGGGAAAGCCACTGCATCTGAATATTCCTTCAGTAGCCAATTGGGAATTCTATCAGGCCCACACGCTTTCCCAGGGTTAAGGTGAGACAGAACCTTCTGAACACGTTGTTCACCCACGTGCAGGATCTCTGGTGTTGTATTCGCCTCCATGGGGAGAAACTCTAGTGGAGTTGGCAGTCTGTACTCCTCCAGCGGTTCTAAAAACGCGGCATTGATGGTGTTGGCCTTTTCTATTAATGACAATTCTGAAAAACTTCCACGTCAATCTGGCTCAGAAGGTCGCCATTTTTCCTTTTTGAGCCGCTCAGACGCTTTACTTCGTCCCACCATTTCTTTGGGGCTTCTTGTCTTAAATTCTGAATTCTCACTTCATAATATTTAGCTCTGCATGCCTTTCTTTCCCGGTTAACCAGATTTCGGAAGAACTTGAATTGGGCAGAGTCGCCGCCATATGATTTGAACGCTTTTTGTCTTTTCAAAATCATTGACTTCAGCTTATGGTCAATCCAAGGAGCGTCCGCACTACAGGTGCGAATTTCTTTCTCAGGCATCAGAATATCAAGCCCTGTATGTACAGCAGTGTGGAAAATCTCCCACTTTTCCTGGCAACTATCCGTTTTAAGTCACGCCTTTTAACAACGTGCTTTCTGTTTACATCACGTTTACCATCTTTTGGCGACACAACAACAGCGTTGTGATCCGACAACCCGAATGGAGGGTAGGCTTGTGGCGGATTATAGTATTCTTTCTAATATGGCATCCTTCCGGGTCTGAACTTGAACTATTTGCTGGAGACTTTCAGCAAGCCCTTAATATCCAAGCGCCACAGTTGGGATATCGGGACTGGAACAAATGCTCCCGGATAATGTCCCATCGGCCTTGGGGGGGTGATAGATCAAAACCCCCCGGGGAGGCGGTTTGGTCTTATTCAGGAAATCGTTCAGTTGTTTATATTTGCACCGTTTTTCTTGAATTTTTCTAGTCAACAACGGTGTCCAACACAGAGTCCTTTAAAATATGATTACGAGTGATAAACTCGCTAACTTCATCCATTTTGGGGCTAAAGACATGACATTCCTTAACATGATCTTAAACTTTGGGTGACCATTCAGTGGAAAGGAAGTTCAAAATTTCAAATAAAACTTTGGTGGAACAAAAAACCGAGCGACTTCTTCGTCGTTGAAGATAAAATGGCATTCAGGGGAATAAAATATCGCCATGACGGAAAAAAACGCGCTGAGCTGCATACAATGAATACAACGAGTGCAAAGTTTTTACTTATGTCTTTTACAACATTTTCAACAGATTCAATCCCAATGTCCTGGTGACAATAGCTCTCGGCCTAAGTGCTATTTGCATCATAGCCATTCCGCTCAGTCATATCTTCGTCATCATGCTGTTTTTGGCTGGAGTATTTGGCGGGTGTTTTGGCGCCACGGACACGTTCACAACCGTGCAACTAATACGCATGTATGGCAAACAGGTAAGCAAATGAGAATTGTCATAATTTTTATACCACAACAAGCTTACTAAAGGGGGCTCACTTCATTCTCTTATAATACCCTTTCGTTCGTCCCTCGCTCTGTACCAGGCGACAGAATGCTTTAAAACGAGGGGGCTCATAGGAAAAGTGCCCAAATTTAAAAATTGGTGTGTATGTGGTTCTTTTGTGCATAAAATTCTGTGTGTAAGTTCAAAAGTGCCCGATATTTTCGCAATCGATTTGTGTCAATGCACTATAAAGCAGTTGCTCAACCAAAGTCTTAAGATATACTATTTCGCTAAGCGTGCCTTTATGAAACAATTTGCATTATTTTCAACGCGAAATTCTTGTTTGAACCAAGCGTGTATTTTCATGAGTGAAGTGTTGAAGAAAAGCTAGAAGGCGCAGCGAAAGAATTTTCGTCGTCAGTTCATCGTTTTGTAAGTTTGTTTGGTTGGTTTGGTCAGCTCCTTCGACATGTCCTCTGCTTCTCAGAATTTGAGACCTATTATGACACAATTTTACGATCGTATTAATAACAATGATAATAATAATGATAATGATAATAATTAATATTTCTTTGACGCATATTAACATGTAAATTCGATCAAATGACTTGCGATGTTACTTGCCTTGCAACGTTTTTATATACCCTGATTTTAACAAAATTCTGTTGCTTTTTGCAGGTCTCTCCGTATTTGCAGGTAAGATTCTAACAAACTCTCGCTGAATTACTCTGATTACGGCTGTTAAGAACTGTCCAAGCAAAGGGTTTCTTACTTACGGCGCCTAAAAGGCTCAAATACCTAAGCATTAAGCGTGGCAGCTCACTTTTCCATCATTTTTATGTGAAAGAAAATACTAAGTTTCACCGCCAATTACACCTGAATGCACATTTTGTATCTCTCATTCGCCACATTTATCATCAACTATTTCACTCTTCTTCGCTAACCTTCTAAATACTCATACATTCCTCTCCTACAGGCTCTTCATTTTGCATATGGTTGCGGCGGATTCTTGAGCCCGCTGATAGCACGGCCTTTCCTACGGCGTCGCTGTGTTCTGGTAGTGAACTATACGACTATTGTCGATGAATGGCCGTACGCAAATTCTACTACTGGTATTGACAATTCTACACACATATTCCACACTCAGGAAGAGACACACCGTGATACTCATGTGCGTTGGGCCTACTGGATTGTAGCTCTGTTGCACGTAAGTACAAAGGATCATAATTAATATAATTTTAGGCAAACACTAACCCCTTACTAACCAGGCGCGAGGGCCGCACTGGTCAATATTGACCCAAGGTCGTGGCAGTACGACTGAACCGAGCGCAACGAGGTCCGTACAGAAACGGCTGAAGGCCAATATTCCTTAGTTCAGCTTGAACAAGCGGGGTTAGTAAGTGGTTTATTATATGGCACTCGGATTAAACTTAGTTATTTTGAATTTGCCGGCTTTCGAGAGCAAAAAATACACATCCCAGGAACGTTTCAAAGAAAGCGGTCCATAGTCCAAATGGCAAAACCCAATCGAGTAGGACCTAATCAGAACGCTCGGATTTAACTCAAGACTTCCTTGCCATATAACAAAGGTACGTCAACAGGAATTCTCCAGAAAAAAAGCAATGTCTTTATAGAGCAATGAGTCCAGAGCTGCGCAAATCCAGCCTATAATTGTGATTAAGAGGTGCAAAGGGAGACTCACCAAAAAGGGGCTAAGACGGTACCCTGAGATTCCAAAGGAAAACGGTAGTGTTAAAAGGCCCCACGAATAGGACATACTGCAATAGAGAAAACTTTAAATTATGAACTAAGCAAACTTATTCCATCCTTTTGAAATTACCGAGAAAAATGTTATTCAGAAGGGAACAGCTGGTAAACTACAACTTGGAATGACTCTGACTTGTCTTTTTCAGCTTCCAGTTATATTTGGTTTGTTGTGGCTGATGTTTACGCGCAAGTTGGCAAAAATAACAGGAACTCTAAAAAAATACGAATATGAAATGTACGATGAACAAAGACTCAATAACCCAGGTTAGTGTCTTCATTGTATTTTAACAATATCACGTCTGAGAAAAATGTAAAACCACTTTCATTATTTTGTTTCAAAGTATTTTCCAGGATTTTTTGCACACTTATGAAACACTGTCGCAAGAAGAAAGGGTGATTTTCTTTGGATTTCTTTTTATTTTGAAAATTAACTCTTTAGTCTAACTTTATTATATTTCTACGATTATTAATTTACCTTCCTCCATTGTTTTGTGGACTGAAGCTATTTATTTTAAGGTTTATCCCGCGTTAGCTGTTGTAGAAGATTAAGCCATACTGGAAGATTAAAAGGCGCTTTCCTTTGAATAAAGAGACTCTTGGAACCTCTCCCTTGGGCGTGTTTAATTAGACTTTTGACTGTACAAATTGACAGTTATAAATAGGGAGGGGGCGTTGTGCCTCTTTCACACAAAACTCCACGATTATAAATGGTAAAATCAGTTAATTCTACTACAGTCAATAACAGGATGATGAATTTCGTTAGGTTACAACCATCACATGGTTACATTGTATCTTAACGGAAACCCTCCATGGCTAAAGGTCTTTGGAGACGATCAGAAACCACGAGTTGTGGTCGTCACAGTTCTGACGTCACTGATTCTGCTGCTGTACGATGGTCTTATGGTAGGTCACGTATCTTATAACGATGGTCTTATGGTAGGTCACGTATCTTATAACTTGCCTCGAATGATCATGACGATAATAATATAAAATTGGCCGAACGCATTGGCGCGGGACAGAGTTGAAATAACGATAACGATTTCCCTTTAATTATAAAACATGAGATGCAATTAAGTATGCCAAGTAGACAAAAACGAAATTCATTGATAGAAAAGGTATCTAAGTTTATTTTTTGCTTTGCCCTCCTTAGTCTAACTAGTCTAGTGACTTTCTAGTTAACTTCTTAACTCTCATCGTGAGTCACCACTGACTATTCAAGGTTATTAATCTTATAGCAAGGTTATTAATATTAATTAATCAAGTTTTCTTAATACTTTACACTCGTTAAATTACATTCGACATTCTAGTTTAACTTCAACTCTAATTTAAAGATGGAGCCTCACCTATAAATCGTCCTGGCCTCTTCAGACTTCCTCGCCTTTACTTTTTCTGCTTTCTATTTTCCATGTATTATCTTTGCAAATTAGCTTTGTCCCCCTTTTAATATGTAATTAAAACAAATTATAAATAAATTTTAAAAAATCAAATTAATAAAAAACTATAACTGTTTCTTCAGGCCACATTTGGTGCCTTTGTGTATTCCTACGCCGTCAAAGGAGCAGTTCACATCAAACCGAGTCACGCGGCTTATCTTAACTCTCTCTTCTGGGTAAATATACAACAATATACTGCACAAATAGATTCCATGTTTCCGTACTTCTAATCAGTAATAGATCACGGATGACGTCAGAATGTGGCACACAAGGCGCCTTCGAGTGTCACTGATGTTCTTACCATATTTTGACGTCTTTTGGGGTCTATTACTGAACAGACCCAGGGTAAAATGGAATCTATCTTTGTTTTATATGATGATCGAGCAAAATGCTGTTAACAGTGACGTCAACTATGCGTCTGTCTTCCGATAGATCATAAGTAAGAACCAATCAAACTTCGTGTATCATTTGGTTATCATATAAATTACAATCGTGTATAGCGAGAGGAGACAGGTCTCGTTAGATTATTACGCTCACGATACGATCGAGAAAAAAATGCATTTTCTTTTCCATTCCGTTTTCTTTTATTCTCTTTTTTTTCATCTTTTTTATCTGTTTTTTTTTCAGAGTTTGTTTTCATTCTCTTTATTCCTCGTTCTAAAATGAAATACTCGAACTATCTATTTCCTTCTTTTACACACACAAACCTTTCGGCGATGGTGATTTTTTTTATTAACATTTCTGTTCTTCCAGGGTTCACTATCAGTTGGTCGATTTGTGTCCATACCTGTAGCCATGTATGTGAAGCCTCCCACAATGCTGATGATAAACTTGGTAACATAATTAATATTTTGGGGGATTTTGCAAATGTTTTTACTACATAGACTGACTGAAAGATTTCAAAATTTCAGAAATAGTTAACTGATCATTTCTTTCACTTTTTTCCGCACACTTCAAGCTGAAAGCTGAACGACTTTGACTGAAGCTCTCATACATCCTTCCCAATCACTATTATGCAATGAAAAAGGAGTTTCCCCATAAGCTTTTCCCCTTGAGTTCCTACTGATCACGTGAAGGTTCCACTGTGTCTTTATTTAAATCAGTCCGTTTTTGCGATCGGCTTCCGTGAATTCAAAGCTAAGATAACCACAAATTCCAATCAGATGAGACTAAATAATTACCAGAAGTCAATGATAACTCCAACATAGAAACTAGCAAACGGTCAAAGAGGAAAGTAAAGAAAAATAAAATTAATCCTGGATTATTTTTGACATTAAACTAAAAAATTACTTTATCAGTCGGTATTACAATGGAGGTTGCATGAACCTTTAGAGGCACCTCCTCCCCCACCACCCTTTTGCAACACCCTCTGAGTGGAGGAAGTTAATTAAGAGGCCCCTCCTCCCCCACCACCCTTTTGCAACACCCTCTGAGAGGAGGAAGTCAATTTAGTGAGTCAATTTTCTGGGTGGAGGAAGTCAATTTAGGTGTTGACATGTTTGAGGCCTTCTTTTCATTATCTGAAGTCAACATTTGAAACCTATCGTCCAATTTCAGGTTGGCTGCCTTTCGTCAACACTTTTCATGTTAATATTTGAAGAAAGTGAGCCTGCACTCTGGTTAGGGACAGCGGGGGCTGGCCTATTCATGAGCAGTGTCTTCCCAACCAGCATTGCGCTCGCCGAGTATTACATCGACCTCACAGGTCAGACAGTAACTACCTCCCTAGCTTAGTTCTGCAATATGAAATCAATATACAGTCTCGTGACCAGAGTGGTAATCCATGGTTCTTACTTCCTCAAACGTAACGACTCGTTAATAATTGTTTTTTAACGCAAATCCTTCCTCATTTTTCTCGTAGCTCCCGTGACCAGTGTAATGATCGTCAGTGCAGCTCTGGGAGAACTTATTTTGCCCTTGGTAGTGGGACAGGTGAGTGGCTAAGATATTTTTTTCGATAGTGTTTAAGAGAGTTTGCACGTTACACTTTCATCCCAGCGACTTGAAGAACACACCTTCCAAGTTCAATTGCGCTTTTGCCGCCAACCTCTATATTTTTTGTCAACTTAATAGCTACTTTTATGATAAATTGAAATATGTACTCATCATTCTCGTTCCAACTCTCCAGATACTAAACAAGCCCCTGTTTTTTCACAGGTTTTCGAGAGACTGGGTCCCGTTAGTTTTCTGGCAATTGCGTTCTGCGCATGCTTTATGGCTCTGATGATATTCATCCTTTTGCGGTCAGCGGAAAGATCAGAGACTGGTAAGTTACATTCTTGAAACAGAAGAGTATGATTTTATATTTACCAATATGAAATTATTTTTCTTCGTTTTGATAGACTGGCTTGGATTTTTCTGGTTCGTTTGGTGTGGTCAACCTCCGAGCTCTGCAAACCAGCCAACATACCAAACACAAGCCCACGACCCCACTCCTACCGTGGAAACTGGAGACAACCCTCCGATAGAGACAGTGGAGCTGAACATTCAAGGATAGCAAAATTGGGTTTTAGGTCATAACTTCTTCTTTAGGTGACCTCAAGACGGTTTCTTTGGTTTTTTTTAACAAAAGTGTTTGCAGGAGGCACGTTTCTTCGCCTATTGGAATATTTGAGACTAGTCGGCAAGAGATTTGCCGAGGGTTAGTGCCAGGCCTCTTTCAGACCCCTGGCTGGCACGAGGCGCCGAAGCACCATTTATGAAGGCCCGATCGCCGGCTAATGATTTCGTAATGCTGCCCTTTTTTTTTCTTTCCTTTCCTCCAAAGGCTGATTGGCTCTGATTGCGGTTGAAGAATCTATTAAAGGATAGAATAGTTGTTTTTTTGAGTGCACACAGTGTATTTTTGCTTTGGTGATTTCAATCATCTGTTCAAATACTTTAATTATCTCCAAGATAATATCAACTGCTCTCTCATTTAGATTTCGATTTCGTTTGATGGTTTTTTTTTTGTTTGTTTTTTGGAAGCATCATGCTAAAAATTGTGGTTGACGATCATTTAAACAAGGAATTGTTAAACAAAGAAATCGTTTGAAACCTTCTAAAACCTTAAATTTGGGATTAGCAGACGAAACTTCAGAGTGTTTTTAGGTCAGTATTTAAAATCCTGTGTAATGACGTTATTTTTGTGTATAGATGGAAGTGGTGTTTTTGGGGTCATTGAAAATTTCTTCTAGGCTAATTTAGCAAATAAACCTTAGCTCCCTAATAATCCTTTCAGAAATAAAAAGGGACAGCTTATTTTAATCTGCTGAACTGATCTCCCCAGCCTTCTCTTCCTGTTCTGTGACATTCGGTTAAGGCTTTATATTTTACCTTTTTTTCCACCTTTGTTTTTTAACACGTTAAATGCTTTTCATTCAAAAAAATTTCCCGCGTTTCCTGACGAACCGTGCTTTTTTTTTTTTTATTGTTTTATATATTCGAAGTGGCTGGCTTATTAGTAACAATAATGAACTTCAAAAAAATGGAAATAATTTTCTGAAATCTTGTAGCTTTTTTATAGCTTTGTTGGAGTAGGTGATTTCAAATTCGACAGAAACATTTTTAATTACAACATAAATGTCAAACAAAGTATAACTTGGGGATAATGAGGCACAATGTGAAGGCATTCCAACCTTTGAAAATAAGTGTGATGTTCTGGCATGCCTGGATATTGTAGAAATTCCGTGACTTGTTGTTGGCTGGGAAATAAAAGAAATGTAAAACAAATACGGCTGTTGATATGACTCAGACCCTTGTCCTAGTTTTTCTCACATGCCTGATCGAGAAATTTCTGGGAACGATTTTAGCCCAGGTTCCGAATTGTTACAAATTGTCATTTTATTGAGATCATTTGCAAAATTTTCTCTTTTTCCTTCCTGAAATGAAAAGGAGCTTTAAGGGAACAGGTTGATATCTGTGGTAGATTTATTCAGTCCTACTATTGAACAGCTCCTTATGTCTGTACCAGATAACCAGTTGGTGCAGACGCGCCAAAAATCTGCTGTCGTCTCGCTTGCATTTTCGCCCGCCTTCGCTGACTGAGTTCCTGACACAGGTTACCTTTCACTGTTTGGTGTAATTCTGCGGTTAAAATGCAAATATTTACAAATCTATTTTATCAGTTTCAAACATGTTAGCTCCCTGATGGAAATCCACATTAGGAGCGTTCTTGACACCAAAGAGAAAATCGCAATGTTTTGTATATCGCAAAGTTGGAAATAAATATCTTGCTCACTCGACTCCAATCAGATTGAAAAAAATTTGAAGATGACGAAAACACAGTTCTCCTTATCTTTATTTCTGGCTCGGTCCCACTTATGATAAGATTGTTCCTAACAACTCTCTTGTTTGTAGCACTGATTAGAACTTAACTTAGCTACACCGGTAACAATTGGTCAATCTGCAAAATAAGCTAGAAATCCCACACCCTACCGCAGGGAACCGTAATTTCTCCACAGTCACCCACCATGATTTACAGAATCTGAGGTTTCTTTAAATTTGAATATTTTAAATAATTAAGAACTTTCCCGAATAAGATTCAAAGAGATGTTCTGGCTAATTGAAATTTTGAATAATTGAAATGCAATAGATTGAAATTCTTTCTTTCGTTATCCATAAAAATGAAGTTTCCTTTAAAGTATTTCCACTCTGAAGTGAAAAAACGAAAAAAAAAGTGCAGGAAATGTTTTAGAAAATGAAAAATTTTTACTGTACCGTCTGTATATAAATTTAGTAAAAGTTTAAAACTAAAATGAACCAGTTGGTGGCAATTGTTCATCATTCAAAGATTTTTATTTTAACGAAGTTCTTTTCAAGTAGTGTTCTTAGCAAAAGATCTATTTCATTCCTAAGTTTCAAACACTTTCTGTCTATTAAACTATATCACCTACATATAGCAATATTCAGAAAGTTTGCAAGAATCAGTCACATCCAACAAATAAATAAAACATGGCGTCATGAATTTTTGATCGGCCGAACCTTGTCGCGAACGATAATTTCGAAATAAAATCTTAGTCTCGTCAAATTCAGGCGAACAATGTAATCATTATAATAGCAAAAATAATGAAAGGTAAACAATGATTTGTTTTAAAGAGTGAATATACTTGGGTGAACTACAGGCGACAAAGCTAATCTCAGAAAATTTTTCATTCACAAGGTTTGTTTGTCTTAAACGGATTTTCTTCGATCCAAATCGCGTGACGTCACAAGCTTATATTTCCATTTAGTCGAGACAAAATGGAGTGAACAGATTTCCCAGTTTTTTTTAAGCTTTCCGCTTGTTAGCGAACTGAAGATCTGCGCTTGAAGTCCTCCGGCGTCTCCACGTAAGTCCACAAAAGAATCATCGACCAGTATGTTGGAGAATTTCTTTAAGGGAGAAGTGCCGAGTATTTTTGAAACAACGATTAAGCGCGAGAAAGGTTCGCGATCGGAGGACAACTCACCAACTTCGAGATTAAAGAATTACAGGAACGAAGAGGAATTTCTGCGAAGCGTTAAAGCAACAATATGTTATTGCGGTTCCTTCTGGACTTTTGGAATGGCTGCTGCTGTTATTGGGCCGACATTACTCGAATTGGGCTGTGTTACTAACCGGCCGCTAAATGTGATGAGCTGGGTATTCTTTTCGCAAGCTTTAAGCGCTCTATTTGGTTCAAGCATAGGAGGATTCTTAGCCGACAGGTATATAAAACCTTTGATTTATTTGATGGTAAATTAAATCAAACTGTCAACAAAAATCAAGTAGCTTCAGAAACTGAATTTAAAGTTGGGAATGGTCAAAACTGTTTTTATAACCACATCAGTGCGTAGAGCTCTTTTACACAATCTATTTTAACATCCATTCTTTAACGCATGGGATTAAAAGTTTTTGTCATAAAAATTAATTCAATGAATCCATAAGTCTTCACAGGTTATGAATGTCATAATATATTGCAGATGGAATTTTTCTCTCGAGAAAAATATCTTATTTACTTTGCTAATGTTTGGACCAGTGAGGAAAAAGGTAGAAATGAGTGAGTTATGATCTTAAAATCAATAGTTAGTTTCTTGATATAAAAAAATCCTCCTTAAACTAAGCATTTTGAGTGAACTGATAGAACTATTTTTAAAACTTTCAGAAACTACTAAGATTTCACAACATACTAAAATTTGAGCATATGATAAAATTATTATTTTTCTCCATTTCTAGATGAGACAGTCTTAATTTTTTTGTCTTCCGGCGGCAATTTTATCACTTCTTAAGCACCTTAATGCCATAAATATTTACATCGAATTATGTTTAAACGTTCAACATCATTTTGGATAAATGGGGGAGAAACATGTTTTCATTTTGGACAGCGAATATTACTGGGGTCTTGCACTTAAATTGCACTTACCACGCGTCTCAAAAACGTTTAACAGCATACTTCCCTCTTTTCAGTTCGAAATACTAGCTACAATCGGCAATATTGGTTTTTTACGATCAGAAATGCATGTTGTGTATCATAGCAACTGGAAATTGAGATCGAAACTGCGCTCAGGGCATGAGGTGAGCGTTGCAGCTTTAGTAAATCCTGGTATAAATTAGAAAATATCATAAATAACAAAATTGTGCTTTTAATTTCGATGGACTTAATTTCCGGCTCAGCGGTTATACGTTTCTAGAATCTTAATTCACCTGAGAACAAATTATCATAAATTTTATTGCTTAATTTTGTGGTACAGTATTTTACTTGATAAATACACAGAACAGTCTATTTCAAGAATTGATTAGCAAAAAAAACATGATTTCATCGTTGAAAAATTCTCGTCGAAAGTGACATTTATTTAAGATATGACTTGAAGCATCGGATCGCTGTCGGTATATTGGGTCAGGTAAGGGGTTAGTGCGCAATTGCTCAGATACCGGCACTGATCCGAAGTTTCTATAAAATTTCAGGTACGACTGCAATATCATACTGCTGTATTGCGTGACGTCTGTAGCAATCTATCTTGCCGTAATCCCAGTGTGTCACGTGTTTGGCGTGATGTTGGCGTTTTTCGCCATGTTGGGGGTCCACATGGGAGTGATTGATACCGTATCGAATAGTGTCCTCATCAAGATTCACGGGAAAAAGGTTGGTATGCCACTAACGAAAACACTATGGGTGAATCTTTTCTTTTAATATTAAAAAAAGATTTTCCAAGGAGAAACCAACGCCTTTTTATTCATAATTTTATCAGTTCACTCACACCTTTTTATATCATTTGTAGGTGGCGCCAAGATTGCAGGTAAGCTAAAAAAAAGAAAAGATAGCAGTAAGTAGAACCTTCCGTAATATGACAGGGAGTTTAGTTATTATTTAATTAGATATATATTCTTACCGGAAATTTTTATGACAAAGTGAGGACCAATTGCACACTACAACTTCCCGTCAAACCCATTAGTTACAACTACTCCTTTCAAGTACAATTTCTCAATTTCTACAACATTTTTTGTCTGCAGTCTCTTCATTTCTTTTACGGCCTGGGGGCACTGGTCAGCCCTGTCATCGCAGAGCCATTTCTGCGGAGCGCATGCTCGGATGGACATTTCAAGAGTAACATCTTTGGTTGGACGCTGGAGAATTCGACCCTGGAAAGATTGTCAGAGTACAGCGTTGATGGCTTTCCAGATATCGATGTTAACCTGACAATTCTAAATGAGACCATATCACAGATGATGAGTCCGCGCCACTATCACACAAAGTCTTTTGTTCAATACGCCTACTGGCTGGTAGCGCTTCTTCAGGTCAGTTCAATTGCATGGTCCTTTTGAATTAGCCTGTTTGTCTGGCTTTCCACCTTTCTGTCCGTCAGTCAGTCAGTCTGTCTGTCTGTCTGTCTGTCTTTCAGTCTGTCTTTCTGTCTGTCTATCTGTCTTTATAAATGAGACCATATCACGAATGATGGGTCCACGTCACTATCTCACAAAGGGGATCTTTAGTTGATCCAATACCAAATTTTCCAAACAAACATCACAAGAACTATATGGTAGACGGTAAGGAGAATTACTAAAGAGATCTTGGGAGTTAAAGGTTTAAATATTTGCAAAGGAAAGAATGGCATGGCGAAATATCGGAAACCGACCCGCCCGGTTGACCGGATTCATATGAAGAGGCTCTTAGTCTGTGTCTGACTCACACTAAGCCCACATATCCAAAAAATTTTAAGTAATGTACTTAATCCACGTTAAAACTTGTTATTCTTTTCTCTTTCAGATTCCCGTGCAGTCAGGTTTGTTTTACCTCATCTACAGGCAGCGATACCTCAGGCGCTGGTCACCTGATATTTTTGCTGGGAGGGTGGTGACTCTTGCCGCTTTGCCTCCTGGGAATAGCGATGAAACAGAGAGTGAAGGTAAAACACATCGATTCTACTCGGGTGGAAGCAGTTTTGATTAAGGAATTGTGTTGCCAAACGGTGCGTGAACATGAGAATCTTTGCTAGCACATTATTTGGTCTTATCAGCATGATATGGCTAACAATAAAGCTCTCAGGTCACCACGCAGAAATACGTTAGGATAAATACTACTTTTCGTCGATTTTTTACACCGTGAGGCGTGAATAGCGCAGCGATGAGCACTAGAGCTTTTTAACACAGTACAGTCTGTTCATCTTTTTTAGATCTACCACAAGTGTTGAAACCTACCGCTGACTCCTCTATCAGATTATCGTTCTGTAGTCTTCCTGCCAAAATACCGCTGGTAACAATCCTCGCTGGCCTGTTGTTATTCCTGTTTGATGGCTTACAGGTATCATGAACAACTCATTCGTCATTATTAAACCATATTTATGGTAGAAATAACTTGATTGGCTGTTATCATAGCTCAATCGAAAAGTGCTCTTTAACCTAATGTTCAAGTTGTTTTCTCTATAAAAATTCTTATTCTTGTATACCTCTATTTTAGGGCGCATATGGTGGATATTTATACACGTATGCAGTCAAAAGTGAAGTGCACATGACTCCAAGTCACGCTGCTTACCTTAATTCTTTATTCTGGGTATGCAATCAGACTTTTGATATGATGCTCAGTAATATAATTTGAATAGTGTTACAGGAATTTTATCAGAGATAAAATAATAATAAGAGGGATTAAAATAAAGCAAATTTGAAAACTGCATAGTTGAATTTGCGCGGCATAAATAAATGTTATTAGATAAACAATTAGAAAACTCGGGAATAACATTTCATATATTTCAGTATCCCAATGTTTTCCCTTTCAATTTCTTAACAGTTTAAATCTCCGAAGTGATTAACTTTTAACACTTTTCCTCACAGTTTTAAAACATGATTGATCAATAAGGTCCTTAAAACATCTTGATCATTAAACCCCTTCAACCAATTGACATAGAAATTTATAAAAGTTAAATTGAAGAATTATCTTATTAATATTATTAATTTGATACTTATAGTTCATCATAATTTTTTCATTTAGTGTTCCTTTGCCGCTGGCAGATTTATTTCTATCGTCGTTTCTGTTTTTCTGGTACCGGATAAAATGCTTTTTGTTAATCTGGTAAGTGGAGAGAATACCAAAGAACTTAATATCTGAAGAAAAATTGTTTTACTTCCTCTCACCATAAATAGCAATTTTCCTCTCTATAGTGAATTTCCTATTCAAAGCAAAAATTTTAATTTGAGTATTATTCGCCTTTCAGTTTGGATGCTTTACGGCAATATCCTTTATGTTGTATCTGCACGATGTGTCTTTAGCATTATGGATCGGTAGCGGGGCGTTTGGCTTGTTTATGAGTTCTGTATTTCCTTCCACTCTGTCTATGGCTGAACACTACATTGACGTCACAGGTACAACAGCTGTCACCATGGTAACTGCTCCAATGTCCTGAATGATATGATAGACTGAACAAAACACGCAGTTTGATTGGTTCTTACTTATGATCTTTCGGAGGATAGGCGCATAGATGACGTCACCACTTTTTTTTTTCTCATCAAATTTTGACGTCATTTGTGATCTATTACTGACCAGATGCCCGAAAACATAAAATCTATTTGCTAAACAGCTAAGATGGAATTCTTTTAAAAAAACTTCCCTCCTCCGGCGCTACAGCTGACAACAACACTCATGTTATCTTTTTTTTTTAGGATCCATAACTAGCATCCTAATTGTTAGTTCTGCAACAGGAGAGATGGTATTTCCTTTACTCATCGGAAAGGTGATCATAATTTCTCTTGAAAGCAGATGCACACAAGTTTAGATAATATATAAATAAGCCTATTATCTTATAAGCTTAGAATTTGTAAACAGCGTAGGCAGAGAAAAACTCTGAGTACCATGACAGGATTGAAACTGCAGCTGAAAATATTCCGATTTTGTCATCTAAAGAGAACTCTTTGGTCAGTGCATTGAGTTTGTATTAGACAAATGTCTTGTATACTGCTAGGATTAGTGTTGAAAGCGTCTTCAGTGCGAAAATTATTAGAAAGATAGATAATTTTGAGTAGGTCGTCGAATAAAGACAGACTTACAATGTTTGCCTCGGGTAAGGAATAAAGTTTGATTTTTTTAGGTCGTTAGATGTTCTTAAAGTATATCGTTAAAAACGCACACAGCGTTAGCAAATATCACATACACTCTGAACGTGTGCAAGTGTCCGAGGACTATAAAACTGACTTTAAATTGCTTACTGACCATTAAACTTAAACAAAAAATCTTTGTGGAGCCCGGTTCCCCAATAAAGTCTCACTGATGGCTGTCTTTTCCGTTCCAGGCGTTCCCGCGGAAAGGACCACTCTCTTTCCTCGTGATTGGCTTCTTGGTTTGTACTTTCGCCCTTCTTGTTTTTCTGACTTTGCGCATGACTGCTAAGGCTCAGATCAACCAATCAGGTAGGCGAAAATTGTAAACGATTTTCTAGAGGTTATATTATGATGTAACAATTTCGAATAGTTTGAAGTTCGTGCAAGATCTGGAAATCATATTCAAAATGTAATTTCGCAGATGGAGATTCGCTTGAATAGAGAACTCATTAACCTTTTCCCTTTGTCCAGTGCATGATCTCTATCGTGTCGCAGTCAAGCGCCTTTGCCGTTGTAACCAGGCCTGTGACGATTGTGAATACACCCCTCTGGTTACGTGTGACGAAGAAACTGAAGAGACTGGGAACGACGAGCTAATGAGAGGCGAGACAGCACATAGAGTTGTGGAGCTTCAAAGTTGACCTATCGCACCTGCCCGGATGAGATATCTTCTGTTTTATATTTCTTCTTCTGAATTATTTAGTCCAGTCAAACTAAAGATGGTTTCAATGATTTTGTTCGAAAGGGCTTATCTCCATAAGCATTCCAACAAAATTTACAGCAAGAACAGTATAAGTACGAAATTTGACGGAAAATTTTCAGAAAAATATTGAGATGACAAGTATCGCAAAAACAATCTATTCATTGTTTGTCAACAAAAAGGCTGATATAATTATTCCTGGTGGGGATAAGCAGGGTGTTTTTTATATTTCTCCTTCTGAATAATTTAATCCAGTAAACAAAAGATAGTTTCAATAATTTTGTTCAAAAGGGCTTCTCTCCATAAGCACTCCAACAAAATTTATAGCAAAACATTGTGAGTAAGAAATTTGAAATTTTTGTCAGCAAAAAGGCTGGCACAATTATTCCTGGTGAGGAGAAGCAGGGTGTTTTTTGTATTTTCATCTTTTTTCTGAAATTAATAACAAAGTGATTTTCCTTCATCCTTTAACAATCAACAGTCAAATGCAAACCATTGAAAAAAGTGGGGAACTAATTTTTCTTATCATCTCCTTAATGCTGTTGGGAGCAGGGTGAGTTTTTAGCGGTGTCCCTCCAGAATGCCGTTTTCTGAAATATTTTGAAATTTATTTTCTTTGGGACATTTCTTGCAAAATGGTTGCTTGGGGAAAACGTGTTCAGTGCTCTGATTAGTTAGTTATTATAAATTGTAAATATGTGTCAAAAATTATGAGGTGATTGATGGAATCAACAATAAAAGCGTTTTGAAGTTTTCCTTTCTGTTCTCTACATTTACAAACAACACGGATCACTTCCGCATTGGACGAGTACTTCCGGTTTAGTTGGAATCAACTTCCGTTTATTCTGTGGTTGCAACACAACACATAGCGTTCTCGCTTGGTAACTCGTGACTTTGCTATTTGTGACACTTCCTGTTAGTGAATATGAAGATTGACCATACTCATTTTTTTTTTTAAACAAAGAGATTTTTTTTTAAAGTTTAGTTTTAGTCGTGGTGGTGGCAATGTGTTCACTATTTCAAGGAAAATTTTGCAATGGAACTTCCATTATCGTAGAGTTCTTTATGCCAAATTTTAAGACATAGAAAATCAGTCAGACCTAGCATTTCTCTCATTTTGTTGAGGGGATAAACTTTAAATTACCGGTTTTTTGTATCAGAAAGAAAACGTTATGCTTAAAACAATCACATCTCAAATTCGGGGGACGCAAGTTCATGAAAATCAGAAAATCTGATGTCTCAGATTCTCCTCCAGAATTTAAGCAAGGTCATTAGCAGGTTGTTGTTTATGTTAAAGTCAAAATTGTTTTTATTACCCAACCAATTAAATTTCTACTTTTCCTTCTTCGCTCACAAAGAAAAAATGATTAAAAGTAAAACAGCCACCCGAAGTTAAAAACTTGCTGCGCTCTTTGAAAAGTTTAATTTGTCTTTAAACTCTAAGATATTGGAGTTTTGAGAAAAATTACCAGCGACTTTTGAGGAATTTGCTTCATCTTAGAGAAAAAATGTTTGTCTTTAAATCTCCTGCTCGCCTCCCACTTTTTGTTTAAAAACACACGTACCTCAAGTACATGCAACAAGTGGAGGGTTATGAATTATTAAAGAACAACCACCGACCGCCAAAAGTCAGCCATATTTGAAAAAAATATTCTCCTAACATCATGGGAAAGCGGTTAGAACATACTTCAATAGTTTTCTCTTGAGAAAAAGCAGCGGATTTTTGCTCTTGTTTTAACTGCTTAGAATTTTTCCTTTGATGAAGAGAAAGAAAGTTTATTTTGTAGAATTTTATCTGTTTCTCAAGTCCTAAACAACTCTACGTTTGGCTTCAAATATGAAACGACCGTTGCTGTGCTTTTAAACGTTGGCGTCCATTGTCTTCACACATGACGAGGGAAAGACGGTATGAGTTTTATTCATCTTCTTGGCTTAACTATTGCTCAAGAACGAGCCTCAAGGAATGAAAAACAAACCGATGGAAATCGCTCAAACGAAAGCAGAGCTGATTTATCACGTCGTGTGTTTATAACTGCGTTGTACTGTGGCTGTTTTTTCTCCTTCGGGACGACAATGGCAATTCTAGGACCAACTTTGATCGAATTAGGACACTTGGTTCATCATGGATTGGACATGATGAGCTGGTTGTTTTTTACGCAGGCGGCTTATGCTTTGCTCGGAGCAAGTGTAGCTGGAATCATGTTGGACAGGTAACACGCTGTAAAATGTCAGCCCTATTGAGGTGCTAGATACCTTTATATAGCTCTTAAAATTTCTCTTTTCCTTTAACCCATTTATTTTTCTGTAAACTTTAAACCGTGAATATTCAGTCAAATCATCGATTGCAATATGGCGCGGTCATGGCAAGCTATTTTCGTGTTGCAACCTGTTTGTTATGATTTATCTATTCGAGCGATTTAGACAAGTTGAAGTCTTATTAGGAGATTTTCGTCAAATTGAATTAATAACTGTCGAGGTTTGGTTACTTGAGTTATCACTAATTGGTATTGACTTTTCTATTCTTGTACCACTTGAAAAATCGCATACACGCCTACTTACAACCGCGTCCATGTGAGTCCCCTGATGCATTGCGAGCAGTGCAATAATGTTAACTCAGATCGCACAAAAAGCTTACTTTCTGATGATAAAATTGTATAGAATTGTTAAACAATAGACCGCCGCACTTTTAATCGGCTCATTGGCGTAATAACCCAAGCGGGATGGGGGAAGAACATCAGAACAGTTTGTAACTCACGAGCGAATTATTTACAAACTGTTAGGTTTTTCAAAACCGGTATCGCAGCTAACCAGGACTTTAACGACTTTAAAGTCTTTTTGACTTCCACAGCCTGTCTACTTAGGGCTTATAAGCAAATAGATCGTGGAACCCTCACCAGTGTCGTCTTAAAACAGGGTGTCCGCTTACTACAGTTACGCAACAATAACAAGATTGATGTTTCAATCTGATTAAACTTAAACAATCATTTTGATACTTTGTCTACCTCTCAGTTCTTATGAAAGCTCGCTGATGAAGGAGGTCCATAGCTAAGAAAATTGATTATATAGAGTTTTGAGACACAGAAGTTGCGTTTCGCTTGTTGGTTCAACAGGTGTCATCGAATTCGAATCTATCTAGTTCTCTTCTTAACTTTTGTTCAAGTTAACTGACCTCAATATTAAAACCGTACAGTTCCACTCAAATATTCGAAATTTCAAACGAAACCTCTTCAAGCCTCCATTCAACATAGGATTTACGCGTTTGCTTCATAACGATTTCCGTTGGGCAAAGATTTGTTTTACCTTAAGTATAAAAAAGAGTCAATCTTTCCTTCTGTCGATGTTTCAGCCTTGCTTGGAGTGAAAATCTAAGAAGAAGGAAGCTGACAACAAGAAGCATTATCTAAGTTTTATTGTGCGTTGTGGGGTTCCCTGCGTTCAAAGTTTATTCATGCATATTATTCACGATTACTTCGTGTCAACACGCTTGACTTGATCACAGACACAAGAGTAACAGCCAAACTATCAAATGATACCTTCAACTTCATTAGAATGCAAAAAGTGACTGTGGCTTATGAACACTACTCATTTCTTAAATGGCTTTAAACTTCTCAGCTGCTCAGAAAAATCGGCCCAGCAGAGATGCATATTTCTGGTGGTATTATTTAGGCTATAGAGTGATTCATTTGACTGCCTTTAAGGAGATCATCCATAAAAGGCTTGTTCTGTTTACCTGCATGCTTGCAGCAGGTTCATGTCAAAAAATAACAGAAAGAAAGAAAAAAAAGGGGGGGGGTTGCATGGTAAAAGCGACCCCCTTTATAGGGAGAGGGCAACACGAAATGATAATAAGGCAATGCAACCTGCCTTGCCTCCAGTTGTATATAACATTTATTGTACAACCCTTCCCTTCCCCCCCTCCCCCTCGACAGGAAACTCTCCCCTCGGCCAACATGGTTTAATAGTTAATAGTTTCACTGTTTCTGATGATTTTATCTGTAAACAAACACGGATTTTTTTACCATATCGCGGTATAGACTTTGAAATTTGAAAGAAACTTTCGACTAGCAAGTGGGGAAAGAAACCACCCCAAAGGAAACTTTGACAAAAAAGCCGGTTTTTTACTTCCTGAGACGGGTGACGACAGTGTCACGGAGGACAATTTAACCTGCCACCCATTTAGTTCGATGATTAACTTGGTGTATAGGAAAACAAATCTTTGTGTCTACAGGCCTCACATTTAACACCAAAATAGCTTTAAAACACAGCAAAAAGCAGCAGCTTCTAACAACGGGAGAACACGACTAAGTCGCGGGCTGCGAGACGCCTCTGGATCGAGCTTACCTTTTTTTTAAAACGATATCTCTCAAGTCATGAAGCCATAAAGTTGGAATTTTGCAGTAAAAGAATTAAGTTACTGGTTTCCGAGTTGATCCCAAGAGAAAGATATGCTTCGGCAAGTGATTTTTCCGGTGATATGGAGGAGGATCAAATCTTACGCGGATCAAGTGGAAGATTTACGAAGATACTTCTCTCCGCACTGCAAATCTATTTGTGCCCATTTTCTGTACTTCAGCACATTTTTTATGTTTGGTATGTCGGTGGGAATGGCAGGACCAACGCTTACAGATTATTTGATATCGTTTTTTACAAATATTGACATTGTTGACGTATTAAGTTGGCTTTTATTTACGCAGTCTACTTTTCGCTTTGTGGGCGCCATTGTTGCAGGTACCCTTATCGACAGGTATAACCGGTTTGTCGGCTTTTTCATTCCTGCTTTACCGTAGACTAGTGTCTTCATTCTAAAGAAACCTCTGTTCAAGGGACACTTTTTCTAGTACCCAATGCGCCCCCAAATGGAGGTTCCATTTCTTAATCTTTACCTGTTTCATTTCCATGTAAGAGATAATTCTGGTCAGTGTACACTGCCCCTTGCCTTGAGCTCCTTCCGTGAATACCGATTCCATAAATAAATGTTGACCTTCGGGTTTCAAATATTTTTTTTAACGTTATTTCATTTCTTTCCATCTCAGATACGACTTCAATCGTAACCTTCTCCTTTTGTGTTTTCTGTTGCTGAACGCGATCTTCTTAGCGGTGATTCCCATATGTCGGACGTTGTGGCTTCTGATCCTATCAACAGCAGCTGCGGGCTTTTCTGTAGGAATCTTAGACACTGCTACTAATGTTCAGCTCATTGCAATTCATGGGAAAAAGGTAAAGAAGGTAGATTACTTGAGCTGTTTTGTAATCCTGAACGTTTTTGTAGTGCAGCTTAGGTCACTATGATTAGCGCTCCGGAGTTTGGATCAAAGAGTCTGGGTTCGATTCTCAGCCAGGGTCAATGTGTTATGTTCTTAAGCAAAACGCCTCACTCTCACAATGCCTGTTTCAATTCAAGATTATGTAGACGAGTACTGGCGAACTGTCAGGGAAATCAGACTAAATTCCAAAGTAGGGGAGGGGGGCACGGTAGCAGTGATGTACTAACATCCCATGCAGGGGATGGGCGAGTAGCAATACTTCTGGTCACTTCAAGTTTTTATGTTTAACCATATCAATACCGTATATCTATACATATCGATAATTGTTCTATATTCTGCAAAAAAAAAACAATTTAACCTTTCTTTTATTTCATTTTCCCCAAAGGTTTCTCCATATCTACAGGTGAGTCGAATCATCTTTCACCCTCCTTTTCATTTCCTCTTCCTTTAGTTTGAGCGTTGTACTTGACTTTGAGGAATCTACACCAGAAGTCAGTTTATCACTAGTCATCACTTTTTTTATAAAACAAGATGTCTTTGGTAACCACAGTTTGTAATTGAGACAAGAGCGTCTGGCTTTGTCAACTGACTTAATATTGTAAATTGGCCACCGCAGAGAGTGTCTAAAGCTGACGTTTCAGGTGTCAACCCTTCGCCATTTGCTGTAACGAAGGGCTTACGCTGAAAACATCAGCTGTAGAAACTCTTTACCGTGGCCTGTTTACAATATCAACTGAGTTGATGAAACAGATCATCTTAAAAATCATCTGACGCAGCACCACAGTTTCCCTATAAATTTCCCCCCTTTTTTGCTTTTAAGAAAGTTCCGTAATTGTGATTGCAGCGCTTTTAAAAAAATTAAAGATTAAAGCAAAATAATTGCGCCAAAAACTTTATCCTCGGCCAATTAAATCCACGTCTACCAAAAAGTTCTTTAACCTCTATCAGGGAATTTTGTTTGTTCGATAAGATTACTTTCATCTTCGAGCCCTCTTGCTTCATCCTAACTCCATCTCTCGGCAACTTCGTTTACATTCAATTCAGAAGTTGGACGGTGGACACTTTTGGAAATTTCAAACTGGTACAACTCCTTTATTTTCGCAGGCTCTGTACTTCTCATACGGTTTTGGCGCGTTTGTGAGCCCACTTATCGCAGAGCCCTTTCTCAGCGGAAGTCCCCATCCAGATCTTGGGCTGCCGGCAGCCAAAAGGGGGAATCCGCTGCCCTACGGTGGGATGGGACATCGCAGTCATCATAAGTTATCCCACAGACCTACCAACCATATGAGAGACACATTTAGCACTGGATCTGAGGAATACAAAAGCGAGGTCCAAGTAGCATACTGGATTATAGCTTTAGCACATGTGAGTTTATTTGCTTAAAATGACGTTTATCCTTTCCAATTCGGTCCAACCAGCGAAATGAGGAAAAAATGAGGTAGATGAAGGTTTTAGTAGGCCAGGGGAGAGACTCGCCCATCGCCCTCAGGTCCGCGCAGTTTTAACGGAGCCTTTTGGCTTATCGGCAAAGAAATAAAGAGAAAAAAAGAGCTGACATGCAACTGAAAATCATGAAAGAACCATATAGGATCTAATAACAATTTGCACGATAAAACTTTTTTTTTTCTTTCGTTGTAGTTGCCAGTGGTGGTAGGTCTTGCATATATTGTCATCGCGGACAAGTGGGCGGAGCATAAGTTAAGACAAGCAGCTGTCGAGGCCAAGGCAGAAAAAGAGCGCAGAAGCTCGGATATCCCGGATGCAGAAGTACAAGGTGCTGTAGAAAACCGGTTCTTTAATTATGCTTCTGAGAATGACTGATCAAACATAGAAAGAAAAGTTTTCTTCACAAACGACCAATATGAACGTAAAGAATAAACATTTAAATTGCATGAAACGTGGAAAAACGCTTATGATCAAGTCGTTACTGATTTTTATCTTGGGTCTGAGGGACCAGTTATAATTTACCATCTGTGGGAGGGGAGGGTCGGATAACTTTTAGGGGAACAGAGGGGGATCAGTCGTCGCTAACAGAGTCGGAAGGTGGGACTATAGAAAATTGAGTTATTTCTTTATCCCATTCCCCGTCTCTCCCCTCCCCTCTTCCCTCCTTTAGGAGTCCAGCTTCTCAGATCACGGTTGTCTGACAGGGTCAGTTATTCACGTTGCATTGTTAGAATATAGAAAACTTTATTGCATCTATTTTGAAAACACATGTGATCCTTGCGTTCTGATTGGCTCCAAGCGGTGCGATTTGTACCTATTCGATGAATCTTTTATTCGGTATTAATTTAACAATGAGGATCACCCTCTCAACCAACGAGCGCTCACATATTAGTTGAAGGGAGTTTTCTAAATCAAATACGGAGGGTGTTGGGGCAAAACAAACGCAACCCTGGGTTACTTTCGACGCTTAACTGAAATTTTTTTATAAAATGAGGTGTTTGCAGTTTTTTACCCTTCCCCCTTTCCGCACTGCTAAGTTAGAATCGAATACAACCATCTTTTATTCCTCTTAGGAGTTACAACAAAAGTTCACCTTGACAAAGAGACCCTCAAGAAACCGGGTCTATGTGACAATCCAAACAAAACACAAGTTCTGTGCATTACATTCTGGACTTCATTTCTAGTTTTTCTTTACGATGGAATGCAGGTGAAACATTTTTCAATTGTTTTAGTAAACATAAGGTCATTCAGGAAGTAGCAAGAAATTGATTAAAGATATATTAAGAAAAAGTAACATCGTCATACTCATATTATACTTGAATTTTGTTTTGTCAGGGGTCCTATGGGGGATATGTTTATACCTACGCAGTGAAGAGCTCATTACGAATGACGTCAGCTCAGGGTGCTTTTCTTACTTCTGTGTTTTGGGTGAGTTCTGACCGTTTGCTAGGCAGGGACCTAGGACCCATTTCTCGAAAGTCCCGATAACTGCCGTACCTTAAAATCTATATTTCAAGTTTCAAGTCTGACAATTATTTAAAATGTTCATGTTGTTTTCAGGGATCCCTGGCATTAGGTCGTCTCGTATCCATACCTATAGCTTTGTTTTTTTCTCCAGCTGTTATGCTTCTGGTAGATTTGGTAAGTTTTCTTTTATCTTTTTCTACCATTTGATAGATGTAAGACCTTAGAAAAAAATGTATAGACTGAACTCAGAGAGGTACTGGGTCGAGTGTTAAATTTTAACAGAAGATGATCCTCTCTTTTCTTTCTCTGAAGAAGTAATTTAACGATACAGTTTGAAATATTTTTGATAACTACGCTATTAGCTGGGTTTCAGGATCGTCATAACTATTTTTACAATAAACTGAATAATTCGAAGTTACGAGTTTTGTTATAAGAAGAAAAACACTAAGGGGCGACTTCGCTCAGATGCACGGCGAAATAACTTGAAATGACTGACCATATGAAGTCATAATTTGGTTCTCTTTCAGATTGGCTGTTTAGTTTCAAGTTTATTAATGTTAGTCTTCAGAGCAAGCGAGTCTGCGCTTTGGATGGGAACTAGTACATTTGGTCTTTTTATGAGTAACGTGTTTCCTACAAGTGTGGCGTTAGCAGAGCAGTATTTCAATGTCACAGGTTTGTTAATTTCTGATGAACTTGGTCTAGTTCCCTGTCAACAACTTACGCAACGCCTGAGGTCACTGTGAAACTCCGAGAATTTCGCTAGCTTCCCTATAATCATCTCGTTCGTCGCTCGTACTAATTGGTTTACAGAAGTGCGCGAGAACTGGGGACTAGTTATACGGGCACAAAGCGGCAAAGCGGGGGCCAAGGGGGGAGTGGGGGGGGACGGGAAAGTGGGAATGAGAGACACCTTTGCTTCCTCTAACTGCATGTCTTTCCCTTCTCGCCACTACAATTTATCTCTGTTATTCCAACTTCGTATGAAATAATTTCGGCCCACAGCTAATGATTATGGACATGTTTACAATATGTCCTATCCCAACTAAGTTCTGTTTTCTCAATTGTTGTGATTTTCAGGTACGGTGACCTGCATGTTTGTTGTTAGTGCAGCCATAGGTGAGATGATAATTCCACTCATTGTGGGCAAGGTCTTTGACTACGTTGGTCCAATCAGCTTCCTAGCCGAGGGATGCATCCTGTGTTTCGCGGCATTTGGAGCTTATTTAGCTGTACTAATATTAGGAAAAGGGGCGGCCTCTCACGATGTCTCCAGGAGAGAAGGTGAGGAAGTCTTATAGCTCAGGTCTTTGCAGTGAAACGGAGGTAACTAGCCTTGCACTTGTTATAGTATTCCCTAATCAATTATGGACAAGGTCGGCTTTCGTTACAACAGCTCACTGGCTGGAGGCGAAAGTAATAATTCTCGTCATTGATTGGATGCTAATCCATTTCAGCATAGAAACCAATCGTTGTTTATCGCCGGGGTAGGGGGAGAGGGTAATTGATGACCGGTTTCTTCGCCCTGTACCCGAGGCAGCCGTTGAGAAAAGGTTCGATTCTACTTTTTAAATTCTTCAGGGCCTACCTTGAGATATTATGTTTTTGTTGACTGTGGTTGGAATAAACTTGGTGTTATCTGTCTTAGTGCTCGGAGAAGGAAAAGATGGCTGTGAGGAAGACGAAGAAAAGCCTGTGGGGGAAACAGAACAAGATTCTGATCAACTTATTTCTAAAGATAAATCGCCAAATAGATGACATGATGTATGGACGAAGAAGCGAGATGAAAAAGAGGGAAGCTTAGGGACAATCTATAAGTAACACAGGCTATCCGGCTTCGTACCCAACTTCCTACGTTTGTAATTGGCCGTGGGATATCTGGGGGCGAATCGACAAAAATCGTCGTCATTTGTTGAAGTCAAATGAAATGCCATGATAGGTACCGTTCCTCTTTTCCAGTAATCCCGCGTGGAGTCTAGGAAACGAGGTGCACCTCGTTTTAAACAAAGTACATTTGCAAGGAAGAAAGTGGTTAGAGGAAAATTCAAAACTTTTTGCTGCGTATCTTTTTAACTATGAATAACAATGTTCCGGCTTTCAACCTTCCGTATATCTCCTTGCCTCCAGAAAGGCTGAAATTACTCTGTTGCCTTCTCCATTGTCACGTCTAGTTTCGACAATTTAAACTGAAGGCTTTGCAATGATTGTCATCTATTACCTAAGTAGATTAAGGCTTATTAAGGATATGAAATAATTTTGTACAAAGTGTCAATAGTTTTGTACTCACCACAAGAATTAAAATAAACTAAATCTTAATCTGGCAATGCATTTGACACATCCTTGGAAGTTGCATAATTTTTTGTCATGTAACTTGGGGTTTCAAGATCTTACCGTCTCCTTCTGAGAGGGTTAAGTTAAGGCCCTTATTTTTTCACAAGGTCTCATTGATTTCTACAAATTTATGACGGGAGACTAATTAAAGATGGGGCTCATTGAAAAATATTGTAACTCAGACTTAAAAGACAACTCTTCACTTTTTTTCTGAACTTTGTCAAGCTGTATTGAGTACAGTGCAAAATATGACCATTGTGGATTCCTCCTGACCGATGTCGTTCGATCCCGTAAATGTGGATCGCACAAGTTACCCTTCAATTTTGCTGACATTTTTTGGGGGCTGAATTCAGCGACAATAAGTTCACAATGAAGCAATTGTTCTGAATATTTTAACTTTTGAACATTGCCCACTTTGAACCGATGCGCCCGAGCATTTCGTTCAGCCGAGTGATCAATAAAAGACTGGTAACGACTATTGGACTTTAATTGAACTTCGAACGGTGACCGCGCGTGATGGAAAATCCCTCTGATTCATGTTCCTTGCATTTGTAGTTTAGCATCTTACAACTTGCAGAACCAGAGCAAAGCGTTGTGGTCGATCGCGTTCGTATTAAGTTGTTTTACTAGCTTGAAATCAGAGTTACTTGATATGCAAAGCTACAGCTGGAATCGGAGGTGTCTTCGTAGGTTTCACTGTGGAACGCTCATCAGGAAACCGACAACTGAAATGAACAACACTCGCTCTTTTATGATTGGACATTCATGGCGACGTGGAAATATTTCAAGGCACATCTTCAACGTTGATACGGGATAGGAAGAGGTGTGTGAGTTTTTTCTCTGATTGTTTTCAAAAAGCAGCGCCAATCATTCACCTTTAACAGTCTCTAAAATATAGTGAGAACGGTCGACGACTCGTTCTCCCGTGCGGGTGGGTTGGGGGGAGGAACACTTGTGGGTAGTGGGTAATTAAAATTTTGCACGGAGATATTAATTGCCAGTAACTAAATTCTCTCAACACTGTCACCCCTGAATCATCCTTCAAGAAACTCTTGATTGTTGTACAAATTCTCCCAGTAGGTAAATGGGGAACAGTAGGGATGATGATGTTGGGGTGGTAAGGCTTTCCTTCACCAATCCATGGTTATTAATTATTTGCAAAGTAAGTAAATAGCATCATCTATTTCTCAAGAAAATTTTGCAAAAAAACAGTTATGAATGTTGTCAATGAAAACTATAAGTAATTGAAGCTTTTAAATTGACATTTTTAAAACTTTGCTGCCAATTGGAAAAATTCAACTCTTTTGCCAATAAATATTAAGTGTGATGATGGTATCTAGTATGTTTTCCATGCAAAGAACACTTGTGATTGAAGAAAAAAAATCTCCTGTTAATTTCTTGTGTGCATAAATTATGGTAGGTGTAAGAGATATTGTGATAATCCTGTTGTTAAACATTTTTTGTGTAATGTTGCTGAATGTAGAGAACCAATGCCCCACTCTATCATCATCTCTATCCTCAGCCTTCTGATTCTCAATAATTGCTTTAAATGACTAATATCAGGGGTTTTTATCATCAGCATCACTATTACCTGCCTGAATTTTTTCAATCTCTTGCATTGACTGTAACTGAAATGTACTTGTGATGATCAATTTGTCACTAGCAGTAACATTTTTAGTATCTTCATTTATTTACTTCAGGTGGACATTTGGTGTAAAGAGTGGCAAACTGAAATTTTTTGTGCTTAAAATTTTATTTGTGGTTTTGTTTGTGACACAAATAATCTTGTTGTCAAATCCTGCCAAAGTAACCTTCTTAAGGAATTCAGAAATTTTAAAATCTTGTGCTTTGTATAATTTCTTATAAATCATACTTGTCATACATGTCTAATATATATTTAGGTAAAGGCTAGAAATGATAACTCTGAGTATCTGGTTTGAAAATGTGAAAATATCTTTTTATTGCACAAACCTCATGAAACTTGTGAAGTTAGGAGTATTTTAAAAACAAATTTTAATACTGGCATGTGCGCTTTAGACTCAATTAAACTATTTTTGTTGTTTATCCAAATTATGCTGCTATGATTGCAATGACAACTTTATTTCTTGACATTTAGGGAGCTACCATCCGTCACCCTGTAATGCCTCGTGACCTCTGCATTGAAGTGAGGCAGTACCTGGTGGTTCTTGACAGCTGTGGTTTTAAAGTTAGCTATTTTTACCTCATCTCAGTGAGAATCCCATCTTAACTTAAGAGAAGTACTATCTTGGTGCAACACGCCCTGGCTTTCTAAGACTTTGGGTAAGTTAATATTATTATTTTATGGTCCAGTTTGGCAAGGAGTTGAAGCTCTTCCACTGACTATACCGGTGATGATCACGCGAATCGCGAATTTTGTTAGTCGTGTATTTCTTAAGAGGAAAGAAAACTACAGTATTGATTTTTTAATCTTTTTACAAAAGTTAAGTTAAATTTTATTTCAGAGAACTGATTCTCGACTTTCAAAGCAATTTCTAAGCTTTGCCGAATTACGATAGTTGTACAGACTCACTCCAACTGATATTGGGGTCGATAATGGCGCGCAGTATTTACAGCTATAATATCATTCGATCTGCTGTTTTTGTGACTTACCGTAATTCCAGTTTAGTATTGTGTTTTGAAAATTCAGGGGTACTTAATTTAAAGAAACATTTCCTGCCGAGTTCTGCCGCTGTCGGAAATGAGGAGGAAGGTTTTTAAATTCCCGTTTGACTTGACCAGTTTACGGAAAGATGGGGTCTTCTCTGTAATTATATTTTCAATATTTTCTACAAAAACGTTTCGGGACTCGATCTTAGAAGCCTCAAATGATGTACATTATTTTGCATCGAATCGACGATCAATCGGAGAAAGATAAAGAAACAATTGAATAAGATTTTGAACACACCCCCGATAACGCCTCCTTGTAAACAAAACCAGTCTTTCCTGTTGAGCTTCGTAGCTGCCTGTGATTGGCGCGTTAATCGAGTCCAACTAGTTTAGGCAACAAAACCGGTGCAGTTTTCAGTTTTACTACGTGCGCTGGTTGGATTTGTTGTCTTCAATACGCAGATTTCGAAGTGTACGCATTATCGAATCAACCAGTACTCGGATTTTGGTTCAGTCGAGCGAATTATGCTCAGTGCATTTCGTTTTGTACAAGTTGCAGCGAGAAGGACCATATACACATCAACAAACGCCATGGGATCGTTGAAAGTTGCCGTGATCGGCCAGTCGCAGTTTGGTTTGGAAGTCTACAAAAACCTCAGATTAAAAGGCCACGAGATCGTCGGAGTATTTACAGTTCCTGATGTTAAAGGAAAACCAGATGTTCTTGCGACAGGAGCCGAGCAAGATGGAGTGAAAGTCTTCAAATTTCCGAGATGGAGAACAAAAGGGGAACCGATTCCCGAAGTTGTAGAAGCGTACAAAGCTTGCGAAGCGGAGTTAAACGTGCTTCCATTCTGTTCGCAGTTTATTCCCATGAACGTTATTGATTTCCCTAAACATGGTTCAATCATTTATCATCCTTCTTTGCTGCCGAGACACCGAGGAGCTTCAGCTATCAATTGGTGAGTGAATCTTATGTAAGATTTGTTTTGGTCACGCAAAGATCGTGAACGTGGTGTTGTCTTCTCTGCGGGTTTCCGTTGAGTGTTATTTAAGCTCAATTTCCTCAACTAAATAATGCCCCTCTTGACTTAAGCGGAGAGTATTTGAGGTTAGAATTGCAATTAAGCGAAAATGTGCTATTCAGTTTCAAATTAATCGAATTATGTTTGATTTGAAATACGTATCCAAAAAAATCTAATCACTACATTACGCTCAACAATGGTCGAAAAATTATGAATGACTTCTTGTTAAAACATGGCATGCTAATGAAGCTGCTTTTGTCGGTTTAAATCTTCCGGTAGTTAGAGAACGAGTCAAACCGGAATTAAATTATAGAAAAAAAGCCAGCCTCTCCCTAGAACTCCAAGCCGGTAAAAGTGTTTTTGTTTACAGGGTAACAAGGCTTTATTGTTCATTTAGCTTGCAACGAACCTTAACGATTTCTTTGCTAATCATACAATTTCAAGCCGCTTTTCTTTAAAAATAAAAGTGGGAAACGGCCTGGAAACCTGTTGGTTGTTACGTAAATGTAATGTTTACTTTGTTTTGTGCTAATGTGTTAAATTGTGGAGAATGTTATGTCTGTTTTATGCGTTAGTCGCCATCTTGTTTTAATAATTTTCGATTAGCTTGGGAAAAAATTCTTCATAACATCATCTCGATATTGAAGAGTGTATCATCAAATTGAAGATTTTCCCGTTGGAATTGGTTTAATTTTGGGTATTTTGCTGAGACTTTTCAGAGTCACGGTGGAATCGTGCATGAAAATTTATAATCTTCCTCGTTAAGCTAAAGTAATTGTTTGCGAGTACATTTTTGATCATCAGCTCCTCTTTCTCTTAAAAATAAACCACAACCTTAGTGAGCACTTTCAGAAAGTGAGCAAACACCTCCCTCTGATCTGAGAATGGTTTTGAATGACCAGTTTTTTGAAGGAACGGTATGCTCCATGCATATGTAGAAATCATACAATATATTTTTTTTGTGGCTGTTTTTAAAAGTTTGCAGGAAATCATGAAAGCGTCTGTGCTTCGTGATTCCAAAGAGAAATGTAACATTTACAAGTTTTCTTAAAATTTAATAAAGAAATTTGACATTTTGAATCATGCATAATAAACTGGCCACTATAGCCAGTGATTTTACAGTTTCACTTCTATTCTTTGTTGAAAAACTCTTGGCCATCTCTTTGAACAATCAGGAACTAATGAAAAAGCCATTCTTGACTCCAATAATAATCTTTTTGTGAGAGTAGGGTGGATATTTGTTCTTTAGTGTTCAGTTATTATTTGCTTTTTTTTTGTAGCTAAGTTTTGGAGATCTAAATAGCTGTGTTGTCCTATGTCAAATTGTATGGCATTGAAGGAAAAAAAATTTTTATGGTCAGGTTAATTTCTGGTATTTGTAAGTGCAATAATGCATAAATTTTTATACAAGCACATGCACTTCTTCAAAGATGAAGATATAAATAATATGGATTCTGGAGTATACTTCTACTCTAAATGGGATTAATAGGATTTTTTGATAGAAGAGAATTTCTGGAAGAAAACCATCTTTGAAGTTTAGTGGAAAAGCAGAAAAACATCACATGCTAAAGTGATTTAAAAGATAAACCAGTGCAAGAATTCACAAGGGGATCTGTGAACCCTAAGAGGGTAGGGTACGTGGTATAAGTCTTCTTGCTTTCTTTTGGTTATTAATGTACAGTTTAATAAGATCTCCTTAGAGGGAAGTTTGTTACACTGCTCACCTATGTTTAGTCACATGTGTCTGTTTTTGTTAGGACTTTGATGGAAGGAGACGAGCAGGGAGGCTTCAGTGTGTTCTGGGCTGATGATGGTCTGGATACAGGTCCAATTCTTCTTCAAAAGAGTGTAGATATTGATCCCAATGAGACAGTTGACTCCTTGTACAACCGGTTCTTGTACCCTGAGGGCATCAAAAGCATGGTGTGTGGCTTCATAATCTCTAAAATAAAACTGAAAACAAGGGTAGGACATTCTACGTGACAAGTTACAAAGATGCAATGCAGGAATGCTTATACAGGTCACGGCAAAAATTTGCTTTGTCTCACCTGGAGGATTTCTTTATTAATTTTTACTCCTATGATTGAGAATTTTATCCAAATCAAGTCACTCAAATTATTACTGGTTTGAATTTTTGTGTACCTTTCTAGCCAGGGAGACAAAATCATATTTGAAATTTAGCATTGTGAAAACAGAAAAGAAGAATTTGTAAATCATGTTTATATGTCTATGAATTAAACAGTAGTCATCAATATATTTTAACAAGGCTAATTTCCTTGAGTATCTTGTATCTTAGAGCGCAGTCTGTGATAGAAAGAAAAAAACTTACCTGAGAAAATTTTTTTTATGACAGGTGGAAGCTGTTGATTTGATTAGTGACGGTAAAGCTCCAAAAATTCCTCAACCAGAAGAAGGAGCCACCTATGACAAAATATGGAAAAAGAAAGAAGTGGCCAAGGTTTGCATCATTTAGATATTACTTATTGTATATTTTCATGAAGAACTGTTCCATGCTGTTACTTCTTCCATTTACTGTTATATTTTGTTTCTCAACACAGATCAACTTTGCCCAGCCTGCTACTGTGTTGCACAACTTCATTCGTGGAAATGATAAGGTGAGTCATTTATTTCTCCAGTTATACATGTAATATTACATTGTATGTGAGTGCTACTGCATTATTTCATAATGAAACTACATGTATTTGTCTGATCTAACAGCTTCCTGGAGCATGGGCCATGATTGATGGTCAGGTGAGTTTTAAAAATTATTACTGTTACATGTACACAACTGTATTTGTTAATAATTTTAGAAATTCATTAGCAGATTTGATTATTATACTGCTAGCTTTGTGAACTTGAGTATTACAGTAGACTATTGAAAATGCCAACTGTAGTGCAAAAGTTGGTTTACAGTTCACATTTTGTATGAGTTCATTGTTGACAGTGCTTTGAAAAGTTTAGAAGGTAGTACAACCTGTACCTTGGATTAGATCATAAAGGAAATGATCACCTACTAAAGAAGCTCTTGAATGTGAAGCAAATTCTCCTTTTCAGCGACTTAGGAAATTTCTGGAGAACAGTAGGGAGAATGTGCATACTGATGTTAGGGTGTGATTAGTTTAAAAAATTCCTTTATTTAAATGCAACCAATTTTTTTCTACTTGTACATGCAGCAAGTAACATTTTATGGGTCATCAATGACACCTGGTGATAAACCACCTGATGGTTCTGCAGTCACAATTGAAGGCCTGGAAATGCCTGCCATAGTGCACAGTGGGGGTATGACGTTGACAGGAACTGATGGCAAGATGGTGAGTGCAGAGCTAGGTTGTGTCACATATTACATAATGCTGACTGCAGTATTTAAATGGTTCAAACCAACCCTGTATCAACAGTTTTGGATTTTCGTTCGTCCAAAATCTCAGAGAAAAGATCTTTTGGTGGAAAGAAACTAAAATACATTTGATTTTATTACTAAATACAGTATCAGTAGAACAGTAGGATAGAACTTGTGATAATCAATTTTTTTTCTTAGTTAACAGTAAAGACCCTTCAGCTTGAGGATGGACGTATGATTCAGGCATCTAAATTTGGTCAGGTGGAAGAAGCAGCAGAAGCAATTGAGCTTACAGAGGAGGAAAGAGCCATGGAAGGAAAGTTGAGGGTAATGTGATCATAATTCTACTTTGATCTAATATTTAATTCTCCTGATTTCTACAGTATCTTTGATAAAAAAGCTCACTCTTATGTTGATGGCGAGTCAAAATAATTTTCATAATAACATTGTGATAATTAAAATACCACTCTCCAAAGGAAGACAGTATAACTTTTTAACTCTTGGAAGTGATAATCATATAACTACTCCTTATGATTTCCATACATTATCCAACAAACAAGTTATGAGAATACTAAAGTTTATCAAGTTGTCATCTTGATCTAACACCAAATTAACAAGGACCATATAGCAGCTAGAGGATAGAATCAAAAACCAGGTCTTGGGGGTTACAGAGATAAAGTAATTACTTAAGGAAGTTTTGTGTACGTTCCAATCAATCTTTTTTGCCAGGAAAAATTTCCTCTATGGAAATTTGGTCGTGGATGTGAGTGGGATATTCTGAAGGGACCAGTATCTCATAACTGGCAACTAGTGTTTAAACTGACTTTACTTTTTTTTGTCCTTATGGTTGTGTTTTAGGAAATTTGGACAGGAATTTTGTCAAATCCTGATATTGTTGAAGACACTGACTTCTTCAAGGCTGGAGCTGGTTCAATGGATGTTACACGGTAAAGCATGTGTTAGTTAATTGTAACTCAAAAATTTTTACTTCATTCTTTGTTGCCACTCATATGTAACTTTTGTCATGTTTCCCTTAGGCTTGTTGAAGAGGTGAAAGAAAAGTGTTCAATAGTACTGGAGGCAGAGGAAATTTACATGAATACAAGGTATGGACACAATGGTAAATATGTTAAGTTTGTAAAAGTGTATTCAACTGATGCACTACTTTATGCTTTAGTAATTATCAAAATTTTTTATCTTTAACAGTCATTCTTCCTTGTCCCCTTGTATTGTGTTTTTATATATTTCTGCAACAGCTTTAGCTATGTGTTCAGTTGTTAGATGGTCCTCTTCAGTTTGGGGGAGAATGTATGTGTGTGTGTTTTTTTTTTAAGAGAAATGTTAATATATTGATGCAAGTGAGTATTTTCAATTTCAGATATGGAGATTTTGTTCGATTGTCTGTCCTGAGGTATTGTGGAGGAGGACAAGAGGAATTTAGCTGTAGTACTGTAAGTACATTTGAAAGGAGTTGATTAATCAATGTTTTAAAATGTTCACCTGATTTTAAAGTGTAAGAGGGTTAAACTGTCCTTGATCAAATCCTAACATTTGGTCAGGAGTATGTTTTCTTGTTAGCTTCATCAGGATTCAATGTGTTGATTTCAATCTTTTTATTAAGGTTGACATGGATGTGAACCACATGACTATACAAATGCCTCATGAGCTGTTTATTAATGGAGAGTTTGTGGATTCTTCCAATGGACGCACATTTGACACTATCAACCCAACAGATGGCTCAGTAAGTATTTAACACATCCAACATGACATTAGCCTACTTTCAAACCATGAAACTTTCCCTTCAATACCTTCTGATTGTAGAGCTAGATTACCTGTCTTGGTCCTCATTGTTTGAATGATGGATAACGCCATCCAATGAATAAATTGGGTGGATACATTGCAGTACGTTTCGATAAAAAAGTATCCACTGGAAAGCGATTTATCTGTTGGATAGCATTTTCAACCTTTGAACAACTGGACCTTAGAGCGAAATGTTTCAATATACTCACATACTGAAGTTTTTTTTAAATTGGTAATTAATAATGTCTCTCAACTTAATTAATCGGTACATTTATCTTTTTTTTTACTCAAGGTTCTTGCCAAAGTCTCACTTGCCAGTGTGGAGGATGTGGATAAGGCTGTTGCAGCAGCAAAGGTTTATTTCAGTTTTCTTCTTGTGAAGTTCTTAAACACTAATTTTAAGTATGTTTTTCTTGGGTGATTTAGGGCTTTAGTTGTTGGAGAATTTTCTGACAAACACATGAAAGTCTCTGGCTATATTCTAATGGTTTGAGCTGTTTTTTATTCAGATAAATATTCTTCCATTAATTTTCACTACAGTATTATAAAAAAAGTTTTCACATTGCATGTTGTCTTAGTAAAATTTGATGATCAGATACAGGCGCTGTTGATCTTAGTATGCTGTAAAAGTTAAATTTTTATGTTTATTATATACTACCAAGTGCTGCTTTCAACTGAATGCAAATGATTCTCATTCTCCTCTCTTGCATCCACTTGAAAAAGTATGAAATTTTCAGGTTCAAGGATGAAATTCATTTATTTTCATTTGCTGGGTAGAAGTGATCTAATATCTGACTTTATAATCAATTGATACACAATATATAACAGTGTACATGTTGTATAACAAGATCCTGTCTCCCTAGGAAGCATTTTACAATGGGCCATGGGGAACAATGAATGCTAGAGATCGTGGACACTTGATTTATAAGTAAGTCAGCAGTTATTTGCTATAAGTGACAACTGCAAGTTAATTAATTGCTAGGTGAATTGATTTGATCAGTATGCTCACTGAAAGGTCAATATACAAGTCATAGCAACAATCAAACACAATTTAAACAATATGCAACATTTGTTGAATTCAGAAATCTGACAAAAAGAGGTGTGTTAAGCATTCTTTTGAGTAGGCTCTAGAAATCAGTCATGAACTTGATTAAGTTATAGTGCAGGCTGCAAATCATTCCATCTTCTGTACTTTTGAAACACTCTTCCTCATTATGTTGTGACTTTGTCTTGTACCTTAGCTAAAAGTGACCAGCATGTAATCTCTTCTTATAATATCTCCTCTGAATCACACTTAAGGGTCACAAGAATAAAGGAAATGATCACCAACTAAAGAAGCTGTTGATTGTCACACAAATTCTCAATATCAACACCTCAGGAAATATAAAGAGAACAGTGTGGAGAATCTGTATACTGATGTTAAGGTGTAAACTGATATTAAGTGGTAGTGAATGACTTCCTAACTTTCTCGCTGTTGTTGTGTTGTGAAGGTTGGCTGACCTGATGGAAGAACACCAGGAAGAACTTGCCACTATTGAATCTCTTGACTCTGGTGCTGTGTATACTCTGGCCCTCAAGACACACATAGGAATGTCTATTGCCACACTGCGTTACTTTGCTGGATGGGCCGATAAGATTCAGGTTAGCACACTTCTTACCTTCTGGCCGATTTGTCTTTGCAAAGTTGATATGCTTAAACAAAAAAAATTGGGAGTTGAGATAGTTTTGATTTTAACTGGAGATAAACACCATGCAATACATCAAGGCTTAGTCCTCTCAATTGACATTTCAAGAAGATCGTGTTTTTTGTTGATGTGTCATGACTTATCTAATGATTTTAATTTCTTTTTAATTAGGGACTGACAATTCCTATCAATAATGCAAAACCAAACAGGAACTTGTGCTACTCAAAACGAGTACCAATTGGGTAAGTAGAGTATGGTGTAACTCTTCACAGATATATCTTTACAGATACATTCCATTGAGCAGATTTATTAAAATATCTCAGAACATATTAGGATTCTTAATAATTCATAATTTTTTTCTCAGTCATCTTAAGCAACAAATTAAAAAAATCAATATTGTTTAGGCTTGCAAGTATTTTAATGTTTTACCAACAAAACTAATTTCCTTTAACAAGTAACATTAACAATGCAACAGTAATAGGACTTGTGATGGTTTTTTATTTTAATTTTGGGATTACCATAATTAAAACAAGGTTTGTATTGTTTTTTTTTAATTTTACCAACTAACTAGAAAACTTGTTAGCCAAAGGAAAGTAAAAATCTCTTGATGGGAGTGATAATTGTGGGATATGATGGGTTTTTGGCAAGCGTATTTTGCCAAATACTTGGGCCAAAACCTTCAAATCCCATGTTATGACACCTTCTTGCTTTTTTAAGGTTTTAATTGCAGGCTGACATTTATGAGCAAGACAAACCATCATGCTTACAGTGTAAGTGGTTGCACTTCCTTCACCACTCTTGGCAGCTTTGCCTTGATAAAAAGGAAGTACCATAACTAGAGTATTGTTCAGGTACAGTGATGCTTGATCCTAAATTGGGGAAAATCAAAATTTTCCTCCTTATTGTTCCATTTGCTTTTGGAAGAAATTCTTTTTCTTGTAAGAGTACCGCTTAAAGGTACCTCGGACAACAATTACTATATAATAGTTTATGTACAGGAATTCACGAGTCATGATGTGGCGTTAAAAAAGGACAATGCAATTATTGTAAAGTTCATAAAGTTCGGCATGTAGGTTGATTTTTACACTTTGATTGGTGGTTGTTCTTCCTTCACCACTCACGGCAATATTGACGTGATAAAAAGGAAGCAATACTTGACAGCAACTTGTAATTGGTGGTTTTTGCAGGTATTGAACACTATTCCCCCAACACAAGCTTCACACGACAAATCTGTTTTAGAATTAAACTTTAGAAATTATCAGGGGGCAAATAAAAAGTACTGGGCCACTTACTGGATATTTTTTGCTTATGACTGAGAGAATGTTAGGAATTCAAAGCCTTAATATACTATTGTTTACAATGGTGTATGTTTTACAGTGTCTGTGGTTTGATTGTGCCTTGGAACTATCCACTGATGATGCTAGCATGGAAGATCTCTCCACTCTTGGCTGCTGGTAACACTGTTGTACTCAAACCAGCACAGGTAAGGTTAAAAAAGCAGATTTTCTTTAAATTCTGAAGCAGGCAGTTGTTGCTAGAATGTGATCAGAGCAGTCAGCAAAGTTTATGCATTGCTGGCTGATATACATTTATACCACACTACCATGATGTATTGCAACAATGAATGAAAATTGATGGTAATAGAAGAAGAAGTAGATAAAGGAGAAAAGGAAGATGTAGTGTGAGTAAGTAGGAGAAATACTTGACAATCTGAAATAGACAAAGTAGAAGAAGTATCTAATGTACTAGTAGCAGCAGCAGCTGGTGGTCTTCCCATCCTGACTCTGCTTTCAAAGCATATATATCATTGAATACAATCTTCTGCTAGCCACCTTCCCCCCACATCTTCCACCCACACATTCTTGCACAACTCTTTTTTATGGGAGTCTGGCCTTTGATTATAGGGCCAAAACTCAGATGCTGTCTCACTTTGAAGAGCCACCATAAGTAGCTGGTCTTATGTAACTTGGCACACTTTTCCAATCCCTTAAATCACTTATGTTTATATAATTAGTGCTTTCTGTCAAATGATTGCATGAGTTTAAAAGTATAATTTGTTTACCTCTTAATAGATGGCAAATGAAAATTGATTTGTAATTCATTTTGTAGGTAACACCAATGACAGCTCTGAAGTTTGCTGAACTTGCTGCCAAAGCTGGATTTCCCAAGGGTGTCATCAATATCTTACCTGGATCAGGTGTGCTTTTGTAGCAAGAAACCAGTTTGAGTATAGTCATGGTTGTTCTGTTGGATATAGAGATGACTAAGATACAGTGGTGGATTACTTTAAATTGCTCTGCAAAGTTGCAAGCGGTTTATTCTGCTGTTTTTTTGGACTGTGATTATTGTTTGAATAGGGTCTGTGGTTGGAAATCGTATCTGTGTTCATCCTGATATCAGAAAAGTTGGTTTCACTGGATCGACTGACACTGGACGGTCGATAATGTCAAGGTACTATTTCTACTGTGTAAAAATTACTCCAACCTGTAACAGTAACTACATTCTGTGTATGCACTTTATAATCTTATGAGCTATAATTGTTATGTCCTAGGTTAATTGTTCCTGGTCCTATGATCTAATTTCTCCTCATAATATCACCCCTGAATCACACATTTAGGATAGGAGAATAAAGGAAATGATCACCAACAGAAGATGCATATTGATGTTAGGATGTAAAGGGCCAATAGTTGTTCCTGGAAAAAATGTCTTGAACTGTGTTGGGATAATGAATTTTTTTTTCTTTGAAAAAATTCTTCTAGCTGTGCTGTCAATGTCAAGAAATGTTCATTGGAGTTGGGTGGGAAATCACCTCTTGTCATATTTTCTGACTGTGACATGGACAGAGCTGTGCGACAGGTGAGAATATTGTTAGCTTGACATATACATGTACTTCTGGGTATTTGAAAGGACTTACTGTGACAAATGCACTGGCAATTCAATTCAACTGAAACGTGATACACTATGGCCACAACAGTAAAAAAAATTGATATTCTGAAATCTAGATGAAAAGTAAATATAATCACAATAAAGGTGTAAGTTAGTAAATTTTATGTTTTTAGTTTTGTTTTGTTTATTGGTTTGTTTTTTTTTCTTTTAACCAGGGAATGATGGCTTGTATGTTTAACAAAGGAGAGAACTGCATTGCTGCTGGTGTGTGAAATGTTTAAAAATCAATTTGTGAACACATACTCTACTTCCTAATAAATTTCTTATTTTTCTCGACTATAAATTAGTGCTTCATTTTTCACTCTGTGGTTTTGACTTTGAAAGCCAACAACACAAAAGAATGAATCAGATTTCTCTCAAAGAAATGTTTACAGAACTGAGTATGATTTTTTTGTAATTTTTTTTTTTTCAGGCCGACTTTTTGTTGAAGCATCCATTCATGATGAATTTGTGCAGCGAGTGGTGAGTCATCCAGAAGCTATTCTTCTCCCTAAATTTACTTTAAGTTATGACAAGAAGCTAGCAGTGAAACAGAAGCATGTTGAAAGCTACATTTGGTTTTACAATAGGTGGAAGAAATAAAAAAGATGAAAATTGGGGATCCACTTGATCGTTCAACAGACCATGGTCCTCAGAATCACAAGTAAGATTTAAATACTATTTTGCTGTACAATGAATTTGATTGATGATAAGGTTACTTAACCCCATTGATCCCAAGATCATAATAGTAATTCTTCTTACTGTTTGCCATACAATTCTTATGATGTAAGTTGGGAGAATTTGGTATTGAATCAACTAATATTCCTGTCTTGATCACTCATGAGAGTAAAAGGGTTAACTGTTCAACAAATGAAATATTGATGATTACATGCTCATCAGTAATTTTATTGCAACTTCTTAGATAAGCCTCATTCATTTCAATCCCAAAGGGCAGGCCACCTGAAGATTTTAGAATTTTCTTAGTTGTGCAAAAGAGTAGCAGTGCTAACATTAAGTTAATTGTTCTTGATCACTAAGGGAAAGGGGATGGGTATTTTTGCAACTGGATGAGATACTGTGTATGTCCAGAAATGCATGCAGTTATGAAAATGGTGAAAATTCATCAAAATCGTTAAATCTGCCAGGCTGATTTTGCTTTGAGGAATTTGACTAAAAATTTGCACAAGTGGACTGGATTTTACAGATTGTACTGTATAGTGGGTGTGGACAGTATGTTGACCAGTAATGTTTGAGACCACACAGGTCTGAACAAGAGACTAAGAAAGTACTAGACAGTAAAAAAAGAAAAGAAAAACAGTGTTGTTTTGCTTTTTTTATATTTCAGAGCTCATCTTGACTCTCTTGTTGACTATTGCAAGAAAGGTGTGGAGGAAGGAGCCACACTAGTGTATGGTGGAAAACAGCTAAACAGGCCAGGTTGGTCTAATTTAAAATTCAAGTTAACTGGTCACTGTTTACAGAAATAATACATTTTGGATATTGTTGAAGAACACTTTCTGAGCATTAACAGTAGCCTCCATTTGGCTAGCAAATGTGCAGAATATTTGTCAGCAAGCAGAAATATTTGATGTGTTATAATTGCAAATATCACAACAACAAAAATGAATGCAGATGGATAGATAAAATTAGTTAGGTTAGCAATACATGATGTGGTGTTGTACCATACCAAATCAAAAACTAATGGTCCTTTTGTTTGAGCTTCTCATTTTTAAAATAACTGGTGATCAGTCATGTAATTAATTTTTATACATGTATTTACTTTCACAGGGTACTTTTTTGAACCCACTGTGTTCACAGATGTGAAAGACAACACATTTTTGTCACAAGAAGAATCATTTGGCCCAATTATGATTATCTCTAAATTTGAAGACGGGTAAGTATGCTGGCTGTAATAAAGGGAAAAATAAGTCAATACTTGACCCAGATGGCCGACACAGATCATCCCAGTTTCCTTAGCATGAAGTGACTTACAGTATCACTACTTACCCTTTGGATAGGATGTTATTCCACTCCAAGGTTAACCCCCAGCATTTCATCAGGTTTCCCTGACAATCCAACAGTACCCATTTGTACTCCTGGGTGGAGAGTCAGGCACAGAGAGGGTAAAGGGTTTTGCCCAAGGACACAAAAAGACTGATCCAGCTAGGTCTTGACCCCAGATCTCTTGACCCGAAGTCTAGCACACTGATCATTGGGCTGCTGCATCTCCTACATTGACTGTCATAATGTACTATACATGCAGTTACTACCCCTAAATGCAATCAAATTTGGTATGAAAAAGTAAGTGCCATCCAGGGCCGGGCATGATAAAGGTTTATAAAATGGTTTGCTAATGCCAAAATGGATGCGGCAAAGAAAATCTGATGGTGTATGTGAAAATGAAGGACTTATCAAATTCTGCAACAACCCAGTCAGTTTTGCTCACAAGTTGTGCATGTTTATCTTCAGTGATGTTGAAGGTGTTTTAAAGAGTGCCAATGGTACGGAATATGGATTAGCTTCTGGAGTGTTTACAAAGGATTTGAGCAAGGTTTGTTGCTGTATGATATCCAATAATGAAAGCTTTGGTAGAACCCTTCAAATGACATTTCTAAAAACTAAGAAGGGAAGCAGTTTTGCTATGGAATCAGTGAAAGGTCAACTCAGCTTACTAAATATTCCATCTTTTACAGCTAAAGCAATTTTGAAGTTGTTAGAATTATATGATTTTATTGTTTTGGGGAAAAAAGGAAGATTGGTATGATGAAAAAACTTGAGCCTGTCTGAGCAAAGGTTATTGAAGGCTCTATTAGTTTATAATGAAGTCTGTTAGAAGTGTTTAATTGTTTTTTTCTTTTCTATCTTTAAGGCTCTTCGTGTGGCTGATGGACTGGATGCTGGGACATGTTTTGTGAACACTTACAACAAGACAGATGTGGCTGCCCCTTTTGGTGGGTTCAAGCAGTCTGGCTATGGAAAAGACTTGGGTAAGGCTAAATCTAAACCTTTCATGTTGCAAACCAAGTCAGGTCTAAATCTAAGGGAAGTGATGTCGATGATTATTGTTGCGATTAGTGTAGTGCAAGATGGGCACCATTTAACTAATAATATATATGTATATATTTTTGATGAAATTAACTTTCCATCAAGTTTTACTAATTGGCCTCCTTTTCTTTGTGTTTATTACCATGACAATGAATTTGAATTTTTTTGGAGTTAAAAGTAAACAATTTTTTTTTTTTTTTGGGGGGGGGGGGGGGAAATTACTTTTTAAAAAAAATGAGAAGCTACTGAACAGTAATTAGTTCTTTGGAATTTTGGCAAACTTACTGTTTCAATATAAATTGCTAAACTTTTGGTAATGATGGTTTTTTTTTCTCCTGCTCATCTTTAATTTTTCTGCAATCATGTGACTAAAATGTACTTGTTATCTTTTGCAGGGGAAGAGGCTCTTAACGAATACCTGAAGACTAAAGTTGTTACTGTAGAATACTGAACATCTGAATTATTTTATTTGTTATGCAATGCAGAAATGGATGTGCTAATTTTTGTGATAATATGGTACTTCATTAGTCTTTTAGGAACCCTTAAAAAGGCTAAAATCAAAATCTGTTCTGCTAACTCTGGCTCTAGCAATGATAGTCTTGACATTCAGTGGAGTCTCATTTTCTTTGATCTCTTGTTGACCAGAGGAAAAAAGTTAGGCTCTTGTCAGCATTAGTGATATTCTGCCTTCTTGAAACATCAACAACAAATTTCCACATGCTGATCATGAAAATGTAATGTATTAACTTATATAAACAAGAGTACTGGTATATTAAGAAGTTATCGATTACTGATTGGAACAGAATGCTATCAATTTTTTTTTTAATTTAAGTCAAAAATTTATCTCTAATACCAACATCAAGGAGGAAATATGTAGTAAGAATATTTTGATTTGATGTTACAAGAGGTTTCACAGAAAATATGTTTGTACTGTTAGCCCTTTAACTCCCATTAGTGACCAAGACACAATTTCTCCTAACAATATCAATACAATATCAAGCAGACAAGTGATGAGAATGAAGGACAATATCAATTAGGGGATTATAGTGGTCGATCAAACACTAAATTCTCCCAACTAACATCTTAAGGATTGTATGGGAGATAGTAAGGAGAATTTCTAATGAGACCTTTGGAGTGTATTTGTAAGGGTTAATTTGTAGAAATTGCAGCAGAGATACAAAGACAGAAATCATTTTCTATTGAGTTGGAGGTTGAAGTATGTTAGCAATTTTTATCCATTGGCATCATAAGTAATATATGGAAACAAGTTAAGTTGAAAAACTGACAGTAGTTTAGCATGGTCTGTACTCTTGTTGACAGTGATATTTGTAAACCACTGTTGATTTGTTTTTACCAGTATCAACTGCAAATGAAATGATTATTTCAGTGCATGACCTGTGTGTGACATGTTTATGCACATAGCATTGTCTGTACTCTTATTGAACAATGGCAAATTGGCCAATCAGATTGCAAAATTATTGCCAATTGTGGTAAAAAACTTTTTTATATGGATCCAGTTCAAAAGGGGTATCAGATCACAAGGATTTTCTAAATATTGATTGACTTGCATGCCGTAGTTGAGTTGTACATGTACAAGTATGTAGATATTTTGAGCGAGCCCACAGCCAATAGGAAGAATAGGAAGTCACTTAATTTGCATGCACTTTGTTGCCTGAGCACAAGCAATAAATTTTGACAGTATTCTATTTTAGAGATTTAGATTTGCTGCTAAATTATTGTGCTGCACTGTGGCTATTATTCATCTCTGGCTTCAGTAATTATCATTTGCAGTGCTAATTTGCAGTAAGGTGAAGGCAAATTCATCTAATCCATTGTTAAAATCTCTGCAATATTTTAATTATTGTCAAATTGTGTAGTACATGCCATATTACTTTTTTAGATAAATGTCACAGTATGTCTTATTTTGTTGCTTAGTGACTGAAAAAAATGTCTGTGTAGTTGTACTATTCATAGTGAATATCAAAAATTATTAATTTTGATATTAGGTAATTAGTGCCTGCTTTAAGCTTTAGAGAGACAACTATTGCATGTACTTTATTGTTGAGCTGCTTAATGAATGAAGCCAATTAAAAGCTTTAGGCTGTTATTGATTGAGTACATTTACTTGGTCTTGTTTTCAGAAAACATTTTTATATACCCATGACATGGCTGCAAGGCCAAAAAAAAAAAAAGAATCAGTTGTCCAGAAGCAGCATGTTCAACTGTACTGCGGGCATGCCAACACCACAGCTTTGTCTAGTAGTCCAGTGGTCAGTGCACTGGGCTCTGAGTCGGACGACCCAGGTTCTAGTCCTGGCCAGGGCAAGGTGTTGTGCCCTTGGGACATGCAGGAAAAAAATGCGAGCTCCGCTTTTAGGCTTGGCTAAATCTATATATTATACCCATGACGTGGCTGCAAGGCCAAAAAAACAAGAATCAGTTGTCCAGAAGCAACATTGGCTTGCATTTCCACCTGCTGCTTGTGGTTGAAGTGGTGCCTTCTTTAACCCATTAACTCCTAAGATCTGATTTTTAATTCTCCCCTCCAGCTGCTACAAATTTCCTCGTCAATTAGTGATGAGAATTTGATGTTAGATCAAGATAGCAACTACCTGATAAGTTTGAGTATTCTCATTATCTGTTTCCTGGATATGTATGGATATTAAAGGGAGAAGTTCCATGTTAATCACTTTTGTGGGTTAAAAGGTTAATAAGTCAAAATAGCAAATTATGTGTCTTGATTTGGACACTCACTTGTATCCCTGCCACCTACTGGTTTTTTTTTTACTCTTTACACCCTAACATCAGTATGCATATTCTCCATAATGTTCTCCACACATTTTTTAAGGTGCTGACTGGGAGAATTTGTTTAACAATTAAGAGCTTCTTTATTTGGTGATCATTTCCTTCATTCTCATGATCTTGATGAATGATTCAGTGTTGACAATGTAAGGAGAAATTAGATGCCATTTACTCCCAAAGGGTTTAAGGGTTAAATGGCTGGCTTCTTAAAAGTCCCTGAAGAACTTTGATAAACCCCTCAAGGTGGGAGAGAAGGCAGGTAGTTTTAAGTTGAGCGAAGGAAAATCAACCTTTTGAAGAAAAGTCAGGTGAAGTTGAAATTATAAAACCACAGGTAGCCAAAGCTCGTGCAATGAGCCTCCATAAATATACAAATAAGTTTACATGGTGCAATGGGTAAAAATACAGGATTGTACAAGAAAAATGGTTTTGCTTTTGACCCAAAGATGACTGAATTTTCTGACTGATTTAGGCAGTTTGGTAAAATTAATTATATTTCTTAGCTAAGATTAAAAGGAGAAAATTTCTTAAAGTGTTATAAGGATGATAGTGAGACCACTCACAGAATGATAAAACATCTCAAAAATAAAACATTTATTCAATTCTCTTGAGGTTTGAAAATAACTGTTGTTGTCTTGTGTTACCTGAAAAACTTCAGGGCCCAGTTGTTCAAAGTGTGGATAATGCTATCCAACAGATAAATCACTATCCAGCAGATAGTTGTTGCCAAAAATTACTGGGCTATCTGCTGAATAGAGATTTATTCATTGGATAGCATTATCCATTCTTTGAACAACTGGGTTCTGGCCTTCAGAAACTCCACCCGACTGGTACCACTACCTTTTGCTAAATATCTCATGAAAACAGTGCAGGCCTCTTGTAATAACAAAGCAATTTAAAATCATTATAATAGTTGAGTTATCCACTCCACAGCAGCTTAGGAATAAATTTTTTTTCTCAGATCTTACTTCAGGTTATTATGTGAAAAGGTGAAAGAACTAATAAATTGTTATGGTACTGATTAAATAGAGCTCACTTTCATTCAGCAAAGAATACTATTTACAAAAGAAATATATATTTTTTCTTTGAATCCTATGAGGGGTTCATCCAACATCAGTGTAGCAAGAAGTAACAGCAGAATTATGACAATGTTTCTCCTTTTGTTACCTAAAAAAAAATTCCAAGAAGTGACTGTGTAATCAGGTGAAAATGTTTCTGGAATGCTTCTTGTGTTATGGATGATCATGACAAGTAAGGAGACTAAAAAAAAAACAGCAACAACAACAACAAACACACAAACTACATGTAATAAGTAGTTCTGTGTAGAGTTAAGATTTTTCACATCAGATTGACATGTATCCTTCTATACAATAACGCATGAGACCAGATAACTGAGGTGCATTTTTTATCAAACTGTGGTGGTGCGTCACTAGGGGTATTACGAGATGATTTGATTTTATTAACTAAGGTTGATAATGTGCGTAAATTAGCCACCATTAAGAGTTTGCTGACATTTTCATTCTGACATTCAAGGGTTAATACCAAAATGCCTGCTTTAAAAACTCTCTATGGTGGTCAATTTACATCATCAACTCATTTGATAAACCAAATTATCTGGTTTCATTTCACTGTTTGTTTAGATAATTCAGATTAACCAACAGTAGTTTGTTACTTCAACTTGATTACATTACAGCTGTGTTTCCTATTCTAGCAATCACAGTTTACCAAAAACTCCTGGATGAGACTCAACACTAGTAAGTACATTTGCACAAATTCAATGATTGTATGTCAACTTTTATCATTATTGTTACAATATTGCCCATAATATTATGTGAACGTGAAAGTAATCAGTACATACCCTGGCCTCGATGTATTCCACTCTCTGCTCTAATGATGTTAACTGTTCATTTATTTTCGCTAATCTTGATCTACATGATACGTCTGAATGATATACAAAAACAAGAAAGTAGGATCAATCATTATATATTTCTCAACCAATAAACTAAAATATTACGATACACTTTGTAAGTGCAAGCCCCGTAAGCTTAGTTTATCTCCTTCCTTCCAGCAAATATTACAAGGCCAATCTATGTATTTATGAGCAAACCGAGCACTTAAAACAAGACTCTACCGAAAAAACCGTATACCCAACGCATATATAAGGTTCTTGAAACAACTGAAGGATGTTTGTATTCAATAATAATTAAGTCAACTCTGATCGAACACCACTATAATTTTTTACCCACCAAAGTCGTTGAGAAACTCGGCGATCTTTTTTATTCCTTCTGACACGACTTCTATGAATTCTCTGTTCTCCCAATCCTGTTGTATCTGTTGCTGTACTTCGCTGCTCATGGTGGAAAATTTTCCCTTCCTTTCCGTGGAATTTCTTGACTGAGGAAGAAGGCAAAGCCCATCAATTTACTCAGCGGAACCTTATTTTTGTTATTGACACATGCGCAAATCAACTTCAGCGCCAGACCTCTCCCTAAGTATGGCCGTCTGACGTCGCTCATCGGATCACTAAAGATTTTATGCAGTATTTCTTCACAGCAAAAGCTGAAGGATTGAAGAGGTCAGTGTTATAAATATTAGAATAGCCTTCTTTGTAAACGATCGTTCTTCCACACTGATCCCTGAACCCTTTCGGAAAGGAATTACGAATTTATCGAGCGGTTAGGCCAGTTTTCACACGGGGACGTCTTTGAAAATCTTTTTTTTTCTTAATACACTTTGGTCTTAGCTAAAATCAAGACTGTTACCGAGTTGAAAATTTGGTTTATATTTCTTTCCAAGGGTAGCGAATTTTCCTCTATGCATTTTATCGATCTTAATTATTGAAGTACAGGTCTTGATCTATTTCGCAAAAGATGCCCCCCACCCTCCCCCTCACCCCTCCCTCCCCCTTACCCCTCCCTCTTTACTCCCCTTAGAAGTAAAAGGTCAGAATGCAGATACTTTTCCCATCAGAAAAAATGTTTTCCTGCCGGTAGGAAAAGCCAAATGGTTTTAGATACACCATCAGAAATGTCTAGAAGAATAGTGTCAATGTGCCAACCCGAGCTCAGATTTTTGGACCCTCTCATAAAGTGGAAGGTGGGGTGGGGTGTGAGTATTGAATAGAATGGCCCTTAATGGGGTGTTCATCTCATGGGGTAACCCATACAATAACTATGACAATAAGTCAGTGAAATGGGAGGTGTTTCCTAATTTGATATACTGTAGTAAATAGTCAGTCATCCAAATTTTAGTGGTTGAAATTGGTGTTATGGTGGTGGTTAAGTTTTAAATTGAAAAATGGAACACTTCCATTTTAAGAATAAGTAACTTTTAAGATGAACTTGATTTTATTTAAAGCCGACAGCCCTGGTTTGGCAGAGAGAGAATGGGCTAGATACTAATGTGTCTCTGAATATAAAACTGTCTGTAGTGTGAAAGGGTATGGTTTTTTTGGATGATTTTGTAGGTGACTGAATAGAGATTTGATCATTTAGGTTTGAAATCTGATGAGGTTTTTTACACTTGCTGTAACTTAATATGTCTTTTTGCAGCCACAACTTTCTTGTACTTCTTTGTGATTGAAACAAAGTGGAGAAAACCTTTTATTTTGGTCTGAAATATGGCAACAGTTTCATGCTTCACATTCCATTAAAATCCTGTGAAAGTAACCCTCTTGTAGAGTTTCAGAGATAAAGAATTCCCTTGCATCACACAAAGTCTCCCTCGTCTTCTTCCTTCTTCCTTCCTGAAGCACTTGCCACAAGGAGAGCTTCTGTAGCCATGTATTTATACACAATAACTAGATAAATTTAGTGAAACACAATGAACTTGAGGAGGTCATCCTGATTAAACCAATAAAGCTACCAATATATGATTCCTTTCTTTAAATTGTGCTCTCTGTACTTTTCCAAAAAAAAAAATGGCAATACTATCTTCTTTCCTGTTTTTCCTACTATTTTTGCTTGTTTCCTGAGAAGTGTACAGCTTTCTTTACAGCCTTTTATAAGGAGACATATTCTCTACACTTTCCTCTAAACATTTTTGAGGTTCTGACAGGGAGAATTTGTTTAAAAGATCAAGAGCTTCTTTATTTGGTGATCATTTCATTCAATCTCATGACCTTAATATGTGATCTGGGGGTGATATTGTAAGGAGAAATTAGATGCTAATGACTATTAGTGGTTAAAGGGTGTTGGAGCTTCCAATGCAAGCAACACCTCAAATACAAGCTCTTGTTGTAAGAGACAGTGAGAGCTTTTGTCACTCACTACTCAAGTTGATGCTTGAGAAACCGTAAATAGATCATCTTCAGTGTATTGTGTGTTATATGGTTGACAAGGAATTCTTAAGGAAAGGAATCATGTCTGAAAAAGTATTTTCTGGGGATGAAAAGCCAGGAAATAACTTTCAAAGTGTATTCTTGAGCAACAAAGACAGGGACACGGAGAGATTGCGAATGAGTCGGATATATTTTCAAACCGCCATCCAATTGCATCACTAGCGTGTGCTGCCATGCTACACATTTTCTGATAGCAATACATACATGCCTTTGAAAAGTGTTCTCGCTCTCTTTTACCTCATGTGGTAAGTCCTCAAGTAGCAGCACTTACTATTGATATCAGTCGCGTTTTCAATCAGGCATTTCCTAGAATCGTGCCTGAAAAACAGGAAATTATGAAGCAAAAATCAGTTATTTTGGGAAAAAGTTACAGAATGCGTCATGTCGAAATGTGTGATGAAATGAGTTTTACGCAGTGATTCTGGTTTTGAATTTCATTTCCTCGGGGTTATTTCATTTTCTTCGGCGTGCTTGTTCTCACTTTCGTAGCAATTTCGGAAACGATGGTGAATCAGACTCCGTTTTTCGGTTCGTAGTAACACCGTAGCTTGTGTGGACACTCTTTGACGTTCTCTCTCAAAAGAGGATTCGAGACTTTAGAGAGCGGTGTATTCGAAATTCAAGATAGGGTTTTTAAATTTTTTCTTGAAATTAAAAAATCCTTTTTCTGTGTGAATTGCGTTTTCACCAGTCGCTTTGAATGATGATTTACAGTTAACTTGGCCAATATCCAAAGATATTTACCGAATAATCTTGGTCAGAAGCGTTGCATTAATTATCATTTAAATAGATTCCCCTAAGAAACCACTAATTGGAAGTGTGAAAATTTTTTTTTCAAGCAGGAGAGCATTGTCATGGAAGTTGTCTCCATCTGACTTAAAAATGCCGTAGAGCAATTCACTTGGAGACTCTCACTTCAGTTAGGAGAAATTACTTTGGTCATTATTTGCGGTTACTCACAATTGCCGGACGTTCCATTTCGGCCTTTTCGGTTTCTCAAAACTACTCCCTATTTTGATCCGAAAGATTGATTATTTCTTTTTTTTTAGCCTCGAAATCAATTTTTTGTCATTTTAAAGTCGCCTTCTTGGAAATTATTCAAAGTAGAAATCGTTCACACTGCAAAGGTTTAACTTCGCGGAAGGAAAGTTTTGGTTTACTAAATTACCGTTACGCAGGAAGTCGAAGCTGGTTGAAGGCATTTTATCTATCAATTTCATTTTTTGTACGATGGTTGCGTATTAAGGTAGTTATTAGGAAATCATACAGATGTTGAACCTCTGACATTTCTTAATTTGGAGGAACAACTTGTGATCACTTCGCAACTTCATTGGTCCATAGTATGTAAACACTTGTCTAGATATGTAAATTAAAGAACTAAATTTAGTTCTTTGAGTGAGAGAAGAGGTGCTTGACAATCGCTTGAGCGACGAAAATTAGCAGAGCGTTTACATTTTTCATCTTTGCGAGGAAAAATCTTCACAGTCGCCCAAGGGTTGTTCTATCGAGCGCTATGGCGACGATGCTGCCGAGCACCTCAACGATCGGGACATTTTTCGCTGTGTGCGTGATCTTGTTGCCGTCGCTTGTAGTATCTAAAAGATGCGACAAGCAGATCGATAGTTTTGTGCGGAGCAACTGCATGGAATGTTCGGTAAATGCCTTTTTTCAACGTCCCTGTCCGTCCGGTTATCAGCAAGTTACCAGCGGTGAAGGCGAACAGAGCTGTTCTTATTCCGTTTTTTTTGGATTTAACTTCGGCTCCATGCGTGTCCCTGGATGTCAGCATAATTGCTCAAGGAAGATTACACAGAAAGAATGTTGTGCCGGCTTTTGGGGACAGGACTGCCAAGGTATTTAAATCGCAAATGCATTAACTCACCCTTGAATGAGCACATTACGACTAAATCCCAGGGGAAACTCGACATGCTTTACTCCCCTGGAAAACCCAACTAAGAAAGATAAACATTTCAATTGACAAACAGTTTACTTTTTTACTGAGCTTCGCAGGACATATTCGTCTCACTGCCAAATATATATTGGTTCAATTGATAATTTCACCACGAGTTTTAGCTGCTCATTGAAATTTAGCTGCAGCAATTTTGGTATTTTCAATTGCGTGAATTTGGCGCCACGGACTTTTAAGTCATCATGTTACAAAATTTCGCGGGAATATGTTGAAAGGTTTTGTAAGCCATGTACTCTTTGACATAATGATTGGATTATTATAAAGCGCTTTTAAAGCCAATATGACAATAGAGTGGTTAAAGCTGACGAATCGAAATGGAATCAACTTTATAAATGGGGAGAAACTCGTCCACGTTCGTTTCTACCTGTGACTGATTGTTTCGTGATGGTTTACATTAAGATTTGTTACAATTGTAAGTCACAAAGGTGCACTTTACCCGTGTATTTAGCATAACAAATCAGCTTACAAGCAGATGAAAAGCCTTAGAAAAAATTATCTTAAAGCTTCCAATCGCACATCAATACAGCTCGCTCGTCCACGTTTAATAAATTTTTAAAATGTTGTAAGTGAAAATTATCTCAATTAATGCATGTCTACTTTTGTAAGATCTTACAATGGTGATGCAGCGCATTTTCCAAAGTCCAGTTCATCTAATATTGAAGTACTGTATCGTACCTTGTTTCGATATGCAATATCCAGCATCCTAATTCAACCGCTCACGTTTACAAAATAATAGTCTTAGGTTAAATCTCAAATTTTCATACAGTATATTTTTAATGTAATTCGAAGATTCAAAAGGCGTAATTAATTAGCGCTGTTTAAATTTTGAGCCAAAAGAAGACAAAAATACTCTCAGCGGGGGCGAAAGGGAGGTGCTAGAGATAAACTTACGTCAAGAACTTAATTGCTATGCCATAATTGTTCTTTCTTGCCGGCAGTAAATAGGTTTATAGTCTTGGAGAACTCATAGCATGGGTATTGTGTATTTATGTAACTTTTTGCCCTGGCTAGCATGTTGATGTTCGGTGCGGTCGACTCAATTTTTCTGTGTCGTTATTTATAGAAAGTTAATTTTTTTTCCAGAGTTATAGACCTTGATTGCTTATCATTCTGGATTGCGATGCTGTAATACTACCACATAAATAAGAGCAAAATTAAAGGAATATTTATATTGTGGAAGTAAAGTTAAACATTCCTATTCAAACAAACTGATATGCTGTAATGTCATTTCACAAAAATTCTTAAAGTAATAGATATCAGGATTTGAATGAAAATATTGTCAGATGTATGGATCTAGCCAAAAAATTCCCATGGATTGAGTTGGGTAATTTACTACAATCTTATTTTCTTATTTTTGTTTAGTTGATCAATTTACAGCTAAACTTAAATCTGATTTTTATTTACACTCATTCTCTTGTTGCAGCGCAGTATATTTAGCATGTTTGGCATCAATTGATCATACTTTGTTAATGATATTTAACAAATGTGTGTGGGAAACAAATCTGTAAGTGTTTACAAGGAAACACCTTTATGATAAATTGTCCTCTTTTAAATATTACAGTGCAGAAATCCAATATTGTAACCATATCAATTAACCCAGTGATGAGCTTAAAAAAAATTTACCAAGGAATCTTGATCAACATTTTAAATCTTATGATCTGATTGTTAATTCTCTCCTCTAGTTGCCACACATTTGCTTAAAAATTAGTCACTAGAAATTGGTGTTAGATCAAGAGAACAACTTCTACCTGATAAGTTTGAGTATTCTCGATATCTGTATGCCTGATAATGTATGGATATTATAGGGAGAAGTTACATGTTAATCACTTCTGGGAGTTAAAGGGTTAATAGCACAGATAAACTTTATTTATCAAAAGAGAGATTTGATGACCATATAATGTTAAGGAGAATTTTATACCCAGCAATACTATTAACAATAAAGCTGCACAAGATAGCAGCACTGATACAACTGTTTTGATACTGAAATACACCCTCACAAAAAGAAACTGATGCCTAACGAATCCCTCACCTTTTGACCCCTGACAGGGAATTGCATCTAATTTCTCCTTACAATATCATCCCTGAATCACACATTATGGTCACAGGAATGTAGCATATGATCACCAACTAAAGAAGTTCTTGGATGTTAGACAAATTCTCCTATTTTTTAGCACCTTAGGAAAAGTTTAGAGAAAAGTTTGGAGAATATGCATACTGATGTTAGGGTGTGAAAGGTTTTTAGATCATATCACAAATTTCTTAGATTGTTTGTTTTTCTTGGAATACAATATATTATCATATTTGAATTTGCTGTTAACAAGTCACCCTTTCTTTTTAATTTATGCCGATGTTTTCCAATGTCTGTCTAATCAAACATCTCATATGGAATGTTTTAGATTTATAAATTAAAATGATATGATGGAAAATAACATTTTAGAGGGACTTTCAGTATTAAATGAAACAAACTCTTCGCTTGTTATTGATAATGACCGGTAAATATTTGTTATATAGTTTCATTTTCATATTGAGTGTAGGCCAGTGCTAATTAAGGATCATGGAAATATTCTTGTTTCAGTTTCCCAGTGAAATATTGAATAAATTTCAAACTTTTTGAGAGGAATCAATAAGATCTGCTGTATGTTAATGTTGTTACAGAGGATAATGGCTTTAGAAGCTTTTAGTGGGAAATGGCAACAAATGTAAAAAAGAACTCAGTAACTCACCTAAAAGCCATGCAAGGATTAATTTATAAATCTGATCAAAAATTTTTATGATCTTTGTATATATTGTTTGACTGTGTAGGTTATATTTGCCACTGTACCAGTCAGTAACATGCTCTGAATTTGTTAGATACTCAAATATTTTTAATTGTAATCCATTAAGCAAGGACTTTCTTGTCAAACATTGCAATGGGTTATATCACTTTGAACTGTTGTATGTCTGAAAAAATTGTAAAAATATACATAAAAAAATTATGTGCTTCTGGTTGGCTGAAAACAAATACTATTTTTGTTTGACTCGAGTGCAACATCATGGTGCTAATGCAAAGTTGAAACACATTGTAGTGCAAATTACAAATAGTTCATGTACTGTCAAATCTTGTCTCTCTTGACTCTCTGGGATGCTTCTTTGTTGTAAATTATGATTTAGTAGTAATAGCATGGTTTCTCATGTAATTTGGTGTAAAAAAAACACTTTTTAATTCTTCAAAGACTACAAACTGCACTTTACAAACTGCCATACAGTAAGTTACTAAAACAAGGAATGACCTTAAGAAAACCCTGAAATTATTTTGACTGTTGTCTAAAATGGCCAGAAATGAAAAAATAACCTTCACCAATATCTAAGGTAACCAAAACTGACATTTAAGTCTAGCTAAAAAAGATCGACAATAGTAGCTGGTGGTAATGATCGAAGGTGTTCTTAGTGATCTTAAGTAGCAAACAGAAACAGAAACAGAGGAGGTGAGCTCCCAGCTCACACTTTCATTTCTGTTGTTCTGTTGTTTATGGCTGGCAATCACTATTTTAAATTGTTTCAGTAAAGTTAAAATGTCATGTTACATCATTTTAGTCAGTGTAAGACATCAGTCAAGGTTATTTTAGGTCATTTTTGGTATCACTCAAGGTCATTTTAGACATTACTCAAGGTCATTTTAGTTCATTTTAGGTCATTCCTTGTTTTAGTAACTATGTTGCACTACAGCCTTGTGCAATGGTTTGTTGTCTTTGAATAATTTACATGTGCTTATAAACACTTAAAAAATTGCACTCAAAATCATGGTGCAGTTTTACTTAATATACAAACTTTACAACTTTTGTCACAATTGTAATTCTTGTTTGTTGGTTTGAATACTAAGCTCACAACTGCAAAGTGATCCAGCATTGTTTTGTGATGTAATCAATGTTCTTTTCTTTACAGCATGTCCTGGTGTACCTGCATGCAGTGGGCGTGGCTCTTGTAATGAAACAGTGGGTGGTGATGGAACATGCACTTGTCAGGTGAGATTGCAAATTATAATTATACTCTTATTTTAAAAGCAGTTACAGATCTTTGAGTGAGGCAATGAATCTGAGATAGATTTGCATCAATGAAAAAACAGCTCAATATTATCTAGAATAGCCTGCTGGCTCAAACTACAATGATTGATGATTATTTGCAAAGTATTGTAGGTAATTTTAATTCCATTCACTATATCTAGTACAGTCAAACCTGTATTAGGCAGTCACCTTTGGGGAATGGCTTGGTGACCTCTTAATACAGGTTTCCCCGAATATCATAAGGGTATTATAAAAGAAACAATAAAAACGTCCTTTTATGCAAAAGTTGACCACTTAATGTAAAATAATTAGCTCAATGATACTACCAACATTGATTTTGGGAAATAGATATACATGGAAGATTTATTTAGTCTATGTTTTGTGTGAGTAGTCCTGCTTTAAGAAACCAATAAATTCAGGTAGAAGAAAATACAAACAGGCCATTGGGACTCAGTGAAAGGTGACCACTACTGCTTGATGGAGGTGAAAATTACAGCAATTAAGGGGTACTAACACTTTATGGACTTAGATAACCAAGCGCTTAATACAGGGTGACTGCTTTAAATATGGTGCAGCCTAATACAGGTTTTACTGTTAGTTCTGATTCCTTGTAATTTATAATGCCAGCAAATTGTCATTGATTTGTTCTTATATATCCTACTTTCACTTAAGGATGGTTTTAAGGGATTTGCATGTGAGCTGTGTAGGGATTCAAACAAATTTGGTAGTTACTGCAATGAAAGTAAGTATTACGTGTATTTACACACTACCTCAGGCCTCATATGAGTGCACAAGATTTTGACCACTGTGATGACCAATGTTGTTGTTGACAAGCTAAGAGTACAGAGCGTGTTAAAGCACTTTAAGTTGTTTTGTAATTACCACAATATTGACATCATGACCATTGCATGACATGTTGACATGAACAGCATTCTTTGTACTCTTATTTAGGATGGCAGATTAGCTGATCAGATTGCAACATTATACTGCCATGATTGTGATAAAAATGATTACTTGTGACTACTTATTTTAAGAAAGGTGCCACTTTTTTGTACCTAATACCACATTTTGATGTCATCTGTGATTTGCAACTGGCAGTGACTAAACAAACCTACAGCAACATGGAATAATTATCTTTTAAATTGATTAGAAGTAGGTGATCATGTGTTAGTATTGAAGGCGATTTAAAGAGTTTAGTTTTCAAAGTTCTCTTAAAATGGAAAAAGACATTTATAGTCAAGCGTGTTATTTTTTTAGCCTGTCTATGCAAACATGGGACATGTGACAGTGGATTGAATGGCACAGGACACTGCAAGCCAGGCACTTGTGTCTTAGGATATGCTGGGTCAAACTGTGATAATAGTAAGTAGTGGGTTACCTGTGGCCTTTCAGTGGAATCATTTCTTAGTTTTAATTATTTTACTCCTTCTTATTGTAAATTTTACTTTGTTATTTGTTAGCTTTGCCAAGATGTGACAGAAACCTTTCCTGTGGAGTTAATGCCAACTGCTTCAGAATTGAAAGTATTGATACTTGTGTATGTAACCCAGGATATAAAAATGTCAGTGGCGTTTGCAAAGGTAAAGGTCTTTCATGTGCATTAATTTTTTTCCAAAAGAGGTTTGGAGGGTTAATTAGGAAAATTTGAGGACTTTGTAGTTCAAGGAATTGACAAGAAAAAAGAAAGAAAGGAAGATGAACTAGAGGATTGAGTTAGCAATACCGGTGCCCTTACTCAGGTCTTCCTTTGGAAAGTGGGTGTTATGAAACACTTGGCTTGTGTGCAAGGCTGTTTTCTCTACTTGTTGGGAGCTGTTGTCAGCATGTTGTCTTAATATATATAGTTTGCATAATGTCACTGACAGAGAAAAATCATTCTTCACATTGTTGAACTCCTTTTTTACATTTTTATCCACCTGCCCTGTTGCTTCTAGCAATCAATCCCTGCCAGGATGGTACCCATGGCTGCCATAGTAATGCAGATTGCCTCTACCTAAGGCCAGGGAGGAACAACTGCACCTGTGCTGCTGGTTATACAGGAGATGGAACAGTTTGCATTGGTATGCTAATGTTTAAAATGGATTGCGTGTGAAAGCTGTTTAAAACCATTATGCAGTGTTCTTACTCAAGTACAATGTTTTCAAGTCTGTGTGACGTTCTCATGTTACTTTTATTATTTAGTTTGTTTATAAAGCCGGCCAGAGTAAATTTTTTCCACAACCACTATGAAGGGCAGTAAGAGGGACTTGCCATAAGGGAAAAAAGAGCATTTGTTTGTGCAGAAGGAGAGCTGGAATTCAAGTTTTGTACAACTTAGTTTGAATATAAAAGGCAAAGTCATGAAGTTTTTTAACATTAAAAATAATTAAAATTGATCTAAACATAATGCAGCGTTTTATTTGTAGGTAGGTATAAAAGGTCCATAGTAAGTTTGAAAATACTATAAGCTAGAAAATTAATTCTAAAGTTTCTGTAATGCCAGGAACAGTTTCTTATACATGATGTTTCCCTTGATGAAAGAACTATCAGTCACAGAACTTTGCATTTATTTCCAAACATTTCTTCCTTTAACAGCTATTGATCCTTGCCAGAGGAACAATGGTGGCTGTCCATCACGCTCAACTCAGTGCAATTACATACGTCCTGGAAAGGTAATATTGGCTTGAAACTTCAGAAATGTGAAAAATGGTATCTTATGTTTTGTACTATTTGGTAAATTTAATTTCATCAATGGTAGATGAGCTTGAAGAGGATACTATTTAGTATGTAAACCCCTTCAGGCAGCTGATATATTGGTTGATAATGTCAGCGGCTGAGAGATTGTCCAAAAAAATAAATATTTGTCTGAGAAGTGATGGCTTTTATTTTCCACTGGCTTTGTTTCTTTTTTACTTAAAAAAAAAAAAAAACTGTGGTTATACAAACTGTAGCCTCTATTTGGCGAGAAAATTTACACAGATATGCATAGCATGTTTTCTTTTGAGTATTATCTTGTATGACTTTGTGAACAAACAGATTTTCCTCTTCAGTAACAACCATGAAAATGCTTTCTCATCTTAAATTAAGTGTATTATATGAATCAGTGCACATAAGGTTTGAAGATTGGGGAATATCACTTGAGTGATATCCTCAGATATCCTCCAGTTTTAGCTGTGGGGAATATTTGGTCACATGATGTGTTTCAACCAACTGTGGGCTATCGAAAATATTTGAGGGATCATGATGTGTGACAACCATCCTGTCATAATTATACACAAATAAGATGGGTTGTAAAAAATGGAGCCTGTTAGATCAAGGTATGTGACTTGCCCTGAAGAAGTTTGATGGACCAGACTGTCCTATCTAGCATATCTTTAGGCCAATATCTTGACAGCATAAAGTCTCAAAGTCAAAGTTCATAATTTGATGAATCACTTGAAAAATTTGTTTGCAATCATAGAGTAGCTGTAGCTGCCTTTTTGGATTTGAAAACTACACCAGTGGGGCTGGCTGTGCACTCATTGATCTGTGTAAAAATGGCAGTGGATGCGACATGAATGCAAACTGTACAATGGAGGCACCAGGAGTGAAGAGGTTTGGATTATGTTTTTATAAAAGGTCTTATGTCGAACATTTTAAGAGTTTCATGTGTTTCTTTAGCTACTTTACTTGAATGAATCATAATTGTTTCTTGCAACTTTAACTTAGATGCAATTGTAAGAGTGGGTACAGAGGAAATGGCACCACATGTTATGGTAATATTCTCCAGGTGTGTATGTGTCTTGTTAAAAGAAAGGAATGTAACTTACAAATTAAAGTAACATTCACAGCTCAAATCACATTAATGCAATCATAACTGATTAATAATGTCCAGATTGACTCAAGTGTAATGTTTTGAATTATGGATTCTCGTCTCAGGTTTTCTTTTCTATATAGAAATACCTTAGCTTCCATAAAATAGAAATCCAAATGTGATATCCCTCCCTTTCTTCCTACTACAGCCACCTCTCTCCCGCAGTCATTATCCTCCTTCCCCTGTAGTCTTTTTCGGGAGGTATGGCTATCTACAGAAGCTTGCAGGGCGTGAAATTGCGCCTAATGCAGGCGCCAATGCGCCTAAATTTTTAACTTTGGCGACCAAATCCTGAAAGTTAGTCGCCAAATTGGCGACTAGAACGTTTCATCATAACCTTACCAAGAGATATAGTGAATTAAAAAGGTTTGCAAAGATAAATCCGCGGCAAACTTCCTCGTTAAGTTTGTTTCCAAAACGTAGCACATGCATCTCGATCGATAACTAGACGCCATCTTGGATTTAGATGAGCCTGAACGTTGTATATAATCCATCCTAGTGTCCACTTTGTAGCACGTTAATTTTGGAGGGTCTATCTAGAACGCTGACAGCGTAAAGAAAGATTTTGTTTGTCTTTGAAAATTGCGACCAACTTTTTTTGAATTGGCTACCACTTTGAAGAATTTAGGAGCCAAGTGGCTATTAGAAAAAAAAGTTAATTTCACGCCCTGGCTTGGTGACTTAGTCACTAGGTGGGGTCCTTGGATGTGGGTACCCCATCTTTGTAAGATGATTTTTTAAGGTCAAGAAATATACCAAGTTGATACTTCAGTTTTGTGACAAGGTGCATATATGGACAATCTACTTTGCATACATTCTTAATTTTCTGGTGTTTAGATGGTCACTTTACCTTTTCTTCCTACTGCATGAATATGAATATGAGGCCTGGTGGTACACAAGGTAAAAAAAAAGAGGTTTAAGCCTCATATAAGCCTTACACAAGTTTGTAACTGTTACCTCGTCCTACTTTGAAGAAGCCTTCCCTTTTCTATACAGTACAAAATTATGTGCTAAGATGTATGTTGTTGTGATTGCAGAGGGTAAAAGACCTGAACCTTAGAGGCCCAATTGGACTCAAAGGACAATTAACCACAGCAATTGATTTGCTGACAGGTTCATTCATGCACTTGGCTCTTTCTGGAGCAGGGCCATTTACTCTTTTCTTAATGGTGAACAGTGCATTTTCAAATCTCACTCAAGAAGAGGTAATAGTTGTATTGAAAGTGGTATGTGTACTAGTTTTATAGGAAGTAAACTTCATAGGCTAGGAAAGACATGCAAATTAGAGCAGAAACGGTGCAGTTAGTGAATAAATCACGCTGGTGAGAGCCAATTTAACATAATTGTTGCATGTGCGAAAACAGGTGGAGTGATACATTGGTAATTCAAGGGTATTGTCTAACAACACTTTTAAAAAGTAGTATCAGTTTCATTTATGAATGTTCTTTTTTTGCTATCTGTGAAAAAGTAAAAATCTTCTTATTTCTCCTCTATCAGGCTGTATGACACAAAATTTACATATTGACCATCTAATTTTGAAGCAAGCTTTCAAAACTGCTTTTTTAATTGAGCACTTAAAAGTTATGCTTCAATGGCTATACAAATTTGATGGTGGTCTGAACATATATATCTGTTGCAACTTTGAAATTGTGGCAAATTTGATTTATACAGAATCTGATGTCAATTTACTGCCAGTAACCCTCTTTAGTGAAAACCCTTCACTAGAAGGTACAAGTTAATTGGCCTTATTTCCCAGCCAAAAGACCTGTCCTGCATCTTACTCACGGACATGTTTTGCTTCATCCTTAGCTTAGTGAGCTATCCGCAAACACAGACATGGCCTCACATTTTGTTAGTCGACACTTAGTGGCTGCTGATTTAGACTCTACGTTGTTGAAAAAGTACAAGAAAGTCACAACACTACAGGGGATTGATGCAAGCATCTCAGAGTACCAGGTTAAAAGTTATTAATGCATGTTTTGATACTTACAATGGTAGGTAAGCATTTGTAGAGTGGACAAGTGTCCAGTGCTTTTGTGATCACTAATATCATCTTTGTCATTGTTTTTTACAGAATGTTATTTACTTAAAACTGGACAATCCGTCAGTAAATGCATCAGTGCTATTCCGTGATTTGTTAGCTGGCAATGGCATGATTCATGTTATTGACAAGATTATGTGGCATGTTGGGGACTATCAAGAGACGAGCTCTGTAAGTATTGGTTAGTCACCTAAAAGACTCTGGATAACTGGTTCACTTACTTAGACTCTCCTCAACAGATGTCAGCAACTGCCAGCACCGTACAAAGTACTTTTTCACACACAGAAAAAGAAACAGAATGACCTAATATTGCTGATGGATCTAAACCCACCAATCACAAATTACAAATGAGCAAGTTGGGCTCTTCTTGTTATTGGCAGCCCTAGTCAGTTATTTCAGTAGAAGTGGCATAGCTCCTGATCCCCTTTCAAAGAACACTGACTCTGCCCCTCCAACTACCCACTGTAAAACTGAACAAAATACAATACACATCTTTTAATTTATGGGTTTTCTTAAAGTGATGTGTGAAGTAAGACTGACATCTCATGGAAGTCTTACTTCCCAATTGCAAACAGCACTGTAATGATTATAATTAACCCTTCAACTCCTAGAGGTGATTAACACGGAACTTCTCCCCATTAATATCCATGCATTATCCAGCAAAAAAGTAATGAGAATACTTAAAATTATCACACAGAGGTTTTTATCTTGATCTAATGCCAAATTCTCCTAACGAATCTACCAGGAAATGTGTAACAGCTTGAGAGGAGAAAAAACAATCTGATCTTGGGAGTTAAAGGGCTAACCACTTTGTGTTCTCTTCTAGAAATCATTGCTTCAGGTCCTTTGGGCACAAAGTAGATTTTCCATTTTTGCCTCACTTTTACAGGTAGGTTGAACATGAAAATGGTGAAAGGTTTGTGGTTTTTTTGTACAATTGTTTCCGCCCTGAAAAAAATTATTAATTAGAAATGAAGATTAGAGTCGGTCAGTTATTCTATTGTTTGTCAAGTAGGAAATATTCCTCTCATATCTGTTCCTGTTAAGTGTGCATAATTTATCAAATAAAATTTTCTTTTAATTATTATAAGTTGTGAGCTAAATGTGAATCTTCATTGTTTTTTTTTACCAGTCATCTGGAATTGCTGCAGAGTTGAGTGGTCTGGGAGCTTCCCTCACTATTTTGGTGCCAGCAAATTCTGCTTTTGACAAGATTGACAACAGTACCATGAGATTTTTGACCAGCACAGATGTGGTATGAATAACATGAAACTGAGAGGTCTTAGTATAAGATACACAGGGAACCCTCCACTTTTAGGAAGGTGGCAACTTTGACAATGCAAGAAACCGTATCAAATCAATTGGTTTTCTTGCTTTATAGGTTTACTTAATTACCTTACAATTATTAACACCGCTCGTGACTTCTCTACCTTGTGGTTTTCTGACTGTATATTCTTCAGTGAATTAAAATTCTGACTGTTCCTTTGGTGAAGTGGACGAACAACACCTACTTTGCTTTAATTTTGAAAAAAGAGAACTAGAGGTGCAGTGAGAATGAGACAAATTATTTGATGAAGGAGAAATCAATGGCTCTCTGTAACTCAATCTGTGATCCTCGTACAATTTATTACACCACTACCCTCTTTATTTCAGGTAGCATGACGTTAGCATTGAGTAATCAATAGGGATTTCATAAGCTCTGTTACCAGCACTTCACATGACCTTATTGTGTTTTTTTCTATAGGGAATGAGAAAATTGAAGTCACTTTTAAGAAACCACATTCTTACAGGAAAGGTTTGTCTCTGCCAAATGTGCATGCACAACATTTCTACCATGACTTGTTACAACAAAGGCAAAAGAGTAAGCTTTGGATTCTTATTCATGTGAAGAAACCATCAAACTATTGTTTCTGTTTTTTGCCACGCTGAAAGAAACCATCTCTTTGGCTGTTGCCACTCTGTGTGCCCAAGTTGTGAGGATCTTGTAAGGCAGTGGCTTAATGAGAACACCAAAAGTCAAATCAGCCATAAGTTTTAATGCTTGAGCATGTGATGGTAATTTATTTAGTTAGATCCTCTACAAGTCACAGCAGCAGTTACTGACAACTGTTTCTTCTTTAGATGGCAGTGTTAGACTTGATATACATTGGCAAAGTTGTATCAGTACAGGGAGAATCATTAGAAGTCAAAGTAACTCCCACGGTAAGTGAGCTTGTTCTTAATTTAGGCGACTTATAGTCTTATTGATAGGTAATTTTTCGATTCCCTACGTGCCCGTTGATTGAAAAGGCGATCTCATGCGTGCAAACAGGATAATTATGCACGTATCACAATTTTGGACTTCCAGAAACCATAAAGGTAAAAAGTTGAATTAAAACTTGAAGCAAACTGTCTTCAACAACCTTAACCTGTAAAACTCTCTTGCAAGACTTCACTCTATGTTAACCTTTCATCAGAAAGAAATTCATTTGCTCTGACAAAGAGGTAATGCCTGAAACCTCAGCCTCAGAAACTTTCTATGGTGGCTACTTTACATCATTAATTCAGTTGATAAAAACAAATTATCTTTTAATACCTTACATCAAGGCAGCACTACAATTTCTTCAGAAACTTACCTCCCTTTTCACTTTGTATCAGTCTGTGTGTTTGCAGTATTATTGAGGCCTGACATGATGTTTTGATACTTAGTACATGTTGCTCTTTAGGGTCGTATTGTTGTGGATAAAGATTCCGTCATAACAGAATCAAGTGTTCTTGTCAGTGATGGTATACTTCATGTAACAGATAACCTTATCATCCCTGACGACATTGAGCCTCTGTTACCAAGAAATTGTAATGGACAGAAATTCAGTAATGTAAGTAAATGATTTGTTTGGACAGTTAGACTAACCCAATTAGGAAAAGTTGGTAAATATGGGGCAAAGAACACCAGCACTACTTCAACTAATATTGAAAATCTAGCAATGAAGATTTTGTGTTTCCAAGTTTTAATAAGTGTCAAGTATATGATAATGATACTGTGTTCTATTCTCACTTTGCGGAAGTCAAAGTGTCATCTTCATTATCTTATGGACTTTCGAATTTAGTCACGACAAGTATTTCTTTTAACATCCAAATGTTATTGTTCAAGATGGGATACTTCATGATTAAAATTGAATCATATAGAAACTTGTGCGTTGCCAATTTGTATCATGGTTCTGTTTATGATGGTTGTCAGTAATATTACTGGATCAGGAATACTGGAGAATGATGTCTTGCCTGCTCTTCTGACATGTTGGCACACAAAGTATTTCTACTTTTTCTATTATAATATTTTATAACTTTTGGCAGGGAATTTGTTATCGATGTGAAGCTGTTAAAGCCATGCCAAGGACAGGCTGCCCTATAGGATATGCTCCATCAGTAAGTTCTGTGAGATCAAGATGGTTAAAATGAAATTTGCACTTAGTAGACTAAGTATAGGTAACAATATGATTTCAATTGCAATTTGGTGTCAATAAGCGCAAGTAAATTTTTCAAAGATAACAAATTTGCACCAACCTGTTTTTGTTAATAATGAACAAGAAAAACGCACCACAGAAAGTCAAGGCGGACGAAATTTTGGCAGTGCGTGTGCGCTATTTGTAATTTGCTTTCGTATTACAACTTTGCACACGTGTTACATGAAAATTGCAATCAGACGTGCGTAGTTTCTTCATGTTTATTATAAACCCCTTTAACTCTCATGAGTGACGAAGACAGATTTTCTCGTTACAATATCATTACTAGATTAAGCACACAAGTGATATTAGTTGACCCAATACATTTTTTCAGAACCAACTTGAGCTTTTCAGAGTTGTAACAGACGGTACTATGGAGAATTACCATTGAGATCATTGAAGTGAAAGGGTTAAAGATTTGAAGCACATTTGCTTAGTGTTTGGCAAGGCTGCTTGACGTTATTTCTGCTTATTGCAGGTTTCACTGTATTTTGAGTTCAATAAGGGTGAAAACTTACTATAGGCTGTTTTGTAATTTTTGAAATTACTTCATGCCTTGTCTTACACTGTGATAAATTTACTGAAAGCTGTTATATTTTTTCCATTTCAAGACTCTTTTAAATGGTATTTTGGATAGAAAAGAAGCTTAGAAACTAGCTGCTAATGTTTCATATTGTCTTAAATATTAATTTAAGAGTTTGTCTTTTAATTTTTTAGCCCACAACATCTGTGTGCTACTATCGACTGAGTTTCCGAGGAATTCCTATTGGAATTTTCCGCGGCTGTAGGGCCACCACATGTTCAGCACCAGTAAGTGACAAGTGATAATCGTAAATGATTAAGTATCCTAGAGTGTTTTTTCAGCTCATTGAGTCAAGCCTTTTCTTGACAACTTCAATTTCAGATGCCAAAATTCTTGTTGACAAGGAATTTTTAGCAATTGTTGAGGCATTGTAATGAAAGATTTAACGACGAGGAAGGATGCCAGTTACCAGCCAATTAGATAAAATCATGAGCATGTTATGTATTTATATAGATTGCCCTACAAATTACCCATACATGATACTTCTTTAGTTGCGCATTTCACTCATGGAATAGCTCAAATGATTTTTAATACATTTATTGTTTACAACATACATACCTTTGCTTGTGGAGTGCAGGTTAAATGTATATTTTCAATTCAGCAATAATTTTAAAAAAATATCTCTAGAATTATGTTTATGTGTGCAAGTCCTATGCCATGGAAGTTTAAACTATTGTCCATTCTTCTTCTTAATGGTGTTTTCAATTTCTTTCCTACTTTTCAGGAACCAGAATGTTGTGCTGGGTTTTATGGTCCATCTTGCCATCCTTGTCCTGGGCCTTTTGATAATGCTTGTAATGGAAATTTAAATGGAAAGGTACAGTACGAAATCTGATAGAATAAAACACACAACAAAATTAAATACTGTATGGTGTTTTGCGATATTAGACAGGCTGACCCAGTTCAGCTTAAAGCTGGTTTGAATAGATGCCTGCATAAACAGTAACAAGGCCAGATCACAACACTAGGAGCTACGTTCCCTCCTCTTTGGGAGAAGTGTGAAGGTTCTTTAACGTCCCCCACTAACCAGTACAGAGAAGAGATAGGAGACTGGACCTACGGCTTATTGTCCCTATCTGAGGAGACTAGAATGTCTAACCATTAACCGTTGTCAGAGCTTGGTTGTTTTAAGACCCTGAGCATGTTGGTCCAGTCTGGGACTTAAAACCTCGACCTTCTGCACAGCAGTCCGCCGCTCTATAACGTGAGCTAACCTAGCACGGCATTAAATACACTCTGCTTAAGTATTGATTAGATACAGAATAAATGTTTGATAATTCGCAGGATATTTTAAAACTTGTACTGCCCAAAAACTACATGCTATTCAGACTGAACTGAGACACGTCTACAAAGTTTACTTACTTACTGGCCACTTCGCTCCTCTGACCCATATTGGAAGCAGAACTTTGTCATATTCTGTCTAAATGCACTGTTATGTCGGCAACGTATTGATAGACTTTATCAGAGGTTAATTATGGTATTTAAATAAATGTTGGCAACATTTGTTGTGTTACAACAGTGTGTTGATAAAATCAGTGGCAATGGAACTTGCATATGTCAACCCAACTTCAAGGGAACAGCATGTGAACATTGTCAGGAGAGCAAAAGCTTTGGACCGTTCTGCAATCAAAGTAAGTTGATTAATTTGATATTCATGTATTATTAAAAGACACTTACTTGTCTCTAATTAAATAAATTAAATGCTCTTTCGTGATGTTTTTTTTGTTACTTTCTTTCAATGGTCTCCCATGCGTGGGAACTTTTACCCAGTTCTTAGGTTGTCCTTTGAATACCAGTTCCACCCTGGTAGCAAAAATCGTTCTTAGGATTCTTCCCTTTGCTTGTTCCTCTTAGCTTGCACATGTTTGCATGGCATATGTGACAGTGGCTATCCTCAAGGGAATGGAACATGTAAGGCTGGATCTTGTTCGCCTGGTTTTCATGGTGACAACTGTGACCAACATGATGTCCCATGTCCTGGGTCAGTGAGCCGTCGTTGTCATGCGCATGCCACTTGCCGACGACAAGGAAATATGGACAGGTGAGAAGAAAACTGAGCTGTACCTACCAAGTTTGTAGAGAAACCATAGAGAAAAAACTGTATTGAAATTTAAGGTAACAATACCTGATATCCTAAATACTAGTCCGTTGTGAGACTTCTAGTTTCCTTATCTAATCCATGTAAATCGTCGTAATCTTAGCTGTCAGTGCAACTTTGGCTATGAAGGTTCTGGAATACAGTGCTCTGAAATTGATCCTTGTTCTAAACCTGATCGTGGAGGCTGTCACCATGAGGCAACTTGCACGAAAACTGGGCCAGGTACCAACAACTGTACATGCGATGATGGTTTCCGTGGTGATGGAACAGTATGTGTTGCTATAGATCCTTGTTTAGAGGAAAATGCTGGAGGTTGCCACAGTAATGCCGAGTGTCAGTATGTCGGTCCTGGACAGGTTAGTGAGTTATATATCAATTCGGAGACAATTAGTAGAGTCATTTTTTGCTACAAATTTTATTTCTCTTTTAGCATTGTTATGTCATTTACGGAAAATGTACCCCCTGCCTTATCCATTTGCTACCATCTGGTTGTTTTTACTTGGCCATTGCTTTGATCCTCATCTTGAGAGTGAGGCTTAGGGTGAAAGTGACCATTTTGCATATTAATGCAATTTGTTCTCACAGAGCACCTGTATCTGCAAGTCAGGCTACACAGGAAACGGTTCAACATGTTTTGAAGTTAATCCTTGTCTAGTCAACAATGGAGGGTGTTCTCTTGATGTAAGTTGTGTGGCTAATTTGTAAAATACTGTCAATTGAAATTTTTAGAAATTTCACATTTGAAGATTTTCACTCGCTGTTTGCTTTCAAGCCTTAAGGTCTTCCAGAAGTCAAAACAGTTGTATCAGATTTTATTCGCAGTACCTGGAATGCTAAAGAAGGGCTAGAGTAGTAGTGTTATAGAAATGTCAGCTTTAAAACTCTTTACGGTGGTTCATTTACTTTACCAATTCAGTTGATAAAACCAAATCATAATGAGTAATTACAGTTCATGTAGGTAAAGAATATAGATTTTTTTGCGTTAACCAACTCTAACTAAAAAAGCAATTCAAATGCAGAGTTCTTTTCGATATTAAACCTAATACGCGTGACTTCATTTTCTGTCTTCTTTAACTTTCCTGGCTTAAGTTTCTAAATACTGAAGGGAACTCTAATATCTTTAGAAAATCAAAAAGTCTGGATTGCAGCGGTTATGTAATGAATTTAAGAAAATAAGCGACACTTTTTAAAAACATGTTTTAACAGTTCTTCTGTCATCTTCAGCTCTGATTTTACAAAGTATATAGTTGAATTTAAAGTGTACAACAAAATGCTGATTGGACAAAATGAACAGTAACAGAGCAATGTATGCAGTCACAAGGAAAGTTTAAATTAACACGATTAAGTTGATTATAAAGTGTAGGTTGCTCCCACTGAATGTGGATAGCTTCTTCAATTCAGTTTTACCCTAGTCGTAGCGGAGCTCGCAGCGCGCGCAGCGTTGCCCCATAAATATAGGAAATAGTAGTAATAGGATATATTGTCTTGGCTTTTAGGCAAGGTGTTTGCGAACTGGTCCTGGGAATTACAGTTGTCATTGCATCAGTGGATTCATTGGGAATGGTTATACTTGTCTAGGATCTATTGCTATGGTAGGTAATGATATAAAAAATGAAGAGAGATGTTCAGAAGTTGTGCTGAGGGAGGGACAAAAAAAAATTGAAAATATTGAGAACATTTGTTTCCATCTGAGATTTTGGGCTCAAACCCAGACTTTAAGACTTAGAGTTTAGTGCGTTAACCAGTAGACCCACGTTTCTCCCACACCATAATTTGGCTAAATCGTAGCATCTTTTATCTTAAACAGATCATCAGACAGAAAAATTCAAAGCTGGAGAATTTTATCAGGGTAAGTAGATTTATTACTGTCTGACTGCGGTTCAAACCGCTTACAGTTGTATATTTCATGACTTCAGAATTTTTTGACTGAAGAGTGGTTTTTGCTGCTTCAACTAAAATAATAATGACAACAAAATCTTTTCAATTATTGCGGTCCATCAAAGTTAACATAACGATGAATGCGAGGATAATAATGATGAGGATCGTGATGACGAAATTTACTTTTCATGGCATATAAATTGACATGAATTAAAGTTTTTTGCTCTTTTCATGTTCAAACAGCAAGGAAACATGCTGCACTATATATCAGACCCAAGGAAGAACATCACTATGTTTGCTCCATCAGTGTCAGCATTTTCACAGTTATCTGATGATGATAGAAAATATTGGACTAACAGCACAGAGAGACTTCAATATCTAATAAGGTACATATATACAAAGGAGGGAAGACTTTCAAGAAACTGTATTTCAAGACAGTTTGGTTTTATCAACTGAGCTGTTATAATAAATTGGCCTCAGTGAAGAGTCTCTAAAGTTGATGTTTCGAGCGTTAGCCCTTCGCGCGAGGTGATTATAGCGAGGTATGACGCAATCCTCGACCAGTCGGAGCGTGCATCACTGTAATCAATTAAACTAAATGTGCTTTAATAACTTTTATGACTTTTTCTTATCAGGTATCATTTGGTGGAGCAAGTGTATAATCTAGAGACGCTGAAAAATGTGCCATCACTGAACACCACGAATAGCCTCATGTTAAATGTTACTACTCAAGGTCAAAAGGTAACCAATTATCATTCTTACTAGTCTTTGAATGTCAAGCTAAGTTTGCTGTATTTTGGACGCAAGAAACAAAAATTTAAACATGTCCTGTACTCATTGGCAACAAGCTTGCCCAGGCAGAAGTGTTTTGGAGGTGATCATGACTACTTTTTAATAGAAGTTATCATCTTTTATTTCAGGTATTTATTGGTGGAATGGCTCAAATTATTCAAGCTAACATTACTGCAGAAAATGGAATTGTACATATCATTGACCAGGTAAGACTGCGACATGATTCCGCCATATTTGCAACATTTGTATGTTGGTCCACTTTTTTGGTGCTCTGTATTTGTTATACCAAGGGGAATCTTGCAAGCTACTGGCCCCTTACGTCTGAAGCCTATTCCGGCCTCATGGGCTTATAATGAGTAGGAGTACTCCCACGGCCATTGTAGGTAACGTTAGTCGTCCCTTCCCCTTTTGCGATTTGTCAAGTCGCCTTGAATTTTGAGTAATTTCCATTTTTTTCTTTTGTGTGGAGAGAAGCACTGTGAGTGTTAAGTGTCCTGCCTTAGAACATAACGCAATAAAATGGACATATATCGAACACAAACCATTTGACTTTCAGAGTCTAGCCACTGCAACTGTAAATTAGGAACCAACTGGCCAAAATAAACAGTCCGATAGCTGGATTGGGAGAGGCACTTCAAGGTGCTGAATATTATGCTCAAGAACATCACACCAAGTTCTCGAGTTTGATATCCATTAACCTACGGCGCCTCCATGATGCTCGGAGCAAAGACATTTACGATTGAATTTCTGAGTCTCATATTGGTTATACGTTTTTGCTCTTTATTCAGGTCCTTTTGCCGTCTCGTCTGTCGTACGAAAATGAGCTTCTATTGACGTCGGATCTTCTTAAAAGTATTCCAGAGTTTTCCGATTTCACCAATATCTCACAGGTAATCTTTTGGCTTTACTATTACAAGAAATAGAGTCAGAAGTACACGTTAGCAAAACAAGATTCATCTTTACGCAGTTTTAAAAAATTTCTGTGGGTACAGTTCAAAGTTAACTCCAGGTTTTTTATCTAGTGTTGTTATGGTAGTCAAAGGTGTCAAAAGATAAACTCAAAATTTTCTGAAAAATAATTGGAACTTTCTTGATACCTTTAAGGAACTCATTGATAGAGAGTTTGGCACTATTGATCTGTCAAAGAATCGGTATTTAAAATTTTTACACCATTTTTGATCCACTTTAATTAGCATGGTGATCTACCATTGTATGAGGTAACTCTATGACAGATAATCCATTGGCTTTTTATTTATCATTTTTTCTTATTCTTTCCTTTCGATTTATACTGGCCATTAAAGTGTTATGAATGAATGAATAGATAGACCTTCAAAAAGGAAACAATATTGTAGAAAAACAATTGAACAAAGAAATGAATGAATAGGTAAATTAGGAAAGGCTTATCTAAGTAGCAACCTGGTTAAATGACAAATAATTGAATTTTTTATTCAGAACATGAACCTATTTTTCTCCCTGGATGCCTGTGAGTCGTGTACTGTATTTGCTCCAACCAACTCCGCTCTCAAAAAATATGCCCTTGTAGACACGCAGACGCTGGTAAGCTTAAGAATACGAAAAAAAATTATCTTCTAAAAGGAACAGCTGCTCCCTTTAGCGGCACCATATAAGTAAAGCTTAATTGTATTTGATATTGACATCACAGCAAACTGTATAAAACATACTAAAATGAACCATTTGATGTTTTTTTGTTTGCATTTGTCATAACGTTCAACAAATGACGTTCGAAGTTTTTTTTGTTGGAAGGAAGTGGTTCGAAAGACATGGTTGCTTTGAATTTGTCTGTCCCTGGGTAGTATCTGTCTCTTGAAGCTTATGGCTTTCCTCGTACTTCATTATCGGAAAACTGTTTGTCTTTTAGAAAAGGACATTGTCTGCAGTCAAATGTTACAGCGTATTTTTGCACCAAATTACACTTTTGGTCATATAAAAGTATTATCATGCTAGATTTAAAATTCAGTCGGTGATTCAACTGACAGTTAAATGATGATGTCTCTTTCAGACGCCAGATGTCCTTAAGTATCATATTGTGAACCAATATCTCACAGAAGAAACAATTCGTAATGGAGAAGAATTCCCATCTTTGCTTGGGAATGGGAGGGACTACCTTGTGAAAATCACCAATCCTAGGAAAGGAATGGTTTGTGTAAAGCTTTTTTGAAATTTTCAAGCTGTACTCATAACAGTGGTAGTAGCCACCCATATGTTGTCAAGTTCCAACCTTTTTTCTGTGTCAAAAAGCGCACAAGACTGAGGCTATTGATGAAGATGTTTCTAAAACCTTTAGTTAATCCAAATGTATAATATAGATCTTAAGGGACTATGTCACATATGACCGTGCAAGCCATTCCAAAAGGACAGAGACATGTATCGGTAGTTAAGGGGGTGAGTCTGGAAGAAGTCTTAGAAAAATTCATACAACGATTAATATTATGGAAAAAAAAACTCACTTACAGATGTTAGCCTTCCCTATTAATTTTTGAAACACAACGAGACAAATTAAAGATGTTTGGTCTATTTTTTGAGAATAGTTTAGCTTTGTTAACTGCCATTGGCTGATGGACTTTTTCTCTTATCGAGTCACCTAATTTCTTTCGTTTAATTACCTTTTTACCTGACGATGTATTGCTACAATTTTGAGGAGAAACTACCTAATAGTCATTCTTGAGATAGGAAAGACTGGGAGACAATGGACAGCCATCTTTCATATTTTATCCTCAACAGCTGCAAGTCAATGGAATTGATGTTGTCGTCAAAGGTCACAAAGCTAGAAGAGCAATAGTGTATGGCATAAATGGTGTACTTAAACCAGTTAAGAGGAACTGTGATGTTGTTACGAAATCGTCACGTCTCGTAAGTGCCTCAATGAAATGCATACTATCAGATACTTCTTTGTTGAGGGAACCTGATTTGAGCTTTAGCTGAAGATCTTCTTGATAAACCTACTTTCAGATTCTTCTAAAATATAATTTTATCATCAAGTAAACAAGTAGAGCTGATTTTTTAATGGAAACCGTGGACAGTTTGGAATGGTGTAATGTTGTATCTTTGCTTTTCAGGGATACTGTACATATTGCGACTTATTTGTCCCAACATGTCCAGCGGGCTGGACCAAAATTGTGAGTGACTGAAATTAAGCTTTTGATTTGTTTTAATTTGTTTACTCTCAGTTGATTCTTTGATAATTGAGCTGACTAAACGGAAATAAATTTTCAAACGGAAGCTTTATTTCAGCATCAGTTAAAATTATTGCATTTAATACAAAGTTACTACAACGTTCAGAAAAAATATCAGAAGTGAAATACTGGATGACGTTTCCCATGTAAAACATATGATCCACTGAATTTCTTGCTTTGAGAAGTCACTGTATTGGCTGACGGCAATTAAATGTATATTGGTTTGTAGAACTAAAAAAGTCCGGATCAATATCAGTATCTGGGCAACTGCCCACCTACCTCTCCCCTAACTCAACAACAGTCAGTTGACAACAAGTTAAGGTTAATGTTGGGTTAGGGAAGGGGTAGGTGGGCAGTTGCCCAGATACTGATATTGATCCAAAAGTCCTTATTCTGGCAGTATGCAGGAAGCTTGTTTCCATGGACTTTGTTAACCCTTTCACCCCTAAGAGTGACTAGCATCTAATTTCTCCTTACAATATCTCCCTTGAATCACACGAGAAGGTCACAAGAATAAAGGAAATGATCACCAACTAAAGAAGCTCTTGATTGTTAAACAAATTCTCCTTATCAGCACCTTAAGAAATTTATGATGAACAGTATGGAGAATATGCAAACTGATATTAGGATGTAAAAGGTTAAACGGTCAGTCTCCTATAGCTCAGTGTCAGTCAGTCTCTCAGTTAGCTCAGTAAAGTGTCCGAAAAACTAATCGGAAGGTTATAGGTTACAATTCCTACTGGACCACTGTACATTTTTTTTTTCCGAGTAGGGTTGTGCCATTCACTGAATAACATCGCCGTTCAGTCCTTGTCCTGTCTAATAGAACCAAAACATCGAACTTCAAATGGCAGCAGTATCAATCATTATATATTCATTGTATAATGGTTTCTTGGTAACCTCTACATTTCTGATCCTTTCAGGGCTTTGTGCTGAATACATGTTGGGTTCGAATATTAATCTTCAGGCTCAGAGGCTGCCAAGCACTATGTGAAAAAACTTCTGTAGTATGTAGCAACCATTATCTAAACTGATCAAAAGTTTTATTGTGGTGATTAGCTATTTTGTTTAGCAACCTAATCTAAAAGGGGCTTTGACAATATGGCGATTACTTCTTCTGTTGCCTGTAGAATGTACTCGTGTTAAATATTCATCTCATGGCAATGGACATCCCATAAGCGATTAACAACGAGGACGTGGCAAAACAACAACTTGAAATCGCCGAAATTTGCGTGGGTCTAGAAAGAAATCTCTGACGGAAAATTATTTAAATTTCCATTTGGAACTCAACGCTGCTAACATACGATATACTGGAGATGACGTATGACGTCGTAAGAGACGGTTGAGAGATCCAGCCATGCGCGAAACTCTAAGGAAAGACATAAATTCATTTGTTAATCGATGTATTCTGGAGTATTGCCGTCCTGGCTGCTTAAGGTCCCAAAATTTCACTAACTACAGTGTTTACAGAAACGCTCCCACCTAGGTGATCACAAGTTAGGATTGAATCTTTCCCCGCATGTATCAATTCCTGTTTTAAATCGATGAATTAAGCACAAAGAGTACTTTTTCAGGGTATAGTCGCCATCTACTCTTTTTTGGCCAACCTATCTGCAACAAAAATTTTTGAGAATCTTCCTTAACTTATTTTGAACTCTTTTCAGATCAAGAGATGCTGTGATGGATTCTGGGGTCAAGACTGCCAATGTAGGTTAAGTTGCCTGTGTTACTGTTTTACCGGTTTGGGATAGAGAAATTTGGGAAATTTATGTGCTTTGATTTTAATGCATAAATTGGATGTATATATTGACTTCGTTGTTTTTGTTTCCTATGGACCTTGCGCTGTGTTGGATTGTATAAGTGCGGAAAGCCTGGCCTTTGTTTGGCCATTTTAAGATCTAAAGACGTCGTACTTATGTCACTTCATCTTAATAAATTTGGTAGAAATACTTTATTGATGTCTTGGTGAAAAGCAGCATAAAGTTCTTGCTCCAGACCCGAGCACAGTGTTCATAACTAGTGTTCAGATTTGCTCTTATAAAGCCTGGTTGCCGCAAATGGTTAACTTTTGTCGTAGGTCAACATGTGTAACTTTGTAGGGCAGCCGACATTTCTGAAACGAGAGCCCTTAGGCATTTCATACTCACCTTCAAATGGTTTTTAACTGAAAGTGCTTCTCAATTTTTAGATGATGTGCATAAAATGGTTGTTTTTGGCTCACTTCTTTACTATAGACATGATTATCACCTCTTCTTTTTAGTATGTCCTGGAAATGTTACCAACCCGTGCTCTGGTCATGGCGCCTGTGATGATGGCAAAACTGGGAGTGGTCACTGTCAGTGTGATGCAAACTTCACCGGTACAGCATGTGAGAAATGTATTCTTGGAAAATATGGAAGTAACTGTACAGGTGGTGAGTATCTGTTTAGTTAAAATGTTCCAAGCAACTTCCTTTTCTTCCACAGGGTTTTAGATTTTGGCTGCACTGAAAAATGATTGTTTTTGAGGTTATTACCACTGCAATGTTTGCAAAAGACGTTGTCTTTTTTGTAACAGTGCATTGTGCTGGCCTTTTTCTCTTACTTAACTTAATGAACCTTCTATAATCATTCAGAGACTCGTATCACTGAAAATTTTTATTTTCTTGTCTTGTCAGAATGCAAATGCACTAATGGAGTTTGTAATGATGGTATTAATGGCGATGGAGGATGTTTCTGTCATCATGGTTGGAAAGGACCTATTTGCAATACCTGTAAGTTCGTATTTTCGAAACAATTTGTGATAAAACAAAATTAGGAGAGCTTGCTATCCTTTGCTGTAAATCATCTGTTTAATTGCTCAGAAAAAAAAACAAACAAACAAACAAACAAATAAACAACAGCAAGGGTTGGAAATGAGCGCTTTGAGATAAGCTTGCGTGGAAGAATGTCACTTTAATAACTTTCAGCTACTGCTCCCCATGACACCTTTCTTGCTTGTAAGTGCTGTTAACAGCCTCTATAGAAGTCTGCATTTGACTTGATTCAGGAAGTCTGTGGTTTATCTTGGTATTTTTGAAAGTTTGACATATTTATTTTTTCATAGCTGCAAATTTTGACAACTGCCTTCCAACCAATTGTAGTCGACATGCCACGTAAGTACCAAACTTAAGGATATGGAAAACTTTTTTCAAGTCCTTTGTGAAGCATTGCTGATGTCCCATAAACTATTCATCGGTGGAAAGGTTGTGAAACCTGCCACGCTGTTACAATTTTGTTTCCGACTGTCGACCTGTTCGGAAAATAAGGGCTTGTTCGATCGAAACGAACAATGTCTTTTGAATAATTGTTTAAGTATTGAATTTGATGGGAGAACCGAAATTTTTGTATCCATAGGTGACGATCTGGTTAACAACAGTTTTTTGATTGTGAAGTATAAAGTATATCACTCATCTTTCAATTATCAGTTCGTGATTTTATTTTATCGTTTTACCAGATGCCGCGGACCGAGTGGCAGTGGTAGATGTGAATGTGATTTTGGTTACACAGGCAATGGAACCTACTGCACAGGTCAATTTTTTGCTCCATCTCTTTATTTAATTCAAGGTTCTGCTGGAGTACTCATGTAGATGTTCATTTTTATTTACAGAAAGTAATGCATGCGCTGTCAACATTGGTGGCTGTCATCAAAATGCCACATGTGTTAAGAATATAACTCTGCCTGGCCTTAGATCTTGCAAATGTAATGCAGGATTCACTGGAGATGGGTTTGTCTGCTTGGGTAAGTGAAACATACTTTTTAGTTGATTGGTGTAAGTTCCCAACAGAATTTCAATTTTAACTGCTTGAGTTCTCTTAATTGCTTTAATAGCAAATGGGTATGATTTTTGGTTTTATAACATTTACACAAAATGAGACCGGGAGATTCGTTCTTTCTCTCGAGACTCCCAGATAAGTTTGAGTGGTTGGCACACCTGCCACAACTATCGATCAAAACTACTGATATCTTTTCTTAAACAGAAATAGATCCATGTCAGCGTAATAATGGTGGCTGCCACATCAATGCAACTTGCTTCAACACAGCTCCCGGGCAGGTGAGAGATAATTACTTAGTCCGGCGCCTGCAATTCAAAACAGAATTGTGTCATTGCGTACAATAATAATGATGAACATTGATTGTTATTTCAAAAGAGAAATATAATCGTTTGTCCTATGATGGGGTCACTTCGGGTGTGGTTCGCGACGTTTCGACTGCATACCGCCAATCTTCTTCAGGCGATGAGGTCGATTGAGTACGCGAACTTAATCGAAACGTCGCGATCCACATTCGAAGTTACCACATCGTGAGACAAACAATTATATTTCTCTTTTGAAGTGTTATTTACCACGATGAATAACCTCAACCTATTTTACGACATAAATTATTATTATTGATATAATCAGTCTTTAAAGTTACCTCTTATCTTTTTAGAGAAACTGTTTTTGTAAAAAGGATTTCTCAGGAGACGGTGTTAGCTATTGTTTTGGTGTTAATCCATGTGATGTGGTAAGTAACCTGGCTAATCTTTAATGTTGATTTCATCGATAAGAACCTAGGAAATACATGTTTGCCGTTTAGATTTCCAAATTGTTTTGCATGATGGTATTAGTTATATCGTTGCTGTTCGTTCATTATTGGACATTTTGGGCAAAGTCTAAGGTGAAGTGATATTTCTTTCATATCTTAATGTTGAAACCATGAGTTGAATATAGTCAAGCCACTCTTTTCGGTTTTCTTGTTTCAATTTTGGGGATAAAAAGATTAAAAAGTCCTCATAGAATCATTGAATTGTCATATCTTATACAATATATATCAATTTTTTTTAAATCAAAGATGGCAACTATAATGGCTAATGACGAAAATCATCATCACCCTTATAATGATTGTCTTGTAGAGCTCATCATCTAGCACCACCCCTCTCCCTCTGTTTTTACTTAGGTTGTAGGTTCAGTGTTTAAGGGAGGGTGTGTAGTAACACAGAAAAACCTGTTTATTTCCTAAACTTGATCCTTTTGATCTTGTTGTATGGTTTTTGTCAGGGCAATGGAGGGTGTAGTGACAGAGCTATTTGTCAACAAGTTGGACCGCACCAAAGGACGTGCAAGTGCAGGAAGTTTTACGTTGGTGATGGTATCACATGTATTGGTGATATATCAGAGGTAATGACAAAATACCCGTTGAACAGCTTGTTCAATGAGAGAAATGAGAATACCATTAGTATGTAGAAAGTAAATTTTACTATGACCTTTGGATGAGATTCGAAATGATGTAATTGATCTTCTACTATTTCTTGGGAGGTCATAACAGAAAAAGAAGTCTATAACACTCGAACTTTGAACAGGGATTGAATCGGTATATTCCTTCCAACTGAGCGTTGAGGCGGAATGTATATGGGTTCCTTGTTTCTTGTCGATGAATACATCATAAATTTTTGTCTGAATTAAATGATATTTTGAACTAAAGTGGACATAAAAAGTCTTAGAATGATCTTCATAAGTTAATTGCTCAAAATTCATCGCAGAGAGAAAAAGAGGTTTGAAAAAATTCAAGCTTTGAAAGTAACTGAGTGTAGTTTGTTGCTGACTGTTTTAATTCTGACAATTTGATGGAGCAGTGCGAGTGAACCCAAAGTGTCTACCCGTAATAGGTGTTTAACTCATAGAGGTCAGAGGTCAGAGGTCAGAGGTCAGCTGCTGATTCAATTAAATTTATTGATTCCTTTTTGTCGTTTAAGGCTCTAAAGCTTGATCCCCAACTGTCAGGTGTGGACATGCTACTCAGGGTGAGGCAAAATTGGCTATTAATTTTCTTTTCCTTAATTTCATTTGGAATCATAGCTTAGGTATAGAATAAATGAATTCCGCATCATGTAGCCAGTATGAATGCTTTAAATAACTTTCCTTTGGAACCGTTGTCCTCCAACCTTTTACTTTCTCTATTACTCGATAGATTTTCCATTGATTGACTGTACTTGGAATTGCCTATCGATCTTCCTGTATGCCTATTTGTCTGTCTTTTTGTCGTTGTTCGACTTTTCAATGTGACTTTTCATGTTCAACTTGAATTGAAACTTTTCGTTATGCTATGATGACTGAGATGTTTGTCTTTGTGCGTGTATTTTTCTTTCCAGAAAAATGGTCTGGACAAACTGCTAGCTTCTCATGGGCATTTTAACCTTCTCGCTCCAGTAAATGCTGCTTTAGGCAGTTTACAACCACAGTCTCGCAAGGTACTGATAGCATAACTGGCACACTTTCTAATAATTGTACGAGTTGTAATACATCGCCTAACGTATTCAATTCAAGTGCACAAACATAAATGTTCAATATTTTACAACCAGAACTGGACTGGACAGCACAGGGAAAAAACCTCCTTGGCCGTTAGTTTTTGGAAAATTCTTACCGGCTTAGCCACAAGAGGAAGTGTCCAAAACAAATGTTTTACTTAATGCATATTGATTTGGTTCCATGAAAAAGTACTAAAAACAATTGAATTCAAGCCTTGAGAAATTCGAGCTTCTCCGCAAGATCCAAATTTGTTTTAGGTTAAACTAAATACACATTTAAACAGGTTAGAATTATCCAGAAATTTTCATCTTTTATTTATTTGCAGCGTCGTAGTGTTCCGTCATCAGCTGAGGAAGAGTTGAATTTACTGAAATATCTTATAATTGGCTGTTCAACGATTCCTACCGACACCAGTGATGATTATGCAGCTAACTTTACTACTCTGCTTGGAGCAACTATTTCAGTAAAAACAGAGGTAACTGTCTCTTGGGTTCTTATCAAAATGTTAAGTCAGTCAAGAGCTTAAAGTCCACCCTTCAGGAACTTAAATCTGTTTCGAAGCTTGGACAGGCTCCTGTTGTTTGGCAATAACCGCGCCCGAATTAATTCACCATTTTCCTTTTTACTTTTTTTTAACTTTACTGCATTTATTCCAGGGGAACGTTACATCGATCATCGATCAATATGGCAACATATCCAGAGTAGTTGGAGTGTACGAGTCATCAAATGGCGTGATAATGAAACTGGATAATTTACCCACCCCACCCAAGTCTATGGATAACACAGTACAGGTATGCGGTTTAACATTTGGAAATAAAATTTTGTGAAGGCAGGGTGGCCTAGAGAGGAAGGATCCCGACATGCAATACGGAGGATTGGACCTCTTTTCTCCGCACACCTCTCTCCCCGCAAATCAACAACCCGTTTCGCTAAAGACCTTGGTCTTCTTTTTTGCCCTTAGGGATCTTATCTCGACGTGGCTAATAGACTTGGATACAAGGAGTTTGTTAAACTGGTCAAGGTTTGTGAGCACTAATCGACTCTTGCTTGGTGCTTTTCAGTTCTTTTTTGTTAAACGATGTGAGGATTTCTTTTTTTAAACCTATCGTTTCAATCTCTTTCATTACCTTCTTTAGGTCAAAGCTTAGCATGTTTATTAACAGCTGTTTCGAGAAAGATTTTCGGGAAAGAAAGCGTCAAAGCGCACGGCACAACTTCGAAAGGCATTGTGGGTAGCTTCTAGCTCACGGTTTCAGGGAAATCTAAAAATATTACTCTAGGGAAGACCAAACATGGCGGGTTTGAATATTTCATTTCTTAATTTCAGTTATTAAAATTCATTTATTACCAGGTAACCTTCGAGTTTGTCGCGTGCACTTCTGTCCTTTTATTCGACAACCTTCTTCGAAACAGTTGTTTACGAAAAAAATGTATGTTATTACTTCACAGTTAGCAGGATTGAAGAACATCCTAGATATTCCAGTGAACAGAGCTGTTCTTATGTTTTGGCCAACTGATGATGCTATAAAAGCTGTGCCTGACGACTTAAGGGCACGACTCACTGATCTTTCACATCTGGCTCGATTTGTAAAATACCACGTTGTCACCCAAATTCACGTAAGTTAATCAGTAAACTTAAACAAAGATTACAAAATCTAACGCCCTGACGAATGGTAAATGTTCGAAGCGCCAGCTTTAGAAACTCTTTCCGATAGACAATTTACGTTATCATCTCAGTTGATAGAACCAAATTATCTTATCATATATTGTCGACGCAGCACCACAGTTTCTTCAGAATCTCTCCCACGTTATACGTTCGTTAAAATGTCAATGGCTTATAATGATGGTTTGAAAAAATGGCAACATTTGAAGTCAGAGAAAAGATGCTTCAATTCATCTATAACTCGTGTGTGCCTTTCATCAAATGATCCACAAAGCAAATTGAGTGGCAAATTTTTAAAGTTTTTTTCTTAAAAATTAGAATGTACTTTTACAGGATCACAAATAGATAAAGTAAATCGTATTTTTCCTGTAGGTGAAACAACTCGAATCCAACCAATTTACTCAAAATCAAAGCTAACTTTAGCAGATGACTTCCATATGTACTTGAATGTATACGAAAAGTCAATTAATGGTCGCTTGAATCAATTCTTTCTTCGCAGTCTGATTTTAGTACTCAGTCCTTCTTGAGAAGTGGTGCAGGGTTAGAATTGCGAACATTTGGAGGAACTAGTTTATTTGTATCTTGCAAAGGAGGAAAGGTAAGTTATAGTGCGTGGTGAATCCGCAGAAAACTGAAAAGTTTTACTACACCTTTTTGTAGAATAGAAATTAAGTGCTCTTTCTATTGGCTGACCCTGAAAAAGCGTATTGTTCTGAAGTCGCCTTCTGCCTGCGATCTAATATATGTTCCTGTGTTCCAAACTTCCGCGCTACGATCACGTCACGATCTTAACTCTTTTCTGGGGCACGGCACGAGGACGAGAAGCATTTGTTGAGGACGATCGAAAGAAGTGAACGAAATCACCAAAGTTTGGAGACTCGGGCCACCTTCCTATTCTAATAGAATTCTACAAGGTTTGATTCAGCTGTGATGCTGTGAGCAGAAATGAGATGGTTGTCACTCTTAGTGGTCAATGGGATCATAATGCTTGATCATTATCAGTATCTGGGCAACTGCCCACCTACCCCTCCCCTAACCCAACATTAACCCTAACTTGTTATCAATTGACTGTTGTTGGGTTAGGGGAGGGGTAGGTGGGCAGTTGCCCAGATACTGATATTGATCTCATAATGCTTGATCAATATGCTCTCTGCTAAGTTTGTCTCTTAATGCGGTCGAACATTAGGGCACAGCGCACTAAAGGTGGCGGTTGCCTGTTTTAGTGTACCAGATGGAAGCGAAATTTATCTCTGCATAAAATAATTTGGGGTTAGAAACGAGTCATTCCCATTCCTTCGTTATTTTTAGTACTGTCATACATCATGGGATAGTTAAAATGACTCTTTTGCTTGTTTTTATTGTAGGGCGATCTTTACGTAAATGGTGAAAGCAAGATTGTTGCAAGAGATATACACTTCTTTGGTGGTGTGGCTTTCGGAGTGGATTCAGCTCTTTTTCCTTTTGGATTTGGAGGCAACTGTGATGAGATCATGGACACTAAAATTACGGTATTAAGCGCTTTTTGATCAGGTACTTAAAACCAAAATCAAAGTAATCGCAACGGCCAATGAGAAGAAAGGAAAATATGACGAGGAACCAATGAGAACTCAAATAAAAAACAGGCAAAGGGCCAGAAGCGCGGGAAAAAAGGCTGTAACCGAGGCGTGATTGGTTTTAGGTTTGCAGTAGATTGAAGGAATTAACATTGTAAAGGGGAAAGGAATGGGACTGCCTGGTGAGAAATACGTGTTATTTGGCCCTTCTTTTCACAGAAGTGTCCAAACGCTCTTCTCCAAGATTTTAATGTCTCTGTGTGCCCCTCCCTGACTCCAGTTTTCATCCGTCCTCTTTTGCAAGATAATTCAAGCGGTTAGTTTCACCTCAAAGCGGCAACTGTGTAGTTTAATTTAAGCTGTCTGGCTGACAAGTGTCTTAGTTTTCCCCTGTTTCAGGCTTTGCTTAATTTCTGTAAAATTCCTCATCTTTATAGGGTCAGTGTGGAAATTGTTTTGTCCCTGTGAGCTGTCCACAAGAGACTACCCTTGTTGTGAGTAGTGTGTAACTAATGTTAGTGACAATGCTTTCCAATTTCACCCTGTCGTGTGGTTTTAGTCAAAGTTCCGTTTTGATTTTGCCGGAACTGGAAAAATAGTAGTGCTCTTCATTTTATAAGAGCTGTCATTATTTATTTTCTATTTTTGCAATCGGCCTAGATCAGGAGGGGGAAAAAAAGGGTCATCATAATATTGGGAACTAAAGGATTATTTACCTCCCGAAAAAGGCGCCGGCAAAATTGAAGGGACAAAAAAAAACCACTCGTTAAATATCAAGCGCTAAGGATGTGAAATGAAAAAAAATAATGATCTTAATTTAAGTTGAGATTCAGCCATTTATCTTCAACACTGGCGATGACTTCCTGGGAATAAGAATTGAACTAATATGTTGACAATTTGAGGGATCTTAAAATGCGCCTCTATCTTGCTCTTTCAGGGCGTAACTAATCATAACTGCACCTACAATGGTGATTTGGTAGGATGTCAGCCCATCTGTTTACAGCGTCAACGGCTGAAGAGATGCTGTAAGAACTTTTATGGACCAGATTGCGTGGGTAAGGCATCCTCTCTTGTGAGTGTGCTCTTTTGCTGTAATTAACTGGGTAACTGTGTGGATGTCTCTAAAATTATGTAACTGCGGTTCTATATTATCATAATCAAAGTTGTCTTTCTTAGATTGTTTGTTACGATCTCTTAAGAAAATGGAGTTTGGTTCCATGGTAGTGAGCGGAGTTTGTCAGGCTTCGGATCGCTTTTTTTTTTTTTTTTTTTTTTGCATTGTTATTCTACATGGCGAGATTATAGACTAAAAGACTTTCACCTGCTAAGAAAGAAGTTTTAGGCGGTCAGGCTGCTGTTAAGAGAAGTAACTCTCTCGCTTGTCACGTATGAATCATCGTATCATATGGCTTTGCAAAACAGAAATAGTTCCATATGCGCTTGCTACAAGATCAACCACAACTGTACTAAGTCCACCAATTCCATCAACTCCACAAACTACAGATTTCGAGGAGTTTCTGGTAACTTAGTCAGCGGAGCATCGGATCACACAAAGTATGGGTCTCCGTCTCGAGTCCTTGAAAGGACTCAGATTTTTCCTTGTTTCACATCATTGTTTTAGTCAGCCCTGCAACTCTATCGTGTTTTAACACAGTTCTTGTACTCCTGACACAGCTTGCCCAGGTGGTGTTCAATTGCCATGTAGCAGGCGTGGCTTGTGTATTGACGGGCTGACAGGGAGTGGCCAGTGTGTGTGTGATGCGTCTTATAACGGCACAGCTTGTGAACAATGTGTGAATAGCACTGAGTCCTGTCCAGGTACGTAATGATTCACTTCCTTTTCTACTCTACCTTTGACTCAGGAACGACCAAAAAATTAATAATCCTTGCAATTTCAATACATTTTCAAGCGAAAATGGGATGAGAAGAAAAAGGAACGTCAAATATGGGATAACGCTAGATTTAGCACCAAATTCTTAGAAGAATATGTGTAAAACAAGAAATTCTGGGCTATCTCCCTTTACTTTTGATGTATGTAAGTAATTAAGAAGAATTTGTAATTTTGATCTGTTTTTTTCTCATTTCTTTTAGCGCCATCAGTGGACTGCGAGGCAGACAATGGTGGCTGTCACGTGTTTGCCACCTGCAATAAAACTGCCCCGAATCGTTTGACGTGCTCGTGTAAACTCGGTTACCAAGGAGATGGATATTACTGCCAAATGATTGACTCGTGTGCAAGTAACAACGGCGGGTGTGGTGAGAACGCAACCTGCTTGTTTACAGCACCAGTAAGTACCCATAAACCACACCTTTGAAGACACAGTAGTTGCTGTCTGGTATTTTGGCTTAAATTGTTTGCTCCCGCACCGTCTCACACGGCAGCCTTAACCCTTTAACTCCCATAGGCGACCGAGACAGAATTTCTCCTTACAATATCAATACAATATCAAGCAGACAAGTGATGAGAATAACGAAAAATATCAACAAGGGGATTATAAGTTGATCCAATATCAAATTCCCCAAACTAACATCACGAGAATTATATGGCAGACAGTAAAGAGAATTACTAATGACATCTTGGGAGTTAAAGGGTTAAGCTGGAAAATGCTGCCATGGACTGTTAAAAATGCCTTGTATCGTCAAGATTCGTTTGAGCAATTGGTAAGCAAGCACCATTTTTTTCTAATACGTACAAGTGTAGTGAAGGATAGAGAAGTTTCACATGGACTACAAATCACAAAATTAACACATGTAAGAAAAATTTTCGAAGTCGCACAATCTTAGAAGTGGTTTCCTTCAATTTTACGAAATATAATTTTAACCTCTTTTTGGGTTTCATACCAAGCCCTGTAGTGTCTCTGTGTCGTTTTTCTTCGGTTTGTGGCCGGTTCTGCTGTTTTTGCCCTCGTCTTGGTAAAAAAAGGAAACTCATTCTCCAGTAACTGACCAATCCAGTCGTATCAAACGCTACTGTGATTTTCTGGAAATTAAGGTTAACATTTCTTTTTCAGGGACGAAAGCGCTGTGTATGTAAAGCAGGCTTTTACGAAGTAGGCTCCAGTTGTCGTGCTCACCGGCCAATGTCGCCCTGTGCCATAAACCATGGCGGCTGCTCTGTTCATGCTGACTGTACTGATAACGGTAAAGTACAACAATGTGCACTCTATATCCCCCCCTAGGCAAAATTGTGCGCACTTGGCTCAGCCAGACAGTTGCGTCTCCTTGTGAGGAACCACGGGTTGGTTGTCATTTGAAAACCGATGTCAACCAGGGCTGTCAATGAGTTGAAAAAGAGAAAGCAAAGAAGAAATAGGGGGTAGCCAGATTATCGTGGACGCCATGTTTTTTTTTTGGTCAGCTCACGTGTAAGGCTGGGAATTATTCAGTTAAAATGTCCTAGGCGTCCCACGTACTTGCTCAAACTCTCAAGCAAATTCTGAACGTGGAATCGATTGATTCACTTTTCTCAGTTCGACAGTTCCTTAGCTAAATTCAGTTCTCATTTCATTATAATTTTGTCATATTGAAAGACGTGCTGATTTCTTTTTGAAATCAGTTCAAATAATGTTTTATTTCATGTTGAATTGCAGGCCAGGAGGCCAGCTGTGCCTGCCGTCCGGGTTTCACTGGAGACGGCTTTTCTTGTGGAGGAACCATTCTACAGGTAAGCAGATTTTTTGTCTTTTTAACCCTTTCCACCCCTCCCCCCTCCTCCTTCACCCCTTGTCTTTTGTGCCTTGCCTGATGGTCTCTATAATAAATTCCAATATCCGTGGATCTGTGCGCCTTGAACGTTTCCCATTTTGGACAGGATTATGTTACCATGATGTCGACTTCTTATGGCAAGTTTTGTATCATTACAGCCAAGTTAAGATTTTCCTTAAGTTGAGTTTTTGTCTTTTCTTTCAGGTCGTCAAAGAAACTCAGAGTGCCACTGAATTCTACAAGGTATCACGTTTTTCCAAGGGCAATATAATCTTTCGTATCATTCTTTACTCTGAATGGCCTGTTATAAGGAGGAGTTAGTTAACGTTAAAATCTTACGACCATACACGGGTTCACCATTTTGTTATTTAGGCTTTCCTCTGGTCTATTATCCACCCCTCGGAAGAAATTTCTTTCTTTTCGGAACCAAAAATCCAGGATGGCCAAACTGAGTGCTCGCTAGTCAGAAATACGTCCCCAATCTAGCCAGAAATGGAGTGGTTGTGTATGGTTTTTAATGCGATATTGTATTAGTTGTGAACTTTCATTTGTTCAGAACAGATGAAGTAGTTAGCTCTATGATATATCAATGGTTTGCTTTTTGTTTTGCTGGCAATTCCAGGTGCTCTACCAACTGATTACTTCCAGCGCACAAGCGACGACTTTATACCAAGACCTGGCATCGTTTTCAAAATCCTTCACAGTGTTTGTGCCTGTCAATAGTGCGGTTCACTACAAGGTGACAGTCATCTCAATGTTTCTTTAGATAGTTTTCCTTAAATTCATCATAGTTACTGTATCTCATAATTACTCTGAGAAGTTTCAGGAGAAAATGGAAGAAAATTTTCTCCAATTTTTTTCTTATTGTTACAGAAATTCACGCTGTATTTTATGAAGAATCACATTGTGTCAGGAAGGCATCCATTGAACAACATAAATGACGACTTAACGATGACAACGTTGGCTGGGACTACACTGCACATCAAAAAGCTGAGAAATGTAAGATTTACAAACTAGACGAGTGTTCCTAACTTCTACAGATTAACTTGTTTGGCGAGTATTAGCGCGGTTATAGTAGCCTGCTGTATAAGCCAATGATAATTATGAAAGGTAGTGTGGTAAGGTTTAACCAAATCGACCGTAGCTCTTCTTTTCATTGCTCTATACTCCATGGGGCATTCGCATGCGCATTATTTCCACGCGCAACTGTCCCGCAGAGGTTGAGAAATGCCGGGCTTTTCCTAGTTGCTAAAGATCGTAAGAGAGTTTTGCGTTTTGTGATCCAAAGTGTAATTTTCTCTGTAATGTAAAAATAGAGCATTTCCCGGTGCTAACAAAGAAGGTATCCTCGGAAATGAGGATAAATAAAATGCTCTCATAATTCAAGTTACGAAACATTAGGGCATGCTTTCTAATTTAGAGTTGCGTCTAACTTCAGGCGAGGCGATATAAATTGTGTTGTTTCTGGAGAATACTTCCCCTTTTAGTCCAGGCTGAGTGACACTCTGGACCACGACTTGGGACCACAACTGCATTCATGAGTCGTTGCTAATAATTCAGATGCTCTCATCGATTGATGCCTATATTAGAGGGTTTTGTGTTATAATAGCCCTTGTTTTTTTATTGATACTTAGGGAGAAATAGTCGTGAATGGTGTCGCTCATATCAAGGGAGACATCCCTGCAACCAATGGTCTCCTACATTTCATCGATCAGATGATACCAGTAAGTAAATAAATGACTTATTGACTCTGATATTAACAAATATCACCAACATATGTAAGTGAGGGAAAGTGCAAAAATGAATTCATTTACGATTGTTGCATGATTTTTAAATTGTATTAAATTGTATTCAATACAATTTCGATCGAAAAATGGCAAAAAGTTGAGGACTCTAGAATTTAATTACTGTCTAGAAATAGGCTTTTGAGGATAACAATTTGATAGTTAATATATAATGACAGTTATCAGGGCCACACCTTTAGCAAATCCCCTGCATTTGATATTTAAACATAATTTTTTCATAGTATGTTGGACCTCCTCCACCTACTACCCCAGTGGAACCAACAAAACGAACAGAAACCCCAGGAAAACCAACCACGGTATGTTTCAGTCACGTTTTTTACTCATGTCGAAGGTAAAAGATCCACTTTCTAGAGTCGAACTCGCATCTAACTGAATTAACGTGCCTCGTGTTTTTAACGTTTTCATTGCATTTACAGAAAATAACAACGAAAGAAACTACAGCTTCAGCAGTTGGACCAAAGGTAATGATGTTTTTGATAAGGGGGGAGAGGGTTGGGGCGATTAAAGTTGGTCACTTACAGGCTCAAGCACACCTCGCGATATGGAAGGGATATCTGATCTCTATCCATCAATTCTTTCCTTTAAGAAATTCCATAATTTTTCACTTTAAAATTGTTGCAATTTTTCTACACCCCCCAGTTTGTTTCAACGTTTATTCTGTCGAGGATCATGGGTCAATGGAGATATTTTTTACTCAAGTGAAATTTGTAGAGGCCAAAACTTCAGACATGCATCATGAAGAAATAATTTTATTTTACACGCTCATAGTGTCAGCTTTCCTTTCACAAATACGCTTTCGTTACTTTTTCCATACATTTCCCATTTCAATGTGTCGGACCACATTTTGTCCTTATTCTTCGTCAAATAGCTCCTTTTATTCTTTGATCTTCACAAATGCCATTCTTGAAAGTACACAAGGTAACCGAGTGTTATGTAGAATTCATCAGTTTTCAAGACTGAATGCTGACAATTTTACCGGTGTTTGCCGTTACTTTTTTTCAGTCGGGAGGTGAAAGTGCTGCAAGAAAGGAGGTACTGCTTTTTTTTTTGTTAATGTTGTTTTTGTTTGTTTGTTTGTTTTGTTTGTGTTTTTTAAATTTCATGAAGTTTCTAGTCTAGGCTTGTGAAATCTTATGTTTTTTTCTTTCTTTCTTTGTTCTTTTTTGTTTTGGAAGAGAGATGGTATTGGTAGAGGAGCTATTGCTGGTATTATCATTGGCATCATAATATTTGTGATGTTGATCGCTGTTTTAGTTTACTTTGCAAGAAAGAATGGCTTCCTTTCCCGCCGAGCATTTTACAAAAAGGTAATTGAACTTTGGTAGGGAGAAATTAACGAAACTTAGAGCCCAAAATCAAATTCTTCTTGGCTTCTTCTTTAGTTTTGATAGTAATCTGGGATCGTAATTTCTTTTCCTTCGCTCTGCACTGAAATTGGAAGAAAACACTTGCGTCTCTTTTCCCATGGGAGATCAAGACAGAATTTCTCCTTACAATATCAACTCAATAGCAAGGAGACAAGTGATGAGAATAAAGAAAAACATCACTCAGGGAATCATTAGTTGATCCGATACCAAATTCTCCAAACTAACATAATAAGAATTGTACAGCTGACAGTAAGGAGAATTACTAATAAGATCTTGTTAGTGAAAGGGTTAACCAATGAAATTCAAATTTAAAACCATGGGGGACTAAATTATCTGACCTTTTCATCCTTCAGGCTTCTTTCATCTTTGTGATGTTCGTTCTTTGTTACGACAAATACTTTACCATGCAAGAATTGCTGTTAATGTGAATACTCTTAGAAGTATAATAGAAAAATTAAACCTTACACCGTTTATTTATCGCTAAACACCATAATAGGAATTTGTTACTGTGCCCTGCACATGATTGTTTATAGTCTTTTGTACTTATGTAATTTTCATTATTTTCAGTATTTCGTAATTGCACGTGCGCACTGTAAACGAGTATACTGAATGCTCCTAGGCGTTATGTAGATAAATAAACTATCTATCTATTTATCTAAGTCCAAAGCGCCTTTTTAGTCCACGTATCTCGTCTTCGTGAAATAGTTTCTTGTTTTTTCTGTTTCTTAGCAAGCGGACACCGTTCAGTTTAGTAACGAAGCTTACAACGAACATTCTATGATGTCATTTGATAATGCTCTGTTTCATAACATGGAGGATCCCTTGCAAATGCCTCCACTGGATATACCTATTGACGATAAACGGCCTCTACCACAGGTATGATTAGGGGGTACTGTCACTGTTATGAGCTGAAGAAAAATTTGATGCCAAGCTGTAGTTCATCGCATATTTGACGGAATGAAGTTTCTGGGTGTGCTGTCAGTTTGATATTTATTGTGTCATTCTTAGTAGTAATACCCGGCGGTATAGCGGAAAACCAAAAAAAAAAAGAGCGTGGTCACGTGGGAGGGGTGTGGTCACGTGAATACACCTTCCCACGTGACCACGCTCGTTTTTTCGGTTTTCCGCTACACCGCCGGATATTACTACTTTTCTTTCTTGATTATAGGTTTATCTGCTTTTTCTTATTCATGCACTTATCTCTTCATTTATTTATTTATTCATTCATGTCATAAGCATTTTCGAAAGAAAAGAAATGGTAAGAATTTTCGGTAACATTGCAGTGTAAGAACTGTATGGATTGCTATTTTGATTTCTGTTATGAGTATCTTTTGTAAATAATATCTTTCGCTTGTAAAGACTCGTTTGATTCACGTTAATAACATTTGTTTGCAGGATTCAGGAGGAGAACACATGGATTTTGCCAATCCACTCTATCGTGAAATGTCTGGCTTAGACCTGCCACAAAATCCAAATGACATAATTTTCTTGCCAGACTCTAATACGGTACGTTTCCTGATTAAACTAGAAAAATTCAGGGGATACTATAACAACTACCAAATGTTGCTGCAGTAGTTTGTGTTTCTTGGCCAGGGTTATTAGCGGCTACCTGTTGTACCCTGTGCACCAGATCTCCGTTTCCTTGTATCTATGAAGCTCCCCTTTGTACAACCAGTCAAGTAAAAAAAGTTTTACTTTCCTTTCCTTGTCGATGTTCTACTGTTTGAAAACCAATTACGTAAGATTTTTGGAAAAATTTCAGTGATCTCCAACCTGAAAAATTGGCTCCCAAAAAATACAAAAATCACCGATCCACAAGAAATGAAAATTCCCGCGAGGGTTTAAATGGTGAACGCCATAAATTTGGATGTAGATTTTACTTAGTTTTTTTATTCATTTCTTTATCTGTTTTTATTTTCTTCTTCGTTATTTTTGCAGGCTTCATCTGATACGGGTGTCAAAAATTTTTCCAACCCACTCTACGATGGGAAAAGGACTGTAAAGGTAAACGTATGAAATAACCGCTAACTTCGAGACCCAAGAACTTTTATAACGTACGGCGCCAACCACTGGTCAGGAATGGCCCGTCAGACTGGTTCATTTAATATCAAGTTTTGTAATGGTATCAAGCATAAATTTTCCTTAATATTTAGTGGAAAATCTCAAGAAAAAAGAAAAGTCATCTTAAAATTTGCCGGTTTGTTCGTTTCAGTCCCAGCTTCTGATTCAAAGTGTATTAGGATGTCACGCAACGACCCTTCTCGTTTGTTGCGTGACAACCTTGAAACTGCTGCCAAGGTGACTATCATGCAGCACACTTGATTACGCACAGGCAGAAGATATCCCATAGTTTTGGCAGAAAAACAACTAAATAAATGCGTTTTTGATGCTATTTGTATTGCCATCCGGTTGCCGTGTTTACCATCTCACAAGGGGTGAGTGGGGGGGGGAGGGGGGAGGAGTTCACTCCTTTTCTTTCGCTATTTGTGACAAAGGTCCTAAAAGGTCAAGATCCTCCGTTTCTTTTGTCGGGGACACTTCCTTACCCACCCTTACCCTGGTACGCTCCCAACCCACCCACCCCTCTCTTACCTCAAGATCTGGATCCACAACTAAATCAACTTTTTTGTTGTTATTTCAGTTTAACCTAGACCCCAAGTATCTTCCAGGTGAAGAAGACACCTGTAAGTAACCATTAAGAGTCAGATACGGGTACACTCTGTTATCCCCAACATGTGATGGTATCATGGAGGGTTTTTATTAGGAGAGATTCGTCATATCTTAACCCTTTACACCCTAGCATCAGTTTGTATATTCTCCAAACTGTTCTTTATACATTTCCTAAGGTGCTGATGAAGAGAATTCGTTTGACAATCAAGAGCTTCTTTAGTTGTGGATCATTTCCTTTATTCTCATGATCTTAATGTGTGATTCAGGTGTGATGCTGCAGAGAGAGATTAGAGTCCAGTCTCTCTTAGAGGTTAAAGGGTTAAACTCAAAGGATACAAACTCACACTTGAATAAGAGAGAGGAAAAAAAAAAGAAATGGTATCGTACTGTTAGGCAGCTCTTGTTCGAGCACTGGATTACATAAGCAAATTAAAACGGTTTTGTAGAAAAATAAAGAGAAGTCATTCACTTACAACAATCATTTGTGGGAATAGGCCTTCTGAAAAAATGTTATTTGTAATTTGGTTCTTAGCGCAAAAATGGCGCAATTAAAAAAACTGTGATTCAATTTTTCGATACCTAACTTGTTGCTTCGTTGCATTTTAGGCTAAGTGAGCTGTTTGGTTACACGAAGATAAAAGTGGTGAGTTCTTGTTTTTTCTTTAAAAGTTTTAAAAAAGCAAATGTTAGTAGGTCGCTAAATTTAACAATCACAGAGCGCATATCAAAAAATAGATATAATCTCTTATTCTTTTTATTTTACTTTCCAGGTTTTTCCGCTTTCGCTGGTTACAATTCAAGGGACATCTGGAGGGATAGATATATTTTTTATGCCATTAATATCGCTACGTTAGTTTAGTGTTTGTATGTTTTTTGTCTGTTCCTTTTTTTACTAACACTTAAACGTCGTGTAGATCTTTTTGTTTTTCTTGAGTGTGTGTGTGTTTTCTCCCCGTCAGTCATGCAAACCCTGGACTACTTTTCTGCACACTGCCTCAAATGGCGGCAACCCCCACATGTTTTGATAAGGGTGTGTAAACACGGAAAAAGTCCTCTTTTGCATAAATGTGCTATTTCCCCAATCACTCAATTAGCTCTATATTTCTTTCTTGCTTATTAACTACTTTATTTTTTCGGGCTGAAATAACGCGTGGCTTGTTAACGCTCTGCAAGGATTATCAAATTTTAAAGATGCTAGTCTCGGTTCTTTACAAATTTTTTAATTTTTTTTAATGTTGACGAAAGTGCCTAAGTAATTACTTTTATTTTTTTGCGAGGATACTGTCGCACTATATTTAAAAAAAACGAAACAAAACAAAACAATAGCAATTAATGCAGAAACCGAGCCTTACAAGGTTAAATACAACCTGGGGAAGTATACTAGATCCAATGTTACAAAATTGTAGGGTCGCGACGCTCTAGGAAGCCAATAATAGCTAACTATCAAAATTAAGGAGGCTGGTTGCCTAGGGAATAGGAAGAGAATGTTAGGGGCTTTCTAGAGGGGTTCAAAATTGGTGTCTTGTAAGAAAAAAAAAAGTGTATTGCATATACAGCACGATAGGATTAAGCTGATAGACCGAATCTCCGTATACTTTCAATCTTGTATCAAAAGTCATCCGGGATTTTGATTTATTTGCTTTCTGACCTCTGCGTCGGCCTATTTGGCGATCCGGGATTGGTTATTGGGAGATTCCCCTGGGTTAAAAATAACTCCAATGGATTCCTTTCGGAGTGACCGTTATTCTCTTAGCTTGATTCCATTATGCTGTCCAACGTCTGTTTTTGAAATATTTTGTAAAGCAATGTCAGGTATGCCTGTGCCTTGACTTGGGAAATTTTTGTACACTGAGTTAAATTTGTCACTTGGGGGTCATGATTTTTAAAGTACTCGCTGTTAAAATTTTTTAAACATTTTACTTGACATGAACTAGTGGTATTAATAGTATTTTAATGGTAATGGTATTAATTATAAAAATTAATATTTTTTTAACGAATTTTACTCCGAAGTTGATTGAATTTAGTATGTTTCTATTGAAAAAAAAAGGCGTTGATTACTGATTTCATCGAGGTTAAAATGTATGACTTATACAGAAACATGTTTAAAACGAGTAGAAAAAGGGCAAAAAAGAGTTTGTTAAGTTCACAGAGCCGATACGACTCAACAGAGGTTTGACCCTAGAGGGTTGGTAATTTGTGGCAAAGATGTAGTAATTCTGTTTACTGTTTGGTTTACAATTCTTATGATGTTAGTTTAGATAATTTGGATTTGGATCAGAGGTATAGTTTAGCAATGAAATTCATATTATTCATAGGTTTATGAAAGCTACAAGCATTTAAGCTTCAAATCTGTAAAATAAGTGGGTAGATAATGAGTATAGCTTACTCTTAGTTAAAAAATATTAAGTCAAATCCAAGGTAGATGTTAAATTTATGTTTTTATTGAATTGCTTCGTAAACTCAATCGTAGAAACAAGAAATAAAATTACGTTCGCATTGTTGCTCTTCAGTATTTAAATAAATGACATGTTTGTCAGCATTTTGTTTTGCGAAGAAGAAAAGCACAAACGCACCCACAAGAACGCAGCACGTGATCGCAGGAAAGCGCGGGAGGATATGGCGGTCTAAGACAAATCACTTTTTTTTGTCTCAAAACAACACTGAAAGGAAAAGCAGATAAACTACTAGCACCACTGCTTTTTAGCATGACTCGTAGCGTGACTCAAAAGAAATCTGCAGAAAAAAAAAAACCCAAAAAAACAGGAAAAAACTGACACGAACAAAACAAGTCAGCAAGGAAAAGATACCCTAACAACAAGGCATGAACTCTAGGAAGCAACCTCCTTTTGTTCCACCCCGCCGCTCCCCAGAATCCACATGATGCCAGGATGTTATTTTTTTGGTTGTTTCCATTGATTCGAGCGACGGATTACCCTGACAAAGATGGAGCACACGTAGTCTCAACACAAGTAAGATTGCTAGCAGGCCATCATTACGCGCGTTGCAAGACACACACTTCTACGCCCCCGGATAGATTCGAGACGAGTCGGGGAGGGGATTAGCGAGGATCTGGCACTAATAATCAGTGCCAGATCCCTTGCAGACCTCTCGCGGCTCGAGGCCTTATAACTTATCGGGGTCGGGCGAAGAATTTTTTTTTTTTTTTTAATTTAATGAGTTGAAAACAGCCTGGGGTTATGTTCTCCACGTGCACCTCTCTTGAGAGGACGGCGTTCTTTGTTTAAATTCTATCTTTGTCGCTTCGAGGAAACACAATTTATGAAGGAGAAAGACTTAAGTGAGTCTTCTTAGCCTCTACTCGGTGGTAGGGGCGAGAATTAGTTACAGTTTTTCATTTAGCGCACTTGAAAAAGTCGTTCTTTAAGGCTGAGTTTGTACAATTCTCAGAAATTACAGTTTCACTGGGCTCGAACTTCAAAAATAATATTTTTCTCGCAATCTTTTCCAGAATATTTGAAATTCCAGCGTTATTTCATTTCCGCTTGTAGTGGGAGAAATTTGCGCGGGTAGCTAGACTCGAGGGAAGTCACGCTTTCACAAGCCATATTAGGTAAGCTATTGTCGTGAGGTTCCGCCGGTCGTCCTGTTCTGTGATTGGTTATTCACTGTAAGCCGTGCCTGTATACAAACGAGAGCAGAAGATAACACTGAGAGAAAAATTCAAGTTAAAAATATATAGATTTCTCTATACTGGAGCTTCTTTTTCATGCAGTATGGAGGAGAAGGTGGAGAAGAAAAGTCCAGTCAAGTAAGGAAGCTTTTGGCGTTGTTTTAGAGTCGAAGTTTGATACGATTATAGCGCGTGCTCCAAATCGAATTTGTGTCTCTTGAATCCTGTTGTTTTTGTTGGAAAACGAGCACTGCGAGACTATTGCGTGATTGTTAATCATATAAAGGTATCAAGAGTGAAAGAAAATGAAATGCTGGAGTCTAAGATGTTAGGAGATGTAAATATCTGCCCCTTCTATGCAGAAAAGCGACGATAAGTTTCAGAAAATAAAGGCAATCGACCAATCGAATCACTCGTGTGCAAGCTTAGAGCAGTTGAAATTTCTCGAGTGTTTGGACTGTTTTGTCTCACCACAGGATTCGTAAAGTGTTAAGGCCGAGCACAGATGAGAATTACTGGGACTGTAGTGTGTGTACGTACAGAAATGGAGCCGAAGCCTTTAAATGTGCGATGTGCGATGTTAGAAAGGGAACTTCAACAAGGTAACGCGTGGCACTAGAGTATTTGTTTGTTCTCTATAATTACTGTCTGCAGGACAGAAAATTACGGTCGCAATGTGTTTCCCATGCTTCACGCATCTGGAGTATGTTTTTGTTTTGTTTTGAATAGAAATGACAAAATAACATTAGGTAGAATCATTTCGAAGGGTGAAAGTAAAAAAATTGCAATTCGATATGGTTTTTGTGACAGATGATACAAAATCAAACGCCATGTGCATGAAGATCGAACACGATCTACCATAAGTCAACTTATAAAAGATTCGAAACAGATGCTTGTGGTCGAGTCTTAGCATTTTTGCGGTCAAACTTTCGCCTTTTGTAAATATTGCGCTTTCAATAATAAACGCGTGACCCATTCCATGATTACAAGGGACCTTTTGTTAATTTATGATGGCCTTTAAAGGTTACTTTTGTAGTGTACCAATTCTCCCCACCCGACCCTCCTCGGAATGTACATGTTATACCACTGTCTAGAATATACAGACTGTTTTGTCTTAATGATGTTCAGAAACCTTAACTGTATGGATTTGTGTTCAGTTTTGTTTGTTATTTTTAGGATTAATTGAAGAAGGGAGAAAAGCAGGATGTTTTCCTGTTTATTTTTTCCCCCTTTTAGAAATTCAGCATGACTGAAATTTCTGCTGAGAATTAATTTCTTCAGTTTCCTGTCTAAGGGACAGAATTTAAATTAGATAGGAAGTGATTAGTTTCATATTTACTTCTCAGAGAGTTGTAAAGATGCGAGCTAAGTGCTAGATGATTCCTTGATGAACAATTGGAATGATTTTGAATACATGCAACATGTGACTCACAGAGTTTTTTATTTGACTGAAGGGGGAACATTGTTTTGCCTTCGTATTCATGTGGATCAAAGACAATTCAAATAATTATGATTAGTTAAATTAAATTACAAAATTTTCATGTTAGGTGATAATTGGATTTTAGAAGTTTATTTTTAACGCTTTAACTCCCAGGATCTCATTAGTAATTTTCCTTTCTATCTGCCATATAATTCTTATGTTAGTTCAGAGAATTTGCTATCGGATCAACTAAGAACCCCCTAACTGATATTTTTCTTTATTCTCATTACTTGCCTGCTTGATATTGTATTGATATTGTAAGGAGAAATTCTGTCTTTTATTTATTTATTAGCTTTGCTAACAATACATACAATGGTAAATTACAATAACAATAATGGGCAGGCAACCACAACAGCAATAGCCAATTACTGTGGTCCCAGGAGTATTAAAATAGCACAATGATTACATCAATAATTAATAATTAAGAACAGCATGGAGTTAGTGTTGTTTTCAAGCTACGACATGAATTACATTTTGTACAGATAGTTTTATAAGTCCAGGGATTGTCAATGTCATAGATCTCTTGATCACTCATGGTCACTCATGGGAGTTTAGGGGTTAATCCTTCTGTTAATTGTGGGAGTTTAGGGGTTAATCATTCTGTGTCACTAATATTTATTTTTGTTGCATTACCAGGAAACCAAAACTTAATTCTCAGTTAGTAGCTCAGCAAGTTGCTCAACAGTTTGTTACATCACCTCCTCCCTTAAAAAAGGCTGTGGCTAAAAGACCATTTAAAAAATTAAGGTAAGCAGTACAAACTTTAATAGAGTATATTGTTTGTACAAAATTAGAGCTTTTTATGTACTTTGGGCCTGCACAGAAATAAAATAGCTGCCCACATTGGTGAAAGTCAATTTTTTTTCTGTAGCACACACCTTGGATGAGAGTTGGAGAATCCTTCAAGCTCTGGTCTCCTGACTTAATCCCAAGTTCTCTCCCTAGTAGCAGGGAATTGTTTTGATTTTACTAACAGTTTTCTGTTTACAACTTACTCACATAAGTTTAAGAAAAGTCAAGGTAGCCAGCTTTTTAGCCACCAGTTGGCACTAAATGAGAACCATTACCCTATGAGATTGCCTTGCTATTCCCATTTTGTACCCTTTTCCACTTGTTACAACCCCCTTATTGTAGAGAAATTCAAGATACCAGCAAAAATGTGGAAAGAAATTATTCAGCACCCACCCACCCAAATGTTCTACCACATGGGAATGTGAAATGATTCATAGTTATCTAAAACTTTTTAATTTTATAGGCCTCGACTCAAAAACATTGACAGAAGCAGTGCACAGCACATGGCCGTCACCGTAGGAAACATCACTGTGATTATAACAGATTATAAACTTTTAAAACCTGAAAATTCACCCTCTGTCACACCAGACAGGAATTCACCCAGACCACTGTCAGAAGATGGCACAGACCCTGGGCCATCTCTTGGTTCTGAATTTACAAGTAATGGATTAAATAATCAGGATGACAGCTCCTGACAAAAGAATGATTTTTATATTGGTACAGTAATTATTAGGAACAATTTGTATTTTTTGTGTCATTAGAGGGGATCAAGAATCTTTTTCTGTCTTTTCTTATGATTTCTACTAAACAAAATCCCCTTCAAAAGCTGTTGGTAAGACAGTCAGTGCTCTTTATACAGACACCTCTGTCACAGGTGCTTTCACCTCAAGAAAGAACAGTAAAGATGGTGCTGCCATTTCAATGTTCAATTTGTCAAAACAGTTTGGAATTGAGACACAAAGTGGTCTCTTAGGTGTCTGTTTTAGAGAGAATTGACTTAACATCTCTTTCTAACAAGTCTCAAAGAACACTGCATATGTGCATCAGTGTATTCTCACTGGCTAAAAAAAACCTTGCTTTGTACCTAGCAGGAGAGCAAGCCTGTTTTCAGAATGTAATCACCCAAATCAGGGTAATAGTTAATTAACTCAGTTTTTGTGCTTGTGATTAGCAATGAAAGGTTTAAATTACACTGTGCTACTTTCTTTCTGATTGTGTTAATTCATGTAGTATGTTTTGTTTGTTGTCATCCATAAAAACTATTGAAAAGGTGGGTATGACAGCTATTTACCATATAGATAGGAAATGATTCATAAAATAATTGAGAGACCAGAAAATGGTAGAGAAAGAAACATTGATTCAAACTTTAGGTGCTGATCTAAAGAAAACAATAAAAGATTTCAAATATTCTTTTTTAAAAAATTTTCTTACATTTCTCAATTATTAGGATGTTACTAATTTGTTGGTGTAGCTCTATTTGTTTAGTTCATGGGGTAATATGAAACTTGTCTGAAGGCTTTTGCCTGTAAATAACTGGCATTACAGTACATTAAATAACATTTTTACAATTTTTTCTCAGATCCCATATTAAGTTGTCAAAGTCCATGATGGCCATACAAACTTAAAAACAATTAAACAAATGATCATAATTGTCATCAAGTCTTTGTGTGCTCATTTCTTTACCTTTAATCAATCCTTTGCATAAATAAAAAAAGAAACTGTATAAACATATTTTGGGGAGAAGCATGTACTTTAAATATGGAGGGAAAGTGTGTACTAGACTACAAGTAGTCCCTCCTTTTCAGCAATGTCTGTTGAGCCAGTAAAAAAAAAACAAGCAAAAAATTAATGTTAGCATGCCATGGGAAGTTCTTGGAGTGACCTTGATGCACTGCAGGAGCTCCATGAGTGAGGCTACTTTTCAAATGCCTCACTCATGTAGCTCGCATGATGGACTTTGCTAAAATGAAGGACTGCTTGTAGTTGAAGTGTCTTGGTGTGTACATACAGAAGGACTGTGAGAGGGGTAGTGTTCTTGGACACACTATGATGAAAAAGCAAAAACAAAGTATTACAAAGAAGACTGAAAAGAATGTAGTCCACAATGCTTTTCTTAGAGCCTTTCATTGCTCTTTCACACCTATTGCTTTATACATTGGGTCGGAATTCAGTATTTGACCTGTTGCTTTACAGGAAAAATAATATTCTACATTAGACTAAATTTCTTACCAATAGTAGTAACCTGTGCCTCATTTATCACACTATTATTATTAAAAAATATTTCAGAATTATATATTTCTTCAGTTATTTACAAAGGCTAGGGTAATAGTATAGTAATGCTATACAGCTCTTCACTGTGTCAGAAATTAACAGATTTTTCAAAATTAAATCAAGTTTTTACTTTGACCCATCTTATCCTGCTCATAGAGATCAATTTTAACTGCTTCTTTGAGGAATATAAAATGTATTCTACATCACTGAATGAGCTTTACAATCAGTACATGAATTTTGAATAGCAATTTAAACTTTTTGAACTAATTATAATTTAACTTTGCAAACTGATATTTTGAAATTTGGACACGGCTGAATGGGTAAGGATATTTTTGATGAAAGTATTCAAGACACACCTAGTCTTTAAATACAGTTTCTCACAATTGAATTGATATAGACTTCAAAATCTTCTACAATGAATTTCAAGATTTTCATATTTAAAACAATTTGTAGCTTAATTTGTACTTCATTCTCCTTGCACTGATGTAGTTTCAAAAAAAAAAAAGGGGTGATGAGAATTAGGAATATAATTAATTGTAAAATAACTTTTAAGTATATACATGTAACATCTCTCCTCACTTGCCGACGATATCAGTTGAGAGAGTTACCTTCCTGATCAAAGAGGTTAGGAGGTTAATGATTACAAGAATTAAAATTTTGCACTATAGGGCAAAACCTACATTAAAACAGGTTAGATTTGACCTTTTTATTCTTAAAAAATGTCTGTCGACACTCCTCATCACTGTCGGTATCCTTGTCTGTTCTTTCATCTGCTGTTTTTGAACCAACTTTTATCACTGGGCTGCAATGGGAACCATGAGATAAAGCAGTTAACCTTTAACACTCTCAGATCATTTTGCATATTCTCCATACTCTACTGTAAACATTTCCTGAGGTGCTGATGAGGAGAATTTGTTTAACAATCAAGAGCTTTTTTAGCTGGTGATCATTTCTGTTTTTCTCATGACCTTAACATCAGATTCAGGGATGAAGTTGTAAGGAGAAATTAGATGTTAGTCACATAAAGGTCAAAGGTCAAAGGGGTAAGCAAAGAGTGTGAAATCAACAATGAAACCTACAGTACATGTGTAATAATTATAAGATACCTTTCTGGAATAACACTGGGATCCTCTGATTCTTCATCTTTAAGGTCCTTTTGAGGCAAAACAAGCAAACCTATCATCACACATGTATCAAGTTTTATCTTATTTCTGTTTTCATTCTGCAACAGGTTCAGGTTCAGTCATTAAAAAAAAATTTGTTGACCCCCTTAAAGCATAAGAAATTTTTTTCAAGTACAACCTTTTTTAACTCAAAATTTTTCAGGCAAAAAAAAACCTAGAAAAATGGGAGGAAAAATTTTTTGGTAGTCCAAGTATCATGCGTTAAATTCTCGCGTCAACCTTAACTAATATTCTTTGTTTCAGGGGCGATTTTTGTGGTCAGCATTACATTTTATCAGGCAATAGTCAACTATAGGAAGCTTATTCTGATTTCTTTTGATTTTCCTATTTTCAGTGACCTTGTGATTTTGAGTTGACGCATGGCAAATTAATTTAAAAAAATGTTGAGCTCTGAAACATGGGGGTTCTTTAATCAAAGTTTCCCCATAGTGTCGTGTTCTTGTATTTCTCTCTCCCTCTCTCTGGAACAATTTTGTCAAAACAATAATTTAAGTATTACACAATTGCATTGATCAATCAAAATGACAACTTACCCAATCATCATCCTCTAAGCCTAGTGATGGTGTACCCGACTCATCCTCCTCCAAGGACACCAGACTTGGAGAAGATGGCGGCTCTGGGATGACTGATGAAGTCCTGCTGTTGTCATCTTTTGATAAACCTGAAGCAGCAGTGCTTTTCCTAAAGAAAGGTGGATATGTTTGATCACTTGATTGTGATATCTTTCTGCTTTCCATGATTTCCTGCTCATAAGTGTCACTTTTATCTTGGTCTATCTTGTCCACGTCTTCATCAGTGGGGTCAGTCTTTAACACCTCCAAACTTTCACTTCCTGTGAAAAAAAAAAGTTAAAATATCAGTACTTAGCTCAGCCTAAAAACCCAAAATTTCAGCACCAGCAGCAAATTTACACTAACACTACTAAAAGCAGCTCTTCCACTAACCTGGAGTCTTTTTGGCAGATTTATTTTTTTGCCCTTTCTTTCTCTTTTGCATATCAGCTATCAGCTTTTCAAACTCATTTTTATGTTGATTCACTGACAAAAAAGTAAAGATGTTCAGATAACAATGATCATGATACAATTTTTTCAGTAATTACTTGCATGGAAAAAGAGTGAGAAATTGATGCTGAAAAAACAACTAAACATTATGGTTGAAACAAGACAACAGGTCACAATATTAAATGTGGGAACCCTGTGCTACATCAACAGTGATGACACAGCTTCCCAACCAAGATAAAACTCTGTCTCAATAAACCCAATACATATTGGCTGACTGATTTACACTGCAACCACTAACTTCAAACAGTCAAGTAAAACTTAATTCAAGTGAAGGCTGACAACTTACAGTATTCCTGACGAATTTGGTCCATCTCTTCCTCGCTTTGATCTTTTGTAAAATGAACACCATGCTTTGGAACCAAAATAATGTAGAAAAGGAAGTTAGAACAACTACATTGACCAGGTCATTCACTAATGAAAAAATTAAAGGCAAAGGATTTCTAGAATTTATGTTTAAAACATTTTCAATTTCACATCACTCAAAAATGCATGTACACTGCACATGTAGGTCCATGCTTATAAAAATGTGTGTAACACTATGGAAAACTATACTAAGCTGTTCCTTCTCAGAGAACTGCAAAAACTCTTAAAGAATTACATGGAAACACTAATCATACTATTACTAAAGTATTTATAGCTTTTTTGTTCACAAACTAATCATTTTTTGTCATTTTCCATGGCTTTCCATAATCCACACAAGAAATTCCCAGCTTTCTTAACCCATACAAACTGTGGAATGTTTTCATCACCTAAAAACCATTCACTGAACAAAAGTAAATAATACATTTGCATTAAATCATTTTCAAACAATTTATTTACATACAGATGTGGGAGCTTCAGCTACAGATGCTGCCTCTCTCTCCTTTGTTAGCTCAGCTTTTTCCACTTCCCTTACAATTTGTGCAGCTGTGTGGGAAATTGTTATTACCTTATCAGTATTGAGGACTTATGAAGTTACTCCTCATTGAAATCCATAATATGTCATTGGATAATAAAGGAAAGTGTTAATAATTAGTGATAATTCTTGCACATAAACTTTTCATCGAGGACTGTCAGATGAAGAATAATTTAAATAATTTATGTGCCCGTATGATGAAGGAGGTAATTTATTGGTTACCTGTCATGGGCTTTTCTGAATCACACTGTGAATTGTAAAGCATTACAAATTCTTGATGTCTTTTGATAAGTGTCTGAAAAAGTAATAAAAAAAAGTACAAAAAAATCAATCAAATTCACAGGGGACTCTAAAATAAACATTAATTAGGTGTCCATGTAATGAGCAGCTTATGCTACCATGAACAAGACAAAAACTTTTGAAATGTTATGAGATCCTGAGGACAATGCTTGTTGCAAAACTTGCCTGATACAACTGGAATGTTGTGTTTTTAGGGTCATACTTCAGATATAACAACAACACAAGATCAATATTAATTAAACATAACTGTCATAATTTTCTTCACATTTATTCAGTGTGAATAGAAGAAGCACATGCAATGAAAGACTCATGAAACTTGAGTTGTTAACCCTTTAGCTCCAAAGATCTAATTATTAATTCTCCCCTCTTTATTTAACTGCTATGCATTTCCTTGTAAATTCAAGGTTAGGTTAAGATAACTTCTACCTGATAAGTTTGAGTATTCTCATTACCTGTTTGCTGGATAATGTATGGGTATTATAGGGAGAAGTTGCGTTTTAATCACTTCTGGGAGTTAAAAGGCAAAAGGGTTAAATAATTTCTTTGATCTTGATCTATTGGTGAACTCTCTCTGTGATCAGCTGGTCAATGCTGAAATTCATATTATTGTGTTACCAACATGTAGCCCCCTATTACTTACTGTTCGATTTCCCTTTGTTGATAAATTCCATTCTTTTAATCTTTTTAGTAATTCCTTGTCTGACATGACATTGTATACAAGTTTTGGAAGAGGCTTTCTTCTCTGAATCATTCGGCTAGAGAGAAATCAGAGATCAAAAAAATAATCATAAAAAAATTAAAAACAAAATACTACAAACAAATTAATTGCTTTTAGTGCCAAAAAAATTGAGTGTCAACCAGGTGTATGTGTGTAACAGTATTTGCCCTCAAAGAGAGAACACATTTTACTGGATAAAGAATGAAGGGGGGGAGGAGGGGAGGATTGGGATTGGGAGGGGGGTAGTGTCAGTGGGATTGCAAACCTAAGCTGACTCACAACATGTTGGCAAAGAGACAACAAAACAGTCAACAAAGAATAAGCCTCCAGTTATTCTTTGTGGATCATTTTTCCATTTTGTTTTGTTTTATATTTGAACCATTGACTTACATCAAAGCATTAGAGCCTTTAATTGTCATGTTGGATGATACTGCTGCGAAGGAAACTTCTTGCTCTGTTGTAGATGATCCTGGTTCACTACTTGAACAAGCAGTTGAATCTTGCAGCCCTACATCAACTGGACTCCTGCGCTTGCTTGATTTACTAGTTGAGGGTTCACTTGATTTTTTCCTGCTTTTTAGTGGAAAATGGTATCACCAATGTAGATTAGTTATTAAAATACTTACAAGTCTATTGATGTCACCGACACTATTCATGAGTATAAGTTAAGTTTCAGTTTTTAAGTTTCTAAACTATTTCCTTATAATTATGAACACACATAGACATAGATTTTTTAACATACATTCGTAAAGAACTTTTCTTTTCTGTTCTGTTAAGGCAAGCATCAAGATGAGAATTAATTTTCCTGTGCAGGATCATGTCACCACAAACTGGACACTCAGCTGATAAACAAAAGAAAATTATATCTTCATAAGCATGACTGAAGTATTTACCAAAAACACACGGTACATGTAAAATTTTCAGCCTGAAAATAAAATTTGATCATGTTATCTGATCATCCAGATGAGAGCAGTCCTAAGAATAACCAACCACAGTCATTATCAGGACAACTCTTAACAACACCAACAGACCCATAACCAATTTTGCCAAAAACATAGAAAAACTTGAGGTACTTGAGATTCTCGGTACTGTTATGCTACTGAAACAAGAATAAGCTACTGTAAGATAGGCCTTCCAGCTAAGAACCTCTTCCTCCTACTGACCTAACTCTGGATCTTGTGGCTGTGATGGTTTTCTTTCATCAGATCTATGTTCACTGATGCTAACTGGCTGTGGCTCTGATGGCTGTGATTCTGATGGCTGTGGTTCTGATGATTGTGGTTCTGATGACTGTGGTTCTGATGGCTGTGGTTCTTGCACTTGTTTTTCCATTTCAATGACTGCAACCTCTGGGGTTGATTGTCTGCTTGAGTTTTCCTCCTTATCATTTTCAGCTACTTCAACCAGAATCAAGTCTTGTTCATTCTCTGCATCAAGTTTCTGTCTCTTTGTGTCTGGACTTGTAGAGGTTGTATTGTTTTGAGAACTTGACTGAGCATTTAAGATAAAACGCTTTAAATTAGTCAAAGAATATAAACTACTACTGACATGCATTTTAAACTACCTTATGCAAACTACTCGAAAAAGACCAAAGTTCTTAATATTTAATCTTTCAAGGAAATAGTTGAAGAAGGAAAGTCTGCAGGGGCTCAATTTCTTGTCAGGGACTCATCTTTGTTTCTTGATAGTCACATGAAGCACTTGTTAACTAAGAATCTGTTCATCAAAAAATTTGACAACAAAGAATACCTTTCTCCTTTTTGTGTTTTTTTTAGAGATGTTGATGCTTTTTTCATTTTTTGCTTCACCACCCTTTTTGTCTCCAGACTGTAAACTTGCGACCTGCACTGTATTTGTTGTTAGCTCTAGGAGTTTTGTTCTGCAACAAATACGGAATAAATATAAGATTACAACTAAGATGATCATTTCTAGCAATATAATGAAATGATCATAAGGGTACTTAGGGCAACTGTAGTTTTGCAAATTTACTGTACTCTTTTTGTCCATGCATGTATATAGTCTGTATGCCATCTCTTTGAGATTTCTTGCTTACTGTAAACAAAATACCCTACATACAGTCAGTCACCAACAAAGACAGACAAATAGTCAGACTGACTGACTGACTGACAGACCAAGTGACTGACATACAGACTGAATGACTGGCAAACTGACTGAATTACTGACAGACAGACAGACAGACAAAAAGATAAATTAACATACAGACTGAATGACTGACGGACCAAACAACAGACACACTAATTGACAGATAAACAGACTGAAAGACTGACAGACAGAAAAAGACACAGACTTACAGACAAATTGACTAACTGAATAACTGACAGACTGTGTAGCTCACTAATATTGACTGATTTACTGAATGACTTACAGACAGAGACTACGTGATTGACAGACAGATCATAAGACTAACAAACTGCCTGACCTACTAATTGACTGACTTGCTTGTTGAGTGATTGCCAAAGAGGTAGACTGAATGACTGTCTCAGACTGACTGACTGACAGACCAATAAACTGCCTTATTGACTCACTAAATGATTGACTGACTGGTTAACTGACTGACAGACTTAGTGATTGACTGAATGAACCACCAACCTTAGAGAGGTTAGGTTACATACCTGACTTTGATGAAATTTTTGACTAATTCATCCAATACCCTATTATTTTTCAAACTAAGAGGAGTGACTTTCTGAAAGAAAAGATGTCATGTATTGAGAACATTGTAAAAGTACTTGTACCAATACTAGTAATATTACTACATAGGACCACTAAACAATGTGAAAGTACTGTAATCAGGTAACATAATTCTGTAAAATTTCCGCACAGCCCCACACTACATTATGCATTCAGTTCTTGACTAGAGAAAATAATGACAAAAACAATACATTTCCATTGGGAAAACAGATTTGTTTTACAATAGTATGGGGCTGTGCAGAAACTTTTCCCATAATTCTAGCAACTTAATAGATGAATAAAGACAGCATATAGAAAGCAATTGAAGAGTGAGTGTCTCCACTGAATAAATACACAACAAAAGGGGAAATGTTTCAAGATGTAAATTGAACCAGCCATGCATCTGTCCATAATAACAATTAATATCCATGTATAAGAAGTGCATACTCTGTATTCACTGGGAATGACATGGTTAAGATATGAAATATCCTTAATAATCACCATAATGATATATTACTCTAAAAGCTTTACAGAAAATTTGGAGAGACATCAAACCAGTACTTAAACTTATATACTGTCATCTCAATTATAGATGGTTACATGTTCATCTAATTTTGTCAAACATGTTAACAAGATGTCATACATGTACATCGTCCATAGCTATGCTTCATATACCATTATCAGCGCAAAACTGACAGAAATGTGTCATGTAAAAGCATAACAATACTCACCAAGGAACAAGTGGGGCACTTTGTGTCATAACTGAGGGATCTCCTGATGCAAAGTGAGCAATCTGAAAAGAGAATGAAGCGGGATATTTCTCCTTATAACTATGGTATGAATGCTACAGATGTTTAAGTTGCCACGTCCTATCCTTCAGCTTAAAATTGTCACCCACACAAGGAAAGGCCGAGTCCCCCTCTCAACGTTTCTCTCGAATGTACATGTATACAACTTTCACAGATTTAATTAATTTTTCAATACTTCGAGGTAAGTAAAATTCAACCTACAGTTGTGGGAGCATTCTGGAGTTATCAATGCGACGTCAAAAAATTCGTAGCAAATAGAACATCGCAGCAGATTGTCGATCGTCTGAAAAATAAGAATTTGAAAAAATCACACAAATGGAACAAACTAGCTTTTTTTCGATGTTGAGACAGATATTTGTAATAAGATACCCTCATTTCTCGTAGAGATTCTGGCCAGTCTGACGGACTCCACTCTGCTAGCTTAGCTGAGGATGTTCTCTTTTCCGTAAAAGACAACATATCTGCGAGATCACCTTGAAAATAGACAGAAAATTTTTTATAGAAATTCACTTACTAAGAGCCGCCATATTGATACAAGAATTTGGCGCGCGATTGTTGTGTATTTTCATTGGCTGAAGCAAGACTACCCACCATACATTGTTAACTTCTTATTTTCTATAAGAAGCTGTCACTGGTGAAAAATATTGACCAATTGGATACTGCGATATAATATTGTTGCAATTATTGCGTCACAACCAGGTAAAAACGTGCACGATCCAAGATGGAGGAATATGCAAGAGAGCCTTGGTAATTTTATGCTTCCTTGCCCCTCTGATTTCCAGGATTTCTTCACAAAGGTTATTTTTAGAGGTATAATGACTGAATTATGTCCTTGAATTCTTTGTAGTCCTTACCGAATCGTGGATGACTGTGGAGGAGCGTTTATGATGGGTGCCATCGGTGGAGGAATCTTCTCGTTTGTGAAAGGATGGAGAAATTCGCCGGCTGTAAGTTTCGTTCCTCCACCTTTTTTCGTGTGTGGATTTTTCTGTCCTATGTTATTCCGAATAAAGTCGTGATTTGCATCGTATATAACTGAACCAGTTACTCAAAATAAACTTCTTTCAGTTCCAATGGATCGTGGTAGTCTGTACTGATTCTAGATCAGCTGATGACAAACTCGATTACAGCATTACAAAATATGATTTACCCTTATATCTATGACGATAAACTGTAAGACATATCCTAGGGAATTTATCCACTGTCATGAAATGATATACATACTTAGGTTATACTTGATTTTGTGGCTACGGTAGACAAAAAATATGAATATCGAACTTTTATGATATTTAATGGTCATGGCAATGCACACACGTGATAATGTCACCATGTGTACTCAAACAAACAAAGAGTATGATTGTAAAGAAAAATTCATGCTAGTCCTGCATACTAAATCCAGTTCCAAATGACTTTTTAATACTTGAGAAAATTCTTCTGTTGACGAGTATGATACATTTTTGAGGAGATTGGTTACGAAAATAAAGAAATTTAAAATTATCACTATGGGATGGTACCCGGACAAACTCTCTGTCCTTTCCAACAAAAAATATTGGGTCATCTCAAGTATACTGCTTCTCTAAGGATTATATGACTGTTTAAGTGCTCATGATTGGTCAAATAACTCTGGTATTTCTTGTAGGGGCAAAGACTTTATGGCAGTATTGGTGCTGTCAAAACAAGAGCACCTGTTCTTGGAGGTTAGTGCTTCAGTTTACAGGCATTATAGTTTACTCATTTTTGTATGGCTATTGAACAGTTTATCATTTCAGGTAATTTTGCTGTATGGGGAGGTTTATTTTCTACATTTGACTGCTGTCTGATGGGAATACGAGGCAAAGAGGATCCATGGAACTCAATAGGTAGTGGTGCTATCACAGGAGCTGTATTAGCAGCAAGAGGTGAGTTATCAAGTTATCAACCACATTCCTCTCTAAAAGAGCCTAGAATATAAAGGAAATTTTACTCAGTTTGCAGCCTGACATTTTTGGGATATAATATATCCGCAGAAAAAAAAAACCACAATATTTAATGGTTATAGTTATTAGCAATTATTCAACAATTAGCACGCATTGGATATGAGATGGTAATAGCATGCATCAAGTCCATTATAATGTATCTCTTATCCAACAAGTGCAAATGGAATAACTGTTTCATTGAATTTCATTAAATCCTTTACATTTTGATATTTATAGCTTTACAAAGCAAAATTATTCAGCTCCACAACACTTAGCATAAATTATGCATTTCCATATAAGGTAACTCAGAATATTGGCCAATAACTGGAGAAGAGTGAACCAATCACAACACCAGAAATTTTATATTCAGAGTTGAAAATATAATAATGAAAAATATATAATGTAAATTTGGTTTGATAGATGTAGTGATTTCTTCAAACTCATCATGCTTGACTTATCAAGCAAAATTGACTTATCTACTGTGTTAAGTAATTTTTATCAGTTGTCTATTAAAAGGGAGATGGTTGCTATTATTCAATGGTAATTGTTAATTTTGAGAACTAACCATAGAATAGAACTGTGTGACTCTGTTTGAGGTACATTACATAACCACCAGTGGTGATCAAAAATGGTGATGCAAAATGTAACTAAGTCCTTCTGCGATCTTTAGGTGGACCATCAGCAGCCCTAAGATCAGCGGCATTAGGAGCTGTCCTGTTAGCTTTAATTGAAGGAATAGGAATTGGAATAACAAGGATGACAGCAGAGCAATTCAAACCAGGTTTGTTCTCAGAATTTTTTAATGCCAAAGCTCTTTAGAAATGTTCAAAAATGTCTTTTCTTAGTTTTAAAATGTGGAACAGCTCTGTAACTTTTACAGTGCCTTTCTCCAACCAGGAGTATAAATGGTATCAGCAAATTGTCAGGGAAGCCTGATGAAATGCTGGGGGGTAAACCTTGCGATGGACTGGCATCCCATCTAGGGAGGAGTAGTAACACCCCTAGTTGCTTCATGCCATGGAAACTCCAATAAGCTCCAGTCGGATGGGCTCCCTGGCTCAAGTACAGACATTTTTAAGACCTTACCAGACTTTACATGTAGGATCAAGTTATAGCAAACTGGTAACTGCAGATCAGTCATGACTTTAGGTACTCATTATTTAACCTTTCTTCCTTGCATTTCAGTCATGCCACAGCCCCCAGACCCTGCACAGTTACCTCCAAAACCATTCAACCCTACACCACAACCAATACAGCCAGCATCAGAATTTGATTATCAGCCGCAGTATCAATAGGAAAAGATATACAATACAATATGACAACTTTTCAAGTCAAATTTTTGAGGATTTTGTTACTGATGTTACAAGGCCAGCTATCCAGTCTGTGTTTAAGGAACAATGTTGAAAAAGGCAAGGGGTACTTGTTGTTCACCATCCTCTAGAAGCTCAGGCTGAAAGGACTGACAGATGAGGAGGCAAGCCTCATTATGGGAATTTAATTTTGGAAGTTGTGTTGTTTGCTGTTGTCATAAAAGAGGAACAACACATAAACATGTGCCAAACATAAAATTGCTTCACTTGATGAAGTGGCAATAGAGGCGTGGTATCAAGTGGTATGACTTGTACATATACATGGATACATCATGAATTTGTGACTAGGGATATTGTTACTTGTACAAACAGGACATGTTTTGTTGCTTTGGGTGGCAACATATTGGAGCACATTCGCTTTCTATTAGTTTTTTTTTTTATTCAATATCTGCAGTGAATGCAACTGTTGATAAGCTGACAAGCAATGGGCAGATAACACTGTCACTAGTGTTATGTTTCAGACTGAATTTATTTAGAAAGTAGTGGAAATAATTTGCAAAAAATTAAAGTTAATATGTTTTCAAGTATACTGGTGTGGTAAGTGGTGTCGTAAAACCAAACATCATTTTAACGGGCTGCAGCACAATGCCATTTTTATTCAGTCTATTTCTTTGGAATCCAATACAAAATCCATTGGAGGAAAAGGTTTAAAATAATTTCATTACAGGAGAAAATATCAAAATGGTAAGAGTCAACCAATTTCAAGAAGGGGAAACTATGTTTAGGGGTAGGAAAAAAAAACAACTTGGGCTAAAATAGGTACAAATTATGGGTACAATTTCCCCAGATGCACAATGAAAGCTCCAACTATTAATTCCAAATACCTTATTTATTTTTATGTCAAACACTATAAGAAATGGTTAATTCTTTTGAGCAGTTAAAGTTTTTCTGATAGCGACTGTAGAGACATATTTTCTATCAGTTTGCTTTCAACTATCTATTAACAAATTGTTTTTCTTAGAAATTGTATTTTCAAAGGATTAATTTACATGTCATCTTCTAGATCGTTTCAAATATTACTATACGATACTGTTGTATTTCACCATTTGTTCTAAAAACACCAAACATATTACATCAACTTTTCAAAAAACTTGCAAAGATTCATTACTATATTTTTCAAAATACAGCAATCAAGAAGTCAATGGTTTTGGAGAGAGCTTCGCAACTAGTGAACACCTTTGGATGTACATTGATAACTTAACAAAAGTTTAATGTCACTGCAGCTGTAGAGCAAACTGGGGTCTGAAATGTCCTTTCCTCTCAATTTTAATTCTTTTAACCCTTTATCTCCTATGAGTGACTGGCATCTAATTTCTCCTTACAATATCAACCATGAATCAAACATTAAGGTCATGAGAATAAAGGAAATGATCAACAACTAAAGAACTCTTGACTGTTAAACAAATTCTCCTTTTGAGACCCTTGAGAAATGTAAAGGGAACAGTATGGAGAATATGCATACTGATGTTAGGGTGTAATGGGTTAATCAACCTGTCTATTTTGTTTTTATCAACACTTTTCCTGTTGATCTCCTTTCCATCACAAACTTGAATGCTTCATTTGCCTGAAACAAAGAATAAAACAGCATTTGAGTCATTCTGGTGTAACAGAATACAAAGTAAGCTAGAGTCACAATATGTAAATTCCCTGTTGATGTTTTGTTGCAGTGGTCTATAAATGTTTGAGCCAGCTGCTTAAACCCTAAAATCTAAGAGTGACCACTGTCTAATTTCACCTTCCAGTAAAACTGGTGAATCATACATTGAGATCATAAGCATAAAGAACATGATTGCCAACCTAAGAAGCTTTGATTATTTAAAAAATTCTCCATGTCAGTACCAAACAAAATGTATAAAGTAGAGTAGGGAGAAGATGGATGATGTTAAAGTAAAAGAGGTTGAGAAATTTGTATTATATAATAAGCTCAGTTATGCATGCATTCTGATTGGTTCTCACTCATGATCTATTGGAAGACAGATGTATAGATGATGTCATCATTAAAACTTTTTTTTAATTCTTTATTATATAAAACAAATAGAGTCCAAGTTACCATGCGTTTGTTCAGTAATAGAACACAGTGGACTTCAAAATGTGGTAAGAACATCAGTGACACACTTGGCTGCACCTCGTGTGCCACTTTTTTGTTCTTACATGTACCACATTTTGACATCATCTGTGATCTATTACTGAACAGACGCACGGCAACTTGGAATCTATTTGTTACATAGAAAATAGCAATAGTCTATTCAAGTGTTATGTTATTTACCTGGTCTAATTCAAACTCTCCAGAAACATGTGGTCCTCTAAGCTTGCCTTGTTCAAGAAACTCCAGTGATTTATTCACAGAATCTCTCAGTAATGCAGGGTTATATTTCATGTGGGCTCCCTGGAAATTGAAAAGCACAGTACTGTGGCAATGTCATGCAAATAATGATTCATAACCCAAAAGAAAGGAAAAATTAAGGTTCAAAATCAGACACTGACTGGTAGACTGTACTTACCCAAAACAAACCAGCTGTGGAAAAAGGACAAAAAAAGAAAGAGTTTTTTCAGTCTTTAGGTCTTTTGATTTAAAGAGCCAGCTTCATCTTTAATTGAGTGAAGACAAGTCTGAAACTCAACTGTTTCATACTTAGGATCAATCATCACATTGCATATATATTTTACCAGAAGGGTGTTAGTATGGAATGGTTACAGGCATGCTATAAGCCAATTAGATTTAAGGATTTAAGATTCCAGCCTGCTGAGTTGCTTCAGAAAGACAATGAACACTTATTCTAAACTTACCTGCTGAGCAGTTTTTCACCAAGAGAATATTTGCTGGGATCTGAAATATCACAAAAGAAAAAACAATTTGGAACCAGTCGTAGCATTATTTCATACAATGTGTTGCATATTTCAAGAGCAGTGTTAAAAAAATAGGAACACACCTGAGGAATTTCTCCTGAAGCAAACCCAACAGGAAGAATAACACCTCCCCATGCAATGCTTGAAAGGAAAAAAATAATTGGAAGTTATTCACATCATCATGTTTGCTACCATCATGTAGTACAAAATTGTTAAGAAATTTGGGTTTTGTGGAAATCTGGCCATGAACAGATGTAAACGTCTATGACATGTCTAAAACTTTATTTCTGCCAACAATGACCCAAAAAGCCAAGATTTGAGCTACAAATATTTATACCTCTGTAGTGTCTATAGTGTCAATCTTACATAAGAAATTTATTATCACAAAAAAAACAATATTTACCATTTCAGACACTCTGTAAATACTTTTCCTCCAACAGCTTCCATGATAACGTTTGCACCTTTTCCACCTGTCAGTTCTTTGACCTGCCACATTATAAAACTTATCAGAGATAAAGAGAGTGTCAAGATCTCATTAGTTATCCTTCTTTATGCCGGCCATACAATTCTTGTAACTTTGTTTGGAGAATTTGGTGTTGGATCAATAATAATCTCCTGATCGATTTTCTTATTCATTCTCATCATTTGTCTGCTTGATATTGTGTTGATATTGTGTTGATATTGTAAGGAGAAATCCTGTCTTGGTCACTCATGGGAGTCAAAGGGTTAACAGGAAAAATTACCTTATCTTTGATACTGTCTTTGTTGTAATCAATTGTGGCTGACGCTCCCATTGCTGTAACAACATCAAGCTTGTCCTTACTTGCAGCTCCAATAACCTTAAAAACAGAGCCAGGCTCTTGTGAGGATCTTATGACACACAATCTTTAGAAGTTTTATATTCCCCACAACCAGACTTGTAAGCTTATCACAATTCTAAGAGTAGGAAACAAACAGGATGCCATTCCATCAAGTTTACTCTCAAGGAAGCCATTGCTCAAAAGATGGTTATCAGCCAAGATCTTGAAAGTTAGGTTTAGTAATGTCCTCTAAAACTAACACATTGAAATCTTCACAAGAAAGAAAGAATCCATAGAGATCTCTTAACTCAAGTCTAGGGGGTTAATCAGTCTCATGTATAGGGGCTCCTCCAAGGGTGAACCCACTCAAGAACAAACCTTTGCTCCCAGTGCATTTGCTGCTAAATCAACTGTTGCCAATCCCAATGCTCCTGCTGCAGCTGTCACTAGCACTGTTTGACTGCAAATAAGACAAAACAGGCTTTGATTTAACCTTTTGAGTCTCACAAAACCAACATTAATTCTACTTACTGTCTATTCTGCCATCAGGCATTCTTCTCACAGAAGAGCATTGCAATGCAAGATTCAACACTTCCCTGAAGAAAGAGAACACCTGATCATATGTTCTTTTCTGTCAGGAATGTGACATTAAAGCAAAGAAATATCTTCAAGTTGAAGCATCACCATGACATGAATTATTGTGCCTTTTTTGGTTTTCAAATTTTAACTTGTCTTCTGAACAAGACCTACTGATCAATTTATCAATTTCACTTGTACCTCTTAAATTCTTGGTTAGAACAATATCAAGTCTACTTATGAACCACTAACAAAACACAACATGTAACTCTTAGAAGTTATTAGTGTGTAACTTCTAACAACAAAAATATTCCTATGATGCAAACATAAAATTATAATAGACATACATATCAGCCAGAGGGTGTTATATCAATCAAACACAAATTCTCTGATGAGGGCTTAACTCCCATGAGTGACCAAGACAGAATTTCTCCTTACAATATCAATACAATATTAAGCAGACAAGTGACAAGAATGAAGAAAAATATTAGATAGGGGATTATAAGTTGATCCAATACCAATTTCTCCAAACTAGCATCACAAGAACTGTATAGCAGCTAGACAGTTAAGAAAATTACTAATGAGATCTTGGGAGTTTCAGGGTTAAAAGAAAATGTTCGGGAGCTCAAAGGGAGAGTTACAAATCAAATCTTTAGTGTTGAGGGATTGTGATAAAATAACTAATTATCAAGTCTTTATGGTGCAGATATTTACCCAGGTTGTGTGTTTGACTTGGATGTGAGTCCAACATATGCTGTACCATATGACACTGCAAGTGCCGCAGCTGAACTATACTCAACACTAGAAGGAATTTTCCACAGACCCTGGAATCAGCATACAGGCTTTTGAATTAGAATCTAGTGCTAATGTAAAAACACAAATTTCCTGAAATGCATTTATTTGGAAGATCTACAAATTAGACTCACACTCTGTTCTGCAATGCATTCCTCAGCAAAACCACCAATTGGTATCAGACCAAACACTCTATCACCCTGAAAATCAAAATGTAAGTCAGTAAATAATCCATTACACCCAAAAAGCGACCAGCTTCTAGTTTCTCCTGACAACAATACTGCTGAATCATTCATTTAAGATCATGAGAATAAAGGAAATGATCAAAAATCAAAGAAGTTCTTGATTGTTAAACAAATTCTCCTTGTCAGCACCTTAGGAAATGTATAAATAACAGTATGGAGAATGTGCATACTGATATTTCAGTGTAAAGGGTTAATGATTGAACCCTCTAACTGTCATTAGTCATAGTAACCCTGAATAACTGTCGCATCCTATGCTTACTTAAAGACCAAGAGTGAAGAGAAGTAGTTGATAATCTCAGTAAATTGAGAATCTGATGTAATCATTAGTTTTTCAGTCTGCTCTCCAGCCAAGACTGGCCCACAAGACACTGATGGAAGCTTATCCCAGTTTCTCTTACGTGAAGAAACTTATAATAAGAGTTTTCCTCCTTCATTACCCCATCCTAGGTTACAGCAAAGCATCTCATCAGGCTTTCCTGACAGTTTGTGGCTCCCCACTTACACTCCTGGGTGAAGAGGAGAACCATGAGTGTAACGTGTCTCACCAAGGGGTAGAGACATACATGTCGTGGCCTAGTAATTAGCACACTCCACTCCAGAGCATAGGTCCCATTTCAAGACCTTAGTAAGATATGATGGCCCAAGGAAAAGGCTACTTGATTCTGTGTTTCAGGCTAAATTCCTTGCCAGGTTATGTTGTGTTCTTGGGCAACACACTTTGCTCTTGTACTTCTCACAGTGTACATGGTTACCAGAAAACTTTACGGGTGAACTAACTAATTGCATAAGGGAAGGAATTCTCGACTTGTTTCAAGGCAATGAAACCTGTGAGAGCCTGGTTGAAATGGGTCATTTAGGGTCCAGACTTGATAAACACACAGTCACCTTTGATAACTGTTCTACTCCTTCTCCAGTTTCAATCACTTCACCAGCTATCTCAGCACCTGAACAAACAAGATACACAATTATGATCAAGAAACTAGAAAGAAATTTTATGTATCTCCAGCTCTCTAAGGCTTGCTCCAGCTACAACTCTTTAATCCCCTCAACCATAACAAGTAATTTTCCAATATTAATAAGGAGTGGGTACCAACTTTGGAATGGGGTAGATACCAATTTTGGAATGGGGTGGGCACAAATATTGTTATGGGATGGTTACCAATATTAAATGGGGCGGGTGCCAATATTGGAATGGAGTGGGTATAAATGTTGGGATGTGGTGGGTACCAATATTAGGATGGGGTGGAGAAAGAGACAATTACACAACACTGAGACTGAGATACATAGGGAAAGAAGATATGAGGAGAGACAAAGATTTGATGTGATACCTGTAAATTAAGCAATTGACTACACTTTCTATCACTGAAAAGTTAAACTTTTAAAATCACAAGCTGGAAGCTGTCAATTTACAAACTTTTTGGGTGCCATCCCGATGTCTCAACTTATAACAGGAAGTGTGATCTATTGCTTTTATAAAATAACTATGGGTTTCCTACTGCAGTTACCCTTTCACTCCTAATATCTGGATCATGAAAATTCTCTTTACTGTCTGTGATACATTTTCTTTAAATTTTGTTCTGAGAATGTGGTGTTAGATCAAATGACAGTCTCCTGATTGATATGTTTTGCTATTCGCAATACTTGACTGCTTATCATATTGTATTAATACTGTAAGGAAAAATTATATCTTGGTCACTCTAGGAGTGAAAGGGAGAAACAATATGTTTTTAAGCAATAAGGGCATTCATAGTAACTCATTTATTCTACAATTATAAAACATACCTGGAATAAATGGTAGATTTGGTTTATCTTGATATTTTCCCAGACACATAAGTATGTCAGCAAAGTTGATACCACAACTGTGGACGGCAATCCTCACCTTAAATAAAATAATTAACTACTTTACATCGGAATTGATGACATCTTCATAAACATTATTATTATTTCAGTACTTATATATCATTTTCTTTTACTGTGGGGAGGGGTGGAGGGGAGGGAGAGTGGTTATCCCTTTAGTAGAGAGAGATCTCAGTACAATTAAGATTCTCCCTTCTTGCTATAATACATTTCTCAAGCAAAGAAATTATCCTGTCATGTTGATATAGGAATTTATTCAATATTGCAGAAAAGAAGCCTTCATACCTTCTCCTCACACTCAAATTATGCTCTTCAACTTGCCTGAAAAGGGAAAAGGATGTCTGCTGCCCTGCAAGCTAACTTCAGGAAATAGCTGATTTTCCACCCTACCCTCCCTCGCTCAGCAAAAGAGACTTCTTTCAAAACTTACTCAAATTAGTTTTGAAAAACCAACGTCACTAACGCATCAACTCCCTTATGAAAAAAGTTTCGACCCTATCCTTCATCCTCCCTTCCCCTCTTAGGTTGGATAAATATAAAACAGAATAGCAAATATCTCAGCAAGACGATCTAAACGTTAGGCTAGGTCTAACTATGATGACTGGAATAGCGCATATCTCAGCAAGACGATCTAAACGTTAGGCTAGGTCTAACTGTGATGACTGAGAATGCTTTCTCTAAGTCTGGTGCCACGTTTAAATGAAGTGGCCTTTTTTTTTTTTTGGGTGTCTGCAGAAAAATTCGAAAAACAAAACACAACATTTAAATTCCGCGACTTCGAGAATACGGCGAATCATGAGGTTACCTGAGAGGCCTTGAGTTTCTCTGCTGCAGGGACCTGCTCTACGACAAGAGGTTTACCAAGTTCCTTGCACAAAGCGGCACGATACATTCTTGGTTTACCGAAGGTAGGTTTCACAGAAATAATCTCGGCATTTCTTGACGATATGCTGCGCGCCACTGGTCTCAAAAGTCTCTCTGGAACAGTCCGAAAGGCCGCCATCTTGAATCTAGGCAACAGTCTCTCACAGAAAAACTGGCCGCCTTCCATTTGGGTAAGCTAGGACTAGGACACTCGTCGGTAATTCTGAGTTGTTTGTTATTCAATACTTCTTATTTACGAAAAACAGCTCATTTAGAATTGTTTTCGGAAGAATTTAATAACTGGCTGTCGTATGATTGGTTTATTGCCGCAGGTTGATAATTTCACTTGCCTTACGTATTAAATTCAATTTGATAATAAAATCTTTAAAATTACCGCGTTTTGAGACTCCATAGAACAAACCCAAGAGAAACAGGAATTTTCTAAAAATTCAAAACTAAAATCAGAAATTTTTTTGTAACACAATCAAAATCTTCCAAACCCCCCCCCCCCCCCCCCCAGGAGATGAATAGTGACTTCGCGCACTCTCTACACTTCGCGCACGAACCTCAGTTCCTTTCTCCGTCTTTTTTTCCAATGTAGGCCACGTTGCTTGGGGTTAGCTTTTTAAGTTGCTTTTGGAGAGAAAATCCGACGTTCTCGTGTTGGGTATATTTGCCCTGACACAAACACTGCAACTTGTAAAAAAGCCAACTTTTATTGTCTCGGTTTCTTTCACGACGCAAGCAATTCTTGTCAAAGTCTCCTTTCTTGCGTCTCCCTTACTCTGAACACATCGTATTTTGAACGTTGTATGAATTATATATACACGGTTTATGATACTGAAATGAAGTATGAATTGATCGACGGTATCTTCGACGGCGAAAATTGTTTCCTCTATAGACATATTATTATCAAATAAGGATAATGGTGTCTTGATTGTCTACTCAAATATATTATTGTAAATATTACAATATTTGCACGTTTTAAAAGTAAATATCGGCATCCAGACTGTCATTCTGTAAAATCACACATAATCTTTAAAAAGAACAATTCAAAGCCTTTCAAAGTTCTCAGGCAAATTTCAGTGGAAGTCTCTTTTATTCTGGAAGCAAATCGTCCATAGATTTCCCATCCATGAGTCGCTTTTCCATCTCAACGAGAAGCTTGACGCCATCGACGACTTTCTGAACAAGTTCCACCTCAGAGAACCCCAGACGGTCCAAGTTTGACACGTCAAATGTGCCGTCAGTAGAGGCGGTGTCCACTCCTCCAGTGCCACGCTTCTGAAGTCGCAGCTTATTCAAGATATCTCCAAAGCGTGCGTCTTTCGCTAACCATGGAAGCTTGACATGCACGCCAGCGCGCAGGCCCGTGCCGAGATTGGAAGGACACGTGAGCACAAAGCCGAGATGTTCATTCCACATAAACTCTTTGCCTTTATTTTTCATAGCATCCTCGATCTCTTTAAGACTTTTACAAAAGCGAGTGAAGACTTCTCGCATGTTCCCGCCTTTTTGCATAGATATGACGCGAGTGTGATCTTCCTCGTTTACCCACACTAACACGGTCTTCTCATCATTATGCCAGATCCCGCGGGCATCGGGCCAATCGCGAGCCATCCTAGAAGACAGCAGCAAAGGTGAAACTGGCTTATCAAATAGGAAATGATCCTCTATCAACTGATCTTGCTCCTCTGGGGTCATTTTGTTCAGGGGGTAATACTTTCCTTGTAAATCTCCTTTCAGGGAGTCCAACGCTTCCACCACGATCCTCTCAATCTCCCGTCGTTCTGCGCGGGTGCAGTGAGGTGGCAGTGTCAGACCCCGGATACTGCGTCCAGTCCTCACCCGGCAGGAGAGCACAAATTCCTCGTCCAGATCCTCTCCTCCAGTAAGATTGTCAGGATTCAGATCTGTCTTATGAAGGGCATCTTTGCTGTATCCATTATGGCGCCCCTCTATCACTGGGTCAAACAAATCTGCGAATACATCGTAAGTTTCTTCGTCGCCAGCCACACAGCCCACGGTCATGATGTACGGATGACCAGGGTTATCCACACCTGTTTGTATGGCTTGGTCTAGGGTATAACCAGAGGGTGTTTTGAGAACGCAGAGTCGGTCGTAAATTTCTTTTGTTAGACACCTGGACATCCAGTTGTTATGCGTTGAGAGATCAGGGAAGTTACTTATCTTCTCCCTTTCACTTCCTTCACCCTCAACTTGGTCAGCAATGTCTCTGGCGCGTTTACCAGACATAAGCTCTTGATACAGGCTGGTTATAGGATTTCCAGCCTCGAGGCATTTCTCCATCTCAATTAACAGACGGACTCCATCCACAACACACTGCACCTGCTCCACTTCAGAAGATCCCAATCGGTCTGCGTTGGAAATGTCGTACGTTCCTCCGACTGCTGCCGTGTCCACCCCACCGACGCCACGCTTCTGAAGGCGAAGTTTCTCCAGGATGCTGACGAACTCTTGCTTTTGACTAAGAAGTGGGATTTTTAAGTGTACCCCTCCCCTCAGTCCTGTGCCAAGATTAGATGGACATGTTAAAATGTAGCCCAGATGCTCGTTCCACATAAAACCGTACCCCTTAGCCTTAATAGCGTCTTCAACTTTGTTCAGTCCAGTGCAGAAGCGCTCGAAAACACCCTTCATATTTCCGCTTTTCTCCATCGAAATGACTCTAGTGTGGTCTTCCTCGTTGACCCAGATAAGAAAGTTCTTTTTCTCATTGTGCCAGATCCCACGGGCGTCTGGCCAATCCCGCGCCATTCGGGATGCAAGCAGAAGAGGAGACACAGGCTTGTCAAACAAGAAGTGGTCCGCTATGAGCTGCTCTTGTTCCTCATCTGTCATCTTTGCCAGTGGGTAATACTTCCCTTTGAATTCGCCATCGAGCGAATCCAAAGCTTCGGTAACGAGAGATTCCACTTTGCGTCGCTCAGCTCTTGTACAATGGGGCGGCAGACCTAAATTTTTAATGCTGCGCCCAGTCCTTACGCGAGACGATAGGACGTACTTCTCATCAAGTTGTCCGCCAATCAGATTGGCAGGATTCAAGTCGGTTTTGTGGCGATCTGTTTTCTTGTAGCCGCCGTGTCGCTTCTCGATCACAGGGTCAAAAAGATCCGCAAAGACTTCATACGACTCCTCATCTCCGGCGACGCAACCGACCGTCATAATGAAGGGATGGCCAGGGTTATCAACACCCGTCTGAATCGCCATGTCCAAAGTAAATCCGCTCGGGGTTTTCTTGCCACACAGTCGCTCATAAATTTCAGGTGTAAGGCATTTTGCCATCCAGTTGTGATGTCGTGACAAGTCAGGGAAGTTGCTCAGAGGAGGGGCACTAAAAATTAATTGAAAGTAAGATCAGTCAAAGGTGGGGATATAACTTAGTGACAAGTCCCTGCGAGATGATGCCGGGACAGCTCGAAGCTATAATTCATTTCGGATGACATAAAAAATAATGATAACAATCTGTGTCGCTGTGATTAAATTTAGTGCGACGAACAAAAAGTACAGACTCGAACTGCTTTCAGTTTGCAAACACAAGTTATTACAGCTAGGGAATGAATCGCAGTAACTTTTTTTGGAAGCAATACCGACAAAGTTTCGTCGCGGAGAACTCCAATCTTTTACTTCATGGGGAGGTACCCCACAGGACAATCGTTACCTGCTGTTGTTGGTAGCCTCAGCAGGCGACGTAGTTTTTGTTTGCATTTCTGTAGATTTAGAAACTGGTCCTTCACCAGGAGAGGAATCTAAAAGAGGAAAACACGAAGTCAAATGAGTCTAATTAGTAAGAGCGCTTTTCGATTGGGTGTCGTAAAACCATCACCCAAGTAATCACAACAGCCAATCAGAAGACAGGAAAATGTCTTCAAGAGCCAATCAGAACTCAAAGTAGAAACAAGTTGACTGGCCAGAGCGCGGGAAAACACGGGCGACCAAGTAGTGATTAGTTTTCGTTTTGCATCTGATTGGTTGAGAGAGTAGTGCGAGTTTCTAGACCAATCACAGAGCGAAGTTAAGTAAAACTAATGCAGTCTGGGATTACTTTCAGTACTCAATTGAAAATTTCTCTTTAATTCTAAACCCTTCTTCAATTTAAACGTTTGCTTGTCTTTCTTCAACGCCTCCTTCCGATAAAAGCTCCGTGTCCAACATACCATCGACAGGAGTAGCTTTTGGTAAACGTCAAACCCACTAAATTGTCTTCCTCGATAAGAATGGAAAAGGACACATCATGGAACCTTTCTCCTGTTGAGATCTTTGCGAAACAGAACTCCGTCATTAGAGTGTTGAAATCAGCTTGGCATAAATCATGCAAACAGTTCATCGCTTAAGCACTGCCTATTGAATTGTCCTTCAAGTTTCTGATGCATGATGAAAATGAAATTCACCTTACTGCAGTTCTCTGCTGATTTTGATGTGTCCTTTCGCAAAGCATGTAAGTAAAATTCGCCACCCGTGAATCAGTGATAAACTCACCTTTCAAATTCGGAGAAGCAGAGTTGTGGAGTTTGGAGCCTCCACAACCCATCTCGATCAATTCCTCACCTGTCTGCTATAGTTGCTAAAGGTACAACCGCCAGGGTCTCCGAAACTTACTGAATACAATAAGAGCGCGCTTAGTTGGTTGTTACCAAGTAATCGACTGCGTCACAATTAATTAGCGCTAATTCTAATTAGCGCATCATCTAGATGATGTCATCGAGGAGAATTTCACTTAAATATTTATGAGAGACTAAGCAATTCTAATCATTAAATGTAGGTTTCTAAAATTTGCAGTTGAATTACATTAGGCTAAACTGACTCATTCTTAACTGACTTTGATAATGACTTTCGCTCAGGTTGTCGAAACGTCAGGCGCCACTATCGACAACAGTACTTCTTAGGACTACAATCACCCGGATGATCAGATTGCACGATCATCCGGGTTCTTACAATATATTTCATTAAGTGTTTCGTCCAACCTCCCCTCTACTCAAAGTTAGAGTAATGACTGCAAAAAAATATTTATTTATTAGACGCGAGCTGGCATGCAAATTTGCAGCGGTTTCAAGTTGCATAATCTGATCACGTTCAAAACGTATTTGAGTTGTGAGTATAACAATAGTGGTTTGGTAGAAGAGGTTGGGGTTATTCATCGTGGCGAATAACAATAAAAGCTAAGTTTTTCGTTTGTCTCACGATGTAGTCACGCGTAATGTAGATCGCGACGTTTCGACTGCATACTGCTAGTCTTCTTCAGGCGATGAGGTCGACTGGTCATGCGTGATCTTATAAAGCATGATGCTCTGCTGTGATTAGTTGTTATTCAACAGCTCTGATTGGTGCATCCTAGTGGTTTGACAACTATAAATGTCAGACTTGAAGAACTCAGAGCCAAAACTCCCAACTGACATAGCCCGGCCTCCAAAATTTGAAACGCCCAGTAATCATGATCAAAACTTTTTGGCGCCAAACTCGAGATTTTTTACACTCCTTCGAGTATGAAGTGATCATGCTTTGGATATAACTTACTGAAAGCTTATTAAAAAGTTAATTGGAAATTCCACGTCAGTCTTTGAATTTCCTTTTTGCGAAACCTGTATCACCAAGTTAAAGGTTATATATCTGATTTGTTCTAATCCAACCTAAATCTTTTATATCGAACCCTAATTATGCAAGCAGACCGTTCTATTACGCCTTTTTGTGCTAAGTGTTCTCTTTGCTCTAGGTCACTAATCCTACAAAAAAATAGGCCATTTATAGCTCATCTATCTGCCGTTAATTAGGCGTAAGTACAAACTGAGGGATACACATCTATTGGAAAGGCCAGAAATTCAGGTCAAGATGGAGGTGTTGGATTTTACAACTCCTCATCTGTGCCATTCCACAGACGAACGGATCTTGAAGATGAGAACATTGAATGCACCTGGATTGAGATTTTATTTCCAAAAACCAAAAGTTTTCTTATTGGAATTATTTACCGCCCTCCAGATTCTTTAAAGCATCTTTAAGCAGATTACAATTGCAAATTTGAATCAACACAAAGAATGTATTTTTACTGGTGACAAAAACTGCAACAAGCTAACCATAAGGGACGGTTTACTCAAGAGAGCTCGTAGGACTAACTGTGAACTTGACTGGTCTGCGTACAAGTGACACCGTAACAGAGTGACAGGCCTTATTAAGAAATGCAAGGGCAGATATCATCTGGATATTCCGTGAGAGTGCCGACTCTCCTGATAAATTCGGGGCTGCCATTAAAAAGCTGTGCCCAGGTCACGCTTCGTGATACAATTATCAAAATAAAGAAAGATGTTATTCGTCTTGTCACGAGCGTGGGACAGAGAAAAAATTCTGAGTCCCCATGAGGAATCAAACCTCAGAACTTCGGATTCCGCGCTTCGATGCTCTACCACTGAGCGGCAGAGACTCTACGGCGAGCGAGGTCTATTACGAAGTTCATATGACACGCATCCTGCAGTACTGCTAGGATTAGCAATGTCGATAGCGTAATGTTTGTAGATGAGCTTCTCGTCGTCTGATAGTTTATAGTTTTTTAAAAACAATTTAATCTATTTTACAGCTAATATCTGCCCAGACTGCGGTGGTTTTGGACCCGGTTGTCCCTGTAGCGAATCTAAGAGGGTTTCCTCTCCTACCCTCGAGAAGAAGTTTTATCGGGTTAATGGCAACAATTACGAATGAATGAATTATTTTTTTCCGAAGGAACAGCCAGCTTTTAAAAAAAATTTGTCTTCCTCCGTCGAGTGTCATGCATGACTTGCCTAGAAAGAAACGGTTTATATTCTTATGTAGAAGCGTCACACACCGATGGCCTCTTTAGAGACTCATCAAAGTGTAAATGCATATTGAAGGAGACGATTTCGATATTTCACTCTAAACTTTGCTGCTTAACTTGATTCACGATGCGCTCGTGAAGAACCTTACGCGGCTGAATGAAATAAACCGAAATTTAAATGTGGAAGCCAAGATATAATGTCACGAAATGCCTTCGCCGTAAAAATGAATCTACCTCAATTCTTCATTATTTATTCCTTTTTTAACATGATATTTTAAAAGTTCTCATTACGTAACCAAATGGGATTTTTTTAAGTGAGCAACAAAAGATTACTTATGTAATCCTGCCGGCATAGCTGTATGGTATGTTTACAACAATGGAAATCTGTACAATGTTTCGATATAGCAGAATCTATATTTAATAGCAAAATAAGCACTTTCACAATAAGTACAAGTCGCTCAGCTTTTCTTTGAGAATTTGAAATGCGACGCCGCACAAGTTATCGAGCTCTTAATACCTAAAGGAATGCTTGGAATCTAATTAGGTTCTTGGTACGTTAAAAGAAATTAAAGAACCATTCTTTGGGAAAAACGAAAAATGTTGAAATTGAGGATCAATTTTCGATTCCCTTCCCTTTTTTTACGTGCATGAGGGGGTAGCGTATTCGAGGGAATGAGGTACCCGAGGTGCCTTTGGATTCTCCAGACAATAACCCATTCTTCAAGCTCAAGCTTGTTCGCTTTTTGACAACCTGAGTTAAAAAAGCTTACACCACTAGCAATTGAAATACATCAATCTCAAGTATATACTGTAAAGCGTAAAACATTAAGCGCTAGCAAGCCTCCTCATTTTAAAAAGTAAATGCTTCGAAGCTAGATTTTACGCTTTTGCCAAATGACCGGCATTCGGTTAAGATTTTCAGAACACTGAAAGGCTTTTGTTCTCCAGAAAGTCGGATACGGACCCTCCCTTCCCAAGAAAGGAGTAGGGACTACAAATGTTTGCTGGTGTGAACTACTAAAAGACCAGTAGTCCTTCAACTTTGGTAAATTTGACGAATCAAAGAAACTCAGCCAGTTCAAATTGCCACATATTGATAATGGAGTGTTAAGCGATCCTGAACGGCCTTACAGATCACATATCTAATACTTGGTTTACGCCGGGCTTAAGGCACGAAAACTTAGTTTCTAGTACATGTTGATAATGAATCTTTCCTATTGTTTGCATTTGAGCCTCGACGATCATATTGGTAAATACTCACCTTGAAAGGCGGTGGAGCAATGTTCTGACTCAAAGCTGTCAGACGGGCGCACTTGACGAATACCACGGATTTGTTTACTGATATGATAAAGTTCATGCGCAATCACGTGAAAAGGCATTCGATTATTTGGGTTATAGGAACATTTTTCGCTAAATTTCTGCGATGAGTCAATAAGATGATTCGTTGTGAATAGGAAGGAACAGCTTCTCAAACTTCTGAACAATGTTAGAAAAACGAGATGTTTTGCAAAATCTAACCTTCCCCATACAATTTGGGCCGGGCACACAGTTGTGT